CCCTAAACCCTAAACCCTAAACCCTAAACCCTAAACCCTAAACCCTAAACCCTAAACCCTAAACCCTAAACCCTAAACCCTAAACCCTAAACCCTAAACCCTAAACCCTAAACCCTAAACCCTAAACCCTAAACCCTAAACCCTAAACCCTAAACCCTAAACCCTAAACCCTAAACCCTAAACCCTAAACCCTAAACCCTAAACCCTAAACCCTAAACCCTAAACCCTAAACCCTAAACCCTAAAGACGCCGAGGGCGATGGCGACGGCGACGATCGTCGCGATCGTCGCGAACACGCAGCGTTTACCCATCGTGTACGTTCGCGCACGCGCGTCGTTTTCTGGCGACGCGGGCGCGTCATCTGCGAACGGGAGGGGGACGTGCGTATCCGTGTATCGGGTTGTTTTTTGTTTTGGCCGGGATTATCTTCATACATAGCGATCGTGTACCCTAACTAAAAAGCCACATCACTTGTTCACGAGATACCGCAAAAAGTATCGATCGCGCTGATTCCCAAGAGTCCACATGCTGTCGAAATATGAAGATCCGTAATCTTCCGGCACCCCACTTACGAACGGACGGTCGACGTGAGGGTGATCCGGGATGAACAACGCGCGAGCCTTGTAAAGCTCGCGACACATGCGCATGGCGTAGGCAGAGTCGTCTGTGACGCAAATTAAGTGACCTCCCGGCTTGAGTACGCGATACACGTCTCGGATGAATTCTGCTTTAATAAGCACTTGCGAGCTCCCCACCCATTCTGGAGGGTCGGGGTAATTGACGTAGACTTCGCTCGCCGTATTCATAGGCATCCGTCTCGCGTCAAAAGCGTCACTCGCCATGCCACACACGAGCGCGAGATTTGCGTCCACGCCCGACCGAAGGGCTTTCATCCACGTCATTGCGACTCTGTTTCGACGCATTTCCACACCGATCCATTGGATTTTGGAATCTTGTTTCGCCTTGCGCGTGATCCAGTCACCGTGACCGCTACACACTTCGACGCGCACATCCGAATCGCCGGCGATGTTCGGCGGCCTTTCCGCCTCGTCTTCGCCAACTATTCGCACATTTGGCGCCCGATCAACTCCTTTCATGGCTTTATCGGCGATTTGTTTCCTTCTCGCGAGCGGTACGTCTCTCATGTACGCCTCGACTTCTTCAATTTCCCTAGACGCGTCTTGCGCTCGTAGCTGTAGGAACAATTGCACGCTCTTCGACGGCGCGTCTGGATCTTCGACGTCATCATCGTCGTATCGAGTCGTCGCGCCCGCTTTCGCCGCGGATTTTTCGGCGTCGACGTCGAGCGTTGCTCGGGCGTCGCGACACGCGTTCGCCGCTACGTCTGCGTCGGGCATCATTAAACTAGAAGCTACCGCCAACGCCACGTACGACTGCGCGGTTACCACGATCCCTTCGCGCTGAGCGTCTCGGATGAAATCCAACGCCTGCTGCACCATGAGCTCACCGCATAGAGTTTTGATGTAATACTCACACACCGTCGCGTCCAGCGATGCATGGCGTTCGCGCATCATCTCCAGACATTTCGACGCATTCTTCACGTCGCCGTATCGCACGCAATTTCTCAGCAACGTCGCGTACGTGCGCTGATTTGGTTCAACGCCGCAATCTATCATCTCACGTATCACTGATCGCGCCCGATCGATATGGCCATTCTGGGACTCTCCCTTGACGAGCACGGTGTACGCTACCTCGTTCGCTTCGACGCCCGCGTCGCTCATCGCCTTCCAAATCGTTCTCATTTCCATAACCTCTCCCACGCGCGTGGCTGCGTTGAGCATATTTGTGTAGGAATACACGTTCGGCGTCAGGCCAACGCGAGAGATGCGTTCAAACGCTTCCTTGGCGAATCCGTATTGCTTATCGTTCCCGAAATCCTTGAGCAGCCGATTGAAAAACTTTACATCCTTCACCTTCATCGCTCGCTTGAGCAACGTCTGCGCCTCTCGCGCCCGTTTGCGATTTTGCTTCACCGCGCGTTTCATGCCTTCATCGAGCGAGGCCAAGTACGAGGTAGATAGCCCGCCATCGGTGTCACCGTCGTCTCGAACAACTTTTTCGCTCGGCGCGTCAACGTCATCGCGCGCGCGTTTGCGCGTCGCCGCCGCGGCGTTTCTTCGCGCGGCGCGATTCTGATTCTTCTTTTCGTACTTTTTCTTCTTCCGCGTCGCATTCGACGTCCGATCCATCCTTTTCGACACAGCTCGACGCGCGACGGAATGGCGGCGACGTTGGCGGCGACGTTTACGCGACTGCACGCGCACGCGCGCGACGCGCACGTCGCGCGCGCTGGCAAAGGCAAACGTAAGTCGCAGCGTCTCGGTACCGGTGGTGGCGTGCTGGACGCCGCGACGACGACGCAATCGACGAAGAACATCGCTGGTGCGGTGGGGCCGGTGTCTTGCGACGCCGACGCGATGACGGACACGGTTGAATTCTTTCTGTTCGCCCGTCGCAAGACGAGCGCCGGTGGAGACGACGAGCGTTGGCTGCCGCTCGGCGACGTCGTGTTCGAGCGCTCGACGAACGTGGAGGACGTGGCACGCGAGCGCTATCGCATTCTCTGCGAGTACGCACGGAAGCGATACTTGCGATTGAATGTGGGCAAGGGTGGGTTAGAAATCGGTGCGCGCGTGCAAAAGGGCGTAGCTAAACATCCAGACGCGCGAGACGCGACGGAGATCGTTTACGTAGCTTGCGAAGAGACGGCATTGACATGGGACGCGACGGCGGCGGCGGATGCGACGAAAAGATTTGGATCGTTTCCAGCGATGTTGCGTTTATTAAATAACGCAGAGCCGCTGACGGCTGCGGTAAAGAATAGAATGCTCAAAGCCTCGGCACAGTTCGCGGCGGAATGAAATCGTACGTGCCAGTCGCACGCTGTAATACCAGTTCAGAAATATCAATGATCAACCCATCGCTCAGGCAAACTCCATAAGAGCTGCGGCGAGATGCGTGAGCTCCTGACCGTACGCGACGCGAATCAGTCGCCCGACGACATCTCTTGAATATTCACCCGCCAAGGCGTGTCCTACCGCGAGCAAGAATATTCGCTCGCTCGATCTGATGGGTCTGAGGCCGAAATGTCGATTGAGCTCCGTCACCATCTCCACGTGTGAGCTGGCGATTATCGGGAAGACCTGAGACGTGCCATTCGTCTCGTTCGAAGCCTGAAACACAAAGTGACCTTGCTCTTTTAATTGCCGAGACGCAGTACTGAGCACGGAAATCGTGACTTCGTATGTCTCGAAGTCGTCGGATCGCTCGGAGACCGCGTGCAAATCGGCGTCGTTCAAGTTCGTAATCAATTCGACGTCGATCATTTTGCGCGCCTCTCTTCGCGGGCGCGTCGCAGCCTGAAGGCGTTTCATGGGTCTACCACCCATGGCTGGACGCGTCGATCCGCTACCGACGCGCACTGTCATGTCTGATTCATTCAACCTTCTACCGATGAACGTAATGGCGCGTGCGCTCCCCACCGCGACGGCTACGGCGCTGGAGCCGACGATGCAAGGTGCGACTGCTTGAGTGCTTTGCGTCCCTACGTGCATGAATTTCAATGGACCTTGCACTCGAGCGAACGTATCTCGTTGATTCCGAGTAAAGACGTCGACTTGAGTAACGCACTCATTGGAGCTAGTCGACTGCAGTTTTTTCAAAAACATCGCGAACTCGCCGTTCGGTGTGTTAATGAGCTCGATACCTCGCAACCAAACCTCTTGCGCAGAAAAGTCGACGTCAACCGACTTGGACGGCGATGCGTTCACTTCATCGGTAAAAAGCTCCGCAAATTCGGTGAGTTGACGTTTCATAGACTCTTTCTGTCTGTTGGTTTGCTTAGGCTTGAACGCGACTCGCACGCCGTCCATGTGAGCTCTCATCTCTTGAACGCTCATGTGCAGCTCTTTGGAGATGTGTGCGACTTCTTGAACGCTTATGCCAAGCGTCGACGAACTTCGCATCTTAAATTCCGACAAGTCGCTCTTTTGGGTGTCTTTGCCGAGCAAATATTTATCCGTCGCACGACGCCAAGCTTTGAAGAGTAAACCGCGGCGCACCGCGAACGCGTCCAAACCCGTTGCTACCAAACTCAGGCTCAGTCTACCGCGTAAGTAAGCAGTAACACGCGACATCGCATTCAAGTGATACCGGAGCGCGAGCGGCGCGAGCGTCGCGACAACCCATCCTTTGACGCTAAAGTGCATACGTATGCCGCGATATATCGGAGCGATGTTGTCCAGCCCGACATAAAACGTGGGATACAAGATAAAATTCAGGACACAGCACGCGAGCGCGGCTTTAAACCTTTCCATGGCGCTGATGAGCGCCATAGCCACGAGCGGTGGCGCGACGAGTAACGTCACAATTTGAGCCGGGTCAAAGCTGTGCCCAGAGTATTTATAACCGACGATGTTCAACGTAACCGCGGGATGACGCATCACCGACTTGACGACGTGTCGTATGAGAATACCAGCGTCTTCAAAGTCGTGCATTGGTCGACCGTGCACGTCTATACGGAAGAAACCAATCAAAATGACGTAATCGATAATGGTGGCGAGTGGCAAGTATCGCGTGTACAGCCCCTTCAGGAACAACGATGGATCTTGAGTATCGTTGAGTGTTACGTGCGCCACTCCCTGCACGCGCACGCCTCTACACATAAGATAATTTTCGAGCGTTAACGCCACCATGAAGTAAATCCACATGTAAAACCGGCGCACGTTCAAACCGTGTCCTGGAGACATCCCTAACACGTACCACAAAATCGCGCTGGAGACGCGTCGCACCGCGCGCTCGAAGAGGCCCGCCTTTTCGCCGCGCGGCGCTCGGTTTCGTCTTCGATTATCGCGCTCTAAATATTGCAGCACGGCAGCCGGTTTTATGAACCGTCGCGCCTCGCCCGTCGCGTCTTCCTCCGTCGATCCTCCGTCGTTCGACGACGCGTCCCCTCTTTCCTTTTGTACCCGTTCGCGTTCGCGTCGTCTGCGCGTCGTCGCGCTCCCATCTCGTTTCTTCTTCGTAGCCTTCGTCGACGACCGCGGCGACGGTGACCGCGACTTAAGCGACGTCGACGCTCGCGTCGTTCGTCTTGTCCGCATCACTCGCGCATCGTCCGTACCGTCGTCGATAACGTCACCGACGACGTTTACGCAGTCCACGTCGTCCAAGTCCGCGCCCGCCTCGCGCGGCGCCGTCCCGCGCCTGGTGCGCGACCTCGACCGCGTCGCAGGCATCCCGTCTCGCGCTCGACGTCGAGAGGTTTCGCGCGTCGCGCGCGCGCGTTTGACGGACGCTGCCGCGATCGACGACGCGGATCCGTCCCGTGGCGCACGTCGCGTTCGCGTGGTCACTTCGACGCGTTCGAAGCGCGCGCGACCGCGACGATGCCCGCGTCCACGGTCGATGACGTCGTCACCGTTCTCATCACCGGCGCGGCGGGGCAAATCGGGTACGCGCTCGCCCCGATGGTGTGCGCGGGCGCGGCGACGGGGCCTGGGAAGAAGATTGCGTTGAAACTGTTGGACGTCGAGTTCGCGAGCGAAGCGCTGCGAGGGGTGAAGATGGAGATCATGGATTGCGCCTTCGACGCGTGCGTCTCGGTGGACGTGTTCACGGATTGCGAAAAGGCGTGCGAAGGCGTTGACGTGGCGATCATGGTTGGCGGGTTTCCGCGCAAGCAAGGCATGGAACGCAAGGACGTGCTGGGGAAAAATGTGGCGATTTACAAACAGCAAGCGAGCGCGTTGGCGAGCAAGGCGAAGAAAGATGTGAAGATTGTCGTTGTCGCCAATCCCGCGAACACGAACGCGAAAATTTTGGCGAAATTCGCGCCGTCGATTCCCAGAGGCAACGTCACGTGCATGACGCGGCTCGATCACAACAGAGCGCTCGCGCAGTTGGGTGAAAGAAGCGGTAAAGCGACGATAGAGGTGAAGAATGCGATCATTTGGGGGAACCATTCGTCGACGCAGTACCCGGACGTGAATCACGCCACGATCGAGGGTAAGCCCGCGCGGGAGGTGATTGGAAATGACGCCTACCTCGACGGCGATTTCGTAGACGTCGTGCGCGCGCGAGGCGCGGCAATCATCGAGGCGAGAAAGTTGTCATCAGCGCTCAGCGCGGCGAGCTCGGTGTGTGACCACGTGTACGATTGGATTCACGGCACAAAAGAAGGTGAATGGACTTCAATGGGAGTCATCTCTGACGGGTCGTACGGCGTCCCAGAGGGGCTGGTGTACTCTTTCCCGGTGACGTGCACGGGTGGCAAATGGCAAATTGTGCAAGGGTTGAGCATCGACGAGCGCTCGCGGAAACTCATGGACGAGTCCGCGAAGGAGCTTACGGAGGAGTTTGAGTTGGCGGAGCAATGTTTGGCAGAATCTGCGTAGCGTCGATCCCGAATGTAATCGTCAATCGTTGTCGCTAAAAGACTTGTGCGCAGTGGGATTCCGCTTCGACGGTTCTAGTTACAATGCATCAACGCGAAGGAGTCAGGGGTTATATTCTATAGTTGGGGTTTACGTGACGTCGTTAAGCAGCGCCAATCACGGTTCAACAGTTGTTATTCACGCGAACGACTCGGCTGGCTTGCCGTCTCCGACGGCCTCTGCGAGCGTAGTCGCCGCCTCAAAGGTCTCCTTCTGTTGTTTCGCGCTCGCTCTTCGCTTGAGTTTGTTCTGCGCCTCCGTAGAACGTTGCTTTTCTGTCATCTGCAATCGCCTATTTCGACTGCGCAGGCGCTCCTTCTCTCGCTGCTCTTTCGTTTGGTGGCGTCGGCGTCGCGCGCTTCTCAACCGTTCTCGCTCCTTCCGCGCCACCTCTCGCGCCATCGCCGCGCGTTTCTCCGCGCTCGTCGCGTCGAGCGCGCTCGTCTTCACCGCGCGCTCTTCGGACGAGCGAAGCTTCTTCTCCAACTCAACCACCATCGCTTGAAGCGTCAGCGCGGGCGGTGAATTCGCCCCCGACCGTTCTCCGTGGCCGTCGTCGTCGGGGGACAAGAAGACGTCCTCGAACGCGGGCGCGGCGGAACCTCTCTTCGTCGGCGATCGCTCCGACCTCTTTCGCGCGCCCATGTCGAGGGGGCGACGTCGCGGCGCTTCTCTCGCCGGCGTCGATGTGTCGTCTCGGTCGGTCGGTCGCCAAAGGACGGGCGCGCGTGACGCGGCGAATGCGCGATCGTGGGGCTGGGCGGGCGCGCGGCGAGCGGGGCGCGCGCGCACGGCTGCGGTGGTCGAGCGGCTCGTGTACCGGTTTTAGAAGAGTGTAACGTCCCATTATTATATCATCGTATCATCATCGACGCTTGGTTCGTCGTCGACGGCGAGGAAGCGCCGGCGCGCGCGCGCTGGAATTGCCAAAATTCTCGCGATTCTCCAATCTACTTCTTGTACTTGGCCATGGCCGCTTCGTAGCGCTTCTTGTCCTTGGCCGCTTCCGCTTCGTACTTGGACTTGTCCGTCGTCTTCGCCCACTGCGCACCGAGCGCCTTGGCGACGTCCGTGACACCGAACGACGGATTCTTCTTCAAAATCGCCGCGCGTTGATCCTTGGCGAAGAACATGTACGCCGAAAGCGGGCGCTTCGGGGCGTTCGGGTCTTTCACCTTCTTCGCCTTGACGGCGGTCTTCTTGGTCTTGGTGGTCTTCTTGGCGGCGATCTTAGCCATGGTGGATGTTACGGTCGTGAGTCGGACGCGTCGCGGTGTGGCGCGCCCGTCGCGCGCGCGCGGCGATTATTCTCTCCGCGTCACCGCGCGACGCGTTTTCGCGGGCGCGTTCGCTTTCTTTGGGTGTTCTTCATAGGTTAAATCCGTCTAGTATATACATTTTGTGCGCGCATAAATTTTATGCGCTGGCACTTTTTCGAAGATTTGCCTACCGCTTCTGGTGTCGCACGTTTTTCATGACCGCGTACGCCATGGCGATCCAAAACAGCCAAATTCCGAACACGGCTAAGATATTCGTGCCGAGCGAATGCGAGACACCGTAAAAATCTGACACACCGACGGCGGTGCCGGAGTCGTCCACAAACACTTTCGGCTCTGAGTTGCGAAAATGATTTCTCATTTGCGCCATCCAGCCGTATCGGACGAAGAGCGTGTGGCGATACCACGCCCATCCCTTCGGCATGCTCTGAACGCGAATGATGATACCGCTAAAAAGAAGTTGTACTACGTTGTAAATTGGCAACAGCGTGTTCGCGCTGTCCATGTCGGGCGCCGCGGCGGCGCACACGTACGCCAAAGCGATGCCGCACAGCATGACGCCGTAGTTTATGATCCAAAAGTAGAAGTAACTTCCTTGAATTCCGCATCCAAGATACAGCATCATTTGCGCGATGAGCGACACTGGAATCGCCAACACGCCTTCTTCGATTATTTTGTACGCGATGTAACTCGACAAGGGGTACACGCCGTCGTCTACCTCTCGATAGAACATCGCCCTCTCCATAACGACACTCGGCATGTAACCGGAAGCTTGAAAACTAGGCAAAATGTTCAGCATCGAAAGCAAACTTGCGACGTTTAACTGAGTCGATTGGTCTTGTGCCGCGCCGGTTGGTTCGCCAATTTTCCAGAACAACGACATCATAACGAATCCAAACAAAAAGTTGCCTGCGGAACGCGCGGCGACAAAATCGGGCGTTTTGTAATTGTATCGCGTTCGATATTTGATGAGAGTCGCGACTTTCGACATCGCACCACGCGTGATTTTGGGTTGAGGCGGCGCCGGTAGTTGTTGTTTCGACATCATCGACTTGACGCGCGACGCGTTCGCTGCGCCGGCGGCACTTTTGGCGAACGCGCCGACGAAATCGACGTCGTCGCTCGCCACGGTGCCGACGAAAAAGTCCGCCATGCTATACGACGCATCGTAATCGTAGCCCAATCCACGGAAGTACGGCGTGACAGAATCGAGCGCTCCAGCAAACGCAACGCGCCCTTTCTTCAACATCAGCAATGAATCGAATAGCCGAAACGCCTCCGAAGTTGGAGAGTGAATGGTGGCGACGACGCAAACGCCGGAACAGGCCAAGTGCTTCAGAATTTGCACAATATCAAGCGAAGTCGCGCTGTCCAATCCACTCGTCGGTTCATCGAGGAAAAGGACGTCCGGATCCGTGACCAGCGCGAGTGCCAAGTTCGTGCGTTTCGCTTGCCCACCCGAGATGCCGCGCTTGAGCGCGTCTCCGACGATGACTTCAGAGCATTCACCCAAGTTTAAATCTTCGATGATCGCCGGCACTCGAGCCAAAATTTCCACGCGTTCTTCTTCGTTTCGTGCTCTCAATTCAGCCCAATAGTTGAGCGTCTCTTTGACCGTCAGCATTGCCAGCAGAGTGTCCCTCTGCTCGACGTACGCCGCGCACTGCCGAAACATCGCCTTTGACGCCCGTCTGCCGCCGTAGTAGACGCCGCCCCCACTCACCTCTCCCGACGTCACTCGATCGGTGATGACGTCCAGCAGCGTCGTCTTCCCAGCTCCCGACGCTCCCATCAACGCGTGCACCTTGCCGTGTTCGAACGACGCCGTGACGTTTGACAATAGGGCGAGCGGTTCCGACGACGCCTTTGCATTCGTCACCGTGTACGAAACATCGTCGACGACGACGTCGAGCGCGTGGCGCGCTTTGTTCGTGCTCAGCGAACCCACTGAAGGCACGCGTTTCATGTCCGGGACGTCGACCGCCGTCGAGGGCGTGCGCTTGAACGACATCAGGCGACTGAGACCAAGCGTCGAAGTGTCGACACGGGTGACCTAGCGCGCAGAGCTTCGCAGAGCTGCGGCTTCGCGACGAAAACCGTCGTAGCGTCGAACATCCGCTCGGATGATCGCATTCGGGCGTGCCGATGCATTAAGAAAACTATCGCTACTTTAAGTCGTGTCGCTCGTCTATATCGGGGAGCGTTCACGCGCTGGCTGGGCTATGTGAATTTGAGGTTTTGTTCCGACGTCTCCGCGTCTTGGCTCAGTCGTCTTCTTCGTCTAGTCTTTTTCTTCCCACCAAGAGCACAAACCTAAACCGTCTTCGTTGATATCCGCGATGACGAGCATGGGTGCGAACGCGGCGTCGCCTCCATCTCGCGGCGCGGCGCCGCTCTCCCGGGTGAGACTCGCCAGTTCCTCCGCCGTCTTTGGCGATTCGGGAAAGCGCACGGCGACGACTTTAAAGCGAAACCGCTCGCCCACCTTCATCTCCATCAATTCGCCATCGTAGTCCCACATCCAGACCTTGGAGTCATCGTCGTACTCACTCGGCGCCTGCATGTTCGTCGGGGGCACGAATATATCTTTGAAGAACCCAATCGACACGTGCGCCCCGTGCGCGTCGGCGCTCAGCAACGTTCCCTCGATCACCTCTCCCGCGAACGGCTTGAAGAGCACCACTTTGAACGTCACCTCGAAGCACACGCACCCTTCGCCCGCCAACACGGTCCCTCCAGAGATATTTGTGATGGAATACAGCGTCACGCACAACCCCCCGCACTCTGCGAGCACCTTATCGACGTACAACGACTCCAACTCTTGCGTCACCGCCTCGAGCGTGCTCTTGCCCAAGTTCACCGGCGCGATTTTCACCGCGCCGTCGCTCAGGGCGACGATCTGAAACATCGCGGTTGCTCGCGTTCGTTCGCGGCGGCCTTTGAATCACCTCGTCCTCCCCGAGCGCGCCGATCGGTCCGCACCGCGCCGCACCGCGGGCGCGCCGTCCGTCGGTTCGGCACGCCGCCGCCTCGCGTTCGTCCTCGCGTCGCGTCGGCGCGTTCGAGGTCGCGTCGCGTCGGCGCGGTCGTCCTCGCGTCGCGTCGGCGCGGTCGACCTCGCGTCGCGTCGTTCGCCGTCGTCGTCTCGCCCGCGTCGGCGTCGCGGTGTGCCATCCAACCGCGACGGGCGCCGACGCGCCGATGCGCCGATGCGCGCGACGACGGCCATCGCAATCGAACGCGAATGCGACTGCGTCAGAAGACGTCGGTGCGCGCGACGTCCCGTCGGACGGGACGCGCGACGCGTGGGATGGCGCCGACGCGACGACGCGGACGCCGACGCGGCGCGGGCGACGACGCGCGCGACGACGACGCGGATGGGTGCGATTTCAGTCGACGGTTGGCGCGAGGCGCGACGACGACGACGAAATTGAAGACGAACGCGGTGACGAATGCGCGACGACGACGCGCGCGTGGACGCGGTATGGCGTGGAGGGTGGTAGCGGTGATAACGTGCGCGACGTCGTGGACGTGGGCGACGGTGTCGGCGAACGCCGTGACGTTGATCGGCGCCGGCGCGTCCTTTCCGGCGAGCGTGTACGGAGAGGCGATGAGCGCGTACGCGCAGGCGACGGCGAACGTGACGGTGACGTATAACTCATTTGGAAGTGGAAGTGGATTGTGTCGAATACAAAACGCCAGCGTGGAGTGTACGGATAGTAAAGGCGTGGACGAGGTAGATTTCGCGTGCAGTGACGCGTTGTTGAATGATACGGCGTACGCGGCGTACCCCGATTTACAGATGTACCCCGTCATCGCAGGAGCGGTGGCGTTGGTGTACAATCTCCCAGACTCTACGTATAGCGGCACGGCGACGGTGCTTAAATTCCTTAAATTCGACGCCAACGCCTTGTTGGGGGTGTTTTTGGGAAATATCACGCGTTGGAACGACGCCGCGATAACGGCGTTGAATCCGACGATGACGCTTCCGAACGAGTTGATCAAAATAGTGGTGCGTCAAGACAGTTCTGGGACGACGGAGGCTTGGACAAGTGCTTTATCGACGATGAATGCATCTTTTGCGAGCGGGGTGGGGACGTCAAAGCTACCCGACTGGTCCGCGGTGTTGTCGAGTTACGTGACGAGATCTCAAGGGATCGGTGTCACGTCCTACGTCAAGGCGACGAATTACTCGTTGGGCTATGCCGTTTTGGCTGACGCAAACGCGGTGAACGCATCCATCGCTGGTTACGTTCACGCAGGCACCTCAACAGCGGTGCTCCCAAACTCTGCGTCGATTTTGCAAGCCGTGAAGACGCGAGGATTGCAATTTGGCAACAACGGCGACAACCCGGTGCGCCTGACGGCCACCATCGCTCCGGTGCTCACGAATGCTTTAGCTTGGCCGTTTACGACGTACTCGTACGTCGTATTGCGGACTGGTATGGTTGGCTTCACGGAGAGCGATCGATTACGAGCCGGGGCGTCTTGTGAAAACGTGAAGCAGACAGTGGCGTTCTGGAACTGGTTTCTCACGAGCGCACAATCGTCGCGAATCGCCGAACAACATGGCTTTGCTGCGATGCACGACGAAATAGGCGCGCTTGTGTCTGCAAGACTCATCGCAGATGTCTATTGTCAAGGGACTCGCGTCGCGGCTGTGACAACATCAACCACTGTACAGGCTATACAGGTCGGAGTCACTGCTCCAGTCACACTCAATAGGCTTCTGTACTCGTTACGCGCCCTGTACGAAGCGTACAATTCGAGCTCAACGCTCGCCATTAGAGAACTGACCACTGCGGAGGGCGCACTGGCAAATATCCTTGCCGATAACGGTATGGCGATTGGGATTGATTTGGTTGGCACTCCTCTCGCCGCTCTATCAAGGCTACCGTTGTTCTCGATTGAGGCACGAATGGGACTGAATAAAGGTGTTCTTCAATTAGGAGCGACAGGGACGACTCTGGCGCTCGACTCTGTGGCCGTCGCGGCAATTTTAAGCGGCGACGCCACGACGTGGGGGCATCCCGAAATAGTGCGCTTGAACACCTTTTTAAACGGGGTAACGGCACCAATCGTCTTGGCTGGCATTCTCGATCCCGAAGCAAATGCATTCTATCGCACTTACCTTTCACAACTGGTCACTGCAAACGCTTCTTTTACGTTGGCTACACCGAGCTTTCGTGGGTTGTCATATTCTGAAGTCGCTGCTTTTGTTGTTGAAACTCCAAGCTCGATCGCTTTTCTTCCTGGAGACGTAGTGAATGCTTTTAAGCCTTATCTGTCGTCGTCGAGCGCGTTGAGTAACCTCGCGGCTACCCAAATGGATGTGTATTACAAACCAGTCAATAGCGGCGCAGAGTGTGGGGGGGCAATGCGCCAGGCGCTCAAATCCATGCTCAGCATGTTAGAATGGATGGCTTCCGACACCGATGTACAAGGTATTATTACAGAAGCTGGTGTGACGCCATCGTTTGCCTCATCACCGGCTGTGCTGCAGACATTTTTATCGAATGTGCGAAGCGTGACGTGCAACGGCGTCTCCATTCTGAATCCACAAAATGCGCAGTCGTCGGCTGCGTTGAGTGTGAGTCCACTGATAATGGCCCTATCTGTTGGCCTTGGGTTGTTGACGTTCGCGATGTTCGCATTCTTTGGAGGGGCACTGCTGAAAAGTTTATTTGTCCAGACAATTTTGAATCAATACAAGCGCTCGCATCCTCCAACCGATGCGGAAGTCACAATCGTCGTCACAGACGTCCAAGCTTCGACGCAGCTTTGGCAAAAAGCTTCGGTTCACATGAATCGGGCTCTTGCAATACACGACAAAATAATGCGGGCGGCGATTCATCAAACATTTGGTTATGAGGTTTTGACGGAAGGAGACAGTTTTGTCATCGCGTTCCACTCTGCAGGAGATGCGCTCAAGTTCGCGATGCTGGTTCAAGAGCGCATGCAAAACTACGCCTGGGACTCACCGCTCATTAGAGTGTGTAATGAAGTCTACGACGCGTACGACGCAGAAATCTTCGAGCAAGCTACACAAGGTCGCAACTTTAAGGCAAAGGAACTTTTACTCAACGCCGTTTCGAGTCGTAGAGTGATTCAAGAAGACACCATGTACGACGAAGGCGACGTGAGTACTCATGCTGGTAGAGGACAAATGAATGCGTTTAGAGTTCCTCTCGGGGCGAAGGCTAGTCCCTTGAGTGAAATTCCTAAGATTCACGGTCTTCGCGTACGTATCGGCATGCATACCGGATTCTGTCAGAGCAGAACGCATCCCACGACGCGACGACGAGAATACTACAAGGGGGCCGTGACGATTGCCAGCGCCGTCTCCGATTGTGCCACTGGTGGTCAGACTGTGATTTCAGGGGAAACAATGGCGGCGATACTAGGTGAGATCAAAGAAACGTCCCGAGCTTTCCATGCGCTTCACATGGGACGCCATCAAATGGGGTTGAACGCCAAAGAGCTGGATTTGACGGAGGCTGTCGACGAGAGAACCGTGCAAGTTGACGGCAAGGTTGGGCTGGACGACTCGTCAGCGCCTACTGACGACGTCACGTTTGCGCTGACCACGGATAGCACAAGACTAAGATGGCGTGCGTCCGATTCTGAAACATCGACAGAGGAAGGCTCGTTGGAAGTGAACCCGGCGTACCGCTACGCGCAAAACGCGAAAGTCTCAATCATAAAGAAGGTGGCTTACGATAAAATACACCAGACGAGTCTATTCCAGTCCGAGCTGGTGCAAGCCGTGCCGAAGTCGCTTGCAACTCGTTTGGCGTTATTCTCTAATCTGCGCACTGTGCGTCAATTGGAGCCATCTTATTATGATTCGCCAGGACTGAACGATATGAAAGTCACCATCGTTTTCACGTACATCGAAGGTTTGAAGGAACTCAGCGTGGCATTAAAGGACGTGATGGAAGACTCCGTGGGTCTTCTAAATGCGGCTGTGCGCGCCACGCTACCAGTTTTTAACGGTTACGAGTCTAGAGAATCAAATGGCGAATTTTTGCTCGCTTTCCACTCGCCCAATGATGCGTACAAATGGGCTCTTCTTGCTCAAAGCGCGTTCATGAAGCTCGACTGGCCGAAAAAACTGTTGACGCATCGGAGCGCGAGACGCATGCGCAATGGAAGACGCGACGTATTCTTTGGACTCCGCGTGGGGATGGGTGTATGTTCTGGTAAGTGTGCCGACATCAGACCATGTATCCGCACCGGACGCTCCGAGTATTTCGGTGCAATCTTGAATTTTGCGTCGAGGGTTGCACGCAGCGCCAAAGGTGGGCAAATTTTAACAGATTATGAAACCTTGAAATCGGCCATTCAAAACGATTATGTGGTTGAATTTTGTCACGATCTAGGAATGTACCAATTTAAGGGCATCGACAACACCGTACGAGTCATTCAAGTCTCCGACGCGTCGCTGATGATGCGTTCTTTTGAGGAAATTGACGCAATCCAAGTCGCACCGCCGGTTGGATTGGATGAAGATCGCGATTTAAGGTCGCAAACACGGAGTGACGATCGTTCAAGTGTATGTATTTTGTTGTGTACGGCTAAATCACCACTGATAAAGATTGTGCAGTCGTTGGTGCGAGCCATTCGTAAAGAGATACAAGTCGTCAGTGCGCAGAGGATCGACGACGTCGTCAGTCAATTAAGACATCGTAATTCAGCTGGCCTCATTCATAACCACATGGTGATTGTTTCTGATGAGATCGAACGTTTAGACGTCGTGGATGCTTGCCGACAAATCCGCAGAAAACTCAACTTGTTTATGCAGCCGAGGCTCGCAGTGTACGCTTCACTCCTAAACGATCTCGACGCTGAACAGCTCGGCATTGACTGCCTTTTGCCTACTTTGGATGCACCTTTTGACGCTAGTTCATCCCGCAATTCATATGTCGATGGTGATAGTGATTCGGAGTACGAAGAAGATATGATTGCGTTCAAACAAGTGGTTGAATCTTTCCTTTTGGGAGAAGCGAGCGAGAGTGGCTTGGGCGTCTTGCAAAGGCTGTCAGAATCAGGCGGTATTGCATCAGCACCGACTCTTGAAGCGAATCAAAACGATGAGAAACTACCAACGTTCAAACAAGCGCCCGTGCCAACTCATAACAAGCCGCTTTTGAGCATGTCCAACATTGGGATGTTGACTACGACGCTTGAGGCGGTTTGCGCAAGAGCTTTCGCAATCGACGTGAATCAACAGCTCATATTTGCTACGCGCCGCGCCGTGAAGGCTGGTGTGGGCGCTTCTTCGGGACCACTTCCGCCATCAGACTGGCTATCTCGAGTAAGTACTGTCGCTGCGAAGGCGCAAAGGGGTATACTCCGTCAGTCTTGGGTTGAAACGATAAAAGGCAGTTGGCTCGACGAAAATTCAGAGGACGAATACGTCGACGCCGTGCACAAACCGATTCGTCTCGGCGATGATTTCGCAGTTGTTTTAGTGACTTTGCAAAGTCGTTGAAGTGCGTTTAGTTTTATTATACATTACCTAGTAAGATCACTTGTAGAACAATTGCGAGCGCTGTAAAAGCAATCACCTAATAACCGGTATCTCCAACGAGCGACGCATACGTCGAGTTCTCTCTTTCATCCGCTCGTCGGTCCCGAAGTTTTCCCGAAGCTTTCAGCATGAAAGCTGGGAGGTCTAGTCCTAGTAAACTATAAATTATTTTGCGTGTTTCTTTCATGACACTCGGTGGTGCGTCCCACGAATTCAACGACAGGGTTTCAGCTGCGTTTTCAGTTCCCCGACTCGGTTCGGCGACAGCAAGGAGGGCAATGTACAAATGCTCCGCCGCTGCGCAACGCACGCGAGGGAAGCGGTTCGCCATGAGTGCGAGTAGCCCCATCGATGCTGATTCGTGAACGACGCTATCAGCAGCACCGACGAAGTGAGCCAGGCATGCGCTCCCAGTGACGAGCTTTGAAATATCTCTGCTCGAGAAACACTCACAACGAATAGCTTCGATGAGTTGAATCGCGTGCGTGTGCGCCTGATCCAACGCGCCGTGCGAAATTAGGGCATCGCACACTCGTAAAGCCGGTACCGTAACGCGATCAACGTGCTTGTTTTGACACAGATCTTGTATAATCGATGCCACAACAATATCTGGAAGGCCCTCAAACCGCCTAATCGCTCGTAACAACGCATCGGTCGAAAAGCGCACCAGACTGTCGCCTACACTTCCGCAACTCAGAAACCATCCGCTCAACGCGGCGTTGACGTACGCCTCTGCGCCGAGAACGGGAGTTAACGTCGCGAAAATTGTCGAGACATGGGAAGCATCTGGCGCTGTTTCGACAGTCGCTGGCAAGCAACATTGTAAAACATCGTAGTCTGGCACACCAGAGAGCGCGTGTACTGTTAGTTTGGCCTGCACTCGCATTCTAACTCGAATCGCGTCACCACCACGCACGAGCTGCACGAGCGTCACAAGCGCTTGACATCGAATGCGGTCGATTTTTTCGAATGCTTGCTTGAGAAGTGCTGTCATGATGTTTTGCGACTGATCTGCAGCTAAAGCATTGCGCATTTGCAAAGCGGCGACAAGCACAGGGAAGCATTTCATCGCCGATTCTCGCACCCACGAGCCGACGTCGCCACGGTTGTCAACGCTGTAGTCGCACAAACATCCGAGTAAAGTGGCGATCGCAGTGTCCGATACAAAGGCGATGTCGTCGTCATCGATATCATGGCACTCTGCACACATTAATTTCACACTCAGCTCCGAGAGACTGATCGTTGCGTTCACCCGCGTCTCGGCGTCTCTCATTTCTACATCTTCTTCCGGTTTCGTGGCTACCGACAGCGCCGTGATGACCGCGCGCAGAGTTGCACTTTTATCTTCACTATTTTTCGCGGCGAGAAGACTTGTCACAGGAAATCCGCCTAATACGAGCGCCGATCCACGCCGCACGACACCTACGAGATCGTTGACGACGATTTCAGCGTGCCTCAATAGCAAGCAATGAGCACGGTGAGATCCACGCGAAGCGTAATTCGTCTCTGTAAATGCGGCGATGGCGTCTGAGGCGGCAGCCTGTACGTCTCCGTTGCAGCACTGCAGACTCTCTTCCGCAAAGTAGACAAAGGCATCTGTCGCCTTCGAGTCAATCTTGTGATTCTCGTCGCAGCACAAAAACACGCACTCAATGAGCCTACACGTCGCGCCACGCATTATTTCGCCGCCTTTTCCTTTGTACATCTTCTCCCTTTCCATACTTTGAACTAAATCGGCTACTCGTTCGAAACAGTCGTCTTCGAGTTTTGTTTTTGCACGCTGTGTCACGAGTAACATCTCACCGATCGAAAGCACAGCGCCGTGGCGCGTCGACAAGTCAGAACTCGTCGCGCGCGACAGAACTGTTTTTATGCCTACGTCACCGATCCACTGCGGGTCTAAATTACCCAGAGCTCTGATTGTTTTCGTCGCGAGTTGCCGCGTGGCAAGTTCCCAGTGCGTGAGCTTCGTGTCCAACACGTGCTCGAGTAACGAACGCCTATATTCTTCAAACTGACAGATGAATGGTGCCACCGTCAACGCAGCTCGGGTTCGCGATCCAAGCGAAAAGTAATCCGCCACGGTGACAATGTCGATGCCGTGAGGAAACTTGCCGAGCCGTCCGACGGCTTCTTGAAAGGCAGCGGATGCGGCTCGGCGACAATTAACTTCACGATCGAAACACGATATCATGAGAAGCCTCGGTGCAAGTTGGTCGACAAAAGGTTCGAAAACGCCCGGTTCATATGCGCGCGCAAACGCCCAACATACATATGCTGCCGCATCTCGCACGTGCGCACCGATTGAGTGCGCTCCTCGTCGAACGTCGTAGATGAGAGCGTCCATGCATCGCGGTACGGCCTCCACCAATCTATTCGGCAACAACAATCCACGTCGAGCGAGCTCAGCCAGAGCTAAACATGCGCCGTGCCAAGTTGAATCGCTTTCGATAACCGATAAGCACGCCAAAACCGCTCCAACGACTTCGTCACCAAAATCACGCGGGAGTCGAGAGCTAATTCTCCCCAACGCTTTCGCCGATGTCCAGCGTACGATAGTCTCCGCATCTCGCAAACCGACGAGACATATTTCAACAATATCATCAACAGCCATGTGCACGTCGCATTTATCATCTTCGTCCGCCGCCGTGGTGAGTTGCTTCGTCGGCGGCTTTTGCATCGCCCCGCTCAAGTTATCTTGCAAACACCGCGCACCACGATCATATCGCCACGACACCACTCGAGGTTTCATAAAAACCAAACCCACGCGACTGGCGAGCTTGATACTCAGTTGTCTCACCATGGTCGAGCGTTTCGCCAAACTTAGCCGCGTCGCGCAATACTGCGCGTCGTCCCAGTTTCCCTCCGCGTACGGCAGCAACTGCTCTCGAGATCCAATCTTGTATATCGCCGCGAGCGCCCGCAGTACACCCGGTACTAAGAAAATCATTTCTCTTTCCTTTTCATCATTGACGTCTCCACGAAGCGTCGCGCTCGACCAGGTCATGAACTCGCGCAACGCCTCGCTCATGTCCGGTCGCGTGAGAAGCTTGGCGAGCGTTTGCGCCGCCACGTCGCGCACCGCGGACGGATCGCCTAAAAAGTGCTTGCACTCTCGCATCAAATCACTCACGACGCTCGGAATTTTCGAACGCGACGAATGCGGATCGATCGCGCTATCGATCGACACCAAGTCAAACGGCGCCAACGCCAAAATCGACAACCAACTCGTGAGCACGCGTTGCGTTTCCCACGTATTGTCTCCACGCACTCGCGCTTCCCGCAGCAGACGCACCGCCGGCTCTAAATACTTCGCCGCGTTCGGATAGAACCGCACGCACGTCTTCCATCCGCGCACGCTCGACAGCGCATCCAGCGCCCTGCAGCACGCGTTCGCGTTCGCCTTCGCGTTCGCGTTCTCGTTTTCGTTTTCGTTCGCCTCCGTCGACGCTCGCGCCACCGCGTCCATCAAAGGCTCGATCACGCCCCCCAGCATCGGATCCAGCACCGTCGGCTGTTCTCTATACTTTTCAATCACTCCCACGAACGCCCGCACGTCGTCTTCGTCCGCGGCGTCGTCTTCTTCGTCGCGTCCACGCGCGCTTCGCCGAGTCAACGCGCGAACGATGGCATCCATCGCGTCGCCGTCTGCCGCGACGTCCACGCGCGACGTCGCGCGCTCGCGACGACGCGCGTCATCACCCTCACCCTCGCGCGTCCCCATCGCCGACGCCAGACGCGCGTGCGCGGCGCCTAGTCCGCCGCGCGCGCGTCTGGCGATGACGCGTGTGGCGGTTGGCGCGTTCGGGCGCGCGGCGCGCGCGCGCGCGGCGGACTAGGGTTAGAGCTTGGAGTCAACGCGCGCGCGCGAAAGGATGGACCGTCGCGATCGGACGTGCTTTTATACAATTCTAAACGCTCGCCGCGCTCGCGCGCTCGCGCGCGTCCGCGGCGGCGCGATTCAAACGCCGCGCGGCGACGCTAGGAAAACGCCCACCGCGCGAAGAAGACGAAGACGAAGACCAAGCACACGACTTGCCAAAAATATCCCTGCCTTCTCGCCTGCTCCACGACCTGCGCGAACGCGCGCGCGCTTTCTCTCAGAGCGTCTCTCGCTCGCGCGAAGTCATCGCTCTGTTCGTCGAGCATTCTTCGCTGCGCGCCGACTTCGTCGTGAATGTCGATGGTGATGTTCTTCAGCGCCGACGCGCGTTCGCTCACGCGGTCGATGTCTCGATCGTTTTCGCGCTCCATCGCGCGCGTCGCGGCGTGCATCGCGCGTCGGCGACCGCGCTCTGTCGCCGTCGTCGTCGCGTCGTCGTCAGTCGCGTCGTCGTCGGTCGTCGTCCATCGTCGTCGTCGTCCATCGTCGTCGTCGTCCAGCGTCCATCGCGCATCGTTCGCGTCGTTCGCGTCGCGCGTCGTTCGCGTCCGTCGCGCGACCTCGCGATCGATTCGCGCGCGTTCCGTCGTCCACCGCGCGCGCGTCGCACCTCTCGCGCGTCCGCGCGCGTCGTCGCGCGTCGCGACGTGCCGCTCGACCAACGGCTGCGGGACGACGGAACGCGACGCGCGATGCGCTGACGCCGACGCGCGAGAGGTGCGACGCGCGACGCGCTCGAACGATGGCGATGATACCGGTCGACGACGCCCTGGCGATCGCGCTCGATGTCGTCGCGCGTGGCGCGCGCGCGACGACGACGAAGACTCGAGTGGAGCGCAGCGCGAACCGCGTGTCGGCCGAGGACGTGCGCGCGACGACGCCGCATCCCGCGTTCGCGGCGAGCGTCATGGATGGGTACGCGCTGAACGCGCGCGCGAGCGCGGCGGCGATGCGGGCGAACGACGACGGTGGGGCGACGCGACGATGGGAGTTTGAGATTGTCGACGACGAGGCGTCGCGGGCGGGACCGGCGAAGGCGACGCGCGACGACGAAGGACGCGAATTTGGCGCCATGGAGTGTGCGTACGTCACCACGGGCGCGGTGTTACCTCGAGGATGTGATTGCGTCGTGCCGGAGGAAGCGTGCGAGGTGGTGAGGGAGGGATCTGGACGCGCGCGCGCGGACTCGAGCGACGTCGTTTCGGGAAAGTGGACGCGCGCCGTCGGGAGCGACGTGCGAGGCCGAGGGGAAGTTTTGATCGCGAAAGGTGAACGGTTGAGCGCGTATGATGTTGGCGTGCTAAAGTACGCTCGGGATGTCGTTGAGACGTACGAGCCTCCGCGCGTTCGCGTTTTGAGCACGGGCGATGAGTTGGCGGCGAGTGCGAGCGACGTCGCCGTTCGCGGATGCGTCGTGGACACAAACGGTCCGATGTTGGAAGCGCTGTGCGGTGAAGAGGGCGCAGAAGTAATATCGCGCGATATAGTGCGAGACGACGAGGCTGCGACGAGGGCAGCGTTCGAAATGGCCGTCGCCGACGCTTCGTGCGACGCGCTCATCACCTCTGGCGGCGCCTCGGTGGGTGACAGAGATTTCGTGAAACAGACGATCGAAGGTCTCGGTGGGAAGATTTACTTTAGACGTTTGGCGATGAAACCGGGGAAGCCGACGATGTTCGCGACGATTCCTAGAGCGACGGGTCCGCCACTTCTCGTATTCGCACTGCCGGGCAATCCTGTCAGCGCGGCGGTGACGTTTACGCTCATCGTCGCGCCGTGCATTCGCGCGCTCGGTGGAGTTCGCGAATCTGGACTTCGGCGCATCCATTGCGTATTAGATGAGACGTTACGTCTCGACCCAGAGCGCGCTGAGTATCATCGCGTCACACTAGATTGGACGCGGGGGAACTTACCCGTCGCGCGCTCCACTGGCGCGCAAATCAGTAGCCGCTTACTGTCCATGCGAAACGCGGACGCGCTAATCGAGCTTCCGCGAGGACCAGGGGTGGTGGAAAAAGGCGCCATCGCGAGTGCGCTGTTGATTTCAGATGTAAGACACGCGAAAGGTGCGAACATGGAGAAAATACAATGGCCCAAAAAGTCACGCGGCGACGAGAGTCGGCGTTCGAACGAGGCGCTCGACTCCATCGTGACCGTGCTCGACGCCGAGGGATCCGTCCGGGATTTGAAACGCGTCGTAGGGCTTGAAGAAGACGCGAGGCGTCATTGCCGTGCCGCCGGAGATTGCGTGGACGCGCTTAATGAACTGAGGATGTATTCAGATGGCGATTCCACGCACGTTGCGGTGACAGACGCGCAGTCGCCAGGATTACGAAGAGGAATCGCAACAACTTTGGAACGACTGCGCGTCGTCACGCCGATTGGCGACGTTATCACTAAACGCGCGTATGCCCGCGTGGGTTTAGTTGGGAATCCGTCCGATGCATACGGAGGCAAGTGTGTGGCGTTTACCATTTCAAACTTTTTCGCTGAAGCGTCGCTACGCCGAACGCCATCATCGAAGCGCGTAACGTTCGCGCCGGGCCCGTACGACGGAAACGCGTTCGATTCATTCGACGCCTTGTCGACGCACGTATCCCAACACGGTGTCGATGGTGGTGTGCGTCTACTTAAGTCGCTATGTTGCAACCTCATGCGATATTGCGAGTCGACAAAGCAGAGAATCGATACGTCATGTGGCTTTGAGATGTCATACACGTCGAACATCCCGAAACAAACCGGCTTGAGCGGTTCGAGCGCCATCGTCATCGCCGCGATGAGATGTCTTCTCGAAATGTATAGAATCAACATTTCGTTGGATGATCAGACCGAGCTGGCTTTACGCGTCGAGCGCGATGTCGGCATCAACGCCGGACCGATGGATAGAGTCGCGCAGGTGTATGAAGGCGCGGTGTTTATGGATTTCACAAAACCGCGCGCGTCAACAGCATGCGGTTGGCGCATTCACGGTGAATACACGCGCGTGGAGACGGATGAATTGCCTCCTTTGTATCTCGTGTGGGCCAAAGACAACGAGAGTGAGAGCTCTCGAATTCACGCCGACGTTCGGCGTCGATGGGACGCTGGAGACGCGGATGTCGCAACGTCGATGTCGCGCCTCGCGTCGCTCGCCGACGACGTATTCAAAGCTATGGCAACGCGACAAATCAACGTCGAAGAACTCAAAACGTCGATCGACACGAACTTTGATATTCGTCGAGCGCTTTTCGGTGATCAAGCGATCGGCGCGTTGAATGTAACACTCGTCTCGGTGTGTCGCGAACGCGCGGGTTGTGCGGCAAAGTTTGCCGGCAGCGGTGGCGCTTGCGTCGTCGTTTGCGAAAACGACAGAGCGCGCGCTTTAAAGGAAGCGTGCGACGCGCACGGGTTCGAAGTCGAACGCGTCGTCGTGCGAAAGTAAGTTCGATAGCATAGATAGAATGATGAAAGGACGAAAGGACGAAAATCGTTGTGAACGTTGAAAGTTTTGCTACTACATGGATACGTGCGCGGCGATGCCCACTTGAAACCCGTCGCTGACGCGATCGTTTGTCCCCGCGCGCACGACTTTGCCGTAATTCATTTCGATCTGACCGATCGGCAACGGCCAAACAATGCCAACGCCCAAAGACGCGCGCGTGGCGTCGCGAACAACCTTGATCGCGTCTTTCGGCGCCCCTGACAGAGCGGCGAGCGGTAAGAGCGTCCCGGCGGTCGCAAACGCGTGGAAATGAATCCCAGCCTCCCTCATGGCTTCAAATTTCTCTCCCGGAATATCCATCTGCAACGCAGCCGTGGCGCTCCACACGAAATCGCCTCCTAAAGCGTCTCTCGTGAGCGACGGTTCTCCATCTTCGGCGCTCGACGGCGTCTTTGCGCCCGGTGATTCCTCCGCCGCTGCGGTCTTTTTCGTTCCACGACGCGCGTCACTCGGGCCAACGCCGTTATTTTCGAACTGGCGCAGACACCCGACGCCACCTAAGAAGAATCTATCCGCAATGCACGTCCTACTGTCACCATCGTTGCCAGATTTCCCCCACGGAAATAACACGCCAAAGCGCCCAGACGCCGACGCCGTGATACCGCGCGACGCGTCCAACGTCTCAACGACGTGCGCGCTGACTTCAGACTTAACGAACTTTGCCGCGAGCGCGTTATCCATAAACCCGATGCCCGCTAACTCGGACCGAATCTTCCACAAATAGCCCGACGTCGGCCTCACCTGTCTGTCGAGGCGGTCGGAGACGTACGTGTGCGTCACCGCCGACTTGAGCGAGTGTCCGAGCTGACGTCGAACTTCCCGGCTAGCCATGCGCGTTGGATCTTGAACATCTCGCCACGCGATTTCGTAATCCACCGTTCCCGGTCCGTCACCCGCGACGCCCACGCGAATGCCCCTCGACGTCACGTCGAATGAGCTCAACTTTTTAAAGCACTCGACGGACTGAAAAGCGCGCGCGTCCAAATTTACGTCGCTCCCGTAAAGTTTTGGTTGTTCCCACGCCGCAGAGTACGTCGAGCTCGAATTCTGCCCCTTGATGAGTTCGACCTCAAACTTTTCCCCGTACCCGAGCGGGTTGCGCAGCCCAAACGTCGCCTCCGCCTCGCCCTCGCCGCGTTTGCTCACGTACGTTCCGACTTTAAAATGAAACGCGTCTTTTTCCTCCACGCTCACCACCACCTTCGCCCCCGGCACGTCCCCACCGTCCAACCGTCCTCCCTCGTGATCCGCATCGATCACGATCGCGACGTCTTTAAATATCCCGTATTCATACAGCCTCGCGTTCGCCGCGAAGAGCGCGTCCTTGATCCCGTCCAGCGTCCTCGCCTCGTACGCCCTCGCCAACTCTCGTTCGATCACCGACGCTCGCGTCCGTTCGTTTCCTCGTATCTCGATCGACGACACCGCGCACGCGTCATCGCGCACTCGGTCGTACCGCGCTCGGAATTCATTCACCGGCGGCGTCGACGTCGTCGCCCCCGCGTCCGCCGACGCCGAGGATTCCGCCGACGCCGAGGATTCCGCCGCGTCCGCCGCGTCCGACGTCGCGTCGCGTCGTTCGCCTCGCGCCGTGAAGCTCGCGTCGTCGTCGCGCGCGTCCGTCGTCGTCGTCGTCGCCATCGCGTCGTCGTCGTCGTCGTCTGCGGTGACGAAGTCGACGCATCCATCCGGCCGGCGATCCCATCCCAGCCATCGTCCGCTCGAGTCCCCCTCGCGACGGTTCACGACTCGTCCGCGTCGACGCCCGTTCGCCCGCGCGTCACTGCGCGACGCGACGCGACGCGACGGACGACGGACGACGGACGACGGACGACGCGCGAGCGCGCGAGCGACGAACGGTGAACGACCGCGGTGCGACGCGCGACGCGACGCGACGCGAGGACGCGACGCGAGGACGCGCGCGACGGATGATTCGGATTCGCATTCAAAAGGGGAACGGCTGTCGAACGACGACCGACGACGACGACGACCGACGACGACGACTGACGAAGACACCGACATCGCGCGCGCGACGGGGTGAAATAGGACGAGGATACATGTTTCGCAGACGAGAGACGGCGGGTGGGATGGCGACGCCGACGGCGTTGCGGACGGCGACGAACGACGACGGGGACGAAGCGCGGACGCCGACGCCGCTGAGAAGCGCGTTGAAGAAGGGTGCGAGACGCGACGCGACGCGACGCGATGCGATGGGTGAGGGATGGGCAATGCATGCGCGACGATGATCTATCGATGACGCGCGACTGACGGATGGGCGAACGCGCGCAGGTGGATTGAGTAAAGCTCGCGTCGTCGTGGAGAGCGACGGGTTCAAGTATAAAAAACGCAAGAGCGCGAAGGGCGCGCTGGGGGTGACTATTTCGGAGCCGCTTTGGGCGATCGAACGGGCGTCTTCGCGCGCGTTGGTGGTGGGAGCGACGACGACGTCTTCGAACGGCGCGCACATGTCGTCCGATGAAGCGCGCGGAAGGGAAGATTTCCACGAACAACTTCCAAACAACATGCCCGAAGACGAGCGCATGCAACTGCTGTGCGAGAGCGTGTGCGCGGCGGAGTGCGCGGCGGTGGTGCCGCAGTTGAAGGGCGACAACGCGTTCGCGGCGAACGCGATTAGTGACGCGTTACAAGAGTTTCAGTTGCGCGTCGAGCAGTTATTGATTGATGAGGAGGTAAAGTTTGCCGAAGGACCGCAAACCGTCGCGGCGAAGATTGACGCGCGCAAGGCGCAGTTGCGAGCGCTCCGAGACGCGCTCGAGCAAGAGTCCACGCAGTGGTCTTGCATGCTCGAAGGTTCGGCGAAAAAAGTCACCGCGGAGGTGCCCGTCATAGATACCTCCGAACTCGGTCCGAGCGAAGCCGGTTCGCTCGCCGAGGCGTGCGAAAACACCCAGCGACGGTTGCTGTTACAAACCGAAGGCGCGAGAGGCTTGGTCGAAGGCGTCGAGAGTTTGTGCGTCCGCGCCGAGCGCGCGTGTGAAGTTTTCGCGAGTGCGATCGCCGCGAACGATTTCCGTTCGCTGCCGTCGTACCAGTCACCGCACCGATTAATCTCGAGTCTCATCGGAGGCGCGAGGTAAAGCCTCGCTGTAATAAAACTGATCCTTCCTCACTCGCCGTCGTCGTGTTCGCGGCTTCATCGCGTCCTCCCGCCCTCGTCCCGTCCCTCGGTCGCTCGAAAACATCAAAGGTACGGCATGGGATTCGGTCAACTCGTCACCGGCCCGCCGGGCGCGGGAAAGACGACGTACTGCGTCGGCATGAAGCACTTTTACGAGCTTCGTGGACGACGCGTGGCGATCGTCAACTTAGATCCAGCGAACGACGTGGCGCCGTACGAAGCCGCGGTATCGCTCGAAGACCTCATATCCGTCGATGAAGTGCAAGAGGAGCTCGGACTCGGGCCGAACGGGGCGATGATTTACTGCATGGAGTATTTGGAAAAGAACGCCGACTGGTTGCGGGACGCGTTGACGCCGCTTCGGGACACGCACTACTTCATCTTCGATTGCCCGGGGCAATTGGAGTTGTTCAACGTGCACGGATCTTTCCGTAATGTGCTGCATCGAATGATGAATGAGTGGGATTATCGACTGTGCACGGTGCATTTGAGTGATTCACACCTGTGTTGCGACCCGGGCTCGTACGTCAGCGCGTTGCTCGTGACGCTCCAGTCGATGTTGCATTTAGAGACACCGCACGTGAGCGTGTTGAGCAAAATCGACATGCTGGAACAATACGGCGAGTTGGCGTTCAGCTTAGACTACTATGCGGAGGTGATGGATTTAGATTATATAGTGGAACACATCGGAAACGATCCGAAACTCGCCAAGTATAAAAAGCTCACGAGCGGGTTGTGCGAAGTCATCGAGGACTTCGGGCTCGTGCGCTTCGTACCGATGTCGATCGAAGACGAAGAAACGGTGAGCAGAGTAGCGACGTTAGTGGATAAGTCCATCGGGTATTCACTCGGCGTGCACAAAGGCGCACGTCTCGGCACGGAGGAGCTTCGCGAACGCGCCGCGCGCGGTGACGAGGACGAGGACGAAGAGGCGTTCGACATGCGCAACGCCGTCGCGAAGGCGCCAGCGATCGAATCGTACTCGCAAAACCTCGAAATTCAGGAGCGATACTTCCCCAAGAGCGACCGTAACGACGATGGCGGATCGAAAACCCCGACCGCGGAGTAGACGCAGTAGACTTAGTGTAGAGCAATCGACGCCGCGCGCGCGACGTCGGAAATGATACAAAATTAAAACAAAATGCGCGCGCGCATCGCCTACGTCTGCGAAACAAAGGAGCAACGCGCGGTCAGCGCCACGTTCACCGCGCGCGATGGACAAAAAAAATCCAAGCGAATGTCCCGGGAATTGCTCACGGCTTCGACGTCGACCGATACGACGGAAGCCCCGATTGTCCCCGGCAATTTTATATCGCGTGTTATTATTTTATGATGGTTCATCGCACAGGTGGGTATCAACCACCCTCGATCGACGAACCCGTCCCACACGCTTTTCCCTTCTCGCGAAAAAGTCGCGCTCGCGTTCGCGTTCGCGTTCGCGTTCGCGTTCGCCTCGCCTCGAGTCGGGTCAGAGCAAAGATGACATCGTGTGCGTTCGTGTCTTCACGCGTCCATCGCCGATCGACGGGCGTCGGAGAGAAGATTAGCGTACGCGTGTGACTCATCATCCCCGTCGCGCGGTCGCCGTCGCGTCGCGCCGTCCCGTCGCACCTCTCCACCGTTCCGACGCAAAACCTCACCGCCGCGCGTCGTCGTCGTTCGCGCGCGCGTCGCGTCGCGTCGCGTCGCCGCGTCGCCGCGCCGTCCCTTCGCGCCGCGCCGCGCCGTCCTTCGCGCCGTCCTTCGCGCCGCGCCGCCGCGTCGACGCGCGTCGCGTCTTGACGTCGTCGCGTCTGACGTCGCGCGGTCGACGCGATCTCACGACGAACGGGCGACGTCAAAACGCGACGCGACGCGCGACCGGCTCGAACGCGCGCGGACGCGCGGCATGAGCGATGGAAGGTACTCGTTCTCCCTCACGACATTCTCCCCGAGCGGAGAGCTGGTGCAGATAAAACACGCGCTCGCCGCGATCGGGGCGGGGGCGACGAGCCTCGGGATCAAGGCGAAGGATGGTGTCGTGCTGGCGACGGAGAAGAAAGTGCCGAGCGCGCTCGTGGACGCGACGACGGTGAAGAAGATCGCGCTGCTGACGGATGAGATCGGGATGACGTACAGCGGGATGGGACCGGACTTTAGAGTGCTGACGCGAATGGCGAGGAAGGAGACGCAGACGTATTACCGGACGTATAAGGAGAGCGCGCCGGTGAGCCAGTTGGTGCGAGAGACGGCGACGACGATGCAAGAGTTTACGCAACAAGGTGGTGTGCGACCGTTCGGGGTGTCGTTGCTCGTCGCGGGGTACGATGAGAGCGGACCGAGTTTGTATCAAGTCGATCCGAGCGGGTCGTACTTTGCGTGGAAGGCGAGCGCCATCGGAAAGAATATGGTCAACGCGAAGACGTTCTTGGAGAAACGGTATAGCGATGACATAGAATTGGAAGATGCGATTCACACCGCGATTCTGACGCTCAAAGAAGGTTTCGATGGGCAGATTTCTGCGGAGAACATTGAAATCGGCGTCGTCGGCGTCGACAGGAAATTTCGAGTGCTCACCTCGAGCGAAATCGCAGATTACCTCGAAGAAGTCGAATAAGCGTCGCTAGTTCTAGATTTACTTAATGATATGCTACTTTGCTACTTTGTTTCACTCGTCTTCGCTGTCGTTCGTCGTCGCGTCGGAATCCCAAATCGAGTCGTCGAGTGGAAAGTTCCACGAGTCGCGCGCGCGTCGAGAGCAAAACATGACGTACGCGAGAGATCGACGTCTCGCAGAATCGTTCGCACCGCCCTTATGCATGACGCGGTAGTCATAAATGAGTACAGAACCGGGAAATAACAGTTCAGGCTGCGTTCGAGGCGCCAAAGCCTGTGCCTTGCGCTCGGGTGTCGACACATAACACGCGTCGTGGTCCCACTCGTGTGACCCGTGAATGAACGCAGTCGGTCCATCTATCGTTTCAACCTTTGCTGTGTTTATAAATACGTTGAAAATACCGAACACACGTCCATCGGCGTGAAAGTGCTGCTCCGGCGCGCCGGGCTCGGAGCTCACGCACCCGAGAGATTTGGTCGTAAAGTCGTAGTCGGCACCGTACGCCTTAGAGAGAATTGGAGAAACCCACGGCGAGACGTACGCTCCCAAAGCTTCCCACGCGCTCACCGCGCGCTGCCCGTTTGGTTTCGCGAGAGCGCGCACTCGTTCGCATTCGGGACGAGTAAAGTCATATCGCAGTCCGCAGCGCGCCCTACTACAGATCTCGGCGTAGCGAAAGATGTCTCGACGCGAATCGACGCCTCGTGTTTCGGCGCGAGCGAGCAACTCGTCTAAGTGCTCGTCATTCGCCCGCGCGCACTCGGCGAGAGTGTCCTCGGGCACGATCGCACCAGACGCCACCGGTGATAACACCACGAAGCCGTGCACGCGCAAACTCTCCGCCGCAGCGTCGATGGTGTCCGCGTCAGGCGTTGCGCGCTCGACGCGCAGCGCGTACGAGCACGCATCATCAAAGTCGACGCGCAACGAGCACTCATCACCGTCATCACCGTCATCACCGTCACCATATCGTCGCACTTCCCCGTCTTCACTATGCACCGCGAGAGCTTCCACAAAATCTGCCAACACCGCCGCCTCGTCGCGTTCGGCGATCAACAACCTGTATCCGCCCTTGGCGGTTATTTCGTCGTCGTGCGCGTGTTCCGCCGCCGTCGTTCGCATGTCTTCGCACACATCCGCGTCCAACGCCTCCGTCCGAACGACAAAACCTCGAGCGCGCAACGCGCTCTCGAACGCCGCCGCGAGCGCGGGCTTTCGCACGCCGAACGCCGCGATAAACCGCGTCCCGCCGCCGCTCTTCGCGTGCGCGTCCACCGCCGTCGCCAATTCCTCCGCGTGTTCCTCTAAATACAGCATATCCGCCGCCACGATCACGTCATACGCGCGTCGTTCGTTTTCGTTTTCGTCCCACGTCTCCCGTCGCCCCCAATCGAGCGCCTTGACGCGGACGTCGCACGCTCGCGTCCCGTCGAACCAACCGTTTCGCAGCGCGTTGCCGTGCGCCAGCGCCAGGGTGCCTTCGTCTCGATCCGACAACGTGACCGATCGCGCTCCGAGCGCGGCGCACGCCAAGCCAACCGCACCGACGCCCGCGCCGAGCTCGAGGACGCGTCGGTCGCGCACGTCCGCGCCGTCGCGCGCGGATAAGCGCTCGACCAGGGCGTAGGCGGCGCTCCAGAGCCGACACCCGGTTCTCAACGGGACGTCGTCGGCGTCGTGGGCGATCGTGAGCGACAGCGGGGGGTGCGGGAAACTGGGGGTGGTGAACGCGCGGCGCTCGGTGAAGACCATGACATGGGCGCCGCGTCCGTCGCGGTGTGCGGACGCGCTCGCGACTGGGACGCGCTCGCGGGCGACAACTTTTACTGACACAAACGCGCGGCGAACTACGAAGCGCTGGGTTAGGTTGAGTCACGCTCGCGCGTTCACGCCGTCGCGTTTGCTGACGAGTTGGAGCACGATGAAACGCCGAGTGAGAACGAGAATGGCCGCGCACGCAACGACGACGCCGGCGCCGACGAACGCGTACGCGGGATCTGCGGCAAACAACTTGCCGAAAACGATCGGCGCGATGATGCGAGCGACGGCATTGATGGCTGAATCAACACCCATGACGGTACCACGTCTCGTTGGTGGCACGCATTGCATGAGAAGGATCGGGATAGCGGGCGTAAACAGCGGCAAACCGGCGACGTAGACGAAGGCGGCGGGCGGCACCAATGCGGGCGCCGCTTGACCGATCGCGACGAGACCGGTGGCGACGAGAGTCAAACCGATGACTGTTGTTTTTGTGAGTCCAAATAGCTTTTGCGTCGGCGCGAATAGCGTCGCGCTAACCGTCAAAGAGACGGCAGACAACGCGGTGAGCAAGGCGCCGATTTGCGTCGGCGCCATGGAGAGCTTCTTTGACAGTAAGAGCGGAAAGAACGAATCAAACGTGCTCTGACCGGCGTTGTACAGGAAACTCGTCATACAAATCGTCGCGACCGCTGGCAGGTATTGCTGCCCGAGCGGACAACTCAGCGCGTCGGGGTCGTATACGCCAGGAAGCGACGTCTTCGGAAGCGTCGTCTGCGTCGGAACGCCCGCAATGGGACTCGAAGGCGTCGCATAAGCGGCGCTGGGCTTACCTTCGTCGACTTTATCTTTTTCCAACTCTGACGCATCGTCGACATCGCCTTCCGTCGTCTCTCGCATCGACGCCTTCATCGCTTGCGGCGGCGTCATGAATAAGAGCACCAACGTCGCCGCCGCGACGCTCGCCCAACCGGTCACGCTAATCGCCGCGCTCAGACTAAATCCGGCGAACAACACCCCTCCCAACGTCGGCCCGACGATAAACGCCAGCGTGCACGACGCCTCGCGCCACGCCATGAGCTGTGGCAAAAATTCTGGCGTCGAAGCGTCGGCGAGATACGCCTTCACCACCGGACTCGCCCCCGCGAACGCGCCGCTCAGCACGCGCAAGAGCAAAAACGTCTCGAACGACGCCCCAGATCGCACACACAACCCTTGCAAAATCAACCCTATCCCTACTCCCATCAAACTCAACACGATGATCGGTTTCCGACCAACCTTGTCGCTCAACTGCGGCCAAAAAAAGAGCGCTCCGAACATCCCGAGCGGATACGCGCTCGTGAGATATCCCACGTTCTCCGCCGCGACGCCGAACCGTCGCACCAAACCGGGCGTGATCGGCCCCGTCACCGTAAATCCAAGCAGGTGCAGAAACACCGCGAGCATCACACACGCGATGCTGAGCTTTTGTCGCCATTCGATCCGCGCCGCGTCCGGCGCCGCGCGTTCGCTCGCCTTCGCGTCGTTCGCGCGCGTCCTCGTCCTCATCCTCGCGTGCTCCGCGCCCGCGCGCCGCGCGCCGCGCTCAAACGCGCGCATTTCGACGCCCGCGTCCTCCGCGCGCGCGCCCACGCGCACGCGTCGTCGCGCGTCGCCCGTCCCCATCGCGCGCCCGCCCGGTTTCGCCCGCGAACCGCCGTCGCGTCTCTCGCGTCGTCTCTCCGTCGTCGTCGTCGTCCGAGCCGCGCGGTGCGCGCGCGCGACGATCGCGCGCGTCATGCGCGTCGCGTCTCGCGCGCGCGGTCGCGAACGCGCGTCGCGAACGCGCGCGTCGGCGTCCTCGAGTGAGGCCCCCTCGACACTCGTCGACGCGACGAAGGATGTCGACGATGCCGACGACGACGATCTCGGCGCCCGCGCGAGCGGTGCGCGCGAACCGCGCGCGAGGCGCCGTGCGCGCGCGCTCGACGGTGTACGCGTACGAAACGATCGCGCTCGGACGCACGCTCACCGGGACGCACTTCATCGACTTGACGGAACACATCGACGCCGCGGTGGCGAAGAGCGGCGTGAAGAACGGCGTGGTGCACGTGCTGAGTCGACACACGACGACGGCGGTGACGATAAACGAAAACGAGGCGCGATTGATGGACGACGCGAGGATGTACTTTGCGAAGCTGGCGCCGGCGACGGATTTCTATCTGCACAACGACTTGGACAGACGAAGCGGACCGGCGGATTGGCCGGGCGGCGACGAGGCGTGGCGCGCGCAAGAACCCGAGAACTGTCACGCGCACTTGTTGAGCATGGTGATCGGGAACAGCGAGACGATTCCAGTGAGCGAGGGGAAGACGACGCTGGGGACGTGGCAGAGTTGCATGTTCGTCGAATTAGACGGACCGCGCGAACGCACGGTGGGGATTCAAGTCGTCGGCGAGCGATAGATAGATCCGCGCGTGTACTCTATAACTATTCTATGTTACATTCATCGCGACCTCGACGCGTCCAGCGCGTCGAGCTGCGAGCGCAAATCGAAGACGCGGCGGCAGCGCGTCCACCACTCGCCAACCTTCGCCTCGGGCGCCGGTCGCTGCAACGCGCGCGTCACCTCGCCCCACTCCACGCACCGTTCGCTCATCGCCATGTGTCTCGCGAAGTCCACGTCGGGATCGAACGCGTCGACCGTCGTCATGTGCATGAACAAGCGCACGCCAGAGCGGTAAATGAACATGTCGACCACGCCGACCGCGCGCAGGCTCTCCAAAATCTCTGGCCACGCGCGCGCGTGTAGGGCGTCGTACGCCTCGATCGCGTCTTCGCTCTCGAGCTCGATCGTCTGCGCGAACGTCTTCATTCGCGTCGCGTCGCGTCGCTTCTCTCGCGCTCCGCTCGCGCGCGTCGATCGCTTCGCGCCGATCGACGCGCGTGAATGCGGGTGCCGCGACACGAACCGTTGCGCGCGGAATTCAAAAATTTCATTTCAAAATTTGACTCGCCCGATTGACGCGACCGCGCGTCAATTCGCGACGCGGCGATCGACGCGCGCGAGAAAATCGGCGGAGATATGGCGATGATGGACGTCGACGACGCGCGCGCGCACCCGGCGGCGCGATTGGTGTTTGACGACGACGAGAGCGTGGAAGTTCGAACGAGCGACGTTTTGAGCGAGGATGCGAACGCGCGCGTGCGCGTGCTCACGGCGGACGTGGAGGATGCGATGGATGTGAAGATGAGCGCGGCGAACGCGGGGAAGACGAAAATGGGCGCGGCGACGATGTTTGCGCGATTGTTCGGGACGGATGGCGAGCGAGGGAGCAAGCGGGACCGAGCGGCGTCGCCGGCGGTGAAAATGAACAGACGGAAAGCCGCCGATGGGACGCGCACGCAAGATTTAGGGCGTTTGGCGCGAGAGTTGGCGCAACAATTGGATGAGCCGAAGGTGCGCTTGCTCGCGCGAGCGATAAACGAGCTCGGCGAGGCGCAAGTCAGAGCGTACGTGCTCGAGGCGGCGACGCAACAGCGCCACGGCGGTGAGATGACCGCGTTGGGAGACCGTCGAAGAACGACGGGAGGGATCTTTTGGGCCATCGTTCGCGCGAGAACGAAACCGGAGGTGTACGACATCATTTACGCCGAAGAACGAGAACGACAAAAGGAACGAAGCAAGGCGCGCGCTCGTGCGCGCCGCGCCGCCGCAGACGGCAAGGAAAACATTCCTCCTGTCGGTCATGCCAAGCCTACGATGGCGCAAATCTTGTTTGGAAGCATCAGAGATGAGCACTTCCCCGAAAACCGCGCGCCCTTGGCCCCGATTGTCGTTCCCATCGACGCCGTCACGCCGAAGCCGACGCTGAAAACCGTTGGATGGGCGGACGACGACGACGACTTTGACTTCTCCGCTGGATCCGAGCTCGCGGCGCCGATGAAGACACAAAAGCCCGATTTTACGTTCGCACAAATCGCCAAGATGCGTTAGACCGCCAAGACTGGCGACTGACGTCCTCGACGAGCGTTTCGCGTCGCGGCGGTCGATGTCAAACCTCGTCTCGCGTGTACTTTACATCTTTAACCCGCGTCCACCGGTGGTGTGATCGCCGTGGAATCACCACCAGATCGACGCAATGTTTAATAACGTCACGATTCACACTCTCTGGCGCCACGTCTCGCCGCGTCGCCGCGCGCGTTCGCCCGTTCGGCGATGGTTCCAATCGACACACACGGACCTTTGAATCCGAGTCACCGACGCGCGGAATCGCGGGTTCATTCCCTCGCGCGTCAACATGTTCACCGTTCAAGCCACGCAAATCGTCACCACGGTGCGCATCGACGCACGCTCTCGCGCCCGTTCGTTTCGGCGCGTCACACCGCGGCGCGCGCGCGACGCGCGCGTCGCACGACGCCGCGACGATCATCGGAGATAGCGTATCTGGACGATCCCGAACGATCGAGACCGACGCCGCGGGACGCGCGCGCGAACGGCGCGTCGCGCGACGAAGCGGCGCGAATAAATACCTCGCGATGCGCTCGCGAGGCGAACGAACGCGAAGACTGACGCGCGACGCGCTCGCGATCGCAGGCTAAGGCGCCGACGACGAAGCCCGCGAAGCGCGTCCAAAAGGCGGCGTCGCTCGGCTTGGCCGCCGTCGTCGCGGTTTCGCTTCAAGTCGCCCCGGCTCGCGCCGATCTCACCTCCGATTTGCTCGCGAAGACGGAAGCGAACAAGGAGTTGAACGATAAGAAGCGCGCCGCGACGTCGAGCGCGAACTTTGAACGCTCTCGCACCGTCACGGATGGGTTTTGCAACTTTCCGCAAAACATCTTCGGGTGCGAAAACGCCGCGGAGAAGGGCGACGTCAAGTTTTTGTCCGACGATTTGAAGGTCGAGTGCGAAGGCACGGATGCCGGTAAAATCTGCGCCAGCAAGAACTCTGGTTCGTACCCGTCCTTCCTCGGTTTGTAAGCGTGCGAGCGCGGAGCCCAAACGCGTCGACGCGTTGTAACTAAGTCACGCAACCGGCGACCCAGAATCGGAATGAGCGAACCGACTCGCGCGTCACATCGCCGCGTCAGCACCGCGCGTCTTCGCGCGCACGCGTCTTCGCGCGCTCGCAACTCGATCGAACGCGTCTTCACGCGCGTCGCGCCACGCTCCGCGCGCGCGCGTCGCCGATTCGCGCGCGGACAACGCCGCCGCCGCCGGCTCATCGATTCGTTCGTTCATTCGTTCGCGCGCGCATCGATCCATCGCTCGCGACGCGCGTTAGATGCCCAAGTACGGCGTGCACGTGAACAAGTACTACGTCCCCGACGACGTCCCGACGTGGGCGAAACTGAACGTGAAACAAGCGAGCAAGAAGATTGCGAAATCGCGAAGCCGAGAGACGAAGCAAGCGCTCGGGAAAAAAGCCAAAGCGGCGGTGAAACTGGCGAACCGTAAGGGCGGAAGAGGCAAACGAAATCCCGCGAACGCGGATTTTAAAAAGAATTTAAAGCTCGCGAAGGATTTGAAGAAGAATAAACGTAAAGGACGTCAGGCAAAAAGACCGGGGACGTAGGCGAACGAAGGAACGAAGGAGCGAAGGAACAAAGGAACGATGGCGGCGAGACGCGAACGAGAGGGTGGCGACGGCGGTGATGATGAAATTTCCGAGACCGAGAGTGATCGTTTCATCGTAAAAGTTGCGGAGTACTTGCAAGGTGCGATCGGTGCGCACGGTTGGAGCGAGGAGACCGTTCGCGGGGCGTTTGACGAGGCGGTGAAGCACATGCCTAAAGGAAGAGCTCGAAAGGCTTTGCGAGCGGGTTTCGATGAGTACGCGGATAAATTATGTGACACAATTTACCGCAAAAATGGTCCCTCGATCGAGCGCACGAAAGAGGAGCGTAAGATTGCAAAGTTGAGCAAGGATCCGTCGAGCGCGTGGTGGGCGTTGCATCAAGAGCCGCTCGAAGATTTTGCGTCGGCGTCTTTGGAAGTATTGTGCGTAGAGTTTGACTACTCACTCAAACGTGCATCCTTCGATATCCCCGCATACGTCCTCATGAAGGCGTTGGAGATTTCTGACATGCTGCCTGAAGATGTAGCGACGATGGAAGAAATTCGCGAGGCGGCACTTCGTCGTCTCGTCGATATCGCGCAAGCATCCAAAGCTGCGTTTGAAAAGAAGGCAACGAAGACGCAGGATGACTTCGTCAAGGTGAATAATCTCGTAGGTAGACTCGCGGGCGCGACGGCTATTCGTCGTAAAATGCAAGGCGCTCGTGATGAAACTGCAAAGTTGGCGGCGGAGATTGTCATGCTGAGGCACGATTTCCGTAAACTCGCCTCGCAAGACGCGAGTCTGAGTCCACCAGAGCACGAGATCGGCGTCACCGCATCACACGATGCCGCGGTGTTATTAGGAAACTATCGTGGGGATTTAGCAGCTTTGCTCGCCGAGAGGTTGCCCGAGGACGAGAACGAGCTCGCGCGCATGTTTGGCGAAGGCGATTTGCCCATCTTTGAGTGCGCCCTCGGCCTCGGTGGTTTCGACGCCGATTTTGAGAAACGAGGCAAAAAGAATGGACTGATGTTCGGCATGTTGGATATCGATGTGAAAGATGTGAAAGATGTCGGCAAGAACGCACCTCCGGCGCTCTTACGTCGACCACCAAAGGCAAAGTTTGATGCCAACAAAGAGGTGAACGATTACGATATGGAAGCTTTCGCTCACGCGGGGGCCGGGGTATCGACGACCAGTATTGCAGAGTCTGCATTTAATAAGTCCGACTTTATCGATACCGACTATCTCACCGAGGCGCTGTCGCTGGTGGGTAAAGACGACGACGAACGTAGCGGACCAGGGCGAGTCAAGTTGTACTTTGCCGTCGTGCGAGTCGCTCGAGCATACATCAAGCTTTTGAACGAGGCTGGTAAACGTAAGAGGTCCTCGGCTGTGGCGCGATACATGGCAGTCGCACCTGCGCCTGAGGTGCTTCTCATGCACGTTCCGGAGTCGTCTGGAATCGATAATACAGATGCTCGCGCGATGTCCGTCGAGCTCTCCGTCGCCTCCATCAAGGCGCTGCAAAGCATCGTCAACGAATGGAACGAAATGCGTACGCTGTTCAAATCTGCGGCGCAGAGTGAAGGTGGCTTTTTCATCGATGTTAATCGTACCGCAGGAGATGCCGCGAGGTTGGCGTTTGAAGAAGGTGAGTCTGCCGAGGACGACGGCGCGGGCGTCGACGACGAAACCGAAAAAGAACTCATGGCCATGCTCGACAAGCTCGAAGGCCCGGATGCATCTAGCGACGATAGCGACGACGAGGCGAGCGATGAAGATTAGTGAACAGTCGTTGTAGTGTATCAGTTCCGCTTCAGAGCCGCTGGAGCGGCGCCGCCTCGCAGACGGTGAAAAATACAGCCACCGACTCTAGGGATGTTGGCATTGGCGCTCTCGCGTACTTGCTCGCGCCGGAGATGACGGCTTCGCTCGCCGCCAATTTTGCGCCGACGTAAGGGAGAAGTTTGCTTGGTGTAGTGTTGCTTATTACGGACTAAGATGATATACCAGCACTTGTAGTGGAGAGTTCAGTTTTCATGTAACTTTTTTCCACGCCGACGTGTCAACGTGGGCGGAAACGACGAAGAATATGAAAAGGCCGATCGCGACGGGTGAAAGAGTCGGCAGCGCGCGGCACACTAACCGACGCACGCCGTGCGTATCTTTCGCACATTCGTACTTGTACCACACCAACGCGCACGCACAGAAGATTATTAAAAAGTATCTCATGTATCGTGCCTTTTGGGCCCACGTCATCTTGCGGAAGCCGTACCTATCGAACGGCGCGACGTGATGCCACACCTCGTACGTGCAATTTTTTCGCCGAAACCGCATCGAAATACGCTTCATCTCTCCATCATCGCCATCTTGCACCGGAAGCTCGGTGGCGCGACTCGCCACCGCGAAGTCTTTCTCGTCGCTCACGACGTGCCAAAACGAACCAAATTTCCGCGTCAATTCTTCTCTGATCGCCGACGCGCGTTCGTCGTGATCGTCATCGGCGGTGTCCGCATCGCTGAGAACTTTCAGCACGGTATTCACGATCGCTCGTGGAATCCCATCGACGTCGCTCGTCACCGTCGCCGTCGCCGAACCTTTTCTTCGTTTCGCCGTCTCCGTCGCTTCGTCGTGTTCGTCCCGCATCGCTTGAAACGCCAACTGTTGCGTTCCATCCACCCCACTCCCGAGGCTCAGCGAATCGAACACCAACACGCGAAACTCCGGCGCTTCCTTCCCTCCCGCGCTTCCGCGCCTCCCTCGCGCGCGCGCCGTCGCGTAGGCCAACGATTTCTTCGCGAATCTCAAATTCACGTTAAAATCCCCCCTCCCCACCACGACGTGCGTCGCCGCGTCGTCGATTCCTCGCGCGATCGCTTCCGCGATGCGTTTCATCCCTCCCGCGTCGCCCGCGACCGCGCGCGCGTCGCCCTCGCGCTCGAACGCCTCGCGCACCGCGCGCAGGATTTCAAGCCTTCGCCGCGGCGCGCAGTCGCATCGCCGCAGCGCGACGTCCGCCATCGCGGTCGAGTTCGCGTCGGTCGACGTCGACGTCGACGTCGCGCGTCGCCTCGCGCGCGCGCGCGCTCGCTCTCGCGTCGCGCGGTGCGGGCTCGCGCGGAATCGACGGACGGTTCGCGAACCGTGAAAGAGTCGTCCGTCGAGCGCGACGCGCGCCGCACACGGCGACGCATCGCGACGACGGCGCGCGCGACCGACGCGGCGACGACGATCGACGCGCGGCGACGACGCGCGCGGCGACGACGCGCGACGCGACGCGACGCGCGTGAACGACGCGAAGGGAAGGAATCGACGACGGCGATCTCGCGGCGAGAATTCATTCGGACGACGACGACGACGACGACGACGACGCGCGACGTGAGGCGCGCGCGCGACGGCTCGGGTGGTTTGAACGGCGGTGAAAGCGGCGTCGGACGGGGCGTCGGGAGGCCGTCGCGTCGGACGGGCGGCGATGCAGAGCAACGGATACGGGCCGCAGGGCACCGCGCCGCCGCCGGGACCGTACGGGCAGCAAGGAGGGCTGCCGGGGATGCCGTATAACGCGGTTCCGCGTCCGGGAGGACAGTTTGCGCAGCAACGTCCGATGCAGAACCCGCCGGGGATGCAAGGGGCGCCGGCGATGCCGCGCGGAGTGATGGGCGGGGCGGCGCGACAAGGTTCGCTGCCGCTGCCGTACGGGGGGGTTCCGGGAACGCAGCAGCAGCCGGGCATGATGGGAACGTCCGGAGCGGGAGGACAAGGCTCGATGGCGCAGGGTGGTATGAGCGGCGTCATGGGCGGCGTGCAGCGAGGGGTTATGCTAGACCGCAGCGCGAGCCAACCCGTGCAAGGGCAAGGGGTTCCGCAGATTCAGCGCGCCGCGAGTGGGTTGCCGATGCCGAGCGCGGGCATGAGCGCGCCCAGAGCGGGAGGTGTGATGGGCTCTGGGCCGCTGCCGCGAGCGTATCCCACGATTGGGTCGCAAGGAGACGTGAACGGAATGCCGAAGATGCAAGGCGTGGGAGGATTGGACATGGATCCGTCGGGTGGTATGATGGGCGGATTAGGCGGTTTTGGGCGAGATCAGAAAGCGCCCGGGTTTGATGATTCCGAGTTCCCGACGTTGGGCGGTGGCGGTATGCCGCAGCGAGGGCCGTCTTTCGGAAACGGGTACGGAGGCATGCCGGGCGAAGGGTACGAGGGCGTGTACGACTTTTCAAAGCCTCAGCAGGACTTTAGCATGGAGAAGGAAGATTTCCCCGCCCTCGGTGGAAAAGGGCAAGGAAATATGGGTGGACTCGTTCCTCCGCCGGGGCTGGATGCGTCGGAGGGATCGAGTCCGTCGTATCCGCCTTTGGCTCGTCAAAGTTCGAGCGGCGTGGGTTTCGGCGCGCAAGCGCCGGGACGTCAAGCGGGTGCGCCGGGTGGAATTCACTTCGATGGCGGAGCACCGCCGCCGCCGGGTAAGCCCGGCACGGCGGTACCGGCTAGAACGAGTGGTGGGACTTCGCAGAAGGACCGATACGGCTTGCTCGGCTTGTTGCCGGTGATTCGAATGGCGAATCCAAACGTGTCCACGCTCGCCTTGGGTGCTGACTTGACCATGCTTGGTTTGAACCTCAACTCTCCGGACAGCTTGTATAAGTCCTTCTCGTTGCCCTGGAACGATTCGGCGCCAAAGAACGACATGGAACTCACTATTCCATCCGCGTATTCGCAGCAAGTGAGTCGTTGCCATCCGGCGGTGTTCGCGAAGTTCCAGCAGGAGACGCTCTTTTACATCTTCTACAGCATGCCCGGAGAAGAGTCTCAATTATTCGCCGCGGACGAGTTGGTACAGCGCGGATGGGGGTTCCACAAAGAACTCAAGGCTTGGTTGATGCGCGTGGCGAACACCGAACCGGCGAATCAAAACGAGCAGGGCGAGCGCGGCTCTTTCTGGGTGTTCGATCCCATGACGTGGGAGCGAGTGAGGAAAGACAATTTCACGCTGCAGTACGATCAGTTGGAGACGCGCCCGACGGTTCCCTTGGCCGAAAGGAGCTTGCGTTGAGGCGCTTAGGCGTTGTCGTTTAGGTAAAAAAGCCTTAAAAGTTTCATAAAAAAATCACAAAATCTTAAAACCTTCGCGTTGCGCGCGCGCTTAATCGTACACGTTTTGATCTACATCGTGAAATTTGACACAGGAATGATGATTTCGTTTCGCCTGAGGAACGGGTTCGTGAATGGATCGTTGTACTGCGCCAACGCGGCGGCGCCGCTCGCCTCCAAACCGTCGTTCTCGATCAATTTTCGCAACTGCTTCTCCACGTCACGAGCCGCCTCCTCGGTCGCGACGCCAGAAAATTTCTTAGCGACAAAAATACCGCCACTTTCTTCCCGCAACACTACGTTTTCATTCGTGCTCGCTGGGAGCGCGTCCACGGAGTCGCCGCTCACGACAAATTGCATCGTGGCGTTCTTCGTAAACACAGGCGTCGTCATCTCCATTTTCGTCCCACTCGCGTTGGCTTGGCCGAAGATGTAACCCGCCAAAGAATTAAAAGCTTGGCCCGCGACTTGACCGTTCATTTTTGCGCTGCTCGACGACACTTCCTTGACGTTCAGACCCGGACCCGTGGCGGCGACCAAGTACGGCTCGTATCGTCGCACTTCGTAATCGCGCCTCTTCTTCAGCACCACGTACCCTGGGGTGTCCAAATCCGGCGTCTGCGCGAAATCAAAAATCTGTTTCAGCACCTCCACCACGCCCTCCGCACTGAGATGCCTCTGATTCTCAATCGAATCCCACGTGTCCACGTGGCGCGTCACCTTCTTAGTCTCCTCGTCGATCCCCATGATGGACGTTCCCGTAAAAGTCAGCGTCGGTCTCCAAGCGAAAGGAAACGTCGGCAATCCCATCACCATCGTCCATCGCGTCGTGATCTCCCAAGGTCCGCTCTGATATATTTCATGCATCGCGTACGTCGGCGAGAACACCCGTCGCAGCATCTGAATGTTAAACGCGTACCCGTCGAACGAGTCGTACTTCGTCAGCGGGTCCTCGAACGACACGTCTTTCGCGTACAGCGACGGATCGATCCCCTCGTCGTCGAACAGGTGCGTCAGATCCTCCGCCAGCGCCTTTCGCATCCGCGCGGACTCTTCTTCATCCATTCCCTTCGCCGTCGATGACGTCGTCGTCGTCGCGCGCGTCGCCGTCGTCGTCCGGCGTCGCGCGTCGCGCGTCGTCGGTCGCGTCGTCCGTCGCGTCATCGCGCGCGTCGGTCGCGTCGTCATCGCGCGCATCGTCGTCGTCCGTCGTCCGTCGTCTGTCGTCGTCCGTCGCCATCCGCCATCCGCCGTCGATCCACGATTTTGCCTCATTTTCGTCGATTTGGCGAGTCATGACTCGTCCCGAGTACCGTCGTCCGCCATCCGTCGCGCGCGGTGCCGAGTTCGTCGCGATCCGGGCACGCGCGCACATCGCGACGCCGCGATGGTGCGGTCGCGCGCGCGCGACGACGACGACGACGACGACGACGACGAACGCGACGACGTCGACGCGCGCGCGCGGGTCGCGGACGGACGACGAGGGACGGACGCGCGCGAACGCGCGGACGACGGGCGCGGGTCACGGTTTCCGAGAGACGCGCGCGCGGCGACGCGCGCGGACGCGACGCGCGGGACGCGCGAGACGGCGCGGACGTCGACGCGAGAGGACGATGGAGACGACGCGCGAGTAGACGATGGGGACGACGGCGACGCGGGACGCGCGCGGAGGGACGCGCGACGGCGAACGGTGATGCGGGCGAAGACGCGCGCGCGATTCGACGACGACGAGAGAGGCGAGGAGACGTTGGCGGATTTCGCGTTCGGACGGGACGTCGCGACGCGAGAATGCGTTCCGGATTTTGTGAAGCGTCCGGTAGACGCGTGGGGACGCGCGCGCGGGAGAGGTGGACTCGACGCGGCGATGTATAGATTGTCGAACGCGATGGACGACGGCCGATTCGATCCGTCGAGTTTGCGAATTGAAGACGGCGATTTTTCAAAGATTAACGGTGAGTTTGCGAAGCAGTTTTGGAGAATTAAGATGCAGTTGATGGATTGCGTCGTGATGGTAAAGCACGGATCGTTCTATAACATGTTTGATGTGGACGCCGACGCCGGGAAGGCGGTTGGACTTCAGCAGACGGGGACGAATTCAGGATTCATGCGCAAGGTTGGCTGTCGGGCGGAGTCGTTCGATACGTGGGCGGCTCGTTTACTCGCTCGTGGGTACACGGTTGCCCGGGTGGAACAGATGAGCGAAGCGGCGAGAGAGACCTCGGTGATGAAGCGGGAGTGTTGCGAAATATTGACTCCCTCGCTCGATCGCGGGCTGACGAACAACGAGCGCGCGAATTTCTTCATCACCATCGCGGGAAGCTCCGTGAAATCTTTGCACTCGTGCGACTATTTGGGTGTGTGCGCGGTTGACGCAGATTCTGGCACCGCCGCGTTGGGTGTCGTGACGCCTCAAGATCTGCACACCGTCTTGGTGCAATACGAGCCACGAGAGGTCGTGATTAGTGAACAGCTTTCTGACGACGCGAGAAAGATGCTCGTGTCGTACGTGCGTGAAGGCGGTGACGCGACAGACTGCGTTTTACGCGTTATAGAACGTGGCAAAGTGAAAAACCCGTCGATCGAGCGCTCGAACATTCTGAATTGGTTCAAATATCACACCGACGAGCCCGTTTCAAATATTCTTCAGGAAGCCACTGAGGCAGAGTTACGAGCCGTCGGCTTTGCGATGCGTCATCTCGCTTGGTGTGGTGTGTTGCAAGACGTCTTTTCTCGAACAAAGTTTATGTCCATAGTGTCTGTTGAGCCAAGACGAACGAATGCTGAAGAAAACCAGTCGGCTTTTGCGCTCTCGCGCGAGCTCACGCACGTCATGCGACTCGATGGCGACGCGATCAAGAACTTGCACTTGCTCTATGGCGACACTGGGAAGACTACGGGTTCGCTCTACGAGTTTCTTAATCACACGTTTACCGCTCCCGGTCGTCGACGGCTGCGACAATGGCTTCTCCGTCCGCTACAAGATGTGCGCGCCATCGACGCTCGCCTGGACGTCGTGCGAGAGTTCTCCAACAATCACGTCTTGCTACAAACTTTCCGTGACAGACTCAAGCACTTCAAGTGGGACCACGAGCGACTTTTCGCAAAGTCGTGTCGATTGGCTATCAAGTGTACGAAAGTGTACAATATCGTTCGATTCAATCAAACGTCGCCGTTGACGCAAGAAGACGAGATGGGTCTCAGAGAACTCGCGCCGAAAGGCGCGACGAAGCTCGAAGAGATTCTTATCGACGCTGTGAATATGATTAGCTTTTGGGAAATGCACAAAAGCGCACTTGTTACATTTGTGGACTTGGTTCGCGCGTTGATCGAGATACGCGACGTGGTTTCCACCTTGAGTGAAATTGCAGAGCGTAACGTCTCCGTTGCGAGCTTACATCGCGACGTCGAAGACGCGATATCGTTTCTTCGTGAGTTGCGTTCGTGTCTAGAAGATAGACGGAAAGAAAACACGAAAAACAAAGAAAGATACATCGTTCCAAGCGCACTTGTGTTTCGTGACTACGGTGAGTTTGCGGCGGCGGCGGAGCGAGAGAGAGCGCAAGATCCAATAGTTCGAAAACACGCGCAGCGCCAACGGCGAGAACTGCTGAGAAACATTTACATTCCACTCAGCGATGATGACGAGCGAGACGATGAAGAGCAAGACGCGGCCGACCGCGCTGACTTAGCGGCGGCTAACGCATTTACTGAAGTGATGCATGCCTTTTACGAAGAAATCCCTCGTTTTGAACGAGTGGTGAGCGCCATGGCAGATTTAGACGTTTTACAAAGTTTTGCCACGTCTTGTGCGTCTTCAAGAGGTGCTGTTGGTTTCACTCGACCACGTTTTACTACTGACACATCCTCGAGTACTTTAGAGCTCGTCTGCAGTTGGCACCCTCTACTCAAGCCGAGTATGGTGGACGACGCCAAGAGAATCACGCATAACAGTGGCATCGTCGATAATGATGTATCGATGAAGACGCCCTTCGTGCTTCTTACTGGTCCTAATATGTCGGGAAAATCTTCCATACTACGCCAAGTTGCTATTATTGTCATCATGGCGCAAATTGGTTGCTACGTTCCCGCGGCATCTTGCGAAATCAGCGTGGCCGACGCTGTGATGACCCGACTTGGCGGCGACGACAATTTCGCCAACGGCGTAAGCACATTTTTGAACGAAATGAAAAGTACGGCGAAAATCATGAACGACGTAACTTCGTCTACACTGGTCATACTTGATGAACTGGGCAGAGGTACGTCTACCTTGGATGGCTACTCGATCGCATTCGCGACGAGCCTTGAATTATGCTCTTGTGCTCAAGCTCCTCGCGTGTTGTTCGCCACGCACTACCACGAGTTGGACAAAGATTTGGCGAGACAAGAGATTGCGCGAGGTAAGTTTGTCACAAAGCACATAGACGTATCCAGTACTCGCTCAGGCGCGCTTAAGATGACGTATAAGCTCAAGAATGGTCCAGCACCTCTCGGATCGTGCGCGTTGAATGTCGCACGCCTCGCTGGCTTTCCTCCTGGAATTCTCACCCGCGCTTCGCACGTCTCGCAAACCGTCACCTTCAAAGGGCGAGTTAAGGATAGCGGCTTCTCAAGATCCTCGTATGTACCGCCAAAGGCGTTACTAAGTAATGAAGAACATCTCATGCTTTCAGCGCTCCTGGGCGATCCCGCTCTGACCGGTGACGCCGATAGGCTCGGCGACGGCGTTGAGTGGTGCCGACGCTTCCATGCCCTGTGGCGGAAGTGCAACGATTTATCGAACCGCGCGAACGAGCCGTGAGGAAAGTTTGCGATATGTTGTCTCGCTGCCATTGTCGCGCACATTCATGAACCACACTGTTGAGAAACATGTAACAAAAACTTTAATCGCATCGCATAACATGGCACTACACACGGTATATACTGGCACGCAAACTTCAAGATGTTCGTTAAATTTGAGGCAAAGCGATGTCGGCGATGTCATCACTGGAGACAAAGCGGATGTTGGCCCAATCACCGGCAGCAGCGGTAGACTTCGTGCGCTCAAGCGCGGCGATACCCGCATCACCGTCTTCGAGCACGGACGGAGTGGATGCGTTGACATCGAGGCGCTGGCGAGAAATCATAATGATATCACCGATTTGCCAGTCGCCGGGAGATGGAGCTGGCGTGGAGACGTCTTCTACCCAATAACCGAGACCTAAGACGTCAAGACTGGTGGAATCTTGCACGATCTGCTTAGGATTGATTGGTTTTGGTTTCTCCGGTGAGGATTCCTCGGTGTAGACGGGTTTGTAAACAATCATCGTCGTCGCCGTGGCATCGGACTCTGCGTTGGACACCGGCGTCTCAAGCCGTTTTGGCGCCGAAAGGCAGCAGGAGAGAAAACCCGTCGGGTTTCTGTACGGGGTTTTCTGCACGGGAGCGTGCGACGCCATCGGCATCACAGCTTGCGTCGTCGCCGGCGGCATCGGCATCACTGCCGCCGCAACTGGTGAAGGCTTGTCGGCGGGCACGGGTTCCGAAGGTTTTTGTGTGTGAGAGGCGACGTAAGTTTCTAGAACGGTTTCATCCGGTTTGTCCGCGAGCATCACTTTGCCCTTCTTGCCGTTTCGCAAGTTTAAAACTTCGTAAGTGCCGGCCCAGTTCGACCCGTCGCACTTCCCACAGTTTAGCGCACGTACGGCGTCTTTATCGAAACGGAAAATCGAGCCATCGGACGGATAACCGTGTCGCCGAATGTCGAGAACATTGATGGCGGTGGACGTGCCGAGAATATTGGCGTGAATACCGCCGCCAGAGCGCGCCGTCGAGTTCGCGAGCTTGTGCAAGTCCGTTGATTCCCATCGCACACGCACGGCGGACACATCATCCATGATCGACTTGAACGCCCGTCCCCAGCGAACGTTTTCTGTACTGAGCTCTATTTTATGCCACTTTCCATCCGAACGCAGCGCTTTCGCCGTGAACGGAAGAGCTTCGAACGACGCATCCGTGTGAACGCCGTAAATTCGTGTCCCCACGCTCGCGGCTTCAATCTGAAATTCAATCTCCAGTTCTTTCCACCACGGACCGACAAGACCGCATTGACCATACCGAATTAAATGCCCGGGTAAGTTCCAACCAGTTTCCGTCTGGCACACGTAGTTGTCCATCGACAGCGTGAATGTGTACGGCGGAGGTTGGTTGTCATGCGAATACGCCAACAACTCGATGCGATCGCCCGGCTTCCAATCCCCTTCGTGGGCGTAATCGCAAGGATTCGCGCAACCGACGCCGATGCCCGACTCGTGCTGAAACACTATGACGCTCCCACGTCGTTCGCCCGCGCTCGTGTCGTTGGGGATCGCGAATGAGGCGCCATCGCCGCCTTTTATGACGCCCGTCTTCCAGCCTTCGTAACTCGCATCGCCCCAATCTTCAATGCCCGTGATGGCAGAGAGCTGCGAGCTCTTGAAGCGAAACCACTTCCCTTTAGGCTCTGGCTCTGTTTTGCCGGGCATGACACCGCCGGGGTAATCGATGCTCACGACATCAAGGTGTGGATCGACGAGCTTTCTTCGTTGTCGAGGGAACACAAACGCATCGGGCTTCAGCTTTACGACTTTCTTCTCACCCGACGCCGTTTTGTACGTCCGCTCTTTCGGGGGCGGTGGTTTTTTGTGAGGATTGTACACGTAAAACTCGTCACGCTCCTGCGCGTTTGGCCCACTGATGGATTTGTCGCCCCATTTTGATGCGTCATCAACGCACTCTTCGCCGCGGTTGCCTTCGTCCTTGGTTGGCCACTTGTTAGACCCCCAACCAACCCCGAGCAAGTCAGGATCACCCTCGAGTAAGCCGACGTGAACACCGCCGCCGTACTTTTCACTGTAGCACGGCACCCCGGGGGCGCCTTTGTCAGGCACACGAACATTAAACTTAAAGTGAGTGATAGGTTCGTACTTTCTGTCGCGATGCAGCATGAGAGCTCCGAAATGTTGCTTGTTTTTATCATCCGTGCACAGTCCACTTCGAAAAGAAGGTTGACCTTCACCTTGACTGTTAATGCCCTCGTTGTCGCGGCAGTTGTATGTCTGACAACAACCACCCGCTTGCAGGAGCGTTCGATTATCGATGAAGACGCCGATTGGAGTGTACGGACGCCCGTTGATCAACTCGGGGTCTGATCCGGTGGGATGCTTCAGCTTGATCTCGAACATGAGCCACATCGTACGCTTGCCTCCTCGGTAATTTTGCTCTTTCGGGTAAATTCCACTTTGGCCAGGGAATATTCGCTCGATTGGCTCGTCGTTGACGCCGCCCGTCATGAAGTGGGCGTCGTCGTCTTTGGAGTAGTCTTCAACAAACTTGATCGAATCGAATTTGCTCGGATCCATGAATCGCACACCCTTCGGCAAGCCACGGTACGCGATGAGTTCGATGGGCTCGCCGACGAGCCAGTCGCCCGGCTGCGCGCTCTCGACGGGGTGATAACAGCCCACGCCCATGCCGTTTGGACCGCCAAAAACGACGATCGCCGAACGCTTTTCTTGTCGATACACACAGAAAGTCGCGCCTTTCCCCGATTTGACGCTAAAATTTTCTGTTTTGTACGCCTTCAGATCCTTATTCGCCCACTCGTGTCCGATGACGCGCGTGAGCTCATCCATGTCGAAGCGAAAGAATCTCCCATCCGCCGGCTTGGATTTGTCCGGATACTCCAACGACGTGACGTGTACGTACTTCCGATCGGGAACTTCATCAGGAAACACGACAACATCACCCTCATCAACTTTTGAAAGCCCTTGGTCGACCGTCGATCCGTTCGGTTTCACGTCTGGAATCGTCCCGAGCGCCGGCGCCCTCCCGTCCCCCGCGAGTCCAAAGCTCAACGTTTTCGACAACTGCCTGAGCATCGACGGTTGCTTTTTAAACACGTGCACGTTATGTTCCACCACCACCACCGTCGTTTTCAGCGCCGCAGCCTTCATTCGCGCCGCCACCGTGCCGTCCAGCAGCGCTCCCGGTTTCAACCGCTTCGCCGCATCCACGAAGCGTTCGACGAGCGCGTACAGCCCCGTGTTGCTCGAGCACGTCGACGCGAAGTCCTCCAGCGTCACCCGTCGATCGCACGGTTCGGTGTGATTGATCGCGATCCACGCTTCGATCGCCGCTTTCTCGTACGTCCGTCCCGTCTTCGCGACGACGACGGGATTCTTCATCACTCGCAGCGTGAGCGCGCACACGTACGCGTCCGGCGCCGCGGCGTGGAACGCGGGATCGGCGTACATCGCGGCGTCGACGTCGATGTCGCGAGGGAACGGGTTCGCGCGTCGGCCCATGGTCGAGCGCGTCGCGGCGTCGCGGCGTCGCGGCGTCGCGGCGTCGCGCCACGCTCGCGATTCTCCGGCTCGCCGCGCCGCGCTCCGGCGACTCGGCGTTTCGGCGATCCGCGTCGCGCGCGCGGCGACGGACCGCGCCCCGCCCGCCCGTCGAGGCGCGCGAACGCCATGGAATACGCGATGGGTTTAAAAAAAGTACAGTACGCGATATCAAATGATACCGCGGTAAGGTTGTTGGACTTTGTGGAACATCCCAACCCCAACGAACGAGGATGTTGGCGCGTTGACGCGGCGCGCGCGCGGCATCGCTCGACGCCGAGCGACGCGCGACGCTCGCGCGACTCTCTCGCGCGGCGAAACGCGTCGATCTAAAAAGTTTGCGCGGCGCGAGACCGCGCGCGCGCGAACGCGGCGGGACCGCGCGACGGACGCGCGCGAAAACGTCAATCGCGTCGCGCATCCCGGAGACGGTTCGCGGCGTCGCGCATCCCGGAGACGGTTCGCGGCGTCGCGCGCGTGTTTTCGGCTCGCGACGCGAGCCGAACCCGCGACCCGTGTATTACACAATTTTGAATCAATAATAATGTTTACGACGTTTCACGAGCGCGTGCGTCCGTCCCGTCTTCGCGACGACGACGGGATTCTTCATCACGCCGACGTTCGGCGTCGCGCCAGACGCCCGCGCGATGCGCGCGTCGTCGCGCGCGTCGGCGACGCGCGTCGCGCGCGTCGCGCGCGTCGACGCGAGGCGGCCGCGGGCTCGAGCGCGCGCGCGCGCGCGCGACGGTGCCGGCGACGACGACGACGCATCCGCGCTGGACATGGACGCGCTGCGAGCGCGCGTCCGCGCGCTGGCGAAGCGCGAAGAAGCGCTGGAAACGCTGCGCATCGTCGTGCTGGACGCGAGCGTGCCGAAACAAGTGCTGCCGCTGGAGTTCGACGGCGCGAACGTCGAGAGGACGCTCAACGCGGGGACGGCGCTCGGGCGAGACGCGCGCGTGGGCGATCGATTCGGGATGCTCGGGCAAGCGCCGAGCAACGGACAGATACTGCCGAACGGAGTGGAGGTGACGGTGACGCGAGCGATGGTTCGGCCGAACGGGGGGGAGAGTTTGATCGAACTCACGGCGTCGCGGCGGTTTAAAATCGTGGGGGCTCCGTTCGAGGACGAGGCGAACGGATCGGCGCCGAGCGCGAGGGTGTGCTGGATTCCCGATACCGAAGGCGCGGGCGAGCAAACCGTCGCGGGCGGCGTGGAGGAGCCGGGCGCGGTGGATCCCGCCGAGTGCGACGCCGAGTGCGCGGCGCTCGCCGCGGAGCTTCCCGCGCTCGTCGACGAATGGCGGGCGCTGGTGATTTCGAGAAAGCGCGAGCGTCAGCCCGATCAGTTGAAGTTGATCTTATCGCAAATCGGCGACATCCCTGGGTCGAACCGACCGGCCGAGCTCTCGCTTTGGGTCGCCGCGCTCATCAACCCGATTCCCGCCCTCGGCGTGGCGTACGAGATTCGTCCGGCGATCCTGTGCGCGCCGACGACGGGTCACATGGTTCGCATCGCGTCCCAAGGCATCAAACTTTCCATCAACAGTCTGCGCGACGGGCCTCAAATTTGACCCTCGAGCGTTCGGCCCGAAAATTGAGCGACTGAGCGTTCGGCGCCGCGCCGCCGCCGTGTTTCGCTCGCGTCCTCGCGATAGTCCCGCCCCTGAACCGCTGTACATCATCACACCGCGACATCAAACGCATCAAACGCATCAAAGGCAACGCTCGCTCTCACGCGCGCCCTCGACCCGATCTCTGTCTCGGGCACTCGGCATTTTCGAGTCGTCGGAATCCGCGCCCGCCTTCGCCGCGCGTCTGTTGTCACACCTCGCCGCGGTCAAATCACCGAGTCCGATGTCCCGCGGTGCCGGCGCCGGATACGATCGGCACATCACCGTATTCTCTCCCGAAGGACGTCTGTACCAAGTCGGTGCGTGTTCGCGCGCGCGCCGACGCCTCCTCGCGCCGTCACCTCGCCCGCGACGCGCGACGTTCACCGACGAAACGATCTCACCGACTGACCGCGATTCGACGACTTTCGACGCGCAGAGTACGCGTTCAAGGCGATCAAATCCGTCGGCGTCACCACCATCGGCGTGCGAGGGAAAGACTCCGTGTGCGTCGTGACGCAGAAGAAGATTCCGGTGCGCGAAACGGGCGAACGCGAGGGCGAAGAACGATCTCGTCGGCGAACGCGAAGGCGCGAACGCGCTCGAGACGACGCGGGAGGGATCGACCGCGCTGGATCCCGCGAACGCGCGCGCGAGAGGAAGACTGACGCGTGGTGTGTGATCGGACGTCGCGCGAGCGCAGGATAAATTGATCGATGCGTCGGATGTGACGCACATGTATAAGATTACGAAAACCGTGGGCATGTGCGCGACGGGAAAAGGACGTACGTTTTCGTTTTCGTCGCTCGGCGGCTTTGTTTGAATGAACACGTACGCGCGCCCGCGCGAGCGCGACTTTTCGCTCGACCGATCGACTGACGACTGCTCGCGTCGATTTCGTTTCGCAGCGGATATCCGAGACATAGTACAAAAGGCGCGCAGAAAGGCGGCGGATTTCAAGCAACACTACGGGTACGAGGTCCCGGTGGACGTGTTGGCGAACATACTCGCCGATGAGTTCCAGGTGTACACGCAGCACGCATACATGCGTCCGCTCGCGGTGATGGTGATATTAATCGCCGTAGATGAGGATCGCGGGCCGAGTCTGTTCAAGTGCGATCCGGCAGGATACTTTGTCGGTTACAGCGCGACGAGCGCGGGGGCGAAGGAGGTCGAGGCGGTGAACTTCTTGGAGAAGAAGGTCAAGAGCGGCGCATCGTTCGATGTGAATCAGACGGCCCAGCTCGCGATCAGCGCTCTTCAGCACGTGCTCGGGGAAGAGGTCAAGGCGAGCGAGTTAGAAGTCGCCGTCGTCACGGCGGACAATCCCAATTTCCGCGTCATCAGCGAGAGCGAAGTGGAAGATCATTTGACATCGATTTCTGAGAGAGACTAGCAGTAGTTTTTAATTGTGTACCGCGCCCTAGTAGACGCTCTAATTATTCTCGGTCCAGATCAGATGTTGTCCTCGTCGCTGAGCTCATCGGCGTCGAGTTTCTCGATGGCGCCCTTGATCGAGTTCACGTCCGCGTTCGATGGACGCAAATCGAGCGCGATGCTAAAGTTAATCATCGCTTTCTCTTGAAGCCCAAGCTTTTTGTAGATTCTTCCCATGAGAAAAAACACGCTCGCTTCCTTGGGGGCGATCTCTTGCAATTTGTTAAGCTCCGCCAACGCGGCGTCGTAATTTTCTTCGCTCATCAACACGGCGGCCATTTCGTAACGAGCCAGAGGATTCTTACCATCGAGCGCGATCGCTTGAGAGAGAAGCGATAACGCTGCATCGTTATCGTTTAGTGCATGCTTTGCCATACCGGCGTAGCAGTACAACACGCTCGACTTCGGATTGATGTTGAGCGCGTATGTGAAGTGATACTCGCTCATGACGTACTTTTCTTGGCGGTAATACACCGTACCGAGGCCGTACCAGGCGTTGTAATGTCTCGCATCTAATCTCAACGCAGCCCGATAGCAATTCATACTTTTTTCAAAGTCTTCGTTCGCAAAGTACTCGTGTCCGCTCAGCGTATGCGCGTACGTGCACTTCGGATCGAGTTGGATGGCGCGCTGAAAAAATTTCAAAGCCGTCTCGTGTTCCTTTTGTAACGAGAAACAGTTTCCGAGCACGCACCACGTTTCTGGAGCTAGACGATCGAGAGACTGAACTTCTTGTGCCAAATGTGCGAGCTTCACTTCCTCCTTCAAATGCCAAAGAACGGTTGAGTACACATCGAGACCTTCCAAGCGATACGGCGCGGCCGCGCGCGCTTCTTCAAACGCCTGCGCTGCGTTGGCGTAATCCACCATCTCTGAGTGCGCTTTCGCCATCGCGCACAGCACATAGGCGGTGTCGTATTGAGATCGCGAAAGCTGTTGAAACGAATGGATCGCTTCTTCGCATCGATACATGGCGAGATGCCTCAGACCCTCCGCGAGCGGACGCAGCTCTTTGAACGCCAACACGGCGCCCTCGGCTGTTCGCGCGGGCTGCCAACTCCAAGTACCCTGATCGCGCTGATCGCTGTAATGACCACTTTCATACGAAACTTCACCGTCTTCCGGGACTTGACTCAGGTTTGCCATCATGTCGTCGTGATCGCGATGGTCGTCGTCGGGCGATGCCCCGACGTGTTGCAGTCTCGCGGCGTGTATGCGCGAGCTCCTACGAACGGCCGTAGACGCTGGATCGTCGCTAAACAATCTACCAGAAACCTTTCTAAGTTTTCCTTCATCCATGAATTTTCGCCGCTCCCCTCCGAATAGCCCGCGAGCCGCTGTGGACGCCGGCGCGCCTGTGTCTTGAGCGCTCGGCTGTTGCGACGTGCTCTGTCGTCCCGTGCGCGGAGCGCCCGTGGTCGGTGGCGCGCGTCCTCCGATCGCCTTTTGAGGCGGCGGAGGAGCGGCGGCGGCAGAGCTCGGTGAAGGCGTCACGAAGGCGCCTCCCATGGAATCCGCAGCATCGACGCGAGGGCCTCCGCCGCCGACGGCGGGCGTTTGAAGTTCCGCGTCGTCCCATCCCTCTCCCGCGCGCGTTCGCTCGCTCGCGCCCGTGCTCGGTGGAACGCCCACGTCGTGCATGTGTACGTGTGCCGGCGTGCGCGCGAGAGCCTCGCCGTGTTCGCGACCACGCGACCTCGTCGGCGACAGCGGCGGCAATCCACCCGTTCTCGGCGCGAACGTCTCGCCGCTCGACTTTTGCGCCTCGAACGCGACGTCGTTCGACTCCAACGATGGGTACATCGCCAGAATACTCTCTTCCCGACTCTCCGACGCGCACGCCTTCGCCTCGGCGTCGGCACCGAGCGCACACAATCCCTCGTACGCGCACCACATCAACGGATCCGCCATCAACGCGCGCGTAAACCGCGTAATCGCCGCCGCGCGTCGCCCCGTATCCTTACAGATCATACCGAGCAGATACTCCCCCGCCGCTCCTCCCGACGCCATCGCCTCGTCCTCGCCCGCGCTCGGTCGTCGTCTCGCGCCGTACGCCCCCGCGAATCCGTCGTGGTCCGCCTCTCCGCGCAGCGCGCGCTCCGCCTCGTCCAGCTCGCCGCAATCGTAGCACGCCCTCCCGAACAGGTACCTCGCCCGCTGGCTCGTCAAACGCGTCCCGAGCACCGCGCGCGCGGCGCGCGCTTTGCCTGCCGCGTACAGGCACCGAGCGTGCAGCAGCGCGTTCGCGTCGCTGTCGCGAACCGCGCGCAGGCGTTCGCTCAAAAATATCGCGTTTTCGACGCAGTGCGCGTCGAGCGAGCGCGTCGCGGCCTCGGCGAGCGTGGCCTCGAGGGCGTCCGCGTCGACGGCGCGCATCGCGCGAAGCGCACCGCGCGCGGCGCGGACGACCGACGCGAAGTGAAGATGAACAGGCACCTCGATGGATTTGCAACAGTTTTTTCAAACGCGCCGAGGCGTCGGCGGCGAACGGGCTAAACGTGCGGAAGGTTGCGCGACGGCGAGCGCACGCGCGAGGCGGCGGCTTGGCTCAAATCTGCGAAAGGATCGCTCGCGGGCGATCGCGAGGGCGCGGCGCGAGAGGGCGTCGGCGGCGAGACGGAGTCGCGCGCGAACGCGGCGGGATTCATCGGTCGCATGCCCTCCGGGAGCGGTCTGGCCGGTCGATACCGCTCGTCGGCGAACATCGGGTTGGTCTGCATCGGAGGCGGCGACGGTGACGTCGTCGACGGGAAGTGAACGATCGGACGCGGCGGGGTGGGACCGGCGGCAAATGGATTGGACGACGACGACGACGGTCCGGCGATGGAAGCCGTCGGCAAGACGTCGCCGAAAGGGTTCGCGGAGCTTTGGCTCGTCGTCGTGGCGGCGGTGGACGCTCGCATGACGTCGTCGAGTTCGCTCAGTAAACTTTCCGCCGTGTGCGTTCGCGTCGCGGCCACTGGCGCGGCGAGTCGAGCCCGCGATGCGACGTCGCCCGCCGCGGCTTTCACGAGCAAATCGTATCGTTCCATCTCCTTGGTCAACTCGTCGTTCAAATGTATGGCGCTCGCGAGCAAGCCCTCGTCTTCGGCGTTCGAGATAAGCTCGATCAGACGTGGCTGCATCGCGCGGCACTGCTCCGAGAGCTCGTTCGCTAAACTAGACGGAGACGGCGGGCGAAGGGCGACGCAGCCGTCGAGGACTTGCGTGAACACCTTGAGCGAATTCGTCGCGACGGCGATGTCGCCCTTCAATTTTTCTACGTCTTGCGAATTGTACGTCGTCGACACGGATGTCGTGGCGCGAGATGCCTCGGCAGCGGCTGTGCGCTCGCTTTCGCGAAGCGCTCTCTGTAATTCGCTCTCAGCGCGGTCCGCGAGTCGTCCCGAGGCGTGCGGCGAGCTCAGATGCGGCGCTCGCACGGGCGTACCCATGGCGATGTTCCCAGGGTAAATCCCGTGTCTTTGACGCTGCACCGGTGTCATTGCTTCTTCTTCGTCTTCCTCGAGCGCGCGCGCGATCGCGGCTCGATCCTCCTCGGAGATATCTTCTCTCTTCGACCAGTCGCCGCCGCCGTTCCAGTCCTCGCGAGCCGCCGACGACGTCGCCCCCCGCGCCACCGACCGTCGCTCAACCTCGGGAAACTGAAACCCACGCGCGCGCAACTGATGAAACGCCCCCGCGAACGCGGGCTCTCGCCTCAAATTTACCGCCCACTCGTGAACCAACGCCAAGGTCTTGTCGCGAACCTCCAAATTCGGCGCTCTCTCGCACAACCGCACCATCGTCTCCGGCACCTCCTTCGCCACCGCCATCGCGTGAAACCGTCCTCCGCAGTTCTTCATGCACATCTCCAGCGCGAACAGCGCCTTGAGCGTCGCGTCCGCGTCCATCACCGCCCGTCCCTTCGTCGGCGCCGTCAGCTTTGCCCGCAGCGCCTTGACGCAATCCTTCCCGTGCGCGACGAAATCATCGTTCACGCAGTCGCACAGCCGCAGATTAATCTCCAGCGCGTCATCGACCGTTCGTCTCGCGCCCGATTTGCACGCCTGCGTCGCGTCGCGCGTCGTCGTCGTCGTCAGTCGTCGCGTCGTCTCCGACAGAATCAGAATTCGTCACAGCGTCGCGCACGCACGTGATCGACGATTTTGTACGCCAAGCGGTCGCTCTTATCGTTCAGGAACATCGTCTTGAGCATCCTCGAGCGTCGACGCGCGCGCGGCGAGGACCGACGCGAATCCACGGTCGACGCGCGATCGTGTGACCGACGCCTCGGCGACCGCTGGGCACTGTGACGTTTCACATTTTTCACGTTTCGAGGCGCGGTCCCGCGCGCGCGCGGGCGCGAGAGGACGAAACGCGAGGCGCGCGCGCTGGAGAAAATATTCCGTCGCGCGGGCGCGCGCGCGGCGGCGATGCGGCGCGCGGCGGCGGCGGCGGTGGCGGCGTGCGTCGCGGCGGCGGCGTTCGTCCGGTGTTCGAGGCGCGAAACGGTGGACGTCGTCGAGCGCGCGCGGGTGCCGTTCGCGTTCGGCGCGCTCGGGCCGGTGGGAACGGCGCGCGAGGGACTGCGATATTACGACGCCGCGCTCGGGGCCGCGTTGTCGTCGTCGCCGCGCGCGCAGAGCGCGCTCGAAATCGGGTGCGTGAAACCGGCGTTCGCGCGACACCTCTCTTGGATTCGCGATAAGACGTGCGTCGCACCGTATTACGCCGGGTACAAGACGACGGCGGGCGACGACTCGATCGACGCGACGGACGACGTGCGGTACGTCGTGGGGGATTTCGCCAACGCGAGCCTCGCGCCGTCGTACGATTTGTGTCTCTGCATGCAAGTCTTGGAACACTTGGATTTCGACGCCGCGAGCGATTTCGTGCGTCGCATGTTCGAGCTGTGCCGTGTGTCCGTCGTGTCGGTGCCGTACAGATGGCCGGAGTGCGGATCGACGTGCTCGCACAAGCAACACGCCATCGACGAGTCGACGCTCGCTCGATGGAGCGGCGTCGACGCGCCCGCGACGACGACCATCGTGCGCGAACGCGGCGGCGGCGCGGCGCGCGCCATCGTGGTTTACGACGCATGAGTCGCTCGAACGCGTATGTTTCTCTTTTAGTGACTACATTTTAGCGTTTAGGTTTGCGCCTTGGTCATGACTTGCGGCGTCGCGGCGCGCATGACTTCGGCGAGGATCGCGACGGCTTCGTCCGGGGACGACGAAGAGAAGCGAAAAGCGTCGCGCGCGGGATACTTCTTACCGAGCTCGACGTTGCGCACGTTCGTCCGTCTACCATGGATCAACCGAGAGCGCGGTGTCGTGAGTTGATGCGCGTCCGGCGTGAAGATCATTCCCGCCGACCGAACGGTGTAATCGTGAAACTTGGCCGTCTCGTCGTCGACGTGCGCCGCGAACCCGTCGTGTCCGCCGAGACAAAAGCACCACGGCTCGACTCGCGTCGCGTCGCGCCGCCGCGCGATCGATCGCTCGATCGCCCGAAGACGCGCGTCGCCGTACCGCGCGGCGCGTCGCGACGTCGCGACGCGTCAGCGCGGGCGCGCCGCGGCCGCCGCGGCCGACGCCTTGAACGCGTCGCGAACCGCGCGACTGGTCGCGTTCACGCGGTCCCTGATCTCGCCCAAATCCTCCTCGCGCGCGAGGTCGAGATACTTTGAAAACTTGTCGGGGTGCCAGCGCACCAACTCCTCGCGAAGCCTCGCGCGCGCGTCGCCTCTCGGCGCGTCCGACGTCAGAAAATCGCGAAGCGTCGCCGCGCGCGACGTCAGGGCGTCGTCGACGAACGGGAAATCTTTCGCCCGCATCGCTCGCGCGGGCGATTTTCGCGCGCGCGCGCGCTCCAATCTTCGCCACGCGCGTCGATACGCGTCGATCGTCGTCGCCCCGGTCGTCGCGTCCGCGTCGCCGCGCGCCCCTCTCGTCGTCCCGTTCGCGCGCGTCGTTTCGCTTTTCCGCGAATCATTGTCTCTCGCGTTTCGTCTCGACGTCGCTTCTCGTCGTCCCGCGTCGTCGCGCGCGCGTCGTCGCCTCTCGCTCGCCGCCCACACGCGCGCTCGATGCGTTTCGTCGCCCAGCGGTCCCGTCGCGCTCCACTCGCGCTCGGCGCGCGCGTACGTCGCCCACGCGTCGTCGGCGCCCGACTCGAGCGCGCGTTCGTCGCGCAACCGCGCCTCGAACGCGTCGTCGTCGAGAATCATCGCGCGCGGTCGACGGCGGCGACGTACGCGAGCGCCGAGCGCGACGCGCGGGTCCCCGCTTACGCGTCGCGCGGTCGACGCGGTCGCGCGTCGCTCGCGTCGACCGCGCCGCACTGCGCGACGCGACATGCCGTCGGCGTCGACGTCGTCGTCGATCGACGATTCCGCGCCGCTCGCCGCGATCGCGCGCGCGATCGCGCGCGACGCGCCGTCGTCGCCGTCGTCGTCGTCGTCGTCGCGCGACGCCGACGGTATCGGCGCGCGCGCGATCGCGGCGCGCCTGGACGCGACGGCGGAATCGTCGCAAAGAAAAAATGCGCCGACGGACGCGTCGAAACCGCGACCGCGACCGCCGAAACCGGATTGGGGGTGCGCGCGGTGCGGGACGCGCGTGAACGTCGTGCGGTGGCACAGCGCGGACGCGAAGTGGTACTACCATCACAGCCGCACGCGCATGTGCAGGCGGTGCGAACGCGAACGCGAGGCGCGAGAGCGCGGAAGACGCGAGGCGGCGGCGACGACGACGACGACGACGCGCGACTACGACGACGACGACCACGACGACCACGCCGACGACGACGGGACGGCGAGCGACGACGACGGGACGGACGACGACGCGCGCTTCGGCCGGGTCGCGCGAGCGACGCGACGACGGCGGTGCGGCCAGTGCGGCTCTCAGACGAACGTGGAGACGTTCGACGCGAAGACGCGACGGTGGACGTGGACGCGACCGAAGACGCGCATGTGCGAGGGGTGCGACGAGGCGTACGAGGACGCGGCGCGCGCGTACGAGGCGATTTTCGCGAGCGAGACGCGCGCGCGCGACGGCGAACCGGCCCTCGCGCCGGCGCCGCCGACGTTCGTGTACGACGTCGCGGATTAGAGACGTTTAATGACGATACATTTGATGATAGATGTGCGACGCGTTCGAAGCGCGTCGGCGCTCGGGCGCTTCGGCGTCACTCGTCGACGCGTCCCGCGCGATGGCGTCTCGCGCGGCCGTCGACCGCGTCGTCGCGCGCGCGCGCCTCGCCCTCGAGCGCTGCGAGCTCGCGGTGCCGATCCATTTCGACGCGTGCGCGCGCGCCGCGCTCGCCGACTCCTCGCGCTGGGTCGTCGCGGACGACGTCGACGCGTCGCGCGCGCACCCGCTCGTCGTCCCGCTCGCGCGCGCGGCGACGACGACGCGCGCGCCCGTCGTCCTCGGCGTCGCCGTCGGCGCGCGCGCCGTCGACGCGCGATTCGCGTCCAGCGGCGGGTTCTACGCGCGCGCGCGATCGGCGCAGGCGTCGACGCCGTGGGTCGTCGCGGGCGCGCGGGGCGCGCGCCTGCTCGCGCCGTCGGCGACGGCGATGCTGCGACGCGCGCTCGCCGAGGACGAGCGCGCGCACGGCGTCGGCGGCGGCGCGGCGACGGCGGCGTGCGGAAGCGACGCGCTGGACGCGTACGCGCCGGGAGAGCTGACGAATTCGCCGTACGCGACGCGCGTCGAGGCGTTTCTGACGCGACGCGTCGGGCGATTTCTGGACGCGGACGAAACGCTGATCGAGCGACACGTAGAGCGAGGGGACGTCACGAGCGCGCTGGTGACGGCGGAGTGGTGCGCGGACGGGCCGTACGCCGGGTGGTCCAGGCCGCACGCGGTGCACGCGGCGACGCTGGCGCGATTCGGACGCGCGGCGGAGGCGAGGGACCAGGCGCGCGTGGCGCTGAGCGTCGGACCGTGGTGGACGATGGGAGAGGACGGCGCGATGATGACGCAGATGCAAACGCTGAGCGGGTACGCGGGACGAAGCGCGGCGGACGTGCGGAGGACGCTCGAGGGAGGGGACGTGGACGCGGGAGGCGCGAGCGGCGGCGAACCGGCGCCGACGAGGGAGGAGACGGCGCTGAAGCGCGCGATGGACGCCATGGACGCGGTGGCGTGGGGGGAGCGCGGTGAGACGTGGGCGTCGGTTCGCGAGCGCGTCGCGGAGAGCCTCGACGAGGCGGGGTTGCGCGCGCTGTCCGCGCACGTGCTCGCGCCTTTGCGCGAGTGATTAGATTGTATTACGCGACGCGCGAATCGGTAGAACGTGTGTCGCGCGCGCGCGCGCTGGTGCGTTGTTTTACAATGTGTACAATGTTCGTTCATCATTCTAATTCTATAACCTCGCGATCGACGTCGTCGCCGTCGCCGTCGCGACGCCGCGCGTCGAGCGCGCGTCGAGCGCGTCCATCCGGTCGCTCGAGCAGCGCGCGCAATTCGCCCAGGGTCAAGCCTGCGTCCTTGCCCTTCTTCTGCAGGGCGACGTCGCTCGCGATGTCACTCATGGCGTCCGCGCGTTGGCGCGAAAAATTGTGCACGTTTTCTTCAATCGTGTCGCGAATGAAAAACCTGTGGACGCACGTCGGGCGCGTTTGTCCGATGCGATCGACGCGCTTGATCGCCTGGGCTTCCATTCCGGGATCGAGCACGGGCTCGAGCAGTAACACGTGCTGCGCTTCGGTGAGGTTCAAACCGTGCGCGCCACGCTTAAGCGGCAGCAACAGAACGTTGCACGCGGCGTCGTGCTTAAATGTATCGATGACGTCGCGAAACTTTGGACCAGAGACGCCGCGAACGAAGCGAATTTCATTCGCGCGCATCGCTTTTTCGACCACGTCCAGGACGTCGTCCCATTCAGAAAACACTATCATTTTAGCGTCATCCTCACGCAACAGCAAATATCTCAGACGTCGAATGATCGCTTCAATTTTTGTGCCCCAGCTCCCGGAGACGAGCACTTGTTGTTCCCCGCCGAGGAGGTCGGCTTCGACGCCGAGCAGATCCGTAAGAAATCGCACGTCGCCTCCTTTACCGCGCCTCACGTAATCAGCCGCATCTCGCACTCCCGTGCGATTGTCAACGTTGTTCACGTACATCAACTCTTCGACGTACGCACGAACGCGACAGGTGACGCACGACACTCTCTCCCCGTGCTCGCGTCGGACCAAGTCGAGAGCGCACGAGACGCACGTTCGGTGACCGCAAGGGAAAACACATATTTCAGCGTTAGTTCCCGCGAATGACACCATACAGACCGGACAATCAGTTGCTATAGTGTTTTCTCCGCCAGCGTTCTCCGCGCGAAGATTGTCCTCCAGATACTTGAGTTGAGACATCGCTTTGCGCAAATCCTTTTCGTACACGAGCTTTTGCGTCGTGTAGTTGACGCTCAAACCCTCCACTTCGTCTCGATAGATGACCGACCCTCGGAGACCCTCGGGCACGGGATCGTTTTGCATCAACCAACCCGTGAACCGATGGAAGCCGTGCGGTGGAAGCTCGTGATCGTGCCGAGTGCGTATTCTCGCCACCGCCATGTCGAGCTCGTCGCGAGACGCGACTTCTTCCCTCTGTTGGACGATGAGCTGCGATATTTTGTAAAATTCCTTGCGCATCTCTTCAAGCGCAGCGACGTGCGCCGCGGATTCTTCAACATACGAACTGGGTGCACTCAACGAATGCACCATGGGGACTAAAATACGAAGCACGGCTTCCACCGAGCTCGCTCCACCGCGGTTGGTTTCCTCTCGTTCATACTTCCGACCGTAACGAGAAACGCGTGGCACAAACGTTTCCCTGTTCTGACTATCGTCGTCATTGGTGCGATTTTGCTGAAGCCGCAGGTTGCGAACACCGAATATCTTTGCCTCAAACTCCGAAAGTAACGGTTCGGCCTTGCAAAACATACACACCACGCCGGGAAGGGCAAAGTCCGTATCTTTACGGCAGTTTGAGCACGAACCGATCGTACGCACATCATCTTCACTCGGATTTTCAACCCGTACGCGGATTTCTGAGACAGATTCCATGACTCTGGCGCGTGTGTTGTGAATTTCTTCCAAATCGTTCGCCATCGTCATCTTCAAACCGTCGGTGCTTCGAAAAGGTGCTTGCTTGTCTTGCCAGCGTCCATCCAAAGCTTCAAGCACACGCGCGAGTATATTCGACGCCGCAACATCTTCTGCGGTTCCTTCTGACGTCATCGCATGATCGAGGATGAATAGCCACCACGTGAATTTGTCCACGCGCGCGATCGAGCCAAACGCTAAATGCTTCGCCACGTTTGCACTCGTAACTTCGAGTTCGCGCGTCGCTGCAGGGACGCCGCCAGCACGCTGTGCCATGTATGCAGCTCGCTCTAAATTGGCTTCTTTTTCCAAATCATCGTCCCGTATCGTCGGTGCTATTATCTTGCCTTTTAGTAACTCTTTGTTCGCCTTGACTTCGCGCATGGCCAAGTTGAGATTGTGAAGCGCGTGAAGTCTTTGAAGGGTGTCCATCCGAATGCCTCGCTGCTTCCCCTCACCTTCGAGCTTAAGGACTTCACGATACGTTTCTATGACGATGTCGAAAGTTCCTAAAATCCAAGCGATCCCAGCGAGGGCGTTGAGCGAAAACGCCACGAGACGCTGCGCCTCTTCGGCTTCGATGCGAGCTCTTTCGACAAGCTTTTCAGAAATTTGCTCCATCGTCAACACGTTAGCGCCGGCGCGAATACCGCCAGCAAGACCGTGTGATCCCGCTTGCGGATGATCACACGCTTGACGCAATCGCAACAAAGGTCCCATGACGCTCGATGCTTTGTTCGGTGGAAGGCTTTCGCTGTCGGCGTGACGGATGAATCGTCTCAGAGTCGCGTTGGCGTCGGCCGCACAGTTGGCGTATTGTCGGGAGTACCAGTGCTGCTCCACCGCGCTTGACCGCAACCACGTGGCGACTTCACCTTGGGGAGGAATTCCTAGTTGTCGCTCCATGTCAGCGCGCGAGTTTCGCCACATCAAGCCCTTCAAAATTTTATGAAGAAGTTCGCGCGCGGAGACGTCGCCACTCATGTACGGTATTTCAATCATACGTCGCCACCAAAAGTCACCATGTTGAAACGGAGACACCATCAGAAACGTTAACAGACCGAATATATCCCCTAAACCTCGCGAAATGGGCGTGCCCGTGACTGCCCATCGGTGCACTGTGGGCAGCCGGCGCACCATCTCGGCGGCTTTTGACACCGTGGACTCGACCATTTGCGCCTCGTCCAGAACAACGCGCCACCACTTCAATCGAGTCAGTGGTGTCGGCACCACTTCATACTTCTTTTCATATCGTCGTGCTCTCTCAGCGCCGGCCAAGCCGTGTCCATTGGCGGTGTCGATGTCGATTTCAGTACGAAGCGTGTCGTACGTTGTCAGTACGATGTCGGCGTCGGCGAGCTCCTTGGCGGAAAACACGCCCTTCATCGAGCCCCCAGCGCCACTTCGCTTCGACTGTCCCTCATATGTGATGATTTTCAGCGTGCCCGGGCGTACGTGTTGCTTGCACTCGTCTCGCCATTGTTTGATGATGGCGCTCGGGCAGACGACGAGCGTGGCGCCGCACGTCTCGTCTACTGTTTCGCTCGCGTGCGCGGCGATGCATTTACCACACGTGAAATCTTTGAGCTTTCGTCCCCGCTCTTCCTCAGACATTTTCATAAGTTTTATCTCTTGATTTCTGCTTTGGGCTAGCCCCACGCATCTTGCGTGCATCCACGTCTCGCACTTTTCACATTCGATCCACAAACCGTCGTAGAATGGGTCGTCATGTCGCGCACCGCACGGGCAGCACACCTTCACGGGCGCTTCATCGTCTTTAATGAGCACAACATCATCGATTTCCTCTTTCATGTCATCTGTCATGGGCGGAGGGACAAATTGAGATCGACTTTGCGCGCGCCGCGGCTCGCGATTCGCCAACACGAGCATGATTACTTCCACCGTTTTCCCAAGACCCATCTCATCGGCCAAGATACCGCCGCTCACAGATTCAAAATCGCATTCGAATCGCGTTTTCGTGAGATGACCCGAGTACGGATTTATGTAGCCACCTCCCTCCGGGAGTTCGCGCCAAAGCGGATGCAACTCTGTCTTGTCGACGTCGCCGCCGCGTTTCGCCGACAACGCCCCAGCCGGCGCATCCTTCGCTCGTTCTCTCGCCAGCATCCATCCCACGGCTTGTTTCTGATATGATCGCGGCGTCGGCAAGAGCGCGTAGTAGTCTCGATCGGCTTCTGGACACGCGTTCTCGTTCGGTTTCACGGCTTCAAAAATACCCGCCAAATCCAAACCGCCGTCAAATCTACCGGGCGCTTCTCCATCGATACCATCGTCGCACAATCCGGCGTAAACGACCGCTAGCGCCTTAAACACCTTCGCGAACCCTTTAGTGACGCACCCACCGGCCGTTTGCACCTCCGAACACGCCTCGAAAGCTACCGGTTTCATCTTCACCGTCAACCGTCCGCCCTCCGCGCCATCCTTCGTCAACCGCGCCGTCGCCATCCCTGACCGCATCACCACCCTAAAAGCCTCCGCGTTCACCCCATCCACGCGATACACCGCATCATTCTCACACTTAAACCGCAGCGACATCGCGTCCGGCGTCGACGGCGCCGCATCCACTTCCACTTCGCCGCCGACGAAGTCGCCCCGCGCGCTCGTCGTCGCCGTCGCCGTCCCATCGCGCGTCTCCCCGCGCGTCCGACGCGACGCGCGGACGACCGCGACGACGGTCGACGCCGATGCGTTTGTCACGCTCGCCGCGCCGATCCGCGTCGCGACCGCGCTCCCGAGCGCGACGCCGTCGTCGTTTTCATCGTCGATGGCGAAATTAATCAAACCGTCGCGCGGCGACGCGGCGACGCGTTTCTTCGCGCGCGACGCGTCGTTCGCCGCCGCGCGCTTCTCGCCGCGCGGCGCGACGTCCGGACGCCGCGCGGACGAGGGGGGGTCGACGTCCACGCCCGCGACGCGCACGCGCGTCGGGTTTGGATTTTTCGCGCGAGGCATGGTGTGAGTCTGCCCGAGACATTATTATGATTATTACAGTACGCGATACAGTACCGATGATGTTGGTTATTGTTATCGATGATGTTGGTTATTGATGAGAGATAAATATGGGTCGACGATGTCGCGCGCGTCATACGCGCCAGGGCTTGACGAATGGGTAACACGCCGGCGCGCACCGCGAACGCGGGTTGGGCTCGTCTTCGATGTCTTCTTCGAACGTCGCACGCTTTCTGAAGCGTTTCAAGTTGCCATTTCTGTCGTATCCAGTCTTCGGGGCGTGACAGATGAGCTTGTTCACGCCCGGGATGACCATCAAAATGAATGGAAACGCGAGAAGGTTGTACAAAGTCTGCCCCCAAAACGCGACGCCGTAAAGTTGCCAGGTTTCGCCGCGACCCCAGTCGACCCACGCCAGAAATCGGATGGAGCAACCAACGGTGACCGCAAAGGTGACAAGTTCGTAGATCCACAGAATGCGCTGTACGCGGCGCGGTTGGATGTGCTTGAGCTTCATAACCGTATACGTCACCGTGCCGAGATCGATTTGATGTCGCTGGTGCGTAAGGTCATCCTTGTAGTACAACGTGTGCATTCCGCTCGCAACATCGTAGTCCTTGACTTTGGCGATGCGGTGAACGTAATGAAATGATTTGAACGCATTTCGCGCGCGTGCCGTACCACCACGAATACCTTTGGCCGCCGCCAGACGTTCAAGCTGCAAATTCACGATTCGACGGAACCGTTCGAGCGGCGTTTCTTTGCGCTTAACGAAAATATACTTCAAAGCCTTCTTCAACGCGCCGTAGGTCTTATACCGTGAACCGATTCCAACGGTTGTGATTCGAATTCTAGCACCAACCAATCTGTGATCGCTCGCGATCGCGCGCCCAAACGCGAACGAACGACGGAGCTTGTGAAACGCGTACCAGCACATCATGATACGTACGAGGTACGCGCCGACATTGAGCGCGACACAAGTGCTCGAATCAATCGCACACGACTGCATCTCTGTTACCCATGGTCCTGTGGTGTCACACGTGTGCGTGGTGCCAGCGTCACGTACGCCGGCACACTGGATGAACGCGAACACGCCGGCGAAGACGGAAATCGTTCCCGAAATGAACTGAATTCCCTTGAAAACCATGATGTACTCGAACATCTGCCACTCGTCTCGCCTATCCACGAGAGCCAGACGAATGAAGAACACAAACGCTTGGAGACCGAGACCAAAGTAGAGCTTTGAAACGAGGAACAACCACCAATAAGGATTTCGCACCTTACCGAAGATGGAGAGATCACCCGGAACTTCGTTGTAAAGGTACCAGCACCGAATAGATTCAAATAATCCAAACACCGAACGCTTCATGCTGAAGCTCTGTGGAACGCTCCTGCGTTTAACCTGCTCTGCGTCATTTTGATCTGCTTGAGCGGATCCTTGCGATTTAGCGCTGTCTAGAATTTTCAAACGAATCCCCAAGTCGCTCATCAGCCCCTGCTGAATATCCGAGATGTACATGTTCACAACGCCTGCGAGATAGTTTCGGATCACCGACGGCATATCGCGATCCGCCACGGCGAGTTCACAAACCTTATTCTTCTTTTCCTCAATCGTCGCATCGATGACTTTCAAAGCACGGCGCTTTCCAACGTCGACGGCTTGTTCGACTTTGCTATTTAGCCAAAGACCGACTCCAGTTTGGTTGAAGCTCTTTCCAAAGTTTCGTGGGTCGACCAGCTGCTTCGCGAAGGACAACATCGCTTTGGCTTCTTCGAATATGAACGACGACGTCCGCGGAGGTCGCAGCTTAAAGTGCACGACCAGCTCGTTTGAGTTGCGTTCGACGAAGTATCCGTCGTCAAAGTGCGTCGGTGCCCGGTTTTCAGGCGTGTTCTTTACTTTGTGCAAATGTAACGCCGCCGCGGGCACTTGCGATGGTGACTTTGAAAGCGCGTCGGCGAGTGAAGGCGATGGATCGATCACCTTTGCGTCGGTGTCCTTCACTGACTTTACGTCTTTAAAGTTGGCTTTCATTTTCGCGAAATGCGTCAGAGGCAACGTCGCCGAGCCCATGGCGTCGTCGGCTGACATGAGATCGAAGTCGTACACTTCAAACTTCAACGAGCAGTCCTTATATCTCAGTTTTTCGCTACCCATGTAAAACGACTCGTTCCACACCGGATTCGTAGTTTTCGGGCGGTACCCCGTTCGGTGTACTTGACCGTCGACGGCGAGCCCGGCGCTGTTGACGATAGACACCTTCACGTACGGGTCCGACGTCTCGCCCGCGTCCATGGCGAGCAAACCGCTCCCGGATTCGACGTTCACTCGTATGAATAAGCCGCTCAAGCACTGGATCATGCGAACGTCGACGAAAATAGAACCCGCGGAACCGTCCTCGTCCTCGTTCGTCGCCTCGCCCGCCGACGAAAACATCGCCGCCCCCGTCGCGCCGACCTCGTACGCGACTCTCTTGGCGATCGCCATCCCCCCCGAACCGTCGTCCTCGTCGCCTCGCTTCGTCTCCGACGTCGCCGGCGTCGCCTCGACCTCGCGCTTCGCCCCGCGTTCGCGCTCCGCCGTCGTCGCGTCCTCCTCCGCGTCGCCGCCGCCCCCGACGTCCGACCGCATCCGCATCGCCATCTCCCTCGCCCCCGACAGGTCGGACATCATCTTCTCCAGCTCATCCGCGTCCGATTCTCCCACCGCGCGCGCCCACGCGCTCTGCCGTCGCTCCGCGCGCGCGCGCTCCGGCGCGGCGTCCTCGTCCGAATCGTAATCATCGCTCGAGTCGCTCTCCATCATCAGCGCGTTTCGCTCGACCGCCTTACGGAGCGCGCCGAAAAATCCCAATCGCGCCGCTCGCGCCGTCGCCCGTCGCTTCCGCGCGCGCTCGACGTCGTCGTCGTCGTCGTCGTCGCGACGTTCGGCATCCGGTCGGTCTCCGGCGTCAGTTCGCGCGGCGTCGCGCGCGCCGTCGCCGTCGCGCGCGCGCGGCGTCGTCGGCGCGCGCGCGCGACCCTTTTCGTTCGTCCCTCGCGCCGCGCCGCGCGCCATCGCGCGCGCGCGACAATGCGCGTCGCGACGATCGCGTCGTCGTCGTCCGTCGATTCCCCGCGCGCCGACGTCGCGCGCGCCGCGCTGCGCGTCCGCGCGCGCCCCGGCGAGGCGGTCGCGATCGATCTTCGCGCCGACGCCGCCCTCGCGGTCGCGCTCGCGCGGTGCGACGAGGGCGTCGTCCACGCGTGCGCGACGGACGACGACGTCGCGCTCGTCTCGACGCGCGACGGCGCGCGACGGACCGGCGCGGTCGACGCGCTCGCGCGCGTCTTCGCGAGGCACGGCGCCGACGTCGCGAGCGCGGCGGTCGGGCGGACGTGGGACGGCGTCGCGCTGGACGGCGGCGCGGGCGCGCGCGGGTGCGCGCTCGTCGCGTTCGGCGACGCGGGAGCGGAGGCGCGCGAACGCGAGGTGGTGGTGACGCTGACGACGCACGCGCGGGCGGGCGAGCGGACGCGGACGCGGTCGAGGGCGCGGGCGAGCGGGTGCCACTTGGTCGAGGCGCCGGCGTGCGAGGCGACGCCGCGCGCGGGGACGGCGACGTGGGCGCTGGCGGACGGCGACGCGGCGGCGTCGCTCGCCGTCAACGAGAACTGCGACCCGGACGTGCGCGCGGACCTGGACGAGGCGCTGGCGGCGATCGTGCGCGAGGCGAGCGAGGACGAGGCGACGCGCGCGGCGGCGAGGGCGATGCTGGTCGGCGGCGCGGTGCGCGCGCCGGTGACGAACGGGCGCGCGCGGATGGGGACGTGGCAGGGACTGTACCTGTGCGAACACGGGGCGCGCGGCGAACACGCGCGCGACGTCTTGGCGGTGTGCGACGCGCGTGAAGCGACGGCGCGGACGACGATCGTGGTGAGCGCGGGAAAGCGCGGCTTGCGAGACATCACGGACGACGTGACGGCGGCGATTCGCGACGCGCACCGACCGGGGACGATTGGCACTTTGCACTGCTTTTGCGAACACACGTCGGCGTCGCTCGTCGTCGGACCGTCGGATCCCACGTTCGCGACGCGCTTTGAGGACGCGTTGAACGACATCGTGCCCGAGTCGTGGAACGACGAGTTCTTCAGACACACGGCGGAGGGCCCAGACGACATGCCCGCGCACGTGAAGAGCACCATCGTGGGGGCGCACAAGACGGTCCCCGTCGACGCCGACGGCACGTTATCTCCCCTGAACGGCCAACGATTGTACTTGTGCGAACACAGAAACGTGGGTGGATTCAATTCCGGTCTCGCCCGTCGCGTGACGTTGACGTTACAATGCGACTAGCGTTAGCGCCGTGTAACGCGGTTCGGTTTAGTACGCGTTCGCGTGCGCGCCCGCCTTCCAATCCTTCGCCCTCGGCGCGACGTTTTTCGCGTTCGGCACGAACTTCGAGTCCTCGTCCCTCAGCCGCACCTCGTGATTCCTCAATCGCGCGTGATCGATCCGTCCGTCGTACCCCTCCGTCGTGCGCGTCTTTTCGTACTGCTCCTCCAGGTAACAATCGCGCGCGCTCTTCCCCGCCCAGTCCCCTTTCGCGCCCCACGCGTGTTCGCTCGCGGGCGGGACGTACGCGACGTGCGGTTCGTGCACGCCGGGCGTGATCGGCATCGCGATTCGCGCTCTTCGTCGCGCTGTGTCGCGCGTCGTCGTCGTCGCCGCGCGCGCGAAAACGCTCGAGTAACGCTCGAGTCTCACGGTCCGTCCGTTTACAACACGGATTTCAGGGCACAAACCCTCGGCGGCGTCGCGGGCGCGCCGTCGCGACGCGCGGCGCCGCGCACCGACGCGCGCGCGCGACGCGAACGCGCGCGCATGCACACGACGCGCCCGTGCGGCGCCGCGCGCGACGCGCGCGCGATGTTCGCGTCGACGATGCGTCGACGCGCGCGATGGATGACGACGACGACGGCGACGACGGCGACGACGACGACGACGGCGCGGACGCGCGGCGCGCGCGCGGCGACGGCGGCGACGACGGCGACGACGGGACGACGACGAATCGACGCGACGCGACGCGCGGCGATCGCGAGCGAGAGCGAGCGGACGACGAGCGCGGGGTACGCGTTCGGCGACGTCGAGGCGAAGTGGCAAAAGTTTTGGCGGGAGGAGAAGACGTTCGCGACGCCGCGCGCGATCGACGCGACGAAGCCGAAATTTTACGCGCTGGACATGTTTCCGTATCCCAGCGGCGCGGGGCTGCACGTCGGACATCCCGAGGGGTACACGGCGACGGATATCGTGGCGAGGTATAAGCGAATGACGGGGCACAACGTGTTGCATCCGATGGGATGGGACGCGTTTGGATTGCCGGCGGAGCAGTACGCGATCGAAACCGGAACGCATCCGAGAGACACGACGAAAACGAACGTCGGGAGGTTTCGCGAGCAGTTGCAGAGCCTCGGGTTTTCGTACGATTGGGATCGAGAGGTGGCGACGTGCGACGCGACGTATTACAAGTGGACGCAGTGGATCTTTTTAAAGTTGTTGGAGAAAGATTTGGCGTACCAAGCCGAGGTGCCGGTGAATTGGTGTCCAGCGCTCGGAACGGTGCTGGCGAACGAGGAAGTGATCGATGGATTGAGCGAGCGCGGGAACCATCCCGTCATTCGCAAGCCGATGAAGCAGTGGATGTTGAAAATCACTCAATACGCCGATCGATTGTTGGAGGACTTGGACGAGCTCGACTGGCCGGATTCGATCAAGGAAATGCAACGAAACTGGATCGGTAAGTCCGAGGGCGCTCAACTCGCGTTCGCCGTGGACGGCTTGGGCGCCGACGCCGAAAAGTTGGAAGTGTACACCACTCGACCGGATACGCTCTTCGGCGCGACGTACTTGGTCGTCGCCCCGGAGCATCCGATGATCGACGCTCTTTCCGCGGGAGGCGCGCAAAAAGATCAAGTCGCCGAGTATGTTCTCGCGGCATCTCGCAAGAGCGATCTCGAGCGCACGGAATTGAGCAAAGAGAAGACGGGTGTCTTTACGGGTTCGTACGCCGTGCACCCGCTTACGGGCGAAAAGCTCCCCATTTGGGTTGCCGATTACGTGCTCGGATCTTACGGCACCGGTTCCATCATGGCTGTGCCCGCGCACGACGAACGTGACTACGAATTTGCGCAAGCGTTCGATTTACCCATCGTTGAAGTCGTGCAAAAGCCGAAAGACACCGAAGGCGTGTACTCGGGCGGCGGAAAGATGATGAATAGCAAGTGCGCCGCCATCGACGTGGACGGGTTGGACAACGTCCAGGCGGGGCTCAAAATCATCGACTACGTCAACGAAAAGGGCGTCGGGTACAAGAAGACCAACTACAAGCTCCGAGACTGGCTCTTCGCCCGTCAGCGTTACTGGGGCGAACCGTTCCCGGTTGTGTTCCCCGAAGACGATCCGAACACCGCGGTGCCCATTCCTGAATCTGAGCTTCCTTTGGTGTTGCCGGAGACGGACAACTTCAAGCCCAGCGGCTCGGGCGAGGGTCCGCTGGCGAACTGCGAAGACTGGGTGAAAACCGTCGATCCGCGCACTGGAAAGCCCGCGCGCCGGGAGACGAACACCATGCCTCAGTGGGCGGGCTCGTGCTGGTACTACCTGCGCTTCATCGACCCGACGAACGAAGACGCCCTCATCGACGGCTCGCTCGAAAAGTATTGGTTGCCGGTTGATTTATACGTCGGTGGCGCCGAGCACGCCGTGTTGCACTTGCTTTACGCGCGGTTTTGGCACAAAGTGCTGTACGACATCGGCGTCGTGAGCACGAAGGAACCGTTCCAACGATTGGTTTCGCAAGGGATGATTTTGGGCGAAGTCGAGTATTCGGCGCACGTGGACGCCGACGGCGCGTTCGTCGAAGGTAACAAGACGAGCGGGTTACAAACCATCAAGGTGCCCGCGAGTGATGTCACGAAAAAGGGTGACGGTTTCGTTCTCACCGCTAACCCGAAGGTTAAGATCTCCGCGCGTGCGCACAAGATGAGCAAGTCTCGCGGCAACGTCGTCAATCCGGATGACGTCGTCGGCGAGTACGGCGCCGATTCTCTTCGTTTATACGAAATGTTTATGGGTCCGTTGCGAGACACCAAGATTTGGCAAACAAAGGGTGTTGAAGGTTGCTACAGGTTTTTGGCGCGAACGCACCGTTTGTTGGACAAAGTGACGGATGAAAAGCCCGACGACGAGGGCCTCGTGGCGTTGAACAAGTGCATCGCCAAGGTTACGGAGGAAACCGAGCAGATGCGTTTCAACACCGCCATCTCCGCGATGATGGAACTCACCAACGCTTGCACAAAAATGGACAAAGTCTCGCGCGACATCCTGGAGCCGTTTTCTTTACTTTTGTCTCCTTACGCGCCGCACCTTAGCGAAGAGATGTGGGAGCGTCTCGGTCACTCGGGATCAAATTCGCAAACGGCTTGGCCCGTCGCCGACGAGAGCTTGCTGGTGCAAGACACGGTGGATATCGGCGTGCAAGTAAATGGTAAGATGCGAGGAACGATTTCGGTTAGCTTAGAAACGTCGCAAGACGATGCGATGGCGGCGGCGTTGGCGCAAGATTCGGTGAAAAAGTTCACCGAAGGCGTCGACATCAAAAAAATAATCTACGTGCCCGGTAAAATCCTCAACATCGTCGCCCCTCCGGCGAAGAAGTAAGTTCGCATCGCGCATCGCATTGTAGTCAGTAATCTATTTCATTCTATTTCATTCTATTTCATGTCAAACTTCTTGAAGACGTCCTCAAAATTCATCGCGTCCGAAGTCTCCGCGGGCGAACGCGGTCGATCGTCTCCTCGATCGTCTCCTCGATCGTCTCCTCGATCGTCCTCGTCGTCCGCGCACCCAACTTTCACGATCCGATTCGTGCGCTCGTCTATCGCGACGTCGTACAATTTCGCATCGCCGTCTCTTTCGAACTCTTTCTTCAGCCACGCAAACCATTCCTCCGGATCGGCGCCCCGTTCGAGCAGCCACGTCTGCTTCGCCGGCGGCCTCCGCGTCGCGGGGCACCCGTTATCGCAGCAATACGCGAACGATCCGAGGTACCCTCTCTTCAAGCACGCCTCAGTCACGCGCGCGTCCCAATCGCATCGCAATCGCTCGCGAAGGTACCGCAAACGATGCTTCACGTGCGCGTCTCCGCGTCCTCGCGGCGGTCTCGCGATCGTCCCCAACATCGTCTCCGCCCCCAGAGATAGCCCCCAGCGCCCGAGCCGGCCCGCCGAAACTTTCCGCCACCAGATCTCCATCGGGTCGTCCGCGCGCACGGGGTGCGTGACGTCGACGCGCGCGTCGTCCTCGAACAACCGCACGCGATGCAGCGTCTTCGCTCGCTCCGGCGCCGCCGCGTTCGTCGCGCGCCGCATCGCGCGGCTCGCGCACCGCGCCATCAACAGCTCCGCGTCCGACAACCGCGCGACGACGCGTTCGCCGTACACGCTCGGGTGCTCCGAGACGAACCGTTCGAGCGGCGCGCGCGCGTCGCCGTCGTCGCCGTCGTCGTCGTCGCGCGTCGTCGCGCGCGCGAACATGTTCGAGTCGGCACTCGAATCGTCACTTCGCGACGTCGGTCGACCGCGCGCGCGTCCGACCGCGACGCGCGCATGCGAGAGGCGCTCGCGCGCGGCGCGACGCGCGGCGCGGCGTCGCGCGCGTCGAGCGCCGCGCGCGCGACGCGCTCGAGAGTGACGCGGCGACGCGCGCGCGTCTCAGCCATGGCTGCGCGGGCGGCGGACGACGCGCGCGCGCGCGCGAATTGCTTCGTCGAGAACCCGCGCGAGGGCGAGATCGCGAACGCGGACGTGGGCGGCGCGCGCGGAGGGCGGCTCCGGGGACTGCGCGTCGCGGTGAAGGATAACGTCGCCGTGCGAGGGCTGCGCGCGGGCGCGGGGAACCCGACGTACCTCGAGACGATCGGGAAAGACGCGGCGGAGGCGCACGCGTCGTGCGCGCGCAAAGTGCTGGACGAGGGAGCGGTGTTCGTCGGGAAGACGCACATGGATGAGCTGGCGTGGAGCTTGCAGGGGGAGAATTTTCACTACGGGACGCCGAAGAACGCGCGAGGAAACGCGCCGGGGAAGATTCCAGGAGGATCGAGCAGCGGAAGCGCGTCGGCGGTGTGCAATGATTTAGCGGATATCGCGATCGGGACGGATACGATCGGGAGCGTGCGGTTGCCGGCGAGTTTTTGTGGATTGTACGGCGCGCGGCCGACGCACGGGAGGGTGGAGACGGACGGCGTGGTGCCGTTGAGTCATAGTTTCGACACCGTGGGGTGGTTTGCGAAGGACGCGAAGACACTGCGCGTGTTGGGAGACGTTTTACTCGACCCCGACACTAAAGACGCGGAGACGAGCGCGAAAATCGGTAAAGGGCGACTGGCGATGTGCAGCGACGCCTTTGCGCTCGTCGATCCCGCTGTGAGGCGCGAGATCCGTCAAGTTTTATCCTCAGAGGGCGTCAAACGCGTGTTCATCGAGGCGCGGGGTGGCGCGACGCCAGACGCGTTCGGGCTGGTCGATCTCATGCTCTCCGACGTCGGTTTGACGGACAAGAGCGGGAGGAGCGCGTTGCCCCCCATAACCGAGTGGAGCGAGACTTTTCGCGTCATTCAAACCGCCGAAGTCTGGGGATCTCACGGCGCGTGGATCACCGAGCACAGACCGGAATTCGGTCCTGGAATTCGCGATAGGTTTCGTCTCGCCGAGGCCGGGGTCGACGCGGCGACCATGACGCATCACCGCGAGTTACGCGAACGCATCACCGACCATCTCGACGCGCTCCTCGCCGACGGTTCTATCTTGCTCCTTCCCGCCGCGCGCGGGCCGGCGCCGATGGCCACCGATTACGATAGCGAAGAGTCTCTCAGTAAGCTCGCCGAGGCGCGAAACGCGGCGCTCGCGATCGGTGCTCCCGGCTCGATCGCGAGATTACCGTGCGTCGTTTTGCCCGCTATTGAAATAGCCGGCGAACCCGTCGGCTTGATGCTCATGTCCAGACGAGGCACCGACGAAGCCTTGCTTGCGTTCGCCGAGAAATTGGCGTGGGTGATCGGGCTCAAAGTTCCGTAGAGTCGCGCGTCTGGCGCGCGCGCGATGAGCTGTAATGATGAATACGACGACGCGTAAAACGTGTTTCGTTTCAGTTTTCTATTACAACGCGTTGGTCGTTCGGTCTTCCTAAGGGATTTCGAAGTAAGAATTATCTAAGGGATGAATTCTAACGTAACCATCCTCCCCGCCACTCGTGAACGAGCGACCATCGGGATTGAACGCCAGGGCGTTGATCGGACCGAAGTGTCCGCGAATGCCGCCGATTTCCTCTTCAAAAATCTTGTGGTAAATTTTAGAGTCAAACTTCCCCGCCTTTGAGCTCGTCGTCGTCACCGCCATCGCGTCTTGACCACCACCGAGCACGATGTGATCTCTAATCGGCGATAAAATCGCCGCGTTCACCGGACGATCCGCGCTGTACGTCTTCAGGCACTCCAACGTCTCGCTGTCGAACACCTTCGCCGTCTTATCCAACGACGCGCTGATAAAGTGCGAGCCATCGTCGCTCATCACCAAATGCTGAATCTGCTTCGAATGTTCCTGCGACATCTTCAAGACATCACCCGTCTCGACGTCCCAACTTCGAATGATCCCGTCCTCGCCCCCCGTGACGACTGTCTTGTTCAGCGGTCCCCACATCACGCGCGTCACCCGCCCTTGCGGTCCCTCAATCCTCTTCACCACCTCCCCTCGCTGCGCCGCTCGATCCCCGAGATTCACATTCACGATATGTATCGCGCTCGGCACTCCCATGAACGGATCCGTCGTGATCGCGCACTGCGTCCCTCCCGCGTTCAGCGCCACCGCCCGCACCGGCTGGTCGAACTCAAACGTAAAGTAACACTCCCCCGTCTTCGTGTCCCACAGCTTCGCCGTCGTGTCCGCGCTCCCGGTGACGAGCGTCGACGAGTCATCGCTCACGTCGCACGTCCACACCGCGCCGTTGTGTCCGACGTACGTCCCGACGCGTTCGCCGTTATCGCCGTACCACAGCGTCGGGTGATGATCCTTCGCGCACGTGAACAGCAGATCGCCCTCGCGGTTGTACTTGATGAACGTCAGCGGGCGCTCGTGGCCCTTGAGCAGGATGGGGCGCATGTCGCTCGATCCGTCGGCGTCGCTCGCGCGCGCGCGGCCTCGCGTCGGCGCGTGCGGCGCGACGCGCGGTCGCCGTCGAGGGTTTGCGCGCGCCGCCGTCGCGACGGTTCGTGTTTTACGCGAGTCTCGAGACGCGTCGCGTCCGCCCGCGACGATTCGAATCGTCGCGCTAAAAATACGCGCGCGCGATGGCGACGGCGACGGCGACGCGCGCGAGCGACGACGCGTTCGAGTACCGCGCGCGGCGAACGAGCGCGGGGGGGTATTATCGCCCGACGGCGTCGAGCGATGGACGCGCGGGCGCGACGTACGAGGTCGCGGAACGCGGCGGCGAGCACGCGGAGGAAGAGACGAGGACGCGGAGGTTCGACACGGCGTCGGCGCGCGGCGTGACGACGTTCGACGCGCGGACGTGCGAGGCGATCGAGTTCGTGCCGATCGACGCGTGGTCGCGGGATAAGGCGAATTTTGAAAAGTTGCGGTCGATGCGAACGTTTCGACTGCACAGACTGTGGAAGGCGTTCGCGACGATGCGCGCGCACGCGCGAAGGAGAAAGTTTCGGCGCGCGCGCGCGCGGTTTAAGGAATCGTCCGCGATTTACGGTGATGCGTTCGCGGGATACGCCGTTCCGACGATGATGCGCGTGTACGACGCGTGTCACTCGATCGCGCGAGACGCGCGCGTGTTTCGGCGCGAGGAAGCGCCGGCGACGAAGGTCGAAGAATCGTACGAGTTCGACGACGAAGCGAATCTCGCGCCGGCGACGTACGACGCGCGAGCTCTGTTCGAGACTCTGCTACGACTCGCAAACGAAGGCTCGACGCACATTCGTGACGTCGCGTCGGCGATTTCCAGCGATGTGGAAATCGCCAAAGACGCGATCGAGCGACGATTTCTCGCCGATTTGGATGAGCGTCTACAGCCCATGATCGCGGCGACGAAGCGGTACCGTCGACGATCGAGCGGAACGAACGGTGGAAAGCCAGCGCTCGCGCCCACGATCGGCGACGATCGACTTGTGACGGCGTCAGAGTCGAGAGACGCGTATCCTTACACCGAGCGCGCGCTCGTGGCGGCGCTTCGAATGAAGCTGGAATCTTTCGAGCGCTCGATTTGGATGTGTTTTCGAGTCGCGATTTCGCGCGCGAGAGACGCATCGCTCGAAGAACTCACCGCGTACGTGAGGGATGCGCGTTCGTCGGAGTCAGCGATATTTCAAACCACGTTTGATTTCGAAACGTCCGCGCTCGTACCGAGCTCGGATGCGTTCGAGCGAGCGATTCGAGACGGCGCCGCCGCCTGGACGTCGTCCTCGCTCGGCGAGCGCGTCGGCGACGCCGTCGATTTGCGCTCGCTCGAGGATGAAGAGTTTGAAAATCGCATCGATAAATTTTGTGACCTCGTCCGCGACACGTTCGCGAGCGCGCAAGAGGCGTTGCTGGTCGTCGAGACGCGGTTGCGCGAAAAATCGCCAGACGCCGTCGCGGACGCAGACGGAGGCGATGACGAATCGTCGATGATTGAACGTTTGAGCGAGATCGTGGCGCGTTCGAATGCGTTCAAGAAGGAAGTCGACGCGTTGCCAGGATCGATTCGTCCGAACGACGGCGCGATCGCCGTGGACATCGTATCGCTGAAGCGCGCTTTGAAACCGGTGGCGTCGGCGACGATTGACTCCGCGTGCCGAACCGCCGTGGATTGGGCGGCCGAACGCGCGCAGACGATCGCGCAGAAGTTCACGCGCGTGAAAACCCTCGATGATAACGACGATGAGACCAAGTTGAGTAAGATCCGTGATCTCCGCGACGAGGCGCGAGAGCTCGAGAATGTGCATTTGGCGATGAAACGACTCGGCGCAAACATTCCGGATTTCGACCGCGCGGCGTTCAAAGGCGTCGTGGAGGAGATCGAAAACGCGCTCGCGGGTGACGACGGTGGCTACGAAAAAGATGAAACAAAGCACGGCGGCGATCGTTGAAGTGCTCTAATGTACTCGTGTTGTGTTACAAGACGTCAGCCCCGCGTACTAAAATTAGCGGTCTGTTATTTGTAAATACGACTCACTCGGGATCGTCAAACGGATCGAACCCATCGTCCAGAGTCCGCAACGTCGTGTTTTCGCTGTGCGTGTCGCCCAACATATCCTCAAGTCCGCGCTCCGCGGCGTCAAATTCTTCGAGTAAAGATCGCACGACGCGTCCTCGAGGCCTCGGCGCCGACGAGTCGTCGGCGCCGATTTGACGAGTTCTTCGCGCCTTGAACGGCGTCGCCGGGCACGCCGGCGCGCTATTCCTCGCGCTAGGCGACGAAGGCGGCGTTCCATACGTATACCCTTCGGCACCGTCACCCATCGTCGCCGTCGCCGCCGGCATCGCCATCGTCGCCTCGCGCGTCTCCTCGTCTCCCGACTCGCCCCCGAGCGTCGGCGTCCCTCCCGAGCGTTCCGGGCTCTCCAACCCTCCACCGCCCCCGACGCTCGCGCGCACCGCGACGGGCGACCACAGCGTATCCCCGCCCGCCATCGGCGCTCGAACGACGCTCTCCGGCGTCTCCTTCCCTCGCCCAGCCCCCCCCCCTCGGTCCGCCGCGCGCGGCGTCGGCGTCGTCATCATCGCCGCCGCCCGTCGTTTCTCCCCGACCCCACCCTTCGCCCGATCCATCGCCCGCGTCGGCGTCGACGCATCCCGCGCCATCGCGCCGTCCCGCTCGCGCCGCATCGTCCCGTCTCCGCGCGTCGGCGTCCCGTCCATCGTCGATCCGGTCTCGCCCGCGCGTAATCGTCCGATCGCGTCGACCGCCCGCGCGTGATCGTCCGCGCCTTCGTCGCGCGCCGGTCTCGCGCGCGATCGAGATTCGCGCGGTTCGAGGCGCCCGCGCGGTTCGACGACGCGCGCCGGTCTCGCGCGCGCGCGTCGCGGTGTGCCCAATCGCGTCGGCGCCGCTGACAATCCGCGTTTCCCGCGCTTTCGGGCGTCGTCTCTCATGGGCCAAACCTTCGCTTCTGTGCGTCCTTCGCCGGGATTTATGTTTCGCTGTTCTGACGGGTCGTGACTCGACGGGTCGTGACATCTAGGGTTTGCAGAAGCCGCGGTCGATGTCGGCGGTCGAGCCCTCGCGGGCGGCGCCACACGACGACGCGACGCCATGGCTCACGCGCTCGCGCGCGCGCGCGCGCCCGCGTCGCGAGGACGCGCGCCGGCGCGCGCGTCCGCGCCGGCGACCGCGCGACGATGCGTCGCGCGCGCGGCGCCGATCGCCGCGCGCGAAAAGGCTGCGCGCCGCGTCGCGATCGCGACGCGCGCGAGCGCGGACGCGCGCGGTGAATACGCGTCGCTCGGACAAGTGTGCGCGGGTACGATGAGAGCGCGCGATGCGAGGGCGCGAGGACGCGAACGCGCGCGGTCGGGGGGAGGGAGGACGGGACGCGGGCGAACGCGACCCTACGCGGCGAGCGGGACGAGACGCGAAGGCGAAGCGACGACGGCCGCGACGATGGAGGGAGGCCGAGGGATTCGAACGCGCGCGCGCGGTGAACGAAGCACGAGGCGATGGGCGCGCGGGGACTGACGGAGAGATTGATGCGTTTGCGTCGCGCGCGACAGTGCTCGGAAGCCAGTGGGGCGACGAGGGCAAGGGGAAATTAGTGGATATTTTGGCGCGCGAATACGACGTCGTGGCGAGATGTCAAGGCGGTGCGAACGCGGGTCACACTATTTATGACGATGATGGGAAGAAGTACGCGCTGCATCTCGTTCCGAGCGGGATTTTGAATGAAAACGCGACGTGCGTCGTCGGCAACGGCGTCGTGGTGCACCTTCCGGGGATGTTTGATGAGATTGACGCTTTATTAAAGGCTGGTGTGGACGCTCGAGGGCGTATGATGGTGTCTGATCGCGCGCATTTGTTGTTCGATCTTCATAAAGAAATCGATGGCTTGCGCGAGGCGGAGTTGAGTGGGAATAAAATCGGTACGACGAAGCGCGGCATCGGTCCCGCGTACGCCTCCAAAGCGACGCGCAACGGGGTTCGTTTGGGGGATATTCGAGACGCCGATAAGTTTGCGAACGCTTTGCGCACGCTTGCGGCGGACGCGGCGGCTCGATTCGATGGTTTCGAGTACGATGTCGAGGCGGAGATTGTGCGATACAGAGAAATCGCGTCGCGCATCGAGCCGTTCATCGCGGACACGGTCGAGTACGTCAACGACGCGCACAGGAACGGGAAGAAGATCTTAGTCGAGGGTGCGAACGCGACCATGCTTGATTTGGATTTCGGTACGTATCCGTTCGTGACGTCCTCCAACCCAGCGATTGGTGGCGTTAGCAATGGCCTCGGTTTGGCGCCGAGAAAGTTTGAAACCATCATCGGCGTCGCCAAGGCGTACACCACGCGCGTCGGTGCGGGTCCGTACCCGACTGAACTTTTCGGTGACGTCGCCGATAAACTCCGCGAACTCGGCTACGAGTACGGCACCACCACCGGTCGCCCTCGTCGCATCGGTTGGTTGGACATGGTGGCGTTGAACTACGCCAACCAAATCAACGGCTTCACGCACTTGAATATCACCAAGCTCGACGTATTGAGCGAGATGGACGAGCTCAAAATCGGCGTCGCCTACGAGCTTCCTAACGGAAAGACCACGACTGCGTTCCCGGCCGACATCGCCACCTTGGAAAATGTCAAGGTGGTTTACGAAACCTTGCCCGGTTGGAAAACCGACATCGCAAACGTGCGCTCTTGGGACGACATGCCCGAAAACGCCAAAAAGTACATTCTTCGCTGCGAGGAGCTCTCGGGCGTCGAGTGTCGCTACATTGGCGTCGGCCCGGGTCGCGACGCCATGGTAATTAAACCGTAATCGTAATAATACCAGTACTTTCGGACGTACAACGCGCGCGCGCGTTCGCCGACCTCGCCCCGCCGCACACCACGCCGCTTCTCGCGTCGCCCGACCCGCGACGCCCGACTCGAGCGCTCAAGTCACGATGTCGTCTTTCACCGTCTCTTCGGCGTCGCGCGTCACCGCGCGCGCCGCGACGCGCGTCGCGTCGACGCGCGTCCGCGCGAAAACCTCAAAGTTCGCGTTCGCCGGCGATCGTCGCCCACGCCGCGACGTCGCGCGCTTCGCGAGCGCCGCGGGCGGCGCCGAGGGCGCGGACCCGTACGCCGTGCTCGGCGTCAAGCCGGACGCGGACGCGCTGGCGGTGAAGAAGGCGTATAACAGCAAGCAAATGCTGTACAAGGGCGAGGGCGACAAGCTCGCGGCGGTCGAGCGGGCGTACGAAGCCATCCTGCAAGCTGGCCTGAGCGCGCGATTGAGCGGCAAGGGCGCGGTTGACACGAACGTGCGATTCGCGGATAAGGTGATCCGATCGAAGTGGGCGCCGCGACCGTGTCCGTCGCCGATGAAGGACGTCGTGGTCAATTACGGATTGACGATGGGGTGCGCGCTCGTCACGCTGGTGACGCCGCCGAACATGCGAACGCTGCAAGTGACCATCTTCGCCGCGCTTTTGATGGTGTTCAGGTTCTTTGTGAAACTCGTGGACGTCGATCCGGGTCCTAACGCCGTGCTCGATCCGCCGGCGGCGCAAAAGCATAACAACGCGAGATTTGCGAGATCCTTCGGCGTCGTCTTGGGGACGTTTGTCGCCACGTTGTTCGTCACGTTTTGGTTGCCGCAGTTCTTCATCGAGGTGTTGGGGCTGACTGTGCCGGCGTGGGTCATGTTGCACCAGGAAGTTTTCGTGAGCTCTGCGTGCGGGTTCGTCTTAGCGTCGCTCGTGAGCTTTTATCGATGAGCGTTGTGTAATATCCGACGTCGCGCTTCACATCTCGACTCTCAGCGCCCGACATGACTTTCTCCTTTGCTTTAGCGTCGTCCGACCGTTTCGTTCACATTTCTCGCACATCGTCGCCGCAACGCGTCCGAGCGGCCGTTCGCACGAGCGCATCGCACCGCGGCGACCGCCTCGTCGCCGACCGTTCACACGTGACGTTCAAGGACCCCACGACGGAACGTTGGACGATGGTGTATCAGGTCAACCTCCCCGCTTCGAACATGGGCTTGGAGTTCAAAGACGTCGGCTATGGACCACCGGTGGTTGCAAATATTCCACCAGGCGGATACGCGGCTGCGTACACAGACATCAAGGTGGGAGACGTGTTACTTCGTTGCTCGGCGCTCGAAATCGACGTACATCACCCACACGTAAAGCCGAGAAAGTTTGAATTCGACGCGCTCGAACCCACGCCGACGGGTCGCTTGCCGTCTTTCGAGACGTGCATGAATGCGTTGAGATCGACGGCGGTGTACTCGGCCGGTTTCAAACATCTTGAGGTCACGTGCGAGTTCAAGCGCGACATCGACGATCGTGCAGAGCACGAGGATTACGCGCGTTTGATGGAAACGATGACACGCGTGGGAAGACTCGAAGCCGATCGAGAAAACGCGGGTGACTACGGCCCGCGCGCGCCGGGCGAGCACCCCGAAGGCACGCCGAGTGAACCTCTTTACGTCCCCGACGATGGAACGTACCCCGTCGACGATTGACGAACTCTTCGGCGACTGATTTTTCGCGAAGAAACGCTTTCGAAATCACTTCCGAATCGCTGCCTCACTCGCGTTTTCTTTCTCGCTCGCGCTTTAGATGACGTTCTCTCTGTGTTGTTCTAGTTAGATCGTCTCAGAGCGAACGGCGACGCGCCCGGAAACGTTCGCGGATTCGCCGCGCGAGGCGCGCGCTTCATTTCTATTTTTGATGAATGGGCGTTTCCGAGGGAGACGAACAGTCGCGACACTCCTCGACGCGCGCATCGCTCTCGCGCGCGCGCGCGTCGTCGTCCTCCCTCGCGCGAAACGTCGCGCCGCGAGCTTCGCATCGCGCGTCATGCCGCTGTGGCGACCGGCGCGCGAGCGGGACGCCGACGCGCCCGCGACGGTTCGCGAGACGGCGATCGACCCGAGCGCGCCCATCGGCGAGCTCACGACGTCGATCGCGATCATCGAGCCCTCGGCGCCGCCGGCGAGCGAAATCGAAACGCGCGATGGATTCGCGAAGCGCGACACGCGGTACGTGAGTTCGGCGGAGTCGTTCGAACGCGGGGACTTGACGCCGCTGTCGCTCGCGGAGACGTGCTGGGTGCTCGCGGCGACGTGCGCGCTGACGGCGTCGTACGTCGTCGCGTTTTCATCCGTCATTGGATTTGGTTCGACGACGTTTCGAGTTTTACGACGGGATCAAAAAGAAAACGTTCTGCTGGCCGTGAGCGCGGTGATTGCGTTGATGCTTTACGTCACGGATGCTTCGCATTGGAGAGGCGCTCGAACGCGCTTGGCGAGGGACGTCTTCGTGGGCGTCGCCGCGATACTCGCCGCACTATCCCTCGGCCTGAGCGCGTATCGCTACCCTCAAGCGCCACCAACGCTGTATTTAGTGGTGTCACCGCTCGTGTACTCGTATATGCGCACGAAAGTGTTCGCACATCGATCGCTGTCGAGCTATCTGAGCGCGATAGCTCGAAGCCTGTACGCGTGCGCCGGCATCGTCGTCATGTGCTTCTTCGTCGAGGCATCGCGCGTGAACGCTTGGTGGTCGACGTCGTTGGAGCTCAAATACCGTGACGCTATTGGATGCGATTTGGACCTCTCCACCGACTGTCTATCGGCGTACATCATGTGGTTTTCCCCGTGTCTAGCCGCGCTCGCGAGTTTAATCTTCGCCACGTTTTGCGCGTTGCTGGCGTCTTCCATGCGTTCAAACGACAAGCAAAATGTGCTCAACTTCACGATCAAGGCCTTCGGCTGCGGTTTAATTTTCGTCTTTCTCGGAATCTGGGTCGCCGTATCCATCGCGGGCGGCGCAAAACCGCTTTCATCCATCTTGGTGACGTTTTCCATGGCGGCACTCGTCGTGCTCAGCGGCGCCCTCGTGGCGACGATCGGACTCGACACCATCACGTCCAAAGTCACGTCTGTGCCGTTGTTCGCGTCGATCATGAATGCCGTGACGGAAAAATACGCCAACGTGTTCAAGGCCATCTTAATTTCGACGCCGTTGACATTTGCGTTTGCGCTGTACTTAGTGTTGTCCATCGTCAATCAACGCGTTCGCGCGATGTTCGGCACGGCGCCGTCGGAGACGAGCGATTCGCGTTGGTTCACCGCCAAGGTTGCCAAGCAATTACAGGAGCTCCGCGATTGGAAATGGTCTCGTATCATGATTAATGTGCACTACTGGATCGCTGTCGTTCTCGCCTTCCAAGTTATCGCCGGTTCGTTCACGATCGTCTTTCTGAGCTACTTGCGCGTGCAACTTGCGGCGATTCCAATCGCGCTCGTCTACTTCATCTTCGCCCTCGTCGGATTGGCGATGTTTCTTATTCCAATCATTCCTGGCTTACCGGTGTACCTTACGGGTGGAATCATTCTGACGGATAAACCTCTGGTGAACGCCCTCGGCGGTGGCAGCCGTGGATACGTGTGGGCGTGTTTCTGGGCCGTCGTGCTCTGCTTCGTCATCAAGCTCCTCGCCGTCGTGATGCAGCAAAAAGGCATCGGCGAACGTCTTGGCAATCGCGTGTGGATTCGAAGTATGGTGAACGTGAACAGTACCACGATGCGATCGATTCGGTATTTGCTCACTCGACCAGGCTTGAACTTTCCGAAAGTTGCAATTCTCGTCGGTGGACCGGATTGGCCCACGAGCGTGACGACTGGCATCTTACGGCTGAGCGTACGAGAGATGCTCATCGGCACGCTGCCGGTGTTCTTTCTTATCGCGCCTACGACGTTAGCTGGCGCGTTTATGCTCAAGGCGTCGCACGCTGCGAACGCGAGCGGCATTGACACACTCTGTCGCGAAACCGCCGTCTCTTCGCTCGCAACGGATGATACCAGCGCGTGGACGTCGATCGCAGACATCGGTTTGCTTTGCACCGGACTCGCGCAGGGGCTCGGGCTCGTCTCCGCGGCGTATTACATTGAAAAGACCGCCGTCGAAGCGCGCGAAGCGCTCGATGACATACCATACGACGAAGAAGTCCTCGAGGTTGAACGCGAGGAAGCGCATCGAAACGAACTCTTGCGCGCAATCTTGCAGTGGGACGAATTGTCCAAAACATCGCGGCGAGCCCTCCTCGCGAGTACGCTCATCGTCATCGCCGCTTTTTGGGGCATCATGTTTGGGCCGTTTTTCCTCGGCGAAGAAGCCATCGTGCGCGAGTACCTTCTCACGGATTGCGTGTCCACGCGGTTGAACGGGAAAGCGTGGAACATTATGACGTCGCTTGGCTGGGCTTTGCTCGCCGTCGTGTGCGCGTCGCTCTTCGTCGTCTCGCGCGTGAACGCGAATGCAAAATATGACGTCGATGCCATCATTGCGGATGAAGAAGCCTTCATGAAAGAGCTCGAGGGAACGCCCAAACGAGTGTGGGACAAGTGCCCGAATCACGACGAGGCGATAAACGAGGAAAAGTTTCGCGAGAGGATCGCCGCCGCCCTGACGACGATGTCGCGCAGCCAAATCAAAAGAGTCGATGAAACGATGACAGAGCGCGAGCTCGCGCCGTTCTCTGATGAGACGAAGAAGTTCATCCTCGAGAGCATCGAGAGCGCTTTGAGCGCGCGCAATAAGGCGTCTGAAACCAACGCCGGCGCCGCGCCGTCGGCTTAAGACTACGCAAACTCATCTTTTAACCTTTCACAATTACGCTAATCGCTATCGCTGTCGTGTCTCCTTCTACCTTCGTCTCGCCGCCGTTTCGGCGATCGAGATCGAGAGCTCGTCCCGGACGAACTTCTCGAGCGGCTCGAAGAGTCGTCGCGACGGCGTCTGCGCGTTCGGCTGTCGCTTCTCGAATCGCGCCGGCGTCTCGGCGGCGAACGACTTCTCGAATCGCTGCTCGAGTAAGACGACGATCTACTATAACTCCGCGAGCGACTGCTGTCGCGCTCGCGCGAGCGGCCGCGCGGCGGCGGAGGCACATCCACCTGTCGCGGCGGCGGCGGAGGCACTTCGGCGACGCGGCGCTGCGGCGGCGGCGGAGGCACTTCAGCCACGCGCTGCGATGGCGGCGGAGGCACGTCCACGCGTCGGCGCTCGTCAACCACCGCGGATGGACGCGCGTTCGGATCCAAACCTCGACGCTTAATCTCCGCGTCGACGACGTCCAATTCCTCTCGGAAGCGCGCCGCGTTTCTCTTCGCGTCCTCCGCCTCTCGCTCGCCGCGTCTCTTCGACTTCTCCCTGCGCTCTCTCTCCTTGCGCTCCCTCTTCTCCCGTTTCTTCGCCCGTTTCTTCGCCTTCTTCTCCCGCTTCTCCGCCCTCCGTCGCTCCCTCGCTCGTCGCCGTTCTTCCTCCTCCCTCGCCGCGCGCTTCTCCTCTCGCAACGTCTGTTGCAGCTCCCGATCGAACGCGTCCCCCTCCCTCGCGTCTCGCTCCCTCTTATCCACCCCGAACGCCCGCGCCAGGCGTTCCATCTCTTCCTCTTTCCTCTGCATCACCCCGTGCGTGCTCTCGTCCCTCGCCTCGCTCTTCGCCTTCGTCGCCGTCTCTCGCCTTCGCCGCAGCGCGTCTCGCCCGTCTCGCCGCGTCTTCTCGATCGCCGCCTCGATCGCCCCCTCGCTCGCCCCCTCGCTCGCCATGCGTTCCTCCAGCTCCGCGCACGCCACCTCGATCGCTCGCAGCGCGTTGTGCTCGAGGATCGCCGCGCTCGGCCGTCGCGTCGTCGTCGCGCCGGCGCCGCCGTCGCGATCCCTCGCGCGCCATCCCTCGTTCGTTTTCGCGTCTCGCGTCAGTCTCGACGCGTCGCGATGGAACTTGTTCGTCTGGACGTACCCGGACGTGCCGGAGCCGCGCGCGCTGGCGAGGCCGACGCCGTTGCGCATCGCGCGCCGTCGCCGTGTGCCGCGCGACGCGATCGCCGACCGCGGCGACGTCCCGCGGTCGGTCGACCTATGGGCAAACAGTGAGGATGTGATCACGCGAGACGTATCACACACGGACTTCAGACGCCCGACCGACCGTCGCGCGACGGCGCGCGCGACGTCGCGACGCGCGGCGCGCGCGCGATGCGCGGCGCGCCGACGGCGACGGGACGCGCGGCGCGCGGGCTCCACCGCGCGCGACGGCGATCGACGTCGGCGCGATGGACGACGACGGCGCGGTCGGCGCGAAGACGCGTCGGCGGGCGAGGACGGAGGCGCGCGACGACGCGCGCGGACGCGACGCGCTTGACGGAGCTCGCGACGGACGCGACGCTCGGGATGGCGTGCTACGCGGTGTCGGACGAGATCGCGCAGAGGCTCGGGACGAGGACGCACGCGAGGGAGAGCGCGGAGGCGGACGCGTGCGAGCTGCCGACGGCGACGACGAGGGGGCGGTTCGTCAGGGATGGGAGGCGCGTGGGAAGGTACGTTGCGTTCGGAGCGATGGATGGGGCGACATCGTACGCGTGGTACGAGTGGGTCGATCGCGTGGTGCCGGACGACGCGACGAGGTCGGACGCGATGACGACGGCGATGAAGGTGGCGATGGACGCGGCGATTTATAATCCGATATGGGGGGCGTTTTTCATCGTTTCCATGGGCGTGCTGAGCGCGAAAGACGCGGAGACGATCGCGGGGGATGTGAAGAGGGATTGGAAGGCGCTGATCACGAGTAATTTGACGTTTTGGGTGCCGATGAACTTTATCATCTACGGCTTCACGCCGTTGAATTTTAGAGTGCAAGTGCTGTACGCGCTCAACATCATCTACGTGTGTTCGCTGTCGATGTATTCGGAGCGCAAAACGCTGTTGAAGGACTCGGGGGATACGATGAGCATTCCCGACGTCGTCGCGCGAGTGCTTCCGGACGACGCGCGCGGAGATTGGCGAGCTTTGACGGGGTGCCCATCGTGCGGAGGCGAAAGGTTCGTGCCGTGTCCGGCGTGCGAGAGCGGACGGGAAACCACCACCGTGGTCGACGTCAACGGACGCACGCGCACGTTGTCCGTGGATTCGTGCGCGGGTTGTCAGGGCGCGCGACGAATCGCGTGTCCGGAATGTACTAACGTCGGCGCCGGCCGAGCGCCGCTTCAAAGCGAAGACGAATTCACGCCTACATATTGATCATGTCACGAGCGCCGTGACTTGTAAACTTATTAGCGAGAGTGAAGAATAGTTGTTATTTTAACCATGGCCTATCTAGTTAGTCATCACCGACTCCACGTTCGGCGAACTTTGATCGACGAGTTTAGCTCTCTTGGTCAAAAATACCAGCGTGAGTATCCGTCGAGCACATGAAGAGCGGATTTTCCACCGTCATCACGCGCTTTTCGTTATCGATGAGCGTGCGCAGCGGCTTGGGCAGCGCAAACATGCGCCTGTGCGACACGGTGTCGTAAAACTTCATCTCTAATCCACGCTTTTTCAAAGTCTCGTCCGCGTCGACGCCGCTCAAGTCGATGCTCGTGTCGTTTACGGCGAGATTGAAACCCCACTCTGACGTGAACGACGGCACGCACATGGTGTAACCGTAAACTTTCGGGAACACTTGCGTCAGAGTGTGATGAATCGGTGAGAAGACGTGATGCGCATCGCGCACGGACGCGCATCCGCTCTGCGTGACGAAGATTCCTCCCGGCGCGAGCTTCTTGCTCAGCAATCGATAGAAATCCGTCGTGTACAGTTGATAGCACGGCCCCCCATCGAGCGGGTCGCTCAAATCCATGATGATCACGTCAAAGCTCCCATCGGGCTCGTTCGCCAATCCTTCCTTCGCGTCGCCGATGATCAAACGCGTTCGTTTATCCCCGTACGCCCCCGCGCTGTAAAACGGCGTGTGCTCTCGGCACATGTTCACCACGTCGCCGTCGATGTCCACCATCACGCACTCCTCCACGCTCTCGTGCCTCAACACCTCGCGCAGCGTCGCTCCCTCGCCACCGCCACCGATGAACACCCGCTTCGGGTTCGCGTGCGCCACCAGCGCCGGATGCGCCAGCGACTCGTGATACACGTACTCGTCGTGCTCGCTCGACTGCATCAACCCATCCGTGATGAGAAGCGACCCGAACGGCACCGTCCGCACGACCTCGACCTCTTGAAACTTCGACGTCCCCTGATACAGCACCTCCTCGACCTATCGCGCGCGCCGTCGTCGTCGTCGTCGTCGTCAGTCCTCCCTCGCGCGCGTCCCGCGTCGTCGCGTCGCCGCTCGCGTCCCATCGTCCCATCGTCCCGCCCCCTCGCGTCGCGTCGCGTCGCGTCTTCGCGCACCCGATAGCTCAGCGCGAGCCCATCCTCGAGGAGTTCGTGGTACCAGTGCCCCTCGGCGAACGTCTCGGCGCCGTACGCGCTCGGCTCGGCGTCCGCCATCGCGCGGTGTGTCGAGCGACGCGTTGTCGCGGTCGCCGCCGCCGCGCGCGCGACGCGCGGGTCGAACCCGCGTCGCGTCGCGCCTTCGCGAAGGGTCTCTCGGTCGATGGTCGTCACTGTTTACCCATACGGATCGTGCGTTCGGAGGTGATTTCGAGCGCTTTTGCGACCTCGCGCGCTCGACGCCGCGCGCGTCGCGCCGCGCGCGCGACGCACGCGCGCGCGCGGCGACCGGTCGAGCGCGCGCGCGCGACCGCGGCGCGCGCGCGAACGCGCGCGACCGCGCGCGACGCGCGCGCGCGCGACGCGAGCGACCGATGGGCGCGCGCGACGACGATTTGAAACCGAATCGACAGACGGCGTCGATCGCGTCGTTCTTCGCGACGACGCGCGCGACGACGGCGACGCGCGCGACGCGCGACGACGGGGGGGACGATGGCGGTGGGAAGCGCGCGCGGACGGGCGAACGCGCGACGGAGGCGATCGCGGTGGACGAGGAGGAGGCGACGCGAGACGACGCGGGCGCGGCGAGACGCGACGACGCGGTGGATCTCACGATGGAGGGCGAGGAGACGATCGCGACGGCGAGCGGAGGGGGAGGGGGGGGTGGGGACGCGGCGCGCGACGGCGCGAGGGCGTCGAGGGAGGGCGAGGGATCGAGGGTGAAGGTGCATAGTTTTTTTACGAATTTCGCGAAGAGACGCAAAGCCGCGGCGACGGCGAGGGAGGGCGAGGGAGGGACGGTGAGGGAGACGCAGGCGGAATTCGTGCGGGTGAAACCGGCACCGATCGAGGAGGCGTTGGGACCGGTGCACGTGGGGTACGTGCCGATCGCGTACGAACGGCGGACGGACGCGACGTCGACGACGGTTTCGTTTTCGACTCGCGTCGACGACGGCGAGAGACGTCCGATGACGACGCACGCGTTCGAGTTGGTGCAACTCGGGCGAACCGCGCGAGAGGATGTGACGGCGACGCGCGGTGGCGCCGTTTCACGGCCGTCGACGTCGACGGAGTCGGAGGAGGACGCGTACTTGGCGGACGTCGCCGTCGCGGCGAATCGCGTCGACGTCGAGCTGGACGGTGTCGCGATGGCGACCGAGAGCGAGCTCGCGCGTGCGCGAGGTGAATGTAGGAATGCGTTGTTAGGGTTGAAGGAACGCGGCGGTCAAAGTCAGGCTGCGTTTCAGTGGGTCGATCGATTCAAGCCGACGCGCGGTTCCGACACCATCGGTCAAAACGCCGGCGTGGTGGAATCGCTACAGAATTGGTTTCGCGCTTGGCAGGGTCGCATTGCGATGCAGGCGAAAGGGAAAGTACCACCATCGCCGTCGCGACCGTGCATCCCTCGTAAGGTGTACGATTCGGACGACGAAGAGTTTTGGCACAGCGACGAAGAAGAGGATGACGGCCTCGGAAGCGGCGAATCCGTGGCAAACGGCGTTTTGATTAGTGGTCCGGTGGGATGCGGTAAGACGGCCACGGTATACGCGTTGGCGAAGGAGTTTGGATTTAAAGTGCTCGAGGTGAATGCGTTGGACAGACGCAGTGGTCAAGAAGTCTTGGGGCGATTCACGGAGGCGACTCAATCAAAGCGTTTCGGTAAAAAGGCGAAAGCCGGCGCTGAGCGGCCGGCGCCGGCGAATGGTGGATTGAAGGCGTTTTTTGGTGGCGCGAGCGATGATGAAACGAAACGAAAAGAAGCGATTGCGGCGAAGACGAAAGAGGATAACGAAAAAGCAGATGCGCAATCGTTGATTTTGTTTGAAGAGATTGATATTCAACTCGCCTCGGAGCGCGGATTCATGGCGGCGCTTTCGCAACTCGTCGAGAACACGAAGCGACCGATTGTTTTTACGTCGAATACGTCAATTTTACCAGATCTTTCGATGAATTTACCTCTGGCGCGTGTGCGATTCGACGCGCCGGGCATTCGCGAATGTGCGACGTACGCCGCGCTCGTGTCAGCTGCGGCAAAGTCGGCGCTCAGACCGAGCGACGCGACGTCAATTTCGCTCGCGTGCAAGGGAGATCTGCGTAGAACTTTGCACAACGCTCAATTTGCGTCGTTCAGCGACAGTGAAGTCCACTTTGACTCGATCGCTAGCGATCGTCACTCTACCGCGCTCATCGACGCCGCTCGCGCCGCTGTGCTCGACGGCGTCAAGCATTTGGGCGCAATACCTGTCGACGCGGCAAAAGAGCTACACGCGAGTTTAGTCGAGCGAGAGCGAGCTGATTTTGAGTCGATGATGCATGAAGTGGAATGTGGATTGATCAGGCACCAATCGCGGTTGGCGCGTTGGGACGCCATGAAAGAGGCGAAAAGAATTGAACGAATCGAGGCGAAGAAAAAGTTGCTCGGCATTCCGGCGGACAAAAATCCACTCGATCTCGTGGACTCGACCAAGAAAGAAGTAATCGTGGACGAACGCACAAAAGAAGACGAGGCCGAAGCTCGGATTCAAGCCGCGCTCGCGGTGTTTGAGCCGCGAGTCCCCTTGCCAGCCCCCGATTGGACGACCTTCGACGCCGAGGCGCCCGCGGGCGGGTGGGATCGAGCGCGTGACGAACTCACCGCGCTAGCCGCGCTCGCGCGATCGATGTCGCAAGTTGATGTGTTGCGATCGGCGACGTGCGTCGGAATCATGGGTCCGTGTCGACGAGACGTGCCGTGGAGTAAGGAAACCATCGGCGACGCGCAAGCGTTAGAAGATTGCGCGCCGAGTGAAGATTTCTACCTAAGCAACGGACCCGCGCGACAGACGCTCGGTGGAAGCGATAATGTGAGCGTAATGGCGTCTGAATTTATAACGGTCCACTGCACGCAGCGTTACACGTCCACAAGGCTGTCGCTACGCGAATCTCATCCCGAATCCGAGCCCACGGCGTTGCAACCGATGTGCGCGCCGGCGACGCCAGTGAAGGCTTCCAAGCGTGCGCGAGGGTCTACTCGAGCTCCCTTGATCATTCAGAGCGGATCTATGCACTCGACGTGGCGCGCGCGAGTTCTCGCCGAATCCGCGGGTGGGCACACGGTAAATTCGAAGGAGACGACTGATCGATTGGGATTCTTGTCGCGAATGGTTCGCCTTCAGAGCGCGCCAAAGGCGCTCTCGTCGCCCAACTCTCGAGACTCGCGACGCCGCACCAGAAATAGACGAAAACACTTGGCATTAGCTAGCGAAACGCACGCCGATTTGCTCGACATTTCGAACTTTGGCGGTAGCAATCATATGTAGCAAGTACGTACCGGCGCGATGAAATCAGAAAGTCAACCGATGTCGGCGCCGCACTTCGAGGCGCACATGACGTTCGAGCTCACGCCCCGCGCGCTCAAACGCGCGTGCTTAGATCAAAACGGGTGCGTCAAACGAATGCGCGGCTGCGACCCTTCGAAATTCGCGCACGCGAGCCGCGCGAATGCCACCGCTGAACGCTCTCGTTTGACTCGCGCGCAGATATTCCACTCCAGAGCTCAACGAGGTGCTCTACCTTCATCACAGAGGCATCGTCGAGCTGCGGCACTTCGAGCCGTATTCAAATTTACGGTGCTTGCACCTCGAGTGCAACGCCATATCTTCGCTCGACGGTTTGCGAGCTTTGACCGAGCTCTCGCAGCTGTGCGTCGACGGCAACGCGTTGCGCGACTTGCGCGGCGTCGAACGCTTGACAAAACTTCGGCATCTCAACGCGAACGATAACGTGATCGAGACCTTGGAACACGCGCGCGGCCACGGGGCGTTAGAAACGCTGTGCGTGCGCGGGAACCGTCTTCGAGACGTGGGCAAGGCGTTGGAGCCGCTGCGAGCGTGCGCGGCGCTGCGATCGCTCGACGTCTCTCGCAACGACATCGACATCGACGCGGCCACGGACGACGACGCCCGCCGAGGCTTGCTCGAGGCGTTATCACACGTCTCAAACGTCGAACTGCTGTATTTCGCCGACGGTAACCCCGCGTCGCGCTCGACCGAGGCCTATCGCGCCGTCGTCGTCGAAGCCCTCCCTCGCCTCCGCTGGCTCGACGACGCGCCCGTCGACGCCACCTCCCGCCGACTCGCCGCCGCTCGCCTCCTCGACGGCGTTCGAGGCGAAATCCAAGCCCAACGAGACGTCGCCGTCGAGCGTCGTCGCCGCGCCGACGCCGAGCACGCCGCCTTCCCCGTCGCGTGCGCCGCCGTCGCGCGCGCCCGCCGCGCGCGTCCCGTCGCCGACGTCGACGCCCTCGACGCCCTCGACGCCCATCTCGCGTGACCGCGCGCGCCGCCTCATTTTTCCTCGCGCGTCCCTCGCGCGTCGCGCCCCACCGCCGTCGCGCGTTCCTCCAATCGTCGAAATCATCAAATCTCAAATCTCAAATCTCAAATCTCAAATCTCAAATCCAAAAGTCGTTACGCATCCGCGTCCGAGCCGTCGTTCGCACTCACCGCCGCGATGCCCGCCGTCGCCGTCAACGCCGCGTCGCACAACCAGGACTTCACGTACGTCGCCCTGGCGACGTCTCGCGGGTACGTCATCCACAGCACGCTCGACGGCCAGCGGTACCACGGCGACGACGCGCTCGGCGGTTTAAAACTCGTCGAGATGCTCTTCACGTCGTCGCTGTTGTGCGTCGTCGGCGACGGCGACAGCGCGCGCATGAGCCCGAGACGGGTGAAAATACTCGACGCGCGATGCCGACGCGTGCTGGGGGAGATCGCGTGCGCGAGCACGGTGCTGGCGGTGCGATTGAACCGAGCGAGGGTGATCGCGCGAGAGCGAACGCGGTGCACGATATACGAATTGGGGACGCTGGCGAGACAACAGACGATCGATACGGTGGCGTGCGAACGAGGATTGGTGGCGCTGAGCGCGGATGCGGAGAGCTCGGTGCTGGCGTTCGCGGGAAGCGCGAGCGAGGGGAAGGTGGTGGTGCACGATGCGTTGAATTTGTGCGAGATTTGCGAGGTGCGAGCGCACCGAACGCCGCTGGCGGCGTTGGCGTTGAACGCGGATGGGACGATGTTGGCCACGGCGAGCGTGAAAGGAACGGTGATTCGAGTGACGGCGCTGCCGAGTGGGACGAAGATGTGGAGTTTTCGACGAGGGGCGACGAGTTCGGTGATACAGAGTTTGAATTTTGGGGCGACGGCGTTTCAACCGCCGCTGTTGTGCGTTTCGAGCGATAAAGGAACGGCGCACGTGTTCGCGATTGAGGGCGAACCGAAGGAGTGCGAATCGTTCGAGGATCGCGTCGGAGAGACCATCGATGGTGCGCGCGAGACGTCTAACGGGGAAAGTGCGGACGATGTCGCGCCAACAGTGCTCTCGACGGCGGCGACGACGGTTTCGAACGCGCTCGCGAAGTCGCGCGCGGGCGTCTTTGGCAAGCTTGCCAACGCCGCTGGGGCCACTGTGCGAGGCATATCGAGCCGTGTGAAACCTGTTAAAATGTTTGCCGCCGCGCGAAACGCCATGGAACCATCTCGCGCGATCGCGACGGTGAAACTTCCGCACACTTCTTCCACGAAGTGGTCGCTGTGCGCGCTGCAACCGACGCCGGGCACCGCGGCGGATAAGTGGGCGCCACCCTCGCTCGATTCTTCCCAGCCCGCGCGTCAGCTCGAGGCGCAAGTCTCAGTCGTGACATCAGACGCTGTTTTTTACGATTACAACGTCCGTCTGACCTCAGATCGCGCTGGATTCTTCTCTCGCGGCGAGGAAGCCGTCGCGCGACTCGAGCGCGAGTGCAAACTCATCGACGAGACGGACTCGTTCGGCACTTCATCCACCGTCGGTGATTTACCGTCCAACGGACGGTGGATCGAAAGCGCCATCGCCGCCGGTTCAAATCCCGAGTCGGCGCAGGAGTTGCGCACGAACGTCAGCGAGTCCATGTCGCAGTCCATGTTCGGCTGAGCGCGAGCCGACGCCGACGCCGACGAACATTCTTTCCTTTCCCATCATCACTTTTACCGACGACGACGACCAACGACGACGATCGCGCATCATTCATTTCATTTCACGCCCCGTCGGCACTCCGCGCGTCGATCGCTCGCTCGACCGACGCTTTGTAAAACGCAGCCTCGCCGTCGCCGCGTCCGCACAGTCTCGCTCGCCATGCCTCCCGCACGCCGACGAACATGATCCCCGACCACTACGCCGTCCTCGGCGTCTCTCCCACGGCGACGTCGTCGGAGATCAAGCGCGCGTACCTCAGGCTCGCCAAGGAGCACCACCCCGACGTCGCGTCGTCGGGACGTTCGGACGACCAAACCTTTGCCTTGATATCCCACGCGTACGACGTGCTGAAGAACCCAGCGTCGAGGCGCGCGTACGATGGGTCGAGAGGCGACGTCGCGTCGTCGTCGTCCGCGCGCGCGAGCGGCGCGGGCGGCGCGGAGGCGTGGCGCGCGCAGTGGAGGTCGAACGCGAACTGGCGACGACGACCGGGCGGCGACGGCGCGGGCGGGACAAAGTCGAATTCGTACGCGTTCGACGACGACGAGGACTGGGATGGGAACACGTCGTATACCGCGGCTGAGGTCGAGCGAAGGAACGCGAGCGAGCGGACGCGGGCGCGGGAGAAGGCGGACGCGGCGAGGTGGTGGAAGCACGAACGGTTGAGCGCCGAGCGGCGACGACGACAGTTTCGAGAAGCGGACGCGGCGAAAACAGCGAGGCGTAGCGAACGCACGCTGCATAAAGTTTCAAGTTTATGGCACGCGCGCGCGAGGGTGGTTTGGCAGGATGTCGCCGTGCTCGCCGTCGGCGCGGCGGTGTGTCTGTACGCTGGGTTCAGATACGCCGGCGCCGGTGCGCGGAATGGTGGCGAACGCGAACGCGAACGCGGCGACGATCGTTCGTGATCCTAGTCGCGAATCTTAGAATATTTCATTTCAATCGTAGCATAGCGTTCATAGAGCACCGCTCGCTCAACCGCAATGAAATTTCTCGCGCGAAAATGTTGAAAATCGATAGCTTGCATATACATATACCCGAGTGTCCGATAAACACGTTGCGGTGTCGCGAGAAAAAGCGCACTTCGTAAAGTGCCGCATTGCGTCGCGAACGCGCCCGCGCGTCGACGTCTCGCCCCGCGCGAGCGCACGCGCGCGCGCGAACGATCGAGCGAAACACTCCCGTCCGTCTTTCGCCCATCGCGCGCATCGCGCGTCGTCGCGCGCGTCGTCGCGCGCGATGTTTCACCACGCCGCGACCGGCGCGTTCGCGCCGCGGCGAATGCCGACGCCGCGCGACGACGCGCGCGGGAACGCGAGCGCGCGCGCGTCGAACGACGCGATGCAACGCATTTCGTGCGACGCGCGCGTGGGATCGGAGGGCATCGTCAGGCGACCGACGCCGAGACTCGGCGGGAAAGGTGCGACGAGGGACAATCCGACGTGGACGCGCGGCGAGGGTTTCCTGGACGCGAACGCGAACGCGAACGCGAACGCGGACTGACGACGCGCGAGCGAGCGATGACGCAGGACCGAGCGCGCTGGAACGAGAGTTGAAGGCGATGCAACGAGGAGGGAGCGAACGGGACGGCGGGGACGCGTCGGGGCGAGAGGCGGAGCGAGCGTTTCACAGCGTGCACGATTTGGTGCACTACGCGATTTTGTCGCAACCGAACGCGTTGGCGAGCCTGCGGATGATTTATTCGATTTGTCAGCGCGCGGGGAGGATCGCGAGCAAGCATGGTGCGGGATCGAGGTTGATCACGGCGAATGAACACTGGAAATCGCAGATTAGACACGCGTTGTATACGTCGCCGAGGTTTAAGAGAATCGGGAGCGACGATTGGGGCGTCGCCGCGGGGCACTCGGCGATGCCGGATACGACGACGGTCTACGTGAGTAAGGATGAACGGAAGAACGCAGAAAAGACGCATGCGGTGAGTCGCGCTTCGACGGTTTCATCGTATTCGCATAAGTCGCTCTCGTCGCCGAAAAAGCGACGCTTGTCGACGAGCGCGTCTGTGAAGCCGGCGTCCAAGGCCGATGAATATAGATCATCCACTGAGCCGGAGACGGTTTCCATGCTCGCGCTCGAGGGCGAGAAAGCGTTAAAACTACTTCATTCGGCGAGTGGGCACTCAGGAAGCGCGCAAAGCGCGTTGTCGATGGAAGACGCCGTTGGCGCCGGATCGAGAACGGGCCGAACGATGACGAAGAGTCCGAGCCCAAGACAGCGTTCGCACTCACGCTCGCGCTCGCGCTCGTGCTCGCCCGAGCCACGTGAAAGCTCCACGCTCGTGGTCGTGGCAGGGCTATTAGAGCACGAGGGCAAGGTTCTGCCACGCGATTTTCGTCGAAACAGACGTAAACCTTTCGGTGGAGGGCATCACGCCGCCATGCCCGCGGACAGCGAGTGCCGCGTGGACCAGTCGCCCTGCCCCGTGACCGGGCTAGATTCGTACTAGCCAACCATTTTTTGCTTGATTTTGATTGTTTTGGTCTGCATCCTCGCGATGTCGAATGACATTTTGTACCATTTTTGTAGCCTACTTTTGCGGAGGGAAGAGCTGACCGTAAAAAAGAATTCTTTTGCAATGAAGAAATTTTTTCATTAAACGACTCGTTGCCGTTGTCCTACGTTTCTATCACGCGCACGCCCCGAGCGATGCGCCTTGTACTGCCGCCTGAAGAAGTTCTTTGGGCGTCATCTTATCGCTCGATCCCGTTTCACGCCAACTCGCCTGCTTCGATCTCCACTCGCGCGCGAGCTTGGCGAGACGCAAAAATCGTTCCTCCTCGCTATCTTCAATCGCTTTAATCGTCGAGTAGTGCACGCCGGTGTGCGCTTCTTCATCGGGCGATACTTCCGGTGCCTCCATGCGCGCCTTGATGTTCCTCTTACGATGCAAACCCTCCAATTGCGCGCTCAAAGCGTCGTGCGCCGAGTTCGTGCTACTCCTACTCGCCCGCCCTTTCCCAAACGACGTCTTCGCGTTCGAATCCATCGCCGCGATCTCCTCCGCGCTCGGTATCCTCTGCGCCGCGATCGGCTTAATCACCCGTTTACCGCGCTTCTTCGCCGCCCCCAGATCCCCAGCCTTCATCCGATTCAACTGCGCCGCCACCTCGCCGCGTCGCTCCTCCTCCGTCTTTCGCCTCGACGTCGCCTCCTCCCGCCCATCCCCATACCGCGCCTTCCACCGCCAATCGTGCTCCGCCCACTCCACGTCGCCCTCCCCTAGCACCGCCGCCGCGCTCGGCGACCCCTCGCGCTCGAGCAAAGCCACCCGGAGCGTTCGATACGCGCTCTGCGCGCGCTTAAACGCCTCCCCGCTCGCGTCGCCCGCGATGTCCGGGTGCGTTCGCATCGCGCTCGCTCGAAACGCCCGTTTCAGTTTCCGTTCATCCTGCGCGTCGCCCATCGATATCTCTAATTCCGCGCACGCCTTCTCCACCGCGTCTCGCGTGCGTATCTCGCACGTCGTCGTCGTCGTCGTCGTCGCGCGTCCACCCCGCCTCGCCGTTCGTCGCGCGTTCCCGCGTTCCCTCGCGCTCGCGCGCGGGAATTCGCGCGCGTTCGACACCGCGCGCGCGAAGCTCAGGCGCATCGTCGCCCGTCGCCGCGCGTCGCCGCGCGCGAGGCCGTCGCGGCGTCGTCCGCGGCGCCCCGACGCGGCGTCCGAGGGGGGCGCGAGGGGCGCGCAGTCGGTCCGTGTGTTAAAGTGCCTCCGTGGTCTCCCATAAACGCCCGCGCACTGTTTGCCGAGCGCGGCGGCGGCGGTCGGTCGTGGAACGCGATGGAAGCCATCGGACGTCGCGATCGCACACGGCGACGCGCGCGCGATCGCGCCATGACGACGGCGAACGAGCTCAAGGATGTCGGCAACGGGCATTTCAAAAACGGCGCGTACGACGACGCCGTCGCGGCGTTCACGCGCGCGATCGAGCTCGACGCGACGAATCACGTGCTGCACAGCAATCGAAGCGCGGCGCACGCGGGCGCGGAGCGATGGAGCGACGCGCTGCGAGACGCGGAGCGCACGATCGAGCTGAAATCTGATTGGGGGAAGGGATACGGACGAAAGGGCGCGGCGCTGTTCGGCGCGGGCGATCTGGAGGGGGCGCGAGAGGCGTACGCGGCGGGGCTGGCGCTGGAGCCGGAAAACGCGATGCTGCGGAGCGGATTGGAGGACGTGGAGTTCGCGATGAAGCGAAAGGGAGAGAGCGACGCGGGGATGAATCAAATCGGAGACATGTTCCGCGCGCCGGATCTCATGGCGAAGTTGGCGATGAATCCGGCGACGCGGGAATACGTGAGTCAACCGGATTTCTTGGCGATGATGGAGGAGGTGAAAAGAAACCCGTCGGCGCTTAATAATCACCTGAGAGATCCGAGAATGATGAACGTGTTGAGCGTGGCGATGGGCGTGAAGGTGATGAGCGGCGACGACGCGGCGAAGGAGTTCGGGGAGCACGAGGCAGATTCGAAAAAGACGGAACCCGCGCCGAAGGCGCCGGTCGAGGAACCGGCGAAAGCGCCCGAACCCGAGGTCTCCGAGACTCGTAAGCAAGCGTTGGAGGCCAAGGAGGCGGGCAACGCTGCGTATAAGAAGCGTGATTTTGACACCGCTATCGCGAATTACGACAAGGCGATAGAGTTAGATCCCGAGGACGTATCGTTTCTGAACAATCGCGCGGCGGCCAACTTGGAGAAGGGCGATTTGGACGCGTGCATCGCCGATTGCGAATCCGCCATCGAGAAAGGACGATCGATTCGTGCCGACTACACCATCATCGCCAAGGCGATGACTCGCAAGGGGAACGCGCTCGTGAAGCAGGGCAAGCTTGAGGCGGCGATTGACACGTACCAGCGCTCGCTCACCGAGCACCGCACCGCGGATACTCTCAAGCGATTGAATGACACGGAAAAGGCGCTCAAAGACGCCGCGACCGCGGCGTATTTGGATCCAGTGAAGGGAGAGGAAGCGCGCGAGCGTGGTAACGCCTTTTTCAAGGATCAAAAGTTCCCCGAGGCGGTGAAGGAGTACAGCGAAGCCATCGCTCGGAACCCGAACGATCACAAGGCGTACTCCAATCGCTCCGCCTCGTACACCAAGCTCGCCGCGTTCAACGAAGCGTTGAAAGATGCGGAGAAGTGCATCGAACTCGAGCCCACCTTCGCGAAGGGTTACACGCGCAAAGGGCACGTGCAGTTTTTCACCAAGAGCTACGACGACGCCGTGGAGACGTACACCGAAGGCTTGAAGCACGACCCGAACAACGAAGAACTCAAGGATGGTTTGCGACGGTGCCACGAGCAAATCAACCGCGGCGCGATGGGACAGCTCAGCGAAGAAGAGATGAAGGCTCGTCAAGAACGCGCGATGGCGAACCCGGAGATTCAAGGCATCCTGAGCGACCCCGTGATGCGCCAAGTCTTACAAGACATGTCCACCGATCCCAAGGCGGCGGCCGAGCACCAGAAAAACCCCATAATCATGGCCAAGGTGCAAAAGCTCATCAACGCCGGCATCGTGCAGGTTCGATAGCGCGCTAAATTGAATACATCATCATCACAAACATTTTTTACTCGCGTCGCGTCGTCGCTCGTCGTCGCGCGCCCGTCTCAATCCTCCACGCTCGCCGTCCCGCGCTGCGCCGCCCATCGATCGTACGTCCGCTGCGCCGCGTCATCGATCCCTCCTCCCACGATATCGATCGACCTTCCGATCGTCATCGTCGCCGCTTTCGAGAACCCCGGAATCGCTCTCAGCAACCGCGGCACCTCCGCCGCGATCTTCACCCGCACCTCCGTCTCCACGACCGTCTCCGTCGCGCTCGACCGCGATTCATCGATCCCCACTCGCGCGTCGATGTGCGCCCACACCCCCATCGTCGCGAATCCCGGCGGCAGCTTCGCTTTATCGCCCGCGAATCGCAACTCGTCGCCCACCAACCGCGCTCGCCCGTCCACCCGTCCCGCGCCGTCCGCCGCGATCGCCTCGATCGCGAACGCCGGCGCGATCTCCCACGCCAGCAGCGCTCTCGGCGCGACCGCGACGTCGTACGCGCGTCCGCCCCGCGGTCCTCGGTGCTCGCGCTCGCGCGCGTCCGCCGCGCCGAAGACGAGCTCGACAAAGTTCGCGGGCTCGGCGAGCCACGCGCGCACGCTCGCGTCGCGCCCGCAACCGGCGTCGCGCACCGCGAGCGCGATGACGCGCTCGACCGCGAAGGCGTCGTAGCCGGGCGGCGGCGCCGGCGGCGGCGCGTCGACGTCGATGACGTCGCGCGAGGACGACGCGCGGCGGCGCGACGGCGCGCGCGCGACGCGGCGCGGGACGGACGCGGACGCGCGCGGCGCGCGAGCGACGCGGGGCGTCGCGCGGACGCGCATCGCGCGCGCGGCGAGCGCGCGGCGAGCGCGCGGCGCAGTGCGCGAGGCGAGCGCGCGCCGCCGCCATTTCGCGACGCGACGCGAATCGTCGAACGTCGCGCGAGCGCTCGATCGCGCGCGAAAGCGAGCGAGAGAAGGACGCGCGGGAGCGACGCACATGCCGCGATTGCCCGAGCGCGCGCGCGCGCGCGAGGGCGAGGACGAGGACGAGGAGGACGAGTACAAGGCGGTCGGCGAGGGCGAAGAGGAATCGAGCGATGACGACGACGACGACGACGACGCGATGGACGCCGATCGAGGCGACGGAGAGGCGCGAGAGGCGCGGCGTAAAAGACCCGAGGTGTGGCGACCGGGATCGGCGGAAGACGAGGACGTGGAGCTGGAGTACGACGAGAGCGCGTACGACGCGCTGCACGCGTTTTCGCACGAGTGGCCGTGCCTGTCGCTGGACGTGATGAGGGATGATTTAGGCGAAGGAAGGGAGGTGTTCCCGCACGAGATGACGATCGTGACGGGAACGCAAGCGATGGAGGCGACGAAGAACGTGCTGAGCGTGATTAGGGTGAGTCGGATTAAGAAGACGCGGCGAGACGCGGACGCGGACGAGGACATGGAGGCGAGCGATAGCGACGACGACGAGGACGGTGGGTCAGACGCGCCGACGTTGACGGTGGCGAGCGTGGTGCATCATGGATGCGTGAATAGATTGCGAGCGATGCCGCAAAGACCGAGCACGTGCGCGAGTTGGAGCGATTCTGGGCACGTGATGATTTGGGATTTGAGCGCGCAGTTGAAAAAGGTGATGACGTCGACGAACGATTCCAAGGGCAAGATCGATCCACCGTCTCGAGTGACGCCTACGCAAGTGTTCACGGGTCATAAAGACGAAGGCTACGCCCTTGATTGGTCCTCGGTGTGCGAGGGAAGGCTCGCGAGTGGTGATTGCGCCGGGGCGATTCACACGTGGGACATGGTGCAAGGTAAGTGGGACGTCGGCGCGACGCCGTACACCGGGCACTATTCGAGCGTGGAGGACATCCAGTGGTCCCCGACCGAGCGAGATGTGTTCATATCGTGCTCTGCCGATCAAACGGTGTGCGTGTGGGACACGCGACAGCGCGCAAAGCCGGCGTTGCGCGTCAAGACGCACGACTCGGACGTCAACGTTCTGTCGTGGAACAGACTCGCCAACAGCATGGTCGCCACAGGCGCCGACGACGGATCGTTGCGAATCTGGGATCTTCGCAACTTTAACGAAACCAACGCGCAATTCGTGGCCAACTTCACCTTCCACCGTGCCGCGGTGACGTCCGTGGATTGGGCGCCGTTCGACTCAGCCATGCTCGCCTCTTCCTCCGCCGACAACACCGTCTGCGTGTGGGATTTAGCCGTCGAGCGCGACGCCGAGGAAGAAGCCGCCGCGCTCGCGGCGAAGGATAACGCCGCGCCGCCCGAGGACCTTCCTCCGCAGCTCATGTTCGTCCATCAAGGCTTGAAGGATCCAAAGGAAATCAAGTGGCACCGTCAAATCCCGGGCGCGTGCGTCACCACCGCCGCCGACGGCTTCAACATTTTCAAAGCCTACAACGTCGGCCCCGCCGTGCCGTGATTCGAGCCTACAACGTCGGCCCCGCCGTGCCGTGATTCGAGCGCGCGCGCGTCGACGCATATCGCACGTCGCGCTAGAGCTCTATAATATCAATACAACACACTACGACTACCACGCTACGTTTCTACGTCTCTCGGTTCCGTCCCGAACCGCGAGGTCTCCATCTACCCCCACGCCGGCGTCGTCGAGTAAAACACCACCAACCGTCCGCCCTCATCGTTCCGCTCCCCGTATCCATCGCACAGCGCCCCCACGCGCGCGTCGTAGCTCGGCGTGAACGCCGCGCCGAGGTACGCGAACGCGCGCTCGCGCTTGATGAGTTTGCTCAGGTGCGCGACGACGTCCTCGAACCGCGCGTCCGCGCGCACGCGTACCTTGTTCTGACGCAAGATCGGCGCGTCGCCCGTGGCTTTGAAGAGCACGACGACGCGCCGCGACGGGTCGAGGTCGGGAGGCATCGAGCGAGGGTCGCGAAGTGCGGCGCGTCGCGAGCGTCGGCGAAAAGACAAAACGGCGTCGGAAGTTACAAAGCTCATCTCCTCATCTCGGGTACGGACCGTCGCGACCGTGCGCGGCGTCTAAATCGACGTTCGGACCGCACGGTACGATGGCGTGCGGGTTCAGGCTCGGATGACTGGCGAAGTAGTGCTGTTTGATGTGCGCGAAATCCGTCGCTCGTCGCAGCGCCGGCATCTGATAGAGCTCTCGCACGTACGCCCCCATGTGCTCGTATTGGTGGATGAATTTTTTGTTCGTCTTGAAGTACACGACGTAGACTTCGTCGAATCTGATCAAAGTCATGAAAAGTCGAACGTCGGCTTCGGTGAAGACATCGCCGGCGATGTACCGCGAGCGCGCGAGCAACTCCTCGCATCGGTCCAACGCTGAAAACAGATTCTTCACCGCTTCGTCGTACGCGCTCTGCGATACGGCGAACCCGCACTTGTACACGCCGTTGTTGATATCATCGTAAACCCACTGATTGATCTCGTCGATCTTGGGACGTAAGTGCTCGGGATATAAATCCACCTCTCGCGCCGCGTCGCTCGAGCAAAAATCTTGAAATTTTGTATTCAATTCTCTCAATATCTCGCTGCTCTCGTTATTCACGATCGTTTTTCGTAAAGTGTCCCAAATCAAAGGCACCGTGAATCGCTGTTCGGTCGGTGCGCCACAGATCTCGTACAAATCTCTCACGAATTCCGCGCCCTCGCACGCCGTCGCGGAGCACCGAGCGTCGGCCTCAAACGCTCCTCTCCCGCTCGGTCCCGTCACGACGGTTCCCGGCTTCACGAACCGCCATCCCGCGTGCGCGTCGTTCGGGTCGTTCGGTCGAGTCTTACCCCACACGGGATGCGTCACCGCGACGTCGAGGACGTCCTCGAGGCCTTTCGCGCGCAAAGCGGCCAGGCACCTCGTGGCCCACGGGCACGCTAAACTGACGACTAAGACGTAGCGGTGCGCCTCGGGCGGGTGCGCGCCGTTCGCGTCGAACGCGTTTCTGAACGTCGACGCTTTCCTGGCGAAAGCGCCGGTGGGGGAGACGTCGGCGACGGCGGTGCGATCCATGGCGATGAATGAATGGCCGCCGCGGCGCGGTGTGCGGCGCTCGGGACGCGTCTTCGGGACGGGGTCGGACGGTGAAATAAGTCTTGAGAACGATCGTTACAAGGAATGAGAGAACGATCGGTGCCGTGAGATATTGATAGATGCGCGCGGTGACTCGGAGAGTTCGATTCTGCGGGAGGAGACGAAACGCGGCGCGCGTCAGTCAAAGCTCTCGGCGATTCGCGTCGGGACGCCGTCGAATAGTCGAGTAGGGGCGCATCGCGGTTAATTTTACGTACACGCTTCGTCCAAGGCGGCGACACCCGGCAAGACCTTGCCCTCGAGTAATTCGAGGGAGGCACCACCGCCGGTGGAGATGTGAGACATCTTGTCCGCGAGGCCAGCCTTTTCGACGGCGGCGACGGAGTCGCCACCACCGATGATCGTGATGCCGTTCAAGTTCGCGAGGGTGTCGGCGATACCGAAGGTACCCTTGGCGAAGGCGTCCATTTCGAACACACCCATCGGACCGTTCCAGATGACGGACTTGCACTCGTTGAGTTCGCCTTGGAACGCCTTGAGGGAGTCCGGACCGATGTCGAGACCCATCCAGCCTTCCGGAATGTTGTCGACGGAGACGATTTGCGTCTTGGCATCTTCGGCGAACTTGTCCGCGACGACGACGTCGGTCGGGAGCAAGATCTTCACGCCCTTGGCTTCAGCCTTGGCCATGAGTTCCTTGGCGAGGTCGATCTTGTCGTCTTCAACGAGGGACGCGCCGACGGACTTGCCGAGCGCCTTGTAGAAGGTGAAAATCATACCGCCGCCGAGGATAATCTTGTCCGTCTTTTGCAACAAGGACTCGATGACGCCGATCTTGGAGGACACCTTAGAGCCACCGACGATGGCGCAGAACGGGCGTTCCGGGTTGGAGACCGCACCGTCGAGGTAGTCGAGTTCCTTTTGGAGCAAGAAACCGGCGACGTTCGTCTTGCAGTACTTGGTCACGCCCTCGGTGGAGGCGTGCGCGCGGTGCGCGGTTCCGAACGCGTCGTTCACGAAGATCGTCGCGCTGCCCGCGAGCTTCTTCGCGAAGTCAGAGTCGTTCTTCTCTTCTTCCTTGTAGAAGCGCGTGTTCTCGAGCAAGCACACGGAGCCGTTCGGCATGGACGCGACCGCCTTCGCGACTTCGTCGCCGACGCAGTCGTCCACCTTCGTCACCGGGCACGACAACTTCTCGGACAATCGCGCCCCGACCGGGGTCAATCGGAACTTATCCTCCGGTCCGTTCTTCGGTCGGCCCTATTTTTGCGCGCGTCGTCGTCCCCCTCGTCAGTCGCTCGCGTCTCGTCGCCCCTCGTTCGTCTCGATCCGATTCGCGGATAAGTGGATAAACCACCCTCTCGTCGCGCGCGCGCCGATCGCGATGATCACGCACCAAGTGCGACGTCACGAGCACCTTGGCGCCGTTCTTCGCCAGGTACTCGAGCGTCGGGATCGCCGCGCGAATGCGCGTGTCGTCCGTGATGTTCAGGTCCGCGTCCATCGGCACGTTCAGGTCGCATCGCACGAACACGGTTTGGCCCTTGAGGTCGCTCTCGGCGAGGTCGCCGACGGATTTCTTCTTCGCCTCGACGACGACGGCGGCGCGCGTCGCCGCGGGGCGCGCGCGGGGCGCGGAGAGTCGTTGGCGGGGCGCCGCGGCGGGCTTGAAGCCGGTGAACGTGGCGAGCGATTGCATGGCGTGCGGATAGTGCGGGGCGATCGCGGCGCGATCGCCCATCCGGCGCGCGCGGCGACCGACCGGATTTAGGATTTCGATGTACACGCGATCTATGTACGCGGGGCGCCGGCGTACGCGCGCGGGACGGCGAGTCGAGCGCGCGAACGCGTCGCGGGCGCCGACGCCGAGCGACGCGCGCGCGAAAGAGGACGTTGGACGCGTCGCGACGCGTCGCGACGCGTCAGGACGCGGCGGAGGCGTTGGCGGCGGTGGCGTTGGGGTCGGCGACGTCGCCGGGCGGCGCGGGCGGGGGGGGCGGCGGCGCGTACTGATCGCAGTCGTTCACGTTGGGAAGGCCGAAGGACGCGCACCAGTGGTCGGTGGCGAAGGTTTCGCAGCCCGTTTTGCAGAGACGGGCGCGGTAGTCGTCGATGCCGTCGTCGGTGTAGGAAATTCGAGGGCGAGCGCGCGCGAGCTCGAGCGCGTCGTACGCGCCTCTGGCCCGGACGGCGTCGGCGGCGCAAGAGAGGAGGGCGATCGGGCACACCTGCCAGCACTCGGTGGATCCGATGGCGTTGTTGGATTCACCCGCGGCGCACGGGATGCAGCTGTCGATGGAGGCGCCGCCGGAGAGAACGCTGTACGTGCCGACTGGACACGGCGTGCACGTCTCGGCGCGCGCCGCCGAGTAATACCCGGGCGCGCACGGCGTGCACGCGTCCCCGGCGCCTCCTCCGGACGTTCCCGCGGGACAGTCTGTGCACGAAGTCGCGGCTAACGTCGAATCGAACGTCGATCCATCCCCCGTCGCCGGCGCTCGCCACGAGCGCGTCGTCTTTTCGTAATAATCCTCCAGCGTGCTCTTCCCCGACGTCCCCGCTCCGCACGCCGTGCACCCGACCGTGTTCCCAACCTTCGTGCTAAAAGTCCCCACCGGACACGGTTCGCACGTCGCCTGCCCCGTCCGCGAGTTGAACCATCCCGCCGGGCACGACACGCACGTCTTTTGCGCCGCCAGCGGCTGCACCGTCCCCGCCGCGCACGGTTCGCACTTGCAACTGTAAAACCGCGACGTCGAGTCTCCTTCGCACGCCTTACACACCGATCCCGGGCAGCATCCGACGCCGCGTCCGCCTCCCGCGAGGCACCCGTCGTCGCTGCGAAACACCGCGTCGGGCGCGTTCTCCGAAAACGCCACGAAAATCGCCGTCTGTTCCGCCGCCACGCAGTTCCCATCGCTCGCCTGCGCCTCAGCGCGCGTCACGCCGTCGCGTCCGAGCGCGAGCGCGCACGCGATCGACAGCGCGCGCGCCGCGCGCCGTCGAATCCGTCCCGCGGGCATCCTTCGAACGCGCGCGCGACCGCGCGTCGTCTTCATCGCGAGGTCGTCTTCATCGGGAGCGTCGCTCGCGCGATGCGTCGCGCCGCGACCGCGCGTCGCGCCCTCGCGCGACGCGTCGCGCGGCGTCGCGCGCGCGGCGTCGCGGTGTGCCGACGCCTCGCCGGCGGCTGCAGATCTCGACGCGCGACTTCCGCGTCGCCGCGTCGCGACTCGCCGCGCGCGCGCCGCGAGCGACGCGCGGTCGAACTTGGCGTCGCGCGCGTCGCTCGAATCGTCGAACGCGCGCGCGCGAGCGACGCGAGGGACGCGAATCCGCGGGACGAATCTGATTGCGTCGCTCATCCGAAGCGCCGCGACCGACATGTACGCGATGACGGCGGCGCTGGACTACGGCATCGTCGAGGACGACGACGGGGGGGACTACGATCTCGCGATGGACGCGCTGGCGATCGAGCGACGGGCGACGGAGTTTTTGCTGGACGACGACGGGTCGACGACGAGCGAAGGCGGCGAAGGCGAAGGCGAAGGCGAAGGTGGCGCGAGATCGGGCGAACGAAGACATCGCGGTGAACACGGCTCGAACGGAGAGTTTCGGGACGCGAGCGTGCGATATCGATTGCTGTGCCCGACGACGAGGATCGGGAGGGTGATCGGGAAGGAGGGACGGGTGATCAAGGCGACGCGCGCGGAGACGGGGGCGCGGGTCAAGGTGGCGCCGACGACGCGAGGGGCGGACGAACGCGTGATATTAGTCGCGAGCGGGGACGATCTGACGGTCGGAGAAGATGGAGAGGGGATGACGACGGCTGAGGTGGCGCTGTTCAGGATATTTGATACGATCACGGGAGAGGAGGGGGTGACGGCGGCGCGAGGCGGCGAAGGCGAAGGCGAAGGCGAGGCGAGCGGAGGGTCCACGCGGGGGGCGTCGACGCCGATTTGTCGACTATTAGTGCCGCGCGTGCAGGTCGGGAGCTTGATTGGGAAAGGAGGGACGGTGATCAGCGCCATACGTGCGAGTTCTGGGGCCACGGTGCGCGTGATGCCGGCGAATATGTTGCCCGCGTGCGCGAGTCAAGGCGACGAGCTGTTGCAAATCACCGCGCCTTCGCGAGACGCGGATGGCGCCGAGCGCGATCAGAAACTATCCATGGCGAGCGTGAAGAACGCGTTGAGAATGATCGCGAAGCACTTGAGAGAGTACCCGTCGAAGAACGCGGCCACGGAGTCGAATCGGAGCCCGTTTGAGGCATTTATGATCGGGAATAAAACTGCCCCGCACGCGGGCGTCGAGTCGCCGGGCGCGAAGAACGGCGGGCACATGTCGACCAGGATGAACCTTAACGGCGTCTACGTCCCGGGAGGGACGGAAATCACGTTCAGGTTGCTCTGTCCGGTGTCGAAGACAGGAAGTGTCATCGGACGCAACGGCGAAGTAATTCAACAAATTCGCAGTCAAACCGGCGCCAAGGTGAAGGTTTGCGAGCAAGTCAACGGTGCGGAGGAACGCATCATCTGCGTGAGCTCGAGCGATGATGGCTTGGCTCCTATGCTCGCCGCACAAGTGGCTTTGTTCAGAGTCTACCGATGCATCGTCGAAAGCGCTGGAAACGAGATACCGCTGCCGTTTAGATTGCTCGTGCAGACGTCTCAAATCGGGTGCTTGATCGGCAAGGGCGGGAGCATCATCAAGCAAATTCGCAACGAAACCGGGGCGACGGTGCGCGTGTTGCCCTCCGAGGCGCTCCCATCGTGTGCGAATGACGATGAGCTTCTTGAAATCGGTCAATGGCCTGCCGATGCGTGTGCGCTCGGGATTCGCATCGTCAGCGGCCGTCTTCGCGGCAACATTCGGCACAAGGCGGCGGAGCGATTGACATCCACGGCAGACGCTCAAAACACGCAAACGATGGGTTTCGACGCCACTTGGCAGCAAGCCGAGCTGATACCGTATGGTATGACGCAAACCGCGTACGGATCGCCGGAAACGGTGATGATGTCGAAAACAAAGTCCACTGGAGGCGCGCGAGCGCCTCCGGTCGAAATTGCCCCGGGCGTGTCCGTTGTGAACAGCGTGCAGATGGCCATCTCATCTCAACACATCGGTAGCGTCCTCGGTCGCGGTGGATGCAATATCTCGCTCGCTCGTCAAGTCAGTGGCGCGAGAATCAAGCTCTATCCCGGCGCCGCGGGCTCGCGCCGTACGGCTGACCGCTCCGTCGATTCCGACCGCTTGTTGGAGATTAGCGGCTCGAGCGAGCAAGTCGCCTCCGCGCAAGACATCATCCAGCGCTTCATCGCGTCCTCTGGCGCAATGCTTCCAGAATTTGCCAGCTTTACCGCAACTGGCAAGCAGCACGAGCCCGAAACCGCGATGTTCGTCGTCTCCTAAGACGGCGACGAATCGCGCGGCTCGTCTCAATTTTTTCCAGTTCATTTCTTTTGTCTTCCTCGCGCGCGAACAGCCGCGACGCGAAGCTTCACCATCGCGCACTACTACTCTAGTCACCAAGTCACCACCGACTCCACCGATGACAACTTCACCTATCAAGGCACCACTTAAAACGTAGAAGTCGCGTTGTCACAGTACGAATCGCGCCTCGAAAAACGTCCCCGCGCCGGGTCGACGCGCGAACACGATCACGCGCCGACGACGCGTTCATTCGACGACGAGCTCGCCATTACACTACAATCAATCGCTAACGGGCGGGTGCACCACTAAAACGTAAAATTAATCCCCTTCCCGACCTCGAATCCGGCGATCTCCAACAACCCCTTCCCCGCGACGGCTTCCACGAGCAGCAGGCTCCACCACCCAATCATGCTCGCCCGCGAGTTTTGTCGCTCGGCGTTCTCCACGAATCCGAACGTCGCCGGTTCGATGACGGGGACGATGGGCGGCGGCGGCACTCCCGGCGGGGACGCGCGCGCGTTGGACGCTTTCGTCGCTTGTTGCTTTTTGTTTTCCGCGATGGCGTCGCCGATGGCGTCGAACGGGCCGGCGCGCGGCGCCGCGCGGGCGGCGCGGCGCGGCGCGCGGGCGGGAGTGACGCGGGACGTCACGGGGGACGCCACGAGCGCGCGAGAGGTGAGCGCGAACGACATGTCGAAGCGTTCGGGGCGCGTAGTGACGACGCGGGGCGGGACTTTCGTGACGTCGACGTCATCTGGATCACGGTATGGGCATACAGTGAGGAAAGAGAAGGTCGAACGCGCGCGAGGGAAGAACGCGACGCGCGACGGCGACGGTCGGCGCGGTGGTTCGGAAGTGTGCTTTATTTTCGTTTCGTCGTCCGCGTGCGCTACGTGAGTCGGTCGTCGTCGTCGTCGCGCGCGTCGTCGTCGACGGCGGCGCGGTCGGCGAAGTCGAAACGCTCGACGAGAGACATTTTGCCGCCACCGCCGAGGTCAAAGATGAGGCGGGAGTACTCGCCGCGCTCGCTGATGATGATGCACGAATCGGGATCGGCGGCGGGGAAGGTGACGAGCGACCGCGCGGTGGACGGAAGCTTGAACTGCGCGAGCGACCACTCGCTGCTAAAGTATTTGGGGAGGAGTTTCTTGACGAAACCGGCGGCGGGTGAAGAAGAGGAAGGCGTGCGGGCGCCGTTCGAGGACGGTGTCGGTATCGGTGACGCCGTCGGTGCGCTCGAAGACGCGCTGGGGGTTTCTGGAATCCTGAACACGTGCACCGTGCCCTTGTCGCTCGTGACACAGAGCAAATTCTTCTTCGGCGAAAACGCGAGCGAGTACACTCGAGCTCGATCCGAGCCGCGACGGAATTCGTGCACGAGCGACGCCGTGTGCGTATCGAAGATCCGAATGAGCGTTCCTTTCTCGCTCGCCGTGGCTAATAACGAACCATCCGCGCTCAATCCCAAGCACGCCAACGCCGTCTCGTGCGCGGCGATGAACTTCGTCGTCCCTAAATCAAACAATTCCACCCGTACCTGCCCTCTATTCAACCCCGGGCACGCCATCACCGTGCGTTCCGTTGTGGGCGATATCGCGCACAACCCGCGCTCGTTCGCCGCCGTATCAATCTGCTGTTCCATCTTTAAATCTGAAAAATTGTACACAAAAATTTTATGCGCCAAAGCGACGACCACCTTATCCCGCCGCAAACGCACCCCGCGCACCGGCACCTTGAACCCAAGCTCGCCGATGCATCTTCCTTGATGATCGTCCCATATCATCACCTTATTCGGCGAGAACTTCGGTTCGTCGCCGCCTCCAACCAGCGCTAATATATTGCACCTAAAGAGCATCTCCACGATTCCCACGCCGCCGTCTCGAAACTTCCGTCCAAAGGTTTCGCGGTACGGCGACGTGTTGTACACTGAAAACCCACGCGCGCGTCCGTCGCGCCGCGCGACGGCGAAGCACGCGCCGTCTTGGTTGTACGATATCGACAGCGGTTCGCCCATGGCGAATGCGAATCTAAATCTAACGAAACAAACGACGCGTCGCGCGCGATCGTCGCGTCGGCGAAGCGGTCGACGCGTCAAACGGCGCGTGAAGGGGTGTTCTCGCTATGGATACGCTGCTAGGGCGGCTAAGACGCGCGAGGCGCGGGCGGGTGTGCGGGAGCTCGTCGCGGCGGTTGGCGATGGCTACGGTTGGCTACGCGCCGCGAGCGACGCACTTCCAAACCGCGAATTTCGCGTCGTCGGTGCCCTGGCGGGTGATTTTGAGCGTGTCTGCTGTGGTGCCAGCGGCGATGGCGCGCACCGGGACGTATCGCTGGGCGACGAAGTACGCGATGCCGTCGGGACGGCGGAGCCGCCGAGCCAAACCGGCGAGGAATTCTCGAATCGGCACAAAGTCCACGGCGAGGCCCAAGTGCACGGGAGGGTTGGATAAGATCAGGTCGAACGCGCGATCGCTTTTCTCTAGGGCGCGCCAGCCGTCGGAGAGAATGAACTCGACGTCGTCAGAGAGATTTCTTTTCGCCGCTTCGAGCGCGCACGCATCCGCGTCGAGAAGCCAGAGCCTTGATTTCTTCGCCTTGGCGCGCACGGCGGCGGCGATTTGACCGGCACCGGAGCAGTAATCTAACACTTTCAGTTTGGATTTTCGCTCGATCGTCGGAAGCACGCTTCGAAGGAGTAGCGTAGTCATGACATCCAAGCCGCCGCCGGCGAACAATCCGGGGTAGGCGACCCACGGTACTGAATGTTCGGTCGTCATGACGTCGCTCAAGTCGAGCGTTTTCTTTTCTCTCCACTTCTTCAACTCTTTACCTTTCTTGTCCGGTTGTGCGCTAGAGCGCACGCAGTGCACGACGCCGTATTTATCGTCGTGCATGACTAATCTCGTTCGCTCGAATAATCCCTTCGGACAAAAAAAGCGGTGTCAGTCATCGGTATCCATCCATCGTCTCGAGAAATGTAGCGAACGTTACGAACTCGAAAGTCGCTCGGTGACGTTCAGTCGAGGCTCATTATTATTCGCCAGACGGACGACGCGCGCTCGGGGTTGGATGGCCCCTTTAGCGAGCAGCAGCAGTCGCGACCCGTCAGTAATTTTGCATCGTCCGCTTGGGCTTCACACGCGCGCATTGACGGCGCGCGGCGAAGTATGCCGATGCTTGACAAAAGTCGAGTTCGATAATGACGTACCTTTGGTAAATCTGCAATGACACCGCGTATCCCTTCTGTGATGCCGCCATAAATCCATATTCGCCCACCGAAACGCACGTTGGCGGCGACGGCGTGTAAAATCATCGCGAGCGATGCCTTGGTCGGCGGTGCTCGCACCATCGCCGCAGCGTAAAATTCATCAGGAGTCTCGGGCCAGCTCGTCCCTGTTCCGTGATCGCCACAGCTGAAACGCTGCCAGTTACTGACGCTCCATCCGACACGGCGCAGGCGCTTCGTGATCAAGCGGTGCTTGTCGTCGACGATGAGCACCCTCGCGCTCAACTCGTCGAACGGCGCCGTGATCTCCTGCGCCAACAGCGCGTCTGCGCTCCCCCGTTCGATGTGCATGCGATTCGCGTCAGTTTCTTCGCACACCGCGGTGCCTCGTACGCTGAGCTTTTCACGAATCGACTGCGCTTCGTCGTCGTCGAACACGTCGTCGATGACAAAGTCTAATCTCCCGACGGTTTGCCAATCGAAACCACCCATTCCACGTTCGATGGCGTTTATTATAGCCATCTTGAGCTGCGCCCCATCACTCATGCTAGTGCCCAATTTCAACGCGTGCGTTGCTTCGACGACAGCGGCGAGATCGGCACCCGTGAGCGTTGCTGCGTGCGTCTTCAAGCCCTTGGACGCGAATTTTGCGCAGTCGGCAAGCATTCTCGAGTCGACGACGACGGCACCGGCGGCATACATCACGTGCGCAAAACCTTGCGCGGAGAGACTCAAGTTTTTCGCGATCGGTATCAAGAGCGTGATGAGCTGTTTAGCATCACCCAACTCGACGTTTGGGTCGTTCGTCGCGAGTTTCCCCGCCGCCCAGGCGGCGTTGGCGACGGCTTGCGCATTCCAATCCTTTGGCTGCTTCTTTGCCATGTCCTTTGCGCGTTTCGCCAGTGGCTCCGCATACGTTGCGGCTTCTTTCCAACCATCACCGCCAAACGTCGCGATCGCCCACAGAGAAGAGGAAACCTCTTCCGTGCGAACTTCACCCGACGCCAACACGTGGACGAGCGCCGTCACGCACTGCTCGTGCAACATTTTCCGCAGCTTCGCAGCGCCCCAAAGCGCGTTCGCCGCGTCTTGCGCGTTCGCCGTCGTCGCGCAAGTATTCAATCTATTTGCCGCTCCGCTCACCGCGCGGCGCAATAAAGCATCGTCGACGTGAGCGGCACATTTCGTCTTTAAAATCGTCGCGATTGACCAAATCGTCGTGCTCGCGGCGCGCGCGTCCATCGCGTCCTCGCCCATATCCACCATTCGCCTCGCCAGCGCGTTCATCGCACGGCCCAACGCCTTCACGACACCGTCGTACGCTTCAACACCGATTTGTCCCTCCGGCACCATCTTTGCCAGCTTCGCCACCGCCCACATTCCGGCGTTGCAGGACTTTCCATCGACGCGCTCCGCGTCGCTCGCCGTCTCCGTTGCCGCGCGCGAAACCTCACCCTCGTCCCCCAGCCCCTCATTTTTCGCCATCGAATGCAAGCGCCACAAGCTTACGCTCTTCACCGTCTTTCCTATCGCGCGATTCGCGCGCGCGTGCTTCGCGCGTCGTTCATCCTCCAGTCGTCGCGCTTCGCCCTCGCGGCGTCGCTTCTCGTCTCTCGCGCTCGCCGCTCTCGCGTCCGAGCCTCGCGCGTTCACCACCTCCTGGTCGCTCGCCCGCACCCCGATGGCGTCGAGCGCGTCGAGCGATCGCGCGATCGTCTCTTCCGCGCGCGCGCGACGCTCGGCGGCGGTTTTCGCGTCGACAGTTGATGTCCCGGCGGCGTCGAGTTCGACGAGCTTGGCGCTCGCCTGGCGCAGTTTCTTGATCAGCGCGCGCTTGTACGACGCATCGGGGGCTTTGTCGAGCGTCATGTCGCGTCTTGGAGGCGAGAAGCGAGCGGGCGCGGGCGCGCGGGCATCGGGTCGGCGCGTTGTGCGGCGAGCGGCGAGCGGCGAGCGCTTCTATACTAAATTCTATTCCTGCGCCTCGCAACGCCGCGTCGCGGCGTCGGCGTCGCGCGCGTACACTAATAATCGACGCTGCAGCTCGCGGTCGACCTCGACGTGGGCGTGATGGAAATCGGCCTCGAGGGTGAAATTCCAACTCGCGAGCCAGGCGCTCGCTCGAAGGGCGTCGGCGTCGAAGAGAACGAGTCGGCTCGGTGCCAACGCCGCGGCCACAGCGCAGGCGTGCGCGTCATTCGCGCTCGGCGTCGCGCCGTACTTTTGTTCGAGCCACGCATGTGGGTCGGCGGTGAACTTGGCGGAATCGTCCTCGCCCGGCGCGCGGTCGGGCGAGCAGTCGAGAAACGTCATGCGAATCTCGCGATGGATGTGCGAATAAAACGGCGTCTGGTGGCACGGCGTGGCGAAAAGTACGCCCCCGTGGGTTATTAAGCCACTTTTCGCCAAGCGCGCGATGTGTGGCATGACGGCGATCGTACCGGCTTGATGCCACACGGACAAGTACAGCGCCGCGGGGACGTTGGTGACGACCAACGCGGCGACGACGAAACGTCGACGCGACGGCGTCATGGACGATAGCACCGAGGCCGCACTCACGAGCGAGACGCCGAGACACGGCAGTAAGAACCTGAATTCTTTGTGCGCGGCGAAAGAGTACCCCAAAATAGTCCAAAACGTCGCTATAAACGCCTCTGGCTTGGTCGCGCGATGGCGCCAAAATCCAATCGCCGCGAGCGGCAGCATCGTGCCCATCACCGCCGGATACCCTTGCGTGAGATACCAGTGCCAAGGATGTGAGCCATATATCGCGCTTCCACCTTCAAATACATTAAACCGCACGAAATTACACACCACACACGTCCACTCGCCGTAAAAATACCTATCGACGCACGCCGAGGCGCCGAGCGCAGCAAGCGCCGTCGGCGCCGCTTCGAGCGCCGCAAATCGCGCCTTCTCCCCGATCGTCGCCTTCGCCTTGATCAACGTCCGCACGCCGAGCGCGAGCCACAAAACGCCACTCGTCGGTCGCATCACGCACGCCAACGCCGCTAAAACCAACGCCTTGAACCGCCGTCGGCGTCCGCCCGCGCCTGTCCCGAGCGTCGTCCCGAGCGGCCAAAACGTCAACGCCCACGTCGTCGCGCAGGCCTCCACGCAATTCGAGAAGCTCCGCGTCTCGCAGTAAAACACGAACCAATTCAAAAATCTCAACACGATCACCGCCCTCGCGCACGCGTCGCCGTGCAATCGCAGCGCCAGGCGATAACATCCGACGTCGTGCGTCCCGCTCAGCGCCGCGTGCGTCGCCCGCGGCGCGTGTCTCACGAACCAAGCCGACCGCGCGCCGACCGCGTCGCCCAGCTTATACACCAGCGCATAGATTAAGGGATGCGCGTACCCTCGCAGCTTGGCGCGCCACTCCCACGTCGCGTGGCCGTAGCCGTAGACGATTTTGTGCGCGATTTCTGGCCCTTGCCAAAACTCGTCGGCGTTGAAAAACGTGCGCACGACGACGGCGTTGAAGGCGCGGAAGATCAGGCAACACGCGAGGACGGAGGTGAGTAAGTGTGAGGCGTGCCGGCGCGCCTCGCGCATGGCGACCGACCGCCCGACCGCGAGTGCGGTAGTGAGGCTAACTGTCTCTATTTCCAGCGGCGGTATTAAAATTCTACTATTCGATGCGCGTCTTGCTCTCCACGCGCGAAAGCCGAGTCGGGCTCGCCGGCGTCACCACGACGCGCGGTGCGCGCGAAGGCGCGCTCTGTCGCGCGTTCGCTTCGATTTGCCTGCGATCGCTCGAGTTTAATAAATTCCGAAAGCTTTCGCGCACGGCGGGCTGCGACGCGAGAGCCAACGCGCACGCGACGACCAAACTAAAAACAACTTGGAACAAGAATAACCGAAAATTTGCCCCGTCCAGCGCGCGCTTCACGGTCTCCAGCATATCTCTCAATTCTCCAGCGTCTTGAAGGTACGTGGCGTCGTCGCCGCGAGTCGCCTTGAGCGCCTTTTCGCACGCCGCGCTCGCGTCCAACGCCACCAACGTGGACGCGCGTTCATCCGCCAGCGCGCTCGCGCACGCCTTCAACGTTTTCGGCGTCGGCATCGCATCTTTACCCGACATTCTCGCCGTCTGTCGGACCCCAGCCTTCATCGCGCGCGCGTCGCTTCGGCTCGTCGCCAACGCGTCTTCGCACCGCGCGAACGACGTCCTCAACCGCGATATTTCGCGCCCACGCCCGCGCGCGACCACGCCTACGACGACGAGCGCGCACAGGGCCACCTTGAGCGCCGTCTTCGCGCGCGCGCGCGACGCGCGCGACGCGCGCACTTCAGTTTCTTTCACCTTGGAGTAGTCTTCAGCCGCGCGCGAAGCGAGCGCGCGCGCCTCGAGCACGGCGAGCTCGGCTTTGACGGCGCGGCGCTCGAGTTCGCTCTGCTCGGGCGTTCGCGGCGGCGTCGCGCGCGCGGGCGACGATGGCGGATCGGGCGTCGACATCGGCGTCGAGCAGTGAGGCGCGTAGTTTGTCAACTCAGTCGCGCGCGCCGTTCGAGGCCGAGAGAACTATTCTACACAATCGCTAGGTTTCAAATCGTTCGCGAACACGCGACGTAGCAGCCACAGCGCGGCTTTTTTGTTGATGTGCGCGTTGTGCGCGTCGCACGACAGGCGCTGGACGCATCGAGGACAGCCGTCGGCGCGGGCGCACGCGCAGTGCTCGACGAGAGCCACGGCGACGCGAGCGAGGTCGGAGAAGAGCGCGGACGCGCGCTTGGCGATGCCGACGCCGCCGAGGTGGCGGTCGTAGATCAAGAACCGAAACGGAGCGTATCGCGAGGTGTGTCGGTACAGGTCAGCGGAGAAGCACTCGCAGCCGACGTCGGCGTCGCCGCATGGAACGCTTAGGGGAAGCGCGTTGAGCAAGGCGTGCGACGCGGCGTGCACGCCGGCGCGAAGGTCAATTCCGGCGTCGGATGCGTCGGTGACGACGTCGTCGGGAATACGAAGCCACGTGCCGACGGTTCGGAATTCGGTCGTTCTGGGAGGGAACGCCTCGTGATCAAACTTTGCTTGCGATCCGCGAGCGACTCGCGAGAAACCCGTGAAAGTCGTTCGGATGTCGACTTGATCGCATTTGATCGACAGCGCATCTTTCGTCTCTTCGTACGCACGCATGCCACCGGGCACCGCACACGTCGTCTCATGTTTCACGCGAGTGAAATATTTCACATCCGCCATACGCACGAATGCTCGACGGCGCGGGATATCGAGTTTGGTGCACAGCAAGGTGCGCCCTTGGTGCGTGTACACCGCCCCTTCGTACACTTCAAAGAATGCCTTGGACGCCTCGATACTCGCGATGACTTTTTCACGAGCTCCACCGATATCTATGACTTCGTAGCGTTCCTCTTCGATGGTGCGCACGCTCACGTCGAGCGCGGGCGTCTTGTCCGTCGCCGCGAGAAGCGGTTGCGCGATGGCGGCGTTTAGATCCCACGCGACTAAAGATCGCGCATCTCGCATGAGCTTGTTGCGTGCGAGCTTTCCAGCGATTTCCCGCGTCTTTGGGCCAAAGTATACCTCGTCGACGTCGGGATTCGCGAACAAAGGGCGCTCGTACGCCGCGCACGCCAGGTGTTGCTCTACGATGGTTGGATTCTCGGCCCACACGTAACTCATCTCCAGCGGGGCATCAAAGAGCGCGCGCGGTTGTCGCATGAAATGCTGGTCTAAAGGGCCATCAAACGCGACGTAGACTGAAAGTGCGTGCCCTTCACGCCGACCAGCACGACCAGCTTGCTGCCAAAGTGATGCGACGGAGCCTGGAAACCCGAGGTGCAGCGTCACGTCAAGCGAACCGACGTCGATGCCGAGTTCGAGCGCGTTCGTCGTGGCAACGCCGAGAAGGACACCCGAGAATAGCTCCTTTTCAATCGCTCGTCGCTCAATCGCTTCGTATCCACCTCTATACGACGCGACTTTGTCGGCCAAATGTGGCGCCGAGGAGCGCAAAATCTCTCGCGTGTACACGAGCACGAGCTCACAGAGCTTCCGCGTCTTGCAAAAGGCGAGACAGCGTAGGTTGTGCTGCACGCACTCGGCAAGGAGCTGTGAAATTTCTACCACTGGAGACGTTCTTGCGCCATCCTTTGCATCGTTTTCGTCGTGCTTTTCATCTTCTACATTTTCATTAGCACCATGCTGCTCGCGGAGTCTTCTTGCGAGCGCCGCCTTGCCGCGCTCGATCACAGTCTCGCGTCTAAATTTGCGTTCGGTGTTCGTTTGCTTCGATTGCCCGGGTTTTAGCATCGGGTTCCACAGTAAAAATGTCTTCACGCCGCGAGGCGCGCCATCGTTTGTTACCGCCTCGATGACATCGCGCTCTGGGTGCACGCCGTCGTATCCAATCAAATCTCGCGCGTGCTCGAGCGGGTTGGCCACCGTCGCCGAACTGATTATGAACTGTGGCGACGATCCGTAGAGTTCCGAGCACAACCGTCGCAAACGTCTGATTATGAGCGCGACGTGCGAACCAAAGACACCCGAATATGCGTGTGCCTCGTCGACGACGACATATCGTAACCCAGATAATACGCGCGCCCACGCCTTGTGTGACGGTAACATGCTTACGTGCAACATGTCTGGATTAGTGATGATTAAACGTGCGTTTTCGCGGACTTCCGTGCGTGCGTCCTCGCGAACGTCCCCGTCGTACATCCCGATCTCAAACACCGTCTCTTCGCTCCTCGGAATATTCGACAGTATGTTGCGTAGCGCTCGTAGCTGATCTTGCGCGAGAGCCTTGGTGGGAAACATGTACAAAGCCGTCGCCGTTGGGTCCGCGAGTAATGTTTCAATCGTTGGCACGTTATAGCACACCGATTTACCAGAAGCCGTACCAGAGGCGACGATGACGTGTTTTCGCGGTTCGCGCTCGTCGAGCACGGTTTCAATCGCGCGCGCCTGGTGACTGAACAATTTTCTTTCGATATCAATACCCGCACTGGCGAAGGCCGCGAGCGTGACGTCGCTCAACTTTGACGCGAGAGGCGTACGCGCCGCCGGTTTCGCGGGAATGTTCTCCACGTGCACGATTTGCCCGCTCGACGCCAAGGTCGTTTTGAGATGATCCACGAATGTGTCCACATCCATGGGTTCTGTGCTACAACACGGCCCATCGTCGGCGTTTTGCTTTTTCCTTTTCGCCCGTATACGCGGCGGCGCAGGCGGCCGGTCCATCGCCTCGGGGGGCACGGCGAGGCCGCCGCGCGGCGCGTTTCTCGTCGCCGCCGACTCCGCCGCGCGAATTTCCAGTACGGCATCCAAAATCTCTCGCAAATTCGTGTCTTCTTTCACGTCAAACGGCACGTGTTCTATGACTTCGCGCAAGCCGCGATCAAAAGCGGTCGCAAACGTCGCCAACGCGCGATTGAAATTCGCCCCAAAACGATTCGTCATCTCGCCCAACAACCGCGAGTACCCACCTATAGAACGCATCGACCGCCGCGCGCCCTGCAACGCCACCGCAGCGCTCGCGTCGTCGTCGTCATCACCGACGCTCAGGTTCGTCAAATATCTGGGCGTCACGAACGCGCTCGGTCCATCCTCATCCGGCGCCGTGACGTCGACGACGATTTCCTCCTCGTCGTTTTCCGCCGACTTCCTCCTCTTGATCAATCGTATGCTTCCCGGACACAGAATCGACATCGCGCGCGCGTCATCGACCGTCACCCTATCATCTTTCACCGCGTTCGCGATCACGCGCATCGTCGGCTGCATGTGCTGCCTGTGCAAAAACATGCACGCGCGCGTAATCGCCTCGAAGCCCGCGCTCAACCGTCGAAGCGCCGCGCACGCGCGCGTCCCCCCTCCTTCGCTCGTCGACGCGCCCGCGCCCGTCACGATTTCATACGATCGATCGCTCGCACCGTTCGCGTCCCTTTCTGTGTCCTCGACGTCGTCATCGTCGCCGCGCGTCGCCGTCGTCTCGCGCCGCTCGCGCCGTCGCCGCCGCGTCTTCACCGCCGCGAACCCAAAAACCATCACCTCCGTCGCGTCGCCGCTCGCGCTCGCCCACGACGCCGTCCCTCGAAGCTCACCGTCGCGTCCGGTCGCGCAGACGCGCGCGCGGTGTTCGGGGAAGCCGTACGCGCGCGCGATGGCGCGTCGAACGTCGTCGATGGAAGATGTCCCAAAGTCATCCAACTCGACGCTTTTGACGACGCCGCGGACGTCCTTGGCGACGATGGTCGCGCGCGCGCGCGGCTCCGGCGTTGTGTTCATCGCATGACGCGACGCGCGACGCGCGCGGGGAAGTGGCGTCGTCGTCGTCGTCGTCGTCGTCGTCGTCGTCGTCGTCGTCGTCGTCGTTACAAGAGGACGCGAACGCGCTAGGCGAGTAAGAATGGGTGCGCGAGCGCGGCGCCGACGTCGAGCCTGCCGCGACGCAAAATATTACGCTTGGTGACGAGCCTGCAAGCTAAATCCCACGCGATGCCGCCGTTGACGTCGAGGGCGGAAAAGTCCCAGTTGAGAGCCGACTCGACGTCGGCGCGCCACTTGCGTAAATCGTAACCGGCGTCTTCGAGACGCCTTTGAAAGGCGCCGTTCGGAGCCATGACGTTCTTCCCGCGAAGCTGCGGAACGCCGAGCTGGAGGAGAATCAAACCCGCGGAGTACGAGTCGAACAGTTGCGGCTGCGCGATGGTCCACAGAAGCGGGGCGAGGACGCCGGCGACGAGCGGGGGCGGCGCGGGCGTCTTTTCAGACATGATGAATTGCTCGGGCGGAGAGTATTTGGGATCTAACAACCCTTGCTCGGGGTCGTAATTCTCTCCGCTTCGCAGATCGCACGCCGCGCCGAAATCGATGAGCTTGAATCGCTTGCCCATGAGCACCAAATTCGACGGTTTCAAGTCTCGATGCACGATGCCGATGTCGTGCAGCGCGGCGACGGTGCCCAACAAGTCTCTCATAATCTTCTTCGCGCACCGATTCGCGCGCTTCGCCTCGTCGTCGCCGTCGCGCGCGCGAATCCCCAGCGCGTCCTCCAGCGCGTCGGGAAACCCGCGGTCCTCCAGAAAGTCCTCCAGCGTCGCGTCGCCCTCTTCGCGCGCCCAGACCAAGCACGGCGACCGCGCGCCCTCGACTTCGTAATACGTCCCCAAAAATTTCGCGCACCCCGCCGCGACGAGCGGCGCGCGCGCGACGCGTCTATTGATGTACGCCTCGGCGTTCTGCAGCTCGCTCGCGCCCTCCACCGCGTTCGACTGCTTCACCACCACCGTTCGCCCGCTCTTCGAATCCTCCGCCTCGAACACCGTCCCGAAACTCCCCGCCCCCAACCTTCGCCCTCGACGCACGCTCGCCGCGTCGAACCTTCGCTCCAGCGCCCGCCCCACCGCGTTCGCCACCGTCTGATCGAACGCCCACGGCACGACTCCCGGCTTCGCGATCAGATAAAACGCCGCCGCCGCGTAAATCGCCAGCTCCGCCTCCGGTCCCAAGTCGCCCGCGTACAGCGCGTACCCGCTCGCTCGCTCCGCGCGCGCCTGCGCCGCGACCGTCTCTCGCACCCGCGCCGGCGCGTACCGCTCCCACGCCGGTCCGAGCGTTCGTTCGATCGCGATCGACGCCCGCGCGCTCGCGTCGACGACGGGCGCCGGCGCGTCGGGCAGCGCGCGCCGTAGCTCGCGCGCGCGACGCGTCTCCGTCGTCGTCGTCGTCGCGAGACGCGACGCCGCGTCGGCGCGCGCCGTCGTCGCGATTTCATTATCGTTGCGACGCGTCGTCGTCTCGGTCGTCTCGGTCGTCGTCGTCGTCGTCGTCGTCGTTTCGGTCGTCGCGGATAACCTCGTCGACGTCGCGCGTCGTCGCGCCGCGCGACGCGCGCCGCGCGCGACGCGCGGCGCGCGCGCGACGCGGCGAAACGTTCGCGCGTCGGCGCGTGCGCTCGGCATCGCGACGCGCGACGCGTCGAAGCGTGCGGCGTCGAAGTGCGCGGCGTCGGCGGGACGGACGACGGCAGACGATGGCGCGCGCCGTCGCGGCGCGGTCGAGCGCGACGCGGTCAAGCGCGACGCGTCGACGCGCGCGGACGAGGCCGCGCGTCGTCGCGTCGCGGTCGAGCGCGGCGTCGCGCGCGCGCGGGCGCGCGACGACGCGATGGACGCGCGCGGCGGTTGACGACGACGACGACGGCGCGACGCGCGACGACGACGGCGCGACGCGCGGGACGACGCGCGCGACGACGACGGACGGCGACGGCGACGTCTCGGACGACGGCGACGACGAAACCGACGAGTTCGAGGAATACGAAGTCGAGGTGGATTACGAGCTGCGCGATTACGTCGACGACGCGCGCGCGAGCCTGGAGCGGTTGAGACCGGATTTCACGTGGGGCGCGTGCGAGGCGCGCGCGAGGGCGCGCGCGGAGGGGGGAGTGATGGGGTACGCGAGCGCGGCGGCGAGTAGCGGCGCGGCGGCGAGCGAACGGTTGGACGCGCACTCGGCGGTGGGGACGGCGGTGGCGCTGGGAGCGCTGTGGAGCGCGCGGGCGATTAGGATTGAGCTGGAGAAGCGAGGGCGGGCGGGGGGGGGGGCGGTGGTGGGGAAGGAGATGTCAGAGGAGGAGCGGGCGCGAGAGGCGGAACTGCGAGCGGAGCGACGCGCGAGGGAAGCCGAGGCGGAGAAGGAGCGTCGACGCGCGAGAGACGAGGAAGAAGCCGCGGAGAAGGCTCGAGAGGAAGAGAGAATGCGTTTGCGAGCGGAAGCCGAGGCGAGAGCGGCGGAGGAGGAGGAAAAACGTCGAGAAGAAATGCGCGCGGAATTGCGCCGACGAAACGCCGAGGAAAAGGAACGGTTGGAGGCGAGGTTGAAAGCCGAGGCCGAGGCAAAGGCGGCGCAGCTCGCGGCGGAGCGCGCGGAGCGCGAGAAAGAGCGACTCGCGAGAGAAAAAGCGGAAGCAGAAGAGCTCGCCCGGCGCCAAGTCATCTGCGACGAGCGCGGCGAAGTCGAAATGACGGTGAGCGCGGACACAGAGGTGGTGATGAAGCGCGACAACGCCACGGCGCCCGTGGAAGTCATCGTGACCGCGCGCGTCGGTATCAGCGAAGGTGCGACAGAAAGCGCGTCTTTCCGAAGCGCCGACGAAGCGCGCGTGGCGTCACTTCCGCTGTGTTCCACCGTCGCCGCGAAAGCCATGACGGCGTACGGCTCGGACGCGCGCCTGCAAGACATGATGGGGAACGGGCCTTTGAGTCGACTTCCGGGCATGGACGATCTCGAGTTCGAACATTGGACGCGTGTCATGCAAGCGCGCATGGATAGCGAAATGCGGACGGCCATCGTGCGCTGCGGCGCCGCACTCGAAGTGAAGCTCCGTGAGAGTAAACGCGGCGGCACGGAGAAGAGCAAGGCGACGATTCGCTTCAAGCGCCGATGTCTACCGGCGGAAGACGAAGAGAACATCGTGCATCGAATGGAGTCCGCGGTGGACGCGGTGGCGGGTGAAATCATAGAAGAGATCGAAGGTCCGAGCGGTGGTTGCGATGCCGCGTCGGACATTCTCGCCGCGGTCGAGTTTTATGAGCTCGGACAACTGCACGGCTTGCATCCCTCCGTCGTATTCCCGGCAGAGCATCCGAAGACGGGGCTTTCTGGTGCGCTCATGGCGTCCATTTTGACGCTGTCGCACTTCATCAAGCGCGCTGAACGTGCGTACGCTGACGATATCCGCGTCGGCGAACGTGCGAGACAGCTCGCAGCCACGCTCGTCGGCCGCTCCGCGAGCAAGCAAGGATCTTGGCGAGCGATGTATTTGGACGGTTTTACCGGCGACGCATTGACGTCAGCAGCGGCTATGGCGGACACCGTGCTTCCAGAGGACGACGCCATTCGTATGTTTCTCAACGGCGCCGTCGAAGAACAGCGCCGAAGACTCGCGGGCGAAGAGCGCGCGTTCGAAGAAGAGTGGCCCGACGAAGACGAAGTTCGGAAGAAGCGCCTTAAGGAAATGCGAGAGAGTCAGCCCATCACGGAGCGTTTATACGCGTTGCGCAACTCAGCCTTACAACTCGCACAATCTGGTTCGAAAGACCAAGCGCGAATGATGCTCGAGGAAGCGTATGCGTTGCGCAAAAATGACGTAGCAAAGAACAACAAGGATCCAGAGAATACGGCGGAGACACTTCCAGAACTCATTGCTCTCGTACATTTGTTCGAAACACGTCAAGATTGGGCTGATGATTTACGAGCTATTCGACGAGAAGTTTTGAAAAGTGTTCGCGTCGCGACTGATGAAATCTCAGCCGATGGCGACGCGATCGCCGCTGTTGCGTTGCTTGAATCCGCTGTAGACGAATACGAACCGTTTCTCGGCGAAGATGACGAATGTGTCGTCGCGTATCGAGCAGACGTCGATGCGATGTGGACGACAGCGGGTATCGACCCGGTCGAGCGCGACGAATGTGGGGACGAGTGTATGGCGAACATCGTCGGCAGCGCCGGGGCCATCTCGATGCTTACGGAAAAATACACGAAAGAAATCGAAGTTCGTCGACGTTAGGTGCGAGCGACGTTTCAATGAATATTCCTCTACGTATATGTACAACTTTCTAAGCGCTAACCCTCTTTCGACGAGCGCGAAAACATTCGCGAAAGACTTCTATTGATTTCTGAGAATGCGTTTTGCGTCGCCTCGCCTACGGCTACCGCTGCTCGTTTTGTCGACTCTCCCGCCGCTACCAATGTCTTCTTCGCGGACTCATCCCAAGTCTCCGGCGCTTGTTCGATGGTTTCTTGATCCTCCGATGCTGCTTCGCGAGCGATTTGCTCGGCGGCGGCGACAGATTCCGGCAACATGCACGTCATCGCCGTCGTCGCGGCGCGAATGGTGAGATACGACGACACCGCAGGGACTAACTCAGCGACAAGAATCGGTAAATTGTCCGCCGTGAAGACGCACTCCGACATGCGCTCGTAGAGCGACACAGGCAGCGCTTTGGCGAAGGCTTCTTCGGCGGCTCGATTCGCCTCCCCAGGGCTTCCTCCTTGCGCCTTTACGAAGACCCGAATCCTCTCCGACGCGACCGCGGCATCCCTTTGAGCGCTTCGTTCGGCGCGAGAACCAGATTCGAGAACGGTGCGAATGGCCTCGTTCGTTCGCTCTTTGGCGTCATCCCCCAATCGTGTCAACTTTTCATTAAGGATCTCGCCCAGACTTTTGACCGGCTTGTCGTCGTCCAAGAGATCCTCTGCTTCAGCGCCGCGAAACGCATCAGCCGTTTCCAAATCGTTCATCAAATCTTCCAATTCAAACTGCTCGACCGTCGGTCGCAAAGATATGACATCCACGGCGTTTGATCCGAAGAAGCACAGGAGCGCCGCGGCGATGAGGGATGGACGTAACACGGCGATGTCATCGTCTTCTCGTCCCATGATGGCTATCGCCAGGCATAATCGCATGCGAATCGTAAAGTACATCACCAACTGCGGCAACATCGTGAGAGGTGCCGTTAACGGACCTCCAATCGACAAAACCGTACCCGCGGCGAACGATTTGGACGCATCTGCGTAAATCAACGATTTCTTCAGTTTCGACACCTCGAGCTCGGGATTGACTTCCCTGTGATGCGCGGCGAGCGCGGCGGCGCCTAATATCCCAACGTTCGGCACACCAACGCACGCGCCGCAAATTATTTTCCCAAGCATGTGATTCGCCGCGACGCTCGCACCCGATCGCTCAAACTCTGAAGATTCGCCCATCACGACGTTCCAGAACGTCACGATGTCTCGCAGTGGTTGGTACGTTTCGAGCACAGCCTCAAATCTCGATTTGACGATATCTTGCGCAAATCGCGCGAAGTTTTGAACCCATCGACGCTCACTCATCGATGCTTCCGCCCACGCTAACGTCGAAAACTCCTCCGCGGTGGCGGTGGATCCGTCGGCGACGCGTTCGAACAGCGCCGTCGACTCCAACGATTCAACCGCAGTCGACGCCATCCCCACTCGCGACATCGCATCCATTAACGATTTCGACACCTCGCACCCATCGACGACCACGAAAACGCTCGTCACGCCAACGCGCGCGCACGCGCGCTCCAACGTTTCCTCGAGACGTTCTTCGCTCGCCGTCTCGACCGTCGTCACGACGACGACTGCGTCCGCCGTCGTCGACCGCGCGTCCTCTCGCAGCCCGCCCTCCAGGCGCCGCACCGCCACACCGCTCGGTAAACCATCCACCAACGCACATGAAGCGCTCGCGTCGTCGACTTTATCGCCTTGGCGTCGATGATCGACGACCAGCACCGTCGTCGCGCGCTCCGCGTCCCGCGCGCACGTCTCCGCGAGCGTCTTCACCACCGTCGCCGACGCCTCGCCCACGTCGCGCGGCAGCACGCGCCGCGCGAGGGTGATGTTCGCGCGTATATCGATCGAGAGCGCGCCGAGGGCGTCCTGGCGCGCGAACGCGACGGGAGCGTCAGTCGTCGATCGCGATTCGTCGCATCGGGACGGGCGCGTAACAGTATCGAGTTTGGAAGTTTTACGGCGCACCTTTTTGACGCTATCGCGCGAGACGTCGTGCCAAGCGCCGAGCGCGCGATGCGCGCGCGGGTCGTCGGGCGCGGCGGCGGACATGGGAGACGACGGCGACCGCGCGCGACGGTTTCTGGGGTGACTGGCGAGATAAAATATCTTTTCGACAACCGAGTCGGCTACGCCATCTCGAACGCGTTGGCGAGATTGCGCTCTTGACCTTTAGCCTTGGGAGGCGTGGGAAGAATGAACTCCTCCGCGGAGGGGTTTAAGTTGGAGGCGGCGCCGAAGTCGCGAAGACGCTCGGGGGTGTCGATTTCCGCCGCCATGGCTTTCATGGATTGGGAAATTTCGGGAAGGTTGGAGAGATCTTGCTCGGCGATGGCGTCGATGGAGACGTCTTCTGGCGCGGAGAATTCATCGTGTTGTATTTGGCCATCGATGAGATTCGCGATTTGTTCCTCTTCGTCCGCCTCGAACTCGGCGATGATGGCGTCAATGTCGGCGCCGGTTTCCGCGAGCATCTCGCGAAGCTTCTCCACGCGGCGTCCTTCCTGGCCGAGGCACACCAAGAGATCAGCGAGCTCTTCCTGCGCTTCCGCACTACCGGCGGCGTAACCTTCTGTATAGCCCTCTTCTTTACCTCGCTCGAACCCTCGCTCGAACGCCGCGCTTAAACTCTCTTCCGAGGCATCGACGGCGGAATCGAGCGACGTCGACCGCTCGGCGAGCTTGGCCTCCAAATCTTGTACCTTTGTGGATAGTTCGTTCGTCGTCGCGTGCGCGTGCGCCAGCTCTTCGGTAAGAGCGTCTCGATTCAATTTGATGTCTTCTAATTCCGACGCCCTCGCGTCGATCGCCGCTTGGAGTTCTGCTATCGCAGCGTCGTGCGTCGCGCGTTCGACCCAGTTTTCGTCGTCGCCACCGTCCCAGTACCACTCGCCGGTGTTTTCATCGTACTTCCATCGAGGGTCGTAATCGTAATCGTCGTGGCCTTCGTAACCTTTCCAATCGCCGCGTTCGTCACCTTGCTGCGCTTCGTAAGTCTCCGAAGCGACGATTTCTGTTTCAGTCCACTCAGTCGTCGAAGGCGCGTTCGTGTCCCACTGCGCCACCTCGGCCGCGCCCATCGACGCGTCTTCGTGCTGCAACCACTCCTGCGTCTGCGTTTCCCATTGCGGGTGTTGTTGATCACTCTCAACTGGCGGTACGTCGGCTTCGGCCCAGCGCGGAGACCCATCCGCGGCTTCGGCCCAGTCGCTCGCGCCGCCGCCGAAATCCGCGCCTTCAGCCTCGCGGTCTCCCGCGTCGACCACCGGCGCGGGCGCATCGCTCACCGACGTCCCGCCGACGTCGACATCATGCAATACTGGTGCTCTGTCTTCCTCTACCGCGCTCGCATCGCTCACCGTCGGCTGCATCAACGCCAGAGGCTCGCGTAAACTCTCGCTCTCATCGTCGCCGCCTTCATCCGCCGCCCGAGGCGCCGGCACGAAAAATTGCATCCCCCCGTGCGGTATGGGCGCTCCTGTCCCACCAATCGGCGCCACGCTCGGCACGAACGCGCTCACGTTCGCCATCGGCGCCGCGACCTGCGCCGAAGTCATCCCTTCCCTCGCGAAGACGTCAACGTATCGCGCGCGCGTCCCCGCGTGAGTTGGTCCCGCGCCTCCCCCCGTCGGCGGCCCTTCCCTCGACGCGCTCGCGCTCGGCGCGTCGCCGTCTAGAGATGCGGCCGCCATCGTCGCGTTCGGCGGCTGCATCACCGGCGGCGCGCCGATCTCCGCGGCGCCGCTCGCCGTCCCGCTCGCCGGCGCGCTCCCGTCCACCCACGACTGCGTCTTCTCATCAAAGTAAAACGCCGACTCCAGCCCGAGCTTGGCCTTGGTCACTTTTTTCCCTCCGCCCTGCGCCGCGCGAAAACGAGCGATTCGCGGTCAGTGCGCGTCGTCGCGAGCCGATCTTTGGTTTCAACACGAATCTGCGGTTGACGGATTCGTGAGAGATTAGTCGCGTCTTGCGCCGCCGCGCCGCGAATTGTACGTACGAAACCGAGACGAGCAAACATGCCCTTCGGGGCGTCGTCGTTTTGGGCCATCGCGGTGCGCGCGCGCGCGGCGGTGTGCGGCGCGCGGCTCGCTCGGGACGCGGGAACGGCGGACGCGGCGGCGGCGAGCGAGCGAGCGCAGAAAGGCACGCCGAAGAGGAGACGCTCGAGAGTTGTTGTGTTATCGTCACTATTGCATTTAAACATGAGCTACTAGATCATATGTTGCGGTGAGAAAGAATGGTTACGTGGGTGGCGCGAACCGTCGTCGAGGCGCGCAGAGCGACTCGGGACCGACGCGGCTATCTAAAAGGACGCAGAACTTGACTTTTTATCGCCTAGTCGGTGCCTTCGTACTCACGCATGCGCGCGAGGCGCTCATCTTCTTCCGCCATGGCTTCGGCTTCGGCGCACATGCGCTCGATCTCTTCCGCAGTCAAACGGCCGCGGTCGTGTTGCAAGGACACGTTGGCCTCGACGCCGGTGACGCGATCCTTGGCGGTGACGGTCAACAAACCGTTGGTGTTGACCTCGAAAGTGACATCAATCTTCGGTTCGCCCGCGGAAGCGCGCTCGATGCCAGAAATTTGGAACTCGCCGAGCAAGTGGTTGCCGTCGGTGTTGGAGCGTTCGCCTTCGAAAATGCGCACATCAATCTCGTCTTGGTTATCATAGACGGTGGTGAACTCGCTCTTCTTTTTGCACGGAATCGCAGTGTTGCGTTGCACAACCTTGGCGAATTGGCGACCTTCGCACTCGACACCGAGGGAAAGCGGAACGACATCCATGAGGAGAACGCGAGAAGTCTGCTTGTCGCGGACGCCCGCGAGAATCGCACCTTGCACGGCCGCACCGTACGCCACCGCCTCATCGGGGTGGACAGACTTGTTGAGGGTCTTGCCATCGAAGTATTCGGTGAGGATACCTTGCACGCGCGGGACACGGGTGGAACCACCGACGAGGACGATTTCGTCGACTTCTTCCTTCTTTTTGCCGGCGTCGCTGAGCACGCGCTTGACAGAGTCGAGGCAGCGTTGGAACGTCGGTTCGCAAACCTTCTCGAATTGTTCACGGGTAATCTTCATGTTGATTTCGATTTCACCGATGAAGCATTCGATGTTGGCGTGGTTGGCCACGGACAACTCGCGCTTGGCCTTTTCGCACGCCGTGCGCAACTTGCGAAGAGCCTTTTCATCGCCGGTGAAGATGTCGGCGCCGCGCTCCTTTTCAATCTCCTTTTGCGCGAAAGCCGCGAGGGACGTGTCGAAATCTTCACCACCCAAGTGCGTGTCACCGGCGGTGGAGAGCACTTCGAAGACGCCGTCTTGCAAGTTCAACAAGGACACATCGAAGGTACCACCACCGAGATCGAAGACCAAGATGCATTGGTTCTTGATGACTTCGCCGTTTTCGCCTTCGCGGCGATCGAGGCCGTACGCGAGCGCCGCCGCGGTCGGCTCGTTGATGATACGCAAGACGTCGAGACCCGCGATGGCACCGGCATCCTTGGTTTGGCGACGCTGGGCATCGTTGAAATACGCCGGCACGGTGACGACAGCCTTGGTGATCGGGACACCGAGCTGCGCCTCGGCAGTCGCCTTCATCTTTTGCAAAACCATGGCGGAAATTTGCTCCGGGGCAAAGTCCTTCTTTTCGCCGTTCACGTCAACGGAGACGATCGGCTTGCCGCCTTCGCCTTCTTTGACATCGAACGGCATTAATTCGAGCTCGTGAGCGCACTCGCTGTATTGACGACCGATGATACGCTTGATGTTGAACAGCGTGTTCTTCGGGTTGATGGCGGCTTGGCGCTTGGCGGCGTCGCCGACGAGGCGGCCTTGCTCGGTGAACGCAACCCAAGACGGGGTGGTACGGTCGCCTTCGGCGTTCGTCAGCACGTGCGCTTCACCGTTTCTCCACACGGACACGCAAGAGTACGTCGTACCGAGATCGATACCGATGACGTGCTCGTCGAGCGTGACGTTATCCATTTGCGCGCTCAACTTGGCCGCTTCAATCTTAGCCTTTTGCGCCAACTTGGCTTCACCCAAACCTTCAATCAAGTTGTTGTTCTTCGGGTCCACGGTCAAACCGCGCTCGTACGCATTCATGGCGTCGTGCAAGAAACCAGCCTTGAAGAGCGCGAAACCGAGACGAGAGTACCCCTTGGCGAAATCCGGGCGCAACTCGATGCATCGGCGCGCATCCGCGCACGCCTTGGAGTGTTGGTCCAAGTTGGCGTAGCACGCGGAGCGGTTAGAGTAGAAAATGTGATCGTACGGATCGCACTCAATCGCCTTGGTGAACTCAGCCGTGGCGGCGTAGTATCGACCGGCGGAGAACGCGTTGTTCCCAGCCGCCTTAAACTTCGCCGCTTGCTGCTTCATCGCCGGCGTGACCTGCGCGCGCGTCGTCGTCGTCCGCCTCGTCAGTCTCCCACATCGCGCGTCTCTCTCCGTCGACCGTCTCCACCGCCTCTCGCGTCCCGTCTCTCACCCCCCTCTCGCGTCCCATCGCGCGTCGCCCCACCTCGCGTCGCGCTCGCGCCTCCCTCGCGCGTCGTCCCTCGCGCGTCTTCGCCCCGCGCCCGAAGGGCCGCGCCCGGCCCTATCCGAAATCCCCATCGTCGCCCCTCCCGCGCGTCCGCCGCGCCTTCGGTCTCCCGCGCGTCCCGATCGCGTCGCGCGTCCTTTGCGCGCGTTTCACCGCGCCGTCGATCGTCCCGCGCGCCCCATCGCGCGCGCCGTCGTCCGATCGGTCGCGCGCCGCCATCCATCCATCCGTCCGCGCGCGTCGCGTCGCGGTCGCGATCGCGTTCCGCGACGCACCTGAATCAGATCGTCCTCGTCGTGCGCGACGACGGGCGCGGCGGCGGTCTTGCCTCCCTTCTTGCTGGGCGCCATCGTGTGCGGTGCGCGCGGCGAAGCGCGTCGGTGTGCGGCGCGCGCGCGCGGCGGCGGCGCGACGGGAAACCCCGCGCGCGCGCGGGGCGTCGCGCGATGCGACCGTTTTCGTGTGGGTAAACAGTCTAAAATCGGACATTCGGAGCGATCGCGCGATCGATCGCGCGCTCGGACGCGCGAAAGGCGCGTCGAGGGTCGATCGCGACGCGCGAACGGCGCGTCGCGGGTCGATCGCGACGACGGACGCGCGATCGACAATGATGGGGCGCACACGGCGACGCATGCGCGCCGCGCCGCGCACGTTCGACGTGCGGCGGGACGATGCGACGTCGACGTCGACGTCGACGAAACGCGTGACGTTCGTGCGACACGCCGAGGGGTTTCACAACCTGAAGGCGGCGCTGACGTTCGACACGACGTACAACTCGAGCCTGAACTTTGACGCGCGATTGACGCCGCGAGGCGAGGCGCAGTGCCGCGCGCTGGCGGAGACGCGAGGGGTGTGCGAGGATTGCGATCTGGTGGTGACGAGCTCGATGACGCGGTGCGTGCAGACGTCGCTGCTGTCGTTTCCGACGCTGACGCGCGCGGCGAGGGACGCGGTGCCGTTCGTGGCGAACGAGGACTTGAGGGAGACGGCGAACTATTGGTGCGATCGACGGCGGACGACGGAGGAGCTGGAGCGAGAGTTCGGCGATCGGGTGGATTTTTCGGCGTGCCCGATGAGGGATGAGTTGTGGGAGCGGTACGAACGAATTGCGGGGCCGCCGGACGCGTGGACGAAGCATCGAGAGTCGTGCGACTTGTATTACGTCGCCAATCGGTGTCGAGCGTTTTTCGAGTGGCTCGAACGCAGACCGGAGCGGAGAATCGTGGTGAGCACGCACTCGGCGCTGCTGCGTTGCATGTTTTCGTACGGTCATCCCGGCGGCGTGCGCGCGGCGCCGGAACAGATTTTCGATTCCGGCGGCGTCTTTGGGGGGGACACGTCCAAGGGCGTTCCCGTGGTGAGCTACGGCGACGACGTCGACTTCGCGGCGCGCATGCGCGAAGACTTCGATAACTGCGAGTATCGCACGTGCTTCGTCGATTTCGCTCCGCGTGCGGTGTAGACCAAAAGCCTCTTCTGCTGACGCCAAGATTGAGAATATTTACTAGGGGGACGGTAAGAGGGCTCGCCGCGCGTTGTATTTGTATTAAAATCAATTCGTATTTCGCTACTAATCAAACTTTTTCGGGTTGAGGTTGACGAACGGCTCGCATGTTTCGTCCGTCGAGGCGTCGCCGAAATCGCCTTCCATTTCGTCTAAAGAATCGTACGTGTTCCCCTTGGCGTCCCAATACGCCCAACTCTGATCGAGCACGTGCGACATCCGACGCTCCTTCGCCGCCAAGTATCCTTCGTTGAATAAATTCGCCTTGACCACGCACGCGATGCGACCGGTTATTTTTATCCCCCCACACTCTAATTCTCTGATCTTTCTCGGATTGTTTGTCATCAGTTGCACGCTGCGCACGTCCAGCTCTCGCAACATGTTCTCCACCGCCGTGTACTCGCGCGTGTCGTCCGGCAACCCGAGCCTTCGGTTGGCGTCCACGGTGTCCACCCCCTCCTCTTGCACCGCGTACGCCGCGATCTTATTCGCCAATCCGATCCCACGTCCCTCTTGCTGCAAGTAACACACGATCCCGGGTCCGTTTTCTTTAATGTAATCCATCGCCATCTCCAGCTGTTGCTTGCAGTCGCACTTCATCGACCCTAACACCTCCGACGTGAAGCACGCGTCGTGCACGCGCACCGGCACGTTCTCGCGTCCCTCCACGTCGCCGTATATCACGCACACCGGTTCGGTGACGTCTCCCGTCGTCGGATTCGCGTGTCGATACGCCCTGACCCTGTAGAACCCCTTGTCCGTCGGCAGCTTGGTCTCCGCGACGAAGCGCGTGAGCCCGAGCGTCGCGTCCTCCGACATCTCGCGCATCTTCGCGCGCGATTCCGTCTCTTCCGGCGTCGATCGCGCGCGCGTGCGCTCGCGCGCGCCGCGACTCGTCGACGACGCGGACGCCGTGGATGACGACGACGACGCGCGCGCGCGCCGCGCGGACGCGCTCGACCGCGCGGACGCGCTCAAGGACGGCCGAAGCACGCTCGACGACGCGCGCATGCTCGACGACCTCGGGCGACGACGACGACGGCGCGCGGGTCGACGCGCGTCGGTGTCGCGTCGCGCCGACGACGCCGCGCGGTCTATCCGAGCGAAGAAATTAGACAATCGGGTGTGTGATACAGTGAGATGAAATAAATGAAACGTCGTGTGCGTGATGGGCAAAAAATTGCTGATTTAGGGGGTCGAACCCTAGATCTTCTGCTTACAAGGCAGACGCCTTACCACTTGGCCAAACCAGCGATGCGCGTACATTAGCACAGATTACGCTATCAAACGACGATAAATAATTGATTGAAACACGCGCGCGCGTTCGTTACGAATTGTTACGGGTGCGTCACTCCGCGCCGTCGCGATGTCGCGCCCGTTCGAGCGCTTCGACGTCCCGGGCGCGCGCGACGGCGCCGTTTCGAACGAGCGCGGCGTGCGCGCGACGCGAACGATCCCCGCCGGCGCGCGCATAATGACCACGGAGCCTTACGCCGCGGCGCTGCGCGCGGAGAAGCGCGAGAGCCACTGCGCGTGGTCGTTTCAACCGCTGCGCCTCGGCGCGCGCGCGCGCGTCGCGCGCGCGGCGTGCGGCGCGGCGTTCCGAGACGAAGAGAGCCTGAAACTCGCGAACACCGTCGAGGCGTTCGAACGCGCGAGCGCGTGGGTGCGAAAGTCGAGTCGAGGAACGCCGGAGACGTCGGCGCGGTGCGCGCTGCAGTGCCTGGCGCGACGCGCGGGCGAGCGGGACGGGACGTGCGAACGCGCGCGGTACGAACTGTTGGGAGAAGACGCGCGGGGATTCGATGGGGTGTGGGCGCTGAGGGAATCGAGGGGACGCGATGGGAAGAGCGCGCGGGAATTGGAGAAGGCGATGGAAATCGCGAGCGCGGCGACGGTGGTGGCGGCGCTCGCGGGCGAGGCGATGGTGAAGGGGGCGACGCCGGAGGAGATAGAGACGAAAATGCTCAACCTGAAGGTCGAGTCGGGGGTCGACACGCAGTTTGTGATCTCGTTGTTGTCGCGATTTGAAATTAATGGGTTCACCATCGCGGACGACGACATGCAACGCGTCGGTTTCGGGATTTATCCCGAGGCGTCTCTGTTTAATCACTCGAGCACGCCCAACGCGCAGGTGATGTTCAAGGGTAAGACGCTCGTGGTGAAGACGTTGAGGGAAATCGCGGTCGGCGAGGAAATCACGATCTCGTACGGCGAGCAGTACATGCCGCGAGAATGGACGAGACGCCGGATGCTCTCGTCGTACGGTTTCGACGCATATGCGGCGTACCCCAAGTATGAAGTCGCGGAAGCGGCGCGGCGACGAGTCTTGGACGCCGCGACGCGAACGCGGCTTCCCATGCGATTGGGCGAACTAGTCGATTTAGGCGAGGACGTGTGCTGGTATGCGGGCGAACTTCTTCCCGACGAAGATCTCGCGCGCGACCGGTTTTGGCACCAACTCGACGTCGACGCGTACGGGGACGAGTTTGCAAACTCTGGAATCATGCTCATCAAAGACGAATCACGCGCACGCAAAACGAGCGATGATGACGACGACGATCACGACGACGGTTGGAACGAAAACAATGAGATCATGATTTGGGGCAAATTCCCAGAACATTGCGACCGCGAGCTCACCGCCATTAATTTTGCCAACGCCGCGCGCTCGCTCGAACTTCTCGGCGCGGATGGCGAAGACGACGACGAGGACGACGATCGCGATCCCGTGATCGCATTGCAGGGCTATGAGAAAGTGGCGCGCGCGTTGTTATCAGGAGACGATAAAGCAGCCGCAGTGGGAAGAAATCACGAGATATTAAAGCACGTCAATCTAAAACGGACGTTGAAGTTGACGGAACTCACGGCGCGCGTGATGCGAGATTTTGATGAACGCAAATCTGCGTGTTTCGTTGCCGTGGTGGAAAGTTCCGTGGGGGCATTTCGCGCGTGTCAAGCCACTGAAACGGTGTACAAAATGAGCGCCGGATTCAGCCCGTTCGATTCCGTGTACGTCCATCTTAAATTTCAAATGCTCAAGCTCGGCGTCTTGGCGTTGGGGTACCTCGCGCACCTGTGCGATCAGAGCGGTGCGCGCGCTGACTATCGCAAGCTCGCTCGTGAGTTGTGCCGACACGCGATTCTTACCCATAACGAACTCAAAACTGTCATGAGTAAAGCGAGCTGCGACGGCATGGTGATGCACAACGAGTGGAGTCGAGATGCTCAATCACTTTTCGCCGACTTGAGCTTCATTCGTCAACGCATCCAACAGTGGGGGAAATAGAGGAATAGGGATCGTTGATAGCTGCGCAATTTCGTATTGTTACAAGTAGTACCAGTAGTCAGTCTAGAAATGGTACGTCACGATTCGTCGACGCTCATCGCGAAACGCGGCGCCACGCCGGTTTGGACGTAGTCAACCTTCCAACCTGATCGAATCATCGACGCTTCGAAGTCGGCGACGCGCTCGTCAGCGTATGCGTACGCACGGGATCTCGATTTTGTCTCGTCCACGCGAAGCTTTTGACACGCTAACGCGGCGGCGAGCATATCGCGTGACGTCGCGTGCTCGAGCAGGAGCACCGAGGCGACGTCGTCGCGTTTGGGATCCCATCCCAACACGTACGATCGACCTTTCGCGAGGCGTACGGCGTCGGTGAACGCGTTCCAATCCTCGCCGATTTCGCTCGGTGATGCTCCGTACGAGGGCGTCGTCGCCGTGCGACGCGGTTTGTACACGCCCTCCATGTCGGCGACGACGACGCAGTCGGGAAGTTCCTCGTCCTCGTTCGCCACGAACGCCTCCGCGAGCTTCAACAATCGAAACCGATTGAGCGTATCAAACTTCAGCGATTTGGCCGCTTGCCAACACGCGAACACGTGAACGCCGATGACGCCACCATAGGCACCGAACGCCGCGACGAACGCGCCGAACTCGTCGCCATCCGCCGCGAGATCCGCCGCCGCCGCGCTCACGAGCTGAAACACCTGAATCCCCGCCGGAAGCGCTATGAGCGCCAACCATCGCCCCTGTACCTCGAGTTTGGCACGAATGTCCCCTAAATTATTATTTCGCCCGAAATGTTGCATGAACGTCCCGTTCAACAGGCTCCCTCGTCCCGTCAACGCCGCCGCTCTGACAAACGTCGCCGACGCCGCCAACGGCAAAAACAACCCCGGTGCCGCCGGCGTCACCAACTCTATCGCTCGCGCCACGTCCTCGAGCGTATTCGACAACCCCCACCATCGTTTCGGGTCCTCGTCGTACCTCTGTCCCCCGAACGACCCCGCGATGAGCGTCGCGAACGATCCCACGCCGTCCTTCAGCACCCACTTCGCCGCCGCCGTCAGCGGCAGCGCCCCCGGCGTGTTTCCCATCCCCAGCGCCACCAGCAGCGACTGCGCGCTCATTATCTCCAGCACGTCCCTAAACAGCAGCGACAACAGCTGCCAGCGCAACCATTCGACGTAATCCGCGCTCGTCGTCGCCGGGAATCCGCTCGGCAGAAAGATTCTTCGCAGCTCCGGCATCACGCTCGCCCGCTCCCGTCCCGTCGCCGCGTCGATCGGTCGCGCGCGTCGCATCGACCGCGACGCGTCCGCGCTCGCGATCCACCTCGCGCTCGCCTGCGCGCCGCGCATCTCGACCACGTCGAGGCGTCCCGGCGTCGCCGACGACGTCGTCGGCGCGTCATCGTCCGACGTCGCGTCGCGCGCGCGCCGCGCGCCGCCTCGGCGCGCCGGCGCGGCGCGCGAGAGGTCTCGGCGCGCGCGCGACGGCGCGCGCGCGACGTTCGCGCCTCGGCGCGGCGCCGACGCGCGCATGACGCGGCGTCGATGATTGACGACGACGCATCACTCGGCGACGCGCGACGCGCGACGCGCATCGCCCGAGGCGCGCCCTCGACGCCGCGCGACGACGCGCGCGATGCCGCGCGCGACGACGCGCGCGACGACGCGCGCGACGACGCGCGCGACGACGCGCGCCGCGACGACGGCGACGCGACGCTCGAGGACGACGCGCGCGGCGCGAGCGACGACGCGACGACGCGCGACGTCGATCGAGGACGTCCCTCCCGAAGACGTCGCCATCGTGGTCGAACTGCTGGACAGCGAGTCGGGGGAGGAGGTGACGGAGAAGGTGGACGCGATGGCGAAGGGCGGGTTGCTCACGGCGGGCGTCGTCGAGGCGGCGCGCGTCATCGTCGAGGCGAATCGACAGAGTGGACAAGACCCCGACGTCGTGGCGCTGCTGGAAGACGTGTATAAAACGTTGGATGTGAGACTGCGCGAGATGGCGGCGACGCAGGTGAAGGATGCGCTGACGTTCGCGCAGGAATTGATGAAGTATTTCACGGCGGAGGATTTGGAGCGCGACGAATCGGTGGCGGTGACGAAGGTGCAGTTGATGATGCGAGAGGAGTTCGAGAGGCCGGGAGGGGTGTCGAGGGAAGCGTTGGCGAAATATCTCGACGAGGTGTTGCCGGTGATGGATCAACAGGACGAGAGAATACAGAGCGGGTTGGAGACGGCGACGACGCCCGAGCAACAGGCGCAAATCGTTCAGCTGATGATGCAACGCACGAAGGAGCGCATGCAAATCGAATTCATTCGCGATTGCGCGGCGGGAATTTGAGCGCGATGGACGGTGATTTTTAATATCAAAACTACTAATACTGACGACGACTAATTGAAGCGTAAACCAAACTTTGATTGCCCCCCCCTCGATTGGCCGCGCAGCTCGGCGCCGCCCGCGAGGCCCATGTCGAAATTCGCCTTGCTCTCGACTTGCGTGCCCGACGCGGCGAATCCAGTGCCTCCTTTTTGCAGTTTAATGACATCCTTATCGGGTCGAATCTTCACACCGTCGTACGCGCCCTCTTTCTCGACGACTCGCTTGAAACCTTCCTCCGAAATCGCCGTCCCCGTCGGCTTGAGCACGACGATGGCCGTGGCGTTCGTAAACGTCTTATACGTGATCGGACACATGTACTTCCCGCTCTCCCCCTCTCGCACTTTCGTCCACTTGATCGTCACTAAATCCTTCATCCGCAACCTCTCCAACGTCGTCGGACACTTGGTCTCCTTCTCCGGCTTCTCCTTCGCTCGCGTCAACCCGTCGTCGACGCCGCCGTCCACCCTCCAAAACCCATCCATCGTCGCCGCGCGCGTCGCGTTCACCTCCATCGCCTGTCGCGACGCCGCGCCCGCGTACGCTTTCCCCTCGCCCTCGACCTCGTCCGTCGTCCCTCCCCCGCCGTGATTCGCCGCGTGAAACGCCGCCAGCTCGACGCGTCGCCGCTTCGCGTCCCGCGCGTCGTCCGCCCTCGCCTCCGCCTCCTTCGCCCGCGCGTGCTCTCGCGCCTTCCGCTCGAACTCCCGCCTCTGATCGACGAGACATTGCACGATCGCGCCTCGATCGTACACCACGCCTCGCGGCGTGCACACGCCGTCGTCCGTCGTCGACAGCGTCAGCGCGCACGCGTCGAAATCCTTCACCGTCTCCCGCCCGAGTCGCTCGCGCACGGTCCCGTATCCCAGCGCGCGCCGCTCCGCGTGCGTCAGCGCCTCGGAACCGAGCGTCCCGGCCTGCTTGGAGTGCTTCTTCGTGCTCCCGCGCGCCATGACGCGCGCGATTCTGTCGTCAAAAAGCGTCGACGCGCGGCGTTCGCGACGCACTCGTCGACGCTTCGAGCCGCGCGCGCGCGCGCGTCGCGACCGCGACGGCGACGACGCGGCGCGCGCGATTCTCGTCGCGTCGCCGCTTCGCGATGCGCGCGTCGTGGGTCGAGGTGTCGACGCCGCGTCGTCCGCGTTCGAGTGCGCTCGCGCGCGTCGTCGAATCCTGCGTCGCCGGCGCGTCGAGCGACCTCGCGAGCGGCGACGACGCGCGCGCGCGCGTCGTCGCGACCGCGGTCGTGAAGCGCGGCGCCTCGGCGCTCGGCGCGGCGTCGGAGGAGTTCGGCGGGACGGCGCCGCGCGGGTTGGCGCGCGCGACGACGGCGCGGCTGCGAGCGCTGGGCGTCTCGGACGCCGTCGTCGACGAGTGCGGACGACGGTTTTGGCGCTCGAGCGATGGTGCGGAGGTGGTGGTGCCGACGTCGAGCGTCGGGTGGTTGACGCACGCGAAGGCGCAGTATTGCGCGGCGAGGCGGGACGGAAACGTGGACGCGGCGAGCGAGCGGGACGGGACGGGACGGGCGACGCGGGACATCGCGGTGGGCGAGACGCTGACGGTGCGCGCGGAGGAGAGCGAGGGCGATGGGGGGAGCGGTGGATGGGTGGGCGCGTCGGCGGTGCGCGCGGAGGAGGGCGAGCGAGGAGACGGGTTGTTGCGGTGGTTGACGACGGCGGCGCCGGCGGCGTTGCGATCGAAGGCGGACGGATCCGTCGGCGTCTTCGCGCTCGAGGACGTCGCCGCGGGGCGGACGCTGGATTTTTCGATGAAACGTGTGGATGAAATCGTGCGCGGGAGCCCGCTCGTGGGCGAGGAGGTGCACGGGAAGTTGGCCAAGGCGTTTCGGCGTCACGGCGCCGCGGGCGAAGCCGCGCTCGAACGATTACGAAGACGATTTCCTTTTTCGAAGACGTACCAGACGTTCCCGATGTTCGGCGCGTTCGATGAGATTACGACGCTGAGCGCGATTAGTCACGCGGACGAGCCGAATTTGGCCCGCGAGGCGAACGCGCCGCTCGGCGCGCGATTCGTCGCGACGCGAGACGTCGCCGCGGGCGAGGAGTTCACGTTGCATCGCGGACGCGACTGCATTTTAGAGGTGCCAGGCACGGGTGGGTTTTTAGCGCACTACGAGTGGGCCGTAGAGGGTAAGGAGGCGCCGTGGGAGCGCGCGGGCGCGGGAGGACGCGCGCGCGGCGGGATAGACTATAGCAAGTGGGACGACGTCGCGTCGAGCTCATCGGAGGATTTAGATTAATTTTAGAGCGCGCCGCTATCGTTTACAATCGTCTAAGTGCGCGTTTATCTCGCTCGCGATGTACTCGGCTTCCCTTCGACTCAAGCTCGCTAAAATCGGCACCATCGTGTCGTCCTCGCGTTTGATATAAATCAAACCGTCCGGGCGAACGAAGCAGCCTTCTAAATCGGCGGTTTCGCCCACCTTGTCGATGAATTTCATCCCACCCCCTTCGCACGCGACGCGATAGTTTTCTCGGTCGATGAAGACGTCACCCTTCGCGACGAAAGATCGCACGACTTCGCCGGACAAGTCCGCGCCGACTTTCCAAAAAGGTAACGAAAATAACGCCATGAGCCACGCGCCGGACGCCAACACGCCAGCCGTCCATAATCCCGTGATCGCGGTCCACGTGATGCCAAAGAATGCTTTGTACAACACATCACCATTCGCACCTGAGGGCGGAATCGCGATTGATACTGAATTTCCGGCGTCGCGAACGAGCTCGGTGACCATGGTTTTCGGTTTCGGCGAGCCGCGCGGTGCGAGAGGTTCCGGCGCATAAATGGGCACCGTCGGCGTACGTTCCACCACGTCGTCGCTTCGACCGCGAAAATTTCTACCACTCACCATGGGAGTCGCGGCGGAATTCAGCGCGTCTAGCGCCTCTCGAGGCGTGCGAAACCGATCTTCCGGCGACGGCTCGAGCAAGCGCTCGAGCACCGAGCGCAAGCGACGATCTTCGATGTAAACTTCGTCGAAATTTACCTTCAATCGCTCTGTTTTGAACCCACTCGGCGGTCGTCCACTCAGCAGAAACAACACCGTCGCGCCGACGCCGTACTGATCGCTCTTCGGCGATGAACCTCCCATGAGCGTTTCCGGCGCCATGTAACCGAAAGTTCCGACCACCGTCGATCCGAACGAATCAGAATCGATCGCCGCCGCCGCGGCACCGCCGAAATCAACCAAAAACACGCGTTCCCCATCGTCATCGATCACCACATTCGCCGGCTTCACGTCTCTGTGCACCACCGGCGGTCGCAACGAGCTCGTGTATTCGAGCGTCTCCAGCAACTGTCTCAAAATTTCGCGCGCCTCGCGTTCCGTCGGACGCCACCCTTCGCCCACTTTATCCTCTAAATTTCGACCGACCGCTAAACGTTGCACCAAGACGTACCTTCGATCGAACTCGCTGTCCAGCGTGAACGAATCGACGTACTCGGGCACGCGCTCGAAGTCGAGCGCTCTGAGCGTCGCACACTCGCGCTCGAACAATTCTACCGCCTTGAAACCCCCGTTCGTCGAGCGGCCGCGGCCGCGAAGCGTGAGCGTCTTCAGCGCGACGTCCGCGCCGTTCGACTCGCACCGCGCGCGATACGTCACCGCGCTCGAGCCGGCGCCCAGGCGCTCCAACAGTTGGAACTTTTCGCCGCTGGGACTCGTCAGGGACGTCCCGACGTCGACGTCGTCGTCCGCGAAGCCGCGCGCGCGCGCGCGCGCGCGCGGGCGTCGACGTCGTCGCGACCGGGGCGCTTCGAGCGCGCGGGCGCGCGCCGAGGGCGCGGTGAAGGACGACGCGCGAGCCATGAGGCGCGAAGTGGCGCGAAGCGCGCGAGACGCTGAATTTACAATCATCTAAGACGACCGCGCGTCCGCGGCGGTGGCGTAACGACCGCCGGCGACGGTCTGATAATTCGCCCTTCGCTCGCGCTTGGTCGGAACGTTCCCGGAAGGCACGCCCGTGGCGAGCTCGACGCCCGCGTCGTCGACGAGGACGAAGCGCGAGAAATCGTCGCCCCCAGCCCCGGGCACCCACACGAGCTTCCACGCCACTCTCGATTGAAATTGCACGTGCGCGACGTCTGCCGGTGGTTCCTGCGCGCTGCCGAGTATGCACGTGCACCACGACCCGCCCTCGCCCATGGTATCGTCGCGCGCCGCTCGGATGCCTTCGCCGAGGGGATTATCATACGCCATCCCCGCGACGCGTCCCTGATTTTTGTTATCGGCGTGCTCGAGAATCATCGTCGTCGCGTCGACGTGATTAAAATCGTTGAAGCAGTGTCCGGTGTTGCCCTTACCGGGCGGCACGTTCGTGAGGTCCTTCAGTCCCGCGGCCCAGAGCAATTTCGGTCGCACCGTCGCGTCCCAGTCTCCGCTCAGCGTCTCTTCGCTCAGGCTCGCCGCGCGCGCGCGTCCGTTCGCCGTGCGCTCGAGCGCGGTGCCGGGGTATTCGTTCATGCCGTCGCCGAGCGACGCTCTGGCGCGCGTGCCGTACGTCGCCGCGTCGCTCGAGCGCGCGAAGACCAAAAGCGCGGCGCCGAGCGACGCGAGCGTCGAACGACGACGGAGACCGACCGACGACGACGACGACGACGACGACGCGCGCGCGCGTTTACTCGCGTGCGTTCGCACGGCGGCGCGCGTCGCCGAGGCGGTGACGCGGAACGCGCTCATGCGCGCGCGAGTCTGACGTCAGCGAACGAGCGCGAACGAGCGCGAACGAGCGCGCGACGCGTCGCGACGCGTGCTGACACTAAACGAAACGAAACTAAACGAAACTAAACCACGAATGCCCACGAAAATCGAATCGAATCGTCTCGCGCGGCGCTCACGAATCGTCGTCGTCGTCGTCGTCGTCCGAAATCGCTCGGCGACACGCCGGGCACACCCGCGCGTCCGCCGACACCCAAGATTTACAGAGCCCGCACCGCGCGCTCGGCGTCCACGCCGGCGCGCCCGCGATCGAGATCTTCGCCACCGCGCGCATCGTCGCGTAAATCAGCGCCAGCGTCAGACACGCGTCGATGATTCGCGCCAACAGCGCGCCGTATCTAAACGTCGCCCCGCCGCAGACGAACGCCATCTCCTCCAGCGCCTTCGACCTCGACCCGAGCATCAGCGCGACGCTCGGCGAGACGAACGCGTCGATGAACGCGTCCAGGACTTCTTCGACCATCTTCGCGGCGACGACGCCCAGCGCGATCGGCGACGCGCGCGCGAAATTCTCGCCCAGAAAGAGCACCAGATTCGTCTCCGCGCGTCGGCGTCGTCGCGCGTCGTCGCGATGCGCGTCGCGGTGGCGATCGGAGATCGGGAGCAACGCTTCGCGCGCGTCGCTCGTCGTCGTCTCGCGCGCCATGGCGTCGCGGGCGCGCGCCGGCGCGGCGCGAGGTGTCGGCGCGCGCGCGGCGACCGACCGTCAGCGCGGCGACCGACCGCCTCAACACCCCAAAGAAGTAAGTAAGTCAAAGTCGACCGCACTGTATCTTCTCCCGCACTCGACGACGACGGACGGGATGCGGGAGCGCGACGACGGCGCGACGACGCGCGCGCGACGAGCGATCGCCGTCGTCGGCTGCGTCGGCGGCGTCGCGCTCGCGGTGGCGGCGGTGCTCGAACACGGAGACGCGATGCGCGCGTGGTACGCGGGCGGCAGCGCGACGGCGATGCTGGGCGGCGCGGACGCGCGCGCGGAGGACGTGCGACGCGCGCGCGCGGCGCTGGGAACGCCGGCGAGATACCCGAACAGCGCGGCGGCGAGAGCGAGGCGAGAGAGGCGGACGAAGACGAGGAAAGAGGCGCGAAGGATGAAGGCGGGACGAGACGGGGACGGGGACGCGGCGCGAGGCTTGGACGACGCGAGTTTAGGGATGTTGGCGCCCGATGCGGTGCCAGAGTACGAGGCGCACGCGTTTAAAGTGCCGGTGGGAACCGTGGAAAAGACGGCGGAGGAGCTGAATAAGATGGAGGGGTACGGGTACGACGAACGGGGCGAACTCGTCGGGGACGCGTGGCGACGCGAGTGGCGACGCGCGCAAGACGAGATTATTCGCGAGAGCCTGATGGAGGAGAGGCATCAGTCGAGGGTGAGGCATCACCCGTCGCACGTCCAGCCGTCGCTCGGGTTTCACCCGCACGCTGGACTCGGTGCTTCGCATCACCCTCACCATCACCGTCGCGGCGAGAAGAAGGCGAGCGGGAAGAAGGCGAAGAGCGACGACGGCGACTCGTCCAAGTTGGGCTCGAAGGTTGAGCCGCTCAAGACGCCCGTGTACATCATGTCCATGGGAGATAAGCCGGTGCGTAACCCCGATCCCGTGCTCGGTCGCACGGACAGTGAGCGCACGGAGCACTTGCTCAAGGAGCTCGTGAGAGAGTACGGCACGGCGGCGATTAAAAGCTACGTGCGCTTGACGCCCGGGGTGGACGTGAGCGACTGGCCCCACGAAGAAGACACGATGCACTTCGCGCTCAAGTCGATCATGAAGAACAAACCGACGGGCGCGCAGCTCGCTACGCTCCCATGGCTTAGCTTTTACACCAGTCGCGATAAGGAGGGTCATTTTTCGGACAAGTTTGCGAAGGAGCGCAATCTGTACACGCACATCGGCTGCTTGTTCGGGCACATGTTCCAGTGGCAGCTCGCCGCCGACGCGAACGACAAGCACGCGTTCATGTTAGAGTCTGACGCTTTTGATAGCTCAATCGTCGGCATGCCGTTCAAGGACATGCAAACGTTGGCCGACAACGCGCCGAAGGAGTACGACATCATCTTTTTCGATCAACCGAGGGACATGACCTTCGACGAAGCGCCAGAGCATAAATTTAAAGACGCCGGCGGGAGTGAAATTTACTTGTTCCGACTCAAGTCGAAGAACACTCAAGGCGGACTCTCGGCTTCGTTGGTTTCCAGGTCGTTTTATCCCAAACTTTTCAAGCACCTCTCGCATTTCGGCGGCGACATCGTCGACTCGATGTTAAAGTCGCAGCTCTGCACCGATTCCATGGTGGACGCCACTGGCAAGTTCACGGGATTCGGCGCGGGCAACAAACCGTGGTTGAAGTGTTACTGGGCTTTGCCCGCGAAGAAAGGCAGGGAATCCCACGGCAAGTTCGTCTACAATAACTACTAAAAGTTCGGCGCGCCGGTACCGGTATAGTCGTGTAACAAAACGATTCGAGTCATCATTTCAAAGTCGCTATCAAATCAAGTCGTGTCCCGGCGTCGGCGGCATCCCGCGTCCGCGAGTGTGGAATCGTGTCGCGGTGACTAAGGAGTGATCGCCGTGCACGATGTGAAACTTATCGATCGCCTCGCTCAAGCCATCCGTCGTCTTCGTCATCGCGGTGAGGTAATTCAACACGAGGGTGTTCTCGTACTCGTCCGCGAAATCCTCTCGCAACGCCTCGCTCGAGCTCGTTCGCAACACCACCATCGCCTTCGCGACTTCGCGCAGCACGTCACGATCGAGCACCGCTCTCCCGTCCTTCACCGCGCGAAGATACTCGAGCACTACGGCTAATCGATCCCGCAGCGCCGTCGTCGCCGTCGCCGCCGATTCCAAACTCGACGCGAACCGCGCGCTCCGCGAATCCCGCCCCTCCGGCGCGATCTTCGCCACTTCGTCCACCACGATGCGTTCGGCCTCGAGCATCTCCACCGTAAACGTCTCCTCCCGCAAACCATCGCTCCCGCGCTCGTACCACCGCACCCCCGGCGCGTCGTCCGCGCCCCCGCGCGCGCTCACCAGCGCGAACACCGCCGCCGCCGCCGCCTCCCCATCGTCCCCATCCCGCGTCGCCCGCGCCATCACGTCCCGCGCGAACGCGTCCCCGATCGCCAAATCCTCTTCGTTCGCCTCGTCTCGATCGTCCACGACGCGATACCACCCCAGCGGTCGCACGTCGTCCCGCGTTCGCCGCGCCGCCGCGTCCCGCTCGAGCGCCAGCGCCGCGTCCGCTCGCGTCGTCCCATCGCTCGCCGCTATCGCCGCGCCCTCCACCGCCATCACGATCTCGACCCGTCGCGCGCGTCCGCTCTCGTCGCGCGCGACGCGGCCGTACAGCGCGCCCACGACGACGTCGTCGCGCGTCGCCGTCGGTTCGCGCTCGCGCGTCGACGCCGCGCTCGCGTCGTTCGGAGCGCACCGCGCGGCGCGCGCGCGCGCGTAGTGATCGCACGCCGTCGCGGTGACGATCGGGTGGCACGCGCGCGCGACGTCGCGCGCCATGCGCGCCGCGACGCGCGACGAGGCGAAGATTCGATTCGATCGACGACGACGACGCGGCGAAGAGTGACGCCGCACACGCGCGCTGGAGCGCGCGGCGTCGCGCGATGGACGACGACGCGGACGCGACGCGCGCGACGCGCGCGCGCGCGCGCGACGCGACGCGCGGGACGGCGGGCGATGGATGCGCGCGCGCGACGGCGGAGTCGTTAGGGACGCGCGACGACGACGACGACGACGACCGCGGACGCGACGAAGACGCGCGGGCGACGACGAGGGCGCGTGCGCGCGAGGCGCGAGCGTCGACGGACGCGGACGCGCGCGAACGCGCGCGCGCGGACGACGCGCGCGAGGCGGACGACGGAGGCGGACGATCGAACGACGGCGGCGGCGACGCGCGGGGCGAGGAGGAAGAGGACGACGACGGGCGAGACGATGGACGCGAGCGCGAACGCGCGAGCTCTGAGAGCGATCAGAGCGATCGGAGTCATCTGGATCGCGATGATGGGTCGGAGACGGCGTCGGCGTCGGCGTCGGCGTCGGCGTCGCGGCGGCCGGCGGCGAACGTGGCGTATCCGATGTTTTTGTGCGACGAGCGGCATCGGGATTCGGCGAGGTTGTACGCGGACGACGACGGGGACGATGATGGGGAACGACAGAAGTGGCGCACGAAGGATCGCATGAAGACGGTTTCGGTGGCTCTGGTGCTTTGCTTGAACATAGGGGTGGACCCGCCCGATACGATGAAAATTTCGCCGTGCGCGCGCATGCAGTGTTGGATCAATCCGATGAGCGCTCAACCGCAAAACGAGTTGGACGCGATAGGAAAGGCGTTGCAGGCGCAGTACGAGCGATGGCAACCGAGAGCGAAGTATAAGCTTCAACTCGATCCCACGACTGAGGATATGAAGAAACTGTGCATATCGTGCCGGAGAAACGCAAAGGGCGAGCGAGTTCTGCTCCACTACAACGGCCACGGAGTTCCGAAACCGACGGCTAATGGAGAAATTTGGGTTTTCAACAAATCTTACACGCAGTACATCCCGCTGTCGGTGTTTGATTTACAGGCTTGGACTGGGACGCCAGCCATTTACGTCTTCGACTGTTCCAACGCCGGATTGATCGTCAAATCCTTCTTGAAGCTGTCGGATCCATCTGCCGCGCCGAAAATGTCGCCGCCGACGACGAACGCTGGCTTGGATTTAGAACGACGCCAAATCGGTCGGTCTTTTGCGTTTGCCGAACTCGAGCATGCGCAACCAAAGTTAGATGCGGGAGATTCCGGTTTCGGGCCGACTAATGTCACCAGCACAGCAAACGAGTGTATTTTAATCGCCGCGTGCGGTGCAAATGAAATTTTACCGCAATCGGCCGATCTTCCAGCTGATGTTTTCAGTGCATGCTTAACGACTCCAGTGAAAATGGCGTTGCATTGGTTTTGCTCGAATTCCGTCCTTCGAGGGCAAGGAATCTCGGCTGATATCATCGACAACATCCCAGGAATGCAGAATAATCGCAAGACGCCACTGGGCGAGCTGAATTGGATTTTCACCGCAATCACGGATACGATCGCTTGGAACGTTTTGCCTCGTAGTCTTTTTCAACGATTGTTCAGGCAAGACTTACTCGTTGCGTCGTTGTTCAGGAATTTCTTGCTCGCCGAACGCATCATGCGTGCAAACAACTGCACGCCTGTATCATCGCCGAGATTGCCACCCACTCATCAACATCCTATGTGGGCGGCGTGGGATATGGCCGTCGAGCAGTGCTTGCTGCAAATGCCAGCTTTACTTTCTGGCAATCCAGACACTGAATTCGTGCCGTCGCCTTTCTTCACAGATCAACTCACAGCGTTCGAGGTGTGGTTGGAGTACGGAAGCGAGAACGACGCGCCGCCTGAACAGTTGCCGATCGTTTTGCAAGTTTTACTCTCTCAGTCGCACCGTTTGCGAGCGTTAATTCTGTTGGGGCGATTCTTGGATTTAGGATTGTGGGCCGTCGAGCTTGCATTATCTGTCGGCATCTTCCCTTACGTGTTAAAGTTGCTTCAGACGACGGCTCCAGAGTTGCGTCAAATTTTGGTTTTCATATGGACGAAGATTCTTGCGCTTGATCGATCGTGTCAAGCCGATCTTGTCAAGGACGACGGTCACGCATATTTCATTCGGTTCTTGCAGAGTTCAAACGTACCGGTTGAAGAACGCGCGATGGCCGCTTTCATCTTGGCGGTCATCTCAGACGGCCATGAGAAGGGACAGACAGTTTGCATGGCTAGCGGCCTGATGGAGATTTGTTTACTAAATATCCCGGAAGCGGCACTCCCAGAGACCGGATCACCATTTTTCCTTCGATGGTTGTGTCTTTGCCTCGGAAAGCTGTGGGAAGACAATGTAGAGGCTCAGAAAGCTGCGTGTAACGCACAGGCGCACGCAATGCTGGCAACCTTGTTCGCGCATTCGTCACCGGATGCCCGTGCAGCGGCCGTGTACTCACTCGGCTCGCTCATTTCTATTGGTCACACGCTAGACCCCGATTTGCTTCAGAGAGAAGACTCAAAGGACGATTCTCAAACGCAAGAGCTCATGCACGCCATGTCGTCGACGAGCGTATTATCAACGCAGTCGCCCTCGCCTCGCCCGTTCAGCAGCCACGACGGACAAGAGACATTACCACAGGAAAATTTTGTTTCATCTGGTGCGATACCCGCAATGGAGCGTGAGGTGGCGATCAATTTGCTCACGACCGCAGAAGATGCGAGTCCAATGGTTAGAGTCGAAACTGCTGTAGCGCTCTCTCGTATCGCTCGCGCGCACAAAGTCTTCATGCGCGAAGCGGCGATTGCATGGAAACGCGATTACGACACCGTCACGGCGAGACGTGTGGTTGAATCCAAGCGTAGTGAAAATATCAGCAGTCGCCGTCGCTTCTCAAGTAGCGGATCTTTTGGAGGCTTTGACCATTCGATAGGGAGTACGAAGGGCATGTCCACCGTGGATGAAGATGGCGATCGACCGACGAGCTCTCTCACCGTTGAAAATGTGGCGCGCTCGGCCGACGCACAGCAAGGATTATTGGACTCTCACGGTGAATGTAGCGATGGAGGTTCGATTCCACTCCCGCCTACGTATCCGCAATCGCAGTACGGCGATGATTGGATGCAAGAGCGGACAACTGAAGGACCGAAGGGTGGGTTGTACACGCAAATCTTACAAGTGCTGCTCGATCTCGCCACCGACGCAGCTCCGTCTGTTTCCGCGGCAGGAATAAAAGCTCTCATGAGTGTTGGACTGGAAATGACGCATCCAATAATGGAAAAAGCGACTAGCACTGGGAGCTTTGCCAAAGAGTCGTCGCAAGAAGCAAAATCGAAGTCGCATCGAAGACAGCCATCATTCGCAAGCTTAGATTTGGGAAGTTTCGAGCGTTCTTCTTCGAAAGATCTCACCACGAGTCCGAGTGGATCTTTGATGCGCACGGAATCGTGGTCCCAGAGGTTAACAAGCATTGGCTCGCGCTTGCTCGGATCACCGACTAAGCCTAAACCAGCTTCAACGCTGAGCGGCACCCGTGAGCCCGGTGCGCAAAGCCCATCTAAAGCTTCGGGTGGGCGAGGCGCACGATTCGGCGGCTTACGAAAGCAAGCGAGCGGAGGTAAAGACTCGTCGTTCCAAGGTGGAGGGCAGTCGATGAGTTCGTCGCACCTCCCGGCGTTGAATATTCCGCGCGTAGGATCGCGAACAAGCGACTTGCGACTTTCTCCGAGGAACGATTCACCGCTACGTCGAACGACAAGTACGCTCATCTCCGATCACGACCCAGGTTACGATAGCTCGGGGACTTTACCGCGTTTTGGTTCTCACGCGTCCCTTGAATCGCTTGAGTCTCCTCGAATCGGTGGCGGATCGAATGATACGAGCAGATTCGATCATGCTCACGGCGACGAGTTACCGAGAAGTATGATTTACAAGCGCAGCTGCGCGCACTTTTCGATGGCATTGCTCGAATCGGCGCAAGAGGAAGAAGAGAGTGAATTCGACGATGACTTCACAAGTGACGTTCCTCCATGGCTGCGAGCTCCCGATACGAAGCGTCGTGCGGACAGATTGAGAAGAATGTACGAGAGAATGGCAGAGACGCGAACGACGGAAGAACATCGACTCAAAATGACAGAGTATGTTTCGAGCATTGACGTGGGTGGAGGTGGCGTCGTGCCCACGTCGATCATCATGCACTCGTTAGAGCCACAAGCCGTCGCCGGCGACAATCGAGGTCGCGTACACGTCTGGGACCACACTTCATCGCGGATGGTCAACAAGATTGAAACGGGCTTGAAAAGCACCGACATGCTATCCCTCGTGAACGAAACCGACGATGCACTCTTACTCACGGGTTGCGTCGATGGCTCGGTGAAAATCTGGCGCGACTACGATAAAATTGGTGGTGAATCTCTCGTGACTGCTTGGAATACGCTGCCTTCGCCAACCATCTTACCCGACACTGGAAGCACCGGCTCCTTACCGATGTCCCTGTACAAGCCGTCAACGCATTACAACGCCCATGAGTCCACGAAGGCGGTGATCGTTTGGCAGCAGCTGACCGGATGTCTTTACGCCACGGGCAATGCGCCTCATCCGTTGCTGCGCGTTTGGGACGTTTCAAGCGAACTCTGCCGGGAGACATTGAGCCTTCAATCACAAGGAACGTGTTTGACCGCTGAAGGCGCTCTTCTCATGGCTGGCACAGCAGATGGTGCAGTGTTGTCCTACGATTTGAGAGCGCCCGCACGTTTATTGAGCGCGATGCAAACGCACACGCAGCCAGTGATTTCAATCCTACTTCAACCTGGAGGCGAAGATAATCTCCTGATCACTGGTTGCTCAGACGGGCAAATCAAGTTTTGCGATTTGCGCAATGCATCGAAGCCATTTCTCACGACGGAAGTGTCGAGACCATCTGCGGTGCCCAATCGCACCCCATCGCTCACCGCGCTTGTCGGACATCCTTGCGCCCGCGTGATTGCCTCGGGATCATCTGAGCGCGCCATCAAGCTTTGGGATTTGCAAGGTCACAATTTCGCCTCAATTCAGTACACGAACTCGTTCCTTGGGCAACGAATAGGTTCCGTCACCGCGCTCTCGTTCCATCCGAACTTGATGTACCTCGCAGCTGGTAGCAGCGCTGGTCACGCCACAATTTATAGTCATTAGCAAAATAGAAATGTCATCAACACGTTTTGTACAAATTAATCATGGGTGGCTAAAACTAAACGCTAAGGCGCCGAACGCGTCGGCGAGCGCTCGTGCGCTCAAGCTAGGTTGCGTTGCGAGCAAACTCGCGACAATATTATTTAAGGATGTGTCAAATATGGCTTTGTTCACCAATGGCACCGCTGTTTTGAAACTTGCGACGACGCGCGCATCGCTGTTCCCTCCGTCAAGGTAATCTCGCAAGCTTTGATACGTCGAGAGCGTGATGGCGTGCGACTTCTTAAGGGCGTCACCAATAGCCCCATCGACTCGCGCAACCGCGAGGACGCTCACCAGTGTCGTCGTCAACTGGCAAATCAGCGCCGGTTTATACTTGAAATCCATTGCACTTTGAGATTCGAAAGCAGTGCTCTGAATCTCGAGTGCCTCTAAGCTCAACGTCAGCACCGAAACAGAATCCACGTACGCCAAGGTCAGGCGCTCATGCCGTGCGCCGACCGCGAGCGCTGCGGCGGCGTGTAGACGAATCTTGAAATTCTTTGCGTCTCTTACGAGTAGTAGCAGCATTCTCACGATGAAGTCGGCCCAGTATGCGCCCACATCCATCGCTGAGTCGTTCTGTAGCAACGCCGCGACACCCAGACAGGCGTTCCATTGCGTCTTGGCGTTTCCCGTGGTCAAACAACTCGCCAAACTCTGCGCAGCTTTGTGAAGCCATTCGTGTGAGGTATCAAAAGTCGAGGCGGCAATAAGATGCGCGATTCCTCGCGTGGCGCTCGCGCGTACTTTGTCTCCTTGCTCAGCCGCGCTCGCAATCAAAACTTTTGCCAACGAAGCGACAGTGTCGTCGCATAACCGATTCTCCCTCGTCGCGTTCACCGCGCAGAGGTTAGCCAATGACCACATGGCTGGAATCTTCACTGACTTCGAAACATCTTCAGCGGCGATGAGAAGTGCCGCCGCGGTCTCTTCGAGATTGACGCATGGTAGGTAGATGAGGAAACCGAGCGCTCGGCAGGCGGCGGCGCGAACAGCGGGCACCGACTCATGTGAACCGCTAAGCACCGAGTGAGGCATCGATAGAAGCGAATCTAACGTTCGCACATCTGAACCAAAACATGTCAGAACATTTGAATTCACTCGAGTCAGTACGTTCAAACCAGCAACGCGAGTGAGCGCAGATTTATGCAAAGCGCACGTTGGCAACTGTGATTCAATCGCATTCGTCCACGCCGCTCGTAGAACCTCACTGGGAAGTGCGGGAGTACTTGCGATCATTCCGAAATCAACCTCATCGTCGTCGCGCACTTGTCCGCTACCGCTCACGGAGCCGAGATAATCCGTGAGCAATCTTGCAGAGGCTTGACACACGCGGTCGTCCGCGCCCGAGGCGCACACCGCGCTCGGGAATAACTCGCGTAATTCATCACCTATCAGCGTCGCGGCCCCAGTGTGATGCACCACGAGTGCGCGCAGGACGCTAAATGCTTCACAACGCGATCCTGCGACCTCACCTTTTGCGTGCGAGATCATTCTGTAAATCATGGATGACGACGAGTCCGAGCTCAAGTATTCGTCGAGCGCCCGCGTCGCGCCGCGCGCGGAGAGCGCGGATGCCAGCGCTCCGAACAACGCGCTCTGTATCGTCGATCGATCGCTTGGCGTTTCTGCGGATAGATGCACGAGTTTAGCGTGAATCGAGTCCACGGTTTCTCGAAGAAGGTCTCGTGGGAATCGATCAAACGGCACGGCGTCGCACAGCGCCGCCACGGCTTTGCACAACTCTCGCGCGCACTGCGCGTTCTTCTCGCGTGACAACGCGGTCAGAAGTGCACGAAGAGTTATGATCACCATATCTCCTAAAGTTGTACTCAGCGCGGAAAAAGAGCGAACGCGAGCGCCAAATCCCGGCGCTAACGACGAACTCGCCGCGCCGTTGGCGCCGGCGCTCGTCGCCGCCTCTCGTCGTTCGGCGATGGCTAGGTATTGTCGACTTGCCGGTCCCTCAAACAGCGCCATCGTCGCGTTTGCCGCCGCGCCGCGCACCTTGGCGCTAGAATCACACGCGATCACTTTCACCAAACTCGTCGATACGCTCTTCTCCCGCAACTGATGTTCCGAAGTCGGCAACATCGTCGCCCACGCGCCGTGCAAAGCCTTCCCGTTCAATCTCGCGAGCGCGCCGAGCGCGCCGCACGCCCCCGCGCGCAAATCGCACGCATCTTTCTCACACATCGCGATGTTTTCATCGCTCTCTCTCGCGTGCGGCGGTTTGTACGACGTTCCCTCGCCGTCCTCCCCGTCGCCCTCGTCGTCTCGTCGACACGCCAACCGCGTCAACGCCTCGCACACCCCCGAGCGCGCGCCGACCCCCCAAACCTCGCTCGACATCCCCCAGCGCACCACAAATTCCACGAACGCGCTCCAGCACCGCCGCATCGCCTCCGCGCGCCCCTCGTCTCGCTCCGTCGCCGCCGCGCCGCGCCGCAACCGTCCCGCCGCGCGCGCCGCCGCCCTCCCGATCGACTCCCCGTGCCTTCGCCACCCCACCGTCGCGCCGCTCGCCAGCGCGCGCATGTCCCGCTCCATCGCCGCCATCGCCGCCGCCGTCGGCCCGCGCGCGTCGTCGTCGTCGTCGCTCGAGAGCAATCCAGTCAACGCCCGACCGATGACGCGTTCGTCATCGCCCGCGTCCGCGCCCTCCCGCGCCGCGACGTCGCGCCTCGTCGCCGCGAGCGCGTCCGAGGCGTCATCCTCGGCGTTCGCGCGCGCGATCGACGCGTCGCGCGCGTCCGATCGCGCCATGCGACGACGAATGCGGGCGCGCGCCGCGCGCCTTCGCGACACTTCGCGACGCGTCGACGCGACGCCGCGCGTCGGATCCGCCGCGCGAGCGCGCGCGACGATGGCGACGAACGCGCCGCAACCGCCGCTCGCGCGAGACGCGGCGGTCGATCTCGAGTGCGACGACGAGTTCGAGGAGTTTACCGCGAAGAAGTGGGACGAAACGCAAAACAACGCGACGACGAGGGACGCGACGCAGTGGGAGGAGGATTGGGACGACGGCGACGTGCGCGACGATTTCTCGAAACAGCTGCGCGCGGAGCTGACGAGGGCGGACGGGAAGTGAGCGACCGCGGGCGCGATGGGAGAGAAATTTTAGAGATCGTCGACGCGACGCGAGGGTGGTTTAAAAAGAGGCGAAGCGCGCGAGGGACTAGGCGACGAAAGCGTGGGAGAAGACGAAGGGAGGGAAGAAAGAGGCCAAGACGGTGAGGTTGACGTCGTGGGCGGTGGCGAAGGCGCGCGCCCAGGCGATGGAGGCGCGAGCGCGGGGGGCGAAGACGTCGGGGGACGACGACGAAGACGGTCGTCGAGCCGAGATTTCGGCGCGCGCGAACGCGCCGAGATGAGAGAGATACGACGTCGTTTGGTCGGCGTGGAACTGGCGTAGGGTGGTGGAGACGGCGAGAATGAGGACGTGTGCGTCGAGTTTCGTCACCGACTGGTTGATCGGGACGAGCGTCGACGCGACGTCGTCGAAGCGGTAGAGCTCGAGCTGAGTCAGTGTGAAGACGAACGCGGCCAATCCCCAGTCGTCGTCCACGGCGGCGACGGTGCAGTAGATCTGTCGCAGTGGGTTTTGCATGCCACTCGCGGAGAGGTAGGCGCTGAGCTTGGGCACGATCGCGTTGGCCTCGTCGGGATAAGGCACGGTGTCTGGAGACTTGTAGTGCGATCGAATATCCGTCAAAATCGCCTTGTTCGCCGTGTCCAGCGCGCGACTCAACGTGTGCGAATCGATGCGAATGTTTGCCACGAGCTCGGCGTTCAGCTGCCGACGCAACAACTGCGCTTGTCCAATCGTTGCGAAGGCGGCGAGCATGTCGTCCCACGCGGAAGATGACGCCCTGATGGCTTGCTCGTACGCCTCAATCGAACCTTCAGGAACGGAGCCTAGCGGTCGCAACGCGTTATCGAGCGCGCGAATCGTCGCCCCAAGATCGCCTCTGAGGCGTTCGGAGTACGATTCGATGCACATCTGCAATTTTTGCGTCACCATGAAGCTCAGAAGACGATCAAGACCGGCCAAACCCACGTTCCCGACGGCAGACGTCAGCAGCGAAAATGTTCGGATGCCTACCACTTCCGAGCCTTCAGTGTCGAACCATCCGCTGTGTGGCGAGACGTATCGAGTCGTCTTGGGATCGGTTTGTCTCATCAGTTCGCGCAACAGTCGTCCCATGAAATTCTTTGACTCTCCATCGAGCGCTGGGTAATCTGGGATGGGTATCGCCACGGATTGAAATTCGCTCTCCCAATCATTGACTTGCTTGCGTTTGATGAAACTATTGCACTCTTGTTCGACGTGATAGCTCACCACTCGGTTGGTCTCTTCTTGCCACACTTGCAACCCATAAATATTCACGTAATCCTGAATGTACTCGAACGAGCGTCTGAAGCCTTCGATCCGATTCGCCAACGAGTTGAGACGGTCTTCAAATGGATTCGTTTTCATCATAGCCGCCACGAAATTATTCCAGCCTAGCGCGTCTTTAGCGCCATCGCCAAAGACGAGAGCTGTGTGAAACGTTTCTGTGATTTGTTTTACGAGCTGTTTGCGTATGCCTTCCTCCAACAACTGCTTAGGGTCGAGTTCGATGACCCCCATGAATGTCCGCTCCATGGCTAAAATGCCTTGCGCAAAGATGGAGATTTCGTACGTCGCCTTGGAAAGCTGTGCTCTTTCAGCAGGTTGCGCGTAATCGCTCAGCGCGGTTTTTTCGAGCTTGGTCGGCAGTTCCTTCAGCGCGTTCGTTTGAACGCCGATGATTTCGTTCAAAATCTCAAACATACTAATCGGCACCACTTCCACAACGCTTCGCACGTAACTCACGAGCTGGGAAGAATAATATTCACTCACGCTGTAAATGTCCGGCGACTCCATTTGCGAAATGCGCAATAACGGCATTTCCAAAATGCTTTTCAGCTTAAGAAATGTGAACCGTAGTTTTCGCACCGCAAATGGATCTTTACGAATGCGTTGTTGCAGCTGTTCCGTGTACGGATCGAGCACTCGCCACGCATACGCCGCGTCGGACACAATCGTCAGCGTGTTCAGCGCGGAATCTGCGACGTTTGAAGTCATCATCATCTTACCCAAATATCCCCGGGAATCGAGCAAGTACTGCTTGGCGTGGATGTTGTCGACGATTTGATGAAATTGCTCGACTTCCGTCAAGGCGGTCTCGAGCTCCTGAATGGTTCTACCGGCGGCCACCGCATCGTCGTACGAAAGTCGTTCGACTTCGACAGACAAGTTCGCAAACCACAGCCGCAAGTTTTCGTCTTTCGCGTTCCTGCTCAATCCAGCGGTACCACCGAAATACGCGCTAAGCTCCTTCATTCGTTCTCCGGCTTCGTGTTTGCACTTTTCCCACAGCTCGTGCTTGCCGCTCAAGAGCGAGGTATAAATCTTCTTCAACTCGTTCTCCAATTCGGCGCAATCTAAGAGCAAATCTATTATGTTTTCTTTGCTCGGCATGTAAGAAACGAGGGACGATACTGACTTGTGGGTGGTCAAATTGTGTAGAAGTACGAAACGCGCCACGACGTTGGCGTCGCGAACGACATTCATGAGCACTTTTTCATTGCTCAAAACGAATTCCTCGGTGAGCACACCTTCGGTGAGGTATGTTTTGAACGCCGTTTTCAATTCACCGACGCGCGTTGACGCGTTATCGATCAATTCCCTCGCCGCCTTGGGCGTCACCGCGTTACGCATGGCCGTCGACGCCGCTTCGTACGGTTCCCATTCCGTCAACAAATCCACTGTCAACCCAGCGCCGTAGGCGACGACCCAGTTATCGGCGTAGTGTCTGTCTACGATTTCTCTCATCGCCGACGTCCCTCTATTTAAGATCTTGGGCGCCCAATACAATATAATGTACAACAATCCTCCCTGCGCGGCGAGCGCGGTGGAGCGATGATCCGGATTCGGGTAGTGCGGAGCGTGATTATACACGTCATCCGTTCGCAATCGCCCGATCACCATATATATAAGCCACTCTGGCATTTCGAATCTCGCGAAATATAGCTCCGGGTACCCCTCCGGTCGCGTTTTCCGCGCGGCGTCGTATCCCGTCCGCGCGCAGAGCGTCACGATTTCGTCCGCGTTCGCGATGTCCTCGCTCGCCCCTCTCATGCGATAATACGCCACCACCATGCGCTCGCGAAACCGCCAATCAAACTTTGCATCTAATATCTTCAAAATAACCCCGAACATCGCGATCGCTTCGCACACGTACTGCCTCCCGTCCTCGTCGCTCAGAATCTTTTCCCACGTCTCGCTCACGTACGTCCCCTCCGCCACGTCCTCCGCGAATCGCACGAAATCCTGATGCCACCGCACGACCGCGTCGAACGCGTTCCAATACCGTTCAAACACGTGTCCATAGCTCCCGCGCACCTCCTCGTCGAGTTCATACGTCGATCCATCCCTCGCCGCCGCGTCCTCCGCGCGTTCCCGCGCGTCGAAGTATTCGTAATCAAACAACACCCTCGCGAACTTCGAGTCCTCGCGCGACAGCGCCCTCGGCGCGTTCTCTCCCAATCGCAGCAGTTCCGCCGCGAGCGCCTGCGCGCGCGCGACGAACGCGCACGCGCTCCGCGTCGCCGTGCGCGACGTCCCCGCGGTCGCATTCGCTTTCGCGTTCGCATTCGCGCTCGCGCGCGCGTTCGCGCGCCCGTCGCGCGCGTCGTCGCCGTCGCGCGCGCGCGACGCGTCCACCGCGTCCATCGTCGCGCGCCCGCGCGCTCGCGCGACGCGCACTCCCGCGCGCGAACGCGCGCGAACGCGCCCGCGCGCGACCCATCGGCGAACCTCGCGATCGACGTCGCGTCGAACCTCGCGCCGTCGATCGACGTCGCGACGTCGATCGACGCGGGTCGTCGATCGATCGCGCGCGCGATCGCGATCCGACGGCGACGACCGCGACACTTCGCGACGACGCGCCGAGCGACGACGCGCGACGGCGACGGACGCGCGACGGCGCGAGCGGCGAGGGTTCACGCGCGGCGCGCGCGCGACGACGCGACGAGGCGACGCGGCGACGGAAACCGATCGGCGACGGCGACGGCGCCGAGGCGCTGACTTTGGCGAGCGCGCGTCGTTGACTCGATCGCGCGACGCGAAAGACGCGACCGACGGACGCGAGGGAGAGAAAAGATGACGGCGACGATGGCGGGGGAGCGGTACGTGGAGAATAAGCTGAAACACGACGTGCGGGTGTCGAACATGACGGCGGCGAAGAAGCTCGCGGACGCGATCCGAACGTCGCTCGGGCCGAGAGGCATGGACAAGATGATGGTGAACGCGAAGAACGACGTGACGATATCGAACGATGGAGCGACGATATTGAAAACGATGGACGTGACGCATCCGGCGGCGAAGATGCTGGTCGAGCTGTCGAAATCGCAAGACATCGTGGCGGGGGACGGGACGACGAGCGTGGCGGTTTTGTGCGGGGCGCTGTTGGATAAATGTATCGGATTGTTAGGACGAGGCGTGCATCCGACGGTGATTTCGGACGCGATGTCGACGGCGTGTGAGAAGGCGTGCGAAATTTTGGAGGGAATGAGCGATCCGGTGGATTTGAATGATCGCGAAAGTTTGATTCAGGCGGCGACGACGAGTCTGGGGTCAAAAGTCGTCGCGCAGTACTCGAGCTTGTTGAGCCCGATTGCGGTGGATTGCGTGCTCAGAGTGCTCGACCAAGAGCGGCCGAACATGGTAGATTTGCGAGACGTGAAGATCGTAAAAAAGGTCGGGGGCACGATGGACGATACCGAGTTGGTGGACGGCATCGTCTTCGACCAAAAGCCGAGCAAGGCGGCGGGCGGACCGACGAGAGTGGAGGACGCGAAGATTGGTTTGGTACAGTTTTGCATCTCCCCGCCGAAGACGGACTTAGAGAACAACGTCATCGTAAGTGATTACACGCAGATGGATAAAATTTTACGCGAAGAGCGCAACCACATCATCGGTATCATCAAGAAGATCAAGGCGAGCGGTTGCAACGTTCTCTTGGTGCAAAAGTCAATCTTGCGCGACGCGGTGTCGGATTTGGCGCTCCATTACTTGGCCAAGGCGAAGATTTTAGTCATTCGTGACATCGAGCGCGAAGAAATTGAATTCATCAGTAAGACGCTTCACTGTCAACCGGTGGCGCACGTCGATCACATGACGCCGGATAAGCTTGGTCACGCCGCACTCGTGAACGAGAAGCAGTGCGGAAACGGCAAGGTTGTCCAAGTCACCGGTGTCGAGAACATGGGTCGTACTGTTTCAGTCATAGTTCGCGGTGGTAATCAGCTCGTCGTCGAAGAAGCCGACAGATCGCTTCACGACGCTCTGTGCGTCATTCGCTGCTTGGTGCAAAAGCGATTTTTAATCGTCGGCGGCGGAGCGCCCGAGGTTGAAATGTCCCAAAAGCTCGGCTATTGGGCGCGCACGCTAAGCGGGATGGATGCCGTCGCTGTGAAGGCGTTCGCTGAAGCTTTAGAGGTGGTTCCGTACACATTGGCTGAAAACGCTGGTTTGAACCCGATTGAAATCGTCACCGAGTTGCGCAACGCTCACGTCGCCGGCAACGTGCACCACGGCATCAACGTTCGCAAGGGAACGATTTCCAACATGAAGGAGGAGAATGTGCTCCAACCTTTGTTAGTATCAACGAGTGCGCTTTCCTTGGCGACTGAGTGCGTTCGAATGATTCTCAAAATAGATGACATCGTGCCAAGCATGAGGTGAGCGGGCGTGGCGACGACGCTCGAGCGGCGGCGGGGCGCGGCAATTAGACGACATTTAATACCAGGCGAGCGAGCTTGAGGTCACGACGTTCGATTCGATCACGAATTTGTGAATTATTTATTGCACGCTAATGCATATCGCTAAGAAGAATTAACCAATCTCTACAGGGGTCGCGCGCGACACATTTACGCTTCCTCGAGCATGTGCGCCTTGTGCGTAGCCGCCTTCACGTCCGCCGTCACATCCGTCGGGTTTTGCGCCGCGTGCGGGTGATCCGCGCCCGCGTACACCTTCAAATGCGTAAACGTCTCCCGTCCCATGCGGTTCTTCGGCAACATACCCTTAATCGCCTTTTCAATCACTCGCGCCGGTTGACGCGCGTGCAGGCTCGCGTACGTCTCCTCCTTCATCGACCCCGGCTTACCTCTGACGCCGAGCGTGTAGTACAACTTTTGGTTCGCCTTGTTCCCAGTCACGACAATCTTATCGGCATTAATCACGACCACGTTCACGCCCATGTTAAACGCCGGGGTGTAGCACCCAGAGTTCCCGCCTCGCAGGTACGTCGCCGCCACCGTGCTCAGGCGTCCGAGTCGCAACCCGGCGGCGTCGATCACCACCCACGGTTTACGAGACGCGTCCGCGTCCTCACCCTTGGGGTAATACGTCGTGTTAAACACGTCACGTCCGAGTTTCTCGGCCGTGACCCCGAGCTCCGGGGGGAGCGACCCGAGGCTGTGACCGCGAGTCTGCACGCCGCATCGTCGTCCCGGCGAGGGTTTCGCGGCTGCGCATTCGAAGCGACGATTACGTCGCGCGGCGTCGTCAGTCGACCGTCTCGAGCGTCGCGAACGACGCGCATTCGCGCGAATATTTTTTTCTCGTCGTCGAGCGTCGGCGCATCGCGCGAGGCGCGTCGCGTCGCGTCGTCGTCGGGCATCGCGCGCGCGCGAAAAAGCCCTACGCCGCGGTCGAGCGCGGCGTCGGGATTCGCGCGCGCGCGCGGCGTCGAACGACGCGCGACGCGCGCGCGGACGGGCGGGAGATGGCGAACGTACCTTGTTGGCGCTTGGGCGCGGCGGTGGGCGCGCGGACGGGCGCGAGGGAGGCCATCGTGGCGTACATGTCGTCGCGAAGTGACGTCGAGCGCACCGAGGGTTTAGTGAGTGCACGGATGGCTGAGGTTGGATGCGGGCGTCGGCGACGACGGCGCGGGGAGGCGAACGCGTGGGTAATACAAAGCGAGACTAGGCGCTGGGAGACTCCGCGCGCTCTGCGTTGCGACGACGGACCTCGAGATGGACGAGGAGTGAGCTGACGTCGGCGGGAGTGACGCCTCCGATGCGCGAGGCTTGGCCGATGGTGGCGGGGCGGACGCGCGCGAGCTTCTCGCGCGCCTCCATGCGGAGGGTGGAGATGGATGCGTAGTCGACGTCGTCGGGAATCGGTTTGCCGAACTTACTCGATTCACGCTCGACTTGAAGCTCTTGGCGCTTGATGAAGCCGGAGTACTTGACTCGGATCTCCACAGCCTCGGCTTCCCAACGCGTGAGGGGGGCGTCGACGTTGCCTTGGCCGAATTCTTCGAGCATGGAGTACGGGACTTGCGGGCGTCGTAAGAGCTCCTCCAAAGTGTAACTTTGACGGGAACCCGAGCCTGAGACATCGAGCGCGCGTTGACAAAACTCATCCTTGACGTTCAAGCGCGTGCTTTGCAGGCGCGCCATCTCGTTATCCACCGCGTCGCGCTTCTTCTCGAATTTGGCCCAGCGCGCATCTGAAATCAAACCGACCTCGCGGCCGAGCGGGGTGAGGCGCATGTCCGCGTTATCGGAACGTAACACCAACCTGTACTCGCTTCTTGAGGTCAACATGCGGTAGGGTTCTCGTAAATCCTTTGTGCACAAGTCGTCGACGAGGGTGCCGAGGTACGAACCTTCTCGAGGAAGGATGAGTTCTTTCGCGCCGTTGCTCGCACCACCCTTCGCCAACTGCGCGGCGTTGATGCCCGCGAGAAGACCTTGTGCCGCGGCTTCTTCGTAACCCGTCGTACCGTTGATTTGACCGGAGAAAAACAAACCGGAAATCTTTTTCGTCTCGAGCGTCGGTTTGCACTGGTAAGCGGGCAAAAAGTCGTACTCTACAGCGTACGCAGGTCTCAGGATTTTGCAGTTCTCCAACCCAGGAAGTGTGCGCAAGAGCTCGAGTTGCAAGGTTTCGGGTAAGCCCGTGCTGAAGCCTTGCACGTACACCTCGGGCACGGTTCGACCTTCGGGCTCGAGGAAAATTTGATGGCTCTCCTTGTCGGCGAAGCGCACAATTTTGTCCTCGATCGACGGGCAATACCTCGGCCCTTTCGCCCCGACCCATCCGCCGTACGTAGGCGTTTCTAATAAATTATCTTGAATCAGTTTATGCGTCGCCGCCGTCGTGCGCGTCATGTGACACGCCATTTGCTCGCGAACGACGTGCGCATCCTCGTCAAAGGAAAACCAACGCATGTCCTCGTCCCCGGGTTGTTCCTCCAAGTTCGTGTAATCGATCGACCGCGAATCCACCCTCGCGGGAGTGCCAGTTTTCAAACGATCGATCTCGAACCCAATCTCTTGTAAATACTCCGTCAAACCTTCGCTCGGCGCCTCGCCCGCGCGTCCAGCAGCGAGCGTCTTTCGCCCGACCCAAATTTGCCCACCCATGAACGTCCCCGTCGTCAGCACCACCGACGGCGCCTCAAACTCCATACCAAAGTGCGTTCGCACCCCTCGCACGTCATCGTTCGTTCCTAGGACCAATTCCGTCACCATCCCTTCCCGTATGCTCAGATTCGGCTCCGCCTCGAGCGTCGTTCGCATCTCTCGCGAATACTCCCATTTATCCGTCTGCGCGCGCAGCGCCCACACCGCCGGTCCTCGCGACGCGTTCAGCACTCGTTTTTGTAGGTACGTCTTATCGCTGATGATTCCCATCGCCCCTCCGAGGGCGTCGATCTCGTGCACCAACTGCGACTTCGCCGGTCCGCCGACGGCTGGGTTACACGGCTGCCACGCCACGCGGTCGAGGTTGAGCGTCAGCAGCAGCGTCGACGCCCCCGCGCGCGCGCTCGCGAGGGCGGCTTCGCATCCGGCGTGTCCGGCGCCGACGACGATGACGTCGTAGCGCGCGTCCGCGGGCGGGCGCGACGACGACGCCGACGCGCGCGCGACGACGACGCGGCGGCGATTGGGACGCGCGATGGCGACGACGGCGCCGCGAAGCCGCGAACGAGGACGCGCGACGAGCGTGGACGCGGACGTCGACGGCGCGCACGGACCGCGCGCGGAGACGACCATCGCGCCGGCGTCGAGGTGTGCGGGACGCCGCGCGCGGCGACGAGGCGACGAGCGGGACGGAGAAAAAGAAAAGACGCGATAAATCCATGATTACGTGTGTTTGTGTTGCAGAATCGCTCGCGTGATGGATAACGAAACTGGGCATGCGGATGGTGCGCGAAAAGTCGTCGCGCGTCGAGTCGCGCTCGACTCGACGCGCGTCTCGCGTCTCGCGCGTTTATCGCTTGCCGGCCGCCGCCGCCTTCTTCTCAGTCTCCTCCGTCTTCTTCACGCCCGCGAAATCGATGTACTTACCGTTGCAGTACGCATCGGTCTTGTACCACTTGTGCCCGAACTTTCCGCCGTGATCCATCGGGTCGCCGTTCATCTTAAACTTGCGCAGGTTGCTCACTTCGCCCTCGATCAAGCCGAGGTTCACCGCCATTTGAACCGGGTTCAACGTCCCCGTGACGAACGGCAGGAGCAACGCGCTGATGGCGCCGACGCCGACGACGATAATCGTCGTCCCGACCGCGACCGCGCCGGAGTATTCCGGTCCGAACAAGTCGCCCGCGAACGCCGGGTTCGCGAGCGCGAGCGCGAGCGCCGAGCTCGTCGCCGCCGCCGCGCGTCGTCGCGTCGTCTCCACGGCCGTCGCGCCCGCCTTCGTCTGCGTCGCGCGTCCATCCATCAGTCATCGCTTCGTTCGTTCGTCGCGTCGCGTCGCGTCGCGTCGCGTCGCGTCGGTCCGTCGCGTTCGTTCGCGTCCGCGTTCGGTCCCGATCGCGCGCGTCTCCCCGTCGCGTTCGTTCGCGTCGTCGCGCGCACCTCGACCGCGCGCGTCGCGGTGGATCGGCGCGTCGCGCGCGCGCCGCGCGCTCTCGCGACGGGCGCGGGGCATCTGGCGGCGTTCAGCGCGAGCATGTCGTCGTCGTCGCGGTGTGCGGATCGCCCTATCCACGACGTCTGTGGGCAAACAGTGCGCGGGGTCGACGCCGGCGTCCCGCACACCGCGACGACGATCGATGGCGACGGCGACGGCGACGACGGCGACGACGGCGCGCGCGCGAAGAAGCGGCGCGCGCGTCTCGAAGCGCGCGACGCGCGCGCCGGCGCGCGCGGCGCGACGCGTCGCGGTGACGGCGACGTCGACGGCGGCGGACGCGCTTCGGGACGGACGCGCGCGGTACGAGGCGGGCGATCGCATGAACGGGCTCAAGGCGTTCGAGCGCGCGCTGGAGAGCGAGGATGGGATGAGCCTCGAGACGCGACGGGAGCTGTGCTACTGCGCGATGTGCTGCAGCGCGGCGTTCGGGGACGTGGAGTCGGCGAAGATGTACCTGCGGGAGATGCAGGCGTGCGGGCTGGACTTCGAGACGGCGATCGCGGATCCGACGATGATGAGGATGGAGTCGTCGGCGCTGATGAAGAATCAGTTGAAGAAGTTTGCGGCGGGGGAGGGGAAGTCGTTCGGGACGGTGCAGAGGGAACAGTATGAGCGGGATAAGGCGAACGCGGCGCCGACGCCGGCGACGAGCGTGAGCGGGTTGAGGGATTTGGAGATTAGCTCGGACACGGATGAGAGCGTGGAGGCGATCGTGAAGCGGGTGGGGATTTTGATCGTTCTTTCCGCGGTCGGGTTCGTGGCGCTGTTCAAGGGCGGGATGGGGATCATGGAACCGGGGTCGTTGCCGTTTGAGGAAATTTATTGACGAGGCGACGAGCTCAAGTTTTTTCAATTACTGGTAGTTTGTTATAAAGAATATTAGTGCGCTCGCTGTGGCCTTTCTAAAGACATATCAACAATGCGTGCATCTACGGGTTCATCGGCGGCGGCTTCGGTAACGAGGACGCGTCGCTGTCGGCGAAGTACTCTTGCAAAATCGAATTCCTCGACGGTTGCTTCAACTTTCGAAGAGCCTTGGCTTCGATTTGTCGAATGCGCTCGCGAGTGACGGAGAACACCGTCCCGATCTCTTCAAGGGTCTTCACGCGACCGTCATCTAATCCGTACCGAAGTCGCAACACGTCCCGCTCGCGCGGATTGAGCGTGTTCAGTACGTTTTCCAAATCCTCCTTCAACAGGGACTTGCCGCTCACCTTCTCTGGGCCCTCCGCGGTGACGTCCACGAGGGTGTCTTCGACGGTGCGTCCTTTGTTATCTCCACCCATGGTCTGAGCCAGCGACACGGGCGCTTGCGCAGCCTTTTTAATCTGAGTAATCTTCTCCGCCGACATATCCATCTCTGCGGCGATTTCCTCCGTCGTCGGGTTGCGACCGTTATGCAACGCAAACTTTTGCTCCATCTTCGAGATGCGGGAGATGATTTCAAACAAGTGCACGGGCAAGCGAATCGTGCGACTTTGGTCGCTAATCGAACGCGTCACCGCCTGGCGAATCCACCAGTGCGCGTACGTACTAAACTTGTACCCGCGTTGGAAATCAAACTTCTCCGCCCCGCGAATCAAACCGACGCACCCTTCTTGGATTAAATCCTGGAAGCTCATGTTACTGTTGGCGTACTTCTTCGCGATGGAGACCACTAAGCGCAAGTTGGCTTGAATCATCTCGTTCTTCGCCGACTTACCGTCGCGCAAACGCTGATGGAGCGCCTGCACGTTTAAACCCGCCGCCGACGCCCACTGGTAGTCGGTGACTTCGGCGCCAGGACCCGTCTCCTCGACGAGGTTTTCGCGAATGCTCTCCAAATGCATCAAATCTTGAATGCGCTTGGCGAGTTCGACCTCTTGACCGGCGTTTAAGAGCGTGACGGAACCGATATCCTTGAGATACGATCGCATGGAATCCGTCGCCAGGCGCTTGCTCGTGCGCGTCAACTGCTTGGACATCTTTCTCGGCTCGAGGTTGACGCCGCGCACGCGATCCTTGGATTGCGTTTGCACCATCACCGAAACCGAGGCCTTTTTCGGACGACTTCGCACGCCACGCGCGACGGCGCGCGCGCGCGCGCTTCGCGCCGCCAACCCTTCGGTGACGACGCCGTTCTCCGTCTCGTCCAGCGCGCTCTCATCTTCGCTCTGTGACACGCGTCTGATCGTCGTCATAGAAGATTTCTTCGTCCTCGCCGACGTCTTCTTCGTCGAGGACGCTTTCTTCGTCGTCATCGTGAGCTTTTCGCGCTCGGGAATATCCGCGCTCGCGTTCGCCGCGTCGTCGTCGATGAGCGAGCTCTCCAACCACGCCAACTCCTCCGCGCTCGCTCCTGAATCCCCCAACTTTTCCACCTCGGAATACAACGACCGCACCTGCGCCGCGAGCGCGTCCATATCCACCCCATCGAGCGAATCCATCGCGTTCGTCTCGTTGGACACGTCGTCCTCGCCGTCCATGCTCGTCTCTCGCGACTGCAAAATCGCCCGCGCTCGAACCGTCGACCGCTTCCGCCGCCCCACCGCGGCGCCGTACCCATCGTCGTACATCGTTTCATCGCACGACGACGACCCCTCGTCCCGTCCGCCGACGTCGTCTCGATGTCCTCGAAACGCGCGCGCGCGCGTCGCGGATAACCCACCCCCCCCAAACTGTTTGCCCATACGGGCGCGCGCGATCGGCGCCGACGTCGATCGCCCGACGCGCGTGCGTTCGAACGCCGCGTGCGTTCGCATCGCCGCCGCGCCCGCGCGCCCGCCACCCCCGATCGTTCGCGCGTTATTCTTCCCACTCAGCGACGTCGCGCGCGCGCCCGAGCTCGTTCGCGCGCACGCGCACGTCGCGCGCATCGCCGCGATTCGCGAACGATTCCAGCGCGTCCCGAATGCGAATCGAACGCGCGCGTCGCGTATCGCCCGTCTCCCGACCGACGCGCTTCGACGGTTCGCCCGACGCCGCGACGCGTTCGACGCGGCGTCGCGCCTCGTCCGCGTTCGCCGATTCGCCCCGTTCGCGCGCGCGTCGCGTTCGCGCGCGTCGCCGTGTGCGCGCCGCGCGCGCGCGCGGACCCTAGCGGCCGACGACGGCGCTAACGACCGTCGATCCCGACGCGCGCCGTCCGGCGCTTTCGCGCGTCCGAATGCGCGTCCGATCGCGATGACGCGCGAGATAAATCGGATCACGATCCGTATGTCCGAATGACACATCGATGGGTCACGACTCGTCGCGACGTCCACATCTCGGCGATCGACATCTCGCGCCGTTCCCGACCGCGAAAAAGGCGAAAAAGTCGACGGGAGTTCGCGACGACGACGAGGCGCGACGACGACGCGCGCGACGACGCGCGCGCGCGGCGATCGAGGCGGCGAACGCGCCGCGTCGCGGCGACCGCGCGGCGTCGCGATCGCGCGCGACGGGGACCGCGAGGGAGACGCGCGACGGGACGCGCGCGCGGAGGGTCGAGGTTGTTGGCGGCGACGCCGCGACGCGACGACGCGACGCGCGCGCGGGGAAGGGGTCGGACGCGAGGCGCGGGACGTCGATGTTCAGCGCGTTCGTGAGACGGCGGAGCAAGCGGGCGCGCGCGCGCGAGGACGCGCGCGATGGACGCGAGGGCGCGCGAGGGGACGGGGAGGGACGCGCGCGGGGACGCGCGGGCGCGCGGGGACGCGCGAGCGAGAGGACGGAACGACGAGGACGGGCGTGGACGATGGAACGGCGACGCGCGGTTTCGGGCGGTGAGGACGATTCGGGCGCGGATGGGAGGGTCGGGATGCACGAGTTGCCGAGGGACGTGGTGGTGGAAATCGTGGCGAGGTTGGAGAACGAGCGCGACTTGGCGGCGTGCGCGCGGTCGTGCGCGGCGTTTCGAAGCGCGGCGCGGAGCGAGAGCGTGTGGCGGAAGTTATTGGCGAATAAGCTCGGAGCGGAGGCGAGCGTGGTGCTGCCGAAACGATTGATCGGTGAGATTGTCGACGATGACGATTCGTCGGGGCGCGGAGGCGACGCCTCGGCGAAGGGCTACGACGGCAAGACGTCGCGAAGAAGCGTGTCTTCATCGTCGTCGTCGTCGACGACGACCGCGGTGAGAGCATCGCCTGCTTGGATGCAGAAGTATAAGAGCTGGCATAGACCCGAATCCGGCGCCCTGCGATGGAGCGCGTCGACGACGGAGTCGAGCCTGGAACCGGCGGAGACCAAGTACGCGGCAAGGTATTTGCACAGGTGTACTGCCGTGGGCGATCGCTCGAAAATCTTATTCTTTGGCGGCCAAGGGGGCGGAAGTGACTTCTACAACGATTTACACTTGCTCGATCTCGACGAACCGGAGTTGCGGTTGAAACAACTGCACGTAGGCTCGTCGAACGAGCCTCCTTTTCCGCGCTGTTCGGGGACGTTGACCGCGATGGCTGTGAACGGCGTGGAAAACTCAGAGGTTGTCGCTCTGTTTGGCGGATCTCAAGGATTTTTTGAAGGTTTCTCCAATTCTTTGCGCATCTTGTGCGCTGAAGGCGAAGACGGACTACGCGTGAGCGATGCCGCCGCCAACGGCGGGAGCTTGATTTGGCGCGAGCCGCTCGTTCGCGCAAACCCGACGAATCCCGAGAATGCAGTGCCAGCCGCAAGGTGGGGGCACTCTGCCGTTTCATTAGACGGTAAGCTCATTCTTTTTGGTGGTTCGAACACGACGCACTGTTTCAACGATACGTGGTTGTTGGAACTCGTTGTCGAGGACGGCAGACTCGTCGCGACGTGGACGTTGTTGCTAGACGGTGTCCGTTCTCCGGCTCCACCTCCGCGCGCGGGTCAAACCGCGTGTCTCGTCGGTTCTTCGCTGTATATTTTTGGTGGTTGTCACATATCCGAGGTTTTCAACGACGTGTGGAAGCTCGATGTGCGCCCAGCAGACGGACGCCTGCGATGGGAGCGGTTCATCGCCGCCGGAGTGCCGCCGGCACCGAGGGTTGGACACGCCGCGGTCGTCCTGGGCGACCGTATTATTCTTTGCGGTGGAAGAGGTTCGGCGCGAGAGGGTACTATTGGGAAGTATGCCACGGATAACGAAGGCTTGGCGTCGATGCAAGGCTTGACGTTTTTCCAAAGCGGTTTCGCCATGCTCGACACCACGGCTCGCAAATGGCTTCCGATTCAACACCCAGCGATGGAAAATTCGAACGGCAATATGCTGAGCTGTGAACGTATCACGCACGTTCGTGAACATCGCACTGGCCACGTGATGATGCCAGCCCGAAATGGCTGCTTATTGCTCATCGGTGGACTCGGATATGACGGCGTCTTTCAAAACGACCTCTCGCTCGTCTCTCTATTCTGACGAGACCCACGCGCTCATTATATATGTGCTCGCGATTCAGCGTGAACACATTTGATGTATTTTTGTTGAACAATAACATTCTACTACAAGTACAAGCTTAGCCATTTGAAATATTCTATGAGTACTGTAAATCAAATATCAGAATCCCACTGGCTTTGGCAATCCGCGAGAGACCATGGCGATGGCTTTGTATCTAGACCCCATTCCCGGCGCGACGCCCGATTCCGGATCTCCAGCGCCGTCACCCACGAGACGTTCGCATCCTTGCACCAATTCATCCGCTTGTGCCTCGCTCGACGCGTTTTCCACGAGCTTTTCAAGGCGAGGCACCAGGCCTAAACTCAACAGCAACTGCTGTTGCGTCACCGGGCCGTAACACTTGACTCCGGACTGCGGTTTTTCCTCGACGATTTGACGCAAAGCTCCGAAGTCAACGTACGCCGAGAGATCGGCTTCTCCGGGGCTGTCGAGCACGTGCACAAACTTGTGGTCTTTAATCGCTTCGAGCGTGTTCCCGAGCGGCCCCTCTTCGCCGTAATCGATCGCGAGCACGGCGCCGGAATTCTTCTCGATGCGATCCACCAAGGCGTCCCAGAGCGTCATGCTCGGTGGGCTAAGCTCGATCAGTCGCAAACTATCTGCTTTTTCTTTCGGTATTCCCTTGAGACGGCGAGACACGAGCATGTGACTCGCCGGTGTCGGCCCAGGAGAGAGAACCATCTCTAAATCGCGTCTCGAGGCGCCGCTCGATTCCCCGCTAACGTCTTCGCCATCCTCCGCGACTAAACCGCTATCTATCGTGATGAGCTTCTCGCACCATCCTCTTTCGGTGCGTTGGAACTGTCGCACCGGTAATGCGTCGAAGAACTCGTGACAAATCACCAAAGTCGGCCCTCTCGGCACGCTCTCCAAACCGTCGTGCCAAAACACTTCTGCGTCGTTGATTTCAGACTTCCCGCGCGTGTGCGCCTCACCCACCGGAGCGTCGCCCGACGATCCACCAGCGTCACCGGTAGCGTCGGTTTCGTCCTCTAACACGTTCTTAGGGACGACAAATCTCGCGTTCCCCTCCGCCGCCGTCGTTTCTAACTCCCCGCACCGCAACGTCTTCGCCTGCGTCTTTCGAAGCGCCGGCGACACCTCGATCAAGTGCACGCTCACCGCATCGCGAAATTTCGCAAATTTCCTCGTCCCTCGCAGTAAATCCGCCATCAACGTCCCCCTCCCCGGCCCGAACTCCACGATTCGAAGCGTATCCGGCGAACCCAGCGCCTCGTATTGCAGCGCCGCCCACACGCCAATCAACTCCCCGAACACCTGCGAAATCTCCGGGCTCGTCACGAAATCCCCCTTCTTGCCGAACACGTCCGCGTCGCGCATGTAATACCCATACTCTGGATGCGTCAAGCACTCTCGCACGTACTCACTCACGGGAATCGACCCTCCCGCGAACTTCATCGCGCGCTCCAGGTGTCCCAACAACCCGCCGCGCGTCCCCTCCTCCCGCGCGTCGCCCGCGCGCGCCCGTCCCTCGAGCGCGCGTCGCAGGCCCGATCGATCGATCGCGATCTCTCCCCGCCGCCCGTCGTCCTCGCGCGACGGCGTCGTCGCGAGCGCGCGCGCGCGCGCGCGTCCGCCGTCCCCGTCGTCCCGCGTTCGCGTTCGCGTCGTCGTCGTCGCGCGCGCGCGCGCGTCGATCGCGACGCCGCGCGCGCGTCGTTCGCCGTCGATCGCGCGCGCCGCGCGCGCGAGCGCGCGCCGCATCGCGCCGCGCTCTGCGCGCGCCGTCGCCGCGCGCGCGTGGACGCGCGGCGACGATGGTTGCCCCGAAGACGCACCAAGTACGCATTCAATCGTACATCATACCTAATCCGTTTGTCTGTGACATACTAATTGATGTCACTGTAAACGCATACACGATAAACCCGCGTGTGCCGCGGATAACAAAGCCCCCCCGCGCGCCGCCTCGCGCCGCACACGCCCGCGCGACGCGCGACGCGCGACGCATCGCGAACGAGCGCGCGACGCGACGGTCGATCGACGAAACGCGTCTCGACGCGCGCCGACGACTCGCGACGGGCCCGGACGCGCGAGCCGAGCGCGAGGGCGCGGTGAAGACACGAACGGGGGATTGACCGCGCGGCGGCATGAGCGCGACGGCGAGCGCGCGCGGCGGCGCGGGATATGCGCGGGATGGACGCGCGAGCGCGCGAACGATGCGAGGGATGCGAGCGCGACGAACGACGGGCGTCGGGACGCGCGGCGGTGGACGCGGGACGAGGGAAGAGGGAGGAACGGCGGCGTCGCGCGCGCGAGGGTGCCCCGCGACGACGACGCGGGCGATATCCGAGGACGCGGCGTTCGGCGCGAAGGAGGCGTCGAACGCGAGCGGGAAGATCGCGAAGGGCTATGGACGGTGGTCGACGATGACGCTGGGGGAGCTGATCGATCGCGCGGGGGAGCTCGAGGCGAAAGTGGACGGGACGCGCGCGAACGAGTCGGAGTACTTTTACATTTTTCGCGAGTTGGTGCGATGTAAAAGACTTCATGATTCGGTGGATTTATTGAAGCACATGAAGGAGCGAGGGGTGAAAGAGCTCGGGCGAAGAGTGTCGCACAGAGACTTCTTCAGCGCGTGTCGTTCGCTGCGCGTTGTGTCCGTCGGATTTGAGTTCGTGGACGTCATCGAGAGCGGAGACATTCGACCGTACAACATGTTGGTGCACGCATGCGCCACGGCGGGGGATTTACAAGCGGCGACGCTGGCGATAGAGAAGATGAAAAATGCGGGATTTGAGCCTGATTTACAAGCGTACACCACGCTTCTTGGAGCTTGCTCAAAGTGTGGGGACGTCGAACGCGCGTTCGAGGTGTACGCCGAACTCAAGAGGGCGGGGTTTGAGCCAAACGAGAAGACGTACGGATCGATGATCGACGCCATCTCGCGAGACCTTGCGACGTCTCTTAAGGGTTCGAGGAAGAGACGAGTAGACTCCGAACACGTTCGTTCGACTTTACAAAGCTGTTTCATGATTTTTGAGGAGATTAAAACCACGAATATGAAGCTGGATAAGATAGTGATGAATAGCTTGCTCACCGTGTGCGCTCGCGCGGCGGTGGTTCCGAGTGTGCGCAAAGAAGCTTGCGAGAAAGTGGCGATGGTACACGACGAAATGATTGAGCGTGGCTTTGAGCTCGACTCTTACGCGTACCAGGCTCTCATCTGCTGCGCCTTGGCTGAGAAGAATTACACGAGGGCTTTTGAGTACTTTGACGAGATGCACGACGCCGGTATCAATGGTACCACCGAAGTATACACAGTGATGATCAGAGCGTACGGGAAGCTTGGTAAAGCTGATAAAGCTAAGCTGATCTGGTACGCCATGTTGGAGGATAACATCATTCCGGATCAAATGAGTTACGCGACGATGATGCGACTCGCCCTGTTGGACGAGGACGACGATTTCTGCGACGAGCTGATGACGTCCATGAGACGCAATCGCGTCCGCCCAGGGCCTGAGTTGTACTCTACGCTCACTGGTGTGGCCGCGCGACAAGGCGATGCTTCACAGGTGGAAGAGATCATGCAAAACGCGAAGAAGCGAGGCGTGGTGGCTCCCATCGAATGCTACAACTCGCTCATCGCCGCGCACGCTCGCGCCGACCGGCCAGATCTCGCCGTCGAGGCTGCGGGCAAGCTCGAAGCGGCTGGGTACGAGCTTGACGCTATTTCATACGAAGGACTTATTTTCGCGTACGCTTTCGCGAGAGATGTCGAAGAAGCAAGTAACATGTTTGAGCGTCTCCTCGAGTCTGGTATTCGCCCGACATTCCCGACATTCAACTGTCTCGTGGCCGCTCACGCTCGAAGTGGTGATATGGACGAGGCATGCCGCTTGGTAAGTGTTATGAAACAGCATGGATACGTGGAGGATTCGATCACGTGGCGCGAGCTTCTTTTGGGCAGCGTTCAGTCGGGTGACATTGAAGCCGCATGGAAGATGTACAAAGAGTCCCGCGCGTCTGGAAATGCCGATTCCGAGCGTGCACTCAACACGATTCTCGGTCAAACTTTAGTGCATATTAGAAGTCTCACGGATATGAAGAACCGATCGAACGGGAAACCGAACGAGTTCGGCTCATTTGACGACGAAGGGGATTACATTGCCCAGGAATGGACGGAACGTGCGGTCGCGGCTTTCCACGAAGCCACGCTCGCTGGAATCAAACCTCGGGTTGAAACGTTGTCCACAATGCTCGCTTGCTTACGTCCACCTTCGACGGACGAGCAAAATGCAGCTGAGTACAGCGAAGTTGCCCGAGCCGTGAGTCACGAGACGAGCTCCCATGAAGACGCCGCCAGGTACTACCCTTCGCAAGCCCTCATCATGTACGAAGAAGCTCAAGGCTTGGGTATTGTACCGAAGTTTAGTCGTGATGATGAAGACTTTGTCTACGATATCCGAGAGTTCCCACCAGCGGCTGCCGAGGTCATGTTGTTGACGTGGTTGCGTGTCGTTCGCCGGCGCACAGACGCGCATGGATTAGACGCTACGATACCGACTATGACTATTCGTGTGAGAGCTGACGAAGAAGTCGTTCGAATGATCAAGGAGCAACACATGGATCGAATTGATCACTCGCTGGGTCGCTTGTGCAAGACTGGAGAACGGTTGCTGACATTATTGCGCCGCCTCCGTATCAATTACGGTGGTGGCTTGCAGGAGGGCACTATCGAATTGAGTGGCCACGCGCTCGGTCGATGGCTTCAAGGTTTTGTTCCGGGCGACTTCGGCAATCACACCGGTTCCGTGTTCAGTGAGCATTCACTTTCGGGCGGGGTGAGAGACCAAGCGATGCGCATCCGCGCCAATTCTTTCGGCAGTAAAGACGACGACGTGTGGACTCCGTCAAAGATGCGTCAAGCCGCATTCAATATCCACGATTATTATGGCAATGATGATGACGACCCGTCAGATTTTGGTGCCAGGCCATTCTATCCCAAGAACTGGGTATCACAGAGTTACGTGTCGAGCTATGATGAGGACGATGACGACGCCACAGATCTCGAGCGCATCTTAGGAAGTCGCAAGTAACGTACGCACGCGCGCGCAGAAGTACGTAGATTATTTTTTTAGGAATTCATTGCAATCGCAACACAAAAACAATCCGCAATCGCAATCATTCTCACCACCCTAACTCAAGTCTCGCCTCGAATCCACCTTCCCGCGCGACGACTCCGCGAAAGCGCGAGGTTCTGCGCTCTGTGTTTTGCGACGCTTCCACCAACATCTCCGCAATTTCTTCGATAGAAAGTTCTTCGAGCATCTGCAAATCGTCCGTATAGTGCGTTACCGGGAAGTTAAGTTCTTCGTCGTCCCTACATCCCAGGGAAATGCGTCCCAGATCGTAAGCTCTCGCTGCCGAGTGCGAATTGTCGAAGCTGCCAAGGAAGACGTTTTTTACTGGTCCGTCGGACACATGAGTGGACACATGAGCATCATAACGCGTATTCCACAGCGATCTACTGACACCTTTGTACGTAACCAGTGTAGATTCATCTGCACCGGTCACGCTAGATCTCTTAAGTTCCACTGGCAACGAGAAAGAGCGGCGTACTTGTCTGGATCCGGGAGCGCTTTGGCTCAAGGAACTCAGCATCAAAGAAACCAACGAACGGTGATTTTCTCCATCATTTTGTGACGCAGCAAAATGTCCCTGATCACCTTCGGCCGCGTTACGAGGCGCGAGAGCGCTGACATCTGCCGTGAAAGCGCGCCGCACGGACGTGGCGTGTTGCCTTGAGTCGTGCCCAGATTCGGCTGAATCTGCTCCTTCCTCTTTGGATAACAATCGAGATCGTCGCGATGGCATTAATCGGCACGCAGTCTCGCAATTTAAGAGTTTTGCCGAACGAGTCTCGCTTTGACGCTACCTTGGACGCGTGTTGTCTGTCACATGCAGCACGGTCGTGTGAAAATCAATTTGCTGTTAACAAAGAACCTCTAATTCTATACGGTGGTTGACGCCGGTGCTGAACGCTCACGCATCGAAACCGTTGGTCCATATTTCGGCTTTGACTTGTTCCTTGCAAGCCTTTGCGAGAGCTTTAATGAACTTGGCGTGCAACTTGTGGCCAGCTTTGTAAGCGATGACGTGCCCGACCGGAACGCCGCTCATCCCGGGCTCGGCGAGCAGAGACAAATCACCAATCAAATCGAGAATCTTATGACGCGCCGGCTCGTTATTCACACGAAGAGGTGCGTTCCAGTACTGATCCCCGTTTGCGATGAGAGCACAATCTTCTAGACCTGCTCTAATATAGCCAGCGCGGTAGTACGCAGTGAAATCGTTCATAGTCCCAAACATTCTGGCCGGCGAGACGTGGAAAACATAAGGCGCGTCCTCAGTCGGCGTCCAGCTTTCCCACTGTTTACCGATGGCGGTAGTTTTGTACGAGAGATCGATACCGTACGTGAGCTTACTCACGTCGTCGACGTTGAACATCATAAAAGCGTCGCCTTCTTGCACCATGACGTTTTCAGTGATTTTCCAAGCCATACGCGGAACTTCGCCACCATCCACGGCGCGAGCCGGAGTGAGTCCCACGCAGCAAATATCGTACGCGTACGAAGATGCGCTCCCGTCCATAATGGGAACCTCGCCAGTGCCCTCAAGTTCGATGCGGCAGTTGTCGATTCCCATCGCCTCGAGCGCGCTCAACAAGTGTTCAGCCCCACGGACTACGAAATCACCATTTAACTCCGAGCTCAAGCGCACATCTTCGTTTGCTAGCTCATAGCTCGCTCGCACTCGCGTTTCGTTCGCGTCGTATGATCCAGCGGCTTCGATCTCCGCCGCCAACGCCGTCCTCGCATTCGCCGCCAGCTCTCGCGTCTTTTCCTTTTCCTCCTCGTTGTTACTCAAAGCCATCCGCACGCGTTCGAGCAACATATCTTCAGCCTCCTCATCGCTGTAATCGATCGTATCCCGTAGCTCCTCATCGCTCGCGTTGATCGTACCGCTCGGCACCTTCACAAAGTATCGCCCCTCTCCCGCCTTCGCCGGGCGCACTCGCATCAGCTCAACCTCACCGCTTCGCAACCCTGTGCCGGCGTACGTCACGCTTCTTCTAATCGTTTGTTGATATTCAGCGTTCGCGGGCACGCGCACGTTGAGTTCAGCCGCCGCCAACGCCGCGCTACGAACTTCGTCCCGGGACTGGAAATTCACGTACCCCTCGGTACCGCTCGACGACCCCGTCGCCTGCGCGCTCGCCCGAACGACGCGTCCGATGCGCTGCTGCGCGCCTTCACGCGCGCATCGCTGCCCCGCGGCGCTCACCGAGGCGGTTCCCGCGCGCGCGCGGCGCGGCGTTCGCGCGGCCGAGGCGGCGGCGGCGCCCGTTCGCGCGGGCGTCAGCGTCGCGCGCATCGTCGCCGGCGGCGTCTGGCGCCGAAACGTGGCGTCGGAGAAAGTTTTCTTTCGCCGCGCGCGTCGGGACGCGCGAGAGAGACGCGTGCGGTGCGCGCGCGTGTGCGGCCCCGAAGGCGGGCCCGTGAGGGTTACAGTCTTCAACTGTAGTTCGCGCGCGTTACAATTCTAATCGTTACGGTCTGTGACGGACGTAAGGGAGGCGCCGAAGGTCGGCGTGTAGGGGAGGAACGATCCAAGGTTGCGCGCTCGCGCCCGGGGGGAGTGGAAGGTAGCGCGGTGGACGAGCGGCTGGGGGGTGACGGAGGCGAAACCAACGCCAATAGTCGTCGTAGGATCGCCGCGAGCGCGCGTCGTCGCGCGCGGTTGTGGTGGTGCCGCGGTGATAGGCATCGTCGACGACATCCATGTCTGTCTCGCTGGTGTCGTCATAATCTGATTCGTCGACGACGTGTAGGGTGTAGGCATGGCGGTGGGAATCGCGCACTCGTGCTCGGCAATCGGGCTCCGACGACTGAGGTTCGTCGGCGACGAATTCGTCGTCAGACTCATCGCTTGACTCGATCGGGGCGTCCTTGAGGGTCTGAAACAATTCGGCGTCGGTGTCATCGAGCTCGTAATCGTACCAATTCGACGGTATGGTGTCGGGTAAAGGCTCGATGTTGCCACCGCGCTCGTTCACCAAACCGGCTCGAAGTTGTTCGAGCTCGTCGGCGGTCAGCACGGCGACAGCGAGTCCGTACGTCCCGAATCGCCCGGTTCTACCAATTCTATGCATATACGTAGCACCACTTGGTGGAACATCGAGGTTTATCACCAGGTTGACGTGCGTCAAGTCGACCCCGCGCGCCGTCAAGTCAGTCGAAACTAAGACGCGAAGCTGGAAATTTCGCATCTCTTCCATGACTTTCATTCGACGTTCTTGCGGAAGCGTACCCGCGGTGAACGCCGCTTTCAATCCTTGTGACGTCAAGCGCTTCGCTAAAGCTTCTCCCCAAGCCAATCGTCGCACGAAAACAACCGCTTGGTGAAACGACACGTCGCCGCATATTTTCAACAGTCTCGCCTCTTTGGCGGTAATAACGTCCGCAAGTTTCGTCCCGTCCTCTTTTTCGATCAACGAGTAAAACTGGCGAACTCCCTGTAAAGCTGTCGTGCTCTCGCACAGCATCACTTTTTGTGGAGCTCGCATTAATCGCTCTAAATCACCCAGCAACGTCTTTGAGTACGTCGCGCTAAACGCGCACACTTGCTTACGCTCCGGCAACATGCTGTACGCGAACAGCACGTCTCGCTCGAACGTCCCACTCAATAACGCGTCTGCTTCATCTAATATCAACAACCGTGCTCCATCACACGCCATCGAACCCTCTTCTAACATCTGCCTCGTCCGTCCCGGCGTCCCCACGACGACGTGCGGCTGACTCGCCAGCCGCGCTCGGTCCTCCTTCACCGGCAATCCCCCGACGAGCAAACACGTCTCTATCCCACCTCGCGCGTCCCCATCCATGTCTTTAAATTTCTCAATCATCTCCACGAAACATTCGTGCGTTTGCACCGCGCACTCCCTCGTCGGCGCCAGCGCCAGCGCTTGCGTTCGCCGTCGTCCCGCATCCACGCGTTCGAGCGCGATGACGACGAACGTCATCGTCTTTCCGGTCCCAGACTTCGCCTGCGCGATGACGTCGCATCCAAACCGTCCGAGCGGCACGCACGCGAGCTGCACGGGCGACGGCGCGTCGAATCCAGCCGCGCGAAGCGCGCGCGTGAGTCGCTCGTCGAGTTGTAAATCACCGAAAGACGCGCTCGACGTCGCGCGTTCGCCGACGTTCGCGCCCGCGCGCGCGTCCGTCGATGTATCGTCACGCAGAGCGACATCGGACGAGCGCGCGCGCGGCGACGCGCGCGGCATGGCGCGGTGCGACGCGGGATGTGGCGTCACTTCGCGCAACGACCAGCGCGATGGGACTGTACGACGACTTGCCCGACGCGAAACCGCGCGCGACGACGGCATCGACGGCGCGTGACGGAGACGCGAGCGATGATGCGTCGATTCGCGACGCGAAACGGGCGAAGCGAGCGACGGGAGACGCGGGAGAGAGGAGCGAAGACGCGCAAAAAGTGCAGCTCAGGGACGACGCGACGGTGGCGGCGCCGTCGAAAGCGGCGACGACGAAGGACGCGCTGCAGAGGATCGCGCAACACTTGCTAAAGCCAGAGAAATTCGTGAAAGCGTCGGGATTGCTGAAGAAGTTGTTGATGTCGGAGGCGTGCGACCGGGGCGACGCCAAGGCGTTGTTCGCGTGCCTGGAAAACGCGATGACGCCCACGCCCAAGGCGCGCGCGCTGCGGGCGGAGACTCGATTGGATTACGAAGAGTTGTTTGAAATTGTCGCCGCGTTCTCTCCGCTTATTTTCAACGCGAAACAAAAGAGAAAGCTGGAGGTCTGGTCGACGTATGCCAGAAGAATCAACGCGTTGCGAACGGATGATTCGTTCGAGTTCACGAAGGCGGTGAAAGCGATTCAGGAAGTCGTGGATCGGGTGGATAGTTACGTTGAGCCGCCGGGTGTCATAGAAGATGACGACATCGAGATTCCCCCTGCACCCGAGGGCGCGAGCGAGGAGGAAGCTATGGAGATGGCGACGCAGTACGCGCGCTCAATCAAAGCGGAGCGAGCGGCTGAAATCGAGCAGTTGGCCGTCGTCGACGAATTACGCGAAGCTCTCATCGATGCGCTCGAGTTTACGTCGTCGCTTTACGGAAGAACTTGGTCGCAAACAACGATTGATATGATGTCTAACTTTTTTCACGAGCGTCGACCAAAATTTTCGCCGACGAGCCAGGAAAGAATAGTCAAAATTTGGGACGATTTACGCAAAAAGAAGCACGCTCGCAGTTTGACGAGTGCTGGTGATAAAGTGAGTATGACGTCATTCGAGCGCGATCAAGCCCGTGCGGCGGGGTCGCAAGTTTCCGCTCGCGGCTCCGTCGGCGCCGAAAACGTCAAGGACGGTCGCGGCGAGAGCGCGGCAAAAATGTTGGGATGAAGTAGCGCGTTAGAGTTCATCAATTCATCATCTAGAGTTTATTAAAACGACCCTAAATCGAACTTGACGCGTGACGACGGTCCAGCCGTGCGCGACGCGTCGACGTCGGCGCTTAGTTGGCGCTCTTCAAGAAGTCTTGAATGATGCCGAGCGCCGCCGTTTCTTCACCGAAATCGCTGATCACGCAGCACGAGCACTTCACGACCTTACGCGCAGTACCCTCGGCGTCGAGCTTGCACAAGCCAGCCCACTCACCGAGCGCCATAGCCTCCGGCACGCGAATCAAGTGCACGTTGACTTCGTTGCACAGCGCTTGGATGAGCTTCGTGTAATCCGCCTGGTCGCAATCTTGCGCCAAGATGCAGATCAACGCCTTACGGCTCTCGATCGCCTTGCACGCTTCGCGCAAACCTCGGTGCAAGCCGTCGCAAGCGAGCGACTTCTTCAGCACCACCTGCAGCGCCGTCATGAGATCCATGGGTTCATCTCCCGCAGCCTCGACCGCGACTTCGGGTTGTTCGTCAACGACGTCTTCGACTTCCTCGCTGTTCGCGCGCATCGCAACATTTATTTCGCATTCGTCAGTCTCGCGTTCGACGTTCGCGCGCCATCGCGCGTCGCGCTCGCGTCCCGAACGCCGATCCCTCTGCGCTAGGGCTTTCATCGATCCTTCGTCGTCGCGCGCGTCGTCGCCGCGTCGTCGCCGCGCGTCCGCGACGTCACGCACTCGGCCATGATGAATGTGAAAAGGTTTAAGAATACGCGCGGTCCTCAAATGTCCGTCCTTAACGACGCGTCGGTCGTCTCGAGCGATCCTCGCGCGCGAAAGTGGCGGACGGGCGCGTCGCGCGGGCGGCGCATAACGCTCGGAAAGGCGTTTTGCGCGACACGACGACGCGCGCCGCGGCGTCGGTGAGGCGCGAGAGCGAGCGAACGACGCTCGAGCGGGGAGATAAAAAATGCACGGCACGATCACGGGGACGGCGTTCGAGCGCGCGGACGTGGAGGCGGCGGTGGAGGCGGCACGAGCGGCGCGAGACGAGGCGATGCGGGCGTTCGAGGGACGAGGGCGAGACGCGGGAGGGCGCGAGCGGGCTCGGGAGGGCGCGCGGGGGGAAGAGAGAGGGCGAACGCGGGGTGGGGCGTCGAGCAGGGACGCGTTCGAGTCGCGGAGACGGCGGGAGGAGGAGAAGCGGTTCGATCCGCGCGCGCGGGCGAGACGCGCGGCGAGCGGCGCCGAGGCGAAGACGAGCGGACGCGACGGCGACGACGACGACGACGACGACGGTCACTGCGGTGCGTCGACGTTTGATGAATACGAGCTCGCGTGGTGCGCGTTCGAGCTACGAGCGATGAGCGGCGCGCAGATCGCGTTCGACGACGTCCCGTGGCCGCGCTCGGGCGCGTGGCTCCTCCGCCAATCGCTCGCGAACGCGGGCGACGACCGCGACGTGACCAAGCGCGCGCATCGCGCGTTTTTCGTGCGTTGGCATCCGGATAAGTTCATCCAACGCTTCGGTCGGGCGTTGGTCGAGAGAGATCGCGATCGAATCATCGCTCGCGCGTCGGCGACGTTTCGCTCCGCGCTCGCCGCGCGGTGACGCCGCTCGACGCGCGTCGGCGTCGAGCGCGCGAGCGCGCGCGTCGCCGTGTAAAAGTACTAGTATGTGTGTATAACTAACGCCGCGTCGCGCTCGTCCACCGCCGTCGACCGTTCGTCGATGAACGCCCGAATCGCCTCCGTCGCCGCCGCGTCTCTCGGCGCGCGTCCGCGTCGATCCCTCGCCGCGTTCATCCTCTCCCACCGCCCCCCCATCCCGACGTGCGCGAACACCGCTCGCACGCACGCCAATTCCCCGCTCGCGCACGCTTTGTGCAGCGCGTTCTCCCCGTCCGCGTCCCTCGCCTCGGCGTCGCTCCCTCCCTCGAGCAGCGCCGCGCACGCCTCGCCTCGCCCCCCCGCGCACGCCTTGTGCAGCGCCGTCCCTCGTCCCGCCCGCGTCGTCGCGCGCGCGTCGCACCCTAACTCGAGGCACGCCTTCACGCACCTCGCGCACCCTCGTCGCGCGGCGTGATGCAGCGGCGTGTACCCCGACGCGTTCGTCGTCGTCCCGTCCTCGTCCGCGCTCGCCGGCCGTCGCGCGAGCGCCTCGCGCAGCGCCTCGACGTCGCCGCGCGCCGCCGCGCCGCACGCCGAGCGGTCGAACGCGATCTCATCCAGGGTCTGCGTCGCGCACGTCGCGCGCGCGCAGCACGCGCACGCCGTCGCGCGCGCCATCGCGTCGCGCGATGCCGCGACGACCGACCGACCGACCGACCGACCGACCGACCGACCGGGGTTTAGCGACGCACGTTTTCGGGGGTGCTCATATGGCGTACGCGTCACCTAGAATACGTGTGTGACTTCTCTGACGTATACGACACATCGCGAACGGCATGAAATGGATTTATTACCACGGCCCCCCGCCGCGGTCGAATTCAAATCGCGTCGGCGCGCGGCGCGCGAACGGCGCGACCGACGACGGGAGAACGACGCGCGCGCGCGCGACGCGGGCGATGGCGATGACGATGCGCTGGACGCGCGTCGCGCCGAACGCGGCGAACGCGGCGCGCGGACGCCGCGTCGACGCGCGACGAGGGCGCGCGGGGACGAGGGACGGCGCGCGCGGGACGACGACGACGACGACGGCGGCGACGGCGGCGGCGGCGGGACGCGCGAGGACGACGACGCGACGCGCGATCGGACCGAGCGAACCGACGTCGTTCGTGGAGGACGAACCGAGGGACGAGGAGATCGAGGCGGTGGTGAACGAGGGGAGAGGGAACGCGGGGACGGGGGCGCAAGACGTGGGACGCGCGGCGAGGTACATGCGAGAGCTGATCAAGAACCAGGTGAACTCGAATCATCTCGCGCGCGCGGGTTCGATCACGGATTCTTCGGTCTTGCGCAGGAAAGGACGGCTCAAGGAGCAGGACGCGCTGATCGAGTTCATCGTGGAGTTGCACAAGACGCACACGACGGAGGAGGTTTTCACGAAGGTGGAGACGTGGATCGACGAGGTGCTCGAGCTGCCGAAAGAGAAGCGGAGGTTTAGTAAGCTTTCGAGAATGGTACCCGCGGTTGGGTTTTTCTTCCACCGCTTGCCTTTGTTGAAGGCGCTGCGAGAGTACGACGAGTTTTCCTCGTTGTCCAAGCGGCGGTACGTGCTTCCAAACTTTGCCGAGGTGCGGCACATTTTGAACATCGCGCAAGTGCACGCGTCGAGTAAGGACGTGCGGTTGGTGACTTTCGATGCCGATGGAACGTTGTACGCCGACGGTGAGCACTTTGAGGACGATAATAAGATGATCGATAAGATTATGCAGCTCATGGAGTTGGGCATTCACGTCGCCATTGTCACCGCCGCGGGTTATCCGGGCGAGCCGACCAAGTTTGAGGGGCGACTGAAGGGTTTGGTGGACGCTTTCGAGGCGCAAGCGCTGCCGAAAGAAGTGTACGAAAAGTTTCACGTCATGGGTGGCGAATGTAACTACCTCTTGCGAGTTAACGACGAGTATCGCCTGGAGTTTGTACCCTCGGAGGAGTGGCACAGCGAGCACATGTACGACTGGAGAGACAACGACGATGTTCGCATGTTCCTCGACCGCGCGGAAGAATTCTTGACCTCATATGCGAAGCACTTGGGCGTTCAAGTGGATGTCTTGCGCAAGGAATACGCGGTCGGAGTCTTGCCCAAGGGCGATACCATTTACGAAAACTTGGAAGAAATGGCGCTCGCGAGCCAAGCCGAGCTTAGCGACGCGAAGATTCCATTCTGCGCCTTCAACGGAGGTAACGACGTTTTCGTGGACGTAGGTAACAAGCACATCGGTTTGCAAGCGCTCATGAAGTACTTAAACGTCGCTGGTTCGCAAACTTTGCACGTCGGCGATCGTTTCACTCTCACGGGTAACGACGCCAAGGTGCGCGAAGCGGCGTCCATTCTCTGGGTCGCGAGTCCGGACGAAACCACGTTCTTCATGCGTTTGCTCTACCGCGATATTCTCAACGCACGTATTCTTTAATATAACTGCAAGCTGTGTATATTATAATCCTATTTCATCGTCATTTCGCCGCTGAAGCCATCGCGGCTTTCGCGACTTCTATTTCGTCGACAAGATACCCCAAGCGACGTTCCAAATAAACCAACTCGTTGTTGAGAATCTTCGATTTTGCTTCCCAATATCTCGCCTCGTCGTAAACACGAGTGGGATGCCAACCAAAAATCCTCTCCGCGACGCCACCGAACACGAACTCTGTCGACATTGAGAGCGCGGTGTGGAAAAGTAGCACGCAAACGATTATCAACACGATTCTCGCTGCACGCGAACAGAAGAAGCACGTCTTCCTCCAAGGGCTGGCCTTCTTGAGATCGATTTCCGGCGCAGCCGAAGTTTGCTGCACGAAGTTTTTAGTGGCCACAAGCATGCTCCAAACGGCGTCTCGAGATGCGTCCGGGATTCGCAGCTTGCTCACGTCGACGAACTCCGGCACGTCGGAAGGTGCCCTCGCCACTTTCTGCTTGGGATTAATTTTTCGCATGTAAATCTCGATCATTTTCGCCACCTGCACTTTACTCTCGTCGATAACGCTACTCACGATTAAACCTTTCATCATCGTCGATTTGGTGAAGATCACCTCGGTACCGACGGAGAGGGCGCACTTTTTGGGCCCGAGTGGACGAAGCACCCAACGCGCTTCGACTCTGAAATAGTCACCGTAAGGTATGTCAGTTTGAACTTGAGACGTATTCAAGACGAAGACATTGTCATCGTATACGGCGTAACTTTGTGTCTGGTGGCAGCGAGTCGATTTCGGACCGAAAGTTTGTCTCACGGGAACGGTGACCACCATCTCTCGAACGCATCCGATGGCTCTCTTCTCGAACCAATCCGTGATTTTCACCTGTGTTTGCTCTAACGCTTGCGATATCTTCGGCTGCACATCGTGCCGCGATTTATTTGACCACGCGACGAGAAAGAAGTCCTCCACGGAGCAATCGACATCGCCGCTGTACAGATTAATCAGCGACGGCGAATCGCTCGGCGCCTTCCCGGGGAGTCTCGCCAGCGGGATGTTTCCAAAATCTCCGACGATATCTTCAGCGCCGACGCCGTCGTCGTCGTCGTCGTCGTCGTCATTTTCGATTTCTTGAATCTTCTGTTCTACATTCAAATGCTCCGGTGTGGACTGCTCGCTCTCTTCGCTCGATCGTCTCGCCGTCGCGACATCCCTCGGCGAATCTTCCGCGGCGTCTTCGACGACGTCCTTGTCATGGTCTTCGTTGTCATACAACTTCGAAAGCCTCTTCACGTTCATCGCGTTCAATTTACCGTAATGCGACGCCCGCACCCACTCATGGCAAATCACATTGAACGACTTCTCGGGAAAGATGAATGATGTAAAAAAATCCGTCTTCCCGTCGTACGTGATTTCGATGGCGTTCGGAAACACCATCGCCGTCTTGGCCCTGTTGATCAGCGTGATCCTGCTGAACGGAATCGTCCTTTTCTTCATGTACCCGAACACGTTACTGTAAAAGCACACGTAATTCTCGAACACGTACATCTTCCCTTGCAATAAAATCTTACTGTGCAGCGCGCACATGTAGTCCGCGACGAGCGTCTCGTCCTCCGGCACGTTGAAGAGTCGCCTCAACCGCCGTCTCGCCGCCGCGCGTTTCGACGCGCTCTCGTTCGGCGGCGTCTCGACCATCATTCCGTACGCCTCCACCGCCGCGTCCGCGCGCGCGGCCGTCGACGTCGACGCCCCGTCGTCGTCGAATCCATCGAATCCGCCGATCCCACCGCGCGCGTCCTCGTCGCTCGCCGTCGACCGCCGTCGCTCGAGCGCCGCCATCAGCGACTCGTCGTCGCGCATCGCGTCGTCGTCGTCCTCGTCGTCGTCGCGCGTCATCGCGCGCTCGTGTGCGGCGCGCTCGTGTGCGGCGCGTCGCATCGCCGCGCGACGCCGCGCCGTCTCGCGCCTTCGTCGCGACTCCGCGACGATGCTGCGCGCGGTGACGTCTCGAATCGCGCGCCGCGTCGTCGGCGCGCGCGGCGCGGCGTCGACCGCGGACGCGAGCGGGGTCTGGCGAGGGTACGACGCCGTGCCGGACACGCCCGGTGCGTCGAGCGCGACGCGACGCGACGACGGGGCCTCGACGGGACGCGACGGAAAGCGACCGACGGGACGCGCGACGTTAAAACGACGCGATCGAACGACGCGCGCGACTGACGACCGAGAGACCCGCAGACGGATTCACCGCGCGATTCGCGGTGTCGGAGACGAACCCGAACGGCGTCGAGGTCATCATGGAGAAGTGGCGCGCGGGGGCGCGGGAGCCCGCGCACTCGCACCCCGGCGACGACATGACGGTCGTCGTCGAGGGATCTATGGCGGTGCAGTTCTTCACGAAATCCGACGATGGGACGCTGGTGAAGGACGGCGCGCCGCTGGTGCTGAAAAAGGGCGACGCGGGGCACATCGCGGGGGGGAGAATACACGACGCGGCGTATCTGGAGGATTGCAAACTGGTGTACGTGCACGACGGACGATTCGGGTTCGTCGCCGAGGGCGCGGCGTGAGACCGACGCGCGTCGACGCGGGACGTTAATATTATCGATCGATCGATCGATCGATCGATCGTCGCGCTCGTTGTTGATTAATATTTATTAACGCGCGTCGCGAGACGAAGACGCCGACGCGGCGATATCCATCCGCACACGCGCGCGCGCGATGTCGATCGTCTCGTCGCCGACGCGCGCGGTGGCGCCGCGCGCGCGTCGCACGAACGCGCGCGCGTCGCCCAGACGCGCCGTCGTCGTCGACGCGCGGCGCGGGCGAAAGAAGACCTCGCGCGAGCTCGACCGCGCGGACGCCGTCGACGACGACGCGATGACGACGGACGACGCGCCCGCGCTCGCGCGCGTCGGTCGAGACGACGTCCTTCGATCGTGCGCGACGACGTCGATCGGGATGCTGGTCGTCGGCCTGGGCGCGCGCGCGGCGAGCGGGGCGTTCCCGACGCGAGCGACGCACGGGGACTGGAACGCGGCGCTGCCGCTGCTCGGGGACGACGCCGGCGCGACGGCGGTGGCGGCGCTGTGCGCGGCGGGCGCGGTGACGGTGGGCAGAATAGCGCTGCTGCAGGTGTGGGACGAGTTCGCGGCGAGCACGGACCGATCGAACGCGCAGGTTTTGGGGGCGCTGGACGGCGCCGGGGACGTCGCGCAAGTCGCCGTGCTCCCGGCGCTCGGGGAAGAGGTTTTATTTCGAGGCGCGCTGCTTCCCGCGGTCGGAGGGGTGCCGGGGGTGGTGGTGTCTTCTTTAGTGTTCGGTGCGCTTCACATCGGCGGCGGACGGAGCGCGGCGTTCGGGGTTTGGGCGAGCGCGGTGGGCGCGGTGTACGGCGTCGCGGCGTTGCACACGCACAGCGTCGCCGCGCCGGCGGCGGCGCACGCGCTGGCTAATATCGCGTCGGCGGTGTACTGGAACGCGACGCGCGCGGAAAAGGTAATTGGAGAGAAGAAATGGGAAGGAGAAGATCAGTAGCGGTGACGGTTTTGTAGTAAGAAGTTGTTGTTTCACAGGACGACGCGTCAATCAAAGTGCGGCCGGCGAGGCGCCGCGCCGGCGGCGTTCTCCCCACCACCTCTATTACCGTTTCGGTACATCGCGCGCGTCTCTTGAAGCACGTTGCGACAAATCATCATATCTGCGACGAATATCGCAAACATCCCCGCCATCACGGGCACGCACAGCGTCAAGAACAAGATGGCCACGTTGCTCAGTCTCAAATCGCCGTGAAGGTACGCGTACGCCTTCTCCCCGATCGCGGGCACCGCGTACAGCAAGCGCAAACCCTTCGAGAACCACACCGCGTGGAAGAATCCGCGTGCTTTCGTCTTTCTATAATCTTTCCTCGCGAAACTCACGATCGCCGCGACGCTTCGATCGCCGCTCTCGTACTCGTACATTTTCCCATTCTTGAACAGCGCGATGGTCGGGTACGCCTTGGCGCCTATGCGTTTCAACAGCAACCTATTCTTCGGCCCATCGACGCGACCGACGAAGAGCTCACCCTCGAGTTCGCGCGCCACCTCCCCCCACACCGGTGCCAACGCGACGCAATGTTTACACCACTCCGCGTACACCTTGACGAGCACCGGCGTCCCTCGTCCCACGACTTCGTCAAAGTTCGTCTCGCTCAGATCCACCACCTCACCGTCCGGGCCGTGTCGATCAAACCGCGCCTTCGCCACCGCCGTCGCGTCTCCGCTCGCGCGCGTCCCTCGCGCGCCGAACCCGAGCAGACACCCCGCGCACGTCAGCGCCATCATCGTCACCGTCGTCACCGTCGTCACCGTCCTCGCTCGCCGCGCGCGGTGCCGCCCCCTCGCGCCATCGCTCGCGCGTCCGAGGCCGTCTCGACGTCCGTCGCGCCGCGCCCGCGTCGCGCGCGCCGTCATTCCGCGCCGTCGAACGCCTCGCGCGCGCGCGCGAGTGCCACCGCGCGCGCGAACGGTGGCGCGACGACGCGCGAACGACGACACACGGACCACACCCGACGCCGCGTCGCGGATCGGATAAGGGCAAAATGACTTTTTCGTCGCGCGCTTTGAAGCGCTCGCGAACGCCATCAAATCCACGGTCGATGCCTCGATACGCGTAGATACGCCGCACTTTTCCGACGTGGCGCGACGTCGATTTCGGCGCGAAAACCGAGCGCGCGGCGCCGGGGGGGGGTCGCGGCAGAGCGCGACGACGACGCGCGCGCGATCGATCGACGCGACGCGCCGAGGGTGATCGAACGAAAAACGTAGACGCGCGGCGACGCGCTCGACCGCCGCGATGCTGATGAAACCCGCGCCGACGGTGGGGAACGCACCGCGCGCGGGCGATGGTGCCGCGCGCGGGAATTCACCGGCGAACGCGCGACAGGAGCGGAAGAAGGGTGCGCGCGCGCGATGCGAAGCGAAAGCGCGCGAGGGGATTATGTCGCGGCGTTCGCGCGACGCGCGGGCGACGCGCGGGCGTCGCGCGCGCGTCGCGGGCGCGCGGGATACGGGATACGTCGGCGCGCGCCGCGTCGGCGCGCCGCGTTGACTTAGCTTTTTGGATTTTTTTGGTGAAATTGAGATATTTCGCGTATTCGGGGTGCATTCGGGGGAATCGCGCCAGGGTGGCACCGCCCCGGATCGCGCGCGGAGATATTTTATCCTGGAGACCCGGAGCGAGACTGACGACGAACGCGCTCGCGATGTCTAGGCGTGGCGTGGACGGAGGAGGAACATAAAAACTTTTTGATTGGGTTGCAAAAGCTCGGGAAAGGAGATTGGCGCGGGATCTCGCGACATTTCGTGACGACGAGGACGCCGACGCAGGTGGCGTCGCACGCGCAAAAATACTTCATCAGACAAACCAACGTGAGCAAGCGTAAGCGACGCTCGAGCTTGTTTGACATCATCTCCACGCCGACGGATGATGGAGAAGGGATGACGATCGTGCACAGACCGGCGGCGAATAATAACGGAGTGGCGAGCAAGGCGACGACTGGCTCCAGCAAGGCGTCGAACGGCGTGCACAGGACGCACGGCGGCGTGCACAAGATGTCGCAAGTGTCCAGTCGAGCGTCCGCTCAAACGAACGTGTCGGTGGATCACAGTGCACATTATCATCACAACGCGGCGAACGGTAGCGCTTTGACGGCTTCGTTATCGAACTTGGCGGATATGGCGGCGCGCGAGGCGCACTACGTGGCGTCGATTCCGCAGCACCAGAGCACGAGCACGAGCACGAGTCAGGCGATTAAGATCGATGAGGAATCTCACAGATCGTTCCCTATGATGACTGCTGCATATCCAGGTCACTTCGCTGCACCCATGGCGGCGACACAGGCGCCAGTGTTTGATGCGTACAACCAAGCCATGGCGCAATACATGTTGCAGTTGCAGTCGCTCGCAGCGCAACAAGGGGACGGAATGAGTCACATCAACCAAATCAATCAGATGAATCAAATGGCGTGGATGGCGCAGCAAAATTTGGCTTACCAAATGGCGGCGCAAAACTACGCCGCAACTCCACTCTCGCCGCAGCAAAACGCCAACTTTTGCCGTCCGACGGCAATTTACGCGGCCAAGTCTATTGATGACAACGTCGGCGAGCAGCGTAATGCGGCCAGCGGAGGGGCCTAGACGCTCATCAAGAAACTCAACAAGACAAGCATTCGAATGGATGCCCAGTGTACAACAGGCTCGCAGAACACAACCAGCAGAATAAAATAATGTACTGTACTTTCAGCTTTCAGCTTTCAGCTTTCAGCAGTCGGGTGACTTTTTCCCTCCATCTTTATCACCACCGGAATTACACGCGAGGATAATTCCATCGGTTTGTTGTAAGCTTAACCGCACAACGCCCGACTCCTAAACCGTACTTTTAATAAACATGTGTATCAGGTTGACATGACTCTGTGTACTAAAGTACTTGACTCGACATCCGATGTCGTCGAGACGAGGCGCGCGCGCGCAGCAGAAGTACAGAACGCGGCGTGTCTTTGCCACCGATACGAACGATAATAGCACGTAACAGTAGGTATGACTCCAACATCTCTCGACGTGCGGCTACTCGTTCGCGAGTTCAAGTCGTTGAAGCGACGCGAAGCCGACGACCTGATACGCAACCTCAAGATGGTGGGTGACGACGTAACCAAATGGACGTTTGAGCTGCATACGTTTGACACGACGTGTCCTGGTGGCAAAATGCTTATGAAGGACTTGGGAAGACTCCAGAAACGTGGTTTGGATCACATCCTCATGGAGGCGAACATGACTGCGCACGGTGGGTCTTGGCCAACCGACCCACCCCTCTTGCGCGTCGTGAAGCCTCGGATGAAGCTCTATACCGGCCACGTGACAGCGGGCGGCTCGATTTGCAGCGAAATGCTGGTAAATACTGGAGGTTCGAACGGTTGGAATCCTCGGTTGTCGATGGAAGCGATCATCGAGACAATCAAGCTGAACATGGTGGATTGCGAAGTCGTCGAGATCGAAACTCCGTACAATGGCAGGCAGCGTGCGGGGCCGCTCCGAATAGATTTGAAGGGCGAGTATTCGTACGACTGCATGAATGAATACTCTGAATTCGCTGCAATGGCTGCTTTTGATCGCGCAGTTGCGCACCATCGTCGTCATGGCTGGTAACGATTGATTTCACTCCAGGCATCATTGATCGCTTGAGACACTCCCCGCACGCGTTCTTGGACTTGATCCGCATCCTTGGGATCGAGATATTTTCCAAACTTTGCTGCAAATTTGTCTGGATGCCAACGCAGTGAAGCTTTCCTAAACGCCCTCTTGTACGCCGCCAGTGCGGTTGTTTTGGTATCATTCCACTGCTCCATCGCAGCCATCTGCGCGAGCATCGATTCCTCATCCGGAGGCCAAGGAATGTCGTGCGCGTGAATGAACATCGTCTCATCGCATCGATTAGTGAGTGTTTCAGCGATGCGCTTCTCCAAAGTCAACCAAGACGACTCATACTCTGACCACAGATGCAATAAGACGTACGCTTTGTCGTCGTCTCCGATTTGCGCGTCCAAAGCATCAGCCATCGCTGCAGCCGCACGCTCGGCGATTTCTTCCGCCTCGAGCTGACGAGAGCTATACGCGTTATCAATCGTGTCCATTTCGGTCAGGCGACGCTTGATCTCTTCCATCTCAGCTTCCATCGTCGCTCTCGCCTCGCGTTCTTCTCTCACCGAGCGCAAGCGACGCATCTGTTCCTCCGCTTCTCTTTGAATCCCTCGATTCCGAACGAATCGCCCTCGAATCACCGCTCGCTCATTCGCCGCAAACTCGGCCGCTTTCGTTTCCTCATCATCCGTGTCACTTTCGCTCGACGACGACGAAGCGCGCGAGAGTCGACGACGAAGCGGATTGATGTACCGCCCCATGCGCTCCGACTCAACCGACCCCGCGCGCGTCCACGATCGGCGCGCGTTCACGAATGATTTTTTCCTGTCGTCTCGCTCGTCTTCACGCGCGCGCGCTCGACCGCGCGCGCGTCGCGGTGTGCGTTATTGACTTCTTTTCAATCCGTAACGCCTTCGAGCGGAAGCGTCGCTCGCGCGTCACTCTCGCGCTCGACGACGCGATGAACGGCGCGTACGAGGTGCGCCCGAACGCGCGCGCCGCGCGCATCGATGGCGAACGCTTGCCCGATCCTCCCGGCTACGTCCCGCGCGCGCTCGGCGCGAGCGACGGCGCGAGCGATCACGCCGCGCGCGCATCCTCCTCCTCCCGCGCGGCGTCGAGCGCGCCGACGACGACGATGGACGGCGCGGCGGTCGAGCTCGAACGAAGCAAACTCAGAGTGCGACGCGCGTACGCGTTCGCGCAGTCCAGCGTGTCGTCGATCGCGATGATGACGTTCATGATGTGGATGAGCGGCAACTCGGTGCAAGTCTTTAGCATCATGGTCGTCTTCGGCGGCGTCGCGCAGACGACGCGAGCGATCCTGAGCTCGCGAGCGACGTTCGATAGATTCGTCGATGGTGATGCGAGCGTGGACGTCACGGTGCCGAGGTTGATGTTTTGCGCGGTGCAGCTCGTGGGATTGTGCCTGGCGTTGCGCAAGCTCAACGTCATGGGTCTGTTGCCCACGCACGCGAGCGACTGGGCGAGCGGGATGAAGCCTCCGAGAGCGTTGGAGCGCGCGTTCGGCGACGTCGAGCTCGACCTTTAACGTCAAATGTAATAGATATTGTACTAGTCTCTATCGATAGAGCATTCGCGCGCGCGTCGCGCGTTCTCAATCGTCCGTCGTCGTCGCGCTTTCAAAAGTCGTTCCACGACACGACCGCATTCCTCGACGCGTTCGTACGCGAATCACACGAACGGGCGTCGCGCCGCTCGAACGAACGCGATCTATAGCGCGCGCGCGCGCGATGTCCTCCCTCATCACCGCGCGTCTAGCGCAAGAGCGCAAAGATTGGCGCAAAGACCACCCGCACGGCTTCATCGCGAAACCGTCGACGAAGAAGGATAAAAACGGTGACACCACCACCGATCTCACGGTGTGGAACTGCGCGATCCCTGGAAAGGCTGATACGCCCTGGGCGGGGGGATCGTACCCGCTGCGGTTGGAGTTTGGTAACGATTATCCGGCGAAGCCACCTCGAGTGGCGTTCCCAGCTGGATTCTTTCACCCAAACGTGTACCCGACGGGTAAGGTGTGCCTGTCGATTTTGAACGAGGATAAGGGATGGAAACCGTCGGTGTCGATCAAACAAATCTTGATCGGGGTGCAGGACTTGCTAGATTCGCCGAATATGAGCGATCCGGCGCAGCAAGAGGCGTACGATCAACTGCGAAGATCAAAGGCGACGTACCTGAAGAGAATCAAAGAGCAGGCGAAAAAGTTTGGAAGCGCATCTGGGGGGGCTGGGGATGAGATCATCGTGCTTTGATGCCCGAAACGAGAGAGGACGCCGAACTCTAAAAGTGCACGCGTTTACGTGAGCGATAGCGCCGATTTGCGAGAGCGAGAGGCTAATCAATAGACATAGAAGCGCCACGTGGGCACGCGCGTCGTCACAACGTATCTTCCTAATTTCGTTCGTCCGTTCGTTCGTTAATTCGTGCGTTCATTGTATCATTCGTTCGTCTCATCGTGTAGTCGTTTCAGAAACTGCATGATGTCCACGTACTGGGCAGTTTTAAAGGTCTCTTTGTGAGCCTCAAACAGCTGTAGAATCACGTGAAGACGAGCGCGATCGGCTTCTGGCGACCAACCTTTCTTTGAGCGCAGATACTGTCTCAAATCACGATATCGGCGCTCTAAGCCGATCGGGTCCTCGTATCGACGATCAGCCATCGCATCACTATGCTCCCAGGCATCGCGCAAACTCGTCAGGAGATCATCGATATCGTAAACCAGAGCCGCCTCATCTATGAGGTATTTTGTCATTGGGATGTCAAGATTTTCGCAAGCTTGAGAGACAAAGTACGGTTGTAACACGAGACCCATTTCATCGCGAAAGATCTTCAGTAAAGTGACGTTCGATCGAAGAACCGCGCACTCCATATGCGACGCGTCTGGCTGCACACCACCTTCGTTCTTCAACCAGCGAAGCAAATCAGCGCTTCGCGATTCGCGATCCGCCGATCCCCAAGAGTTGATAATAGTGTTCACATTCCTTAGCTCAGGCTTCGCGCCTTGATCTTTCAAAACCTTCAAGAAATCTATCACAGAGTGCTTGTGATATGATCCGTTCGAGATGATGTCGTTGAAAAAGTCGTTGAGAATGAAAGGTGAAGATTCTGGAAATGATTTCGCTGCACATTCCTCAAAAATGCATCGGAACGTTTCCAGCCGATTTAAGCGCACCGCCACTCGCATCGCTTGTTTTCCATCGTACGACACCGCGTGCTCGCGCATAAACTTCAGCAAATCTCGAAGCTTTTCCGCGTCGCTCTCATCTTCAAACAATCTAGATAGCAACGATTCATAAAAGTTGCGCTGCCAGTGCGTGTTTACCGATACACAGTGTCCGCATTTGACTCTTACGGCGTCGTAGAGGCACTTGCACGAGGGCAGCGGCGGTGGCGGCGCGGTGGTGTTCGTCGCGACTTCCTGTGCCGTACACGTCGTCGCGTTCGCCTTCGACGCGCTCTCCTCCGTCGTCGCTCGCACGCATCGGCTCTCGACAGCTTTCGCTTTCGGTGCCGGTGCCGGCTTCTTGGAACTGCTCGTCTTCGCTTTTTTACGCGACGCCGTCGTCTTCGCGCCGGCGGCGCCACCGGCGCGTCGCCATCGTCGAACCGGTGGCGTCGCCATCGTCGTCGCGCCGAACGTGAGTTTCCTTCGTATGAAGCGAAGAATGGTGAGTTCGAGCGCGCGCGAGCGCGCGTGACGCGTCGATGTGTGGAGTGCGGCGCGTCGTGCGTGATTTACAAGGCGTGATTCACAGGCAAACAGGCTGTTCGCCGCGGACAGGCTGTTCCGCTGTAGCCGCGGCTACAGGGGACGGAACAAGCCAGCGAATGGCATGTCGGCCATCAACATCGCGTTTCTTTCCGAGAGAATTCCGTCGATTTCGTTGCGCAGGAGGTGGTCTTTTGCATTCTCCGCAGCTTTGTCATGTTGGCGCTGAAGGTACTTCATGACGCCGATGAACACACCTTCGCTCAAAGATGTTTTGTGCTCTTCGACGATTTCGTACAGAGCGTTAATGTGTTTTTTGTCTTCGTTTGCGACGGTATCAAGAGTTTCAAAGTAAATGATGAACTTCTCAACCTCGGTAAATGCGTTCTCTTCGTCGTTCTCAAGCATCTCCATAATCATTTCACCGTTGTCAACGGCTTCGATTAATTGTTCCTTCATCAAGCGAACAATGTCTGGATACTCTTTATAACCATGCTCGACGACGTACTTGAGCATGTCCAGATTCAAATGATCTATGCAGCGATAGACGGTTTCCGGATAACCGGCGGGGGCGGCGGGGGTGAAAAACAAAAGACCCCAATCCTCGTGGAGGGGTTGCACGAAAAGTGATTCAGGCAAGTCAAGCTCGAGCGAGAGCTCGACTGCAGTGCTCATTACTGCAGTTCTCATCTTTGGATCCGGGTGGTTAAGTCCCAGCCTGTCTCTATGAAGATGAAGATAGCGAAACATGAACCATCTTTCGAGGATGTCGCGATCGAGATCATCGTAACTTTGTTTGTTAATGTAGATTGAATCGTGCAGTGCGCGCATCGATTCAAACAAATGAAACAGAAAGGCGTCACCATGAGTCGCCACTGGAGAGTCGACTCGTCCCCAATGCGTTCGTTCGCGCAACCAATCCAGAAATTTGATGCGCGGGTCTATCTTCATAAGTTGTGCAAACTTCTCCGCGAGATACGTCGGACTTCCTTCGAGTTTTAGAGCCCCTTCGAAAACAATGTTTCGTCGTTTGTTCATCGCTTGCATATTTGGTCGTGTGAGCACCATCATGAACAAAAGTTCCGCGTCGGCCCGCCGATATTGAGGTGCATGGTTCACAAGTTCATCATACAACACCTTGAACAACTCGAACCTATCGTACCAATACGCGAGCCAACACGCCTCGAGGCGCGTTACGTAACCAGGTGCAAAACTCTTAAGTCCATGTTCTTTGATGGATGCTTCCAACCAAACAGGACGCCGCATATCTGCCTTGTTCTCGCCAACCCATGCCACTATTTTTCTCATCGTTTCATCGTCGACGTGACGTTTCTCATACATCAATCGCCGCAACGCACTAGCCCACATCTCTCGTTTCGTTAGCAACGGTTTGCCCTTCAACTTACGCTTCACACATGACGCGCACTCCGCGACCAGCGCCGCCGCGAGCGTCTTACATTTCGTCTTGCCCAACTTATCCGCGCCTTCCTTTGTCAGCCGCGTGCACGGCGGCCGCTGCTCCGTCGACGACGACGCTCCAGTCTGCTTTACACCCTTGGACGCAGACGTCGACGCTTTAGTCGTCTTCGCCGCGTCTTCACCTCGTCGTGCGTTCGATTTCTTCGGCGGCGGCACATTTAAGATCGGATCGTGGTCTACGCTGAGCCCGTTGAGTCCTCTTCGCGCCATCAAGGCTTGGATGACACGAAGCGTGCACTCCCTGCAGTCGCACATCGGCTGATACATGCCCTCGCCCGCGCCAGGTCGTCCGGACATCGACCTTGTTCGTTGCCACGAGCCACGGCGCGCGAGGCGCGAGACGCGAGGCGCGACGTGACGGGGGGGTGCACGAGCGTTTCTGAGGAGTTGGCGACGAGACTGGACGGCGTCGCCGCGGCGCGGCGACCTTTCGTGCGTCGTGCGATCGGTAGATTGGTGTTGGCTAATGAAATAATCTATATTTACATGTGCTACAGTGCTACAGGGTGATGACGAAGATCCGTCGAACGCGCACGCAGGGCGCGCGCTCAAGACGTCTTCGGACGCAGGGGCATCGCGCTGCCATCCGACGTTCGAGTAAACTCGAACAGCACGGCTGGAGAACGGTAGATACGGATGAGAAGCCAATAAAGACGCTCCTCGAGAACAAAATCTCTCACTTGACGCGCGCTGTAAATATCGCTGCACAGCGAGATGAGACGGTGCGTTGATGGCAAATCGACGTGCTGGATGCTGCCGACGAGATTGTTGGTGAAGCCTCGAACGATGGACGCCAAAGTTAAGATGTAGACGACGTACACGCCCGTCAGACCACCAACAAATTGACTGAACGTCGCAAAAACGCCGGTCGGTACTTCGGATGAGATCAACACGATCTCAGGACCGTTCTCAAACGCACTGCAGGGTCGCCACCAATCCAAACTCTGTCGATTCTCTTCCGAGGCTGCGAGGGGAACGACGTATGTTCCGCAATCGACGGACCACCACGGTGAGGTCGTGTTGTACCCATTCAGGGCAAGCGTGCAACTTATACTTTGTTGACTCGAATAATTCGGCACGGGCGAACCTTTGCCGTGCAAGTGCCAAACTCGCGGGTAAATGTTTTCCAAGAAGACATTGTTTTGTTCGCCGTTGAGCACTCTGATAAGCGCGGCGGCTTCGTCTTCTGCAAAGGTGTAGTCGACGCCTTCTGAATATAAAATAGGATTATCCAGCGGTAAATGACGTTTAAACATCCAACCCGTGGTTAGTTTTGCACCACTTGAGAGAGACTTCTTCAAAGCCTCGATAGAAGGTGGAGGGGGCGACCAGACGGTGTCGCTGTCTTTCGCCAAACACGCCTCCTGTATTTGTCCAGGCTTGTTTATCATTGGTATCGGTCCATCCGTGCGAAGAGTCGACCACGGCATCGTTTCAATCGTTTTTCTGAATCCGCCTTCAAAGATTGGATACTTGAAGGTGTTTTCTGCTCCAATCAAGCTCATGTTGAACCGAATATCGTAGACTGGATTGATGTCGACTTGTGGGTTTGATGTGCTGAATACGAAGAACGGCACGACCAACAGACTGAAAATGATCGTAAAAAGACCACCACCCTCGAGGAAAACTTTTTTCCACCATGGTTGGGGTTGACCGAACGGATGATACTTTCTATAAGTGTTATTCCGGACGTTGATTCTGAACAAGTCACGCGAGATGTTCTCAAGCTTCAACCAGTCGTAAAGATCCAGGGCGCTGTCCGTGCAAGCATATTCGAGCAACACGCGTAATTCGTACATGAACGGAATCGAAAAGTACGCCATGAAAGCTCCAAAAGAAATAATATCAGAACGCTGGAAGATCAAGCTGTTCGTGAATACTTCAGCTGGGAACCCACAGCGTATTTGTCGCGCTCCGAGAGTGAACGACAACGACTTAAGGAGGAAAAAGAATTGCAAATACGAGTGACGTGCCGTCGTGTTCTGGTGGAAAATCATCAACAAAAATCCAACAAATCCAGCATACGTCAAGTAGTGGTAGAAAACTTTGGCAATCTTTGCTTTTTTCATGTAAATCACTCCATCAACGACGATGAGTACCAAGCAAATGAAGACGGATACGACGTAGTCAATTTTGAACAAACCTTGATAGTATGTCTCCACCAATGCCTCTGCATCTGAGTCCACCGTGTTTTGATAGCAAATCGCCACGAAGAATGTTGCGAGGATGTCGAAACAAAGCGTCGCGGTGTAAAAGTCCTGACCTTCTTGGTGGAAACCACGAACAGACGTGAGGCCAAGCGGGGCTACATCTGAGCCGCCAGCAGCTTCTCTGAGTTGCATCGCCTCAAGCGCTTTACTCGCCTCCGCACTAGGACGAAGGACGGAAACTGGGGCTATAACGCGGAATATTGCGGCACGATGTCCCGGGCTCGTTCGTAGACTATCGGTGTCTACTTGCACAAACTCGAGCGTGTAGTACGAAAGCGGTAGTTTTGAGCCACCTTCAGAAATCGTCTGGTGATTAATGAGTGCGTCGTTCACTCGGGCGACAATTTCATCCCAATCTGGCTCTGCATCTTCCTGTGCGAGGACTGAAAGCGCTACGAATGACGGACCATACTCAGCTTCCGGAGTTAAGATTCGTTGGAAGAAATTATCCATTTCTGCTAGCAATCCTCGAGAGACTTCGATGTGGAAAGGTGAAGACTCAGAATCGTCTTGGCGCGCGAAATTCATTTCAAATTCCGCAAAATGGACATTTTTAAACCTGGAAAACAGGGCGTTCGCGGCGAACAAGTCGCCGTTATTGCCCTCGTCACGCTCTTCGCGACGATGAATTTCATCTCTTGGTGTTTGCTGAGCGCTGTGGTGCACCGTGATGGCGATGTATGCCATGAACGCACCAATCATGGAAGGGACAAACGCACTACTGGCATCCTGGATACCGAACACGACTCCCGTATGAGCGCAGGCGGTCATACCCGAGCATTGCAAAGAACAAGGAATAGTAACAACGTACGCAACGGCGAGCGATAATTCGGCGTACAAGAGAATCAATCGCCAAAATCCGGCAGGCACCACTGGATACGTCATCAGTCCGTATGCGATGATTGACGTGGGAAAGACGAGAGCAGCGATGGAGAAATCGATGGCAAAAGCCAGTATCATGAAAAAATAGCACATTGAATACCGGGGTGCTGTCAACCACGGCCATGCTTTCAAAAAGGCGCCAAATAATAAGCCAATTGTGGAGCTGCGATCACCAAGCCAGGTATGAAGTAAGGCTGTCAAATCCTTCTTCGGGTCATCCACACTCGTGCGCATCTTCAGCTCGTGATCACGGAGTTGCGCTGCTCGCAAGTCCTGCCTTTCGGCGTTGTCTTCGTCTTCTCTGATCCATTCTTCATTGTTCTCATCGTCATCGCTGTCTCTGACGCCACGCCGACGGCGGATTGTATCACTTGGTGGCTTGCGGTCGCCCGTCGGTTTGCGACGAGTGCCTCGACTTTCCACAGCGAGAATCTCTCGAGACAGACTTGTGATTTCGTTCCTGATGTCCTCTACTCTTTGACGACGATTTTCTTTCTCGCTCACCTTGGTCAAACAAGTTGCCAAACTTTCATGAATCCATCCCCGCTTCAACGCATCGTCGACAATGCGCTCCGCTTCAATGGACTGGCGACGCATAATCATCGCGGCTTTGTATGTGGGCTGAGTGATGATGCTTCTCAACAAGTGAACGATGGCAAAAATGACCAAATCCGGTGAAAGTTGACCAGACTGCCATCCGAGCACCGTGGGAAGCTTGTAAAATCCAAAGCCTTGAAGTAGCGAACATTCAGACTCAACAGATACGTACCAGTCACCTAGTAAGCCTTCAAGCGGAGCTTGGTAAAGGAGAATCGCGCCGATGACGGATACGTTGTACAGTTGCAAAATTCTCAAGCCCATCAGACTGTCCATACTCAAAGAATCGCGCGTACGGAGAAAATAGAATGGCAAAATCAAATAGCCAACGTGCATGAGATCTCGCGAAAAAGTGCCAAAGAAAATCACCATGACCAATGCCCAGTCAACTGCGTATCGCAAGTAAAAGTATCGCATCCATTCAAGGATGGTCCAATTTGTACTTGCTTCCCAGGTAAGCGGTGCGAATAAGATGTCAAAGTACGACGTCTCCTGCGTTTCCGGCGGGAGCAAAGCAACTTGTGTCGGTGTTTGCCTCGGTACCATCGTGGCGATCAACTCTGAAATCATAGCTTCATCTAACTCCGCGCCTTCTGCTTGCGTCGCCTCTATCGTCATTCGCGCGCGCTCTTCCAGAGCTGCTAAAATGGCATCCATCCTCAGTTGGCAAGCGGCGATAAAGAAAGCGCTAAAATAGCCAAACAGCATCATTTTGCTGCATGGGTAAACGGCAAGCCACTGTCTAGTCTCTCGTGAAAGCCGCATTTGTTCGCTCGCAGTGGAGAGGAGTGCCCGTGCAAACGACGGCGATGGTGGAGGAGACGGCGGAACGTCATCCACGCGGTTTTGCACGATATCAATCGAGACAACGTACTGCCATAGGACTATCAAGGCGCAGATCGCCGTAGTAAAGCGCCATAAGAGCAAGCGGTCACGCGGCGTGGACCCAAGCTTACTGTTAATCAACTTGAAAGTTACCCCTAAGTAGACGAGAGACAGCATGTTTGTAGACGCGATTCCGACAATCGCAAAGACTACGTACAACAAACCTGGCATGAGATTCGCCATCATGCCTTCAATCATTTCAGGAACGATGGAAAGGAGCATAATCATCTGTCCCAGATTCGTTTGTGCATTTTCTCTCACTCGCTTAGTGAATTCGCGACGTGCCTCATCGCTCGCCGCACTTTCGCCTTCATCCGCGATGTCGGACGTGCTCTCCGAGATTTCAGACATTGCTTTGTCATCTAAGTCGTCCATTTCCTTGCTTGCATCGGTGTTTTCCGTTTTTCGTTGAACAAGCATCGCTCGTGCGTCGCGTTGCGGCCAGAAGAGGTGACAAGGTTCAGGAGAACATCCAGATTTCAACGCCGGTGGTAGTTTCCTCAACCAGAAGCGTGTCGCCTTGGTCAACTCAACGGAAAGTATCACCAGCACCGGATAGCGAAGCATGGATTCATTCTCTGGTATGAAATCACTCGGCGATTCTGGCCACTTATGCGCACCCAAGAGAGTCAAAATACCCCAATGTTGTCCCGCTTGAGTGTATTGAATCTTATAGGCGTAATCGATGATGGCAGAAATGAGTGCAACTGTACCAACCAGTTCGGTGGGACCATCGCTCGTTTTCATCGACAACGTCGCTGCGATGAGTGCTGCGAGCATCAATAATCCGAGCAAATCTCGGCGCTCGAGACTAAACAAGATTGCACAGAGGGTAACGATTTTATTTGTGTGCAAAATGATGGCTCGCTTCACAAGTGGCAGAAAGCCAAGCTCGGTTGCGGCCAACGGCAGACTTCGTCTCGCATCCACTGCATTGCTCATCGTGAGCAATCCAATCTCGTGGAAATATGTTACGACGAGGAGAGTGCTCGGTCCGATCAATTCAGCCATGAGCTTGCCTGGCTCGACATTTTGCGCCAACCCTACCGCGTTTGAGAGGAACGCCTTGAACTCGGTGGAGAATCCAAAAATTTCGTCGAGCGGGAAAGCGCCAAAGGCGTAACGACTCGCGAGATTGAATAAACAGAACAACAGAACAGCGCGCCATCGACCGGACTCGGTTTCTTCTGAGTGCCGTTTAGCGATGCAATTCAATCCAAGGAGTACGAGAAGTGTCAAGTTTATCAGCGAACACTGCGACGTTTCGAGCGTCACCAGACCAACCAAGAGCACTAAATAAGCGCCAAAGCGCGTCATCAACTTCATGAGCACCAACGAGCACTCGTACACTACGGCTTTACCCAAAGACACCAATGAGTTCAAGGTTCCCTGGCCAGGCGCACTATCTTCCTCAGTTTCCGGCGTCAGCGCGTTAAGGACCTTCTGCAGGTACAGCACGATGCAAATTACCACCAAAACGCAGGCGAAAGGTCCAGTCGTGTGAATCATGTTTGATTGCTCAAGGCCTAAAACACGCAATGTCGTCGCCCACTTCGTGTGGTACACATTGAATATATTAACGTGTTCATTCATCGCCCACAGATACAACGCCGCAACAAAGCCAGCGAGTGTTTGTGCCGTCAGATGCAATACCGTCCGGTCTCCCGGTTTGAGGATATTGAACAAGAATGCCAATAGCAATGCGGCGTGGAGTAAATCGGCTCGCGATAGAGCCACAATCCACAGTGCGAAGGGCACCAAGAGGTGTGAGATCAACTGAACTAAAGGCAAATCCCACATCAAGCGACTGTCGTCGACGGCCGGGTTATGCTCAATCTCAAGGTCATCTAATGGTACAAAATCCACAATGACACCATCCTGCACTCTTTGTTCCAGAACGTCATCCGTCGGGGTACTCTTGGCGTTCTTTGTGAGCCAACCGACAAAGGTGAGCGTGGCTACTAAACTGCCCATATAACACGCGTTAATGCCCGATTGCTCGCCGTTGTGCGCTGGCGATGCACCGAATATTTGTAGCAAAACTCTTACTTTGCCGTTCATGGATGACATCATCACTGGTGGAATGCAAAGCAGGGCGTACTCTCCAACGCTCCAAAGCGCGACGTAGGCGAAAATCACCGGACCGTGCACGTTCGCAAACGTCGTGTGACGCGTTGGGTTCACGACGAGAATCAATCCTAGCAAAAGCATGGGGTACGCAATTACGTTAACGACGAGTAATGACGTCGCGAGTAACGTAAAGCCAGCCAAGACGCCGCCAAATCGAGCCAGCAAGCGGGCGACTGTTCCCGCGTCATCGTAGGTGTCCACGACGTCTGCATCTGAAGCTGACTCCCCCTCCATCAAAGGCGCTCTAATACCTTCACCGTCTGCGGTATCGTAATCGCTGTCGTGTGACTCCACCGCACACAGCGCCATGAATAGCCCGCCGATAGCGATGATTTGCGTCAAACGCAACAATCGCGCCACCGGCCCTTCCGTCCTATCCATCGAATACAACCCAAGCAACTGCGCCGAAGACTCTCGCGCCGCGTCTTGCAACTCCGGTAACTGATACATGTAAATTGCCATGAAATGAATCGCGGTGTAGCACAAGCACGCCACCGTGGCCCTTCGCGGAAGATTTAATAAACTCTCGCGCGCACCTTGAAATTTGCCACCGACGCCGCGCCGCATCTCAGTTGCGAAATACGACACCACGAATAATAAATACATCATCGACGACAGTGAAGGCACTGTCACCGCCGCTAACGCCGCCGTACACACCGTCACGCGCATCACCGTCTCCTTATCGCTCACTGTCGTCGCAAACGCCCCTTCCGCGTCGCCGCCGTCGAGCGCGCTCGCGCGCTCGCTCGCCCCATCCACGTACAGCTTACTTCCTCCCGCGAGCGCGATCCCGAAATAAGGCACAAAGAACAGCACGTAGTCTATGATGCCATCCAATCTTCCGAACCCTAAATACCGCAGCGCGTCCGCTTGCCATGGATTCCTCGGCCACGCCGCTCCGAAACCGACGTAACACGCCTGCGTCGCGCAATTCCCCAACAGCACGAACGCACACAGCCCCATCACCCCCCACCACACGTCTCTCTGCACCCGCGTCAGCGCGTGCGTATTCTTTCGTCCCTCGTGCACGCGTTCGATCGCGAACGCCGTCAAGAATCCAAAACTCTGTAATCGACATGGTGTTCACGATGATGGATTCGTCAGTCCGTCGTTTCGTCCGGTTTTCTCTCTCGCGCGCGCGTCGATTCGCGTCGGCGCGTCCACGCGCGCACCATGATCGACGGTCGCTGTTCCGCGGCGTGTATGCTCACGGCGACGACGAGCATGACGCTCGACATCGCCGCCATCGGGTCGACGCCCATGGCGCGTTGTGACGCGCTCGGCGCACACGCGCGCGCGCTCGACGGACACGCGCCGTTCGCGCGCGGCGAAGCGGTCGACGCGAGGCGCGCGCCGATGCGCGCGTCGGCGTCGGCGGCGACGGCGGCGACGGCGCCGCGCGCGACCGCGAGGCGCGCGCGAATCGCGAACGCAAAGGCGCGCGGGACGACGACGACGACGCGCGCGTGCGTGAACTCGCCCGAGGGCGTGTTGGCGGCGCTGGTGTGCGTGGGGACGTGCGCGGGAGTGTTGGAGAAGCGCACGCGCGTCGGGGCGCGCGTGTCGGGGCCGGTGCTGGCGATGGCGAGCGCGAGCGCGCTGGCGAGCGCGAACGCGCTGCCGGGCGCGAGCGCGGCGTACGAGGCGGTGTGGACGACCGTCATGCCGAGTGGGGTGGTCTTAGCGTTGTTAGCGAGTGGGAAGGCGCTCGTGGGGAAGGGATGGACGGGGGCGGGTGAGGACGTGGCGAAGGCGTTCGTCGTCGGCGCGTGCGGCACCGTCGTCGGCACCGCGGCGGCGTTCGCGGCGTGCGGACGCGCACTCGGTACGCACGGAGCGAAGATCGCGGGGTGTTTGTGCGCGAGCTACATCGGTGGCAGCTTGAATTTTGCGGCGACGGCGCAGGCGTTGGACGTGGTGAACGCGGGAGGGAAGGCACTGTTGACTGGCGCGATGGCGGCGGACAATCTCGCGATGTGCGCGTATCTTGCGGCGCTCTTCGCAATTAAGACTTCGGGGCCGAGTGAGGAAGAAAGATCGAGGGAGGTTGAGAGCGGCGAACGAGTTTTGAGTGGTGTCACGGCGGCGTCCGCATGCGCATCGCTCGCGATGGCGTTGATTGTTTTGGAATTGTCGCGTCTCGTCGCCGCCGGATTCGGCGCGCCCAGTTTATCGCTGGGCGTCGCGTGCGTTTTGGCGCCCATCGTCTCGATTTCGGCGAGCACGATCGCTCGGACGTCAAAATCTGAATCAAGGAATTTATCCAGTATTTTGGCGTTTTCTGGATCGCAACCGATGAGCGAGGCGCTCATGCTCTTGTTTTTCGCTACGCTCGGCGCCATGGTGGATTTGCGCACAATTTTTGCGACGCTCTCGGGCGGCGCTATGTTGCCATTCATCGCGATTCTTCTCACAACACAACTTGTGTTCACTCTGCTTGTCGGTCACAAGTTATTGAAGATCCCATTGTGGGCCGTGCTCGTCGCGGCGAACGCGAATGTGGGCGGACCAGCGACCGCCGCAGCGATGGCCGCAGCGCGCGGATGGCGTCAAGCCTTTGCACCGGCGGTGGCCACGGGGATATTCGGTTATTCGATCGCGACTTTGATCGGCGTCGCGATAGGAATTTTTTTAGCGTAGTAGTGGGGCGTGTAATAGTTAGCATTAGTGTTCGTTCGTATTCAAACGGGATCTACTATACAGAGGATTAATTTACGCCGTCAGCGCGGCGCGCTCCGCCTCGACTGCGGCATTACTCTCTTGCTGTTGAAGCTGCGCGAGTTGGTTGGCGCCAACCTTGAATGCGCCCGGATTGATCGCCACTGTCTTCGTGGTGTTGTTGGTCTTGTAAATACCGACCAATCTATCCGCGAGCTCGAACATGTTATTGCGCAGAGAAATGATCACAAACTGAGCGTTTTTCGTTCGCTCCTTGATGTAATGTCCGACGATGGAAACGTTCTTGAAATCCAACGCAGCGTCAATTTCGTCCATGACATACAACGGTGTGGGCTTGTAGTGATGCAAAGCAAACACCAATGCGAGCGATGAGAGCGTCTTCTCACCACCGGATAAATTGGCGATGTTCTTCCAGCTCTTCTTCGGCGGGCGCACGCTGAAAACAATGCCCTCGGAGAAGGGATCGAGCGAATCTACCAGCTCAAGTTCGGCATCACCACCGAGAGTGATCATTTGATACATCTCTTTGAGTTTGAGCGAGATAATATTGAAACCATCCATGAACTCGTTGAGTCGTTTTTGTCGTAGCTTGTCGTACGCTTCACGAGTGTTATCACGCTCCTCCGTCGCCGCGCTCAACTCAGCGGCGCGCTCTTCGTACTCCTCCGCTTTCTTCGCGTACGCTTCGATAGATGACATGTCAGGCTTTGCAGCCGCGAGTTCTTCTTCTAAAATCACCGCCTTTTCTTGCATCTCGTCCGTCGTATGTTGCTCGAGCTCTTCGTCGTTCAAGAGTTCAGGCACTTCACCCTCCGCGTAAAGCGACGTGCGCTCCTTCGTCACCTTGTTGATTTCTTTATTCCAGTGCTTTTCCTTGTCTTTATTCTCCTTCTGGACGACGCTGAGGTCGTCTAATTTCGCTTGAATATCAACTTCAACGCCTCGGATGGTGCCGACAATTTTCATTATTTCATCGAACGCTTTCTGTGCCTCGGAGAACTCGCCACTCTTCACTTCAAGGAGCTGCTTAAGTTCGCCTTGCGATTCGAGTACGGCGGCGGCGCCGTCTTCAAGTGCCTTGAATTCAGCCTCGTGATTCTGCATATTAGCCTTAATTTGCTCAACTTCGGCTTGATTGGCTTCGATTCCCTTGGAGAGACGAGCGGTCGTCCCTTCGTGAGACTTGGCCTTGGCGCGCTTCTCGGTGACGGCGTCAGACGCTGCAGCGATGCCGGCGGTGAGATCCTTGACTAACGCTCGCTGCCTTTTCAAGCCATCACCGCCAACGTTATCCATCTTTTGTTGCAACTTGGCTTCCTTCTGTTTAAGAGCGGCTGCACCCGCCGTGACTTCATCCAACACAACCTTGGCCTTTTCAACTTCTTTGTCGAGTCTCTTGAGCTCGTCCGCGTCGTTCTTACTCGCGTCATGCGCCGCTTCGAGTTCAACCAAACGAGTGGACAAATCAGCAGCCTTGGCTTCGGCTGCGTCAAATTCAGCCTTCAACTTGGGAATCATGCGTTCGATTTTGTTGACGATCGCCTCTGCATCGCGAGCCTCCTGGAGAGATTTGAGCGCCACCTGACGCGAGCGTTCGTAGAGTTTTCCAGCTTGTTCAAGCTCCACCTCTGCCATTTTAATCTCTTTCGCCACTTCGGCGGCATCGGTAATCACTGGTGCTTGATTTCCAACGCGCATTCTACCGGTACGCGGCTTGGAACCGCCACCACTCAACGTACCGCTGGTCTCAAACAGTTGACCCTGAATGGTAACCACTCGACGGCGCTTCTCGCCGTGAGCCAGGCGCGAAGCTTGTTCGAGATCTTGAGCCACTAAAGTATCACGAACTCCGAAGTAGAAAGCGACCGCAAAGCGTTCTTCCGCGGGTTTGATCAAATCGATCAGGCGCGGCGCGTTGTCCGGGTTGGAAACCTTTTCGTTCATCTTAGAAAGAAGATGCTTCTGTCTGTCGAGGGCAAGAAAGTTGCCCCGACCGAGGTTGTGCTTCCGAAGGTACGACACACAAAGCTGCGCATCGGACGTGGTTTCAACCAAGATGTGATCAAGAGGTCCACATGCAGTCGACACCGCGACATCATATTCTTTGTCAATAGCCCCAAGATCACCGAGACGACCGAGAACACCCTTGAGCGCGCCAGCGGCTTGAGCGTCAAGCAACGCTTGCACCATCGCATTCTGACTCTTCTCCGTCTCGGCCGTCGAACGACGTTGTTCGAGCTTACCACGAATCTCACGAGTCTCAGCTTGCGCAGCGGCTTCTTTTTCTTTCGCATCGGCTTCCATTACTCGAGCCTTATCGGCGCGCGCGCGCTCTGTCTCCAACGTCGCTTCCTCTTCGCCGATGGTTTTCTTCAACTCGATAGCCTTCACGCGTGCCTCCTTTTGACCCTCACGTGCCGCGTTCAAAGACTTTTCTGCATCAGCGTGTTTTTCAAGGAGAAGGGCTCGCTCAGACGTAGCGACGTTGAACGCCCCCTGAGCCGCGGCGAGCTTACCTTCCCACGGCGCCAAATCCTTTTGCGCTTGGTCGAGTTCGCGGCCCACCGCTGCGAACTCATCTTGCAAGCTAGCGACGAGAGCATCCAAAGCAGCCTCTTCTTTGTCGATTCTTGCCTCGAGATCTGCCTTTTTTGCTTCCAAAACGGGCACTTCTTTCTCAATCGCCGCGCATTCCGCCGCCATTTTCTGCTGCTTTTCCGTGTCCGTGGCAATTTTCGTGTTGAGTTTCTTCACCGACGCCTTCATGTTTTTCAACTCCTCTCGATACTTGGCATCCTTCAGCTCGAAGTCGGCAAAGTCTTTCACACTCTTGTCGAAATCAGCTTGAATCTTGGACAATTCGTCAGCAATTTCGCCCTTACGGCCCTCTGCAGCCTTCAACGCGTCCTCGTGCTCGGAGTGTTTCGCGCGCTCTTCTTCGAGCTTTTGCGTGAGCGCATCCTTGTTTTCTTGAATCTTGACCAAGTTGGTTTGCGTCTCTTTGATGAATAGTTGGTACATCGTCGATCGCGTAGACAAGAGCTCTTTTTCTTTCTCTAAGAACGCCTCCGCCTCCGCCTTGACGATGGCGAGCGCATCCTTCTCACCCTCGACTAACTTCAATCGGTTTACCATGACATCGCGCTGCTCGTTCAACTCCTCCAACTTCTTGCTCGCCTCTTCGATGGGCTCGACGTATTGCAAAGTACCGATGATGTCTTCCAAGTATTCCAATAAGCCTTCATCGCCCGGCGCCGCCCCTTTCGGCTTCATCATGGAAATTTGTTCAACTTCCCCTTGCAAGATGAGGAAACGGTTGTTGTTTAAATCCACATCCTTCGACTTTAACAACTTTGTCACCTCTGTGAACGAGCTCGTCTTATCGTTCACGAAGTATTTGCTCGAGTTATTCCTGTACGCCTCGCGAGAGATGACGAAATCCGAGTTCGGCACGATATCGTATCCTTCTTCGTCGTCCACGTGATCGATGATTTCGTGAAAGTGCACCTCCACACGCGCGTGCTCCAAATTTCTGAAATCTGTAGAGTTGTGAATCAACTCGCTCACCTTATTCAATCGCAACTGTTTCGCTCGTTTACCGAACACAAACATCATCGCGTCGATCACGTTCGACTTCCCGCTCCCATTCGGGCCGACGACGGATGAAAAACTCTGCTCGAGCGAGTCGCGCGCGGCGCGTCAGTCCCCCGTCGTCGCGACGCGCGAACCAGTCAAATCGAACTCGAGCGCGTCGACATCCGCGCCCTCGCGCGCGTCCGAGCGCGCACCTTATGAAACGGTCCCACGTGTTGCGCCCCCGCGTAGGATTTAAAATTCTCCAGCACCATCTTCTTGATCGCCAATCGCGGTTTCCGCGCTCGTCGCTTCGCGTCCTCGTCGTCCTCGCGATGTCGTTCCCGTTCGTCCGTCTCCGTCGCCGTCGCGTCCTCGCGCGCGCGCGCGTCGCTCGCGGGCGCGTCATCGTCGCATTCGCGCGCGCCGTCTTCCGCCGTCATCGCGCCCGCGCGTCGTCGTCGTCGTCGTCGTCGTCGTCGTCGTCGCGGTGTGTCATCCGTCGCCCGACCAACGACCGTTCCGTTCCCCTCTGTCGATGGCGCACGTGTCGCGCGGAATACGGGGTTTCGTACTTTTTTTTTTGAAAATTCAAACGCCGTCGACAGGTGCGTCGATCGCGCGGCGCGCGCACTTGGACGCGCGCGCGCGCGGACGAGGCGACGGACGAGCGACGCGCGGTGCGGTGCGCGAGACGGACGCGCGCGCGAGCGAACGAACGCGGCGGGAACCGCGCTCGAAGACGCGGGAAGACGCGCCAGCGGTCGAGGCGTCGACAGCGCGCGACGATGGCGAACGAGGACGGCGATGTCGCCGCGGGGAGCCGGCCGAAGCGCAAGGCGAGCGCATCGTTGCGAGCGCGGACGTCGCGAGGGAAACAAGCGCCGTCGAGCGCGCACTACGTGGGATACGTGCAAGACGACGAGACGCCAGAGATGATTATGAAAAAGTTTGAAGAGATGGAACGGATTCGACAAGCCACCAAGGCGCAAGTCGGTGAGGATGGTGATAAGGAGAACAAGGAAGGCGCGACAAACGGTGCGGGTGGAGACGCGGTCGGGACCAACGGCGACGAGCACGAAGGGTTGGACGAGGAACAGTTGAAGGAGTTGTTCAAAAATACGTCTACGTTTACGGTGAAGGAGGCCGTGATGGATTCTAACGCGCTTTTCGGTGATATGAGGATCGCGAACGAAGATGGGATGTATTTCTCGGACGATGAAGAGTTGCAAGATGAATTCTGGGAGGCGCTGACCGGTAAGAAGCGTAGAGGTAAGAAATCCAAGGGGCCGAGAGTGCCGAGAGCGCCGAGAGCGCCGCGCGAACCAAAGGCGGCGCAGTCACACATGATCACCGCGTACAATAGCGACCAAGGCTTGTTCTTGCGCAAGAAGAAGTTTGTTGATCCTTTCGAGCCTGTCATCATCAAGGTCCCGGCGCACCCGATTCCAGTGAGCTATGGACGAGTAATTCAGCCGTACGAACCAAAATCGGTGCGAGAGGCGAAACTGAAACAAGTTCCCGATTGCGTGCACATGCAAACGAACATCAAGAAGATGGAATATGAATCGCTCGGTAAGGACTATTTAGGTGTGCTCATGAACCCGCCGTGGGATATTGAAGATTCCCCAGATCGCGGCGACGTGACGTTGGAGGACATCGAAGCCATTCCGCTTGAAAAACTCACGCCACTCGGTTTCATCTTTATTTGGGTTGAGAAGGAAAATTTGTCCAAGGTTTGCGACATCATGGACCGAAAGAACTTTGTCTACGTAGAGAACTTGACGTGGGTACAACTCAAGCCGAACAACACGATCGTTGAGTCCTCTGCGCGCTATCTTGGTCGCTCGCACAGAACAATGCTCATCTTCAGACGAGACGTTCGCGACAAGCGCTTCATTGAAGGGAAGAAGATTGAGTTGCGACACCAACGTAACTCGGATGTGACTCTCGATATTGTGCAGACCACGAAAACTGGTCGACGTGTTGTCCCTGAGCACGTGTACAAGTCCATCGAAACTCTTTTACCGACGGCGTACGAACCTGGAACGCCTGGTAAGCTCCTCGAATTGTGGGCCGAACCGGGCGCGCGACGCGCGGGTTGGACTTCCGTGGCGGATACTCCTTAGTCTCTAGATCTTTGTTGTTATTCAATCCCTTTGGATACGTCTAATTTTTCTTCCGCTACTGCTAATCGTCGGTTTGGACAGAACTAATTCCTCTTGAGCTCTGGAGTGATTTACGTCGCCCCGCTGCCGTCTCTTCCGCCTATTTGTGGTGATGTTGCGTGGCTTTGACTCTTCTTTCGCCATCGCACGCTTTGTCTGTGCCTTCAGGGACGCACGATACATCAAACTTTCCTCTGTTTGCACAATAGTTCGCTTCGACGGCCCTCTGCAAATACTTCGCGAGTCGCGCAAAAACGTCTCCAACTGCTGCTTGCCGGCGCCGAGTCGCTTTGCCTCGCGCACTTTTTCATCCTCATCCACCGATTTTCTAGACAACCCTTTGGCCCAAGATGGAAGTTTTGGATTGAACCACATATTTTTACACTCTCGAATCACGCTCAACGATCGCGGAACCTCGTTTGCGTTGCGATTGACGCGAATAATATCGCGCATTCGAGTCTTCAAATCCGTTCCAATAAAATGGTGCTCGCTCGCGTACATATACGCGACTGCAGTGTCCTCCAATCCTTCGGCGAATTGCTTCCAGCCTTTCAACGTCGTTCTAAAATTCTCACCCACATTTAAGCACCAAATACGTTTCCGTCGCAACACGTCGAGGAGCAGCATCAACTGCTCGTCGTACACCCCGTCTTCGAAGTTTTGCAAGTACAGCGCTTCGATTTTCGTGTTTTCCTTCAGCGCCTCGAGCACCGCATCGATCACTACCGGCTTAGCCGTGCTAGGGACGTATCGCTTCAACCTCAAGACCTTACCTCCGGCGTCACACGCGAGTGTGTTGTCGCGTAGGCGCGCGATGAAGTCGACGAAGGCGGGCGACTCGAGAACGTTCGAGCCAGATTCTCGCCGCTTCGCGCGCATCGCTGGGCGATGTCGGCGAACCGCGTGACGCTGTGTCTGTTTAGCTCACCCGCGGTCGTCGGATCGCGAGCGATGCCGTCGAAGAATGAGGCAGAGGCGGTGATACTCGCGGCGAAGAATCCAAGCCGTCTGGGCGACACGCGCCTCCAATGGATGGTGTAGTTTTCTTTTAATTACATCTCGTCTAGCGCTCGCACGCGAATTGTGGAGAAAATTTTCTATCTGTGCACCCAGTCACGTGCGCCTTATCATCCCAACGTCCGGCGAACGGGACGATAGTGTCGTAAAACAGACACGTCTCGCGCATGTCCTCCTCGTCCGAGTCGTTGGAGATCCAAGCCCAAGCTCTGAACGCGTGGCTAGGTTCGAGGGCGTATTTTCTACAATCTACCGGCGACTTGGCGGTACCAGTACCGAGCGGGGTCGCAAAATCTGCCTGGTCCAGTCCGATTAAGCCGTGCACGATGTTGGGGTTGGATGAGCTCTCGTCAGGGACGAGCACCTCGTCGGATTCCTGATGCGCCACGGGTTCTGGGTTGGTCGGTACTGGCGACCGCACATCCGAGGGCTGATTAACAGGTTCTTGTACCGGCTCAGCCACCTTGGCCGGTGTCGTTGAGACCTCTGGTTCTGGGGCGGGGATTGCGCTCGTCGCGTTTTCGTCCGCGCACGCATGCAACGGCGAGACATCGGAAGCGGTGCACCCAGTGATGAGCGTCGGCTCCTCGTAGCCAGCAAATGGCACGATTTCTTTGTAGAACAAGCATGTCGATCGCAATGAGAGATCATTCGCTTCCGAGTTAGCGTAAGCGAAAGCCACATAATTGTGCTCAGCGGCGAAATCTCTGCATTCGCCCGGACCGCTCGTCGATTGCCCTCTACCGAGCGGCGTTTCGTAAGCAACATTCAAACCAAGCATACCGCGAACGATGTTCGGGCGAGTCTTCCGCACTTGCGGTGCGGGCTCAACTACAGCTTCCACCTCCTCCGTCTTCGGCACCCCCGGCTCGGACACTGCGGTAGCTACCTCGTGCTTGGCCGCGGGCTCACCCGTCGCCGCCATCGCCGTGCTCTCAAGCTTGCATCCGTTCGCTGGAGATACATCGAAGCTCGTGCAGCCCATGATGTGCGCGTGATCTCCCGGGTACCCCTCAAAGGGCACTACTTCGCGATACATCAGACACGAGTTTCGCAACCGCTCGATGTCCGAGTACGAATTCACCCACGCCCACGCCACGTAGTGTTCCTTTGCGTTGTCCGCGTACTCTCGGCACGCTCCGGGGGAATCAGCGTTACCGACCCCAGCCGGCGTTTCAAACGCGCTCATTTTCGGGTCAATGAAACCATTCACTATATTCGGATGATTACCGCGCACTTTCGCGTACGCCGCGGCTTCTTCCGCCGTCAGCGGCGGTTTGATTTGCTTCAACATCTTCACTTTGGTGTTGGATTCCGGGGCGACGACGTCGATCTTGCCCGACGTTGCCGGAGCGTGACGGTGTTGTGGCACCGACACCACAGTACTCGTCGCGCTCTGTTCCGCGCACACGCACTTCGGCCCGTCGTCGCATCCCAAGTCCACGACCGCGCCATCGCCATCGCCGCGACCGAGGGCGAGACCCACGCCGACGCCGACGACTAACGCGGTCACGCCGACGACCACGGGGCGCTTGTACCACGGCACCGCAGTTGATTTGTGGGGGCGAGACAGTATGAACGCTTTCTCTTCGTCCGACATCTCGCGGACGTGAACGCGACGCGCGCGAGTGTGCAGCCAGGCAGATCCAAATTTTTAGTGTTGAGGCGATTCGAAGGAAGGACGGAAGCGAGGAGGGAAGGACGCTACTGGGATATATTATTGAGTGCGGCTACGACGCGAAGAATGACGTTAATCAAATCCACGGGAACAAAAAGTACTCGGAATAGAACAACGCCCAGATATCGCGGTAGTACTGTAGAATGGCATCGCGCGAAAACTTGGCGTTTTCGAGCGCCTTGGTCTTGACGATGAGGAAGGAGGCGAAGAGGGCGTGGCCGCCGATCATCAAAGGTTGGATGAACCACGTAGGATTCTTCACCGAAAGCGCGATAGCGAAGATGTAGTTTGCGAGCAACAACCCTGATCCAATGTAAGACACCTTCTTCACCCCGAGACGCGTGGAAAACGTTTCAATCTTGTACTTTAAGTCACCCTCGATGTCCGGCAAGTCCTTGGTGATGGCGATGACGGTGGCGAAAGTCGTGACGAAGATGGTGATGAACGTAATCGCAGGACTCCACACAAAGGGTAAACCAATCGCAGCTCGAGTGGCGTGGTACACGCCAAAGTTGAGCAAAAACCCACGCACGCAGGCGATGATGAGGAAAGCGGGAAGCGCGTACTGCTTCAAGCGCAACGGCGGCACGGAGTAAATCGTGCCGAGGAACAAGCCAAAGCAGTACAATTTGGTGATCAAAGCTCCAAAGTTCGTGGCGACGATCGCCGCTCCGCCGAGCGCGGTGACGGCGCAGAACGCCCACGCGGCGAACACGGAGAGTTCACCAGAAGCCACGGGCAAAAACGGCTTGTTCACCTTGTCGATGTCGATGTCATAAATTTGATTGATTCCGACGATGTATCCATTCCCCATCAGCAGCGCCAACAGCCCTAACAACGCGCGAGGAACCAAATGCATGGAAATCATTTCCGGGTTCCCCATCAAAATCTTCGACACGATCGCCGTCGTACCGAGCAAAGTCCCTCGAATCGTGTGCGGACGCACGAATTTCCATATCGCCGCGCCGAGCGCGTTCAGTTTTCCAGTCTCCCCATCCACGGTCGTCGACCGCGCGATGACGCGTCGTCGACGCATCGTCGCCGTCGCCGTCGTCGTCGCCGCCGCGTCGACCCCTCGCGCATCGATCGCGCATTCGAACCCACGCGCCGTGGACGACGCGCGCACCGTCACCGTCGCGCGTCGCGTCGCCCCGACGTCCACGCGTCGACGCGTCGCCGTCCGCCGCGCGCTCGACCTCGCGGCGTCGCGCGTCGTCGTCGTCGTCGTGGTCGTCGTCGTGGCCGTCGTCGCGCGCATCGTCGCTCGAATCGTCGCGCGCGGCGCGGTGTGCGACGCCCGTCGCGGGCGACACGTCACCCGCCCGACCGCGGCGTTATCTAAACCCTAGTGAGTCCGCGAAATCTGAGGATAGCGCGGGCGTCCGACGGTGCGACGCCGCACATCGCGCCCCGGACCGTCGAAGCGCGCGAACGACATGAGTGTCATCGCGCACGCGCACGCGAGAGCGCGCGTCGATCGCACGCCCGCGGCGAGCGCGTCGCGGAACGCACGACCACGCGGGAAGACGATAAAGATGCGAGGGACGGACGAGAAGCGCGACGGCGCGGGCGGCGGTGGGTTGTTCTCGAGGGTGGAAAAGCTCGCGGAGAAGGTGGGAGTGTCGCTTGGACCGATCGGGATGACGTTGCAGGAGGGAGAGGTGAAGAAGAAGACGACGACGGAAGGCTCGAAGGAGGAGTCGTACGAACGACCGCCGAGCATCGCGAGCATGAACTCGGCGCAGTGGAGAGAAAAGTACGTCAAGACGGACGGCACGGTGGATTTATGGCTCGAAGACGATTTCAATATCGCCAGTCGCAAGGCGGGAGCGTGCGATGCGGACTCCTTGGTGAATATTGAAAACTACGCGTGGTCGGGGATGAAGACGACGGACGTCAACGCGCCCATTCGCAGCGTCAAAGTCACGGATCACGAGACTGGAGAAATGCTGGAGTTAGATGTGCCCGAAGGGCGGTACATTTTGTTCGAAGCTGAGCAGCAAGGATGGGTACTTCCGAACGCGTGTCGCATGGGCGGGTGCACAAAGTGCGCGGTGAAAATTAGCAAAGGCTCGTTGGAGCAACCCGAATCTTTGGGCCTATCCAAAGAACTCAAGGACCAAGGCTACGCGTTGCTGTGTGTCGCTACCGCGACGGAAGACGTCGAGTGCGTGACTCAGGACGAAGAGGAGGTGTACATGAAGCAGTTTGGCAAATCTTTCGCCGAGATGGCGTTGGATAAAAACGCGAGCTCCGTGCTTCGCGACGATTTTGCGCTCGAAATCGCAGACATGGACGAATAATTTTTGCATTAGCGGCTACAATTTTTTACACACATTCAATCTATATGTTTTGTTTCTAATTTTTCTCTTCGTCTCCTTCCCCAAAGTCGTCTTCAAGCTTCTTCCTTGGGCTCGTTTTCTCTGTCTCGCCTCTCTGCGCCAAGAACCGCGCGCGCGGCGACACCGCGGTGGGATCGCTCGGTGAAGGTTCTCTCTTCCCAGTAGGCGATCGAATCGGTGAAGCTTTCTTCGTTTTACTGATGAGCTCGGCGTGCATGGCATCGACGGTATCGAATACGCGCACTGGCTTAGGCTTTGGACTGAGCTTTTTCTTCAGCACCTTTTGCTCCTCGCGCGCCTTTTCAAGACGAAGTTTCAAAGCATCTGCGGCTTCTTCTGCCTTGATCGAATCGCGCACGTTATCGAAAATGGTCAAGAAATCGCTCACAACTCGAAGGATGTGAGTGGGATTATCTGGCTTGTACGGCTCGCCGTAAAATTCAGTCACCCGCTTCGCCGACTCGACTGCGCCGAGCGACAGTTCAGAAGCTTCCTTGAGTTTCTCATCCATGGTCTCCGCGAACGGTGCCATCTTCGCATGAAACGCTTTATGAACCTCTTCGCCGAGAACACCCGCGGCATGTAGTATTTCATCCTTGACTTTTGTCAAACCGTCTTGTAACTTACCCAAATTCGCGGATGTCGTTTCGATTGAAAGCGCCGCCGCCTTCTTGACGACGGCGAGATCGGTGGAAAGATTACCGATTCCAGGCTCTGTCTTTACCAGTTCTTTGTAAACAAAGTGCAACAAAGATGTCTTTCTATCCACAGCTTTGAAATCTTTCAGCCGAAGGAGCATGTCGAGTCTAAAACCAGACGCAGATCCACGGTACGAGCCAGTGTTCAAATGATTGCCGACAACTAAAACACCCCTCAAGACTTTTACGAAAAGAGTGCTTTCTCGCAAGCAATCCGACGCTTCGGAAAGTAATCTGTACTCACTAGTCACCTTCAACAACGCGTCTGACGCGAGCGATTTGTACAGCAGAGAGTTTACCCGACCTTCGAGTCGTGGGATTTGCATGACGTGCATGAAATATTGCTCGACCGTCGCCAACTCTTCCTTTGCGCCCTTGTAATCCATTATGAGTGTGATCTCTTTTGACGTCGGCACGGTCGAAGATATGACTTCAAGTTGCTCAGACTGCAAAACTTCGTCATCCATGGCGAGTAAAGCATCCTTAATCCGATCGAAAGGCATTCTCAAACCAGCGAGCTGAATGCTGATGTTGAGTGAGCGCTTTTGATCAATCAAAGTGACGCTCTTCTGCTTCTTCGCCGCCGCCTTGGCCTTAGCTTTCGCTTCTTCGATAGCAAATAACTGATCGAGGCTTTCAAGATTCAATGACAATTCGTCCTTGTTGGCATTCTCCCACACAGTGCCTCCGATGGCGCCTCCTTGAAGTTTCTCCCAGTGTAACATTTTCACCTTCTTGCGAGCCTTTTGAGCCCACGCGTGCGCGTTTGCGATGGCAGCAATGCCCATCTTTGGCGGTACTGGTGGTGCTGCAGGAACACTGGATTTGAAACCTGGAGGAGGTGGAGGAGGCGGAGGCGCGGGTGCGCTTACACTCGAAGATTTGAACCCAGGAGGAGCCGGTGGCGGCGGAGGCGCAGGAGGCGCGACGCCTGTCGCACGTTTGAAACCAGGAGGCGCTGGCGGAGGTGGAGGTGCCGGTGGAACTGTCGCTTTTGAAACTGACGATTTGAAGCCAGGTGGAGGTGGTGGGGGTGGCGGAGGCGGTGCGACTTTCCCAGAAGCCTTCGGTGGAGGAGGAGGAGGAGGAGGAGGAGGAGGAGGAGGAGGAGGAGGAGCCACCAACGGCGATGTCTTTGATGAAGGAGCAGGAGGAGCAGGAGGAGCAGGAGGAGCGTCTAGCGCTTTAAGAACAACTGCTTTGGCTCCTCTTCCTAAGTGATCAAGATCCAACTTTGCCTTTGTCTCTGACAGCTTTGATGGCGGTGGCGGCGGCGGCGGCGGCGGCGCGTCAGAAGCTTGCTCTTGAAGAGACTCCATTTGCGCGGCAAAACCGCTGACCGGACTAACATCGCCAAGCAATGCTTTTGCAAGCTTACTATCAGCTTTCAAGACAGTCCCTGGATCCACTTCGTCCGCGATTTCTATGTCCTTCATCAATTTGATGAGCTCTTGCGTAAAGTTATTCCGCGACGCAACCTCTTCCAGTCCGCGAATTTGATTCAATTTCTTCGTCTTGACTAATGTGGCAAACTTCAGAAGTGTCTCTATTTCTTCATTAACCGACACGGAACCCTCTGTGCTCTCATCACGCGCATCGGACTTTCCGGTGACTTGCACCAAATTATTCAGCGCTTCGCGCAGCGCACCGTCATTATACAACGCAAGCAGATACGCCTCCTGCTCAGGCGTCAAGTCTACTCTCGGTACCGCCACTGGTGTTGCTATTGGTAAATTGACGGTAACTAGCGGAGAATCGCCGCCAGAAAAACCGTCACCGCCAGAAAAACCGTCACCGCCAGAAAAACCGTCACCGTGCGCGACTTGCACCACCTCTTGAGGCGTGAACGCCGCATGTTCTTGCTCCGATTCCTCATCAAAATAAGCATCATCGTCGTTCTCGCTCAAGTAGTCATCTTGTCCGTACTCATCGTCGACGTAGTCGTCATCATCGCGATATTTGTCTCCGAGGAGCGCCTGATGACTTAATTGAGCCGAGGTGCTTTCGGCGAGCCTCGTCCGAATTTTTTGCAGCGTTGAAGAAGATGCTGGCGAGCGAGCCTTACCCCCAGCTTTAAGAGTGGAGTGTATGAGAGGAATGACATCGTGAATTTGATCGTTCGCCACATGCACTGCAGAAGCGAGTACGGTAGGTACATCCGCTCGCGACGCTGTGCGCCTGTGAACGCGCCCACGTATCGCGCCACGCTCACCCCTGCTCGCCGCTGGTTTCCTTCTAATAATCACTGGCACTTCATCCTGATCCGATTCATCCACTGGCACGTCATCCTGGCCCACGTAAGCTTCACTCTCATCGAGTTCGGACGCAGATTCGTCACTCGGCTGCTCATCGCTCTCGAAGTCTTCCAAGTCCTCGCCCGACTCCGAAATCGCCGCGCCCGCATTGTCTGAGAGATTCTTGACAGCTCGTCTCGTTCCAATCCTTCCACCCTTAGCTCGCTTGCGTAACTTTTTCCTGTGTGAAGGTTCCATTTCGGCTTTTTCTCGTTCGACTGGATCCCACTGAAACATCGGTGGAAAAACAGACGGCTGCCAAAAATCGGTGCTGTGCTCCTGGAGCCAGGGCGGAAGTTTTGTTTCGCTGAGTAAAATCCGCGACTTTGGTTTGCGCTCGATCTTAGACGCCGCAACACTGCGCAAAATATCAGTTGGATTGAAGCGAGACGCTGAGGACGTCGTCTCCCTGACATGATCGAATGTCGATTGTCCTCGCGTTGAACTTGAAAATGAAATCGTTTCGTCCGCGTCCTCGTCTTCACCCGGCATCTGAACCTTAAGTCGCGCCTTCGGATCGACGAACACTGTTTGCTTCTCGTATAGGATCAAGTAACGAAATTCTCGCAGCAGAGTTCCAACCAGGCGAACCGCGTACTCGTTGTGTTCCCTCGACGTGTTGTTTCGCGCCGTCCGAAACACTCTCGGCGCAAACATCTCAGACAACGTACATAACGGTTCATCTTCCTCTATGCTCGCCGTGCATCCACGAGTGACGACGAATCCAAACAGCGTCCGGTGTAAGAGCTCCGTTAACTCCGTCAAGACCTCCATTCGAGGCTTTGGCACCCGTTCAAGAAGAACTCTGAGAATGTACAGCCTCGACTCGTAGTGCTCCGTCTTGATCGCCTGCACGAACGCCTCGACGAGCTTCGAGGGCACTAACCCATCTGATAACGCGTCTAAATGTTTGAGCATGATTCGCAACACCAGCGCTGGCTTCGGTCGCCGTCCTCGCGTGTTCCCTACCGCGAGATACGTCTCCCCCTCGCTCACCGCCTTGTCGCTCAACGCGTCCGCCTCGCTCGCGCGCGTGAACAGCTCCGCCCCGAGCTCCATGCCGCGATGCTTCAACGATCCCACGCACGCTTTCACCATTCGCAATCGCTCGCCGTCTCGAACCAACGCCGATTCCCTCGCGTCTAACATCTTTTCCCGAGTCGGTTGGTTTCGGTTTCTCGCGCTCGCCATCGCCGGTGATTCCGAGTCGTCGCGTATCGTCGCGCGATCACGTCCGCGACGACGCGCGTCGTCGTCGTCGTCGTGGTTGTCGCGCCATCGTCGTCGTCGTCGCGCGTCGTCGCGATTCGGTCGCGACGTCCGCGCGCGCGTCTCCCGTCTCCACCTCGCGCGGGCGCGGGTTCGAGTTGTTCGAGTTCCCCTAGCGATTTCAGCGATTTCGCCCGCGAACCCGCGAACCCGCGCGCACCCGCGAGGCGGACGCCGCGAGGGTCGTTGGCGCCCCGCCCGACAGGGCGCCGCGCGCGCGACCGAGCGCATCGATGTTCTCGTCGTTCAGCATCACCGGTGCGGCGGCGGAGGTGTACGACGTCGAACTCGCGTACGAAGACGCGCGTCGCGGGCGACGCGACGGCGAAAAGGCGTCGACGACGACGACGACGACCGAGGTGACGTTCGACTCCAAGGAGGATCCCGAGGAGGTGATTGATAAACTCGTGAAACAGCGACGAGATCTGCCGTACGAGACGGGATACGAATGCGTCGTCATCCGAGCGCTTTGCTCGGCGTCGAAAGTCGCGATACAGCTCGGGGTGGAGAAGTATCAACCGAGACCGGTGGCGTTGAAGGTGACTTCGAATGGAAAGATGAACGCGGGACAGTCGCACTCGAGCTTGGCGTCGGTGCTCAAGCACTGTCAGCTCGGCTCGCTGCGGAAGCTGAGCGTGCAAGATGGATTGTTGTCCACGGTTTTGTCTTTACGAGATAAATGGACCTCGGTTCGAGAGTTGGACATTTCGAACAACGCGTTGGAAACGCTGCCGAAAGAGCTGTTCGCGCGTTTCCCGTACCTGGAGGTTCTTCGTTTGGACGGGAATAAACTCGCGACTTTGCCCAACTTGAACGCGTTCACGCTTCTCAAAGAGTTGCATGCGAACGGCAACGCGTTGTCAACGCTGCCAATCGACATGGTGGAAGATTTGGATTTGGAAGTTTTGTCCGTCGAGTTCAACCGCTTGAGCAAGCTGCACGTCAAGTTGAAGGATTTGTCCAAACTGCGCGTGTTGCGGTTACTTGAGAATCCCATAGAGACGCTGCCCCGGTTGAATAAGACCGCCAATCAAGAGTGCTTATCGCTCGCAAACGTGAATGTTTCGAGGAATGGAGCAACAGGCGGTGTCTCCGTACAGGTTCGCGAAACGAGCTCGTCTTACTTTTCCAGCATAGTAGGCGGCAAGACAACGTCCAAGGAAAAAGCGTACAACGCTTTCCTGAGCTTGATCTTTCGTAGCAGTGAATGTCAAAACGCATTACTCGTCGCCGCCGTCGCGGTGATCGCGTCGAAGAGCCGAGAAAACTGCGAAGCCATAGTGCTGACCGAAGGTGCGAGCGTTCGACCGCTTCTTCACTCTGGGGAAAATTTACATGTGAAACTGACCGTACGTCCGTCCGCACCACAGGAGCCGTGAATCATCTCATAAATATCGTCCATTCGTCGAATAAATCGCTGGTGTACGAGGCATCGCGCGCGTTGGCGCATATTTGCGGCGCACCGAACCTGGCGCGCGCGCTCAATGAAATGCACGTCACGGAAGCAGTCGTTAATTTAATTCAGGTGAGTATCCGAATTAATTCCGATATGAATAATTTCGTTCGAATTTCGCGTTAAAAGTTCATATACTAATTTACTGACTCTATACGTGCATAGGACTCGAGCGAACTGCGAAATAGATGTGGATTGATTATTTTGAACGGTCTCGTCGGTTCTTCACACGACGTATCCCGGGTAAGCGTGTTTCACATCGGTTGACGCAAGAATCTAACTGATCCTTTCGTAACGCAGGCATGTTATTCCGACAAATTAATCGGACGCTTGACAGAGTTCGTGGCGGTGCGTACTTGCGTAAATAATTGCATCGTGAAAGTCTGAATTAATTAAATAATTTCCCTCAGGCGATTGATGAGCATATGCGGCTATTAGCGCTGAGAACTTTGGGTACTTTCGCTTTCGACGAAACTAATAAACGTGCGATGCTCAAACTGCGCGATCTCCACTCGATTCTCGTCGTATTCGCGCTCCGCCCGGAATTAAAGGCGGCGAGCGTTGCGGTGAAGAAGGAATCGATCCGAGTATTGGCTATTTTGGGCGAGAACGAGCTCGTGCGCCAGGCCACTGGTGCGCCTCCCATCACTGGTCGTGGTATACGCATTCTTGCGCTAGATGGTGGTGGTATACGCGGTAGAGCGACGTTGAAGATGTTGAAAAGAATTGAGGTGAGGAATTATTTCATTTATTTATTTAGAGCTTGAATTCACGAATTTTTTGTTTCGTCGCGATCAGGAAGGAACTGGTCGTCCGATTCACGAATCATTCGATTTGGTGTGCGGAACGTCTACTGGTGGCATATTGGTACGAAAACGCCCGTCTAGAGCGCACGAATTAATTATTTCGCCGTGAACAATTATTTTTTACTAACCAACACATTTTGCTCGTAGGCCACGGCGACGTCCATCAAAAAGCTCTCATTGGAGCACTGCGATAAGATTTATGTAAATCTTGGCAGCAAAATCTTCAGTCAAACAACGCACAACGAAGAGACCTCTGGATCGAACTCTTGGCTCGGCAGTGTTGGTTCCATGTACACGAGTGGAAAGCAACAACTTCTCGCGACGACGCTCTATAGCAGCAAGCACAACACCTCGACCTTTGAAACCCTCGTTAGACAAGAGTGCAACCCTGAAGCAGAAGAGCCAACGTGGATAGACACCGCTGCGTCGGGCGGTCCGAAAGTTTTCTGCGTTTCTACCCAAACGAGTCAAAATCCGGCGCAGCCGTACTTGTTCAGAAATTACACGTATCCGGCTGGCAGTACGAGTGCGTATTCCCAGGCAGGTAGTTGCGAATATCTATTGTGGCAGGGTGTCTGTGCATCCGCCGCTGCACCATACTACTTGTATGTTGACGCCTTTGCGATAGAAAACGAGCGCTGGGTTGATGGAGCCATGACTTGCAACAATCCGGCGATGATGGGTGTCCAGGAAGCTCGACGACTTTGGCCAGACAAGAAAATTGACTGTGTCGTGTCCCTCGGAAGTGGTAACTTCATCCCCCACGAGAGAGATCCACCCATTTCTCTCGTCGCTTTGGCCAAAGATGTCTTGTTTGACAGCGCTTGCGACACTGAACGCGTTCATGAAAGCTTGAGTACGCTTTTGCCACTCATACCCGGGGCGCAATATTTCAGGTTCAACCCGGTTGACGAGCGTTGCAAGATAGAAGTCGATGAAACGGATGTTGGTGCACTCCAAGGCTTATTTGACGCTACTGAAGAGTACATTGTGGCAGAGAAGGAGATGTTCGACAAGGTATGCCATTTATTGAGAGACGTCGACGACACAGATGAGGTCACCGCCAAACTTCTCGACACGGAAATTAGCGGAACGCGCAGTGGTGTTCTAGTTTTGGAAGCGCCCCGTTACGAAGAGGAACTTTCTGAATGTACTTCTGCCTTGAAGAATTTTTGTGCTTTAAGATCGATATCGATACAGTGCGCAGATTACTCCGCCAATAGACCCATGAATCCGGGCGAAGCACTGAGCCATCTGAACACGGTGGCGGAGACGTCGACTGCAGCAGTGATTCATTTCAACTGCCACGCCGATTCTGACGGATTGATTCTCACTTGGCAGAAAGATGTCACTGCTATTGCTGAGCCTAGCTCGGTCGCTGAACTATTTCTCAGTAGGTCTGGTAGCCCGTATGCGTCAGTCAGCGAACACTGTGAAGCTGAGGCCCACATTGAGGTGCATGGAATATTGCATACTTTCTCAGGCAAGCACGTGCAAGTGAACGATGTCGGCGAGCGCACGTCGTCATACTTGTTTAAGCGTACTGTCCCAATGGACTACCTGGACGGATCGACGAGTCGAGAGTTATTTGGTTTATGGCGTGGGAAGATCATCGTTTCTCAAAGTTCACTTCCATCCTCACTCGTTGCGGCGTGGCTTGAAGCCGGGGCGAAATGTGTGGTCGCACCGTGCAAGGAAGGCGGCGTCGTTAACGTTGAAAGCGAACAGACAGACTTTATGGCTGCATTCTATCACGCACTTTTTGTTGTGGGCGCGGATGCTACTGCGGCGATGAGCGCAGCTGCCATCGTGCAGCCGGCGTGCTCGTATTACCGTTGTCACGTTCTTGTTCAAGGTGGAATCGTGGCACTTCGTCCTGACGAAGAGTTTGACTATGATTTGGATGCGCACGTATAGAAATACTAGACAATAGTTTTAAAAACTTATAGACTATTCTACTTCGATGTCCCCCAAACTTTCAGCGTACTTTTTCAACTCCTTCTCATTGATGACTTCGACGGACTCGACCCAACCAACGTACTGAAGAATACTGTAAGTCAACACCTTACCGGCATCTTGGATGATCGCCCAGATGATGACGTAAAGCCAACAATATCCGGACAGCTGCCAGGAAATTCCTACCATGCCGTTTCCGAAAGGCCAGTACACCGCTAAAAGAGTCGACGCTCCAGTGGCGATGATGAAGGCGCCGACCAAGATGACACTTGGAGCGCGCGACCAGAACCAGCCCTTGGTTCTCGAGTTAAATACTGAGAAGTAATCAGAAAGACTGATTTTCAAGTAAATAAGCGTCTGGATCTCTCCGTATGACATCGCTGGGAGACCAAGTTGAGACCAAGTGCTCGTTGGATCAACCGATGATAACGCTGAGCTCAGCAGAAGTACGGATGATGCCAAGGCTGTCAAGCCTATAGCGGAAGATACGATGTACAGGATATTCAAATCCCATTTTTCTGGTTGCATGGAAGCGTGCACGTTATCGTACGCCACAGAAATAATGGTTCCATCGTTCAATATCGTAATCGTAACAAGTGCGATGACCGGAATAGCAAAGTGCTGCGGCCAAGACTCATTGAACTGACTAGGATGATAGAATATACACGAGATGAAGAAAAAGAACAACAACTGCTCTGTACACGCCACCCGATAAATCACAAAGTTTTTCATTCTTTGGAAGATTTTGCGGCTCGTGACAATCGCCGTAACGATGGTGGACAGACCGGGTTCGGTGAGAACAATATCAGCCGCAGCTTGCGCCGCGCTCGTAGCACCTTGTACAGCAATTCCGACATCCGCCCGCTTTAACGCAGGCGCATCATTCACACCGTCTCCAGTCATGCCGACGAGCATCCCTTGCTGTCGCAAAGCTTCTACAATCAGATATTTGTGCTCTGGGAATACTTGTGCGAATCCGTCCGCCTTTCGACACAGTTCACCATAATCTCGTCCTAGCGTGGTCGCCTTCTCTAGTTCCTCCGCTTTCATGAGAGGAAGTTTTTCAGTGCCAAGCACGTTTGTGCCCATACCCAACGTTCTGCAAGTTTCAACCGCAATGGCGCGGTGATCACCGGTGATCATTTTCACACTGACACCAAATTCGTTGGCGCAGTCAATGGTATGCTTTGTGTCCGGGCGAGGAGGATCCAAAAAGGTCAAAATACCCAAAAATTCGAACTCGTTGCTATTGTTCTTTGTTTTCGCCACCGCGAGCGAACGAATACCGCGATGAGCTAACTCGAGAACGTGCTTCTCGACCTCTTGACCGATCGTGGACTTGTTTGCACTCAACTCTAAAACCACGTGCGGGGCACCTTTCGTCACCTTGAACACGTTACCGTTCTTCTCCTTGATCGTGCTTTCTGTGCGCTTGATGGCTGGATCAAACGGAGTGTGATCGGTCTGTTCGTAATCGTTCAATGCGCTGATGTTAACAGCGTTTAATACCAAAGTATCGAGGGCGTCCTTTGGCGGCTCCCACCATTTCGCCGCCAACGCCGCGAGTTTGAGGACTTCTTCACGCGAAACACCCGGAACAAAGATTGGTAAATCCTTCTGAAGAACCATCTTGTTCAGAGTGAGCGTTCCTGTCTTGTCTGAGCACAAGATTGTCATACCCGCCAACTCTTCAACAGAAGAAAGCCGCGCTACGATGGCCTTCTCCGCCGCAAGTTCATGACAACCTAAAGCCAACGTCGTCGTACAAACCACTCGCAAAGCGATAGGAATAGATGCAACAAGAAGGACTACGTTGAACGCTAAGACCTCCCAGAAATCAACCCCGATAGAAAGTAAATAAATGAACACCAGAGTACAGATGAAGAAACCGACAGCGACCAAGATGTATGTAATCTCTCTGAGTACTTTTTCAAAGTGCCCGAGCTCATCGACTCCTTGAACTAAGTCCGCGGTTTTCCCAAAGAACGTCTGGCTACCCGTCGCTGTGACGGTAGCTTCGATTTCTCCGCGCGTCACGGTGGAACCCATTTTTGCTTCCGCACCTGGAAACATTGCGACCGGCAACGATTCCCCCGTGAGCGCGGATTGATCCACTTGAATAGGTTTTCCATCTCTAATCGTGCAATCCGCCGGGATCGCACCCCCCGCGCCGAGGACGACGATGTCCCCGGGTACTAACTTTGTGGCGTTGATGATGTACACGCGTCCTTCGCGTTTCACCGTCGCCTCCGGTTTCAGCGACTCTCTCAACGCCGCGATGGCGTCACCGGCCTTCATTTCCTCTATAAACCCCACGAGCACGTTCAACAATTGCAGCACCACCAACACGATGACGTCCACGAGACCATCCATGGACTGATGAATGTACGTCTCGATGGATTCGATGAGGATGGCTGCCCAGATCATCATCGGCATCGGTTGTACGAACTCCAACGCGAGTTTCAACCACATGCTATCCTCCTTCACCTTGAGCTGATTAGGTCCGAATAACTCCAACCTACGCGCCGCCTCGTCCTCGTTCAAACCGCTCTCGCCGGTGTTGAGCAAACTCTCGCGCTCGACGCCCATGTAGAAGCGCGCGTCGTCCGTCGTCTCCGTCCCATACGCCGCGCTGTCCTCCTTTCCTCGCCCGAGAAGCGGTGTCGAGCGAAGATCAGCGTCTTCATCTTCGCCTCCGCCGCGCGACATCGTCGCGTCGTCGCCGATCGACGCGCGACGCCCTCGCCTTCGGCGCCCTAGAATGGGGTGTTGGCGCTCGCGTCGGGCGTCGTCGATGTTAGCTTTATTCAACTTTATTAGTCATCGCAACGCGTCGAATACGCGTTTATCGATTTATCGCGCGCGGCGACGGTGCGTCTTTCAACACTAAAGGCGAGCGAGCGGCGCGCGGCGAGCCGCAGACGCGCGCGCGCGACGTCGAGCGCGGCATGAGCGCGGACGTCGAGCGCATCGGATTGGTGCGCGGCGAACGGGTGCGGCGAACGGACGCGGAAAACCACGGATGGCGCGCGACCAAGCTCGCGTTGGGCGCGATCGCCGTCCTCGCGGCGGTGTGCGTCGGCGTTGGAGGACGCCGTGGACGCGCGATCGGGGCCGCGTTCGGGGGACTGGCGCGCTTGGGAGTGGGGGCGGATAGCGCGGATAGCGCGGAAAGCTGGACGCACGAGGACTGGCGCGTGGTGAGCTTCGTGGACGCAGAGTACGAGGACATTGGCAAGCGCTGGTATCACCGGTTGTCAAACTTGGGGTACAAAACGCATTATCTCGTGGCTTTGGACGATGAGGTGTACGACAAACTAGAAAAGGCAAAGCTCAGGGTGTTGCGCGCGCCCGGCTTTACGTTAGAAAAGGGAGGGGATCTGTCTGACTTTTGGCGGTTCCGGTTGACGTACTTGGCGGATGAAATCAAACGCGGGCACAACGTGCTGTTGTCGGATGTGGATGTCATATTCGCGCATCACTACGATCCTGTCGTGATTTTCAACAAAGCTGGAGACGAGGAAGTAGATATTTATCACTCACTTGGCGCTGGTTGGCCGCATTCGGCAAAGAAGCAGTGGGGATTCTCCATCTGCATGGGCTTTTCAGCCTTCAGAGCGACTCGCGCAACTGAGCAAATTCTGGAAGCCGCGGTGAAGGTCTGCGACCACGAAGCACACTGTGACGACCAGGTGGTGATGAATGAACTGTACATGAAATATCTCCAAATGTCTTGGACGACGAATTTAGCGCACGGCGAGCGTAAGGGCATATCTCGCAATACGATGATTCCGCTCGTCGTTAAGACGTTGTCGAATCTCGTCCCTAGAATTGATCTTAAGGATATGACTCCTATCAAGCCGTCGTCCAAGAATGTGCAGTGCTTCGGGCACACCCATCATGTCGATGGTGGTCACTGGGCCGTGGCGCCGATCATCGAAAAAGACGGTAGAGCCAAGGTTGACGTGTGGGACCAGTTGCACGACGAATGTTTCCCGGCAACGATTAGCGCTCTAGGCGCGCAGTGGACGCATTGATGATGCGTATAGTAATTGAATCGTCATTGGCTGTAATCAAGTAAGTAGACATCGCATACTTTGAAACAATGCGCGCGCGAACGCCGTGGTCGATTTCGTACGTCGCGTGAAAGACAGCTCAGGGCAGAAGACGTCACTCGACGACGGATCTCGCGCGCGTAAATTGACAGTCGCATGCTTTCCACCGTTCGAAGTCGCGGTACGCGCGCGATCCCGGGCACTCATTCGCTCTGGAACGTCCTCGTGCGCGACGACGGTGTGGAAGATGGCAGCGCGAGCGGGGGTATGATGGGGAAGTCGTTCGGTGATAAAAGGCGCGCATACAGCGCGCAAACGCGCGTTGCGAGCGCGTACGCCGGTGGTTTCGATGTATACGGTAAGCTGGGTTTCGTTCGCTCACCGTCATTGCTACCGTTCGCGGCGAGTGCGCACGGAGTGGGAAGGCGCCGCGCACCCGGGGCGATGACCTCTCAGACGAGAAATTTGTTTGGGTTCGGAAGGAAGAAAGGTGGTGAAGCAGTGGCGGAAATGACGACTGCAGGTGGCGCCGCGGAAACGTTGACGAGCGCGAGCGATCTCGCACCGGTCGTCGGATCGCTGGCGAGCGAAGTAGTACCGGTGGCGTCGCAGAGTTGGCCCACGACGGCGGCGCTCATGTACGCGATGGAGTATTTCCACGTCGCGCACGGGCTTGAGTGGTGGTTGGCCATCGTTGGGGCGACGGTATTTATGAGGACTATCACGTTTCCGTTGATCGTGATGCAAATGAGGAACACGGCGAAGATGCAGTTGTGTAAGCCAGAACTTGAGGCACTGCAAGCGAAGATGAAGTCGAACCCTCAACAAGACCCGGAATTGGCGAATGCGTATTACAAAGAGATGCAGAAGGTGTGGAAAAAGTACGACGTAAATCCAGTGAAGAGTTTCGCGCCGATACTCATCAACGCGCCGGTGTTTATCTCTTTTTTCTTTGCCATTTCTAAAATGGCTCAAGGTGTTCCATCTTTTGAAAGCGGCGGACCTTCGATGTATCCCGATCTTTCCATGGCTGATCCAACGTACTCGTTACCTATTCTGTCTTCGCTGACTTTCTTAGCTTCAGTCGAGCTCGGGGCGGTGGAGGGTATGCAAACCAGTCAGAGCGCTCAGATGAAATGGTTTCTTCGCGCGTTAGCCGTGGCCATGGTTCCGCTCACCGCGAGTTTCCCCCAAGGCGTCTTCGTGTACTGGATCACGTCCAACATATTCTCCGGATTTCAAACTTCCATCACGCGCACGAAGGCTTTCAAATCTACGATGGGCATCCCCGACGTCTCCGCCGTCGCCGAGGCGCCCGCCGAAGCCGCGCTCGGTCGCGTCCAACTCGACCGTTTCCAAAAGAAGTACGGCGCCACGCCCACGTTGCACAAGCGTCCACCGACGCAAAAGCAGCGCAAGAAATAGACGTTCGACTTTCCTAGTCTAGCTTTACATGTCATAGAAACGTCATCTATAGCGACTCGCGTCCCGCGCGCGCGCGCGCGCATCCACATCGCTCCGATTTGTCACTGTTTGCGCATACGAATCGTAAACCCCAGACATTCCGATTTTTCCCTCGCCGCTCGCGTCGCCCCGTCCCGCGCGGGTCGGTCGCGCGACGCGAGTGCTCGACCCGCGCGCGCGATGTTGGCCGCGCGCGCGTCGTCACCGCTCGCGGTGACGCGCGCGAGCGATGCGCGCGTCGTCGTGCGCGCGCGATCGACGGCGACGGCGACGAGCGCGTCGGCGTTCGCGTCGACGCGTTCGCGCGCGCGCATCAACGGATACGGTGGAATCGTCGCGCGAACGCGCGCCGTGACGAAGACGCGCGCGAGCGATGAAGCGCGCGCGAGGGCGTGGGGACGAACGCGCGAAGTCGGCGTCGCGGGCGAGCGCGCGAGCGGCGCGGACGCGGACGCGGGCGCGCGGAATCGGGCGGCGCGACGAGCGACGGCGCGAGACGCGCGCGCGGGGGGCGCGGCGGGAGGAAATCTCGGCAACATCGTCACGGGGGACGAACGCGCGTGGTGGCGAGACGTTCGAGCGAATGCGTCGGCGAACGCGAGCGGGAGCGAGGATTCTGGGAGCGAAGACGAGGGCGCGGACGCGCCGCAGAAGAATACGTTGGTGAGTTTGTTGTCGGGCTTTGTGAGTCGCTTGGTGAAGCCTTTGCAAGATTTCGGCTTTGGGCGCACGCGCTTGTGGGAAGGAGGCGTTGGGTTATTTATGATAACTGGTGTCGCGCTTTCCTTCGTGATTTGGGGATGGATCCAAGGCTTGCTGAGCTTTGCGCGCAAAAACTCGTATCAGGCATTTATCGAGTTTCCGGTGGCGTGCGGGATCCAAGTCGGCACGAATGTTCGAATTCGTGGCGTCAAGGCTGGTTCCGTGCTGAGCGTGCAACCGAGCTTGGAGAAGGTCGAAGTGCTTGTGGAGATGGACGACAAGAACGTTCCCATACCTCGCAACTCTCTCATAGAGGCAAACCAAAGCGGTTTGATCGCAGAAACAATCATTGACATCACTCCCGCCATCCCGATTCCAGTGGCTCAGTGGGGGCCTTTGGATTCTGGATGTGAAGGTGAGGGCGTGATCGTGTGTGATCGGGGTAAGATTAAGGGTCTGCCGGGGGTGAGCATGGACGAACTCGTCGGTATTTGTACGAAGCTCGCGAGAGAGATGGAAAGGCAAGACGGCATGAACAAGATGTTCGATACGACCGACACGGCTAGACGACTGATGACGACTTTGCAACCGCTTCTTCGTGAGGCGGCGCAAATCGCCCAAGAGCTCCGACCGATGATGCAAGGAGTGAACGAACAAGGCACTTTGGACACGCTCGAATCGCTCGCCGGTCAGACATCAGCCACCGTGGAAGACATCAGAAAGCTCAAGGATGCAATTTTGACCGAGGAGAATCAAGAACTTCTTCGACAATCCATTTCGACGCTCACGAAGACGCTGCAACACGTCGAAAAGGTGAGCGGGGATATTAGTAGTGTGTCCGGTGATCCGAGCACTCGCGCAAACTTGCGACACTTGATTCAATCGCTGTCGCGATTGGTTGACGCATAGACTACTCTTAATTCTAACCGCTAATTAGCATGTTCTATTTGCGACGCACGCTCTGCGATCACGCCGTCGAGCTACTCCCCTCGGGGTACTTGCGCAGAACCACTCCGGTCGACTCAACCGCCGTCTGCACCGCAGACAGCGCGTTCGTAAAATCACGAACCTCGTCATCTAGCGATTCCGCATGCGCAGCTTTCAGCGCTCGAACCGTCGTGGTTTTCGTGAAATACTCTTCGCTGTCCTTGATCGTCGCGGCCCACGTTTCGGACCCACTCACTCGTCCACCGAAGATGCGTAACGCGCGCGCCGCGCCCTTCAACTGCCCATACGCGAACCCAGCCTTGCCACCGTCGAGGAAACCTTCGTTAAACCCGCTCTGAATAGTTTCTGCTTTCCCCTCTTCCAAGCCTTCGAGGTATCCGGCGTTGTGATGCTGCGCGCGACGATAAAGTCATCGGGACGGTCAGTCTTTGCTCGGCTGCGCGCGCGCGACTTTCGACGGCTCGCGGCATCAGCGCACCTTGCGTCGCTCGACGTCGGCGTCGGAAACGTGCTGCACGCAGTCGTCTTCGCGTGAGTCGTCGCCCGCATCGTCGTCGTCAGACGCCGCCCACGCGTCCACGCACGGCATGGCGCGAGGCGACGTCTGGGGACCCGCGGCGAGAGTGCGCGAGAGCGCGCAGCGCGTTTTGATTTTACGCGCGGGCGCGAATAGGACGTGAAACGACCGATTAAACGCTCGAAATGTTTTGCAAAAAATACGCTCTAATAAACTAAACGAGAAGAGGAGAGTCTAAGACGGCGTACCCCGCCGCGACGCCGCCTTCGTCGGAAGTCGCCGCCTTCGTCCGGAGCAAACTCCCACCGTGTTTATTGATCACGATCTCGTCGCCTACGCGGAGATAACTACCGTAAATACCTAACTCGGACAGTGTTTCGATTTCGAGCACCTTACCGGCGCGAACGGTGAGCGTTTGATGAGATGGAGGGAGAATGCGTTGCATGAGAATGAACGCGCCCAAGTCTCCGCCGAGTTCAAGTCGTTTGCGCAAATCGTCCGAATACAAATTATTTCCACCACCCTCACGCTGAGGCTTTAAGACGTAGCCCGCTGGATTCGCGAGTGCGAGTTTAATCGCCTCGGTGCCTTCGTCGCCGTCTAAGGAATACAAATCTGCAAAGACACGTCGCATGTCCGCGGCGCGTTCCGGCATGAACGATTCGAGCACGCCCGCTTCTGCGAGCTTTTGTTGCACCTTCTTCGATCCCGCCAAGTGCATTGCCACCGAAGGGCTCTTCAAAGCGTTCGATTGTTCGATTAACAACCGTGCTGACCATTCGCCACTGGTCGGATAGTCCGACGGGGTGTATCCGGCTCGAAAGTACACCAAGCCGATGTCGTCGCCTCGAAACGTGAGCGTTCCGTCGCGCAACGCGCCCTCGGCGTTTACTTCGGCTAAAGTCGCTCTGACGGTGTGAATTCCGTGCGTTTCGAATATATAATGCGAGATGTGCCGCTGATCGAACATATTACGCTCGTTCGGCTGAACCACCATCATGATTTTCCCTTTACTCCCCATCGCTTTCCATCCCGCCGCGAGGACGTCGCCCGCGCTCGAGAGCGCGTCGTTCTGTGGCATCGCGTCGAAATCCACCACTTCTCCAGGTTTCGCCGACCACGCCGCTAAGTGTCTATGCATCGCGCTCACCTTCGATCCGAGCGCCATGAACGACGTGCTCACCGTGTTCACCTCGACTTGCAAAGGCAACCCGCTCGGCGCGTCGAGCATGTAATCGCTTCGCAACACGCCAACCTCCGCCTTCTGTCTCCCCTCTTGCCCGCCGCTCCGTTCGTACACGTCCCACAGCGCGGCCGTGAATGCATCGTTCTTAATCGCCCCCCGCAGCGTTTCCCTCAGGAATCCATCGTCCCTCGACACTCCGTCGTACAGCTCCGCGAACGCCGGCGACGTCGCCTCGGCGAGCTCGTACGCGCTCCTCGGAAACGTCGTCGGCGCGCACGACACCGGCGCGTGCGTGAACGTCCCCGCTTCGTCTCCTCCGATCATCAATCCGTGTTCGACGCAGTACGCCACCGCTTCCACCGCGCGCGCGCTCGTCGCGCCCTCGCGCACGAGCCCGCGGTTTCCCGCCCCGGTCGTCGTCGCCGTCGCTCGCGTCGTCGTCGTCCCGCGTCGTCGTCCCATCGTCGCGCGCGTCGTCGCTCGCGTCGTCGTCGCGCGCGTCGTCGCCATCCGCGTCCACCGCGCGCGCCGTCGCGCGTCGACGTGCGTCGCCGGGAGTCTTCGACGCGGTCGAGGACGCCGAACGCGAAAACACGCGCGCGGAGACTCGCCGGTTCGGAAAAATTGGATCCGTTATAGTGCTATCTTGGGTCCGCCCTCAGTGGTCGTCCATCTTGGGTCCGCCCTCAGTGGTCGTCCGCCGGTTCGGCGACGCGTTTGAACGCGCGCCACATCGCGCGCGACGACGGCCATGAGCCTGGACGACGTCCCGATCAACGGCGATCGAACGAGGACGTGGGAGGAGATCATCGCGAGCGCGCTGGAGGGGGACGGCGGGACGACGACGACGACGACGACGACGCGCGACGACGACGATGCGGATTGTTTAAAGTCAACGCCGACGAGGAGTTACTTGAAAAAGGGGACGCGAGCGATGCGGACGTCGCCGTTGACGCCGAAAACGGCGGGAACGACGCCGAATGTGACGAACGCGCGATCGAAGGTGGGGCGCGCGCGAGGGATGAGCCCGAGGGGGGGGGGGGAAAGAGGAACGGGGACGACGACGGCGGAACGACGAAGAGGAACGACGACGACGACGAGTCCGAGTCCGAAAATCGCGTTCGGGAGGCGCGAAGAGTCGCGCTCACCGCGACGAGCAGGTGGTGGGTTGTTTGACCACGACGTGAACGTTCAACCGTCGACGATGGAGGCGTGGAGAGAACATAAAGCGAGGAGCGCGAGGGAGACGAAGGAATTCGAGGCGCTCGAGTCGCGGTTGTGGAGCGAGACGAAGGCAAAGGAAGAGGCCGAGAGGCGATCGTTCGATGACGTGAGATCGGGTACGGTCGTTCGTGACTTTGTCTCTTCGTCGACTGCGGAGGAAGAGGAAGCGCGCGCTGCCTTTGAGCGCGCCAAGGCGAGTCTGGCGAGCGAAAGACAACGATTCGCCGACGAACGGGCGGCGTGGGAAGCGAAAAGAGACGACGCCGAGGAAGCGTTCAAGGCTGAGTGTGAGGACGTGCGCAGACAGTTCAAGCGCGAAAAGGCGGCGTTGATGCGCGAGGCGGAGGCACACTTAGCACTACCCACGAAACAGGAGCGCAATGAAGCCAAGTTTCTTCGCGAACAGCTCGAGCGCAACGAGGCTGAATTCAAAGCCGAGCAACAACGAGCCAAGCTCACGGTGGATCGCCTGCGGCAACAAATCGTCGATCTGACGAACGAAATTTCGGAACTTCGCATGGAGAAAAGGTTGCTGGAAGAGAAGTGCGAGGTATCGAATCGTTTGCAAGCGAAGGCTTTGTCGACGACGCCGCCTCGTCGAGTCGAGCCGGTCGTCGAGATCGCTTCGCCCGCGAGTTCGCGGCCTGGGATGACGATTTCGTCGGAACCGAGTCCATCTAGGCGTGTATATGCGGATGATACGACGTACTTTGCACCTCGTGCGCTCAGTGTGCGCGATCCGCTCCCGAGCGTGAGCGATAAAGTTCGATTACGAAGCACCGCGGGTCTCGAACGCGAGATTCCGCACGAGGATGGTCGGGTCGAGCGCGTCTTTGCTGACGGTCGTCGCGTCGTATTTTTCGCAAACGGCACGATTAAGGAAATCGATGGTCATGAAACGACTATTTTCTTCACCAACGGTGATATCAAACGCACTCACCAAAACGGTATCATCGAGTATTACTACTTCGACGTCGAGACGTGGCACACCACGCACCCAACCGGCGTTGAGCTCTACCATTTCGTTCAAACCAATCAAGTCGAACTTCACGCCGCGGGCGACGAGCCCAAGGATAAGGAAATCTTATTTCCAGACGGAACCCTTCGTCGCGTTTACTCGAACGGCTTCGAGGAAGACGTGGCCGGATTGTAATAATTTAAAAAAGTCAACGCGCGCGCGAAGCCAACTCAACCCAAAAAGCCGCAGATCGCACCATTCGTTGACGCGTGTCACGCGTCTACGCGAGCAGACTTCGTCGAGCCTGTTCCCGTCAAACGCACACGCACGATGACGTCTTTAGATTTACGCACCGCCACGCTCGAGCAGCTCAAAGTCGCCGACGAACAGCTCCGCGAGGAAGTCACGTCGTACTCGGAATCTTTGCAGATGTTGAGCAAAGCGGTGAGTCGATACCACTCCTCGGGATCGGCGATCGAAGAGCTGTCGAAAGAAACTGTGGGTAAGGACATGCTCGTCCCACTCACGGAGTCGTTGTACGTGCCGGGTAAGATTGCGGCGGTCGATAAAGTCTTGCTCGACGTCGGCACGGGGTACTTCATCGAGCACGACACCGAGAAAGGGATCGATTACTGTAAGCGCAAGGTGAACTTTATTCGAGATAACATGGAAAAGTTGATGGAGCTCGTGGGTAAGAAACGCAAGCAATTGTTGCTGGTGCAGGACTTTCTGCGAGCGCGCACGCAAGAGGCGGCGCAGGCGCAGGCAGGGGCGAAATAGGCTAAGTATTAATTACAACTTTAGACACTTTAGACCGACTCGTCATTCATCCTCCTCAACCTCGACTGTGTTCTGGAGTATTTCCGGAGGTGGACCATCGAGAGACATGGTAAAATGCGCTAGAAACTCCGTGTTGCCCTCTTTCGCGCCTTTAATCGGCGAAGTGGTGTGATCGATGTACTCGAATCCGTACAGTTTGGCGCCTTGAATGACGTTTTCAATCACCTCCTTGTGAACGTTTGCGTCTCGAACCACGCCTTTGGAGCCGATTTGACTTCGCTTGGCCTCAAATTGAGGCTTGATCAGCACTAACATCGTCCCCCCTGGCTTTAATATTCTACAAATCGCTGGTAACACCTTTAGGACGGAGATGAATGACAGATCCAACGTCACGACGTCGACGATGTCTGGAAGGTCCGTGACGTATCGTAAATTTGTGCGCTCCATGATGATGACTCTCTCGTCTTGCCTAATCTTCTCAGCCACTTGACCGTACCCCACATCAACCCCGTACACCTTCTTCGCTCCGCTCTGGAGTAAACAATCGGTGAAACCGCCCGTGCTAAGCCCAGAGTCGAGCGCCGTACATCCCGAGACGTCCACGCCAAAGTGCGCGAGCGCCTTTTCCAACTTCAATCCCGCTCGACACACAAACTTCGGCTGCTCCGCGATGACTTCAATCTTCACGCTCGGCTTGAGTTTCGTTCCAGCCTTCGTCACGGGCTGTCCATCGACCAATACCTTCCCCTGCGCGATCCAACTCTGCGCCACGTTGCGCGACAACTCGGGATTACGCGCGACGGTGAGTTCATCCAACCTTTGTTTCGCCCCCGTCACCGGCGCCGCGACGCGTCCGCTCGTCTCCGCTCGCGCGTTCTCGCTTCTCTCGTCCCCACTCGCGCTCGCGCTCCATCGTCGCGCGCGTTCGCGTCGTCCCGCGCCCGCCGCGCGCGTCCCGCTCGCCGCCTCGCCTTGGCACCGCCGCCACCGTTCTCTCGCGCACGCGCGCGTCACCGCCCCTCGCGCGCGCGTCGCCGCGCGCGCGAGCATCGCGCGCATCTCGCGCGTCGCCTCGCGCGTCGGCGCCCCTCTCGCGGTCCCCGCGTCCCGCCGTTTCGCCGTCTCGGCGTCGCGGTGTCCCGGTCCAACGACCGCGACCGACCAAACCCTCGCGGCGACGGCGGCGACGGCGCACTCGCGGACGCGCGACGACGACGTCGACGCGCGCGGCGAACGATGACGATGCCGATGACGACGCTCGCGAGCGCGTCGCGATCGCGACCCGGAACGACGACGACGACGACGACGACGACGGCGCGCGGTGGACGAATGCGCGCCTCGAGCCGCCACTCGAGTCGTCGAGGCGACCGCGTCGTCGGACGCGTCGCCGAGGGTGGGAAGAGCGAACGCGGACGCATGAAAGATGAAGAAGAGTACGCGAAATTCGTCGAAGAGGCGCGAACGTGGACGGCGTACGATCCGGAAGCCGTGGGTGGGGAGAACGCGACGCCGCCGTGGGAAAAGGAATTGCAAGACGCCATGCGCGAGGGACCGTGGCCGTGCTGGGACGCGGACATTCCCGAGAGTGATTTCGTGGATGAACCTCGATTCATGTCGTTCACGAAACCTCCGGAGAAGTACGACCCGTTCAAGGAGAAGATCGTGAATTACAAGGCCAAGGTGAAGGAGGAACAAAAGAGGGCGGTGGCGAAGACGCGGGAGGAGGTGAAGTCGCAGCGCTTCATGTCCATGGCGGGTGACATACGGTTGAAGAATAAGTACGAAGACGACGAATCGGCGTGGGATCACGAGAAAATCGTGGAACTGATTAATTTTCCCGATGACATCAGACACAAGATGATGAGCGTGAGCGTGGAGGTGTACGACCCTCGGTTTCCGTACGACTTCACGGGGATGGGCGCGCCTCCTTTGACGACGGAGGAGTTTTTAGAATCCATCGGTCGCTTGCAACCGGATGGTGAGTCCGATCTCGACCGCGTCGCGAAGTTGGCGGAAAAATACGGCTCAAAGGTACCGGAACTCGCCGAGGAAGATCCCGCTGCCATCTTGCAGACGCGCTCGACGTTTGAATTACAGAACGCGATGGACATCGGGGATGAAGGCGGCGTCGAAATCAGTAAAACGGAGATTTCAGACCTCGTGGACAGCGATGACGAACTTCCTTAGACTATTAGCCTACCAATGTGATTCGATTCAAATTCCTAGATTTTCTAAAGCTGCTTTGCGCGTTACGATCACTTTGACGCCGTCATTGCTTTTCGTCTCGCCTCGGCGTACGTTTTCGCAAGTTCGCCATCGGGAGAGTAGAAGACGGCATCGACGATAGAAGAACCCTCGCGCGCGCGTAATTCTACCTCCCACCCCAGTTGGTACTTGTCTAGATCCGCGAAACGCTCCTTGCGGCTCGCGTGTTCCTCTGGAAGGTCCGCGATCGGCCCTCTGGGCACTAAGATGTTCGCGTCGCTCGCGCTGAGCGTCTCTAACTGCGTCGCCCTCGTTTGCGTTGGAGCCATCGGTTGGACGACGGGGCGGCTGATCTCAATCTTTGACAACGCCTCCTCCGCTTTCTCCATCGCTGTCTGCTTCGCCGCGGTCGCCTTCATCGTATCTTGGTCAAACGTACCCGACGTCGTCGTCTCGTCCGTCACCGCGAGCGTGACGACTTCCAATCGACCTTTACACTCCTTGACGAGTTTGTCCAACGCTCGGTACGTCGACGGATCCATGGTAAACGTCACGCTCGCCTCGCTCGCGCTCAAGTCGTTGGTTTCTACTTTCCCGCTATTTTCTCGCACGAACGCCATCAAACTTTCCTCCTTTGCGCTCGGCACGACGGCGGCGAAGCGCATCTCCGCGCGCTTTATTGGAAATATTTCTTGCAGCTTTGGCAGCGCTTCCAACGCTTGTTGCTTGGCGCTTCGCTTGGGATCGACCGAAAAGTGTATGTCTCTCAGCGCACTTTCGATCATTCCCGGTGGATACGGTCTGTTCGTCCCCGGATTCACGCACTTTTCCACCAGCGTCGTCACCGCGTCCCGAAACGCGCTCTCGCTCTCCGCTTTCCTCTCCCTTTCGCTCACCTGCAGCTCTCCCTTGGCGAGGATGATCTCGCATATCTTCCCCCGATCCGTCGTCCCGTACGCCCTGACCAGCTCCTCGTCCCTCGCCACGACGCCCTTGCTCACGTTCACGTACACCTCGCTCGACTGCAGGACGTTGTCCAAATCCTTCTCGTGCCCTCGTCGGTAGCTCAGGACGGTGTTTTTGTAACACGCGATCTCGAACCGCGAGCCGTGAGTTTTGTGTCGCACCACGGCGACGTTGGTGAGTTTCTTGATTCCCACCGGTTGGAACATCGCGCCGCGCGCGCGGGAATGCGGCGCGGCGGGACGAATTCCCGCATTCCCGGGCGCGCGCGGGACGTCGGCCGAACGAACATGCTTCCGTTGACGCTGCTCAAGACGTCGTGCGGGCACCCCATGCTGGTGGAGCTGAAGAATGGAGAGACGTACAACGGCACGCTGGCGTCGTGCGACACGTGGATGAACGTGCACCTGAAGGAGGTGATTTGCACCTCCAAGGATGGCGATCGGTTTTGGCGAATGGCGGAGTGTTACGTGCGCGGGAACACGATCAAGTACGTGTGCGTGCCGGACGAGGTGCTGGACGTGGTGAAGGAAGAGATGAAGAATCGTCCGCAGGGCGGCGGTCGAGGCGAGGGCGGTCGAGGCGGTCGCGGCGGTCGCGGCGGGCGCGGTCGCGGAGGCAGGGGACGAGGCGAGTGAGCGCGCGCGGTTCGCCGCGGGACGACGCGGCGACGCGTCGGAATAGCACACGTAGTTTGTCACACGAGTTACTTAGTCACGCGTTCGGCGCGGTTTTCCGCGCGTTTTCCGCCGTCTCGTCCCTCGCGCGTTCGCGCCGGTTCGAACCGGCGCGCGCGCGCGCGTTTCGCGCGCGCGTCGAGGGTTTAGGCTGTGCCGCGTCGATGGTTTCGGATGGGTCGGCGTCACACGCGCGCCGTTCGCGCGCGCGGTCGTCGCTCGATCGCGCGGTCGCGCGGTCGCGCTGAGATGGAGCTTTTGCTCGAGTTCGACGACGACGCGCACTACCTCGACGACGACGCCCGCGCGCGACGCCGCTCGACGTCGTCGTCCGCGGTCGTTGGGCGCTGGGCGCGGGACGACGACGACGACGACGACGACGAGACGTACGTCGCGGCGACGCTGCGCCGAGCGGTGCGGCGATGCGCGCCCGGAAACGATGGAAGCGATGACGACGCGAACGATGCGTTCGAGGCGCTGACGCGATTCGTGAGCGATGGGGACGAGGACGCGCTCGCGCTGACGGTCATCAAGTTGTTGGAACTCGTGGGCGGGGACGCGGCGGTGATGATGGCGCGAGGAGACGATGAAGACGACGATGGGAACGAAAATGTGGGAGAAAATGATGAACACGGACACGGGATGGACGTGGCGATCGCGAGATGCGACGCGGGGTACGTGAAATTGGGCGTGGAACTGGCGAGGACGATGCCGGAGACCAAGTACGGGCCGAGTCATCGAGGAGCGTTGTTGCGAGGCGTGCGGCACGTGTTGCGGTCGTACATGGGGAATTGTCACGCGGTGTGCGAACAAGGCGTGGTACAGGAGCTGCTGCGCTCGCTCGACGCGCTTTTGAGATCGAATGAAAACGGCAAAGCCGACGGTGATGTGAAAATCGTCGCCGAGTGCGCTCGACGCGCGGCGGGATTTTCCATGTCGGCGCTGGATTTGAAAGTGTGGCTAGAGTTAGCCGCGGCGAGCACGCCCGAATCTAGAGGGTTCCTGCTAGATCAACTCAACATGACGCTGCAGACGAGGTTTAGCACCGGTCCAGCGGAATTGTTCCTGTTGGATGGGGAAAGTAGCGGGATATTAGGCTCGGCGCAACCCAAGTGGCCGTTTACGGAAGGTTTGGCTTTTGTGACTTGGGTGTACTTGGAAAGCGTTTCTGCGTCAGAGACTACCGCTGCGTCAGCAGCATCGTACGCTGCTGCCGCTTCAGCATCGCAGGTCGTGGATGCATCTCCACTCGCCGCCGCTGCAGTTGCCGCCGCCGCCGCGGGCGAAGACGAAGTGCACATGCCGCGGCTGTTTAGTTTTTTATCCGCCGAAGGACAAGGGGTTGAATGTTACTTTCACGATGGTTTCTTGATTTTAGAGACAAATGGTGTTAAAGAATCCAGAATGACGCTCCCGTTCTCTCACAAATTCCCTCTCAAGCGATGGTTTTGCTTGGGAATTGAGCATAAACCAGCGAGCGTTCGAACCGGCGGAGCCGAAACCCGGCTGTACGTGAATGGTATATGTGTCGAAACCCACAAGTTTGATCTACCGAAAATAAGCAAGCCACTTGGGTTCTGTTGTATAGGTACAAATCCTCCAGCAGCTATGGCCGGGCTACAACGTAAGCGGCGTCAATGCGCACTGTTTGCAAGTCTCGGACCAGTGTACATTTTCAAACAGGCGCTTGGCGGTCATGCGATGAAGGCACTTTCAGCGCGTGGTGGATCTTATGTTCCGCGATTTTCATCGAACGATGACAAAGGAGGCGATGTCAACGTCGAAGATGTCTTAGATAAGGTATTAGCACCGACTATACTTCAGGTTCTCCATCCTCGAATGGCGAGCAAGAACTACGTCTTGGATATTTCTCCTGCAGGAGTGTCCATCGAGTCCAAAGCGGCCCTGTTGGGCGGCACAACTGTAGCGAGGCGCAACTTGATGCGAGACTCTATTTGGGCATCGTGTGAAAGTGGACCAGCCATCATGCTACCGTTCGCGTGTCCGTTGGTTAGCTCAAGGAATTTAGCACCGGAGATTTCAGATGCTCATGACGATTTCGCCAGTGCGGGTTTATCCATACGTTCAGTTATCGGAATAATAGCCGGTGCGTGCGAAAACCATCCTCCAAACTTGAAAGTCATGGAAGACAAAAACGTCCCAAGTCTCTTGGCGCACGCTTTACCGTTCGCTATGGATGCTCTACGTCGACAGTTTTCTGGCGACATTCTCGACGACGAGGAGGAAGCCATTCTTGACGCCATTGAGCATCTCTTATCCGTGTGTAAGAGCGAGAAAGTGTTATCAAAGCAGCTTCTTTCTACGCTTGTGTTGGACTTCAAACCTTGGAACGGCTCCGGAGCACGCGTAGTTCGGCGTCGCTTGAACATATGTTCTTCGCTCTGTAACACGAGCCCAGATTTGATGCAAGAAATTTCAGCGCTGCAACTTCTGTTTGATAATGGACGTCGTTGGCTTTCACCAGCGACGTCTCTAATGGGAGGAATACTGCATAGTAGTTCTACGAAGTCAGTTATGGATGATAGAGGAGAATTACGGGTATCAGAGAAGGAGTTGCTGGGATTGATAGACGACTTGTTGGTGTCCGTGAATTTACTCGTCAACACCAGTGAACACATGGACGCAAAAGTTGAAATCATAATCGGCTTTCTTGCAGAGTGCCCGTGCCCTCACATGCTCTCAGCTACCATAAAGCTAGTCCATTCAATGATTGTCTCACCTAAGGCTGATAGAGCGAACGAATTTTTATTTGCCTTTGTGTCCAAAGGAGGTGTCGAGGTCTGCATGGGTCTCATGCGCGCACTTGCTCTCCGAGGAAAATTTGATCATCAACTTCAGGGTGTGCAGGGCTTGTTTGCCGAATGTGTGAGATTATTTGGCTATATGTTAGAAACCGGGTGCGTGAGCGCAAATAAAACGACCGAAGTAGGCGGTAGCAAGAAGGTCACCAAGGGAAGCATAGAAAGAGCTGTTCGGTATGCTTTCATCAAAGGCTCAGCTGAACTGCTAACAGTTGACGTGTACGAGGCGATCATTCAGTCCTCTATCTCAATCAATCTCGCAAGCATAAACATGACTGAGCCGGCTCGGCTCATCAGCGGTGGTATGCTTGGATCTATGCTCTCAACTCTACCGAAGTGCGAAGAGAGTGTGTCTAGTCGAGCGCTGAACGACGTCATGTTGATTGCGTGCGCATACGCAGACAATCGCAACTTATTACTTTCTTTGCCCGAATTCCCAGAGTGGTTAGTGGAGATACTCGTGCAGTCCACAATCTCTAGCGCGTTGAGTGCTGCAAACGACCTGCTAATGATCCTGTTGCAACATTCAATGCGATTGCCGGATGGTTGGCGCGTTCTTGAGACAGTGATTGAATCGATCAAGATGGTCACCAAAGATGATGTAAAAAAGCGAGCCGAAGTCCAGCAGCTAGTATTGCAAAGCTTGGCGACGTTTATGATCAGTGAGTTGAAAGGCATAAGCGTTTCAGATGATAATCGAACAAAGAAGTCGAGAGAAAACCTGAGCGCAAACAGCAACGCAACGTTTGAAAACATCATCGCTTTGTTAGACATGATTGAAGATCATTTGAGGTTACTTAGCGCTGAGTCACTATCGCCAATTCATTCATACGATATTGGTAAGATCTCGAACGCCCTAGTCTGCTACGGGGCATACGCTACGGACTCAGCAAATGGATGGGTCAACCGTTGTCGCTTGATTGAAGGTCTCGTCGCGACGCCAAGCGCAGGTTCAACAGCAATGGGCGGTCAATCTCTCGAACTGCTACGTCTCACGCAGCAAATGATAAATTTTATGGTCGGTATGCAATGCACTGGTGCAGATTCATACTCACTGTTGCTGAAGGATGATGAGTTGGTCCTCTTATTTCTCAGACTCACTCTCGCGTATTTTCGCGAAGAAGATCTTCCAATAGATGACGATTCGTATGATAGCGCCCTACCGCTGATGCCGGCACATATCGTGAATACACTGCCGTCGCTAACCTCCGGTAGTTCTTCGATTTCCGATGCGATTGTATTTGAGGCAAAGCATCTGTGGGGCACGACACAGTCGAGCGAGGCTGGTAAGAAGTTGGCAGTGTTGCACAACCTGCTTGTACCTCTGTTGCAAGCGGCATCGGTGCGTAAAACGGCTCGTCTCGCACCAGGAGCCATAGCGCTTCTGTTAGACGAAGTTTGGCGGTACTCAAAACTCAAGGGACGAAAAGTGGTGTATATCAAGGCGATCACCACTTACTTGATCGCCTTGGTTGCTCGCTGGCGGGAAGTCATCGTTGCGGGCGAGAAGGATGATATCTCTCCAAAGCTGCGTTCGCTTGCATCAGGATCGTTGAGCTCAGCAATAATATCTCTATGTTCAGCTGAGTGGACCAAGATACTCATGTCGTCAACAATCAAGGAAACGCTCATATGTGTAGTCAAATCAACGCCTATGGGTGAAACGCGAAACAGCGTCGTAGCCGCCCGAGGCCCAGATGCGACAGAGTCGAGACTGAGTGCGCAGAGAGCTGTTCATCACACAAGGACAGATACTTTCAAAAAGTTTGTGACGACTTGGGAAGGTGAATACGTGCACATCTCTATGTCGTCGAAATGGCTCGCAGCGCTCTCAAAGGAAGCTTCTAGACGTACTCTATCCATCGCCGCCGAAGGCGAAAAGAAAAGCGAAGTTATCGTCGCTTGGGAAGGTTACATGAGAGCCTTGCAAGCGAGTAATTCTCTGGTGACGAAAATTAAGGATGATGGCGATGTCGCACGTTTAGGAATCGACCCATCAGAGAGCGGTAGACGACGTCGTTACTCTCTTTCTCGCATGGCGATGCGACAGCGTTTAACGCATTTGGCACCAGTCGACTCAAAGGCGATGGAAATTAAGCTCCCTGTCCGACAACAGCATGACGCATCGGACGACGAAGATGACCTTCCTCTGAGTCCACAGCGATCGATGAACAACGAAGAGTTAAACGAGGTGATGGCTGCCACTGCCGCACTGGCAGTCGCGGCAAATCGTAGCGAAGTAAAGAAGTCCAATTATGAGTGTTCTGCGACAATGGTCACTCCTCTGGACATCTACAGTGGCAAATTCACAATCTCTGACAAGGAAATGATATTTTACACCGAAGACAACTCGCACGTCTGGTCTTGGCCCCTGGAGCATCTTCATCAAGTTCAAAGTCGAAGATATTTGCTTCGTCGAAGCGCTCTGGAATTTTTCATGCTAGACCGCATGACTTACTTTATTGATTTCGGTACTGCTGAACAAAGGCGGCAAGTTTTCCGCGTGTTGATCAAGCTGAAGCCCAAAAATTTCGTTCCACTCTATCTTGAGACCAGTAAGCCGGAAGCTTTGCTCCGCAAAAGTGATATCACGTCACGGTGGATTCGTCGTGAAATTTCAAATTTTGACTATATCATGGCGCTGAATACACTTGCCGGAAGAAGTTACCAAGACATAACGCAGTATCCAGTGTTCCCGTGGGTTCTCACGGATTACACCTCGGAAACTCTAGATTTGAGCAATCCAGACGTGTATCGTGATTTGCGGAAGCCTATCGGAGCGCTGAACCCAGATCGACTTGCGAGAATCAAGGAGCGCTACGACTTTTTTGACGACCCTGAAATCCCGAAGTTTCATTACGGGAGTCATTATAGCTCATCTGGAACGGTCTTATTCTATCTCTTGCGTGTCGATCCATTCACGACGCTCGCATATGAGCTGCAAGGTGGTAAATTTGATCATGCAGATAGACTTTTCCACGACATTGCTTCGACGTGGAAGAGTTGCTACAATGACATGAGTGACGTCAAAGAGCTTGTACCTGAATTCTTCTACCTTCCAGAAATGTTCAAAAATGTCAACAATATTGACTTCGGAGTCACTCAATCTGGTGAGAAAGTCGACGCCGTCATACTTCCTCCGTGGGCAAAATCACCGGAAGACTTCGTCGCAAAGCAGCGCGAGGCTCTTGAGAGTGACTACGTCAGTAAGAACCTTCACCACTGGGTCGATCTCATTTTTGGCTACAAGCAAAGAGGCAAAGCTGCAGAGTCTGCGTGTAATGTTTTCTACTATATGACCTATGAAGGTGCAGTTGACGTCGAAGCTATTCAAGATCCAATCCTGCTGAAGGCAACGCAGGATCAAATTGCTTGCTTCGGGCAAACTCCCTCGCAGCTTCTGACCATACCACATCCTGGTAGGCAACGCGCGGCTGATTCAGTTATCGGGTGCCATTGGTTATTTGATAACGGCGACAAAGTGAACGACTACCTTCTCAATACACCAAGTTACGCTGACAACCGTGTCGCCTTCATGGACATTCTCTCCACCGGTCAACTAGTCGTAATATCCACAGCTTTGGAGATGAAGACGCATCGCTTCATGCCAAGTGTGCCAAGTGGTGCGGGGTTACCATTTACTTTTGAGCCTGCGAAAGAACAAAGCACGCTCGGTTCGTTCATGGGTTCGATTCGTCGACGAGCTGGATTTACTGATGTCACAGAAGCTGTGAAATTTAACGCCAAACTTGATCCAAAGCTGATCAAGCCTGGTCGAAAGCTTCCGTGCGCCATGCTTCCCGGCGGACGTCACGTGGTTATTGGTGGTCACGCCGATAACTCATTGAAGGTATTCAACTGCGAGAACGGGTCGATAGAGAGTAATGAAACGGGCCACCGCGCGCCTGTAATTTCGATTTCAATCTCCGCCGACGGGAGAGTTCTTGCGACTGGATCTGTCGACGGTACGATTGGAATCTGGCTTATCAGAATACCAACGGAGAAAGTTACACTAGGTGAGAATCTACGAGAAACAATCGCTCCAATCATTCGAGTCGACGTCAACTCCATTTTCAACGAAGGATCAACCGTTGCAAACGTCATTGATCGTTTGACAACTGACGATGCTCCGACGACAAAGATGACGCTAAATGGGCCCATTAGCTTACTGAAAGGGCATGGTGAGTCAATTACATCGCTCGCCATAAACACGAACTTGGATTTAATTTTGGCGGTGACTCCAGCTGCTGGGGCTTCTCTTTATTCCGTGATGAAAGGCGCCGCCATGGTCACATTTCCCAACCTTCGAGGTTCCCTTTGCGCTATTTCTGACGAAGCCTTTTTGGTTGTTTGGAACGAGTTGCAACGCACACTCACTGTGGTATCATTGAATGGAAACATCATCTCAACAATTTCTTTGGTGGATACGTGTTCCACTTTAACCACGTTACTTGTTTCGAAGGACGGTTATCATCTCGTGGCTGGCACGGCATCCAGTGAGGGAAAAGTGGCTGTAGTTGCTTTTGACTTACCCTCGTTACGTTTGCGCCATCGCTGGGAGTTCGAATCGAATTCCGACATCAGTCAAGTCGTCATGACGGCTGACAATACGAATATACTCGTCTCGACGCACGAAGGAGCCGTGAGGGTACTGGTAGATCCAAGTCTCGCGGCGCGAGTACTTGAGTCCGCTTTGCAAGCTGGCTGGTCGTCAGTCGTTTGAGATTTTTAGCACAAAAATAGCATTCATGGTAATGAAACAGTTATTAGCACTTAGTTTTACAATTTTCACGCGGCATGCGACCCAAAACCTTTATGGCCGGGCAACACTACGCTTTCATGGATCGCGAGAGCATAATCTTGCGCGATGCTCGGGTTCGAATGTTCCAGTTCACGGAAGCTGTCTGTGTGGCTCACTTCATTCCATTGCTGCTGACCAATCTTCACGGCGGCTTTCCATAGAGGCGCGTTCCGGGACAAAGACGCGATTTTAGCGGCAGCAGCCGCGTTTTTCACGTTCAACTCCTTCCTCATACGATCTATGCAGTAGCCCGGTAAGCCGTCGATTTTCAAACGTTTGGCGAGCTCATACAGTTCAAGCAACATGTCCGCCTGCGGATGCACGGGGATTTGGTAAATCCAGCGTAAAGCGGCCAAAACGACGGGTACACTGGAGTCCGTGATGACTATACGCTTCATAGAATCCTTTTCGGGTGAAACCATGCGACGAACGGTGAAGGAAACGACGACAAAAAAGCAATAGAGAGCCCTCACGAGAAGAGCCATGATGGTTCCGAGATAGCGATAGTAGTGCTGCGTGATTTTCATCGCGTCAGGCTTACGTTCGAGCGCAGCAGTCATCGGAGACTTTTCCATGAGCTCTGCGAGATATTTTGAACCCTCTCTCACGACTTCTGTGTGAGCGAAAATCTTGCAATCACCGACGATGAACTCCAAGTCACCCGTGTCGTGCGAACCTTTGATGGGCACGTGAAGTGACCCCCCAAGCAAACCTCCTTTCGAGCCGTATACACCCCTTTCATTCAGCTGCGTGAGAATATTTTGCTCAAGATTAGACTCAATTTCGGTCTCTTGAACAGCTTCGTCCAGTTCTTTGCCTTCGCCTCTCGTCGCCACAGCGCCGCCCTCTTCGTCGCCCTCGTCGTACTGAGGGATTTTGCCCGTGTACGTCATATTCAACTCACTTTCTTCTTCTCCCGTGGGGAATGGAAGATAAGCTTCAAGATTAATCGCTATACACACACCAGCTTCCTCTGGAGAAGCTCTGATACTCGGATCACGGGAACCGTGCAAGATGACAAGGGCGCCGTCGACGCACGCCCCGGCGTGGCTAAATCGCGGGTCGGTGTCGGATTCCGGGTTGAGTCGCGCCCACTCCGCGGTAGGAAAGTGAAAGACGTACGTGTCACCAAGCACATCGTCTTGCAACAATACTCGGCCGCCATGGACGATCCAATTCGCACCATACACGCAAGATAAGAAGGAAGTTCTCGGACTCGGCACTTGCCCGGCTCGCGCCACCATCGTCCAACGCGGCGTACCCGCCGCAGAAAGCTGAAGGACCCAAACAACCATTTCGATGGAAGTTTCGTTTGGACTTAAGATATAAAGCGTCGAATTTCGTGCCGCCATCGCGCACGCGTCACCACCAACCGGATGCTTCCACTGCGTGTCGATGGTGAGCCATTCCGATTCCGCCAAGTCGAACCCATACAGATCATTATATATGACAACATCCTGTCCCGGCTGCACATCCTTCCCCGCGAAAACGAACAAGACGTTATCGGATATGCACATGCAATGTCCCGTGCGCGACGGCGGGGGGTCACCGATGACGTCCACCAGCGTCCACGTGCACGCCACAAAGTCGAACACCCACAAATCGTTCAAGCATCCGAATTGCCCTTGACCACCGAAAACGTACAGCAAATCCCCGTGCACGACCGCGCCGTGTCCATATCGACCCGGGGGCACGCCAACTTCGCCATCCGCCGCCGTGGCGGCGACTTCGTAACACGCCCCTCGTCCGCTCCACCTGTACACGCTCGTCACGAATTCTCCCTCGTGCGCCAATCCTCCGTACGTGTACACCTCGTCCTCCCACACGAACGCCGCGGTTCCGACGAAGTAACCTTCTTCATCTTCGTACCCATCCTCATCCTCGTCATCGTCCCCATCGAACGCGTTCGCGCCGTCGACGGCGTCCTCTTCTTCGCCGAACTCGTTTACGCGTCCCGCGCGCGTCGTCGTCGTCGTCGTCGTCGCCCCGCCCCGTCCGATCGTCACCTCCGTCGTCCGACGCGCGACGCGCGCGCGTTCGATCGTCGTCTCGCCCTCGCGCGCGATCCCGCGCGCGTCGTCTCCGAGTCCTTCGTCGTCGTCTCGCGTCAGCGCGTCCGCGAGCGCGTTCAAAAACGCCGCGCGCGATTGCTGCGGCGCGACGCCCTTCGCCCTGGCCAGCGCGCTGAGCTGCTTCGTCGTCATCGACGTCAGCGGCACGCCGTCGTGTTCGAGCGCCATGTCGAGCGCGTCGACGTGTGCGGCGCCGATCGCGTCGCATCGCGCCGATCGTCCCGACGCGCAACACCCAGCCAGACGCGCGCGAGACGTCGACGCGGCGCCGGCGAGGACGCGAAGGGAGCGACGGGAGCGACGCGAGCGACGCGAGCGCGCGAACGCGCGAACGCGACGACGGGACGACGCGCGCGGGATGGACGAGCGCGCGCCGCTCGTCGGTGGACGCGAGCGCCAACACCCAGGCCGGGCGACCGATGGGGACGGAAGCGCGCGCGCGGGACGACGGACGGACGTGGAGAGCGGGAAGGCTGAGCGAGGACGCGCGCGAGGAGTGAGTGGACGGACGGTGACGTACGCGGGCGCGTTCGTGGTGTTGTCGGCGTGCGCGTGCGCGCTGCTCGGAGGCGGACGGTTTCCCGTGGACGCGCTGCCGAGAGCGGCGCGGGGGTTTCTATTTAGACGCTTGCGAGCGAAAGATGAGGCGATGACGGCGCAGTTGAGCGCACCGGCGGTGTTTGATGATTTCTGCCGGGCGATCGGGAGGGACGGCGCGTGCAAAGATGTCGTCGCCGCGCGCGCGGGACTCGGCGCGGTGGGCGAGGAGACGTTTGAAGCTTTGGTGGATCGGGCGAGAGCGATGAAACGTGATGAGAGCGACGATAGCGTCGGGTTCTTAGGAGCTTACGATGGGATGATGTCGGGGATGTTGGATCAACCTCGGACTTTCGTGAAGCTTGTCCCGGAGTGGGCCACGGCTGGGCTGGGTTTTGAAGGCGGCGCCGACTCCAGCGACGGTGCGGAGGCGAAGAAGTTGAGCCTCTTCGTCGCGGACGTCTTTCCATTGCTGCGTAAGTATCCAGACTGGGATATGTCTGATACGAACGCCATTCGCTTTCTCACTAGACACATCAATGAAGAAAACTTCAGCGTCGATGACGTCGAGTTGTCTGATTTCATGCGCGCCTCGAGCTCCACGGCGGCTCTTTCCAAGAGGGAAAAGAGCACCATCCGTGGTGTCTTACCTCCCAAAGACGTCAATCGACGCGTGCCACTTTCACCGCACGCTTCATCCGATGAGACGCACGGGGTGCACCATTTCTTGACCAGACTGCCGGCGCTCGGCAAGGTGGAATTACGAGCGAAAGACAACAGGCTTCCCACGAGCTTTGATGCGCGCGTTGCGTACCCGAAATGCTCTCGACTTTTAGGCGCGGTCAGAGACCAGGGTAGATGTGGGTCCTGCTGGGCCGTTGCGGCGACGGAAGTCATGAATGATCGTCTCTGCGTCGCCACTGACGGCGAAAACGCGGACGAGCTCTCGCCCCAATACGCCCTCTCGTGCTTCGACAGCGGCTCAGGTTGTGACGGTGGCGACGTCTTAGACACTTTACGGATCGCATTCACCAAGGGTATACCATACGGTGGTATGTTAGACTCGAACGCGTGCTTACCGTATGAGTTTGAGGCGTGCGATCATCCATGCATGGTTGCTGGCACGACGCCGCAGAGCTGTCCAGCGAAGTGCGCGGACGGTTCCGCCTTGTCCTTTGTTCACCCCACATCCGAGCCATACACGTGCCCAAAAGGAGACGTCACGTGTATTGCGAGAGAGATAATGGAAAACGGTTCCGTGGCTGTGACTTTTGGACCCGTCTACGCCGACTTCTACAGGCACACGGGCTCGGGTGTGTACACGGTCCCCAACGACGCTGGCGAGCCACTCGGACAGCACGCGACGAAGCTCATCGGTTGGGGGGTCTCGGAAGAGGGAGAACATTACTGGTGGATGGTGAACTCGTGGAGAAACTGGGGTGAAAACGGCGTGAGCAAAGTGCGCATGGGTGAGATGAATATCGAGTCGGGCATTGCCGCGATCGCCATGAAGTGAGCTTTTAGTTTTTAGTTTTGTGCTAATCATTAAAGAAGACAACGTTCTAGAACGCAACCACCTTCCCTAAAACCGCTTAGTGCGCAACGAAAGCCTTACCCGCCTTGGAGCCGCTCGGGATCACCTTCAACGTGTTGAAACGAACGGTCTTGGACAACGGGCGGCACTGGCCAACGACAACCTTGTCGCCTTCGTTGCATCGGAAGCACGGGGAAATGTGCGCGGAGATGTTGGTGTGGCGCTTCTCGTAACGCTGGTACTTGCGAATGAAGTGCAAGTAATCCATGCGCATCACGATCGTGCGGTTCATCTTCGTGGACTTGACGACGCCCGTCAAGATGCGACCGCGAATGGACACGTTACCCGTGAACGGGCACTTCTTATCGATGTACGTCCCTACGATCGAGGTAAAAATCAATCAGTCGTCAGTCTCACAGTCTCCTCGCTTTTCTCATCAACCCTCTTCGCCGTCATCGCGTCGTCATCCGCCCGCGCGTCCCGACCCTCGCCTCGCCGCGCCCTAGAACCCCAAGCAAGCCCTAGAACCCGCGCCATCGCGCGTTCGAAATCCCTCTCCTCGTCTTCACGCACCTTCGATCGCCTCGCGCGGCGTCTTAAACCCGAGACCAACATTCTTATAGTATCGGTTACCACCCTTGCCCGGCGTCTTCTTCTTCGTCGCGGACGCAAACCTACGCACATCGATCGAATCATTCGTCAGTCGTCCGCACCCGCGATCGCTTCGCCCTTCGCATCCTTCGCGCGCGCGCGCGCCCTTCGCGACCGAGCGCGGCGCTCGTCGTCGCACGCACCCGACGTTCACCCCGAGTTGCTTCTGGAAAGCGCGTTCGTGTTGCTCGGCAGCCATGTTTCGCGGACTGCTGCGGCGGAGAGAGACGGCGCGGCGCGCGCGCGGGGCGACGACGCGCGCGCGACGACGCGGGCGCGATCGATGACGGGATTTCACGGCGCCGCGCCCATTTTTTTATCCCGGGCGCGCGCGTTCGTTTTCGCTCGCACATGGCGTTCGAGGGTGATTGAATGCGAGAGATTCGCGCGCCGCGTCGCGCCGCGCGTCGCGTCGCGGATAAAGCGTCGGCACTTCGCGGCTGACGTGCGCGCTCGACCGATCATGTTTGCCCTGACGACGACGACGACGACGACGACGACGACGTGCGCGCGCGCGCACGCGCGGGCGCGACGACGAACGACGACGCGAACGAACGCGAGCGTCGAACGCGTGGAACAGGCGACGCCGTGGGCGACGCGAAGCGTGGATTTCGCGAACACGGATGGGGCGACGCGGGAGCGGGCGTGCGGGACGAGCGACTGGGCGCGCGTGGACATGGCCAAGGCGAAGTGCGTGCACCCGGATCGACCGGTCGCGAAGTTGTGCGGGGATTGCCCGCGACGGAAGTGAGAGGGCGACGATCTCGGTCATCGCAAACGACGCGAAAAAGCGATTAATCATTGATTCATTTTTTCGACGAGGGGGACGCTCAGAGGGCGAGACGCGCTCGGATGGCGCGCTCAGAGGACGAGACGTGTAGTGAAACCTTAATTAAATCGTCAAACCTGATTGTTCCCATCGCCTCATCGCTTTTCGTGGCGCACACGCGAGACGCCGAAATAAAATGTGGCCAAGTACACTGGGACGCTGAGCGACGCGTACAGCAACGACATCCACTTTCCGCGCTCGGCGAGCGAAAACGTTCGCAGCACGGACTCCCCCGTGATCGCATCGCATTGGCTTTGATTGGAGAAAAACATGCGTAAAAGCCGTAAAGATGATTCTGGCAAGGACATGGACTCGATCAAGTCGTCTAAACCGCCCGTGTCTGAGCCGCAGTGATCAAAGAATTCGCGGCCGTCGTACTCGTTCACCATGATCGACGACCACGCCCACTGGATGAACGAGATATTGTACAACCATCTCCACGCGTTGTGTATCGTGCGAGCTCGAATGAAGAAACCTCCGACTAACATGTTTATCGTTGCGTAAATTGGGAGCACGCTCGCGGGGCCGACGTCACCCGGAATCGCAGCTGAGATCGTGCAGCCGATCAGCTGCGAGATGGTGAAGTTCACGAGACAGGTGAAAACAAAAAAGAAGAACGCAATCGCGGTTGGATTGAGCCCGACGCACCAATACAAAACCGCGGAGAAAGACAAAGAGGCGAGGATGGTCATGGGCATTTCGGCGATAATTTTTGAAGCGACGTAATTTCCCGGACGATAATAGCTTTCGTGAAACTCGCGAGTGTAGACTTCGCGCTCAAATTTCACTTCTTCCACGTGGACTTGTGCCATGAACGACGGTAGTATGCACGCGATGAACATGATGCCGTTGGTGTTCAATATCCCAGTTGGAGTCTTTTTCTGCTGATAGAAAAACGCGCTCAGCAGAGCGGCGAGAATGACGTACAGACCACATCTTGTAAACCAGAAGATCGCGTAGCGCCATTTTGGGGCATCCTTATACCGAATCATGATGCCCAACTCAGTGAATGGATTGTGCGCATATTCTGAATCTTTGCCTGTGCCGTTGGTCTTTGAAGATTCGGTGTTGATCGTCACCGCGTTCATCGGCAGTTTGAGCGACGTGATTTCTGCCACGTGCTCCAAGTTGGACGCGCGCAGGCTCGATTCGGCGTAATATTTGGCGCACTCCTGACCAGTGGATATGGTGTCGATAAAGTACTCTGCGATGTTAAAGCCAGCCTCGTATGGAAACCCTTGATTGATGAAAAAGTCCATGGGATTGTGCCCAGCTTCGCCGAAATACGCGAGCATGCCAGAGGTGAGCAAAATCAACTTGTTGAAAGATTGGTAGATCGGCATGGAAGGTTGGTGAACGGTCACCAGGAGCGTGCGACCATCCTCCGCTTGAAGTCTGGATAGACAATTGATCACATCAGCTGCCATTGAAGAGTCCAAACCCGAAGTAGGCTCGTCCAAGAACATCGCTCTGGGATTTGACGTGCACAGCGCGGACGCGACGGCCAATCGCTTGAGCTCTCCACCGCTTATCCCGCGAATCACGTGGTTGCCGACTAGGGTATCCCGACACTTTGAAAGATTCATCTGATCAATCACGTGCTCCACTAACTCCAACTTACGCTTTACGTCCTCAGTTGACGTGCCAGGAAGCTTGATCATCGCTGCAAACGTAACTGTCTCCGCGACAGTCGCGCCTCCGAAGAAGGCTTCATGTTGCGGAACATACGCCGTGTACTTCTTGATCGTCGCCAAACTGGGCACCACACCATCAAAGAGAATCTTACCACGTATCCTGCCTTCCGTCTTGCGCCCAGATATTATGTCCAAGAGCGTCGTCTTCCCAGATCCAGACTGGCCCATCACCGCACACATCGCGCCTCTTTCGATGACTCCGCTGATTTCGTTCAAAATGACCTTGGTACGCGCCACTGGTTCGATCGAGGACTCTTGCTTGCAAGTGCAGGAGTTGTGAACTGATCCAGATGAGACTTTAATGTCGCATCCCACGCCGTCGAGCGCGATGGTAAGACCGTTTTGCTGCGATGAAATCGAGGCCACACGATGAGCACCGTGGTGCTTTGCTTCGAGCACACCTTGCTGCAACTGTTTCGCTGTTTCGATGTCGACGCACGACACGCTATCTAAGCTGTTTGCGCTCGAGAGATTATTTGCAGTTCCGTCATGCCGAGATTGCCTTGCGCCCATGTTCGTGAGCGGTGCATTCTGAAGTCTGAAATCTGAGTTTGCCTCGTGGTTATCAACTCGACGAGATTGAACGTTCACGAATCGACAGGTGAAATCACGGTATCGTGTCAGTATAATTACATTCAAGCTAAAATAATCGCTACTGAAGACGAATGGGATTCGCGCACGGACACTCGCATCTATTTCTGGCGTTCTTGCTTCCATTTGAAGTACGACGTCTTTGTTCCATCGGGATTCGTCTTCGTAATCTTCACCTTGTGCCCTTTGGAGTGAGAAATGACTTTTTGCATCGCCATCTCTGCGCTCATGTCCTTCAGCTTCTTCGCTCGTTCATCGTAGGCGGTGTACGTCTTGTACGCACCCTTCTGCATCCGCGTGAGCCTCTTCATAGAAATCTCCGATGCGCCAGTGCCGCTCGAGCCGGCGGCGCCGTCGCTTCGCACGCCGACCACCGCGTCTTCGTCCTCCAACTGCGCCCGACGAGGACGATTGAATGTTCGATTCACGAGCTCAGGGACGGTATCGAAATGCTCCGCCGCATCGAAACTTTTCGCCTCTTCTTCCGTGTCAACGAAGACGGTGTGTTTGCGCTTCACCGGAACGCCGATACCGTGCAAATTTCGCTTCATCTTCTCCACCTTCTTACCCTCAATCGCCGCCTTCATTTGCACGTACTTCACATCCTGCGTCTTCATCACCCGTAACTCTTCTTCGGTGTATTTGTTCTGTTCCGTGCTCCTCGCCACGTGCACCCCGTCGTCCGTCTTCGCCTTTTGCATGGCAAAGTAAAACTCATCCGGATTCCTATACGCCGCCTTTCGCTTCAACGCGTTGATCGCATCTTCCTTCTTGTGATAATCTCTCGCGCGAAGCACGTAATCCTTCTTCTTCTCCAGCAAACCGAACCGTTTGCGCTCGCTCAACTGCGACCGCTCCTTGTGCGTCTTGCGTTTGACGGCGTTACGAAGCGAGCTCGACATCGCGTCCGCGCGTCTCGCGCGCGCGCGATCTCGGTGTCTTCGCCGCGCTTTGTTTCACCGCGTTTCGCCGCGTCGCGCTTCGCCGCTTCGCGCTTCGCCGCGTCGGCGTCGTCGAATGGCGCCGCCGCCGGGACGCCGCGGGACGCCGCGGGACGCCCCGCTCGGACGCGAGGCGGCGACGTTCGGCGGCAGTCGGACGCGCGCGGGCGATGGATGCGGGGCGCGCGCGATGAAGACGACGATGCGCGCGCGATGGCGGCGCCGGTGACGCGCGACGACGCGATGCGCGTGCTGGGACTGGACGAGCGCGACGCGAGGAATCCGAGCTTGGTGAAGCGAACCGTGCGCGAGCGCGCGTTGGATGCGCATCCCGATCGCGCCACGGGGTCGCGCGAGCGATTCAGCGCAGTGATGGCGTCGAGAGATATACTTTTGAGCGACCTACGGGGCGGAGGGACGAATCGAGGGTTCACGATGGCGGAGAGCGCGGCGCGGCGAGCGACGGATAACGCGCTGCCAAAGCACTTCAAGTCGTTCATCGTCGCGACGGCGTTGGTTTTAGTCGGTGTGTCGTGCGTCAGGACGAACGCGGGCGAGAGGCGTAAAGCGAGAAGTCCACTGGTGAGAGACGCCATGGGTTTACCGCCTAGCGATGCGTGAGTAGTATACTAGCGATGCGTGTAGTGTATAGCAGTTGTATAAAAGTGCTCGTCTCAACTAACTTTGCTTGGCTTTGACGCTCGTAGGCGTCCACCAATCCTCCGCGAGCACGACGACTTGATCACCCGGATTCAGTCTGACTCGTTTGTCCTTTCGCGGAGAAATGGCGAGTTCACCATCAGCGCGCATGATGCCCAACGCGATTTCGTCCCGTTCGCGAGCGCGCTCGCAAATCGTTCCCCAGTACACTTCGGCGTCATTTTCAGTGACAAATTCATTGTACATGCGCATGTACAGCTCTTTGCCCTGCTTTTCGAGCAGATAGTCAAACAAACCAGCGAGTTTGGTGTTGGCAGAAACTTGAAGAAGCGCGCCGCCTATGAGATTGTCGTGTAAAATCACGTCAACCGTACCGATGCCAGCATACATATCCTCAGCCACCCTCTTTGCCACTTCACTCGACAACTCAGAGACGATATGAGGAGCGTGACCCGTGTCAGCTCTTTTTGATAAATACGCGACTTGCATGATTGATGACAGTGCGTGACTGTCTTGCGTTGCGTCGTCGCTATCTGTTGGGGGCATGATCAAAACCGCTCCCGCTTCGTGCACACGATTTTGTTCCAACGTCGCTCTCTTCTGGGCGTCCATGGCCACGTGTTTCACGTTGCAATTCGTGTTCCCTTTTAAAATACTTTTATCGAGCTCATAATTGTTGATGAGGGTTATACTCGAGCCAGGTGGAGCTAAGACTAGCATGTCTTCGAGCACACTAGAACTCTCCTCGTTCCAACCGAGCATGACAACTTTGCGGGGAGCCGGCATCCGGACCGGGCATCTAAGCATTGTCAAGTGCTGTGATCCCGGAGGAGGAATATTCTCGTTTTTATTGGACCCTTTCCGCTTCGCAATATCTGCTTCGATCGTGGACTTGTTGTCTGCCACGACGGTGACTGCCCCGCTTGGTCCAATGACGTCAGTCTCGCTCGGACCAAGGATCATGCCTTCTGCGTTGGTAATTCCGACCAGTGTAGTCGTGTTGAACATTCTCCAGGCTTCCTGGAATGTCTTACCCGCTAGACTTGGGTGCGAATACGTGTAAAACTCAGAACTATCGTTGGATTGAAGCATGAGATCTTCAAATAATTTACTTCCGCCTGGTTGCATGATGGAGTAAGCTTTGAGTTTCGACAACTCTCCAGTGCCGTTGACGACGCAGAATTCGCCATGTTTATTCCCTTCTTTCTCAGTCAAATCGACCGCGAGAGCGACACCATCATCGATTTCAGATCTGCGAGTGGGAGATTGAACGATGACGTTTGGCCCTCGACCACCTGTGATGCCGCCGCCAGAACGCAAATTCAACACCGCCGCCGCCTTTTGGCTCTCGACAGTGTCCTCGTTCTCGCCGTCATCGTGCAACACCACGACCCGCTCGGCCGCCCAAGCGTTCACTCGATCCAAGTCTTCAGCATTATGAGCTTGACCCGAGCGAGTTACGACGGTCAGCGGAGGACTATCCTGGAGTTCATCTTCAATGGTGGCGTCCATCTCCTCCTTGTCCCTGTTAGCCAGTAAAACCACCGGCCTTTCGAAACCAATCCCTTCGCTCTTTGCCACGGCGACTTGTTTCAGTAACGGAATCAACTGCTCATTCCAGTTCAATATTACGGTATGATTCTGTTCGAACACCTTACTGTTCCCCGTCTTTACCTCGTCAACCTTGCTCGCGATTTCGTCAGACACAACGCCGATTAAAATTGCAAAGGTGAACATCCCACAAAACACAATCAGTTGTGCGACGACAACACTTTTCCAGTTCTCTTCTGCCGTACTGTCCGCTCCAGGAACGTCATTCAACCAATAAAACGTCTTTGCAATGGATGCACCCCACTCTTCTTCGCTCACGTGCCTGTACACCGCCGCCGCGGCGAGGACGAGCGGTACCATCGCCGCCGTGATCATAAAAACTTTCCCATACAACGGCCAGCCGAAAACTCTCTGCGCAACGTACATCCCGTTCGATCGCGCATTATTCAACCGATCTTCGAAACTCGTGCTCGCGCTCGCGTGCGCTGGCGCCGGCGTCGGCGGCTTGCGCACGCTCGTCCAACCGCCACCGAGCGCTCCGGCGACGACACACGCGCCGGCGACGCCCACCGCGCGCGCCCGCACCACCGCTCTCCGCGGTCGTTCAGCGTGCGAACAATCATTCACACTCTCCGTCGTCTTGCCGAGCATGGCGTCCATCGTGCGCGCGTCCAGCGCGCGTCTTCGTCGTTCGAGCGTTGCATCTTCGTCCCCGTCGTCGCCGTTCGAAGCCGCCACGACGACGACCGCGCTCGTGCGGCGCGTGCGCGACGCGCGCGAGGCTCGTGCGAGTGGTTTCGACGCCGAAACGCGCGCGCGCAGCGCGCGGTTCGCGAACATGCCGACGCCCACGCGCGCCGTTGTGCAACCGGTCGGTCGCCTTCATTTTGTGCGTCGTCGCACAGGGACGTTTGCGCGGCTTACAAGTCTAATTTCGGGTGCGCCATGCGCAATAAATCGATCGCGACGGTCGCAGCGTCGCCACTTTCGGCGCGAAGACGATTTAAACGCGCGGTGGCGCTCGCTAGGACGGCGTCGTCGAGCGCCGCGGACGCTCTAGCGATGGCGTCGTCGAGCGCTACGGCGTCGACTGAGGCGGAAGCTTTCGCAATGTCGATCTCAGCGGAGAGTTCTTTGATGGTTGTCGACGCTTGCTGGGCATCGATGAAACGTTTTTCTTCGACCGCGGCAGTCTTGACGCGCTCGAGCTCGGCGATGCGAGATGACAGGTCGGTTTCACGCTGACGGGCGGATTCGACACACCGCTTCTCATCGCGGGTGCGTTCAAGCGCCTTTTCGGCTTCGTCAAGCCGGGCACGCGCGCTCGTTTCGGCTGTGATGAATGTGGCCAAGTTATTCAGCGCATTTTGCTTGCTCGATAGATCCGTCTCGCGCTGGTGAAGCGTCTCTTGAAGACTCGCCGTGGCGTTCTCTGCCTCGGTGGCGATGTCTTGAACTTCTTTCAACTCTTCTGGAGCTCCGCTGGAAACTTCTTCAGTAGTTTCGTCAAAATTTTGCAAGTCATCAGTTGCAGCGTCTCGTCGACGCGCGGCATCGGCAATAGTTTGCCGCAGTAAGCCCTCTTCTTCTAAAAGCTGCGTGCGTTCAATTTCTTTTTCGTGAAGCTTGTTTTCCTTGGCCTGGAGCTCGGCGCGTAACGACGCAATCTCGTCTCTTAATTCGCTCAAGGGCGCATCCAAAGCAGCTCTCTTCTCCGAAATATCTACTAAATTCTTTTCCAACGATGTGCACGTCGTCTGTGCTTCGTCCTTTGCGACCATCAAAGCATTCTTTCTTGCTTCTCGCGCTATGGCAGCGGCGCGCTGGGCTTCATGTTGTGAAGACATCGCATCGTCCAGTTGTCGACGTTTCGTTTCGGCAAATTGCTGAATTTCGTCCATACTCGAACAAATTTCCGCAATCCACGTTTTCAAAGCTTCAGAAGCTTCAGCCAAGCAATCGCGGAACTCATTCTCTGCAGCAAAGAGCTTCGCTATCATCTCAGAGTATGCGCGTCGAGCGCCCTCTATAGATTCTTCGAGGCGAGCGGCAGCTTCGAAATCGTCCTTTCCGATGGCACCTTCTTGCTCGAGCTTGAACTTTTCTATGGTTTCTAGTAATTTTGTACACTCTTTTGCGGATACCAACCGTTTTGAGGTCGCAGCGACCCGTCGCGCTTCGGCGCTTTCGTACGCCAACTTTGCTGGCTTAAATCTCACGTCCGACGCCTTCAACAATCCACGGAGTTCCACGCGCGCGTCTCCTCTATCATCACCAACGATAGGTGTCGCTGACTCGTCCTCCTCACTCGGCGTCGCCACTGCGAACTCGAACGCATCGTCGCCTCCCACTTCAACTTCGTCAAAGACGGGTGCGTCCTCGATGGACACCTCCGCCTTCGCCATCATCGTCGCCTCGAAATCCATTAATCCAGCGCCGGCTTCACGACGCCCGTACCCGATTCTGGGTTTCTCACGTCTCCACGAACTATCGGGCGTCGACGCATTGTTGAGGCCGAACAAATCGGCCGGAGAAATTGGCGTCGTCGGCTTCGGCGACGCGTCAACCGTCGGAGAAATCATCGTCGCATTCATCGCCATGGGTGGCGTTTCATTCAGCGTCAACCCCGAGAACAAATCCAATCCACCACTCGCCACCGTCGTCGTCGCCCGCGGCGTCTCCACGACTTCTCGAAACGCGCCTCCGTTCGCGACTTTGTCCACCGCGTCGTTTGCCAATTCCTCCAACGCGCCGAGCGCCTCGAGCGCGTCCTCGTCTCCCGCCTTGGCGCGCTGTCGAACTCCTTCGATCATCCTGCGCGCTCGATTGATCTTGGAGAACTTGATCCCATCGTCTTCGGCGCTCGTGAGCGCGTCTGCGAGCAGATTCGACGCGCGATTGACGAGCTCGTCGAGCGACATTTCGTTCGCATCCGGCGTCTCGCTCGCCCCGCGCGCCGTGGCGTTGGGCGTGAGCGGCGACGACGACGGCGACGACGACGGCGAACGCGCGTTCGCGCTCGGCGACGCCGCGACCGCGCCGCGACGACCGAACATGACGCGTAGCCGTCCGCAATGCGCGACGCACTGCGGCCGAAGCGATGATTAATCGCGCCTTCGTCGGCGTGCGACGCGCCGTCGTCGCGACGACGCGCTCGCGCGCGGGACGCGACGTCCCGCGCTTCGCGCTCGCGCGCGCGCAGTCCGGGGACGCGTCGAGCGCGTCGAGCGGGGAATTCGAGACGGTGGGCGTGGTGAAGCGGCGATTGCACGAGCTCGAGACGCGCGTGGACGCCGCGCTGGAGATCGCGGACGTGCGCGGGTTGCGTAAAAAGTACGAGGCGTTGGATGAGGCGAGCGCGGCGGGGGACTTGTGGGATGACGTGCGGAAAGCGAAGGCGCTGATGGCTGAACTCGTGGGCGTGCGGGAGGAATTGGCGGCGGCGAGCGAGTTCGAGGCGCACGTGGACGATGCGCGCACGGCTTTGGAGCTCGCGGAGAGTGGAGAAGTGGAGAGTGAGATGAGCGAAATGCTGCGAGAGGCACTGACGAGCGTGGAGGCGCTGGACAAGGCTTTGGACGCGTGGGAGCTGAGACGGCTACTAGGAGGGAAGTACGACGCGTTCGGGGCGGTTTTACAGATATACGCCGGTGCTGGGGGGTTGGACGCGCAAGACTGGACGGAAATGCTCGAACGAATGTATTTAGGGTGGTGTGAAAAGAGAGGATTCGCCGTACGCGCGACGGAGCGATTGGAAGGCGAGGGTGGAGGATTGAAGACGGCCACGCTCGAAGTCGAAGGGCGCTATGCGTACGGATATCTGAGCTCGGAAAAGGGTACACATAGACTGGTGAGGCAGAGTCCGTTCAACAAAGACGCAGCACGCCAGACGAGTTTCGCTGCCGTCGATGTGATTCCGCTCTTCGAGGAAGACATGGAGGAAGTTGTGAAAGTGCCGGACACCGATTTGGAAGTCACGACGATGCGTTCGGGCGGTGCAGGCGGTCAAAACGTTAACAAAGTTGAGACGGCGGTTCGAATTAAGCACATTCCAACTGGTATAACTGTTAAAGCCGAAGAACATCGCACGCAACAGTTGAACAGGCAAGCGGCGATGTTGAGAATCAAAGCAAAACTCACCGCGTTGGCTGAGGAAGCGCGCGTGGCGGACATCGCCGAACTTCGAGGGGACATCGTCAAGGCGGAGTGGGGTCAGCAAATTCGAAACTATGTACTGCATCCGTACAAACTTGTTAAGGATGTTCGAACGGGAGTCGAGACAAGTGACGCTAATAAAGTCTTAAACGGTGCTCTCGACGAGTACATGAATGGATATTTGCGCTGGAAGGCGGCATCGGATAGGTAGAATTACAATATTACAGACATCATAGCAAGCTATTTACCCCCAAAATGAGTCGACTACCTTAGACACTTTCTCTTTATGTCCGCGCCCGTGCTTTTCTTTCGAGTGATTCACCTTGGGCGCGCCAAAGTTGCTGTGCTTGCTGTTTTTACGTTGCTTCTCAAGCTTCAACCGCTGTCGTATAGCGTCGGCGGCAGCGGCGGGATCGACTGACATCATCGATGCCGTTTCCATTGCAAGCTTTTTCTGAGCCGCTTTTCGTTCTTTTCTCAATTCCGCTTTGCTCGGCGCCACGCTCGGCGCTTGCCGTCGAGCCCGGCGTTGCTCGGAGCTTTCGTCTGAATCTGTCACTGAAGGTTCCTCAAACGCTCGATGATTGAATTCCTTCATAGGCCCAACTTCTTCGTCGTACGTGCCGCGTTTGTTGATCCCATCCTCTTCGTTCATCGCAGCCTGAACTTGCGCTGCTAGATCGGCGATTTCGTCGTCGTTGAGCTTTAAGTCATACTGAGGTTCCTTGTCTTCTTCTAGCTCTTCTTCTACCGCCTCTTCTTCCTCTTCTTCCTCGTCGCCTTCATCACTTGATAGATCTAATTCGCGCTCCGAGCTCGCCGACCGTCCGTCTTCGAAAACTTGCGCGGTATAATCCTCGAGCTCTTTCTCTTGATTCTTCGTGAAACCGCTCGCTCTCAACTGAACGTCGATGGCTTGGCTTGGGATGGATTCGGCGACTACAGCTTTAAAATCGGGATCTGGCTCGCCCATGGGATCGTCCTCGGCGCGATAATCCCAATGTCGAACAAAAAATCTATGCAAACACTTCACATCTCGCCAAAACAACTCCTCGGCGTTCGGATGGTTCGTGGAAATCATCTGAGGGAAGTCGATGATGATGAGCTTCTTTTTCTCGTTCAACATCAAGTTGAACTCGTTGTAATCGCAATGTACCAACCCGTGTTTCGCAAGCTTGACGATGTTTTTCATACAGTCGCGGTAAATCTCTCCAGGATTATCTGGGTCGCGTATCTGCCTCAAAGGCGCCCCACGAACGACGGACATCAACACTGCGTGCCTATTCGCATCGATTGGTTCCGGCACGGGAAATCCGTATTCGTACAAAGCCACCATGAATTGATGTTCTTTCATCGCTGCCAAACGGGACAAATACAACCAATTGTATTGCGTCCGTTTACCGAGATAATCTCTCTTACTCTTCACGTCCCTAAAAGAAGTTCGTCCCAATCGGTGAAGCTTGAGCGCCATCTGCCGTCCTTCGCCGTCTACGACTTCGTACACGTCCGACTCTTTCCCGACGCCAATCTTTCTCCCAACCCCAACGATCGACCCACGATTAACAAACGCCTTCAGTGCTAAAAAATCGTACCCAAGCGGCGTCAAGCGGTACCCGTCGTACTCCTTATTTTCGTGATGCACCAACTTGTGCTTCAGGAGCTCTTTAATGTGCTTGAACCCACCGCCGCGCTTCAACCCGGCGATGGCGTTGATGAGCTGCACGGGGACGATTTCGTGGTTCTTCATTCCCATCTCCGTCGCGACGAGCACGCGCCAGGTGTCTTTGTCGAGGTATCGGAGAATGTTCACGTCAAACTTCATGGCGGCGGCGGCTGAAGCGTGACGGTGACGACAGCGGCGGCGTCACTATCCAGCGAACGCGCGGCGAGCGTGTGCGAGCGACAAACACCGTTGCTCGCCGAGCAACGGTGTTTGTCGCGCGCGTCGAGACGATGACGGTCGGTACGTTGCGCGGTGGTGGTCGAGGCACGCTCTGGGGACAGGTGCGCCGAGACGTTCTCGTGGACAAGTAAGAATTTCTTTTGTTTACAACATAAAGGATGCGTAGCAATAGTAAGGCGTGACAATGTGTGCTTTTTTTCGTGTTTTTGTACATTTGCTTCGTGTCAAGCGCGCTGGCCGCGATCGAGGGCGTTTTGCCTCGATGCGAGCGTGGCGGAGAGCTGCGAAAGCCGAGCGTGCGTGCTGCCGTCAATGACCAGCGGCGGAGTGATGTGCAAGCCTGGGCCTTCGCCTATGAGGAACTGTAGAAGCGTTTGCGCGCGACCGTAAGTGTCCGACGCAGTCTGCTTGTTCTCCGCCAATTCCTCCCGAACGCCTTCTTTTGCGAGCTTGCAGATTTGTTGGTACACCAACTCCATGCCGTCGGGAAGCGCCGAATTCATATCGAAGCCAGCGGCGTTGCAAGCCGCCGCTGCCTTTTCGGCGCGCGTATGGGCGGCTTGAAACGCTTCTCCGATTCTCACTGTCGCGCGCTTAGCACTGACGGCCATCGAGCTTCCTGCTGTGGGGGAACTATCTGCGGACGAAGTGCTCGCGCTCGTCCCACTGAGCGCGATGGATGATGACTTTTGCTCGGTCGTGAGGATTTCAGACGCGAATCTGTGCGCCGTGCGCAGCGCTGCGAGAGAAATCAAGCCCAAGGATAGCGCCTCGAGCTTGCTTCCCGCGTTCCAATGTTCCATCGAACTGTCGCGCAGCACCGCGGCGGCTTTCTCTAAAACGCCCACGCGCACTCCGAGTTGCGCGACGAGTATTTGAGACTGCGTTTGCGCGCGCGCGGCGAGCGTCATCGGTTGACTCGAAGGCGATGTCCCTCGCGACATGCGCGCGCGACCTCCGAACGTGGCACCCGCCCCATCCCTTGGACTGAGTGACATGCGCGACAACGGCGACGAACCGAGTGACGGCGAGCGCATCGCCGTAGACTTTGGCCCACTCGCTCCTGGCGACGATACCAAGACGTAGTCGCCACCGATATTCATCTTATCCCCATTTTCTTGCACTTTTGTAGACGTCGGCACCGGACGACTGATCGGTCGTTGCGCTTGTTCCGCGAGACGTATCGACGTCGGCGACGGGCTCGCGCTCTCGACATCCATATCAAACGGCATCGTTTCGCTATCGTCGCTACAGCCGCTCCGAGAAATCCTTCCCTGCGAATTCTGAGCGCCTGGTTTCGTCGGAATGCCGACTCCAACGTCGGCCGCTTTCAAGAACGGATGATTGAAAAACTCTTCAAAAGAGATGCGATTCGCGGCGTCGCGGTGAAGCAAGCCGCGAAGTAAGTCGATGCACTCAGCCGACAACCCTTGGGCGATGTGGATGGGAATCTTGAACTCGGTCTTTTGAATGTTGCGCAGGAGCTGCACTTGATTTTGCCCCGTGAACGGCACGGTACCGACGAGCATCTCAAACAATATCGCCCCCACGCTCCACAAATCCGCCTTGGCGTCGTATCGCTGATAATTCAAAACTTCGGGCGCCATGTACAGCGGACTCCCGCACACGGTGTCCGCCATCCCTTCGCTGTCGCGAATGTATCTCGCGAACCCAAAATCAGCGATTTTCAACTCGGCGTTCAAATCGTTCGAAGTCAACAGCAAATTTTGCGGTTTCAAATCTCGATGCACGATCTGCGCCTTGCGCATCGCCTTGAGCCCCCTCGCGAGCTGAAGCATGAAACGTCTCGCCGCGATTTCTTCCATCCTTCCGTGCCTCTTGATGAACTGACTCAGATCCCCCCCCCCACAATATTCCAACACGATGTACACCGTCTCGTTCGAGCTCTGCATATCGATAAACCGGAGAATATTTTCGTCTCGCATCCTTCGCATCACCTCCACCTCGAGTTTCAAACTCTCCCTCAACTTTTTACTCAACCGCTCGCACGCGATCTCCTTCACCGCCACCACCGCCCCCGTCTTCACGCACGTCGCTCGCCACACCGTCGCGAACGACCCTCGACCGAGCGTCGCGTCGTCCAGCGCCCACCTCTCGCCCACCGTTCGCCGTCGTCCGCTCGCCCCGCGCGCGCGCGTCGTCCACCCCTCTCGCGACGCGTCCGCCACCCCGCGCGTCCCATCCGTCGTCCGCGTCATCCCGCTCGAGTCACTCTTTCGTTTTCCTTCGCGTCCCGGGACTTCCCGCGCTTCGTCGACGCGTTCGAATCTCGTCGACGCGCGACGTTCGCGTTCGAACGGCACCGTCCTCGCGTCGTCGTCTTCGGGTGGTTCTTCGACGCGTCGCTCGCGTCCGTCGCTCGCGTCGTTCGGCGCGTCGATCGACGTCGTCGCGCGCTCGGCTCCCGGCGCCGCGCCTCGGCGTCGCCGCGCGACGCCCTCTCGCGTCGCCGCGCGCGGGCGCGAGGCGTCGCGTCGTTCGGACCCTCTCTTGGCGACAACCCTCGCGTGGCGAAGACCGCGTCGACGCGCGGGTGTCTCGTCGCGTCGTTCGGACCCTCTCTTGGCGACGACCCTCGCGTGGCGAAGACCGCGTCGACGCGCGGGTGTCTCGCGCGCGCCGCGACGACGGCCGCGACGCGCGCGCCGCACCGCGCGACGGCGGCGCGATCGCGATCGCGATCGAGATGGCGGCGCGGTGCGCCTCGACCGCGCGCGCGGCGACGATTCGCCGTGGACGCGGGCGCGCGACGCGCGCGATGACGACGACGACGACGACGACGACGACGACGACGGGGACGACGACGGGACGACGGCGCGCGGCGCGCGGAGGCGCGGGAGACGCGCGAGGGCGCGCGAAAGTGACGCCGGGAAGCGATGGCGCGACGCGGGCGCGCGACGCGGGCGCGGCGCGCGGCGACGGTGGGGGCGGGACGACGGCGCGAAGGACGACGACGCGACGACGCGAGGACGCGAACGCGGGGGGGAGGGAGGGAGGGACGCGCGCGAACGGTCGCGCGCTCGCGACGCTCGGAATGGCGAGCGCGATGGGGATCGATTTTGAGGGACCGGGGAGCGTGATAACGGCGATCGGGGTGCTGGCGGTGATCATCACGGCGCACGAGTGCGGGCACTTTTTCGCGGCGCGAGCGCGGGGGATACACGTGAACGCGTTCGCGGTGGGGTTCGGGCCGAATCTTTTCACGTATCGCGGACCGGAGGTGGAGTATAGCTTGAAAGCGATCCCGCTCGGGGGATACGTGGCGTTTCCGGACGATGATGAGGATTGTCCGTACCCGGAGGACGATCCGGATTTGTTGCGCAACAGGCCGACGAGCGATCGCGCGTTGGTCGTCTCCGCGGGCATCATCGCCAACGTGCTTTTTGCGTTCGGGATTTTGTACAACCAAGTCACCACGGTTGGATTCGCGGAGCAAAAATTTGAACCCGGAGTCGTCGTCAAGGCGTTTACGAGTTCGTCGGTCGCGCGAGACGCGGGCATCGAGGCGGGCGATATCATTTTATCCGTCGACGGCGAAAAACTGGCGGCGAGCGGGAAATCGGTGGGTAAAGTCGTGAACGCGGTGAAAAACTCGCCGAACGATGTCTTGAAATTCGAGCTCATGCGAATCGGCGCGGACGGGGCGCCCGAGGTGAAGATTGTCGAGTTGCGCCCGAGCGCGACGCCGACTGGCGACGGTAAAGTCGGCGTCAAGCTCGAATCCAACTCGAGCGTATCCAAACATATCGCGAGCAATCCGATCGAGGCCGCTTCGTTGGCCGGTAATGAATTCGCTCGGTTGACGGCTTTGGTGTGGAAAAGCCTCTCTGGTTTGTTCCTGCACTTTGACGACAACAAGTCGCAGGTGAGCGGGCCCATCGCCATCGTGGCCACGGGGGCAGAGGTGATGCGAAGCGATGTCAGTGGGCTGTATCAGTTCGCAGCAGTCATCAACATTAACCTCGCCATCGTCAACTTGCTTCCTTTACCAGCGCTCGACGGTGGATTTCTACTACTCATCGCCATCGAAGCCGCGCGGGGCGGGAAGAAGATTCCGCTCGAAATTGAGCAAAGCATCACAGGCGCGGGCGTGCTGTTCCTGTTGATTTCGGGCGCGTCGTTGATACTTCGAGACACGATAAATTTGATTCCTCATTAGCCATACTTTTACGACTTAGATTCGGCACGCTTTCAATAGCCTTTGTAAACGCGCGCGCGCGCGAAAAACGAGCCCCTCGAGCGCGGTCGTCGTCGTCGTCGAACGCGGTGGTTGAACGCAATTGCTCGTTTTCGCATTACTCATATTCGCTAAGAATTAATTGTTCGCTAATTTTACGCCATGAAATCAAAGGTAAATGTTCGCGGTGCGCTCCTTGAACTTCAACTCTCGCGAGTCGCGCTTGTTCACGCCCTCCGCAACCTCGCGTTCGCGCTTGACAGTGTACAATTGCGCAACTTTGGTCTTCAAGATACCGAAGTGGTGCGGCTTGAACTCCTTACGCGTGCTTTGACGCATGCGCAACTGGAACAACATCTTCTTGCTCTTCGTCACCTCCTCCAAAAGCGCCTCGTTGGACAAATCCTTGAAATCCTTCACCTTGGTCGGCTTGAGCGCGGTGTACTCATCCTCCGCCGCGGCGTCGCCCTCGGCGCGCACGACCACGGTCGCGGCGCGCTTGGGCGCACTGCGTCCGGAAACCTGCATCATCGTAAAAAACCACCCACTTCGTCAGTCCACGCGCTTCCTCGCCCTTCGCCCTCGCTCGCCCTTCGCCCTCGCCTCGCGCTCGGGTTTCAGGGTTTCCCAAAGATGACGATTTCACCCTGCCCCCCCCCCCCGCGCGCCATCCTTCGCGACTCCCGCCCACGCCGCGCGCGCGCGTCGTCGAACGTAATTTCCTCCGCCCATCCCTCGACCGTCGTTCGTCATCGCGCGTTCGCGCGCGCGTCACCCCTCGCGCCATCGCCCGCGTCCGCGTCCCGCCTCCTCGCGCGCGTCGTCGTCGTCGTCGTCGTCGCGTCCTTCGCGCGCGGGTTCGCGCGCCCCCCCCCCGCGTCGATCACTTTTCGCGCGCGTCCACGCACCTTGATCGCGCACGTCGCGCGCGTCGCGGAGGACAACGAAGTCGCGGCGAACATCGAGGCGCGTCGTCGTCGTCGAGTGAGGCGGCGACGGCGCGACGGGCGCGCGTCGTCGCCATCGGGGCTGTCGACATCGCGCGAACGAGTCGTGGAATACGACGTTACCCCCACGACCCGTTCTGTGATAATATAGTGATCAGACACGCTCGTATACCCGAATGTCCGAATTTTGGATCGCGGCCGACCGGCCGCCCCTCGCCGCGAAAACCTGAAGTGCGCGCCCCGCACTCGCCGTCGAATCGATCGGGATCATGTTGTCCGCGTCTTCGTTTACCGGCGTCAAGGTGTGCGCGCGCGCGAGCCAAAACAACCGCACGCGCGGTGCGCGCCAAAGCGTGCGCGTCAGCGCGAACGCCAAGGTGGACGCGTGCGATAAAAACAGCATCATCGTGTCCCCGAGCATCCTGAGCGCCAACTTCGCGAAGCTCGGCGAGGAGATCCAAGCGATCGATAAGGCTGGCGCGGAGTGGGTGCACGTGGACGTCATGGATGGGAGATTCGTGCCGAACATCACGATCGGACCGTTGGTCGTGGACGCGATTCGACCGGTGACGGATAAGGTGCTGGACTGCCACTTGATGATCGTGGAGCCGGAGCTTCGCGTGGCGGATTTCGCGAAAGCGGGCGCGGATATCATCTCCGTGCACGCCGAAGGCGCGGCGACGATTCACTTGCACCGCACAATCAACCAAATCAAGGATTTGGGGTGCAAGGCGGGCGTCGTGCTCAACCCGGGGACGCCCGTGAACGTGCTCGAGTACATCATCGAAGAGGTCGACTTGATCCTCGTCATGTCCGTCAACCCGGGCTTCGGCGGTCAATCGTTCATCGAATCTCAAGTCGAGAAGATTGCGCAAATCAAGAAAATGTGCGTCGCCAAGGGTGTGAACCCGTGGATCGAAGTCGACGGTGGCGTGTCCCCGGCAAACGCGTACAAGGTGATCGAAGCCGGCGCCAACGCCCTCGTCGCCGGCTCCGCCGTCTTCAACTCTCCGGACTACGCCGCGGCGATCGCGGGCATCAAGGCCAGCAAGCGCCCGGGTGCTTAAACGCCCCGCAAACGATCGATTAAACTCTATTCCCCTCGATCATTGTTCGCGTATTTTGTCATAAACTCAACGCAGTGCGAGAACACCGCGCCGCCCCGACGCCTCGCCGGGCGCACATCTCGTCGCGCGCGACGCGCGCTCGCGCGAGCGGTGATCTCACGACCGGTGTCGCGATGCGCGTCGCGCTCGCGCGCACCGCGCGAGCCTCGGCGTCGACGTCCCACGCCGCGTCCTTCGCCGCCGCGTCCTTCGCCGCGCGCGACCTCGCGCTCGATTTCGACGTCGTCGTCGTCGGTGGAGGGCACGCCGGGACCGAAGCCGCGGCGGCGGCCGCGAGGAAAGGCGCGCGCACGGCGTTGGTGACGCCGAATCCGTATAAAACGATCGGAGAGATGAGCTGCAACCCCTCCATCGGCGGCTTGGGCAAAGGAACGCTCGCGCGCGAGGTCGACGCGCTCGATGGTTTGATGGCGCGCGCCGCGGATGGGGGAGGCATTCAGTTTCGGATGTTGAATTCGAGCAAAGGCCCGGCGGTTCGAGGGGCGCGGGCGCAGATGGATCGCGAGTTGTACAAGGGAGAGATACAACGGTTGGTGAGCGCCGTCGGCGGCTTGGACGTCGTCGACGCGGCGGTGGTGGACTTAGACATTGACCACGCGAGCGATGGATCGCGAGGAGTGATGCGAGGGGTAGTTTTAGACAATGGGCGCACGTTGCGCGCGAAATCAGTGGTGATCACGACTGGGACGTTTTTGAACGGCGTGTTGCACATCGGCTCCAAGCGCGTCGTCGCGGGAAGACTCGCAAACGATACCACGCAACAGGCAGATTTAAAAGCGGGCGAGGCGGCGCACAGCTTGGCGCGAACACTTTATGGTATAGGTTTTAAGATGGGACGCATGAAGACCGGGACACCGCCGAGATTGGATGGGAAGACGATTGATTGGTCCGCGTGCGCGCCTCAACCAGGGGACGCAGTCCCGGTCCCTTTTGCGTTCACCTCGTCGAGTCGACCGGTGCACGCGGAGGCGTGGAAACCACCCGCTCGGCAAATAATGTGCCATAGCACGTATACAACGTCGGAGACTGAAAAGTACATCGCGGCAGCGCCTAAGTCAAAGTACGAGCTCGACGACGTCGAATCGCCGACGACGCCGAGATATTGTCCATCCATCGAGTCTAAAGTGAGAAGATTTCCAGGGCGCACCCATCGAATTTGGCTCGAACCGGAAGGTTTAAACACCGATGTCGTTTATCCGAATGGAATCACGAATAATCTAGAACCCGAATTGCAGAAAGAAATGGTTCGCACCATTCCCGGTTTGGAAAACGCCGTGATACTCAGCCCCGGATACGGCGTCGAGTACGATTACGTGGATCCGCGAGAATTGCGAATAACGTTGGAGACGAAGCGCATACAGGGTTTGTTCTTAGCGGGACAGATCAACGGCACGACTGGATACGAAGAAGCCGCGGCGCAGGGCGTCATCGCTGGAGCCAATGCGGCGAGCGTCGACGGCGAAGAATTTGTCGTACCGCGATACTCTAGCTACCTCGGCGTTCTCGTGGATGATTTGACGAGCAGAGGCACGAGCGAGCCATACCGCATGTTCAGCTCGCGCGTGGAGTATCGGTTGAGCATTCGTTCCGACAACGCGGATCTGCGTCTCACAGAACTCGGCGAACGGTACGGCGTCGTCTCCGCGGAGCGCGCTCGCGCGGCGGCCAGACGACGCACGTTGGTCGAACAAGCCGGTGGTGCACTCGACGCGATCACGCTCATACCATCTCGATGGCAAGCGTACGCGCCGGACCTACCGATCGCCAAGCACGGTCGACATCTCAGCGCGTCCAATATGTTGGCGCAAGGTTGGGACGTCGACAAAATTCTCCGCGTCGTCGCGGACGTCCTCGGTCCTTTGGATCCGCACGTGCGAGCGCTGCGTTCTGTAAACGAAGAAGATCGAAGCGCGTTCGAGTGCGCGGCGATCGAGGCGTATTACAAACCGTACATCGAGCGCCAGGCGCAGGATATCGACGACATGCGCCGCGAGGAAGAGCTCGCGATTCCGGAAACCTTTGATTACTCCGCCATCGACAATTTATCTCTCGAAGATCGAGAAAAGCTCGAGGCGGTGCGCCCGACGACGTTCGCGCGCGCGAGTCGAATCTCCGGCGTCACCCCCGCGGCGCTACTCTCGCTCCTCCGAGTCGTGACGAAAAAATCGACGGTGAAACAGCGTTAGAATTCTTTTTAGATAACAACAACCTAGGTAGCACGCAGCGCAAACTAAAGCGCCCGCACGCCGACGATGGACTCCACTTGTTGCAGCGCTTCCAGCGCGCGCGCGCGCGACGCCGGGTCTTGTATCCCTCCCAATTCCTTCCGCACCTCCCCGAGCTCGCCCTGCACGTACTCCACCTGCGCCCCGGATAGAATTTTGTCGAGCTTCTTTTCCGGCGCAAACTTGGCTAAAACCCCCTCGTCTCGCACCCCCGCGTACTTCATCGCCGTCGTCATGTCCACCAACCCCGTCTTCGCCCCCACCGGTCGCCCGTTCTCGAACAGCATCAGCGTCGGAAACCCGGTGACGGCGTACGCGCTCGCGTAATCCGCGTACGCGTCCACGTTCATCCTCGCCACGCGCGTCTTCGACCCCGCTTCCTCGAGCTTTTCCGGCAATTCCTCCCAAATCGGTTCCAATCGCTTGCAGTACGGACACCACGGCGCGTAAAACTCCACGAACACCGCCCCCTCGCGTCTCGTCACCTCGCGCTCGAAATTCTCCGGCGTCAGCTCCACCACCCCGTCGTCCCCGCTCGCCGCGCGCGCCGTCTCGAATCCGCGCGCGCGCGTCGCCGCCGCGCGCATCACCACCCCCCCCGCGATCGCGCGCGCGAGCCCTCGCCGCGTCCCGCCCCCGTCGCCGCCGCGCGCCGTCGCGTCGTCGTCGTCGTCGTCGTCGCGCGTCTTCCGCGCGTCGCGTCGCCCCGTCGTCGCGCCGTCGTCCCGCGCCGCGCGTCGCGCCGCGCGTCGACCGCGTCGCGACGCGCGCCGTCGCCCGACCGCGGGCGTCGCGAGACCTCGCGCGGGCGTCGCCATGTCGACGCGCGTCGCTTTGACGCCGCGCCGACGCGTCGCCCCGCGCGACGGACCGGGGTGTTTTACATCCCGTATTCATGTATGTGAATACGTGATCCAGTGACGTATATAAACCACGACGAGACCCATCGCGGGGACGATCGCGGGGACGCTCTACTATTATTATACGACCACGACGCTCTTATTGAAGTCACGGATCCGGTATATAATGAACCCCGAACGCCGTCGAGGGGACCCATCGATCGCGTCGACGGCGCGCGACGGCGGACGACGACGCGCCGCGCTCGAGCGCCTTGATCCTTCGCGACGCGACGCGAACGCGCGACGATCGATCGATCGATCGAGCGCGACGCCTCGACGCGACGCGACGCGACGCGACGCGAATCGCGCACCGGGACATTCGCGCATTCGGCGGTTACGACGATTGCCGACACGCGGCGAATCGAATCGCGCGCGCCGAGCGCGACGCGACGCGACGGGACGATCGCGGGGAATCGCGCGACGGCGAAACGATCGCCGACGTCGAACGGGCGCGCGCGCGATCGATCGAGATGGAACGCGCGGTCGCGCGCGCGACGGGACGAGGCGCGACGACGACGACGCGCGACGACGGGACGCGACGACGGGACGCGACGCGAACGACGCGAGCGACGCGAGCGATGCGAAGGGCGCGAGCGATGAGAGACGGTGGGGATCGTGGTGACGATGGCGGTGAGGCGACGCGCGCGATCGGGATCGAGTGTCGGACGAGCGCGGGGGACAGGCTGCGGGAGACGCTCGCGAGGGAGGGCGGGCGAGGGTTCGAGCGAGACGCGAGACGCGCGCTCAGGGAGCTCGTCGCGATGGGGTACACCGCGGGGGAGGGCGCGGAGAGCGCGGAGTGCGATCGGGATTGCGTGATCGGACGCGCGGCGATGACGAGGATGGAGGTGGAGGATATCATGTACCTGAGCGCGGCGCGGGAAGTCGTGCGAGCGGGCGGCGGCGGCGGCGAGGCGAGCGACGCGCGGGAGAGCGCGGCGGATGACGGGCGAGGGCGCTTGCGGTTGATGCATCGATGTCAACGGCTTCAGGAGCTCTTACCGAAAGGTTCGGATGAGTTCATGATCAATTTGGTGCTGCGCGTGATCGATAACGTGTCCAAGCATTCGCATAAAGTCGGGTTGACGCACGCGGTGAAGACGTCGACGTTGGCGGACGTCTACTCAAAGTGCGCGTCTTTCGGTTACTTTTTACAGGCGAGCGAGCGAAGGTTAGAGCTCGAGCACTTCGTATCGACGAACGTCGACTTCGTGCACTTGGAAAAGCTGGCGTATCCCAAAAAGTTGGCGCGGTACGGCGTGTTGCGCAGCGGCTTGAAGGCGCTCGAGGGTTCGACGCCGAGCGCCGTCGCGTCGCGCGTCGCCGGGTACGAGGTGCCGGTTCCCTTGCGAGTTCCGGGGGGAATTCAGATTCAAAACGATATGGTTTCGCTGAAAGAGTACATCGACGAGATGGGTCCGTCCGCGCGCGCGCACGCGGCGCGCATCGCCTCTGTAGAGGCGACGGAGGTGTTGCAACTGCACGTCGCCTCGCTCTTCGCCGGCGATCGAGGACGAGTGCTGACGAGTCTGGGGCAGTTTCGGCGCAAACCGCATCGAAACGGAGGAAACGATACCGCAGACGAGCAACGCGTGTCGGTGCACGTGAATCAGCTCAAACACATCGTTCTCGAGGCGTGCGCGTTCGGCGCGACTCTAGCGAAGATTGAAGCTTCCATCGACTGCGAGTCGATCGAGTCGTCGAAGCCGCTTTTAACTCGCTTGTAATCAATGTTTTTGAATACCTTAGAAGGAAAACGAGGTTGATACAACTTCCTACCGTGCTAATTCGTTATCGCTAGGTCGTTATCGACGACCGATTCCGCTCTTCGCCGGCCGCGGCTTGACTTCTGTTTCGTTCACGGCGTGCAAGTAAATGTTATTCGGCGTGTTTGACAGCGGGTTGTCACCGCCCTTGCTCCAATCGTACGACACCGCGTACGCGTAAATCGTCCCATCGCGATTGAAGTTCCCGCACGAGATGGGTGCCGAACACTTGGTCATGTTCTTTAGGCGTTGCTTACTATCCTTGTCCCAAAAGTTGAAGTTGCCGTCGGCGCCCGCGGTGACGAACGTTCCAAACGTCGGGTGGAACGAGATGGAGTTGACGGCGTAAATGTCTTGCGTGCCTTCTCTGTGACATTTGAAAGTAAAGTTCTTGCTTTGCAAATTGTCTTCCACGTGCTGAACCGCGACGCGTCCTTCGATGGAGCCGACCAAGTAGCCCGAGCGATCGGGAAACGTGGCGACGCATCGCGTCTGATACTTGAGCGGCGATAACAACTGCTTGTACGGCACTTGCGGGTTGCTCAAGTTGAAAATCTGAATCTGTCTCTCGGCACATCCCACGACGAGCAAAGGGTGCGTGACATCTAACGCGTAACACCGTTCGGGGAGCTGAACCTGGAGCGCGGGATTCGGCTGACGCGTGTCCCAATACTTCAACGTTCGATCCCAAGATCCGGTGACTAACAACCCCACCTGTTCGATCCACGCCATGTGTCTGATCGCCCCATCGTGCTGCGCGATCTGCGTCGCCTGCCCGCTCGCCAAGTCCCATTTCTTCGCGATGTTATCGCACCCGCCCGTGAACACGCTCGCGCCGTCGCTCGACCACGAGCTACACAGCACCGGCGCCTCGTGCTTCGTCGACGCCTTCGGCATCGCCTGCCCATTGTTCGCCACCTCATAGCAATACACCTACATCGCGTCTCGACGCACCGCGTCGTCTCGTCAGTCCCCGTCGTTCGCTCGTTCGCTCGTTCGCTCGTTCGCGTTCGCGTTCGCGTTCGCCTCGCGCGTTCACGCACGTCTCCGTCCCACGCCGTCGCCACCAAAAAATTCCCCGTCGGCGACCACGACAGCGAGCTTATCCCATCGTTCGGCGGATTCGCCACCAGAAAGTCCCCGTTCGGGTTCGCCGGCGCCTGCGTCGCCGCCTGTCCCCACGACATCGCCTCGCCTCAACGATCCCTTCCGTCGTCCTTCGTCCGTCGTCCGTCGTCCTTCGTCCGTCGTCGGTCGGTCCGTTCGCTCGCGCGTCGTCGCGTCGATCGGTCCGCGTCTTCGCGCGTCGCGCTCGCGTCGCCGCGCCGTTTTTTCGCGCGCCGTTTTTTCGCGCGCGACGAATCGCGCGCGACGAATCGCGACGCGCGTCGGCGCCAACTTTTTATCGATGCACGAGCGCGTACTCGATCGTCTTCGAACGCCATCCCCGAGTGCGATGCGCGACGCGCGCGCGTCGTACGAAACCCCGTCCCGGGCGCGACACGTGACCGCGCGGACGCCGGGCGACGCCGATCGCTCGCGCGCGCGCGCGTCGCACACCGGGACGCGACGCGGCCGACGCGCGAAGACTGCGCGCGATCCGAGCGCGATGCGCGCGTTCAACGCGCCCGCGGCGACGGCGACGCGCGGTGCGGTGACGACGGCGACGCGACGACGACGCGCGACGACGATGGAGGGACCGAGCGCGACGATCGCGGCGACGACGATGCGCGCGAGGCGATGGGAACGCGCGCGAGGGTGCGGGAACGGGCGCGCGGGACGCGCGGTCGTCGCGCGGGCGACGGCGAGGCGCGCGGCGGTGGATCTGCGGAAGGTGATCGAGGATTTGTGCGAGGGGGCGGATTTATCCGAGGAGGACGCGCACGCGGCGATGGAGGCGCTGCTGGACGCGGATCCGACGCAGATCGCGGCGTTTTTGGTGCTGCTCCGGGCGAAGGGGGAGACGGCGAGCGAGATGGCGGGGTTGGCGCGAGCGATGCAGTCGAGAGCGGTGACGGTGGACGCGGGGGACGACGTGCTGGACATCGTCGGCACGGGGGGGGACGACGCGGGCACGGTGAATATTTCCACTGGATCGTGCGTGTTGGCCGCCGCGGCGGGAGCGAAGGTGGCGAAACACGGTTCGCGATCGGTGTCTTCGCTGTGCGGGTCGGGCGACGTGCTGGAGGCGCTCGGCGTGGACATCGAGCTGGGACCGGAGAGCATGAAGCGCTGCGTCGAGGAAGTCGGCGTCGGATTTATGTTCGCGCCGAGATATCATCCGGCGATGGCGAAGGTCTCGCCCGTGCGCAAGGCGCTCAAGGTGCGAACGGCGTTTAACATGTTGGGCCCGATGTTGAACCCGGCGCACAGCAAGTACGCGCTCGTCGGCGTGTACAGCACGGGGGTGCAGCAACTCATGGCGGACTCGTTGATGAAGCTTGGGATGAAGAAGGCGTTGATCGTGCACTCCATGGGATTGGACGAACTCACGCCGGCGGGACCCGCGGACGTCGTCGAGGTGACGCCGAGCGGCACGCGCGCGTACACGTTCGAGCCGAAGGATGTCGACATTAAGCCGTGCACGCTCGAGGATTTGCGCGGCGGCGACCCGACGACAAACGCGAGAATTTTGCGAGCCGCGTTGGAGGGTGAGAAGGGCCCGGTCGCCGAGACCCTGATTTTGAATGCCGGCGTCGCTATGGCGGCCGCGCAGCAAGCGAAGGACGTCGTGGAAGGCATCGCCATGGCGAGAGAGGCGCACGAGAGCGGCAAGGCGGGCAAAACGCTCGACTCCTGGATCAAGCTCACCCAAGAATTGAGAAAGACCGAGGCGTAGATTTTTAATGCAGTTATTTTCGTTTCGCTATTCAATCAATGAGTGTTTCGTTACTAAATGATCCGTCTACTTCTCGGCTTCCTGCTTCTTTGAAACCGCTCCCATCTGCGAAGGATCCATCGACGGGTACTTGGTCGCGTGCCCCACCGCGGCCGGCGCAGGCATGGGGATCGCCACATGCGCCGGCATATCTGGCGGTAAAGCCTGCCCATTCGCTGGAGCTTCCACACCTGGAGCCATCATCATCACGGTTGGTGGCGGTGCCGGCGCAGACCCTTGGTTGCCGCTCGCTTTTTTCGCCGCCGACTTGCCCCACTGGAGTCGGCATCGCTCTCCGTTGATTTCGAGATTTATCGCCGCATCTTCCGCCGCCTTCTCCGCACCTTCGCGCGTGGCGAAAGTGATGAACGCACATTTCTTCGTCCCAATCACGCGAATGCCCTTGATTTCGCCGTACTGATAGAAGCGCGAGTTGATGTCGTCCTCGGTGACCTTTTCCGGGTCGACGCCGCCTACAAACAACGTGGTGATGCTCGCATCTTCGGGTGGCGTCAACTTTTGGCTCGGTCGCTCTTTCGCGCGTTTGAGCATTTGTTCCGCCACCGGATCGTTCGTCCCGAAGTATCTATCCTTAATATTTTGCTTTCTCAACTCTGGCGCCGCGCTCAGTTCCGGCATGTGCGTATCCCCGTTGCAAGGTCGATACGGACAATCGTTCCTCGTGCACGCGTTTCTCAACCAAAACGTGCATATCGGCGTTTTATTCTTGTTATAATACGGCTTCTTCCTCGCCAACCGCATCAACAGTTCGTTATTTTTCTCCTTCCCATCCTTCTCGTACGCGTCCTCGCCCTCGTCCAGCTTTTTCGCGATCTCATTCACCGCGAAATCCCGGTTCACCGAGCTCGACGGCAGCGCGCTCCCTCCCGCGCGTCCCAGCGCGGCGTCCCGCGCGGCGACGGGTATCCCGTAATCTAAATCCAGCAGGCACACCTGGCACACGTTCTTCGCCTGCGCGATCTCTTTGCACACCACCGTCTTCTTGTACCTCGCCTCGTTCCCGGGTCGCCAGCGAAACACGGTGAAGGGGCGACCGCTGATCGCGCACTCGCCGCCGAGCGGCATCTTTTGCACGCGCACGTACGGGTTGGGGCCGAGGCAGTCCTCGCACACCACCGGGAATTCCCTGGCCTCGGATTCGTCCGACATGACGCCTCGAACGCGTCGCGGTGTGACGGCGGCGGTTCGACGCGGGCGTCCCGCGCGCGCGATGCGCGGCCGCAGCGACGCACACACGGACGCGCGCGCGCGGCTCGCGCGGCGGGACGCGCGCGAGCGCGCGAGGCGTCGTCAAGGGGGGCGATCTCGGCGCGCGGCGCGCGCGGCGACGAGAAAACGCTTCGGGACGGCGCGCGATGGCGCGTTCGAACGATGCGGATGCGTCGGCGATGGCGTCGTTGGCGTCGGCGAGGCGGTACGCCTATCTCAGTTCGATCGTGCACGCGGAAGAAGACGATGAGGATGACGTCAGGACGCGCGCGATGGGGACGCTGAGCGCGATGGTGGCGAGCGTGGGGTTGGATGCGAGCGTGGCGCGCGCGTTGGAGAGCGTCGTGAGCGGGACGCCGAGCGCGAGCGCGCGGGCGCCGGGGACGTCGGCGAGTCTGCTGCCAGAGGTTTCGATGAAAGACTTTGAGGGGTATCTACGACGAACGCGGGAGCGCTACGCGGAGTTCGTGGAGCAGCGAGCGTACGCGGCGGCGGCGCGAGCGACGCCGGAGGAGCGGAGCGAGGCGCGGTTGCGGCGGTACGAATTAGAAGAGGGCGTGAGTGAATTAAGCAGCGTGCCGGACTTGTTCTTCGACGAGACGTTTGATTTGAGTCGACCGGAGACGTTTGCACGGGCGTGTGCGGGATTAGAGGATCAGAGCTTGCGGAATCTAGCGCGCGCTTCCATGGATGCGCAGGAACATTTAAGCGCACACTTGGATACGATCGAGCAGCATTTGATTCGAGAGATCATCGCGAAGAGCGATGAGTTCTTTGATGCGCTCAAGGAACTGCGCGATCTTCACGACTCGATGACGGAGACCCAAATCACGGTTGGTTCGATGCGTCAAACCGTCAGGAACATTGGCGAACACTTGGTCAAGCCGGGGCAGCTCATGATAGACTTGAACGACAAGCGGGACAAAATGCAAGGATTGACTGAAAAATTTGCATCCATCGCCGCGCTTCAACAAATGCGTTTGGATATGGACGTTTTCGTTGAGAGTACGGATTATCCAGGCGCGCTGCAAATCGCAGAGGATATTAGGAAAACTTTGGCGGATGACAGAGTGCTCGCCGAGTTGTCGTGTTTCAGAAAGCTTCCAGAGCACATCGAACGGACGGTCAGTAAAGTGCGAAACGTCATGATTAGTGATTTCGTAGCGGGTGCAAGCCTACCGAGGGACGCCAAGGCTGTCGTCTCCCCGAAAACACTCGAACATCTGTCAAAGGTTGCCGCGGCGAACGGATTGAAACCGCCGGCTGCGAATTTCAACGAAGCGCCCCAGTTTGGCGATAAGAGAGGAAACGTGCTCGACACTACGATTCCACCTTTTATCGCACTGTTATTTTCCGGAAGTTCCTTTGTTTGCGATGCACTCGAGGCGTGGTCGTCTGCTATGTCGGAAGACGTGCGCCAAATCGAGCACGTCGCCGTAGACGTGATGCTCAGTCGAGTCACGGGGGAGCGAGTCAAGAGCTCGACGACGTGCATGGAAGAAGGCGTGTTTGACTCCGCGTACGCGAATGCTATTCGAAAGTTACCCGGTGAGGTCTTTGTGGAGATGCTCGTGGCGTTGACAGAGACGTTCAACGCGTACTTTGAACGGGCCAACCAAATCAAACTCGTAATTCGTGGCGTCATCGGTAACGATGAAGAGGCTTTAACGCAGCTTCGTTCGATCGATGAAAATTTAATATTGGCCGCGCACGAAGCCGCGACAAACTTTGATTACGTGTGCTCGCAGACCGCTTTGGCGACGTCTAATGAGGCTTTGAATAAAGTCATAGACATCGCACAAGGACGATTTGCGAAAATTCTTGGCATTCGAGCTCCCATGAACATCAACTTGAGCGCTCGAGAGTTCATGCGAATCATGGATGCGACGAACGGATTCTTAGACTTGGCCGAATCGCTTGGCAAGCATCGCTGTCTCAGCCTTCGTTCAACGGTTGCAAATCAAAGCAAAGCGTTCATCCGCGAGCAACACGCCACGGCTTCAACAAAGCTCGTATCTTTGCTAGAATGTGAGACGTGGGCGCTCGCAAAGTTACCAAAACACTTTCAAGCACTCGTAGACGCATTAGCAGATGGTACGAGTAAGCTTCCAGATGTCATGAGCGAAGATGTAGGCGATGCATCGTTCGTCGTCGTGGCGGATGAAAAATTTCACCCAGTGAATAGCGCCGTGCTACTTCTGCAAATGTTGACCGACTACGTGCGCCTTGCGCGCCAGATTCCGTCTCTCTCCACGGAAGTGACGCATCGAACGATAGATCTCGTGAAGCAGTACAATACGGCCGTGTGTCAACTCATTCTGGGTGCGGGCGCGATGCAAGTGTCCAAGCTGAAATCCATCACTGCGAAACATTTATGTTTGGCGCAGCAGAGCGTTTCGCTCTTCGCATCTCTTCTTCCAACCTTGCAAGAAGCCATGTGCGCTCTAATCGAAGGCCCAAAACACGTCCTTCTTCGTCAAGAGTTCGAGCGGATGCTGCGAGATTTGAAGCTGCACAAGAGTGAAATTCACGACAAGCTCGTGAGCATCATGCGCGATCGAGTGGAGTTCCATTTGCACCGCTTGGCCTCAATCGTCGAGTCTCTGCGCGACGAAGGCAACGTAAAGCAAGTCGATGGAGCAAGCGATTTCGCGATTTCGTTAACGAAAGAGATGGGAACTTTGCGACGCGTCATATGTGAATTATTATCTGAAGACGACAGACGAGACGTTCTTGGCCGCGTACGCGACGAAGCCGTCGCGTCGATCGTTTCGCGAGTTCAGTCTTTGGAATCGGGAGACAATTTGCGAATTATCGCGCAGCTGAGTGTTGACTTAGACGTTTGCGCCGATTCCATGAAGGAGATGCCGGTATCAGGCGCCGATGCGTCTGAAGACGCGCTTGCGTCGCTCGCGAGCGCATTTCGATTAAAAGTACCCCCGCCCGTCGTGAATGAACCGGCAGACGACGTCTCCGCGCGAGAAAAAGAACAAGTAGGGCAAAACAAAGCAGCGGACGATAAACCTAGCACCGATTAGATCGTCCTCACGTGTATAACAATTGTAAAGCTAAGCATCCTCACGCGCGCTTCAGTCGCCCAGCGCGTCCAATTTCGCTTGAATATCCGCCCTTCGTCGCCTCGCCTGCCTCCCCCATCCCGACGCCATCGATAATTCATACCTCAGCGTCTCTCGATCCCTCTCCCGCTCTCTCTGAGCCTTCCCATCCCGCACCATTCCGAGCGCGCTCGCCAACCCGCTCGCGACGCCCGCCACCGCCCCCGCGCCGAGCGCGAACACCAGCCCCCCGCCCGCCGCCGCCGCCACCAGCCCGCTCACCGCTCGAAACACCGACAATTCTTCCATCTGTTCCGCCTCGCGCGCCATCTCCTCCGCCGTCGCGCGCGTCTTTCGCGTCTTGTCCCCGTCGAACGCGCTCAATTGCATCGACCGCGCGGGCGCGCCGCGCGTCGTTCGCGCGCGCTCGCGCGCCGCGCGCGCCGCGCGTCGGAGCATCGTCGCCGCGCCGTCGCCGCGCCGCGCCGTCGTCGCGTCGCGCGCGCCGGTCTGACGCCGCGCCGTCGCATCGATTCGACGCGTCAATTCGCGTCGCGCCCCGATGGGCCGCGCGCGGCGCCAGGCCGCGCAGCGCGCGTTCGATCGCGAGCGCGACGATCGCGCCGCGCGCCGCGCCGACGACGACGCGCGATCGACGCCCGAGGCGCGCGCGCGGGAGGGTAAGGGTCGACGCGTCGGCGCAACGAACTCGAGCGCAATCGTCGTCGCGCTGGGCGTCGTCGCGGCGCTCGCGTGGAGGAAAGCGCGCGCGCGCGCGGCGAAAACCGACGGCGACGACGCGAGCGATCGATCGGCGCGCGGCGCGGCGGCGACGAAGGACGGGGCGAGGAAACGGTTGTCGTTCTCGGGGTCCTCGGTCGCGAGCGCGGCGGACGCGGCGGCGACGACGGACGCGACGATCGAGAGAGACGAGGGCGAGCGAGGGGAAAACGCGCGCGTGGAAACGGTTGAGAATGAAAAGGCGCGACCGGCGGCGCGAGCGGTCGAGGAGAAGACGGTGGATTCGGGGGAGGTGCCCAGGCCCGCGACGCCGCCGCGCGCAACGGAGCGATCGACGAGGTCGACGCCCGGGTCGCCGGCGTCTCGACCGGCTTTGAAACTGGAGGTCGAGACCGGTGCGAGTCGAGGAGCGACGTACGTGGCGTCGCTCGGGATGGATGAGTTCACCATAGGGCGCGGTAGGATGAATGGATTCGTCGTGGAGAGCTCGGAGGTTTCGACCGTGCACGCCAAGGTGAGATGGAACGGCGTGGCGTGGACGATGCGGGATCTAGGTTCGCTGAATGGCACGCGCGTGAACGGAATGACGATATCAGAGTCAGTGCGCACGCCCGGAGGGTGGCGAAAAATCACGCACGGTGATGTCATCAAGCTGGGCGAGCGAGACTCGAGTCCGCGAGTATCCGTACACTTTTTCAGAGACGTCTCGATCGAGGCGAACGCGGCGCTGGCGTTACAAGCAGTCGTTCGCGCCGAAGGATCGAAGCCTATGAAGTCAGAGGATCGAATTCTTGTGGAATGCCCTCTGCGCGGGAACCCATCCGTGGGGTTATTTTGCGTTTTCGACGGGCACGGCGGGCAAGAAGCCGCGGAGCGCGCGAGGCAGCTCTTTCCGGAGGTGCTCGCGCGACGCTTGGGAGGTAAGGTTCCCGGCGGCGAGGGCGCAAGAGAACTTTTGGAGGCAGCTTTCATAGAAAGCGACGAAACAATGGCGGTAGAGTACGAAGGGTGCACGGCAAGCGTCGTATTAGTGTGGAAGAATGAGAAAACCGGTGGGTTGATGGTGCAAGCCGCAAACGTGGGTGATTCGAGTGTTGCCCTCGGTCGAGTGCCCGTACCGAAAGGACAGCACCACGGTGCAAGATATCTCACGCCCGAACACAAAGTGCGCCATGAAGAGGAGAAGAATCGTCTCAATGAAGCCGGCGCTGATTTACCACCTGAGGCTACTCGACTTTACGGCTTGGCGTTATCTCGCGCTCTCGGCGATAAATTCCTAAAGGATCAAAAGGTCGGCCTCATCGCGCACCCGTTCGTGAGTGAAGTGCTGCACATCGAAGGTAATTCGAACGACAGCGTGCTGACGATAGCGAGCGACGGGATATGGGATGTTCTCACTCCGAAAGATGTTTACGACACCATGCACGAGGCTGACGGTTGCTTACACACGTCGTGTCAAAGTTTAATCCTCAATGCGCGCCGCCGAAGAAGCGTCGACGATATAAGTATCGTCACTGTACGCTTGAGTCTCGAATCTACTTAGGCGTGAGTCTAGGAACTTGTATTGAAATGTTCTTTTACAACGAATTGTACTTTTGCACCCCCTCTCTGAGCACGTCAATCGCCTTCGTCCAGTCATCGCTTCCGAACACACTGCTACCCGCGACGATCACGTTTGCCCCCGCTTCCGCCGCGGCATCAATCGTGCTCGCCGATAATCCACCGTCGACTTGAATCTTCAACTTTGGAAACCGCTCTCGCAACCGCTTCACCTTTTCGCAGCACTCCGGATTGAATTTCTGTCCCCCAAAGCCCGGTTCAACAGTCATCACGAGTACCATATCGCACAAACCCTTCTCAACGCTCGAATGTACCACATCTACCGCCGTTCCTGGCTTGATGGCGATCCCAACCTCCATTCCAGCCTTTCGAACTTCCTCGCACGCGCGTTCGACGCCGGCGTCCCCGTCGCACGCCTCGGCGTGAAACGTAAACATGTTCGTCTTCGCCTTGGCCATGGGCTCGATGTAGTCCAGCGGATTCGTCACCATCAGATGCACGTCGAAGTACGCGTCCGGGACGTGCGGGCGCAGCGACGTGAGCACGGGCGCGCCGAACGTCAAGTTCGGGACAAAGTGACCATCCATGACGTCCAGGTGCAACCAGTCGGCGCCGCACGCGATAACCTTGCGCGATTCGTCCGCCATGCGGGCGAAATCGCAGCTCAGTAAACTCGGGGAGATGACGGGCGCGTTGGCGTACGGCGTTGACATGACGACGGCGTGAGGTTGTGACGCGCTCACGCGGAGAAGTTGGTTTAAAAGTGTCGACGCCGCGAGCGACGCCAAAAAGAATATCAATGATCGCCAGCTAGGCTAAGGAATGACGACGCTACGCGCGAATCGCACCGACTCACGCGATGTCTAATCGAGATCTATCTAAAAAGTTCGGATCGCGACGGAACCGGTTTTGGAATTTATCAAACCAACGCGTGAGGATGTTCACGGGAACGACCATTCGGTCGTTCGAGCTGCCTTCGCATTGAAAGCTCTGCATGAACCGAAACAAATCCTCCGCCACGCGTTTCGCGAATGTTTCTTTGTGTTGAACCAGCGCCGCTTCCTTTTCTAACGCCGACGCCAGCGGTTCGACGCTCACGCCGACCGCGGCGGTTGGATGCGCCCGCCCGGTGGCTTCGTCCACCGGCCAACGCAGCGTGAACACGTCGCTCGGTTTAGCGTTGGCCACGCATCCGCAGTACTCCCAAGGCGCGTCTCCGGCTTTTATGTACATGCACAGCGCGCTATTATCATCGAGCACTGCGTTCATCGAGCGCGAAACGCGCGCGTCGTCAGTCCGTCGTCCTCCCCGCGTCGCGCGTTCGCCTCGTCGCCCCGCCCGCGCCCGCGCCTCCGGTCGCCTCGCTCGCGAATCGCCACTCACGCCGCTGCGAAGGCATGAAAAAGCACACTTCCCGACACTCGTCGTGCGCGAATCCCGCGTTCGTGAGATCCAGCGTCCAGGACGCGCCGTTTTCGACGCAGACGAAACTCTCCGAAGCCACCACGCACGACTTCTTCGCGAACACCGCGCCGAAGAGCATCGTCCTCGGCGCGCGTCGACCGTCCGCGCGCGTCGAGCGATCGACGCGCGCCGCTCACGCGCGCGCTCGAGCGATGCTCTTCGGCGATCGACGCGCGCGCGTCGAGGAGTGACGACGCGGGCGCCGCGAGTCGTCCCGCACATCGCGACGCGTCGTCGTCATGCACCGCGCCGCCGCCGCCCTGCGCGTCGTCGCGCCTCGAGTCGCGACTCGAGTCGCGCGCGACGCCCGCGCGCCGTCTCGCGCGGCGCACCGCGTCGCGCCCGCGTCGTCGAGCGCGGCGAACGCGTCGACGCGATCGTGGGAGTTTCGTCTGCTGTACGACGGCGCGTGCCCGCTGTGCGTGCGCGAGGTGGAGATGCTGCGCGCGAAAGACGGCGGGAAAGGGAACCTGGATCTGGTGGACATCGCGAGCGATGATTACGACGCGAAGGAGAACGCGGGGATCGAGTACGCGGAGGCGATGAAGACGATTCACGGGCTGGACGCGGCGAATAACGTGTACACGGGGGTGGAGGTGTTCGAAAAGGCGTACAAAGCGGTCGGATTGGGGTACGTGTACGCGTTCACCAAGGTGCCGTTTTTGCTGAACGCGGCGAACAAGGTGTACGACGTGTGGGCAAAGTATCGATTGAACGTGACGTCGAGGGGGTCGCTCGCGGAACACCTGGCGGCGCGCAAGGCGCGCATGGATGGGAAAAATTGTGACGCGTGCGAGATTAACTTCGAGACGGACGGGAGCCAGTGTGACGATGGGACGTTGTACCTCTGCGAGACGGACGAGGAAGAGGCGAAGACTGCGTCGAAGTGAGCGGCCGGCGAGACGTCTCGTACGCTCCGACTGCTTGTCGCGCAACTACGCTGTACGAAAACGCTGTACCATGGAGAATGATATTTGTTGTTGAATATGAATATTGATTGCTTCACTATTGCGCCTGACCTGCTGCCTTGGCGGCTTCTTTCGCTCGCTTCTTTTCCGCGATTTGTTGCTCCTTGAGCAACTTCTTTTGCTGCGACTTGGACATTTGTCCACCATCTTCGCCCGTTTGCGCCTTGTCTTGCTCCTTCTTCACCGAGCCCGTATCCTCGGGCGCACCGATCGCGATTCCAGGCTTGGTGTTCGCGATTGTCGCTTCGTCCAAGGCGCCGGCGACATCGCCCATGTCGCCGAAAAGGGACGCAAAGACGCGAGGCTTCGTCGACATGAACTCGTCAATCATCGCATCCGTCACCTTTGCTCTCGCGTCTTGGTGCCCTTGGCAAATCGGCACCAACGTTTCGATAAGCTTTGCCTTAATTTCTCCACTCAACATCCTGCCGCTACTGTACTCTTCGCCGATCTCAGCCAGCGCTTGGTCGTCGTCGAGGAAGAAGTTTAGCCACTTCCAGCTAATATCCGTGTCTAAATTGCCACCAAGACGCCTGTGATCCTCCACCGTGAGCTGACCACCGCTGAAAGCGTACTTGTTCACCTTGGTTTTAATTTCCTTCGGCGTGTCCGTGACGTAAATGGCGCTCGTGGCATCCGAAGCGCTCATCTTTCCGCTCTCGCCCTTCAACGCCGGGAAGAATCGAGACTCAATCAACGCCGGCTTGTAGCCACCGATGCGCGGCGCGACGTCGCGCGTCATTCGGAAATACGGATCTTGATCGATCGCACACGGAATCAAGCACCGCAAGCTCGTCTTGCTCTCGCCGAACATGTGTGGAAAGCAATCCGGAAAGCTCGGCGCCGCTTGCGTCGGCGGAAATCCAACCTGCCCAATATTCGACTCACCCGTGAATCCGAAGATCCCTTTCACTTGATTCAGCGTCACGCATTTCGCGATCTTCATCATATTCTTATAAAACGGCGTCGACATGTACTGCACGTCTGAAAAGATGAACGTTCGCTTTGGATCGAATCCGCACGCGATGATATCCTTCGCGTTCTCCCTCGCCAACCTCCCGCACTCCTCCAGACTCAAATCCTTCCACAAAAACTTTTCATCGTCCGTCAACTGAATCACCAACGGCACCTTGAACGCGTCTTGCAACCACTTCGTGAATTGAAACGGAATCAAGTGTCCCAAGTGCAACGACTCGCTCGACGGTCCGCGTCCCGTGTACAGATAAAACTTTTCACCCCTCTCGTACGCGTCCAGGATCAAATCCAGCTCGCGATGCGCGAAGAACATCCCTCGTCGCAGGAACGGATGCGCCTTTCGTCCCGTGACGCGCTCGACGCGCTCGATCATCTCCCGGTCGATCGTCGAGCATCCAAAGTCGCGCACGAGTTTGTCGTAATCGATGCCGCCGCCGTCTTTTCCCTCGACGTCCCACGGCGTGACGACCTGCTCCGTCGCCGTCGTCTCGCGCGCGTCGTCCTCGACGTCCGTCATCGCGTCACCGCTCGCGCGCCGTCGACCGCGTCGCGCTCTGTCGACCGCGCGCCGTCGTTCCATCGCGTCGTTCGCGCCGTCGGCGTCGCGCGATCGTCCCGGCACTCCGCGCCTCGGCGCCGTCGAGGCCGCGATGAAGGAGCTCGTCGGGCGCGTGGCGTCGAATAAGATGATGAAGACGGTCACCGTCGTCGTCGAGCGGTTGTTCAGGCACCCGCGGTTCAAGCGCTACGTCAGGGCGAGGAAAAAGTACGCGGCGCACGACGAGGAGAATCGATGCAACCCGGGGGATTTGGTGCGGCTGCGACACTCGAGACCGCTGAGCAAGACGAAGCGGTGGGTCGTGGACGAGATCGTGCGAAGAGAGCGGCAGTTCGATCGGGAGGCGGTGAACGCGGCGGTGAAGGAGCGGGTGGTGGCGGAGAAGCGAGCGAGGGCGAACGCGGAGAGAGGGTTCGCGGGCGCGGCGGCGGAGAGCGAGATTTAGCGTAAGTCGAGGTAGAGGCGCGCGCGCGATGTAATGAATGAAAGATCGATGTAGAGTGAATGATGACGCGATGCTTGCGTTACGCGCCGCTAATGGGTTTGGTGCTACGTCAAGTACACGACGACGTCTTTGCGTCGCGCCATGCCGACGGGGAGGTGGGCGACGACGCGCGTGCCGTTTTCGAGAAACTCTTCGCTCTCGACGAATCCGGTTCGACGAATTTCGCCGATTAAAGCGCCGCGTTCGTACGGTATGAGCATTTCGCATCGGCTCAACGTGCGCTTTTTGATGATTTCGACGATTTTGTCCTGGAGGGCGTCCAATCCTTCCCCCGTGAGCGTGCTGACGACGACGGCGCCGGCGTCTTCGGCGGCGATTTCGATTTCGAGACGTTCCTCTTCGTCGAGGACGTTGTCGATTTTATTCCACACCAGAAGCTGAGGGATTTCACCAGCGTCGAGTTCATCGAGAACGCTGTCCACCGTGCTCATGTGAGCCTCGGAGAGATCAGAGCTGATGTCGACGACGTGGAGAATCAACGACGACTCGAGAACTTCCTCGAGCGTCGCTCGAAACGCGGCGACGAGTTGCGTCGGGAGTTTTTGAATGAAACCGACCGTATCCGTCATGAGCACCGTCATCCCATTCGCAAGTTCGAGGCGACGAGTCGTCGGATCGAGCGTCGCGAAGAGCTTGTCCTCCGCCAATACCTCCGCATTCGTCAATTTGTTGAGCAACGAACTTTTTCCGGCGTTTGTGTATCCAGCCAGCGAGACGATGGGCACACGCTCGGCCTTCCGTTTCTGTCTATACTGCTCGCGGTGCGTCCGCATGCTCTCGATCTTCGCGTTGAGTAACGACTTGCGCTCGCGCAACAAGCGCTTGTCGATCTCAATCTGTTTCTCCCCCATACCCTTCACCGCCCCGCTTCCGCTCTGTCGCTCGAGATGACTCCACATCTTTGTCAGGCGCGGCATCTCGTACTCGAGCTGCGCCATCTCCACCTGCAGCTGACCTTCCGCGGTTTGCGCGCGCTGTGAAAATATATCCAGAATCAACGCCGTCCGATCGCAGATTCGCACTTTTGAACCGAGCTTACGCTCTAAATTTCGCGCTTGCTTCGGCGACAACTCGTCGTCGAAAATCACAATGTCCACCGCCGCGGCGTCTACGCGGAACCCGTTTCGCCTATCTCGACTTCTCTCCTCGTCCTCGTCTTCGTCCTCGTCATCCTCCCAAAATATCTCATCGTCTTCGTCGTCCTCGCGCTCGTCGTCGTCCTCTTCATCCGCCTCCATCGCCCGCGGCAATCCGCACATTTCGCGCAACTCGCCGATTTTCCCCGATCCCAAGTACGTCGCCGGCGCCGGCCCTCTCGCCAACCGCTGCGTCATCCGCCCCACCACCTCGCACCCCGCGGTGTTCACCAACCTCTCCAACTCATCCAGCGAGTCCTCCAGATCAAACTCTCCCGCGCTTTCGTACGATCGATTCTTCCCCGCGACGCCGACGACGACGACGCGCTCGGGTCGCGCGTCCCACCCCCACAAATCTTCCCTCTCCCGTCCCGCGCCCACCGTCGCGTCCGTCGCGCTCGACGCGTCGATCGCCAGCGTCGTCCCTCGCGCGCCGTGTCGTCGCTCGATGATCTCCTCCCAGGACATTCCCGCGAGCGCGTCGTCGTCGTCGTCGTCGTCGTCGCCGAAAAAGCGCGCGTCGTCGCCATTCGCGCGCGCCGTCGCGTCGCGTCGCCGTCCGCGCGCGTCCCGTCGCGCCGGACGTCGACGGCGCGCTTCGGACGTCGTCGCCCGCGTCGCGCCGCGCGCGACGGCGCCGCGCATCCCGCGTCGCGCCGCGTCGCCGCGTCGGCGAGTGACGGGCGGCCGACGCGCCGCACGTCGACGCGCGATGGACGCGCGCGACGGGACGCGCGCGGACGACGACCGAAGCGCGCCGTCGACGTCCGACGCGCCTTCTTCGCGCGCGCGGTGGTCGGGCCTCGCGCTCGCGCAGGTCTGCGCCTTCGTCAACGCCGTCTCGGCCGCGTCGTCGACCGCGCTCGAGCGCGCGGGGGCGACGATGCCGGCGTGGCAGACGACGTTCGCGTACGCGCTCGTCGGGACGTGGTACGGGGGGCGGTTTTACGCGCGCGCGCGCGATGGGAAGGCGCGCGGGCGCGACGCGCGGCGACTGGGCGCGTACGCGGCGTGCGCGTTCGCGGACGTGCAGGCGAATTACTTCGTCACGCTGGCGTTTCGGTACACGTCGATGACGAGCGTGTCGCTGTTGGACAGCGCGACGATACCGTTCGCGATGGCGCTGTCGACGGCGTTTTTGGGGGCGAGGTACGCGAGGACGCACGCGGGCGGCGCGGCGATCGCGTTCGCGGGGCTGGCGGCGTTGGTGCTCGGCGACGCGTCGGCGGAGGCGACGGGGGGAGGGACGAACAGGGCGCTCGGGGACTTTTTAGCCATCTGCGCGGCGGCGATGTACGCGACGTCGAACGTGCTGGTGGAGGCGTTTCTGCGGGACGCGGACAAGGTGGAGATTTTGGCGCACGTCGGCGTGATGGGTTTCGCGATTAGCGGCGCGCAGTGCGCGTTATTAGAGGGGATGAAGATCACCCAGCTCAAAGCTCTGGGAGCGATGGGCGTTGGCTTCTTCGCCACCTACGCGCTGTCGCTGTTCGTCCTGTACACCTTCGCCATGGACGTCCTCGAGCGGTGCGGCGCGTCGGCGTTCAACGTGAGCATGCTCGCGAGCGACGTGTGGAGCGTCATCCTTCGACTCATTTTCTTCGAAGGCTTCGCGTCTTTCTCCGCCGTCATCGCCTTTGGATTCGCGTTTTTGCTCGTCGCCGGTGGGATATGCGTGTTCGCCTACGCGGGCGACCCTTCGATCGACCCGTCGTCGTCGTCGTCGTCGCTCGAAATCGCCCCCGACGACGACGACGTCTCGTTCGTCGCGCGCGTTCGTCGATTCTTCATCCCCGACGCCCGGGCGAGGCCGTACGCACCGATGCCCACGGACGACGCCCGCGCGTCAAACGTCGACGTCGAGCTGACTCCGATGCGCGAATAGCGACGATTGTGATTGTACCGTAGACTGTTTCGACTCGACTCGGCGCGACGCCTCGAGCCAACCGACGTCGCGAGTCATCCATCTGATCGAACGATCGTCCCGCACACCGCCGCGTTCGGCGCGCGTTCGCGCCCATCTCGCGCGTCCGCGAAGATGCCCTCGCGACGCGCGTCCGCGCTCGCGCGCGCGTCGCCGATCGCCGCGCTCGCGACGCTCGCGACGCTCGCGCGCGCCGACCAAACAATCCAGCGCGCGCACAAACTCGACGACGAGTTCGCGTCGAGCGCGATGCTGAGGTGCGAATCGTGCGCCGCGGTGACGCACGCGTCGATGGTGCACATCGACCGACTCAAGGCGCGCAAGATGGCGATGATGGGGTCGAGCGAGGTGGGCGACGGGGAAGTGGATTGGGCGGAGGCGTGCGAGACGCGCTTCGCGGCTGGGAGCGCGCGGTACGGATACAAGACGGTCGCGAACGAGACGCACATCGTCGGACCGGGAATCGATGTGTTCGCGAGCGTGGATGGAAAAGTGAGGGATCGCGAAGGGGTGACGACGCAGCTGTACGCGAGGTGTAAGGCGTTGATGTACGAGTTGAACGATTTCAGCATCGCGGAGACGTACGCCGAGGCGGAGGCGGCGGTGGAAAAGTCGGGCGCGAAGGGCGCGGAGAAGCCGACGGCTGTGTTCATGAAGTTGTTAGACAAGAATTGCGTGGAAAACGTGAAAATGTGCGAGAGTGTCGATTGGTTCAAGGATGCGTTGTCAAAGTCGTTAGAGGAGTCGACGGAAGCGGCGACCGCGGCGGCGTCTGAACTGTCTAACGCGACGGTGGATGAGAATAACCTCGTAAACATCACCTTGGCCAATGAAAAGTGCAACAACGAGGATGACGAGCGCGCTATTTCTATTTCTTCCGCAGCGTGTGATGTACTCGTGAGAGAGCTTTTAAAGAAGGGTGACGAGAATACGAGAGCCTTTCACAATTTCACCGGCGAGGCGACAAAGTATGAAAAGCTCCTCGAGCGCGGCGGGGAAAAAAAGCTCGACGACGACGATGTGGACAAAGATGGTGATGTCCATGAGCTGTACGCGGATGCCATGTTGAATGCATCACAGATTAAAGCAAACATAACTCTGGCACGCGCAGCGGGCTACTTTTCGAGCGCGTTGGACATCGATTCCGAAAACTACGCCGCACGACACAATCTCGCCTACGCGTACAAGAGCGCCAAGAACTGGACCGCGGCGAAGGATCACTTGTACATCATTGTCGCGAGTGAGCGTGCGAATGATATGGCGAGTGAAACGCGCGCCGAAAGTTTGAAGCTTTTATGTGAAGTCGAGTTCCACGATAAAAACGTGACTGGCGCCCTCAGCGCGTGTCGAAAAGGTGTCGAGTTGGACCAGTACAATTTCCACACCCTTCGGCTTTTGGCACAAATTCACGTCGTTCGTTTCTTCGACGAGGTCGAGGCGATTCGTGCGACTGATGAAGACGATGTTCAAGAAGAGAGACAGCACAATATCGCGCACGAGCTCGTCCAAGCGCTCGATTTGTTCACGCGAGCCTTGGTCCTCAATCCGGTGAAGAATGAAATCGCGCAACTCGGCATGACTATTTATTTCTTGCAAGCGGCGCAAGACGCCGCTCTCAAGAAGCTCACCCGCGAGCAGCTTCAGGTACTCAAGAACGCTCGTCACTTTTGCTCGCGCAGCGGTACAGACGCGGACAGCGCGTGCGCAGACATGCTCGAACTCGCGGGTCAACACATGTTCGAAAAAGGCTTCATCGCCATCGGCAACGACGCCCTACAAATGGCGCTCGTCCTCGACAAGGCGCGCACGCAGCTTTGGTCCAGCCTCGGCTACGGTTTTATGACCATCGGCAAATTCAAACTCGCCAAAGTCGCCTTCGACAAAGCCAAAGAATCCGACGAAACCTTCACCCTTTCCTCCACCGTCGAAGACCTCTTCCGGCGCGGCGTCGACTTTGAGACCAAGCTCGACGAAGACCGCGCCACGGCGTCCGCGTCCTGGACCGAGAACCGCCGTCCGAACAAAGACGAGCGCGCCGAGCTCGCCAAGGAAGTCACCGCCAAGCTCGGCGCCGTTCGCGGCGTCGCCAAGCACGACGAATTGTAATCCAACATCCCCCCTCGCCCGCCCACGAGTCGCGTCACTCTGCGACGCACTCGAGCGATGTCCCGCGCGCGCGGCGTCTGCGCCTTGGTCCTCATCGACGACGGCGCCGCGACGACGCGCGACGCGGACGTGCCCGAGGAAATCATCCTCCAGCGCCTGCGCGCGTCGAGCGAGGACGACGACGGCGCGAGCGACGACGACGGCGACGACGACGACGGGGTGCCGGGAATCCTCTCCCCCCCGTCCGCGCGCGACGTCGTCGTCATCGGACGCCAAAAGGGCGTCGTCGACCACGCGATGGACTGCGCGAGCATTCCTCTGCTGCTCAGTCGCAAACACGCCGCGATGACGTGCGACGGCGCGGCGCATTACGTGCGAGATTTAGCGACGACGAACGGGACGTTCGTGAACGGGTCGAGGATCGACGCCAAGGTGGACGTCGCGCTGAAAGACGGGGACGTCGTCGCGTTCGGAGGGCCGCGGTACGTGGCGCGGGATAGCGGTCGGTTGGCGAACCCGTTTCGGTATCGGTACGTGCGGTTGGAGCGCCCGGGGGTCGACGCGAGGAGCAAACGGCTGCGAGCGAGCCAAGAGAACGACGCGGCGAGAGAGGCGTTCGGGTCGCAGGGGGCGCAGTTGAGCCAGGTGTATCAGGCGGTGCAGGCGAGTCAGACGAGCGAGAGTTATGAGGAGTTGGATGATATGCTGAAAGCGCGGTTGAGGTCGATGTTCGATGGAGAGGTGGACTTCGCGCAGGCGTGCGCCAAACGGTACTTTGGAGTGGCGACGCCGACGGCGTCGCCGAGTAAGTCTACGGGTAAGCGTAAGAGCGTGGGTCAAGCGACTCGAAGTGCGCCGAGTTCACAAGATCCTGATGCGGACGATGGGCTGCGAGATAAGCTCTCCGAGCTCGTTCTCGAACGCTTGCGAGACAGACCGGCGTGGGTGGAATCTGAACTCAAGTGCGCGATATGCCGCGAATGGATGACACTTCCCCACGCCTTGATCACTTGTGGACACCTCTTCTGCCTCGAATGCATCGACAATTCGTTTTGTCACGCCTACACGTGCCCGTGCTGCCGTTCGCGTCCGAACGCGCCGCGTGAGCTCCTCTTCACGCCGTCGGCGCTCGCCGACAGACTCCTCGACAAATACGTCATACCAACCCTCACCACCAAGGAACTCCTCGACCGTAAGGCGAAGGAACAGAACGCCGTTCAAGCTCGCAAGAAACGAGTGAAACGCGCCGCTGAGGTCTCCATGCGCGTCGGCACTCTCTCCACGGTCTCCGTGCAAGAGACGCAGTCGGCGACGCCGCGAAGCGACGCGTGACGCCGCGTGCCCTCGTCGCCCAGGTCCCGCGCCCGAAAACGTCCGCGGTGGACCGCTTAGCCTTCTTCAATTCGTGTTCACATTCTTTCATCACCGGCGCGGCGCTCGCGGGTTTGTAATTAATCTTCGCACGTGCGCTCGCCGCAGAGGTCCCAAGAGTCTTGGCCAAGACCCTACTACCATCGTGACCTCGCGACCTCGCGGTCGGCCATCCCTCTCTCTTTGACGCAAGAACGAAGACAACATGGGGTGCGTGCGACATCGCGATCGAACGACGCGACGAAACAAATCACCGACCATCGCGCGCGCGCGTGCGCACCGACGCGGCGTAGCGCGCGCGTCCGCCGCTCCGCCGCGCGGTCGATCGACGCAACCCCAGCGGGCGATCGATCGCGCGGTGGAAACGCGCGATGTGCGCGTCGACGACGGCGTTCGAGCGGTCATGGACGCGATGCTCGATGCGTGAAGATTCCACGCATCGTTGAATCGCGTCGCGATGCGCGTCGAGGGTTCGCGCGCGCGTCCGTGGGCGCGCGAACGCTGGGCGCGCGCGTTTAGGGCTTCGCGCTCGCGCGTGGGGGCTTCGCGCGCGCGCGCGACGCCCGGCGCGGTGATTGGGACGCAGTGACCGCACGATCGATTAAAACACCACGCGATCGCCTCGTTTCGTTCGGCGTGCGCGATGACTGACGGTGCGCGTCGACGCTTTCGCACGTTTGCAGTAAGACTCGTGGTTTAGGGGCTGGCCGTAAGTTGCGCATTCATCGCCGCGAACAGCGATGGGCCGACAAGGATTTCAACAAGGCGAACTTGGGTTCTGAGTGGAAGAAGCCGTTCGCTGGTTGCTCGCACGCCAAGGGTATCGTCTTGGAAAAGATTGGCATCGAAGCGAAGCAGCCGAACTCTGCTATTCGTAAGTGCGTGCGAGTGCAGCTCATCAAAAATGGCAAGAAGATTGCGGCCTTCGTCCCGCGCGATGGTTGCTTGAACTTCACCGATGAAAACGATGAAGTCCTCATCGCTGGTTTCGGTCGTAAGGGTCACGCTGTTGGTGATATTCCGGGTGTGCGATTCAAGGTTGTCAAGGTTGCCGGTGTGTCGCTCAACGCGCTCTTCAGAGAGAAGAAGGTACGTCGTCGCTTTGGCTCTCGCGCGCTCAACGGTTGTTCGCCGCTCGTCTTTTTCGAAACGGAGATGTATGACCAAGATACTGACGCAAAGATTTTTTTACGTGTAACAGGAAAAGCCGCGTTCTTAAACGTTTGGACGTCTTTTGACGATGGAATGGATACGAACACGACAATAGTTAGACTCGCGACCGAGGGAAGCTTTGTTAATGCAAGTCAAGTCTTGGTTGGTTATGAAAAATTCGCTAATGCTATGAAAGACTCGTCTTGGCGTGGACCAAGCGTCGACGTCATCTCTACGCCTCCATCGCGTCGTCAGCACTGTCGAGAGCAGTGCTGACGTGCACCATGAGCACCTCGCGGTGCTTGTCGACGACGACGACGAGCGATTCTGGAGGAGGGTCCACGTAAAGCCCTGGCAAGTACGCCTCGTACGCGGGCATGAAACGATCGACAAAGTCTTTCACCTGTGAATCGTCCAGTCCCCCGTTCGCCTTTCTCTCGGCTTCGAGTCTCCAGTCGTACACCCACGCCGGGTCGTCCACCTTGAAGATGATCCACCACGCGACGTTATCTGGTCCCCAAAGCGCCGCCTTGTATTCCTTCAATCGCTCGTTAACGACCACTAAATCGGGATTAATCGCACGCGCACGATCGGATTCGATAGGTTCGAACCCGAGCATCCATCCTTCCAAGAGCACGACGTCGAGAGGCGCCGATACACTCTCCCACTCGCTCTGCGGTTTGCGATCGCCCCTCCCGTCTCGAGCGAGCTTATCGTATCTCGGCGCCAGAAACTTTGACGTCTCCCCGTCCGAATCGTTGATTCGCGCTAAAGATTGAAGAGATCTCGATCCGAGCGCTAAATCATGCGTTCCCGCGTTCCCTCTGTACCGCAACATCGCGTTTCCGGGGTTTGCCTCGCCCAGCGCCGCCTGGTCCTCGTACGCGAGATAAAAGTCATCGATCGACAGCGTCACCGCCGTCACGTTCCCCGACTCATCCGCCGCCGAATCATCCAAAAACTTCTTCGGCGTCGCCTTTATCATGTCCACTATCGTCCTCGTCAGCGTCGTCTTCCCGCATCCCTGCGGCGCGCTCACGCCGACCACCATCGGCTTCGGCGTTCGCCCCTCCCTCGTCGTCCCCGCCTTTCGCCTGTGCATCCTCAGCCGCTGCACCACCTCCTCGTACACCGGCACGTAATATCGATACACCCTGTTCCTCGCCGCCTCCTCCGCCGTCTCCGCGTCCTCGCTCGCGCTCAGCTCGCGCGCGTCTCTCGCGAGCGCGCGAAACAGTCCCAGTCCCACCTCGCGCACGTGCGCGCGCCACGCGTCGTCGCTCGCGTCGCTCGCGTCGTCGCCCGCCATCGGATCCCGTCCCTCGCGTCGCTCGCGCCTCGCCCCCGTCGCCGCGCGCGCGCGCGTGCCGTCGTCGTCGTCGTCGTCGCGCGCGCCGCCGACGCCCACTCCCGGGTCTTCGCGGCCGTCGCCGATTTTTTACGTGTAGCATCGCTTTTCGCGCGTTTGGGCGAATCGACGCGTCGAATGCGTGTCGAGACGCGCGCGCGCGCGAAATCCGATTCGTATAGGCAAACAGTTGACGATCGCGGTCGGTCGGTCGACGCGCGGATGCCGCCACCGCTGGCGCCGGATCGACGCGACGCCGGATCGTCGTCGTTCGCGCTCGACACAGCGCGACGGCGACGCGGCCCGCGCGAGCGACGAAACGACGCGCGCGATGACGACGCGCGCGATCGGCGCGCGACGCACCGCGACGTCGCCGCGCGCGACGACGACGGGCGCGACGACGACGACGGTTCGAAATCATCGACGGGCGCGCGCGCGCGGACGATCGACGACGACGACGACGCGGGCGCGGGAAACGTTCGAGGGAGAGATCATCGACGGTGAGTACTCGGACGCGGTGACGACGGAGGAGGAGGCGACGGCGCGGGCGGGAGGAAGCGCGGCGCGCGCGAGCGGGCTGGCGAGCGGGCTGGCGAGGCTGGACGCGCTGAGCGAGGCGATGGGGGCGGTGTACGCGACGACCGGGGACGTCGTGGACGTCGGGGGGTCGGGAGACGAGGACGCGCGCGATGATGACGCATCGGCGGTGTCGCTGGGCGTGATCGACGTCGGAGCGGGCGGGGAGATGGCGCGGCAGCGAGACGTGGAGACGGTGCAGCTCATCAAGTGCAAGTTTCAAATGCGCAGACAGATGGCGTTCGGGGAGGAACTGCGGTTGGTCGGTTCGCACGCGAGCATGGGGGCTTGGGATATGACGAAGTCGCTGACGCTGACGTGGGGCGAGGGCGACGTGTGGACTTCGGACGACGTCGAGTTGCCCGTGGACGGGGTGTTCATTTACAAGTACGCCGTCGTGCCCGCGGGACAGCCGGAAATCGTGACCGAGTGGCAGCAAGGAAACAATCAAGTGCTGACGCTCACGCCGGACGATCTCCCGCGATTGTGGGTCACGGATAACTGGAGCGGGAACCCGGACATGGCGAGCGTGTTCCGCGAGGGCGGCGAGGCGTCGAGCAAGGAGAGCCGTCTCATCAACCGCGTCAAGGCGGCGGACGAGCGCGTCAAGGTTGCCGAAATCGAGAACAAGGCGTTGAAGGGTGATTTGCAGCAGATGACGATGCAAGTGAACGCGCTCCGCGAAGAAGCGCGCTTGGGTGCGAACGTGCGCATCGCTCTCAAAGAACAACTCAGAGCAGAGCAGCGTCGTTCAAACGTTTTGGGCAGTCAAGTCGACGCGTGGAAAACAAAGTTCCAGCAACTCACCGACGGCACTCCGAGCAAGAGCGCCGCCGAAGCGCCTCCGGACGCCGCGCAAAAGAGCGCGAACAAGGGCAAAACGCGCTGAACGGCGACGCCCGTCGTCCATTGATACTCCCGACGCGACGTCGCGTCGGGCGCCGCTGTATTATCGCGCGCGCGAAGGAAGATTTTTTGCAATGCGAGATTTTATTTCGTTTCAACGCGCTACGTCGCGTCACGCGAGCTCTTTCAGTATGCTCAAGCATTCGCGTTGGTACCCGCCCCCGAACATCACGTAGTGGTTCAAATAATGGTAAAGTTTGTACATCTTGGCGCGTTCTTCGAAACCGGGCGCCTTTGGGATTTTCGCGTGGTACGCCTCGTAAAACGCGGGCGTAAATCCAGCGCACCAAGACATCCCGAAGTCCGCCTCGTGATGGCCGTAATACACCGCCGGGTCGAAGACGCTCGGCTTTCTCCCCACGGTTCCTATGTTGCCGCTCCAGAGGTCGCCGTGCAAGAGCGACGGTTTGATCTCTCCGCACGCGCTAAACATATCAGCCAGCCTTTTATCGACCACTTTCTCCGCTAACTGGGTCAGCGTGGGATCTCTCGCGAGTCGAATCATGTGCATCAAGCGCTTATCGCGCCAAAACTCCAACCACGACTCCGTCCACTGGTTTGGCTGCGGCGTCTCGCCTATGGTGTTATTCCGCTCAAATCCAAACTTCCCATTTCGCGCCTCCTCGTGGCTCGGCGTCGCCGCGTGCATCGTCGCCAGCGCGTTCCCGAACTCGCCCTGATCTCCTCGACCGCCGAAGTTCAGGTACTCCATCGCGATCGCCGAGCGCCATCCTCGCGCGCCCTCCGGCGCGCCGACGACGCCGTACACCTCCGGCACGACGAACGCGTTCGTCGCGCGCAGCGCCCGCAGTCCCGCGGCCTCGCCCAGGAACATCTCCGCGTCCCTCGCCGACGTCTTCGCGAACGCGCGTCGTCCGTCCGCGCACGTCGCCGTCGCGAACGTCGCCCACTGCGAGCTCCCCGCCGGGACGACGTCGACGACCTCGCACGCGAGCTCGCGCTCGAGCCAGGACTCGAGCGCGTCGCGCGCGCGCGCGTCGCGCGCGCGTCGCCGTCTCGGCGCGCGCGCGCGCGCGACGCCCGGCGCGGGCGTCGCCGCGAGCGCCATTCGAGACCGTCGCCGTCTGCCGTTCGTCGAGCGAACGGCAGACGGCGCCGCGCGACGATGGAGGCGACGCGCGCGCGCGCGGGCGCGCCGACGCGACGCGCGACGGCGTCGTCGACGGCGCGCGCGCGCGCGCGGGACGCGCGACGACGACGACGCGCGCGCGGGACGACGGCGGCGTTCGCGAGCGACGCGAACGTCGAGCGCGCGATGCCGACGCCGACGGAGCGCGCGGGAGCGATGGAACGAGACGCGCGGGAAACGCGAGGGCGACCGCGCGCGGAGACGCTCGTGGACGCGTTCGAGTCGCTGCCGAGGGAGGAGCGCGTGCGCCTGGTCGAGCGGTACGTCCTCGGCGACGCGGACGACGTCGAGGCGCCGGCGGTGGCGATCGATGGAGCGGCGGCGATCGGAGGCGCGATCGCGCGCGATGTCGAGCGCGAGGACGAGGACGCGGCGCGCGGGATGACGGAGGAGGAATTGGCGGATTTGAGAGACTTTGGACCGAGCGAACGCGCGCGGGGCGACGCGCTCGGCGAGGACGCGTTGGTGGATAAATGGCGCGAGATTTTCGGGGAAGATCCACCGGAGAATAATGGAGGCGGTGTTGATGATATATTAGGCGCGGACGACGGCGCGTTCGGCGGTGGGGTGCTGGAAGAAGCGCGGAACGCGGCGACGAGACGCGCGTATGCGGCGGAGCGCGGATGGAAAAAGTTGGTGAACAAATTCGGTAGGCAAGGCGCCATCGTCGCCAGTGGCTTCGCGAGCGTGAGCGTGGTGGCGGTGTTGAGCGCGCTGTTCGCGACGTCGAACGCGGACGCGAAGTCAAAGGTCAAGGATGAGGCTGGCGGCGTCGCGCCCGCGCTCGAGAGCGAAGACGACGCCGTCGCCGGCGACGTCAAAGCTTTCGTCGAGCCAACGCGACGCGAAGCGCCGGCACCCGCTCCTGGGGGCGTGCTATGGGAGCGCAAAGTCATCGTCGACGATGACGATGCCTCGCCGTCGTCGTCGTCATCTTCGGCGAGTAACGGCGTACTGTGGACGAGGCGGAGCGACGAAGAGCGTCGCAAACCTTCGGCGCGCGATCGCATGGGGGTTCCCACGGCGACGTTCGATGACAGAAATAGAGATCGGCGTGGGAGTGAGCCGCCACCACAAGTCATATGGACCCGCAAGAACGATCCAGAGATCGACGAGCTCGATGAAGATCCGCAAGAGCGCTCGCCGCCGCGCCGCGCAAGCGAGGCGTTGGACGACAACCTGGAAGATCTTCGTGCGTTCCGCCGTCCCGATCGAGAGTCGCCGCGATGAGTCGATCGAAGAATTAGTGTACCGAGTTAGTCATCTGTAAACCGTTGTGATTCAATACAAAGCAATTCAATTCTATTTATTGGCTGAAACAGTCACTACGCTACATCCCGAGTCTCGCCGCCGCTTTATTCTCCTCAGGAACCTCGTGATCTTGCGGCTGTGCGCTCGACTCGTACACCGCGGTGACGACCATATCTCTATCGTGCCCCGTCCCTTCACCTCGCAAACCGATGTACCAAATCTCCGTCTCGCCGTCGTCGTTGAAATTCGCCGGAAAATAAAGCGTCACGCTCGCCGTCGCCTGCCAACTCGCCGCCTCCGTCGTGTACTCCAGCACCCCGTCCTCATCGACGGTCAAATCCCATTTCTGCGTCGGCGTCTTCCTGCTCGCGTTCATCGCGTCGATGTCCCGTCGATTCGCGAACGCCCGCATCTCTCGCGGCGCTCGCCCGTCCGCGCCGCCGAGCACCATCACCCCTCGCAGCTTCACGTCCGTCGTGAACGGAATCCTGATCACCAGCTCCCCGTCGTCTTCGCTCACGAGCGCGCGCCCCGTGCGATCGTGTCGTCGCTCCCACGCGCGAATCACGCCCGGCGCCGCGTCGTCTTCGCGCGCGTTGAACGCCGTGACCGCCGGGACGTCGACGAACGCGTGCAGCGACGCGTTCCCGCACGTCGACGCGTCGCAATCGTGATCGTGCGCGCAGCACGCGTCGGGCGACATGTCTCTCGCGCGCCGTCGCGCGCTCGTCGTCGCCGTCGCGCACTGCGGTCGCTCGGGACATCGCTCGCGACGCCGCGCGCGTCAAAACTCGCCTCGCATGGCGTCGCGCGACGGCCGCGCGCCCGGCGCGCTCCGCGCCGTGTTCGGCGGTTTCGCCGGCTCCGTCGCCTTCGTCGTCGGCGGGTTCGCGACGATCGCGGCGACGACCACGGCGGCGTCGCGCGCGCTCGTTCGGCGACGGCGAAGGGCGCGAAACGCGCGCTGCGCGGCGTGCGCGGGAGGGAAGTTTGTGAGGTGTCGCACGTGTCGAGGGAAGCGCGCGATCGAGTGGCAACCGCTGGAGGCGCCGACGGTGGATCGGCTGTGCCTGTGCCCGACGTGTCAGGGGACGGGGATGGCGAAGTGCTTGAACTGTCTGGGCGACGGGTTGATTTAGATCGATGTAGAGGCGCGCGGGCGCGCGCGTGTAATAGTGTAATAGTGTGTAACATTACGTCATTGCTTGACCGCGGCTAAGGTAACGGCGTGCTTGGTGCGGTCGTACATGCGCCTGAGCTCGACCTCGGCTTCGTCGGTCCACGCGCCCCAGCGCCCGATGCTCTGGTGGCGCTTCCACTTTTGTTCTTGGGCGAGACGAAGGGTGTGCGCGTCGCCCACGCCCGAGGTGAAGAGCAGGAGAGTGTTCGAGGGTAACTCGTCCCAGATCTCGCCCACGATGGTGTCGAGACGTTCGAGCGCTTCTCGGCGAGTCTTGTCGGCGACGACGCGCTCGTCGTCGCTCGGCTGCGTTTCGCGAGCGTGCGCCCGCTGCGCCTCGGCGGAGAGTACTTTGCTGTACTCATGCAGGTGACCAAAGACGGCCACCTTGTTGAGTGGCATCGGCGTCTTCACGTGCGCTATGATTGCGTCTTTCACTTCGTTGTCGTCGTTCGCCTCGACAACGCGAGCGCTTCCCGCGGGTAGTCGTCGACACAACGCGGGAGAGTCCACCATCACGCACTCCACTTTGTGTGTCGATAACACGTCGAACACGCCACCACCATCGGTCGCGACTTCACCAAACGATGGACCGTTTATGAACTTCAACAAAGCTAGTTCCATCGTCGCTCGCGCATCCGCGACAGAATCGTGCGAACCTTCTTGAATTTTCCTCCCGAGGTAGCGTTCGGTGAGAAACCGCAACGCGTTGCGATAAGGCGCGCCCTTTTTGTGTGGATACAGAGCGCACGTATCGATGACGTTCGCGTGTATAATTTTCAATCGCTGCAGATCGTTTTCCAGTGAGTGACCGATCAAAATCGTTTCGCAAGGAATCATCTCCAGAAGTTCGCGCTGGACGTCTTGCAGCGTCGTCTGCACGCCTTCCATCTGCTCCGCCGTGATACCGCTGTGCTCGGTGTTGTAATTCGTGATCTCCGTCGGTGGTTTAACCAATTTATCGTACACTATCTCTCCGTCTTCTTTGACGACCGAAATCCGCGTGAGCTGCAAACCTTCCGCGGTGTAGCAAAACTCGCAATCGAGCGCCAAAAAGGCGTAATAACCAGATCCTCTCGCGATTCCGCCGCCTGCAGGCTGCGTCGCCACAAATCCATCATCTAATTCTAAACTACCATCCTCTTTGAGCGTCGGGAGCGGGTAAACCATGTCGCTCATGTCCCCCGGACTCAAAACGAAGCGCGACGGCGCGTGCGCGAAGACGCGCTTGCACAAATCCTTCGCCTTCGTGCTCGCCTTGAACTTTTTACTTTTGTTGCCATTCCCATCCTGACCGTTCTTCCCGTGCACCGAATACATCAACGCCTTACAAAGCGTCATCCCAACCGCCGTCGGGCTCTCGCAAATCGTCCTCAACCCCTCCCCGAGCTCGCGCTTCATCCGCGGGCACGTCGTTGCGCCTTCGTCGCACCATCTCGCGTGATCCAACCCCGGCGCCAGAATCATCACCACTCGATCGATCAGCGGTTTATTCCTCACAAACGCCCATCGCGGATTCACGCACTCCTTCGCGCTTTCCGGCAGCAGCGTCCACAGCGCCAGCTCGTGCGCGTGCGCCAGCTTAAAGTTGTTCGCGCACTCCCGCTTCACGCGCGCCTCCGCTCGACCGTCGACGCCGTAAATCTCCGCCCGCTCGCGCACCGACAGCTCGTACGCCTCGCGTCGGTCGACCGCGTCCTCGCGCATCGCCGCTTCTTCGCTCGACGACGTCGTCGCGTCGTCGTCGTCGTCGTCGTCGTCGTCATCAATTCGCGCGCGCTTTTTCGACTCCATCTCGTCCTCGACCGTCATCGATTCGCGCGCGCGCGCGCCCGCGACGCCCGCGCGCGACGCTCGTCCCTCCGCGCGCGTCCCACCGCGCGCGCGACGTCGCGACGTGCGGCGTCGCCGCCGCGCGCCGCGCGCGTCCCGAACATCACACTCGCGCGCGGTGCCAGTGGCTGAAACGCGCCTGCGACGCCGACGCGCGTCACAATTCAACGCGCGACGACGCTCGCGATGCAGGGCTACGGGTACGGGTGCGTCAGCGCGCGATGCGGCGATATATTGGACGCGCGATCGCGCGGTGCGCGAGGGCGATGACGCGTCGCGCGCGACGCGACGCGCGGCGATCGAGGACGATCGAGGCGATCTCGGGATTTGGCAGAATTTTGGGGTTCTCGAACGCGCGGGAACGCGGGAAACGCGGGACGCGCGTCGAACGGATCGAACGCGCGGTCGGATGGCGGTGAGAGACGGTGATGACGCGTCGTGGGACGTCGCGAGATCGAGCGCGAAGACTGACGAGACGATGGGATGGAACGAACGAACGCGCAGGGCGCCCCCGCCGCAGCCGCAACAAAACGGAAACTGGAAGGACACGCTCGCGTTGCCGCCTCGAGATGAGCGGTATCGCACGGAGGATGTCACGGCGACGAAAGGAAATGAGTTTGAGGATTATTTTCTCAAGAGAGAGCTCCTGATGGGGATCTTTGAAAAGGGTTTTGAGAGACCTTCGCCGATTCAGGAGGAGTCGATTCCCATCGCGCTCACGGGACGAGACATTTTGGCTCGGGCAAAGAATGGGACGGGGAAGACGGCGGCGTTTACTATTCCCATCCTCGAGAAGGTTGATACCAGTAAGAATATCATTCAAGCGGTCATCTTGGTGCCGACGCGCGAGTTGGCGCTGCAAACGAGTCAAGTCGCAAAGGAACTCGGAAAGCATTTGGGGGTCGCCGTCATGGTTACCACAGGAGGTACTTCTTTGAAGGATGATATCATGCGTTTGCACCAGCCGGTGCACATCGTCGTCGCGACCCCTGGTCGTCTCGTCGATTTGGCGAGTAAGAGCGTGGCTAAATTGGGCCAAGCTACGATGCTCGCCATGGATGAGGCCGATAAGCTCCTTTCACCCGAATTCCAACCCGTCATCGCCCAAGTGATCAACTTCATGGCGAAGAACCGACAAATATTGTTGTACTCCGCCACTTTCCCGGTCACGGTGAAGGACTTCAAGGACAAGTATTTGCGTAAGCCTTACGTTATCAATCTCATGGAAGAGCTCACGCTGAAGGGTATCACCCAATACTACGCCTTCGTCGAAGAAAAGCAAAAGGTGCACTGCTTGAACACCCTCTTCAGCAAACTTCAAATCAACCAATCCATCATTTTCTGTAACAGCGTCACTCGCGTAGAGTTGCTCGCTAGGAAAATCACCGAACTTGGATATTCTTGCTTCTACATTCACGCCAAGATGATTCAGGCGCACCGCAACCGCGTCTTCCACGACTTCCGCAACGGCGCTTGCCGCAACTTGGTGTCGTCGGATCTCTTCACTCGCGGTATCGATATTCAATCCGTCAACGTCGTCATCAACTTCGACTTCCCGAAGAATTCTGAGACGTACTTGCACAGAGTCGGTCGATCCGGCCGTTTCGGTCACCTGGGCATCGCCGTGAATCTTATTACTTACGACGATCGCATGAATTTGTTCCGCATCGAACAAGAACTCGGAACGGAGATTCAACAAATCCCTTCCCAGATCGATCCATCAAAATACTGCCGATAATTTCATAACACGACGAATCATTCGTGCAAATGATTAGGCAGATAACAACTGCTTCGATAGGTTAGCTTAATAATGGTGAGTGGCGAATGATGAACGCTCGCGCGAGGGCGCGGCGTCTTATCGTACGTGGGTTTCCTTCTGGGACGACACAGTTTTTTATGGTGCGTTCCATCTCACGAAGGAAACCGACGTTGTAGCATAAACGCAAAGTGGCGATGGAGAACCAGACGGGTTTGTTCTCGGAAATACACAAAATACCTCGCGTCGCGTCTCGCGCGTGGGGGCACAAAACGAAAAAGACGGCGCTGTCTCGCTCTGAGACTGCGCCGGCACGAATGGATTGAACCATCTCTGTGTCTCATCGAGACGTCGCGGAGTCAATCCAAACAAGCGAAGATATTTTCTCGCTCCATGATACGCCAAGGATAATTACTTGGCGACGTTCGTCGACGAGCGCCTCGCGTTCGTCGCGCACTCAAGATGCGCCGCCCCCGTGGCGTCGTACCCACTTTCACGCCTCTTCGTCTGTACGGACATCTTTCTGAGGTTACATGGCAGCCTTTGGCTTAGCCTTTACATACATACACAGCTAGTGCGCACTCGAATAGACGCGAATAACATCGCGGAATGATTTGTAAGCGACGTTATATACTACAATGACTCTACCATACTACAATGACTCTACTTGTTCCGCCCGGCGAAAATCGCTTCGCCCGACGGAGTCAGACGCCACGAATCATCTCGCAGCAAACCTCTCGGAATGATGATATGTCGGTACGCGGCCGAACATTGATAACCGACGCGCCCGGGAATGTAAGACGCGAACAATCCCCACTTGTCGCCGCAGCCGTACTGTTTCGCCACCTCGACGAACCGCTCGATTTCGCCTTCATCCCAGTCTCCGTTGCGCTGCTCTTCTCCGCCAGTGTGCCGGTAAAAGTACGCGTTGGGATTCTTATACAGCATTCGCCTCGCGTGATCTCGAGCTTGTTCGCCCTTTCCGGGCCTGCGGTCTCCCGAGCCACCACCGTTTAGCTCCCAAGCCTTGTTCGCATTCTCCGCGATGCCGAGTCGGATTCGTTCTGTTTCCTCCACCCAACCGTGGAACCCTCCGACCATTTTCGGGCCAGGTTCGAGTCCATGCATCGCGCAGTACTCGTCGCACGTCAAGTGGCACTCCAAAGCCTCGTCGATTTCTCCCTTGGGCTTATCATCTTCGCCAATTTCCACCCATCGCCCCTTCGAAGACTCGCCTCGCATTCTTGCGCTTCGTCGCGTCGGCTCCGCCGGCGTCTCCTCCTTCTTCTCTCGTCTCTTTCGCTTCGAGTCCTTCGCCTCGCCCGCGGATTTCTCTAGCGCATCTTTCGATTCGCGCACTTTCAGCGACGCCAACAATTCGTTGTTTCGTCGCACGCGCGCCTGTTTCGTTCGTCGACGCGCTTCGTCAGTCTGTCCGCGCGACGACTTTGAATTCAAATCATTCAATCGCGACGTCCACGCACCTCACGCTCGCGTTCGTAATCCGTCAACTGCGACGATCGAACCGGCGATTTCACTAAGTTTTCCCGAGACGTCGCGCGCGCGTCGACGCGCGCCAGTTCCACCGTTTCCACCGACGTCGCGTTCGAATTCGGTTTCGAGCTGTCGCCCTCGAGTCGTCGCGTCGCCGTCGGTTTCGACGCCGATTCCGGGGGCACCGCGCCGTTGATCTCGAAGAACGCCTTTCGCCGCCCCGGCGACGCGGTCGCGTTCGCGCGCGAAGGCATCTCGCGCGCGCGAGACGCGTCGAGGTGTGCGGTTGTCTGCTGCGTTCCTACGGTTGTTACAATGCGCCTCGGCGATGCTATTCATTACTAATTTCCGCCTCCGCGGCGTCGCCGACGGCGCTGTCGTTGAGCGCGCAACACGTGACGGCTTTGTGATGACCGCTGTACACGCGAATGGCTTCGCCCGTGGAGCAATCCCACAGGCGCGCGGTGGTGTCCGAACTCGCGGTGACGAGATAGGCTGCGTCGACGCTAAAGACACAATCCCACACCCAGCGCTGATGACCCTCGAGCACGCGCTCGAGCTTGAACCCATCTAAATTCCATAGTTTGACCGTCTTATCGCTCGACGTCGTGGCGAGTAAGCGACAATCCGGGGAAATTAAACACTTTAACACGTACCCGTTGTGCGAGTTGAGCTTGTGCAACGGCTCAAAATGCGCCGTCGTCTTCGACCCGGGCTGTAATTTCCACACGTAACACGTCCCTTTACTATTTCCCGCCACCACCATGGACCCATCGCCCGCGACCGTGAGCGATTGCACCGCCGTTCCTACCTCTGGCACGAGTTCGCACGAGCACGCGTTCGCCGTCAAATCCCACACTCGAATGTTCCCATTCTGATCCGCGCTCATCAGCTCCGTCCCGTTCGGATGCAACACCACGCTCGTCACCGCGCCTCGACTCTCGTACTCTCGCTGATACCCTCCCGCGCGCAAATCCCAAATCTTCACCGTCCCGTCCTCGCTCCCCGTGTACATCCAGCTCCCGTGCGGCTCGAATCCCACCGCCGTCACGTTCCCCGTGTGTCCATCGTACGACGTCACCGCCTGCGGGTTCGACGCGTTCACCTCGAACAACCGCACGTGCGGATTCCCCGCCGCCGCGAGGTATCGCTTGTCCGGCGTGATCTCCAGCTTGTTCACCTGCGAGTCCGCGTACTGCAGCGTTCGATAGCACACCCCGCGCGTCGCCTCCCAGAACCGCACGGTGTGGTCGTATCCCGCCGTCGCGAGCACGACGCTCGGCGTCGGCATCGCGTCGAGCGCTCGGCGTCGCGCTCGGCGTCGTCCGTCGCGTCGCGCTCGCGACGCGACGCGCGACGTCGACGCGACGCGCGGCGTCGCGGATTCGCGGCGACGCGCGACGCGACGCGCGTCGTAAAAAAACGCCGGTCGCAAAAAAACGCGCGTTTAAGCGTGTAGATTACCTTTCAACGCAGAGACGATCGCATTCGCGATGGCGCACTGTTTATGCACACGGCGCGCGAATGACTCGAGCCGGCGGCGCGCCGGCGACGGATGACGGCGGATGGCGACGGCGCGCGCTTTATCCGACGCGCGACGGGACGGCGACGACGCGAACGACGCGCGCGAACGACGACGCGATGGCGGACGAAGACATGGAGGCGCTCGAGCGCATGATGGCGGCCATGGAGGCGAAGGAACGCGAGGCGGTGGACGACCACGTGACGAGTCGGTTTCCGAAGATGCGCATCGCGTGGGAGGCGAACGCGATCGAGGGCGGCGCGGACGCCGTCGTCGTCGCGGGATGCGCGCCGATCGACGTCGGCGGTGGACGCATGAAAGAGTTCGCCGGACACGCGTTTCACGAGCTGGCGCGGATGAAGAGTGGGTTGAGCGCGGTGTGCGAAGTCAAGCTGGCGAAGAAGGCGTCGATGGCGGCGCTGGACGAGGAGGCGATGGATGACTTTGTGGATTTTGATTCTCCGGAGTTTAAGATGAAAAAGACGAAGCGACGAGGGAATAAGGAGTTTGGTGATCACTACGGCGCGTTGGGGTTGGCGACGAAGCGATACTTGGCGACGAAGGAGGAAATTCTTGAAAAGCATCGCTGGTTGACGATCGCGTTGCATCCGGATAAGCGCGGGGTGGCGCAAGTCGACGCCGTCGAAGCCGAGCGCATTGAACAGCGCTATAAGGCTGTCGTGACGGCGATGGAAGTCTTGACGGATAAGGCGAGAAGACGGGAGTTTGATTCCGTCGATGCGCCGGATTACAAGTTCCCATCCTCGTGCGAAGAGGGTGAGTTTTTCGAGACCTTTATGCCGCACTTTCACTTGTTGTCTCGCTTTAGCGAAACCAAGCCGGTGCCGATCTGTGACGACCCGGATGCGCCGTATGAAGACGTGCGTAAACATTACATTTTCTGGGCGGCGAAGTTCAATTCGTGGAGAGAATTCCCGCACGAAAAAGAAAACGACACGGAGACGGCGCACGACCGCGACCATCGTCGTCAAATGGAAAAGGAAAACAGATCCCTTCGCGCCGAATCGAAGAAGAAGGAACAAGCTCAGATTCGTGCTTTCGTCGAGGCCGCGCAAAAGTACGATCCTCGATGCATCAAGCAACGCGCCATTGAAAAGGCTGCGCGCGATGCGAAGAAGATGAGCCGCAACAATAGCGCCCGCCAGCTCGCCGAAGAGGACGAGAAGGCCAAGGCTGAGGCTGAGGCCGCCGCGAAGGCTGCAGCCGAAGCCAGCAAGGCCGACAAGGCGAACGCGAAGAAGGAGCTCGAAAAACTGAAAAAGGCGCTCCGTAAAGAAAAACAGCGACTTCGAGCGATCGGCGCTGTCGCGGAAGGCTGGGTAGATTACCCTGGCGACGGCGAGCTCGAGAGCCTGTGCGACGCATTGACTATCGATCACGCCAAGGAATTGAAGACGCTGTTGGACGCCGCGATGAACGGCGACGACGTCAAGGGTCCATGGGACGCCACCGCGTGCGTCCTCGCGTGCTTGGTCTTGGCCAAGGGTGGCGACTGGCAAGCAAAGGCGGATGAAGCCGCCAGCCGCCGCGCTGAGAGAGAGGCTTCCGACAAGGTTGGCGGAGCGTGGGGCGCCGACGAAATCACCGAGCTCGAAACGGCTACGAAGCAACTGTTCCCGTTGGGTACCATCAACCGTTGGGACTCCATCGCGGCTCACATGGCGAGCGCGGGCAAGCCCCGCACCGCGATGTGCTGCATGACGAAGTCTCGCTCGATGTAAGCAGGCCGCGCTCGCTCGCGCACACAATTCTTTCCCAGACATTTCTGGCACCTAAACACACACAACGCAAATAACACTAGCTACTTACTTACATGCAATCCACTGTTGATATTTCGCTATCGTATTACACTCTATGCGTCGCTCACCTTGACCGGCAAAAGTCGCCCGACGACGAGCGAGCCGTCGCCGCATCGTTCAGACACAAACATGGAATTTTCTGCGTCGCTCCCTTCGGGGGTTTCAAACTTCAAGAGATGATGCGTGCCCGCGAAGTCGGCCCAAAGCGCATTTGGTATCACGTTTCCATCGCTTGCCGTCACTAACGCCCATTTACCCTCGCCCCAAGGAGTCGCCAATTTCCCAGCCTCGAGGAACTTCATCCCCGGCGTGCCGGCCCAGGACCACTCGCGCTCTCGCTCGTTCGAAATTTTGGACGCGAGCTCGTGTGATTCAATCGCACTTTTCGTCGGCGCTGACGTCGGTACAGCACAGAGCGCGATCGACTCTTCGCCCGAGGTTTCAACTCCGGTACCCGCCGCCCACTTCATGAAAGGAACTCGTGACTTCTGTACCTCGCTCGACTCGCCGCTCTTCAGCGCTTCGTAATACGCGTACGTATCTCGCATTCGTTCCACATCGCGAACGTGGTAGCTGAAATCAACCGTGATTGGCACATGTTTTGCCATAGCTTGGTCTTTGCGCATGAACAAGAAGACTGTCTTTGAATTGGCAAAACACAGATAATTGAGCGTTCGCCGGAGGATGCCGACGGCGACGACGTCGCCGTACGATGGGAAGAAGACCGCCGCGTTGAACACATCTTGCTCTTGCGCCACCGAAACGTCGCCCTTCATGGCGGTCAAACGAGTGGCCATTCGTTCTGCGAAAGCGATAGATTCTTGGGTCGGGGATAGTCTGAAAAATCCAGCATCTGAGCTCACCACTCGACCGCCGTGCAAGAATCGACTCCAATCCATGGTAGGATCGTCGACGACGTGGTCGTATCCGTACGCAGAAGCATCGTCCCAACCATCGCTCGCGGACTCCAAATCAGAATCTCTGTAAAAGAATTTCGAAGGGTCATCAAGCAAGACGACTCGCGGATCGACGAAGACGACTCCGTGACCGTCTCGAAGAACGGCGTGAATGGCGTACCATTTGAGAGCAGCTTTCGAGAGCGGAGTCTTTTGCGACTTGCGGATCACAGTGGCGAGTCCGGCATCCCTCGCCGCTTTCGCGATGCTCTCATCATCTGTGACGACCATAGCTCGCTTTATCAATCTATTCTTCTCGATGCCGTGCTCTAGGAACAATCCAAACACTTCGGAGTCTTTGGCGTCCGCGACGACGATCATGGCATCGCCGTGCTCATCGAAAGTCAACTTGCTAGAAAGCACATCGCAGATTTCCTTCACAGTTTTCCTCAACTTTGAATCACTCCGGCACACACGCTCACTATCGCTGATGACGTGCAATTTTCGATCGAGTTTGTCCACTTTTCCATCCCACGCCGTCATAGGTTCGCACGTCTTTGCGCCCGCGCGCCCTTTCGTCCACGTCTTGCTTCCGATGAATCCATCATTAATGCTATGCAAGTGACCAGACTCCAGTTGAATAATAGACTTCAAGCCCTTATCGCAGCCAGTGATGCAGTCGAGCGACGACAACGGTGCGTCCTTGGTGTAATACGCGTGAACGAGCTTGATTTTGTTGTCCTTGTCCGTGTGATAGTTCGCGTGCATCGCCACCGGGCGATGATTCTCTCGCTGTAAAGGCTTCGAGTGACGAATGATTCGAAACATGACCTTGCTGTTCATGAAGCAAAACGGATCCATGACTCGCACTGTCGCCCCTGACGTCATGTGCGCGTCGCGACTCGCGAACCAGAGCTCAAGATTGTACCCGCTCTGGTCCCACAACTCTTCCGTTGCCAAGCGATGCGCCATGATTTTCATCAACCGCAAACTTGCTTCAGTGGCGCTCACGTACCACATGCCGCTATTGAGCGCGGCAACGCGAAATGATCCAGCGCGCCGCCGAGCCTCACCGAACGAAACATCGTCGATAGGCTGTAAGAATCCATTGGCTGAATCATTATCGAAGCCATCACTCATGCTTTCGATGTCGCTGTCGCGGTACAAGTAATCGAATGGGTTCTGCTGATACGTGACGTCTGTGTCGGTAAGCAGCACAGAACATCCTACGGCGACGAACTCTTGAATCAAAGCAAACTTCTTCGCGCTCACTTTGTGATTACCCATCACGGGATCTTCGTGAAAGTAATAGGGCACGCCCAGCTCATCCAAACGCTTTGTCAGCGGCTCGTCGAGCGCGATGACGAGAAAGTTTGGAACTTTCAACGCGATGAGCATTTCCAAGAATGGCGTCAAACCAGGCGCTTGCGAGTTCGCCACCGCGGCTAGTACTTCTCTGTTTTTCGCCACTCGTCGCAAAACTTCGCAAAGCGCCTCGCGTCCGTCGCAGTTCTGAGGCCACTCTTCAGAGTCGCGCGGAACGATGAAATCTAACGAGCGCGCGGAACCCCATATCCGTCTATTAATTCGCTTCGGTTCACACCTGTTCGGTCTTGAGTCATCCACGACGAACGCATCCGTTCTGCGCCCATTGATCGCTCGAAGCGCGAACGGTTCCATGAACGATGGCGCCGCCGCGACGTAGGAATCTTCGCTCGATGCGGCGGACGCGTTTGACGTTCGCTCTTCATTTCGTCGCTCGACGTGCGACGTGACCGTATCTGAAATGACCCGTGATGATGGCGATGGCGGTGGTGGCGACGGTAAAGGCGACGGCGGTGGCGGCGGTGGCGAGTTTTCCACCGGCGGTGGCGGCGGTGGCGGCGGTGGCGAGGTTTCCACCGGCGGGTCATCGTCCACGTGGACTTCGCGAAGTCGCGGCGATTCCTCCACCGCCGCGTTCGCCTCCTCCGCCGCTCGATCGCGTCTCTCGATAATCTCCTTCACCTCCGCGTCCACTCGAACATCCAACTCGCGTTTCACCATTTCGTCCCTCGTTCGTGCGTCGCTCGCCGCGCCCGCCATCGGTTCCCCCCTCAAAAGCGCCCCCCTCGTCGGATTCAATCGATACAAATCCACCCGCAACAGCGCGACGAGCGCGCCCAACGCGATCCCTTGCGTCAACACCCGAACCGCGCGACCCCGTCGCGTCGTCCAAAACGCCATCTTCGAATCCCTCGCGCTCACTTTTTCGATCCCAGCTCTCGCGCGATCCTCGTCCCGAGTTCAAACGCCAAGTCCACCGCCGCGTCGCTCGCGCGCAGCGTCCCCGCGCACAGCGTTCGCGCCGTCTCGTCCCGTATCCTCTCCGTCCTCACCTCGATCACCCCGTGCTTCGCACCGATCGACACGCACACCGCCGTCGCACCCAGCGTGTACAGCGTCGAGCTCAGCGCGCCGCGCATCAACCGCGATCGTTTCCTCGTTCGTTATCGTCGCGTCGACGCTGAATCGAATCGAATCGAATCGAGCTTTTCGCGCGCGCTCGCGTCGCGCGCGCTCGCGTCGCGCCGTCGTCGCGCGCGTTCGCGACTCGAGTCGCGGTCGCGCGCGTCGGTCTCGCTCTTCGCGCGCGCGCGTCGCGGTGTCGCGCCACTGCTCGACGCGATGCCGACGACGACGACGACGACGCGCGCGCGCGCGACGACGGCGCCGCGCGCGCGCGCGAAGACGATCGGCCGCGCGACGACGCGCGATGGGACGACGCGGTGCGGCGCGACGCGCGCGCGCGACGCGCGCGACGACGCGGTGTCGCGAAGACGCGCGCTGGCGCTCGCGTGCGGCGCGGTCGTCGCGCGGCCGATCGTCGCGCGCGACGACGCGGCGCGCGCGATGTTCAACGCGGACCTGGATAAACCCATCGAGGACGGGCCGCGCGCGATCGCGACGACGCTCGCGGCGAAGGCGGCGCTCGCGGACGTGCTGGCGCAGAACGACTTGTTTAGGGACACGTGCGAGGCGCCGGTGTTCGCGTGCGATTTGAGCCAGTTGAACGTGAAGACGTCGAGCCGGGTGAGCGGACCGCTGCGACGGTCGTTGCCGACGCTGAGCGAGATGTACGGGGCGGACCCGTACGCGGTGGATTCGGTGCTGCAAAACGTTTCGACGCTCGAGGCAATTTTTAAAGCCAACAACGCGAGAGTGAAGGTGGATTTCAAGGGAGGGCCGGAGATGATTGGGTTGATTAATCAAGGGTTGGAGGAGTTGTATAACGATTTGCCCGCGGATGCGCTCGCGGCGGGACGGGCGGTTTTCGAGGCGTGCGATTTGGCGGTCGACGCCACGGCGGAGGGAGATTTGGAGTGCCGCATCGCTCGCGCGGTGTCGCAGAACAAGCGTCCGAGCGGTGGGCAGTCTTAGATTTTTGGGGTAAGCAGCATTCGTAGGCGTAGTGATGATGTTATTTTTGTTTAATATTTTGTTTTATTCGAATGCCTCAATCGACGAGCGCTCTTCAATCGACCCGCTACGCGACGGTATAACTCGGCTTTGACAAATTGATGACCGTCGACTTGACCTTTGTCATGACGTTGATGCTATTGGTGATGCCTTGACTGCCGATGCCGGAGTCCTTAACGCCCTGAAACGGAAAATGGTCGGGCCCGCGCGCCGGCGGACCGTTGATTTGCACCGTGCCCGTTTCCATGGCGTCAGCCATCTGAATGGCGCGGTCGATGTCCTTTGTGAAGACGCATCCTTGCAAACCGAATCTCGACTTGTTTACGAGTTCGAGTGCTTCGGCGTCAGATTTGACGCGCACAACGGGGAGCACGGGACCGAACGGTTCTTCCCAGCAAATTTTCATATCGTGCGTGACGTTGTCGATCAAAAGAGGCCAGATCAAGTTGTCCTCTCGCCGCCACTCTTGGCAAAGCCTCGCGCCTTTGCTCTCTGCGTCGACGACCAAGGATTGAATGAAATCGGCTGAGCTCTTTGACACGACCGCAGTGATCGTGGCGTCGTCTTCTGGTTGACCAACAGTCATCTTTGCGATTTGTGCGTTCACCTTGCTAAGCAATTCATCGGCTACTTCTTCGAACACGGCGACGAGTTTCACCGCCGTACATCGTTGGCCGCTGTACGAGAAACCACCCTTCACGATGCTCTTCGCCGCTAAGTCCAAGTCGGCGTCGGGTAAGACGATGCAAGCGTCTTTACCGCCTAGTTCCGTTTGCAAAGCCACCATGCCCGCCTTTTGGGCGACGCGGATCCCAGTCTCGCCGCCCGTGAACGAAATCGCGTTGACTTCGGGATGCGTCGTGAGGTAGTCGCCGATTTCCCCGCCTCTTCCAGTCACCGCCTGGACGGTCCCGGCGGGAAATCCAGCCTTGAGGAAGCACTGAATCATGTGCAAAGTCGCCGTGCACCCTTGCGTCGGTGGCTTCACCACCACCGTGTTCCCCGCGATGAGCGCCGGCGCGATCTTTGAAACGCACAGGTTCACGGGGTAGTTGAAGGGCGGTATGCACAGGATGATCCCCACCGGAACCTTGCTCGCCATGCACAGCTTAGTGCGGTCGTTCCCCGGAAAACTATCGCTCATCAAAAGTTTCCCCTCCCCGAGCAATCTCACCCCCTCCTCGGCCGTGTAGTCGATTAAGTCAGCCGAGCGTTCTACCTCCACGCGCGCGTCCTTCGCCCCCTTCGCGACTTCCAAAACCAACGCCTCCGCCATCTCTCCCGCGTTCTCTCGCATCAGCGTCGCCGCTCGATGCAACAGCGCCGCTCTCGCGTGCAACGGCGTCCTCTGCCACGTCCTCTGCGCCTCTCGCGCCTTCGCGAACACCTCGTCCACCTCGCTCGTCGTGCACGCCTGAAACCGATTCGCCGGCGCGTTCGCCTTGCTCGGATTCAGCGCCTCGCACGTCGATCCCGACGCCGACGTCCGCCACGTCCCATCGACGCTGTATCGCATCGCCCGCGTCGTCGCGTCCCGCACGTCGTCGTAGAAGCGCGCCGTCGACATCCTCCTCGCGCGTCCCTCGTCCGGCGGCGCGCTCGCGACGACGCCCCGCGCGTCGCGCGTCGCGAGCGTCGCCGAGCGCGCGCGCGCGAGCGTTCGTGCGATGCGCGCGCGCGTCGACGCCGTCGTCGCCGTCGTCGTTCGCGCGTCGGCGCGCCGTTCGCGTCGACGTTTGACGATCGAGAGGGGCCTCGCGACGAAAAAGCGCGCGGGACGAAAACCGTAACTCTGACCGAGACGCGTCTCGTGCGGCAAGGTCAAGGAATCTTTCGAATGTCGTACGTACGTCATGCAGTCTTTGGCTTGCGAGCCTTTTTTGGTCTTATTTACTCGCGATCGACGCGATGGACGCGACGGCGCGACGCGACGGTAACAACGAGCGCGCGATGAAAAAACGGCTGGAGAAACGCACGATTCGTGGAAACGCGAAACGACGCGCGGGAGAGCGCGGCGGCGCGGGAGAGCGAGATCGACGATGAAGACGGTGGCGAGAAAAACGTCGGTGTGGTCGAACGCGCTCGCGGCGAGCGCGACGGTCGCGGACGCGACGACGGCGAGGGACGACGCGCGCGCGAAGGGTGCGAGTTTTGAGGCCCGAGGGGAGGACGAGGAGGCGCGCGTGCGACGGGCGGCGAGCGAATTGCGGGTGAAGTTGCTCGATGAGATCGTCAGAGGGGCGGCGAAGCGCGAGCCGAGCGATGAAGACGGGGTGAGGGGGTCGGAGGATGCGGACGCGCGACGAGCGAGACGCGCGGGGCGAGACGCGTTTCTCGCGGCGACGGCGAAGGATGGAGACGAAGACGAGGACGCGATCGCGCGGATGCGCGCGGCGGTGAATTTCGTCATGGGATTTTGCGCGGAGATTTTGCAACCGAGCGATGACGGCGGTTCGCCGGCGGTGATGCCGCCGCTCGGGACGCACGTCATTCTACGCGCCGACGTCGAGGCTGAAGGCGAGCGAAGCGTGTACTTTCAAGAGCAATGTTCTTACGATTTCGACGAAATACGCACCGCGGATCACTTCATCGACTATGAACGACAGTTTGTTCACGCGAGCGCCAAGGTTCAAACCGCGCCGCGGGTGTCAACATCCGGGTCTGTGATCGACGTCCACTTCGATTTGCCGAAGCCGAGCGACAGTTCGACCACGAACAATATTCGAGAAGGGAACTTTGTCGAAGTGCGCGGATGCTCTGGCCACCCGGATTACTTGGGACGGCGAGGCGAATGCAACAACAGTGGGGAAGTGTTTGAGTTCAATTTACCGTCGCTTCGCATCTCTGGTCTCGGTCGAGCGTACCCCGTCGCCGAAATCGTAGGCGAAGTGACTGTTCGAGGTTGTACGTCGGGATTGAAAACGTCGCTAAAGTTTCGACCGTTCGACGTGGAAACGTCGCCGTCGTTTCGAAACATCGTCAGCGGAACCATGGTTCGAAATAACACCGAGGTCAAACGATTGATTCTCGGCACTTGGGACACGCGGGTGTTGCTCGGCTGCATTTGCGAGGATCGTGACTCGCTCGACGACGTCTTGCACGCCGCGAGAGATTTCAAAGTCCCTCCGTTGACGACGGCGACGGGAGTCCGAAGTTTACTCCAAGCTCTCGAATCACCCGGAAGTATGTCCAACAAAAGACTATGGCAAACCATCGTGGAGGCGCTGCGCGTGGCGAATTTACACGAGCCTGAACGCTCCGTCGTGCAAGAAGTGCTCGGCGAACCGGCGACGGCGACGCGCGAGAAAATTGAAGAGGGCTCGACGATGGCTTATGAGCTCGCGGTCATAGTGGCGAACTCGCCTCCGCCGGATGCACCGCCGCCTTTACCCAGATACTGGTCTCCGCGAACGAAAAAGAATTAAAATTACACGTAGCGCCGAAGATTGCAAGCAAACCTTCCCTCTTTTCTCGCGGGTTGGATATCCACCACCTCCAAGCGACCTTTCCCGCGACACGAAACGACGTCTCCAGCGCTCAGATCGTACCGTCCCTTCTTCACCTCCTTCCAATTCACCTTGACGTCTCCAGATTCTACGTGCGCGACGAATTTCGATCTCGACATCCTAAATCCCGCGCTCCCGAGAGCGTCCAATCTCGTGCTAGACTCGGAGGAGAAAATGTCCTCCACCTTTGGTTCGGGAACTTTTAACTCCGACGCGTCCACCTCGCGGGCTTCTACCTTCACCGTTCGCACCGAAGTCAACGCCGTGCTTAAAAACTCAGCCATCTCGGGCGACACCATCACGTCGGCGCCCCGCTCTCCGGTGACGACGATGTCTCCGACTTTTTCTCGTTTAATGCCAGTTCCCAGAATTGCGCCTAAAAAATCTCTATGCGTCGCGGCGTCGAACATAAAATTCCCCTGCACCCTCAACACGCGCACGGTGTCGCGAATCTCCTCCTCATCGACGCTGTCCGCGCGCGCGATCGTCGCGCGTCGTCGCTCCGCGGACGCAAAGCCGCCCCACGCTCGAACTTCCACTTCGTCCCCACACACCGCGCGCACCGCGTTCTCCACCGAATGCAGCGCGCCTGGGTCGAGAAACTCGATCGTCTCCACCGTCCATCGATCTCGCACGCGCTCGGCGCGCTCGACGGCGCGTTTGACGACGTCTCGGTGCTCGGGCTCGGCGTGACGCAAGATGACTTCGACGTCGAGCGGCGCCGCGCTCGGCGTCGAGATGCGCCGCGCGCGCGCGCGCGAAGTCGGCTGCGACGTTCCCGCGCGAACGAGCGCGCGCGCGAGCGGGGCGTGGCGCGCGACGACGCCGCGCATCTCGAAGTGAGGACGGACCGCGACGACGCCGGGACAACGCGCGATGATTACATTAAATAGTGATCGCTCACGACACGTTCGGGGCGGTGTTGAGACGAACGACGCAATCGTATACCTCAGCACCGAGACGCCGAGCGTTGATCTCGCTCTTGACCATGGCTAAAGAGAGGACGTCCACGCCCGGTGACATGTACGAGGCGGCGTTCCAGTTGGATTCGAGCGAACGACCCATGCCGTCGAGGACGACGAGCCAATCGTTTTCGCGCACGCTGGCGCCGTTGACGTACGAAGCGAGATCTTGGGAGACCCTGGAAAAGTCGAGCAGGGTGGAAGTGGCGCCGGAGGGTAAGCATTGGACTCGGCCCTCGTCGACGAGCGCGCGCAGGGTGTCGTCGGATTTGACGCACGAGGACACGAACCGGCGCAATTCGTCAAACGTGATGTCGTTCAACGCCGCGGTGGTGTTCGCCACGAGCGCGACGTGGGTGTCGGCGTTCAAGGATGCGAGGTAACGCGCCAAGAGAACCATGCCCATGGTGTCGGCGCCCGCGTTATCGCAGAAAATCAACACGCGCTTCCACGGCGCGCCGCTTCGCAAGCGCGCGTCGATTTCTTCAAAACTATCAAATTTCCACCCACTCTCCGGTCGTAACACCTTCTCCTGTGCCTTGGCAAACGTCGCAAACAGTTGGCTGGCGTCCAAGTTGAATCGTTTCTGCTCGTCCTCGGGGTAGTCGCACACCGCCTGCTCGGTGTCGCAAAACGCCACGTTTTGCACCGCCGCCGCCGCGCCGGCGTCGAATAGATTACCCGCCAGCGCCGCTTCGATCACCAAACGCAACCGCCCTCGCGCATCGCTCACACCATCCACCGCTCGACACATCTCCGGATACAACGCCAAACAAATCTCGTTCTCGTTCGCCTTCAACCCCATAAACATATCCTCGAGCCCGCACGATCGAAGCAGGCGCTCCTTCTCCTCCACCATATCCATCAGCGTGTCCCCGACCCCTCGCGCGCTCGCCACGCCCTCGTCCCGCTCGATCGCGGATAATAAATATTTTTCGTACGCCCTCTCGAACGCCTCGTACTTTTCGATGTAGGACGCGTCTTCGTTCAGGTGCGCGCGCGTTCGCTCCGCGTTCGCCACGTGACTCGGAAACTGTCCGAGCAGCAGCGCCACCCACGCCTCGCGCGCGTCTCGCGAGCGCTCGCACGCGTCGCACACGCCCGGCGAGACGTGTGAGTACGCTTTATCGGCGCTCAGCAGCGGCAGCGGGGTCGTGCGCGCGTCGGTCGCGAGCGCTCGGGACTTTATCCAGCGAGCTCGGGACGGCGAACTCGACGTCGACGACGCGCGGTGCGTCGCGCGTTCGCGTCCGTCGCGCGCGAGAGCGAGCGCGGAGGATTGGTTCGCGAGCGCGCGCATGGTGACTCGCGAGGACGCGCGCGCGTGTGAGGCGAAGTCGGCGAGCGGGACGGCTTGGTGCTGCTATTGCAAAGCGCCGATGACTTGCTGGACCACGAGGCGCTTGATCGTGATGGCGACTATGGCGAAAACCAGCGCCCAAGCGGTGGTATCGAGTTGTTGCTTCGTTTTCGCGAGCTCTTGCGCGCGGCGCGCGAGGCGATCTTCGCGTTCGGTTTCGTTCGGCGGCGTCACGGGTCGCGGCGGATCCTCGTCGTTCTCGTCCTCGCGCTCGTCCTCGCGCTCGTCCTCGCGCGCGACGTCTTCGGCGCGCATCGCGCGCGACGGTTCGACACCCACATCGTTCCCATCGTCCCCTTCGACCGTCGAGACGTCGTCCTCGGACGCGCGCGAGCGTAAACCACCCTCCGAAGTCGCTTCGTCTTCGACGTCGTCTTCGTTCGCGTCGTCGTCTTCGATCGCGTTCTCCGACCGCGCCCCACCCTCGCTCGCGCTCGCCCCATCGTCTCCCGCATCCTTCACCGATTCCATCGCCATCACCGCCTCCATCCTCGCCAGCATCCGTTCGTGCACGCTCGCGCTCAGCGCCCGTCGCTTTTCGTTTCCGTGCGCAAACGTCGGCTCGCTCGCTCGCCAGCTCGCCTCCGCCAGCTCTCGCCTGACGTCGTCGCTCCAATCCAGCGATCCCACCGCGCCCTCCGGCGGCGTCGGGAAAAACGCCCGCATCGCCGTCAGCGCCGCCCGTATCGACCAGCTCGGCTGCCACTGCTTCGGGTGATGCTGCGAGATGCTCAGGCAAATCTTCGTCCCCGTCTCGAATCGTCCGTTCGCCGTCAGCAGCACGAACGACGGCGGCTTGAACGGGTACTCCGGCGGCAGCAGTATCCGTCCGTGGTATATCCCGCGCTCGAACGCCGTTCGCGGCGGTCCGAAGACGGCGAAGTGAAACTCGAAGATGTCATCCTCGCACGGCTCGGCGATGAACGCCTCGAGCGCCGTCGCCTCGGCGCGCAGTTCGCGGATCTCGCGCAGGATGCGCTTGACGCTCGGCGTGTTGGCGTTGAAGCGCGCCGCCGTCGAAGACGCGGACGACGTCGAGGCGTCGACGGACATCGACGCGCGGCACCGTGACGCGCGGGACGGTGCGACGCGAGCCGACGTCATGGCGACCGCCGACGCGACCGCCGCGGCGCCGCGCGCGGTCGGGGAGATCGTCCGCGGCGTCGTGCGCGCGGTGCGCGCGTTCGGGGTGTTCGTGCGCGTCGACGGCGACGACTCGGGGAAAGACGCGCTGATGCACCGGGACGACTGCGGGAACGACGCGACGTTCTCGCGCGACGACGACGACGAGGCGATAAAACACGCGCTGGAGTACTTTTATCCGGTCGGACATCGCGTGTGGGGGAAGGTGACGAGCGTGAGGGAGGACGAGAGGAAGCCGGGGACGTGGAGGGTGGCGCTGGACGCGAGCGTCGTGGACCAGGCGACGGGGGAGGATTTAGATCCCACGGGAGCGAAGACGCGGGAAAAACGAGGCACGAGGGACGGTGATCGACGCGCGGGAGGCGCGGGGGCGGATGGTGGGGCGCCGAGGTTCGGGGGGGGCGGGGGGGGCGGCGGCGGACCGGCGTTTCATCCCGAGTTGCACAAGGTGTACAGAGGTAAGGCTCGAACGGTGAAACCGGTGGGGGTGTTCGTCGATATTCGAGGGTTTCGTCGCGGTGGATTAGTGCACCGGACGCAGATCTCGCAGTATTTGGACGTGCCCAGGGACGTGGATGACGAGGAAAAGATTCGCGTCATTTCCGGCGTCGTGGCGGAGGGCGACGACGTTTGGGTCAAGGTCGTGGACGTCGAGACCACGGACGGGGCGCCTCCTCGCGTGAGTTTATCGATGAAGAACGTGGATCAGGGCAACGGCGAGGATTTGGATCCGAACAACTTGAATTACGAACCGCCGTTTCGCGGCGGCGGCGGCGGCGGCGGCGGCGGGTATCGCCCCGTCGGCGCGGATGCAGGGCAAACGGTGCAAGCGGGCGCGATCCGTTGGGGACATCACGCTGGCGATGTGAAACAATACGGCAGCGGCGGGAAGCAGTATGAACTTCTCCTCGAAGGCGAGGGAGACGTCATCGGCGGGAACGAGGACGCACCGCCCAGCGGTTTGAGATTCGGCACTGGTGACTTTGTCAGTCGACTTCGCGCCGCGGGTGGCTCGCCCACGCGCGTTCGCGATGGTAGCGATCGGGATTTAAAGAAACCGAAGAAGGAGAGGAAGGAAAAGAAGGAAAAGAAGGAGAAAAAGAGTAAAAAACACAAAAAGTCTTCGAGAAAGCGCAGTCGACGCGATTACTCGAGCGACGATTCGTCTTCGAGCGACTCGTATTCCCGCTCTCGTTCTCCACGACGACGATAGAATAGATGTTCGTAATAAATCAGATTCACGTTGAACTTTGCGTTGGTGCAGCTATTGCTACTTCGCACCATGCGTCCTAAACGCGCGTCCCATCAAAGCTCTTGCTTGGCCGCTTTCTTCGCTTTCGACCTTCGCTCCTTCTTCTTGGGCGGTTCAACTCGTTTCGACTCCTTCTCTTCGTCGTCGTAGAAATCGTGATCTTTAGGCTCTTCCTCGGAGAAGTCAACGGATTCATCGCACGCCTTGGAGACGTTGCGACACAAAAACTCCTCGACGTTCGACTCCGCGTCCAATCTCTCCTCGAGCACGGCGGCCTGCAACGCCTCCTCCGACTCCTCGATCACGCGGTGGCAGTACCCTAGAATTTCCGTTTTCATCTGCTTCCCTCGCGCGTGACGAATCTTCTTCACCGGATTCGGCGGGATTCGCCACCGATTCGTTTCCTCGTGGAGCTGATACTTTCCCACCCTGCTCGGCTCGTCGCAGACGCCGTCGAGCAGCTCGACGAACCGCAGCTCGCTCACTTTATACGAGATCCTCTTGCCGTATCGGCGCCCGCGCGAGTCCAATCGACCGCGCATGTCCACGACTTTCCCGTCCGCGCTCTCGGCGTCTTCGCGCAGGGCCTTGGCGAGGGATTTACCGACGGCGCGGCACGCGCTGCACTTCGCTTCGATGGCTTCGGCGGTCGACGACGCGCGCGCGACGACGAGGGCGAGCGCGAGCGCGAGCGCGAACGCGCGCGCGCGGAGCGATCGCGATCTCGCGCGGGGCGCCGACGCGCGCATGGTGTAAACGCCGCAGCGCGCGGACGCGCGCGGACCAGAGAATGAGGGCTCGATCGAAGCATCTTGCGCGCGGAGACTAGGGGTACGTCGGAGATTGTACAACCGCGAATGTATATTAAGAGCGTGCGGATACTTGCGTGCTACTGCTGATGCTAGAAAGGTTAAATATTTGCGTCGGGCGCAGACGCAGCCGCGCGGGCTCGCCGCGCGCGGAATCGACGCTGAAGTTTTAAGACGACGAGCATGACGCTCATGGAAATTGGCTTGCCGTCGAGATCAAACAATTCGTTCTCGTCGCCTTCTTCTGCGATTTCCATCTCGCGAATGGACGCAAAAGAGTCCCCGCGAAGTTCATCGGCGGCTTGTTCTTTGCGAGAAAGTTCTCTGACGAGAGTCGCTCTTCGACGGACTTTGTTTCGAAGTCTCAAGAGAGAAGCCCGTTTGGCGTTTCTCCGATCCTCCTCGAGTTCGCGGCGAATTTCGAGCGGGAGGTAGTTGAGATCCACACCCATAGCCTTGGCCGTAAAAGCCTGCAAGAGCTCGGTGTAATGAAGAAACCTCGACCCTCCTTGTAGATTGAGCGATCGAACGTGGTTGAGCATGCCCAAGTCAGTGACGCGCTTGCCCTTCAAACCCAATGGTTTTGGCGTGGCGAGAATGATGGCCTTTACGTCGATCGCGCTGACGAAACCGGTGAGATCTGGGTCGAACTTTTTCCAAACTCTGCGGAAAGCCTTGACGTCTTCAGGAGTCACGTTCTCATTCTCAGCTTCCTTTCTACTCATCGAATAGTTATCGAGCACGACAGCGATGAGTAAGTTGAGAATAATGAACGAAGAGAAAGCGACAAAGCTGACAAAGTAAACTGGAGCGACGGCGGTGCCGCAACACGTCCCGATGGCGCAATCGAAAGAAGCGTCGCAGTTTTTCTTGTTCATGCAATCATTCATGATCTCTTGCCACCCCTCGCCGGTCAACATCCGCAAAAGCGTGGAGAGGGAATTTCCAAAAGTTTTGAAGTTTGCGTGCCTATTGAGCGCTTCGCCATACGCGAGACGCCCGAAGACTTGTGTGCCTAATATGGCGTATATAAAAAACAGCAGCGCCAACAACAGAGATATGTTGCCGAGCGCAGGAATTGTCATCACCAGCGTCTGGAACAACGTGTTCAATGATTTCCACTTTTTCACCATACGGAAAACTCTGCAGATGCGCAGAGCGCGGAACGCGCTAGATCCCGTTCCCGACTGCAAAATTGCACCCAAGATGGACGTTACGACGATGATAAAGTCGAACACATTCCAACCGGATGAAAAGTAACGTCGCGGGTACAGCGCGCCAATTTTCATCATCGCTTCAACTGCAAACGCAGCCGTGAAGATGTAGTTCAACACATCCAATGCAAACTTCTTTGAGGAGCTGTCGTGATCCGTCTCCGTCATGAGCACCACGGTGTTAATGAAGATGATAACCATGATGCTCGCATCAAATCTTGTGTCGTTGATCAATTGGAAGAGCTTTGCGCGCCACTTTTGATGAGGCGGTCTTCTGAAAAATGATTGTCGAGCGGTGAAGTTCCTGTTGCGCTGCTGAGCAACCCACCTTGCCTGTGACTCGCTCATAATGGTGCGCGTCAGCGACGTCGTCGATATCTTCAAAAAGTTGTCGATGACGATACCGATGCACATATTGAACAAGAAGAAGTTCGACAGAACGATAAAAATGAGGAAATACCACGTCGCGACTGGAGTACGATCTCGCACGGGCGCCACATCCGTGCCCACGGCGTCAGCTGCGTTGAACATAGTCACTGTCCACCCTTCGCCAGACGTCGTCTCAAACAACGTGAGCATTGCTCGTGGGAAAGAGTCAAAGTTGCTGTCAGCACTCTCCCAATCTCGAGTGACATAAACCGCAGATGTGTAGCTGCCAGTGCATGCAGATTCGGTCGTTTTGGTGTAGTCGTTGCACGAAGACGTTATGACATCCCAAGTCCGCACACTCGTGCCGTTTGACCAAGAATCGACGCACGCCGATTTAGTGAGAATCGTGGGATCGGAGCAACTTTTAAACTTACCCATGAACAACGACATTCCTGCGATAGCAAATATGATCCACACAATCAACGATACCAGAAGCACGTACACGAGACTCGGAAGCGATGCAATGAGCGCGTTGATTACCACTTTTAACCCTTGTACTCGCCCGAGAAGTCGAAGCGGTCGCAAAACGCGCAAAGTACGTAACGCACGAACCCATTTAAGATCCGCGCTGGATCCGAGACCCATACCGAGCAATCCGAAAAACACGATAGTGCCATCGAGAACGTTCCACGGGTTCTTCAAGTACGAGTACTTATCGGCGTTGAACATGCCTAACGCGATCCACTTCATCAACAACTCCACCACAAATGCAGAAGTGAAACAGTAATCAAGAATTTCTGCTCTCTCCTCAAAGTTTGGATTGTCCATATTCTCTGGCGTCTCCCAACACATGGTTATACTCGAGGCAATGATCAACATAAGAATGAACCAGTCAAATCGCCTGTCGTCCGCGATCGCGAAGCACGCTTTACGGACTGGGTGCGATGGCTTGAACAATCCAAAAAAGCTGCTTTGTTCAAACTTAGTGAGCGGAACTTTACTAAGCGCCCCTGGCTGCTTCTTCTGCATGTCCTTCGGACTCATAATGACGCTGGTTGTCTCAGCGCTACTTTCTTCCTCAATCATCTTTCTGGCTCGCTGCAATCTCAAATTTTCAACTTTAGCCGCTGCTTTTCTCTTCTCTCTCTTCAGCAATTCGTGGGCAAAATGTGCAAATCTCGTCGCAGTTTGGGATGGCTCATTATTTGCGCTATCATTCGACTCACGACTACGGACACTGTCCGATTTAGTCATTCGCATCCCAGCAAACACGCCAAAGATACTTTGTTTCTTCGCAGCCCTACTCTCTTGCAGTTGCTCTTGCAGGACTTCTTTGCGATTGTCAAAGTTGCTCAGCAAGATGGCGATGAGCGAGTTGAGAATGATAAAGTCGCCCAGAATGAGGACGACCACGAAATACAGAAGAGCGACTTTCGCGGTGGTGAACATGGTGTCATACATCACTAATGGCCAATCCTCGTGCGTGATGACTTGCACGACAGTAATAATAGCGTTGTTGAAGGTGTCAAAGTTCGACCGCGGCTTTGGGTCAATCTTACAGTAATTGCCGCCAAAAAGTTGCATCCCGACGAGCGCAAAAATCAAAACAAATAGACACAAAATCGCTAGAAAACTCGATAAATCGACCAGAGTCTTCCAAATTGTTTTAAGCGTGCTCTGTAGAGACTGCCACGTTCGCATCAACTTGAGGATTCGGAAAACTCGGAGCGCGCGAAGGACGGTGAATTTTGACTTGCCTTCACCTCCATTCAAGCCGAGTTCAATACAAGACACGAGCACAATCCCCGCATCCAACCAATTCATGCGATCACGCACGTACTCAGGTATACCAAGCGCTACGACTTTAATCAATAATTCAAACATGAAAATCGCAGTAAACGCCAGATTCGCGTTTTCCAGCGCCTCTGAGTAACTGTTAGACATGCCGTCGTATTCCATCGCGAGCACGAGTGTGTTCAACAAAATACTGAAGTTGATGACCATGAAGAAAAAATCACCATCCACGAACTTCCGCGCACGTGGTTGTACGAAGTTCTTTATTCTGACGAGTTGCGTTTTGATCCACTCGAGAGTTTGACTGCGTTTGTGGCGCACGACGGACGCGCTCATTGCTTCTCCTAACCCGTCATTCGTGGCACTTTCTGAGCGTGATAGCGCCTGGATAGCTCTTTCGAAGGTGGAGAAGCTCCCACTCGAGACTCTTTGCAACTCATCCATAATATTCGCGTCGTAAACCATGGTGATGATGGCGAGTGCCAAGTTCAATATCACGAACGATCCAAAAAATATCACGGGCAGGAACCACATCACGACCGCAGGCGATACTGAATCTATGAGGTCTAACATCACGGGCGACCAATACTCGAGGGTTATCGTCTGGAAGATCACGAGCCAAGACCACCAGACGCTATCGAAACTCGCGTATCCATAGTTTGGATTTTCGTGATCTAAACACTCTTGGCCGCTGGGGCACTGCCACGCGGCTTGGGCGGTGGTTCCACATGCTTGATCTTCGTTCTTTTTCAGCAAAACTGCGTCACCAGAAGCGCGTTTGATGCATCGTACGTATTCTTGCGCCGTGTAACTCTCGCACGGCACGCTTGGCGGAAGTACATCGAAGCACCGTGTTCTCATCTTTCCGGCAAAGAACTGCACGCCAATGATACCGAAAATGCAGAAGAATAGCAAAAAGAATACAATCACGTTCGCAAGAAGTGGTAGAGACTTCAACATTGTCTCGATCAGCAATCGAAGCGATGGGAACATGCTAATCGTTCGCAGCGGACGCAGAATTCGCACTGTTCTTAAGGTGGACACGTTTGACCCCATATCGCCTGGCAGGAGGGCGACGACGGACACGATGACAATGCCAAAGTCCATCACGTTCCACGAGTCGCGTAAATACGCCCCCGAGTTTTTTGTATTCAATTTACCCACCACACCGAACGCTATCATCTTCAGCAACGCCTCGAGGGTGAATAAAATAGTGAACGTGAGTTCGCTCCGCTCCGCCGCGTCGTTCCTCGCCCCTCGCGTGGCAAACTGCCCGCACCCTCTACCCTCCAAGCGCTCGGGTTCGCTGAGGCACAGCAAAATCGTATTCGCAGCGATAATCAGCAGTACGATCCAATCAAACTCGTGTCTCTCGACGAGCTGAATGCAAAACTTGCGAATCGGGTTCTCCGCCCCGAACACCCCGAACGACTTTTCAGCGTAAATCTTCCCACTCACTCCCACGACTAAGCTATCCTCGCCCTCGATCGACGCATTTCCCGACGCTGACTCTTGCCTCGCCGCACTCACGTTCGCACTTCGTTCTTTCCCACTCTTCGTGTGTTCGCCCAAGCGATGATAAATGTCCACCAATTGTTCGCCTCGTTCGTCTCGCTCGCCGTCGTCGTCGCTTGAGTGGGAATCTCTCGCCCCGTCCCGATCGATGCCGTAATACGATCCATCATCACCATCACCCTCATCGTCGGAATCGTCGCTCGAGCACGGCGCCGGTCCCGCGCGCGTCGCCGCTCCCGCGCGCCGCGTTTCGTCCTCCGTCTCGCGCTCGCCGCTCGAATTCCCATCGCTCGAATCCGCGCTCCCGTGTCGCATCACCAGCTCCGCGAACGCGACGGACGACAGCGACGCCCCCCCGCTCGCGCGTCTTCGTCCCTCGCGCGCGTTTTGCGACGCATCGCGCGCGACGAACGCACCGATCGTCCCCGCGCGTCGTGCCTCCGAATTCGCGTTCGCGTCGTCGTCGTCTTCATCGCGCGCCCTCGCGCCGCCGCGCGCGTCGCGCCGCCGCGTCGGCGCGTCGCCGGAGTCCGACTCCACGCCCCACCGGCTCGGCGCCATCGGCATCGCGCGCGGCGCGCGCGCGCGTCGTCGTCTGTCGGCCGGGGCGGCCGGTCTCGTGTCGCAGCGGTAAAAAACACGGACCACGTCGCGCATCGGATCGCGTCGCGACGCGCGTCGCGGCGTCGCGCGCTCGCGCACTCGCGCGCGCGCGAACGCGCGGAACGACGCGGGAGAGGCGTTTACACCGCGCGAAGACGCGCGAGACGCGCGAAAGCGGCGCGCGAAACGGTGAAGACGAACGAGTCGAACGAATCTCCGCGCGGGTGGTTGAAAACGCCGCGACGAGGACGAGGCGCGCGCGATGACGACGCCGCGCGCGCGAACGGAGCGACGGGAGGGATCGCCGCGACCGTCGACGGCGCAGAGTGAGGCGAATCAGCGAACGCCGCACGGAGGAAGGGCGCTGTCGGAGGCGTACTTCGCCACGGGGGCGACGGCGTTTTTGGAGCGAGCGCTGACGCGACGCACGGGGGCGCACGCGGCGACGACGGTCGGGACGTTTCATCGAGGAAAACGAGGGAAGGGGGGGGTGAGAAGACGACTGGGAGGTGCGACGACGTCGACGGTGGGCGATGCGCGCGGTCACGGGGGCGGGGCGCGGGAGGTGGTGCGCGTGCGATGGGACCCGGAGAATCCGTACGCGGCGACGTTCGGCGAGCTGTTGGACGTGTTTTGGGATAGTCACGATCCCACGCACGCGCCGATCGATGATTTGCACGCGAGCGTGGTTTTTGTGACGAGCGAAAGCCAGCGTGAGGAGACGCTGCGGAGCATCGAACAGAAGACCGACGCGTATCGCGACGCGGACGTGCTCACGCGCATGGAGTCGGCCGTCGACTACAGATTTACGGAGGCGCCGGAGCGATTTCAAAGAAGGTTGCAGCGCGCGAGCGAAGACGAGGGCAGTAGAGAGGGATCGATGCGAAACGGCGGCAGCGCGCGATCGTCGATGGATGAGCGCGGGAGCCCGAATGGAAGTACGAGCGAAGCATCGCAAAGCACGGATGCACCGCAAAGAACGAGAACTCTTTTGGGTTCGGTGAACGCGACGCTTCATTGGGCGGTGGATTGGACGAAAGTGATCGCAGTGCACGGGGCAGCGTATTTAGTTCGAGGCGGCGCCGAAAACGAGCGCAAGACTCCGAGATGATTTCTAGAACTTTTGGAATGACATCACAACGACTTTGACGCGCTACGCACTCTCACTACGACGCACTCGCACTCTCATTTTATATCGCGACGGATCGAACTTGTTCGAGCTTCTTTAGAATTTCGCCCGGCGTACGATCCATTTCTTCCGCGATTCTCCGTTGAACGTCAGCCGGTAAAGCGCCGAACTGCTCGCACAAGTCACCGTCGATGACATTTTTGACCGGCGCGTAGTACGACCGGAATGCCATGTGGTCGCGCCCGACTATGGATGGCGCTTCCTGGCGCATGTGCATTTCTAAATGAGTGAAGAACTCGATCTCCGATCGAGAGCTGAACGGTAACAAACATCCGATACCGCCCATGAAAGTGCCGTACATGATGATCTCGATCCCTCCCGGTTGTAGTGCGCCCTTCGTGAGCGCGCACACCGTCTCCCCGATGTATGTTTGCGCAGAGGTTTCAGACTTGTTCGGCGCACCGTTCAATACACCTTGCGAATAAATGTTCTTACCGCCTGTGGGGTCATCGTCCATGTCCTCACTGACATCCTTCGGTAGGCGATTGACGAAAATATTCCCAAACTTATCCGCACCGGCGAGTGTATCGTAATCTAAAGGCAGCGTCGCCGTGATGTATCGCGGCTTCGTGTCGTCGGCAAAGATGTATATACTACCCTCATCCGCCTTGTACTTGACGTAGTGAATAGACTCCTGCACGTCACCGACGTATATTCTATCTCCCGCCGCGTGCAGAGTGGTGATGAAGTTTGGAAAGTTCCTGTTCTCAACCTTGCGCAAGAGTTTCTTCTTACCGTAGTCGTAAATGCGCAACGAATTGTTCACGCCCGCCAGCAGGTGACCTTTGTATCCACACAACGCCCCGACCGGACCATCCGTCGGGGTGGAGTGCACCAAATTGAGCGTCCTACCATCGTTACCGTATCTGTACAAATGGATGAAACCACCATCGCAGTTGCGCGGCGCAAACGTGAGGTTCACCGCCGTACCGACGGCAAGGAGTAACTCATTCGGGCCTGTCAGGAAGACGTGGCACAAACTGAGCGCGGCTTCACTCTTGTGTAGCTCCAGCACGAACGTCGATTTCGCCTCCTTAGGATCGACGATTCGTACGCACGCCGCCCACGTTCCAGGCGAGCTCTTCGGCGCGCCAAACTGTTCGACGGGTAGCATCTTTGCTTCCTCCTCGTCTTCGTCGTTCGTTTCGGGCGCTTCGTCTGCGGGCGTTGCTTCGGGACCTTCGCGTTCGCCGACTGGAACCGTGCACTGGTCACTTTCGATCAGCGCAACCATCTTCGTATCAGGATTGGCGCTCATCGCGCGCGGAGTGTAACGGAGCTTGACCGTGGTCTGGTTGAAGTTTTCGCCCAAACGCTCGATGCTCGCGATGCGTAACGTCTGGTTTGAAATCGCCACGACGCCTTCGGGGCATTGCTCGCTGTTGAACGAACACACCTCTTCCAGCGGGACGTACGAAATTGGTGCGAGCACGAACGTTCCCTTTTCAGAGTATCCCAACCAAGGTCGAGATGACAACGCGACGAGAGCCGGAGCGCCACGAACGCTTGTACGAACAAGCTTCGGCGCACGAGCGCCTAAAAAGCGCATGCGCATATCACTCAGTTGTCCAGAAACTTGATCAATCGTCGCACGTATCAAAACGCCATTCGCCATGCCCACATTGAGCAACAAACCACCTTGAGTGGACTCCGTACCCGCGGTTTGGAGGACCAACAAGCTGGACGGCGCCGAGCCCTTGAGCGCTTGCACGGCTAACGTTTGCAAGCAGTCATCCGGGTTGAGGCTCATGACGCGCACGGTGCCGTCGTACGAACCCATGGCGAGGAATCTATTTCTCAGCGCACCCTCAGGAACCGGACCGATATCCAAACACGCAATGTCGCCGCTAGTCTCCAGCTTTTCAACTTCAATGAGTTGACCGGCCGAATCTAACTCAAAGTAAATCACTTCGCCGCCGGTGAGCGCGATGACAACTTGCTTGCTGTTGCACGTGCACTTTGAGATTTGCTTGCGTCCAGGAGTGCGCCACTCATTGATGCGCTTATCCGCCTTGATGTGGCGCAAACCGCCCGGATGAATCTGAAGTAAAGATTCATCGCTCATGAGACACGCCTGAAGCGTCGTCGTAGTTCCTAAAATCCCGCTGTCGTTCACTTCACTGACGGTGTCTCCGATGGACAATACCAGCGTTGCGTTCAAGAACGAGACGATGATATACGAATCATACTCTTCCGACGAGCTCTTCTTCACCGTGAAGATGGCGTTCGGCTGGCCCGGAAGTGGGCTCATCGCCAATTCGTTCATGGCGATGCCTTGCCGCAAAATGCGAAGCGATGAACGAGCGCCAGTTCCGCAAAGCGTGTACAATTGTGGCATTTCCTCTTCCGTCAAGTTGTGTGCCTGCATGTCTAGCACAGGACACAAACTATCTATAGTATCGATCGTGTATAAGTTGGTCAAAGGTCGCGGGTCGAAGAATACGGGCTCGTAGCCTTCCTCCGTTTCCATGAGCGATGCCGAGCTGCTTTCAACCGCGTCATCGTCGCCAATGCCGGCAAACTGATACAGCGCGTGATTTCCGAATTCACTCGCCGCGAACAAGAAACCAGTCTTCAACACGCACAAGCTTACACACGGGGGAATAGTGTCAAAATACTTCACTTTGACTTCACTCACTGTTTCCCCGGAGTAGTCGATGGTGAGTTTGTAAATGTCCCCGTACTCTGACTGCGCCAAAAAGAAGAAAGAATTCTTCGATCTGTGGCTCGCGGAGGACACAATCAACACCCCTCGATCAGCCGCCAAAGAATTTCGACGCGGGATCACCGCCCGAACTTCGTCGTGGTTCTGATGTCTGTAAATGACAAAGTTTTCGCAGCACACCAAGACACCACCCGGACCGTCGCTTCCGCCTGGCACGGGAATCAAATGGTTTGCGCCGTTATCGATCGGCTCGCTCCACTTGCGTACGACGTGGTTCAAACCTAAATCGAGTTCGTAGTACGTCAAATGCTTCTGCGCCTCCGCCACGGCTTCGCCACTCGGGTCTGCGTCCGCATCGCCGTAGTCCAACTCGATCGCCGCGAAAATCGGATTGTCCAATCCGCAATCTAACGCGCACATGTGAAACACGATCGTGTGCGACTTATTCGCCTCAAGCGGTGATGAAATAGTCAAGTTTGCCTCATTATCTCTGTTCATCACGTACACCAGCTTATTCTTCTCCACCGCGCCCAGACAAATGGCTCGCCCCTTTGGGTCCGCGCACAAAAACTGCCCCGGCACGATCCTTCGGCATCCCGTCTTCCCATACGTCTCCTGATGCACCTTCACGAACGCATTCTTTTCCTTATCAAACTGCAGCACCACCACCCGACCGCTGTCGCTTCCGAGGACGAGATAATCTCGATTCGCTCCCGCCAGGCGCAGCGTCGCGATCGACCGCGCGATCCCGAACGCCTCCACGCTCGTCACGCTCTGCACCCGTCCGCTCTCATCCGGTCGCAGCAGCTCGACGACCTTATTTCGCAGCACCACGATCTCCTGCGCCTTGCTCGCGCTGAAGTTTCCGTACACCGCGGCGTTGATTCCGCTCGACTTCTGCAGCGTGAGATTGTACAAGTGCACCATCGTTCAGCGCCCCGTTCGGTGCGTCCCCGCGCGCGTCGTTCGGTGCGTCCCCGCGCGGACGTTCACCCGTCGCGCGTTCGCGTCCGCGCGCCGAGGCTTGCGGCGATCGAGCGTCGCGCGCGTCGCAATGCGGTCGGGCGCATCCGATTTGTGACCTAGGCAAAGGCGGCTCGCCGCTCGACACAGCGCGACGCGCGTCTCCGACGCGCGCGCGCGAGCGAACGCGTCGAGACGGCGATGTCGCGCGTCGTCGCGCGCGCGCTGGCGAGCGGCGGGCGATGCGCGCGCGCGACGACGATGGATGCGCGCGCATGGCTTTACGCGTCGACGACGGGACGCGTTCAAACGCGCGCGCCGGGGGCGATCTCGGCAATCGCAGCGGTGCGAGAGGTGATGTGGACATCGAACGCGACGTACGCGACGCTGGCGAGGGATAAGCCCGGGAAAGGGAAGCGACAAGGGACGAATTATGGGATGGGGGACTCCATCTTGAAGCGCGGCGGCGGCGACGCGCGAGGGGAGCCGGGACGCGAACGAAGCGCGGTGAAGGGAGTGATGGATGTCGTGGGGGATGAAAATGATGTTGTCGTGGACGCGGATGATTCGGGAGGCGTGCCGGCGGAGGGGACGAGCGCGTATGATTACATGTTGCCCGTGCGCGCGTACTACGTAGGGAGTACAATCGACGTGCGTGCGTTGGCGAAGCAAATGCCGGCGTATCCGAAAGAGTTTAATCGCGAAGGAGTGATCATACGAATGTCGCCGAAGAAAGTGGCAGAGTTACCGAGCATCGATGGCGACGCCCCGATACCGCCGGAGATGTTGAGTCGGTATTTGGTGGTGTTTAAGTTCGGGAGCGTGGTGTTTTACAACATGGGGCACAAGGAGCGGGAGGAGTGTTTAAAGCTCGCGAGATCGTTCACGTCGACGCCTCTGGCGGTGCCAATGACGGATGATTATCGAGTCGTTGTCAGACCGACGCTCACGGACTGGGCGAGCCTAGAAAGCGATCATATTGTTCTGAAGAGGATGGATATAAACAACATTAGTGTCATCTCGAGCGTGCTGGCACAAACTGTCGCGCTGGAACACTACGAGCAAAAAGTGGACGGGATGGTTGAGATTTTTAGTAAATTGAACAAGAGCACGGAGTTGACAGGGGACCTGAACATTAGCAAGAAGCGCTTGTTCTCGTTAGTCGCCGAGAACAACAACACGCTGACGGAGTTAATTACGAAACTCGGTTTGTTGGGACGCTCCGACACCGCTTGGCAATACGCGCAGTATAATATTGTCTGGGAAGGCTTGCGTCAGGATTTCGAGCTCGAAGATAGGTTTCAAGATTTGGATTACAAGCTCAATCTCATTCAAACCCAAGTGAAATTCTATTTGGAGATTCTACAGAATCGAAAGAGCGACGCGCTTGAGTGGATCATCATCGTACTCATTTCACTCGAGATTTGCGTCTCGCTGTACGACATGGCGGACAAAATTCCCCCAATTCCATGGTAGCTGTTGTTGTAAATTATTTGAGCCACCGGCACGGTATATGTGTAACTTAGTACTGCCGCGCCAAAAAGTCTTCGAGCTCCCTGTCCGCGGCAGCGTCGGCAATTTCGTCTGCGTTTGACCCTTTCCTTTTGACCTGCTTCGCCGGCAAATTTGATCGAAACATGATAGGTTTTCCTGTCTTTTTATGAGCCGGCGCGCGCGCTCGTTCGAGCGAGCGCTGAAACCTCAACTCTTGCTCACGCTTTTGTTGACGTGCGCGTTCCTCTCGAGCCAAACGCCTACGCTCCTTTTCCTTTCGCTTTTCCAAATCAGCGACGATGTCTGGCGGTAACGTATCGATCGTCGCGAAATACTCTTCCATTTTTGCTTCGATATTTGTCAACATTTGCAAAACGCTGATGCTCGGGTCGTAGTCAAACCCACAATCGACGTAGACTTCTGTGACACGCTTGGTCAATTCCTTCAGCTCGTTCTCGATCTCGTCTTCGTCGCCCGTATCGCCGCTCGTGAGCTGCTTTGACAATCGCTCGCCCTTACGTTCCTCCGCGTCGATTGCTTCTTGTAGTTGCTGGATTTGTTCGCGCAATGCGGTCATCTCCGTCTCCATTCGCGTCTTCGTGCTGGTGTGTTTAGATTGGACGGTTTGAAGCATCTCCTCCGCCTCTCGAACGCTCTGAATGAGAAACAAATTTTGTTCCTCCAACGCCGCAAAGGCGCGCAAAAGCTGCTCAGGCTGCGTGAAATACATCGGCGCATTGTCTTTCGCGTGCTGTTCGAACCACTCGCTCGGCGTCAACGCGTCCAAAAACTCCTTATACTTGTAACATTCCTTCAACTTTTCCTCCTTTCGATTCAGCTCTTGCGTCGCGCTCGCGATGTCGTTTTGCAAGCGTTTCATCTCCTTCATCTTTTCATGTTTCGCCCGCGCCTCGCGCTCCGCCGCGCTCACCGCTTCGCGCACTTTCGCATCGTTATCCTTCAAAAATTCATCGAACCGCGCGTGATCCTCCTCGAGCATGCTCTCAGATTTCTTCAACGCCTCCTCCCGTCTCGCCGCCTGCGCCTCGAGCTTTCCAATCTCCTTCAACTTGTTATCGATGTCCATCTGCACCAAGAATATCTCCCGTTTCCGCGCCACGAACGCGCGCACCGATTCTCTTCCGTCCACTCGCGTCGTCTTCACCGCGCGCGCCGTCGCGCTCTCGCCGGGCACGATCGCGCGCGCGTCTCCGTCCACGCGCGCGATCGACGTTTCGTGTCCCCGTCCCGCGACCGTCCCGCTCGCGCGCGCCATCGCGCGTCGTCCGCCGCGCGCGCGCGCGAACGCGCGTCGTCGTCGCGCGCGTCGTCCGAGTCGTGCGCGCGTCGTCGTCGCGCGTCGTCGCGGTCGTCGCGCGTCGCGCGGCTATTTTTGACGACTCGACGAATGTCACCATCGCGATTCGCGATGTCACCGACGCCCGCACACGACGACGCCGCGCGCCATGTCGCGCGTCGACGGTGGCGCGCGCGCATCGCGCGTCGACGGCGGCGCCCGCGCGGCGCGCGCGCGGCCCGGCGCGCGCGCGCGCGCGAGAACGCCGGCGGCGACGGCGACGTCGCGCGCGCGTCCCGACGCCCGCGCGCGCCGCGCGCGCGCGCGCGACGTCTCGCGATGCGCCGCGCGAGACGTCAAGTTTTGCATCGATCGCGGCGGCACCTTCACGGACGTCTACGCGGAGATCCCGCGCGAGGGCGACGCGGGAGAGGTGGCGTTCGTGACCCTGAAGCTGCTGAGCGAGGACCCGGCGAACTACGCGAGCGCGCCGAGGGAAGGCATACGACGCGTGCTGGAGACGGTGCACGGACGAGAGATAAAAAGAGATGAAAAAGTACCGACGGAAAGGATCGAATGGATACGCATGGGGACGACGGTGGGGACGAATGCGTTGCTGGAGAGAAAAGGCGCGGCGACGGCGTTGGTGACGACGCGCGGATTCGGAGACTTGTTGGCGATCGGAAATCAGGCGAGACCGGATATATTCGATCTCGCGATCGAGCGACCGGGGGCGTTGTACGAGCGCGTCGTGGAGGTGGACGAACGCGTGCGAGTTTTAGGGGAGGGGGAGCGCGCGCGAGGCGCGAGCGTCGTCGGCTCGACGGGGGAGACGGTGGAGATATTGAAACCTTTGGATGTGGAGTCGCTTCGCCCGCGGTTGCGGGCGCTTTTAGACGACGGTATCACGTCTATATCAGTCGTGCTCTTGCATTCGTACACGTTCGATGAGCACGAACGCGCAATCGGCGCGTTGGCGCGCGAGATGGGATTCCAGCACGTCGCGTTGAGCAGCGCGCTCGTGCCGATGGTGCGCGCTGTGCCGCGAGGGCACACTGGGTCGGTCGATGCGTACTTGACGCCGTGCATTAGAACGTATATCGACTCCTTTCTGGACGGTTTCGACGAAGGCTTGCGCGACGTCAAGGTTAGTTTCATGCAATCGGACGGCGGGCTCACGCCGGCGGACAATTTTAGCGGCTATCAAGCCATTTTGAGTGGTCCCGCCGGTGGAGTCGTTGGGTTCGCTCTCACGACGAGCGCGGCGTTACGCGACGATGGCGACGACGGACGAACACCCATCATAGGCTTCGACATGGGTGGTACGAGCACGGATGTCAGTCGTTACGATCCGCGGGGCGGGTACGAACAAGTCACAGAGACGACGACGGCGGGCGTCACAGTGCAAGCGCCGCAATTAGATATCACGACCGTCGCCGCCGGTGGTGGTTCAGCCCTAACATTTCGTTCGAGGACGTTTTACGTTGGCCCAGAAAGCGTGGGATCTCAACCAGGTCCGGTGTGTTATCGCAAAGGAGGCGCGCTCGCCGTCACAGATGCGAACTTGGTCCTCGGGCGCATCCTCCCAGAATATTTCCCAAAGATATTCGGCCCGAACGAAGACGAAGCGCTGGACTATGAATCCTCTTACAAGGCATTTGAAGAAGTCACGGCGCGTATCAATGCCGAGACCGGAGAGAGTTTATCGGCTGAAGAGGTTGCGATGGGATTCTTGCGCGTCGCCAATGAGGCAATGTGTAGGCCGATTCGCGAAATCACGGAGAGCAAAGGGTACGAAATTTCATCCCACGTTCTGGCCGCTTTCGGCGGTGCTGGACCGCAGCACGCATGTGCAATCGCGCGCGATCTGGGAATGTCTACCGTCTTTGTACACAGATTTTGTGGTATTCTCTCGGCATACGGCATGGGCCTTGCCGACGTCGTCGCCGAGTCACAAGCTGCGTGCGCTGCGAAGTATGAAGACGCACAAGGATTGAAGCGAGCGATGGACGATATGATAGCACTGAAAGAAAAAGTGATATCGCAGCTCATTTCAGACGGACAGTTCGAAGCGAGTGCGGTGCGATGCGAATGCTTTCTCAATTTGAGATACGATGGCTCCGACACGGCTATGATGGTGCCCGAACCAGACGATGGCGACTATGCGAAGGCATTCCGTGAACGCTTCGTGCGCGAGTACGGATTCGATTTAAAAGGGCGAGCATTACTGATAGATGACGTACGCGTGCGCGGAGTCGCGAATAACTCGCTGCTTACGCGCTTGCCCATCGCGTGCTGCAAACCGGGTGAAAAGCCGATTGCGAACACGAAAACGCGCGTCTACTTTGAGAACCTTGGTTGGTGCGAGACGCCGGTGTTTCAATTTGAAAGTTTGCTCGGTGGAATGTCCATTGAAGGACCTGCGATCATCATGAATGGGACATCGACGTGCGTGATTGAGCCGATTTGCGTCGGTCACGTGACAACGTACGGCGACTTGAAAATCACGGTGCCAAACGTCAAAGAGCAAAATGAAACCGTCGAAGCCGATTACTCTCGTGCCGATGCTATTTTGATTTCGATCTTTAGCAACAGATTTATGGGCATAGCCGAGCGCATGGGCCGAACGTTGCAACGCACAAGCGTGTCGACGAACATCAAGGAGAGGCTCGATTTTTCGTGCGCCATTTTCGGGCCAGACGGCGGACTTGTCGCGAACGCCCCGCACGTTCCGGTGCACTTAGGCGCAATGTCCTCGACCGTTTCTTGGCAACTCGAACACTGGGGATTTGACGGTTTGCACGAAGGCGACGTTCTTGTGACCAATCATCCACGTGCAGGTGGTAGTCACTTGCCTGACATCACCGTGGTCACGCCTGTATTCCGAGACGGGAGAATCGTGTTCTTCGTCGCCTCGCGAGGACATCACGCCGATGTCGGCGGTGCGACTCCAGGATCGATGCCACCATTTTCAAAAACAATCGCAGACGAAGGTGCCGCCATAAAAACGTTCAAACTCGTCGATCGTGGCGTGTATCAAGAGGAAGGCATAATCAAACTGCTGACAAAGCCAGATACTGGCAGTCGCGGTACGCGCAAGCTTGCCGATAACTTGAGCGATTTGAGCGCACAAGTTGCAGCGAATCAGCGAGGCATTTCACTTTTGAACGAACTAATTGACGAGTGTGGGCTGGGTCAGGTACAGGCGTACATGAATCACGTACAAGACAACGCTGAGCTTGCTGTTCGCGACATGTTGAAAACTGCGGCGCAAAACGTCATTGACAATGCCACTCGTCTGGGCGCACAAGTGAACGGCGATAAAGTTACTCTCAGAGCACTCGATAAAATGGACGACGGAAGCGAGGTGTGCTTGACGTTGACTCTTGACGCTGCCCATGGTACTGCTGATTTCGATTTCTCCGGCACGTCTCCCGAAGTGTCAGGAAATTGGAACGCGCCGCCGGCGGTGACAAACGCGGCGGTTATTTACAGCATTCGTTGTCTCGTCAAACAAGAAATTCCACTAAATCAAGGTTGTTTGAAACCAGTGACGATATCCGTGCCCAACGGATGCTTTCTTTCGCCCTCTGAGGATGCGGCCGTCGTCGGCGGAAACGTCCTCACGTCTCAGCGTGTGACAGATGTCTGCCTCGCCGCATTCGGGGCTTGCGCGAACGCCCAAGGATGCATGAATAATTTGACGTTTGGCGATGATAACTTTGGGTATTATGAAACCATCGGTGGTGGCGCGGGTGCGGGGCCAGACTTTAACGGTGCTTCCGCGGTTCAGTGTCATATGACGAACACAAGAATTACAGATCCAGAAATTTTGGAGCGGCGATATCCAGTCATATTGCGCGAGTTCTCTATTCGTCAAGGCTCTGGCGGTGATGGAAATACGAAAGGTGGCGATGGAATCGTTCGTGAACTTGAGTTCCTGAAAGATGTCACCGTGAGTGTGTTGTCTGAACGGCGTATTTTTGCCCCAAAAGGTTTGGCGGGAGGCAACGACGGCGCACGCGGAGTAAACTCGCTGCGTCGCGTGAACGGCGAAGTTGTTGATTTAGGAGGTAAAAATTCCGTGCAAGTCTCCGCAGGCGACGTGTTAAGGATAGAAACGCCAGGCGGGGGTGGATATGGCACGAAAATGAGTTGATTGTGATGAAGAATTGTTTTATAAAAATACATGTCGGGGTTACTCCGGAAGCGCCGTGCCTCGTTCCAGATTCGCCTTGATTTCCTTCGAGTATTTGTCGTAACTCTTCGCGAGCATTTTGTTGAACCGGTCGTTTCTGACGTTGATACCGTCGACGTCCTTTGCGGCGTGAGTCTTTTTTTCATGCGCCTCGGTTCTCTTGCGTTGCGCTGCGGAGATGCCTTGGGCTAAACGATCAATCGCATCTTGTGACGGCTTGTTCGTGTTGTGGTAAATGCTATCCGCACCGCGATAAAAGTCCGGCACGCGCGCTTTTTGCGCTTCGTAATCACTCATATCGATTACCGCGTTGGCTCGCTCTCGTTCGTAGTTGGCGTATTGGCGCTCGGCGCTAAACTGTCCGGCGTCGCTGGGATCATACGTCTGCTTCTTTTTCCCTTTCTTACGACTCGCCTGTTCCATCGTCGCAGTGAGATGAATGGCGTTCGGATCGATACCTTGCTTCACTAGTGAGTCCGTGCGAGACTTATTCGAAGCTTCTCGAATCTTCCGCTTCTGTGCGTTGGCGTATTCGTCCGGCGCGTCGACGCGCTTCTTCTCCTCCACCACCGCCGCCTGATTTTTCTTTCGTCCTTCGTTCAGCTTGAGCCGCAACTCGAAAAGCTTGCGCTGCTTCGCAGACATTCCAGCCGTAGGATCGACTGCGTCCGCACCTAAATGTTCCTCCACTACACCACCCGTCGCCGCGGCGCGCGCGGCCAAGGCTTCGGCCTCTGCCGCCGACTCCTTCAGGCGCCGCGCGGAAGCCGCGTCGGGGTTCTCTGCGCCCACCATTCGCGCTTCTTTATCCGCCAACCGCCTCTCAGCCGCTGCTTTAGCTAAGATTTCTTTACCAGCCTCCGTGAGTTCCTCTTCCTCGATCAGTTCCGCCGCGATCTCCCCGCACTCGACGATTTTCACCGTCTCCCTCGTCTTGCCCGACTTGGACCCGCACGCCTCCACTCGTCGCACGACGTCCATCCCATCCACCACCGATCCGAACACGACGTGTTTCCCATCTAACCAAGGCGTGTCTCCGGTGCATATAAAGAACTGCGATCCATTCGTGTGCGGTCCGGCGTTCGCCATGGACAACGTCCCCGCCCCCGCGTGCTTGAGCGTGAAATTCTCATCCCGAAATTTCGGCCCGTACACCGATTCCCCTCCCGTGCCGTCGTGATTCGTGAAGTCCCCGCCCTGAATCATAAAGTTCGGTATCACTCTGTGGAACGTGCTGTCGGCGTACGACAGCCTGTGTCCGCGCTCGTTCGCGCAGAGCTGTCGGAAATTCTCACAGGTTTTCGGCACGACGTCGCTTCGGAGCTCAATCGTGATCCTCCCGACGCGTTCGCGACCGATCGCGACGTCGAAAAAGACGCGCGGCAGCGGCGACATCGCGTTCGCTTCGGCGCTCGGCGCGACTGAACCTCGCGCGCGCGTCGCTTTGACGCGCGTTCGGTGCGCGGCGACCGCCGCCACGAGTGACACGCCATAACGCGCCGCACCGCGCGCGCCGCGCGTCGTTCGTCGCCATGGGTAAAAATCGCTTGAAAACCAAGCAATTCGCCGCGGTGAAGCGGATGATTAACCCGAAAGACATCGCCAAGCAGCGCAAAGGCGCGGACAAGTCGGGCGAATCGAACAAGCGGAAAAACAGAGACGAAATCAAACTCAAACGCGTCGAAACGCAGTCGAGCGCGCTGTTCGGGAAGTACAACGCGCTGCTGAAGCCGCCGTATAACGTCATCGTCGATACGAACTTCATAAACTTCAGCATCAAGAATAAGATCGATCTGATGAAAGGGATGATGGATTGCCTGTACGCGGAGTGCGTGCCGCACATCACGGATTGCGTCATGGCGGAGCTGGAAAAGCTTGGACAAAAGTATCGCGTCGCGCTGCGAATCGCGAAAGATCCAAGATTCGAACGGTTGCCGTGCTCGCACAAGGGAACGTACGCGGATGATTGCATATGCGAGAGGGTGCGACAACATCGATGTTACATCGTGGCGACGTGCGACACGGATTTAAAGCGACGCATTCGGAAAATTCCAGGGGTGCCGATCATGTTCATGGGGAATCATAAGTACACCATCGAGCGATTGCCGGACGCGGGTGGGATCGGGAACTCGTGAGCGAGTTGGACGTCGTTTCGAGTAGCTTAGCTTTTGTACATCATCGTGTGATAACATCGTCGAGCGGGCGGTTGGCGCGCGCCACTGCGAGCCGCATGTTCCGAGACGACGACGACGACGGCGAACGCGCGCGCGAGGCCGCCGTCATGCGCCAGCGCGCGTATCTCGCCGAGCTCGACGCGCAGTTGGCACATAAGCGCGAGTTGGCGCGACGAGACGCCGTCTTCGGCGACGCCGCGCCACACATCCATCGCTCGCACGAATTTCAATATCGCGCGGCGTCGGCGTCGTTATATTCGGACGACGGCGAGAACAGACGATGGGAGAAGACGAGGGAATTGGCGTCGTCGCGAAGCGTGGCGCCGCGCGGGATGGTTCGCGAGAACGACGACGACGGTGGCGCTGAGGCGGCGGAGCGAGAGTGCCGACGAGAGAAGGCGCAGCTGCGAGAGGCGTTGGAGCGGCAAATCGAAGCGAAGCGACTTGAGCGCGAGCGCGAGCGCGCAGCGCGGGCTCGAGCGGAGGAAGAGGAAGAACGCCGTTTGCGCGAAGAGCAAGCCGAGTTGACTCGACGGTTTGAACGACGTCGGCGGTTCGGTTTGGCGGATGGTTTAGCGGATGATTTGCACGACGCGTCGTTGAGCGCGAGCGAGGGTGGTTCTGGCGCATCCGGCGCGACAAACGTCATGAATGCGGCTTCGAATGGTGATGCGTTCGAGTTTATCAAAGTAGAGTCGACGTTCGTGGAGTTGTCGCGAGACGACGAAGAATCCGACGCCGACGAAAAATCAAAGCCGCCGGAGGTCATTCACTCGCCGCCGCCGCGGCAGCTCACGGTGGTGGAAACAGTGATGACGGAACCGGCGAAACCGTCTCCGGCGAACAAGACAGAAGACGAAAGTGATGACGACGAACCATTACTGCGCCAAGGATCTGTGAAAGCCATGGCGAAAATGTGGGATACGCCGGTGAAGTCAAAACGAGCTCCGTAGCATAGAATTAGCGATCAAACGAACGACTCACTACTGACTAGCATGTGTAAATTACAACGACCGAACTGGAAACGAAGCTATCGCGAGCGTGACATCGAGTCCGGCGCGACTTCATGACGCTCTCAATTCTCTCGCTCGCAAGTGCAATGCGGGCAGTTGTGCAGCTTTTCGTGAATGTAGCAATCGCAAGCGAAGCAAAACACGTTAGAACACTGCTCACACTTGGATGCTGGATCTGTTTGCTTGATAAGCGCGAGGCATGCTTTACACTCCAACACCTCCTTCGCTGAAGCCTCGTCGCGCGTGTACTCCTTGAACGGGGCGACGGGAAACAGGTGATGGTACGATCGCGCGAGATGTGGTGACGACACGAGCGTCAAACGACACACCGCACACTGCGAAGGAAGTTCATCGATTCTCCCAGAGCACCTAGGACACACGTATTCACCCCCCGTTCCGACCACGAGCGCGTCCTTACTCAAGTGCTTCTTTTGCGGAAATCCCATTTGTACCAAGCTCGACTTCGTCGCGTCTTCGGGGAGCGGCGGCGGCGGTGCGTGCGCCATGATTAAATCATCCAAATGGTCGGCGTTTAAGCTCACCCCGTACGTTCCTCCAGTCTCCTCTGTCAGCCGTCGACTGACGTGAAGCTCCGCCGCCACGGCGACGACGCTCACGCGCACCTTGGCCGCCTTCGTCGCCGCGATCTCTGTCCACACATTTCCAGGATCACACGTCGACAACGAACTCACGATATAGAGCACCTCACGACTTCCGTACGACGGAATCGATTTCAACGACGTCCTCGCGACGTTTAGCGTATTTTGCAAACTAAAATCCCCGCTCGCGTCCAGCGCGTTTCTCAGCGCCGCCGCGTGCGCCTCCGGACTCCCGCTCAGCTCCGTCAACCGTTCGGCCACCCCATTCCTCGCGACGATGATCCCCAACTGCGATAGCGGATTCTGATTGAAATATTCCCGTATGAACGACGTCGCGCACTGTCCGACCACGCTCAACCGGTTCGGTCGAAAGTCTTCCTCGTTCGCCGCCCGCGACAGATCGACCACCACGTACGTGAACCGAATCATTCCCTTCGCCGCTCCCGCGCTCGTCGCGAGCGCCGCCATCTTCGCGCGCCGTTCGCGCGCCTTGGCCGTCTGCGCCTCGCTCGTGACGCGCAGGCGTCCCGTCACCGGGTCTTCCTCCAAGTCTTCCCACGCCCGTTCGCTCTGGTACTTCTTCTCCCACGCGCGCAGCGCGCGCTGGGCGTCCTCCGCGTCGACGTCGTCGTCGTCATCGTCTCCGTTCGCGCCCTCGGCGCCGTACGCGGCTTCAACCGACGTCATCGCGCGCGTCTATGCGGCAGACGGCGACGGCGAGAGCGAAACAATCGGCGAATGACGGGCGCGCAGTCCGCGTCGAACGCGTTCAAGGTGCGCGCGATCGCGCGATGCGTCGCGACGCGCGGGCGTCGCGCGCGCGCGCGCGCTCGACGCGCGCGCTCGACGCGCGACGCGGCTTTCGGCGCGAATTCCAATCGAAATTGAACCAATCGCATCGAGACTGACGCGCGCGCTCGACGCGCTCGACGCGCAGGTCGTGCTCCTGGGCGAGGGACGCGTTGGAAAGACGTCATTGCTGCTGCGGTACGTCGAGAACACGTTCTCGGAGACGCAGACGCCGACGGTGCAGGCGACGTATCTGAGCAAGAGAGTCGCGCTGGAAAACGACGGCGCGGCGACGCTCAACGTGTGGGATACGGCGGGACAAGAGCGGTTTCACGCGCTCGGACCGATATATTATCGCGATGCGGACGCGGCCGTGTTGGTGTACGACATCACGGATAGCGATTCGTTCGATAGGGTGAAGAGTTGGGTGAAGGAGTTGAGACAAATCGCCGGGAGCGAGATTTCGCTGGCGGTGTGCGCGAATAAGAGCGATTTGGAACGGGCGAGAAAGGTGTCGCAGAGCGATGGGGAGACGTACGCGAAGAGTATTGGGGCGGCGTTCTTTAGTACGAGCGCGAAGGCGGATAAGGGCGTGGCGCAGGCGTTCATGAGCGTGGCCACGGCGTTGGACGCGAAGCGAGGCAAGTCGGCGGCGGGCGGCGGCGGCGCGGGCACAAAGACGAGCGGTGTCGGTCGAAGTCGGTCGTTGAAGATTGCGGAGGAAGAGATGAAACCGCGCGGTGGCGATTGCTGCTAAGATTACTGCGGACTCTATTTAATCCAACACTAGCCTACGTAGACACCAGAACTAAAAGATGTTCCACATCGCGACGGTGCCGTCTCGAGACGTGCTCACTAAAAACGAATCATCGGGAGCGAACAGAACGTCCGTCACCGTGGCGTCGTGATACTTCAACACCGCTAACAGTCGACCTTTCGACCTCGCTTTGTACTCGAACACGCGGATCTTGCCGTCCCAACAACCACACGCGACGATTTTGCCATCGCGGCGAATTGAACACGCGCTCACGCCCGGTTGCTTGCTCGATGCGCTCACGACATCCGTGTACGGGCCGTGCGTACGGAGGACGCGCACGTTCACTTCAGATTTCGTCACGAACTCGATGGCGTAGCGCACCAGCACGCCGTCGGCACCGCCCGTGACGGCGCCCTCTCCGCCCGCGTCGACGTCGACGCACAGCGCCGTCTCCCCGTGCGCGCGTCTCCTAAACACAATCTCCCCGACCCCACTCTCGAAATTCAACGCCCAAAGAATGACCGTTCCATCCTCGTACCCCGCCAGCAAGTGCGTCGAGCGCACGAACCGCACACACATGACGACGCCGATTTTGGGATCGTCGTCGTCGTCCTCCGAGCCAACCGCCGGCGTCCCGCACGCGACGTTCCCATTCGACGCCCGCATCACCACGATCGTCCCTCGCGCGTCCCCGGCGAACGCGATGAGATCATCACAATCGCTCGCGACTCGACAGAATCCGTGCACGCGCGTGTACACCGCGCGTTCGACCATCTCCGTCGCGTCGCCGTCGTCGCCGTCGCCGCGACGCCAAAACTTCAACGACCCATCCTTCCCTTGCGTCACCCGCATCGCTCGCGACGACGTCGACGCGTCACCGGTCGTCCTGATCGCGACGTCGCGCATGGCGAGCACGCCCGACGCGGGCGCGTGCGCCTGTCGTCGTCCGACTGCGCGGCGCGTCGTCGTGTCCCACGTCACGATGACGCCGTCGGCGTCGCCGGTCTCGAGCGCGCGCGCGCCGCGACGGGCGTCGAACGACGCGCACTGCGCGTCCGTCGCGTGCGCGCGCAAAACGACGGGATCGGGCGGGGGATTAGGCGGCATGGAGTGACGCGCGCGACGCGGCGGTTGGAGAAGGGAGCGACGGCGAAACTAAGAAAGCAAAGCTGGAACTAAACGCGCTACAGCGCGCGAACGACGGCTCGAGCGATTTGTGAAGGCTTGGAAAAGTGCGAGACGGCGCTGGGGAAATCGAACGGCGCGACCGGGGAACCGCTCGGGGAAATGGAGACGCGCGCGACGGCTTCGGATTTGACGGTCCACTTACTCGTCAATGCGCTCGGACGCCGCCAAGGCGGAATGTCCAAACCACTCTCGCGGAAAGAGTTGATCATGTGCGTCGACATGAAGAAGACAATTTCGCTCAGCTGCGCGTACGTGCCGACGAAGGCTGTGGGCATGGACTCCACGAGGCGCGCGTACTGCGCGGTGGCCCGGCCGACGACAAAGTGCGAGCGCAAGTTGGGCTCGATGATGATGCGCTCGTCCGCAGACGCGTACGCTAGAGCGTGTGCATCGCTATCGCCAATAAGCACGCTCGGCGGTAACCAAAGGAACGAGTGATTGAGCTTTTTCAAGGCGTCGCTGACGTCACCTTCGCGCGGCGTCTCGCTCGTCGCCCGCTCGAGTCGACCAAACTTCACCGGATCGTTTTCGCGCAGCTTCATCATCAACTCCTCTAAACCACTTTCGCGCACGTGTGAAACGCGCGAATCATCCTTGAACGCGTCTAAACCAATCTCTCGGACCGCCCACTTCAACGCCTTGAGCGTGCGATACGCCTCCTCGCCCCTGGGCGTGCACAAAAGTCGAGCGGTGCGAACGACGACCGCCGACACGTCGAACCCGACCGTCGTCGCGCCATCATCGCGACGCGGCGTGCGATCGCGCTCGAAATCCATCGCGTCTTCCTCGAAGAGCATATCGAATTCCATGTCCCCCATCGACGGCGCCGGTTGATTCATCGTCCCGCGCTCGCGCGCGACGGCCGCCGTCTCGACGACGTCGCGTCGTTTCGAGAATATTCTAAGATTATTCCACCCGTCCGCGCGCGTCGCGTCGCCGATCGCGCGCGCGCGCGCGTCTCCGCGCGCGCGCGAGCTCGACGAACGCGCGTTCGCGCTCGCGCCGCGTCCCGCGTCCCGCGCCGCGCGCGTCGCGTCGCGTCGTGACGCCGTCGCCGCGCGCGTCGCGTCGAGAATACTAAACGTCACTTTAAATCCGTGTTTTCAGCAAGTCTTGAAAGACGTTCGCCGCCGGCGCGGCGCGCGCGCGCGAGTCCGCGACGCGCGCGCGCGTCGCGTCCGACGTCGCCGACGTCGCCGATCGAAGGCCGGGACTAGGATCGACGCGCGCGCGACGCGCGCGGGCCAAGGCGCGGCGGCAGACGCGCGAGGCGACGCGAGAGGAGGCCGAGCGCAGCATTCGATTCGAGCGGCGCGGCGCGCGGTCGATGGCTGGTGGTGAAACGCCCGCGACGAGGGCGAAGCGCACGCGCGAGGAAAACACGCCGTCGCCGAAACCGAAGCCGGCGTACGACCCGGCGTTCGAGGTTGAGGTGGATCGGGGAGACGCGGGAGGGGCGACAACGTCGACGGGCGCGGCGACGGAGGAGGAGTATTCGGACGAGGGGCGATCGACGCGCGAGGGATCGGTGGACGAACGCGCGGGACCGTCGAAACCGGATTATTATCAGATTTTGGGCGTCGCGTTCGACTCGACGGAGGGCGAGATTCGAAGAGCGTATTTGAAGAGCGCGCTTCGATTTCATCCGGACAAGCACGGCGATACGTTGGAGGCGAAGCGACGGTTTCAAGAGATTGGTGAGGCGTATCACGTGTTGAGCGACCCCGGGCGTAGGACGGAGTACGACGACGCGGCGGAGTATTACGTCGACGACTTTGGCGTCGAGGAGTATTTGTTGAGGTTCCGCACCTTTGTGCTCACGTCGCAAGGTTTGAGCATCGGCTCTTATTTGGGCGACGAAGAAGACGAGGTGCACGAAGAAATATTAGAATTTCTTCGCGGTTAAGGAAGACGGCAGCGCGCGCCGAAGAAGATGCAGGTCGAAGTTCAGAAGCGCGCCCGCTCGGCGTGCACGACGTTCAAGGCGTTGAAGAGCGAATGGGACGAAGTGCGCGGCGAGGCGCAGGACGCGATGACGGTTTTCGCGAACGCAAACTTAGAGTTGCGCACCGTGGATGATTTGTCGTTCCCCGAGACGTTGTCGGAAGTCGACGTGCGAGAGGCGTTGCGGGCGAAGCGAAACGCGGCGTTCGAAGCGGCGGACAAGCGTCTGGACGAGCGCCGAGCGGACGTCGAGGAGATACGTCGAGACTTTGAAAAGCTCGCCAACGTGGAAAAGTATTTCGCATCGTCGATCGTGGATTACCCGGATGACGGCGCGTTGTTTCGCACGATGACGTTCAAGAGCTTTCGGCGCGCGTTTTCCGCCGTCGCGCAAACGTTTGTGGACGATTTAAAAGCCAAGGAGAAGATTATGGACAAGCTTTCGGCGACGAAGGACGATCGGAGCGCCGCGTTGGTGTTGATTTCTGCGTTTGCGCTCGATCCACTGATTGAGCAAGACTTACTAGACGAGTTCGAGTCCCTCGTATTGAAGAACGAGCTCGGAGGGTGAGCGCACTAGGCGACGCTCGAGCGTCCGTCGCGTCGACCGACTGAACGCGAAAGCACCCTCGATAACATCGCAGCGCTCGACGTGGCGTGATTTAGACATTTCTTTGTAAAAACGACGATGAAAACAAAAAGTGAGTGACCGAATACGGCAAGACCTCGAAAACAATGGACGCTCTCGAGCGTTTGAAGAGCGAAATGGCGAGGGGACATCGAGCCCAAAGAGAGGGACGAAAAAGCGACGCTCGACGCTCAGGCCAAGGCGCTCCTCGAGAACGCGAAGCGACTTATCGACGCACTAGGCCTGATTGCTCACAATCATATAAGGTATAGCTCGCATCGAGCCGAAAAAGGCGGCGGCGCGGGTGCGTTCCAGGTGGACAGAACAACCGCGCTGCGCGCGAAAGACGTGCGGTACGTGTGGGAAGTCGTGCTTCCTTACGTTCGTAGTGGCCGAACGTTGGTGGCATGGCGGACGGTGTTGAGCAAAAAGACAGAGAACGCGGACATTTCGTACGCGGATACGAGCTCACGGGGGCGGCATTGGTTTGTTCCGACCGTCGGGTGTGACGGCGAAAGTTACGGGTTCCCACGGACAATCGGGTATGGGATGCAGTAAAATAAAATAAAAAATAGTCGGTAAATGATGGGGAAAAAAAGTCTACGGTGTGATGCTGAATAGGAGGTTCGAACTCCTGATCGCCTCCTTACTAAAGAGGCGCCTTACCACTTGGCCAATTCAGCTCGCGGACTGATCGACCGAAATCGGCCACAGTACGAATCACTACGACCCAAATGACGCTAAACGTCCTGGAGTCGAGCCGAGCCGTGTGTTCGCGCGAATGTTACAGTCCGACGTTACGGTTCGCCGCGCGGCCGCGCGACCTCGTCCCGTCCCTCGTCGTCTCGTCGCACACGCGCGCGCGATGGCGTCCGCGTCCGCGCGCGCGTCGCACATGCGTCGAAACTCCTCCCTCCAGGACGTTCGCGCCTTCGTCAAGCACTTTCCCGAGCATCTGAGCTGGCGCGCGCAGCGCGAGTCGTTCGCGCACGAGGCGATGCAGTACGCGCTGTGGATCCCGTTCGCGATCGGGGCGTACGCGATGCACCTGCGCACGCTTTCGTACTTGTTCGCGACGTGGTTCGTACTGGGTGAGATGATGCTGGTGTACACGCACGAGGCGCACCGGAAAGTCCTTCGCGGACTGCGCTGGTGGCACATCGCGATCGGCATCGGCGCGGGCGTGCTGTACCGAGGCGCGCCGCTGGTGGGGACGTTCGGACGGTTCGTCGTGGATTACGTGTTTTGGGGAGTGATAGCCATGGCGTGCGTGTTTCCGTTGGTGCCGAAGACGTTTCGCGCGGACGTGCCGGATTTGGTGTACATGTTGGGATTCTTGCGGAAACCGACGGAGGGGCGCAAGAGCGCGTAGACGACGCGCCGTCGAACAATTAATTGTCTAGCCTATGAAATGTAGTACCACAATGTCGCTATGCGCCGGCGAGAAGCTCTTCGACGCGCTTTCTTTTCAACTTTTCCGTGATTTCATCCAACAGAAACCCATCCATGAGTGCGTTGACGTCGGAAATCGTCCCCTCGACGCGATGGTCCTTGACTCGACCTTGCGCGAAGTTGTACGTTCGAATCCGTTCGCTTCGATCACCCGTACCGATCAACGAGCTTCGCAGCTCGCTTCGCTCTTTCGCCATCTTCTCGCGCTCTAAGTCGTACAATCGCGCCTTGAGCACGCTGAACGCCTTGGCTTTGTTCTTGTGCTGGCTTCGCTCGTCTTGGATCACGACTTGGATCCCCGTCGGCGCGTGCGTGAGGCGAACCGCGGAGTTGGTGGTATTGACGTGCTGACCACCAGCGCCGCTGGCGCGCATGGTGTCGATGCGAACATCCTCCTCTTTGATGTCCATCTCCACCTCTTCCGCATGCGGAAGCACCGCGATGGACGCTGTGCTCGTGTGCACTCTGCCTTGCGTCTCCGTCTCGGGCACGCGCTGCACGCGATGGACGCCGGATTCAAACTTCAACCTCCCAAATACGCCTTTGCCTAGAATTTCAGCGCTCGCTTCTCGAACGCCCTTACCATCGGTCTCACTCACGTTCAACGTATCGAACCTCCAACCGCTCTTTCTCGCGTGTAAGGCATACATGCGGAACAGCTCGGCGGCGAAGAGCGCGGCTTCGTCGCCGCCCGCGCCGGCGCGAACCTCTAAAATCGCGCCCCGATCGTCTGCGTCGTCGTGAGGCAAGAAAAGCAGCTGCAGCGCTAGCTCTTGATCGGGTAAATCGATGTCAACGGCGCGCAGCTCCTCGCGCGCGAGCTCGGCAAGCTCTTTAGAATCACCCCCGCTCGACGCGTCTCGCACCAATTCCTCGAGAGACGCCTTTTCGGCGCGAAGCTTTTTGACGACTTCATACTGCTCCGCGATGGGTTCAATTCGGCTGAGTTCCTTGTTTGCTTCGACAACGCGATCGATATCGACGCCTTGGCGCGAGATGAGCGCGATCAATTCCTCTCGTCGCCGCAGCGCGGCTTCGCCTCTTTCCTCCAAGGCGTCCGTCGAAGACGTCGAAGACGAGTACGACCTCGTTCCGGCCATCGCGCGCTCGAGCGTCGATCCGACGCGCACGAGCCGAGCTTCTCGGAATTTTGGCGCGATCATTTGCATACCAATGGGTAAGCCGCTCGCCCTCGAGCGCCCAGCGGGCATGGACATCGCGGGTAAACCCGCGAGCGATGCGGGCACCGTCATGACGTCGGCGGCGTACGTTTGCGCCGGACTCAGTGCCTCGACGTCGGAAAGTTTTGGTGCCGTCGACACGCTGGATGGTGTGAGCAACACATCTACGCCACCGCCTTCGCCGCCGAACACGTTTGTAAAGTCGTCCGACACCAATCTTCGAACCTTTTGCGCCTTTTCAAAGTATTCCGCCGCGCGCGCGCTGCTCAGGGCAAACGCGCCGACTGTGACGCGGCGACGAACCTCGTCGCCGAAACCCAAGCTTCGCGCCTTCGCGATGGCGCTTTGAAACTCTTCAGCAAGATATTCTTCTCGCGAAAGGTCACGCGTGAGGTCACCGTAGCGCATACCGTCGTAACGTGCGAGATTACTCGACGCCTCGGCCGGGGCGAGGACGTAGTAACACGGCAACGCCGCCTCGGTGTGCGGCATGTTGACGCGCACAATTTCCGCCCCGAGCGCCTCCATCGCGCGCACCATTTCGTTCCACGCGTCATACACTTCTTGAGTCAATTCGCTCACCGCGTATTCCTCTGGAACGCCCACGCGCAAGCCCTTCAAAGATGCTGCTTTTGGCGTCGTCTCGTCGACGAATTCGAGCGCCGCCGCGTCTAAATCCTCGCACCGCGCCACCGTCGTCGCGTCCAGGGCGTCCTCGCCCTGAATCGCCGCGAGCACGACCCCAGCATCACTCACCGTCCGCGCTAAAACCCCCACCGTGTCCAACGAGCTACAATACGACACGAGACCGAACCTACTCACCCTGCCGTACGTCGGCTTCAATCCGACCGCGCCGCAATACGCCGCGGGCAATCGCACGCTCCCCCCCGTATCGCTTCCGAGCGCGTAAAACGCCGAACCGTTCACAACCGCCGCCGCGGACCCCCCGCTCGACCCCCCGCTCGACCTTTCGCCGTCCGACGACGTCGGATTCAGCGTCGTCTGCCCCGACGTCCGCGTGTGACTCCCCATGCCGAACTCGTCCATGTTCGTCTTCCCAATCAACACCCCCCCCAGCGCGCGCAACCGCGCGATCGCCGTCGCCTCGATCGGCGATTCGTACCCCTCCAAAATCCTCGATCCCGCGCTCGTCGTCCCGACGTTCGCGCACAGATTATCCTTCGCCGCGAACGGGACGCCGTCGAGCGCGCTCGCTCGCCGCCTCGCCTCCCCATCCGCCTCGCCTTCCGTCTCGCCCCGCTCTCGCCGCGCGTCCGACGCGCGCGCGTCCGCCAGCGCGCGTCTCGCGTGCGCGTCTCGCGACGCGGCGCTCCCGACGAACGCGCGCGACGTGAGCGCGTCCGCGTCGACGCGACGCGCGCAGTGCGAGAGCAGGTCGACCGCGGTCAGCGCGCGCGCGTCGAGCGCGCGCGCGGCTTCGGCGACGGTGCGCGGCCACGACGCCGCGGACGTGGACGCGGTCGCGTTCGAGCGCGCGCGCGCGACGCCGCGCGCGGCGCGTCGCGCGTGGACGCGCATCGATCGAGCGAAGACGAGACGGTTGCGGCACACAATGACGCTCGGCGTCGCGCGCGCCGCGGCGCCGTCGCGCGCGCGCGCCGCGGTCGCGCGCGGTCGTCGCGCGGTCGTCGCCGCGCGTCGTCGCTCGGCCGTCGCGCGCGCGATCGTCGCGCGTCGCGCGCGCGAGGTCGTCGAAGTCGACGCCGAAGTCGACGGCGGGCGAACGAACGCCGCGCGAACGACCGTGGCGCTCGCGCTGACGCTCGCGCTGACGCTCGCGACGCCGCACGCGGCGCGCGCGAGGGAGTTCTTCCCGCAGTCGCCGCCCGACGACCCGATCGAGCCGTTCAGCGTGTTCGGGACGGTGGAGAAGGCGTTCAGCGTCGCGGTGCTCGACGAGAGTGGGTCGAAAATCGTGGCGAGAAAACGCGGCATGAGCGTGAAGTCGTGCGTGAACGTGGTGCCGGCGTCGAGACAGGGGCCGAGAGGACCGCCCGAGGCGCTGAGACCGTCGGCGTGCGCGGAGGCGGAGGCGCTGGGGGAGATTCGGGAGCAGCGGGACATGTTGAAGGCGTGCGCGCCGGCGTGCAAGGCGTCGTGCTCGAGGGCGATCGCGGAGTACGACGAGGGACAGAGGAAGACGACGGGATTTGGGTTAGATGCCAAGGCAAAGGAGCGAGTGTTGAAAGCGTGCGTCGTGACGTGCGGGAAGGATTGCGAAAAGGCGGGAAAGTCGTACGATTACATCATACCGTTTCGATTTTGATTGGCGTCGCGCGCGCGGATTCTAGAAGCGTTGTAAATCTATTAATATGCGTTGATCTAAGGTTCGCGAGACGATTCGCTGGACGCTGAAAACTCCGCGAGCGCGGCAGCGTACGCCTCTTTCGCCGTCTTGGCATCGCTCTCGTACTTGGCTTTGCGTTCTGGATCGAGCGAGGCCCACCGCTCGCCGAGCGCCTTGGCGACTTCGCCGACTTTAAAGGTTGGATTTTCCGCCTTGACTGACGCGCGTTCGTCCGCCGAGAACGCGAAAAAGGCCGTGAGCGGTTTTTTCATTCCTGGAACTTCCACCTTGGGCTTCGGCGCCTTCTTTGCCTTTGGATATTTGGCTTCCTTCTTTGCCTCTGGCTCCTTCTTCGGCTTTGGTTCCTTCGCCTTCTTCGGCTCCTTTTTCGCCTTGGTCTTTTTCGAAGCGTATCGACCGCGCGTGCGCGGTGGGCGCTCGGCTTTTTTGCGCAACAATTCGACAGCTTCGTCGATATCGACGTTTTCGACCGCACCGACGCGCTTCAATACGGTTTTCCCGATGGATGCTCTGAGAACTTCGCCGGCGACTTCGGACGCGACGTACCAACCAAATGGGCCAATGTTGAGCGAAACGGGCGCCTGCGTCACCGGATGCACACCAAGCACTTTGGGGTATTCAAACATCCCGATGGCTTCCGCGAGAGTGATCTTGTTGACGTCCTTGCCGATGTTTGCCACTCCGACGCGACGAGGTGCAGGCGGTTTCTTCGGTTTCTTTGCCTTCTTCCCATCCTCTGCCGGCGTCGCCGCCGCGAGCTCTTGAACGCCGAGTTGTAAATATGGGCCATAAGGACCAAGTCGGAGAGAAATTTCTTTTCCGGTCGCTGGATCAACGCCAAGCACCTTGGGATACATCACTGCGTCGGGATCTTCGACGGTGGCGACGAAATCTGGATCATCCGTGTCGCTCACGATGGCGCCTCGAATCGGATGCAACGGGTGCGTGAAGCCGCATTCAGGGTAGCGACTGCACCCAATGAATCCACCAGCTTTTGATGGCTTTAAACCAAGTCTGCCAATTTTACAGCTCGGGCATCTCCGTGCTTCGCTCACGACGTCGTCGGAATCGCTTAATTCGGCGACTTGATCCGGGTTGATGTGCACGTGGCCGTCATACGTCGCCTCGCCGAAGAGATGCTGCCCGAGCTTCTCATCGAGAGCGTCGATGACTTCGCTCACGCGCAGCTCCGAAAGCGACGATATTTTATCCCTAAACGGCGTCCACCACTCCTCGAGTAACGGTTTCCATTGTACTTGTTCGCTCGTGATGTCGTCAAGCTTGTGTTCCAAATCCGCCGTGAAGCCGTAATCGACGTACGTCTCAAAGTAATTCGTGAGAAACGCAGAGACTAGACGACCGCGAGTCGTGGGAACGAGTGCGGCACCTTGCTTTGCGACGTACTCACGCTGCGCGAGCACCTTTAAAATCGGTGCGTACGTGCTCGGTCGCCCGATGCCTCGTTCTTCGAGCGCCTTGACGATGGAACCATCCGTGTAGCGAGGCGGCGGCGACGTTTTGTGCTCTGTCGCCTCGCACCCGAGACTCTCACCGTCAGTTTTCACAGACAAACCTTCGCCTTCACCAAGAATAGGTAACCACGCGTCGTCTGAAGGTGGCGCAGCTTCGGGTCTGGACGTTCGATACGCCGCAAGGAATCCCGGAAACTTGAGCCTGTGTCCGTTCGCCTTGAGCTTTAAGTCGTTCTCTGCGGAGGCAATTTCAGCCGCTATGCGATCGGTAAGCGCAGGTGACATTTGTGACGCCATAGTGCGCGCCCAAATCAACGCATAAAGTCTCGCTTCATCGCTGCCTGGTCCTATTTGCCGCGCAACTTGCGCGGGAAGCCGTCCAGCCTTGGTAGGTCGAATCGCTTCGTGCGCCTCTTGCGCATTCTTTTGCTTCTTCTTAAAGTATCTGGGCGATTCAGGCACGTACTCATCACCAAAAAGCTCACCAGCGGTCGTACGCAAGCTTTCAATCGCATGTGGGGCGACGTACGTGCCATCTGTGCGCATGTACGTAATCAAACCTTCGCCCGTGCCCGCGCCCTCGTACAGTCGTTGCGCCGCCGACATCGTCCTCGACGCACCGAAACCGAGCTGCTTGTTCGCTTCCTGCTGCATCGTCGACGTCGTGAACGGTGGTCCACTCGTACGCTTGGCTTCGCTGTGCTTCACCTCCACCACCCGCAGCGTATCGCATTCTCGCACGCGCTTGGCGTACGCCTCGGCTTCGTCGTTCGAAGCGATGGTAAACTTTCCAAGCTTAGCGCCATCGACGTGCGTCAAAGCGGCGTCAAACGTAGAGCCGTCTTTTGAACTTAAACTCGCCTTCACCGTCCAATACGGCTCGCTCACGAACGCCTCCACCTCTTCCTCTCTTTCGCACACTAATCGCAGCGCCACGCTCTGCACGCGACCCGCGGACAGGCTCACGCTCGACGGCAACTTACGCCACAGTAGCCCAGAGAGCGTGAATCCGAATAGATAATCCAGCGCGCGTCGCGCCATGTACGCATCAACCATCGGAACGTTAATGTCCCGCGGAGAACCCACCGCGTCGAGCACCGCTGTTTTCGTAATCTCCCCAAACGTCACGCGCTTGACGTCCAAGTCGTCGCGCAACAATTTCTTCTCCCGAAGCACCTCGAGCAAGTGCCACGAGATAGCCTCACCCTCTCGGTCTGGATCCGTCGCGAGCAGCAGCACATCCGTCTTCTTCAACGCCTCCGTGATGTCTCGCATCGCCGCCTTTTGCCTCGACGTCGACGTCCACGTCATCGCGAACGATTCCTCCGGCCGCACGCTTCCCTGTTTATTCACCAGATCACGCACGTGCCCGTAGCTCGCCAGCACTTTCGCGTTCGCACCCAAATACTTCTCGATCGTCTTCGCCTTGGCCGGAGACTCGACGATCATGAGCGTCCGTTTCCCGTTCGTCGTCGTCGTCGTCGTCGTCGTCGTCGTCGTCGTCGCGCCGCTCGCGACCGCGCGCGCCGTCGCCGCCGTCTTCGTCGTCTCGCCCCATCCACCCTCGCGTCCTCCCCACGCGATCCCGCGCGTCGCGCGCGCGCCGACGCTCGCGACGAGCCGTCGCACGCCGCCCGCGCGCGCGCGCGCCGTCCACATCGCCGCCGACGACTGCGAATTCCCAACCGACTCCGCGCGCGACGCCGCGGCGCCACTCGCGCGCATCAACCGCGCCCGCGGACGCGCGCCGCGCGCGGCGACCTCCCCGCGCGTCGCCGCCGCGCGCGGCGCCGCTCGTCCGCGCGGTGCGCGCGCGCGAATGCGGCGAACGTCGCGACGCGCGTCGATTCGCGACTCGCCCGAACATCGCGACGCGCGCGCCGCCATGTTCGACCGCGCGAGCGCGCGCGCGCGGCGCGCGAAGAAGTACGGCCAGCCCATCTACGCCGGCGCGTGGCTGGACGATCGCACCGCGCTCCTCGCCGGGGGCGGCGGGAAGAAGTCGAGCGGGATTCCGAATCGAATCTTGATCGCGTCGTGCGAGCGTGGCCCGCACGGAACGACGCTGGCGGACGCCGAGGCGTGGACGCACACGGACGAAGACGCGCCGCAGCGGCTGGCGGTGCACCCGGGGCGCGAACACGTGGTGTGCGCGTTCGGGGGGACGCTGGGGGTGTTTCGAGCGCGGCGAGGCGCGAACGACGGCGCGGACGAGGGCGCGTCGTCGTCGGGAACGAACGGGGAGGCGCGGTGGACGATCGAATCGTGCGCGAGCGCGTTGGGACTGCCGAATCGCGTGCACGTGACGCCGGATGAGCGGGAGATTAAGTGCGCGGCGTTCGACGCGGAGGGCGCGCGGTTGGCGCTGGGATTGGAGAGCGGGGAGGTAAAGATTCTAGCGTGGCCGTCGTTGGAGGTGGAGAAAGAGCTCGGGGCGCACGAGAAAGGGGCGGTGACCGATATCGCCTGGGCGCCCGACGGCGATGGGCTGTTGACGACGTCGGCGGAGAACGCGACGGCGAGTAACATCGGTCGCGGCGCCGCGGTGTGGAGCGTCGAGCGCGGCGAACGCGTGCTGACGTTGTTCGACGAGTCCATCGTGAAGAAGAGCGGGGTGCGGAACGTGGTGTTTCGCGGCGCGGCGTACGGCCGAGGCACGAACGCGTCGACGAGCGTGGCGTGGACTGGGGTGAATCTAGACGGCGAAGGTTGGGTGGTGAAGTGGGACGTCGCCACGTGGAAAGTCATCAGCAAGGCGCGAGTGTTCAAAAGCGAGCCCATCTCCGGGTTCGCGGTGAACGCGCAGGGTACGCTCATCGCCGTCGGAAGCTCCGAAGGCGAAGTAAAAGTCGTGGACGCGCAAAAGTTTACGCTCATTAAACCGGTGAAGAAGGCGCACATGATTTTCGTCACCACCATGGCGTGGAATCCCAAAGGAAACGTCGTCCTCTCGGGCTCCGCCGACGCCAGCGCTTTGGCGACGAAGATCGAAAAGCAGTCATGGACCTTGCGTTTGGTGCTCTGGTTCACCGTGTTCGTGATGTTGATCGTCGGCTGGATAACGTTGCTGTCGACAATCTTCCCCGACCCGCTCGCGCGCGCGCTCGAAGACGGCGATTACGCCCGCGCCGCGCAAGCCGTCGCCGACTATTTCAGCGAGACCAAGATCCCGGCCGCGACGTTAGAAACGATCGAGGACGCCGTCGCCGGCGTCTCCGCCCGCGACGAGCTTTAGGTTCGCGCTCCTTCGTCGTCGCGTCGCGCGCTGCGATACAAATACAATCTAATCCGGTCCCGCCGTTCGTCTACTTCCCCTCTCGCGTCTCGCTCGCGATCTCCTCCACGCTTCGCTCCAGCGCCTCGATCTTCTCCTGCATCTCGTCGATCTTCGTGATGATCGCGTCCGACATCGTCTGGAACCGTCCCTGCATCTGTTCGAGCAGCCCCTGCGTGAACGTCGCCAGCGCCTCGCTCGTCATCGCGTCGTCGCCGGCGTCGCGCGTCATCGCGTCGCCTCGCGTCGGCGCGCTTCGCGTCGACATGCCGTTCGCGCGCGCGTCGCGATCGCGTCGCGATCTCCGCCGCGCGCGCGTCGCGACGACGTCCGTCGCCGCGCGAGGGTGTTCGCCAAACGAGGGTCGCGACGGCCCCGCGGACACCCGATCGCGCCGCCGACGGATCGATCGAACGATGGCGCGATCGCGCGCGATCGGCGCCGCACCGCGCGACGCGAAGCGCTTCGACGATGTTCGCTCGAGCGCTGCGACGCGCGTCGAACGATGCGATCGCGCGAACGCGCGCGCGCGGATACAAAGTCGCCGTCCTCGGCGCGGCGGGCGGGATCGGCCAGCCGTGCGGGTTGCTCATGAAGATGAATCCGCTGGTGACGGAACTGGCGCTGTACGACATCGCGGGCACGCCGGGCGTCGCGGCGGACGTGTCGCACGTGAACACGGCGGCGCAGACGAAGGGATACGCCGGAGATGGTGAGCTCGGGGCGGCGCTGAAGGACGCGGACGTGGTGATCATTCCGGCGGGCGTGCCGCGAAAGCCGGGGATGACGCGGGACGACTTGTTCGCGATCAACGGAGGGATCGTGAAGGGACTCGTGGAGGCGATCGCGGATAACTGTCCGAACGCGATGATTAATATGATCTCGAATCCGGTGAACTCGACGGTGCCGATCGCGGCGGAGGTGTTGAAGGCGAAGGGCAAGTACGACGCGAGAAAGCTCTTCGGGGTGACGACGCTGGACGTGGTGCGAGCGAAGACGTTCTACGCGGAGAAGGCGGGCTTGGAGACGGCGAAAGTGGACGTCCCCGTCGTCGGCGGTCACGCTGGAATCACGATTTTGCCGTTGTTCTCTCAAGCGACGCCCAAGGCGAGCAACTTGTCCGAGGCGGATATCGACGCGTTGACCAAGCGCACGCAAGACGGCGGTACCGAAGTCGTCGCCGCCAAGGCTGGTAAGGGCTCTGCCACGCTTTCTATGGCGTACGCGGGCGCTTTGTTCGCCGACGCGTGCTTGCGCGCCAAGAATGGCGAAGCCAACATCGTCGAGTGCACGTACGTCGAGTCTAAGATCACCGACGCCGCGTTCTTCGCCTCCAAGGTGACGCTCGGCCGCGATGGCGTCGACACCATCCACGGTCTCGGTTCTCTCACCGCGTACGAGCAAGCCAACCTCGACGCCATGATCCCGCAGCTTCAAGGCGAGATCAAGAAGGGTATCGACTTTGTCAAGGGCGCGTAAACGAAGCGCTCTCCGCTTCTCAAACAATTTTGTTATTGACCGAATATTCTCATCAATGCAACGAATGCATGCTATGCACTATTTTCTATCCGCACCGTCGCGCGCTGCGCTCAAACGACGTACAAGTACAGCTTGTTAAACGCCGAAGAATCGACGCCGCCCGCCGCTCGCTCGCGCGAGCTCGCGAAACTCTCCACGCGCGTCAACTTCTCCCCCCACGTCTCCTCGGGCATCTTGAACAAGTACGTCACCACCCTCGACCCTGGTTTCAGTTCTTTCAGCAATTTCGCCCCCAACTTCGCGTTTCCCTTGGGCAAGAGATACGAAAACACCACCGTCGCCTCGCTCGCGCTCGCGTCGAACGCGGACGCCTCCTCGACGCGCACTAAATCCTTCTTCAACAGCGCGTTCGCGCGCGCCGCGCGTTCGCGCGCGACGGCGCACGCGCCGGGATCAATCTCGATCCCCACGCTTCGTGCGCCGCGTTCGAGCGCCGCGGCGACGCACACGCGACCGTCGTTACACCCGAGGTCGTACACGATGTCATCGGGCGAGACGTCGGCGAACGCCAGCGCGCGCGTCACCATGAGGTCTGGAGTGGCGGATATCGGGCCGAGATCATCGGGTTCATCCATGCGCTCGCGACGACGCGCGGTGGTCGCGTCGGTCATGGCGCGACGACGACGACGACGACGCGAAGTGCGGGCGCGGCGCGGCGGTTGGAGCGGAATCGACTGCGGTATGAAAACAACAACACGAAATTTTGACTAGTTTGTGCTCGCGCGTCGCGGGGAGATCACCAGTTGAATTGTAACTCGTGCGTACCCTCGGTGGCGCCTAGATCGATCGAGAGCGCGCCGGTGCGCGGGTCGAAATCGGGCGAGACGGCTCGCCCGTCGACGTGGACGGATGTCGGCGCCCGCGAGGCGTAACACGCGAGCTCGCCGAGACCGTACGCGGTCACGTTTGCGGATCTTCCGTTCATGTCTATGCGTAATATGGATCCTCCACCGTTGTACATCGCGGTCAGACCTATGGCGGCGAATTTGATGTCGCCTTGCTCGAGGAGTTCGGCGATGGTGTAAATTTCCCAATCCTTGTGCATGAGCATGATGGACGTGCACTCCTTCAAGCGCAGGATTTCAATGCGCCGGTTGCGATGGGAACGGACCACAAACGATGCACCCTGCGTCGATCGATCGGCGATACCTTCAACGTCTCGTGGACACAGTTCCGCGAGCGTGGCGGAGATTGGTTTCGGCAGACTCGCGAACTGATTCGTGGCGCGCGACCACGAGGCGCCTTGAATGTTGAACACGCCGATCACTGAGTTCACAAAGTTGCGGTTCCACACCTTGAGCGCCGTTCGACCATCGCGAGTGACGTCTCTGAACAGGCAATCGCGGGTTGGACGACCCGCCTGGCGGCATCGAAGTACTCTACCGGATGGGAACACGAGCTGATGGAGAATCTCAAAGTCGTGCTTACCCGGATGATCGCTCACGTACACCGGACACCCACCGATCGCGCGCGTCGCGGCGTGTAATGCACCGGCTACGTGCTGACTCTGAAACATGTCCCAATCGGGCAACACAATCTCGCCCATGAAGATGGAGTTGTACACCACGTTGGCGATGTGCACCGTGTGGCTCGCTTCGTTCGCCGGGTAAAAGTCGTCGCTCGCTCTCGCCAACGCGCTCGACTTGAAGTTATAAATGTTCTCCGTGGAGTGACACATACAGTTGATGATGCCATTATCGGGGAAATGCGCCCGCACGGACTCTTCCAACGCCGCGTGCACGCGCCTGGCAAATGCGGGACCGCCGCCGTTTTTGTACCCCAACGCGCCGATGACGGCTTGCGCGTCCACCTTGACGCCATCAACGTCCGACGCGGAGAGATAATCGTGCGTGACGACGTAAAAGTGCGCCAAAGTATCGGGACTAGGCACTCCGACCCCGCCCACGGTGAGCGGATCCCACGCCTGGGACGGTTCCACGGTCAACACTCCCGGCGTATGCTTGGGATACTTCATCACCGATCCGTACTTCGCTACGTTTTCCTCATCCGGATGAATACCACCCCAATACCCGAGCAACGCGTGCCAACAGTACACGTACTCCACCCCAAACTCGGTCTTGATCTTACGAACCACTTTAGCGAGCCCATCCACGGACTCGGCTTCGGGAAGAAGGTCCAACTGCGACGGTCGCGCGCTCGCGCCTGCTAATTTTCTACGGAAAAATTTTGGCAGTACGCGCTGGGATAAAGTCCTCGACATCCCGCTACCGATGACGTGCAGCTTTTGAAACTTGTGATTCGCCTTGACGGCGTACACGCGATGATTAAAGTGACTCATGCTCGACACCACCACCTTGACGGTGTGATAAAAGACGTAATTCATCAACAGCCTAAAAATGTGCCACGTGAGGGATCGAAAACGACTGGCGTGCAAGCGGCTCCAGTAAAACGACGCCGCCATCGCCGCCAACACGCCGGGCGGCGGCGAGGCCGACGTCGTCGGTGGAGGCACGACCACCGCGTTCGAGTCGGGAACCGTCTTATCCTTCTTGCTCACCTTGCGATAACTCTTATCCGGCAGCACGCTCTGCCAACCGTCGTCGATGATCACGAATCGCGCCGGCGCCCCACCGTCCCGCAGCGTCTGCACGCCTTGTTCGATCCCATCCGGCGTGACGTCGGTATAAAACGCATCCCACGTGCACCACCCGAACACGTCCACCGTCTCCGGCAACTTTTTATCCTCCAGCAACTCAAACGTTCCCAACATCGTCCGCGTCTCCGCCATCGCTCGTCGAATCGCCTCGTACGGCGATTTCGCGCACGCCATCACCATCACGTTATCCACCTCGATCGCGTTCTCCTCCTCGCAGTTACTTTCAACGATCATCCACACCTCTCCCTTCGCGTTTCCCTCCAGCGTCGTTCGAAAGTGCGCCCCGCTCGTCGGCAGCGCGCACGCGTACCCCGCGCCGTCGCCCAGTTCCATGAGCGCGAACTGCGTCTCCGCTCGCACGTCCTCGCCTCCGTGTCCCCACGTCGGCGTCATCCACCACAGTTTACACCGCGCGCTCGCCACGAACGCCGTCGCGCACATCTCTCCGCACAGCTTGACGCGGTGTCGCGACCGCGCGCGATCGGCGCGCAGGTGAAACGCGACGCAGTCGCCGAGTCCGTCGACTTCGTCGCGCGCGCGCGTCCCGCGACGCGCGCTCGCGCCCGCGCGCGCGCACGCGACGTGCGGGCCGAGCTCGCGGAACACGTCGACGTCGCCGTCGACGACCGCGACGGCGTCACCGCGGACGTCGACGCGCATGGCGCGAGCGCGCGCGCGCGAGTGACGCGTCGTTCTCGGCGTCGGCGCGTCGCGCGAGTCCGCGATTCGGAACACCGCGACGACGGTCCGTCGGTCGCCGATCGACGCGCGCGCCCGCGTCGTCGCGCGCGCGTCGGCGGGCGCGCGACGACGCGCGGCGCGCGCGCGCGACGAAACGCGGCACGCGCGGACGCGACGACGCCGAGAACGACGCGCGACGACGCGCGACGACGACGACGCGAAAAAACGCGACGACATGCTCGAGCGACTGCAGCGCGAGCTCGACGCGGCGGAGCGGCGGTTGGCGAGCGAACGGCGCGCGGAGGAGGCGAGCGCGGCGCGATTGGCCGAGACGACGCGAGACGTCGAGCGACGGCGGATCGAGCGCGACGACGCGAAGGCGGCGCGGGACGAGGCGATGGCGGCGCTGGCGGAAGCGCGCGAGGAGCTCGACGCGCTGGAACGGGCGAAACGCGCGGAGGACGAGGCGATGGTGGAGGTGATGAAGATGATGGACGAGCGACGCGCGCGCGACGACGACGCGCGACGCCGACGACTCGACGAGACGAGAGCGGCGATCGAGTTCGAGTTCGACGCGCGCGCGATGATGAGAGAGCATCGAACGTCGCTGGAACTTTCGGATGAGATCTACGAGCGCTCGAAGGGGCTCGAGGGCGTCGGGCCGTGGCGGGACTTTGATCTCGGCGACGTCCCGGACGATTTGGTCGAGACGATCGCGCGCGTCGTCGACGCGCGACGAGAGAACGACGCCATTCGCGACGAGTTGCTCGCCAAGGGCGCCGACGCCAACTACGCCGCGTTTAGAGACGAGCTCGAGCGCATGCGCGCGAGCGATCGTCCGGGGTCTGACGTCTGAGACGATTCTTTGTAAACTCGGCGCCGGTGCCCGCATCGCTCGCGCTCGGCGCCTCGATCGCCCCATTCCGTCGCGCCGTTCCGTCGCGCGCGCGCGCGCGGACATGGACGTCCACTTCGTCTACGTTTTAGAGTGCGAGCACGACGCGTACTACGTCGGCGTCGCGAGATCCGTCGCCGAGCATCGCGCCGGCGTCGGATCGACGTGGACCCGAATCCATCCACCGCGTCGCGTCGCGCGCGAAATCGCGTTCGCGTCGCGCGCGAGCGCGCTGGAGGGCGAGGACGTCGAGCTGAAACGGATGATGCTGCGCCACGGCGTCGATGCGGTCCGCGGCGGGAGTTACGTGTGCCCGAATCTGACTCGGGAGCAACGCGCGGCGTTGGACGGCGAAATCGCGCATCGCGAGGGGCGGTGCCTGCGATGCGGGAGACGAACGCACGTCGCGAGGGATTGTTTCGCGCGCGCGCACGTGAATGGGTACGCGCTGAGCGCGCCGGAGGGATCGAGATCGCCGAATAGAGATGGACGATCGGCGGTGCGCAGGTGCGCGCGGTGCGGACGGGCGAGTCACTCGGCGCCGTCGTGTTTCGCGAAGTTTGACATCGACGGAGAACGCCTTTTTTGGGGCGAGCGGCGATCGAACGCGGAGTCGTCGTCGTCGGAGTACGAGAGCGCGGAAGAGACGTTCATGATGTAGTGGCGGTAGTGGTAGCGCGTAGAAGTAGGTATCTCTAGGTTGTGTTATTATTAAATCAAAAACAATCAAAGAATCTAAAAGAATATCTGTTCGCGCCGCGCAAACCGCGCGGCGGGAACGGTTTGTATCGTTGTACAAAGGGAAAATCTTGGAAAATGGTTAAGATAGACCGATGCGTGACGCGCAAGTCAATCGCGCGCGTCCAGCTTGTAATCATCGGATCCGTCGGATCCGTCCGATCCATCGGCTTCGTGCTTCACGCCGGCGTCCGATCTGGCGCCGCCGTGCGTCTGCGTCGACGTCGGGTGGGCGTTGTTGGTCATGAAACCGCTCATACCCACCATCGGTGGGGCATTTTGAGCGCCCATGTATCCCATCGCCGCTGCCTGCATGATCGACGCAAAATACGGACCAAACTGTTCGGGCGTGCCGTACGGCATCGCGTACGGGCCTGGATTCGCGAGCTTGGCCGTCGGAATCTGTCTGCCTCCTAAAGACGAAAACGCGCTCTTCTTAGCGTCGTTCGCCTCAGCTAAATCTTTACTAGCTGCTAAACTGTCTCCGCCAGCACCCTTAGAATCATCAACCGGGCTATCTTTACCCTTCGTCCTCTTGCTATTGACCGCGGGCGCGCTCGGCTCGGCGGCGCCATCCGTGGATGTCGCCGCGCTCATGGCGTTTGCGTTTTGTCGCCACATGTTGGTCAAAAAGTTGATGTAGTTAATGAACTGCTGGGGATTACTCATTTGAGGAGGATTCTGCGCTCCAGCTGCGGGGTTCGACATGCCCACGTACGGATTCATCATGTGCTGAACCGGAAACAATCCCGGCTGCGCAAACATGCCGGCGCCCGGAGGTACGCCAAAGTAACCCGCGCGCAAATCGTGCTGCAAGCTCGTTTGCATTTTATCTGAAGCCACGGATAACACAGCCGCGACCGCCGCAGAGGAGGATGCGTTAGCGATGTGTTCGGCTTGAGTCGCCGACCCCATCATATTTTGCGCCGTCCCAGTGCTCTTCCCCTCTCCGCTTCCGCCGCTCGGTTGCTGGCTCGTCGCCTTCTTCGGGTACGGGTGGTCGGGCTTCTTCTTCGGACGCGCCGGCGGGATCTTCAGGTTCAAATCCGGCGAAACGCTCCTTCTACTCTTCTTACTTCCAGAAGTCGAACCACGGGCACCGCGCCGTTTGCTCGAGTCGCCTTGCGACCCCGCCGGGGCGTCGCTTCCGCTCGCCGAACCTCGCGCGGCTTGTTCTTTTTGCAACTTGGAAAAAAACTTTTGCGCGTGCGACCGAATCTGGACCGCCGTCTTCGTCCCGATGTGTTCCTCAATCTTCCTCCACGCCCTCCCGTACTTTTTCAACGATTCAACGAACAACGCGTGCTCCTCATCGCTCCACTTTTCCCGTTTCTTCGTAATCGTATACGGCTTGCGCACCTTCACCGGCGCGCCCTCCGTCGTCGTCGTCGTCGTCGTCGTCGTCGTCGTCGTCGGGTAGCTCATCGCCGTCTGCGCCTCACCCCGCTTTCTTCCATCGTGCTGCGCGCTCTCATCGTTCCCCGCGTCACCACCATCACCCGTCGTCTTCGACCCCGACCCGCTCATCGCGCGCGCGTCGCGTCGGTCCCCCGTGCCCTGCCTCGGAATCGCCCCGCGGACAATCACCCCCCGCGCGTTCGCGCGCGACCGTCGCACCCTACCGATGACGCGACGATCGCGACGCGCGTAAACTCAACCGAACCCTCGCACGCGCTTCTTCGCGCGAATCGCGTCGCCGCGTCCCTCGCGCGCGCGCGTCGACGCCCCGACGAATCACCCCGTCGCGCGTCGCGCGAATCGAATCGCGCGTCGCGCGCGCTCGCCCGCGCGTCGCGTCGCCTCGCCCGCGCGCGCGTATCGACGCGCGTAAATCAACGCGCGCGCGTCCCGCGCGCGCTCGCCGAGCCTCGCGTCGCCGCGCGCGTCGCGTCGTCGCGTCTTTCGCCGCCGCGCGCGCGCTTTTTCGCGTCGAAAAAGCGACGCGCGTCGACGACCCTAAACCGTCGCCGCTTTTTCGTGCTTTTTCGCTTTTTCTCGTGTTCAACGCGTTTTAACCCCATATGCGCGTCCGCACGCGCGCGCGAGATCTCGAAGATCTCGAGATCTCGCGCCCGCGCGCTTTTGATGGCTTTCGAACGCGCCTTAAAGCGACCCGCCGACGCGAGATCGCGGAAATATCTTTAGGGATATTTTGGATGTGTGTCCGTTTGTCCGAAGATCTCCACACGCACACAGAGCGGATGCGTTTTCTTCGCCGCATCGCGCGCCGCGCCATGTGGACGTGCCTCGACGCGTCGTGGTCGACGCGCGCGGGCGACGCGGGCGCGGGCGCGGGCGACGCGACGACGCGCGATGCGGTCGGCGACGGCGCGGGCGCGGCGCGCGCGGCGGTGCGAAGCGTCGGGGCGATGATTCCTCGGGACGTGCTCGAACGGTGCGCGACGTTCGGCGCGCGAGGCGCGGCGAGCGGCGACGCGAGCGACGCTCGCGCGCGGCGCGCGGTGCGTCGAGTCGTGCGCGCGCTGGGGCAGGGGAGCGACGCGAAGGCGCGCGCGGTGGTGGCGGCGATGGCGGACGCGGCGAACGAGTGCGCGGCGAAGACGGTGCTGCCGAGACGGGCGGACGAGGTGATCGAGACGTTGCGCGCGGTGGCGAGGTGCGGGGACGATTTCTCGCGAGCGATGGTGCCAGGGTCGGGGTGCGCGCTGTTGGACGCGATGGATGGGGGGAAAGCGCTGATGACGGCGAGGCGAAACGCGGACGTCGCGACGGCGTATTTCGAGGCGTTGGCGAGCGCTTTAGGGGTCGAGAACGAACGCGCGATGGGGTTGTTTCGCGCGCTGGCGACGGTGAACGTGTTTGAGCACGACGATCGGCCGACTGTGTTCGGCGTGATGGATGTTTTTCAAGGGTTGGCGTGCTCGGCGTCGGCGCAGTCCGCCGTCGCCGTGGCGGCGGCGTTGGAGAAGAGCGGCGCTTTAGGCGATTTCATCGCTCGGGCGTTCGTCACCATGGCCGCGCGCGAGGACGACGCGGACGCCATCGATGTGGCGATGTCGAGACGATTCTTCGCGTTCGTGATTTTCGTGTTACGCGCGAGGAGTGAACGATTTCAAGCGCTCGCGTTCGCCGGCGTGGAAAGCGCGGCGACGCCCGTCGTCGCGCGATTGTGTCTGTCTCGCGCGGGATCGGAGCCCAACGCCGCGGCGCTGTACCAAGAGATCAAGCGTCGCGAAAGGTAGAGTAACGATAGACTTAGGAACCATAGGTAGTTATTATTTATTGAGACATCAGATACAGTTGAACTCGTCCGCGGCTAACGACACGTTCGTGTCTCTTCCAAAAATAGCGAGCGTTGCTTCCACCGATCCGTCGTCGTTTCTGGCGACTATGTGACCTTTAAACCCTTTAAACGGACCAGTGTGCACTTCCACGCGATCGACCGAACCCGACGCTTCCTCGCGCGACGCCACCGGACGCATGTCCCCGGCGTCGGCTTCGTCGGCTTCGTCGCCGCGCTCGGCGCGCATGACCTCCTTCGCCTGCTCTCTGGCCTTTTCCGCCTCGATGTCCGCCTCGGTTTTCACCACCGGCAGACACCTTTCGATCATGCGTGGAATTTGATCGTCCATCGTCAACGGCGTGTTCAGCTTTTCGTACTTCTTCTTGCCGAACCTCGAGCTTCCCCCCGTGGCGAACCCTCGAACCGATCGCAAATCGTCAAAGGCGTCCATGAGCTCTTGCGTCAGCGCACATCGCACCAAGACGTACCCCGGCTGAAGCATTTCAATCATGTCCTCTTCCTCGACCATTTGACACAACTCCAGCTCGCTCTTCCCCACCGCATCCTCCTCGGCGACGTAGAAACCGTCCGCCGGCACGCGCGGCACCCACGCGACGACTTCGCCTTGCCCTCGCGTCAGTTTCGTCCCATTCAGCGCCAAAATCGCCGCCTTGGCCTGATTCTCCCGCGTTTCGGGCACCTCTAACATGTACCATCCCTCCCCCGTCGCCGCTTCCGACATCGCGCGCTGCACCAGGAATTCTCTCTGCACCACGCTCGCGCCCGCCTCCTTCATCGCCTCCACCTCGCGCGTCGTCGCCGCGATGCTCATCCCCAGGTGTCTCTTCGCCTCCGTCGCTCGCATCGCTCGCGGCACCCCGCCTCGTTTTTCTCTCCTCGCCGCGCGCCGTTCCTCGAGCGCGCGCGCGTTCGCTTCCTCCGCTTCTCGTTCCGCGCGCGCGTCTCGCTCGAACGCCTCGCGCGGCGACGCCCCCGCGTCCTCCTCCGCCCACGCCCTCTTCACCCGCGCCGCGAGCTCCGCCTTCTTCCCGCGCACCGGCAGTTCGAGCGCGCGCAGGATTTCCTTCAGTTCCGTCGCCTTGAGCGCGTCCAGGTCCGGGCGCGCGTCGTCGACGGCGCGCGCGACGACGCGGACGCGACGCACCGGCGGCGGCGGCGTTCGCGCGACGTCCGCGCGCACCATCGCGCGCGGCGTCGCGGCGCGTCGCGACGCGACGCGAGGCGGCGCCATCGCGGTCGTCATCGCGGTCGTCATCGCGCGCGCCGTCGTCGTCGTCGTCGTCGTCGTCGTCTCGATGTGACGCCGTGCGCCGCGTCGCACACGCCGCCGCCATGGCGCGCGCGAACGCGCGCGCGCGGCGCGCGGACGACGACGACGATAAGTACGTCAAGGCATCGTCCGCGCGCGGCGTCGCCGCGGCGTCGACGCGCGCGCCCGCGTTCGCGAGTCCGCCGACGCACCGACCGTCGGCGAAGATGTTCGACGACGACGACGTCGCCCCGCGGAGCGTGAGCGCGCGCGCGACGCCCGCGCGCGACGACGGCGACGATGGCGATCGACGCGACGCGAGCGCGCGGCCGGCGCGGTTGAATTTCGACGACGAGGGCGTGCGAGGGGCGCTGGATAGACTGGCGTTTTCAAACTCGGTGGCGCAGGTGACGGACGCGTTCAGCGAGGTGCTGAACGACGCGAGCGATGAGGTGAACACGTACGCGAGCAAAGCGGCGGAGACGCTGGCGAGATTTCAAGCGGCGCAGTTCGCGATGCAGTTCAATCCGATCGAAAGTGGGCTGAGCATGAAGCCGACGTACGTGAAGGTGCCGGCGCAGACGGTGGAGGAATTGAAATTTTGGGAAAACGAAGATTTGCGGGCGTTGAAGATGAAACATTTAGAGGAGAAGCAACAGATCTTGGCGGAGAACGCGGGAATGCGAGCGTTGCTCGGGGATGAGGATTTTAGCGAGGCGATACAGGGGCTTCGTGAGACTGAGGACGGGGTGAATCGAGCGTTGTTGCTCGCGGCGGTGGAAGAGATTACGAATTTAAAGACGCGCGTGTCCGTCTTAGAGACGGAGGCGGCGAAGCAAAAGGTGAGCTCGAGTGGGTACGGTGGTATCACGTCCATGCTCGGCGGCGGCGGGTCCGGGGTGGACGCGGCACAGATGCAAAAATTGACGAGGGAGTTGGCGCGATTGGAAGAAAACAATTCGCGCATGACGTGGATGCTCGGCGAGAAGGAAAAGCAAATCAAAGAGGTTCGCGCGAAGTACACCGAAAGCGCCGCGTACGCGTTGCAGGAGAAACTGCAAGAGTGCATGGAAGTGCTCGAGGTGGCGTCGAATCTTCAAGGCGAACAATTGCAGTATCTGGAACAGCACGCGCTCTCCAAGCTCGAACTTTTGGACGACCAAATCGCAGACATCCAAGTCCTGGCCGAGTCGAAGACCGAGCACCTGGCGCAGCTCCGAACGATCATGAAGCGATTCTTCATCGACGGAGACGAAGGGTCGGTGGACGTGCTCACATCCTTGACCGGCTTCCCCGCAGACGAAGGAAGGAAGCTCGTGCAGGCGCGACAATCCAGAAGCTTGACGGGCTTTCTCACGATGATTGGCACCAAACTCACGCCCGCGGTGAACGCGGGCGTGAGCGCTGTGAACGCCGCGTCATCGATGATCGTCGCATGCGCGCCGCCGACTTCGAGCGCGACGAGTTCGGACGACGCCCTGAAAACGCTCGGCGTCGAAGACGACGACGAGAGCGCCGAGCAACCGACGACGCCGCCGGCGCCCGAGGAGACCTCCGCGCCGGAGAAAGACGCCCCGAAAGAGCGAGCGCCGGCACCGGCGCCGCCGACGAATGAAGTCACCGCCATCGCGCCGAAAGTCGAACCCGAACGACGCCGCCCGTCGCGCGCGGCGAAAAAGAAATCAACCGGTTTCGCCGGCTTTGACGATCCGGCGCTCGAAGCCAAGGCGCAAGCGGAGCGCGCGAAATCCCGCCAACCACTCCCCCAACCCAAACTCACCAAAGCCGCGGCGCGCGAGCGAGCGAAGCGCGCGCACCCCCCCCAAGACGCCCCCGGGGAGGGTTTCGCCGGTTTCGGCGACGACCCGGACGCGTCGTCGGACGACGATTAGCTCAACGCGTAACGTTTGACATTAAATTAAAAATCGCGTCGACGTCCCGCCCGTCCCATCACGCCGCGCGCGCCCTCGCCTCCGCCTCCACCGCGACCTCCCTCGCGTCCGCCGCCGCCGCGCGCGCCCTCGCCTCCGCCTCCGCCTCCGCCTCCGCCTCCGTCTCCGTCTCCGCCTCCGCCTCCGCCTCTGCCGCGCCCTCCGCGCGCTCGCCCTCCTCGCCCGTCATCGGTCCGTAATACTCCGGATCGCGCAGCATGCACTCCCGCAGCGCCGACGTCGTCTCGAAGCACGTCTCCACGAAATCCTCGTCCCGCGCCTTGGCCGCGTCCACGCACGCCTCCCACGCCGCGAACGCCGCGCGGCACGACCCGCCCTTCATGTACTTGCAGAATCCGCACGTCTCCTCCTCCTCCTCGTCCTCGTCGCGCGCGTCGCTCGCGCGCGGCGCGTCGCTCGCGTCGCCCGCCGGTGCCGTCGCCGTCGCCATCCCGCGGCCGCGCCCGCGCGCGCGTCGCCGTCTGCCGCACTCGTCGACGCGCGACGTCGAATCATGACGACGCGCGCGGACGCGTGCGCGCGGCTGCTCGACGACGCGGCGCGAGCGACGACGGACGACGACGCCGTCGACGCGCTCGCGCGCGTCGCGGCGATCGCGAGCGCGAGCGCGAGCGCGAACGACGCGGCGGAGGCGAGCGCGCTGACGGCAATCGTCGAGCGGGTGATCGAATTCGGACGCGCGGATAACGCGACGACGCGGAGAAGCGCGGCGAGCGCGTGCGAAACGCTGGGGAAGGCGCGCGAGGGATGGCTGGGGGCGTGCGCGCGCGCGCTGGGGGAGATGACGCGGGATGAAGACGCGGGGACGGCGAAGCGGGCGAGCGCGGGCGTCGGCGCGCTGTTTCGAGAGGCGTTGATCGTGAGCGCGGTGAAGGGAAACGCGACGCGAGTGGTGAAGACGGTGAAGGACGCGTGGAGCGCGGCGAGGGAGGCGATCGAAGGCGCGAGCGCGGTGGCGGTGGATGAGAGCGCGAACGAAGGGACGCGGATGGCGTGCGCGAAGACGACGGAGACGGCGATCCTGGCGCTCGCGGGCGAGGGTTGGGGATCGAACGTCGTGAAGCCGGGGCACAAGACGCTGAATTTGGAGGAGATGATGGCGGATGCGGTCGCGCTGTCGGAAAAATTGCAGGAGGCGCTGCGAAATTTGAGCGAAGGGGCGAAACCGACGGGACCGCTGGCGCTCGTGCTCGTGGCGGCGTTGGGGAAATTGAGCGTGAAGAAGGCTGAGCTCGCCGCGGGGTGCACGCCGGTGCTCATCGCGTACGCGAAAGCGCACGCCGTGCGAGAAAAAGCTGAGATCGAGGCCAACGAGCGGGCGTCGGCGGCGACGGCGAGCGTTAGTAAAGAGTTGAAGAACGTGTTGCTCGACGTGTTGCGCAACGGCCCGACGCAAGCCGTCGAGGGTGGGATGATGAATGAAATTTCCACCATCTGTAGAGATCTAGGCGCGGGCGAAGCCGTCGACAGCGCGCTTCGTCACCGCGAGCGAACGAGTCGAGGGGAACCGCTCGGGGAAAAGCGCGCGAGCTTTTTGACCCCAATCGGCGGCGGTTTCAAGCGCGCGCGTCTGCGCGAACAAGTCCCGCCGCCGCCTCCACCGCAAATCGTGGCGGCGCCGATGACGGAACCGGGAATCCTGCATCAAATTTTAGTCACGCTCGCGGCTTTGGTGAATAGCGCCGATCGCTCCATGCTCGATGCCTTCATCACGCAGCTGGCGCCGCCGGCTTTGGCGGATGCGATTCTCGCCAATCTCAACCACTTGCCGCCGGCGAGCCAGTACTACCTCGCTGGTCGCGGGGCGAACGCGCCGAGGCCGCCGCCACCGCCGCCCATCTCGACGATGGTTACCGTGCCGGAGCCACCCGAGGAACCGGCGGAACCGCTATCGGTCGTGATCAAGGTTGACGACCTCGACGCCGAGGTCGCCGAGGCGTTTAGACTCGAAGCCATTCAGCGCATGCTCGCGGTTGGAAGTTCCGTGGCAGAGTACGGTGGGGCGGAGAAGGTCACTCTCGCTGGCCCGCTTCGCAGCTCATTGCTCGCCCGCTTAGCCGCGTCCGGGGCTGCAAAGTCAGCCGGCGCTTCGCTGGAAGAAGAGACGATGGCCATCGCGTCCGCGCTGCTCTTCACAGCCGAAGGCGGTGGTGTGTACGAGACAGAGGGTGTGAACATGCTCATGAAATGGCTCACGACACTGTATGCGCAAGAAGTTGCGTTTGAGTTTAGCTACGTGCCGTACGATCAGGCGATTTCTGCAGCCATAGAGTGTTTGACGCGCGGCGTCGCCGGGGCGACGTCCACGACGGCGATGGCGAGCGGGGCGAAGAAGCCGCTCTCACAGCTGTTGTGCGACGTGCCTTCGTTGCCGGGGGTCGTGTGGCGCGCTATCCGCGTGATGTGTAGATTAGAGGAAGGTGATGAGACGGCGCAGTACCCGACGACGGAAGAAACCGTCGTCCTCGTGCTCGGCGTTTTGCAAGACATCATTTTGGAGCGGCCTCCAGCCCGGGACGAGGCGTTGGAGGTTTGCCTGGCGTGTGCGATGCAAGACGACGACGCCGTGCGCGGAAAAGCGATCCGTCTAATCGCTAATCGGTTACACCCGGTCAAGCATCTCACCGAACGCATCGAAGCGTACGCCAAGGATGGTCTCGAGCGCGGTCGGGAATTGGGCAAAAAGGCGCTCGTCGAAGCCAAGGCGCTCGTCGAAGCCGAGGCGAAAGTCAAAGAGGAGCAAGATGCGGCCAAGGCAGCGGCGGAGGAAGATGCGCCCGAAGACGATGCGATGGAGACAGGAACGGAAGCAAAGACGCTGGAGACGGAAGTAGAAGAAGAGCAGGTGGACCACATAGCGAAAGCCGCAGACTCCGCCGTCGGCCCGATGTTGCTGTATTGCGCTCTCTGCGCCAGAAATCTGAAGCTCTTAACCGGATTGTTCGAGGCGTACGCGACGCTCGAGCCAGAGATTCAGCTTGCGTTGCATCGACCGGTGAACGGCTTAGCGCGCGCGTGCGGACCAAACTGTTTGGAGCTTTGCGAAATCATCGCCTCGCCGCCGGAGGGTTCGCTTTCCCTCGCGGTGCAGTGCTTGAATACGCTCGCTTCCGTCGCCGTCGTTCCGGCACCCTCGACTTTGCTCAACGCGGCGGAGTCGCTGTGTGCCTCTCACGATGGCGATGTCAAATACCTCGCGCCACTCGTGTGCTCGTTCGACGAAGAACGAGTGCGCGATTTGCTCCCGCAGTTTATTCACGCCTCGAGCGAAATATTTGCGTCGGTTTTGGACACCATCTTGTCCGTGCCCGAAGAGGAGGCGGTGCTCAGCCCCGTCGCCATTCTCATCGCCGTGCACGAAGTTCAGGTTGGTCAAGCGGGCGTCACGCTCAAGCAGCTCGTGGATGCTTGTTCGGTGTGCTTCGATCGCCCGGACGTATTCACGCCGCAGGTGCTCGCCACGGCGCTTCAGCAAATGGTCGAGTTCACGCCGTTACCACTGCTCTTCATGCGCACCGTCATCCAAGCGGAAACCATCGCTCCGCAGCTCAAGGAATTTACCCTCGGCTTGCTACGCACGCTGATCAACCGTCAAGTGTGGAAGATGGACCAAAAGATTTGGGAAGGTTTCCTCCGATGCCTCAAGCGCGCGGCGCCGCAGTCGTTCCCGCTCATGGTCGAGCTCCCCGCTCCCGTCTTCGGCGACGTCTTGCAGAAATTCCCCGCGCTCAAGGACAATTTGCGTCAATTCGCCGCCAAGTCGTCCGTCCCGAAAGCGATCGCCGCCGTGTTAAACGAGCCCTAGTCGTCTTGTAACGCAACGTCCCGAACGCTTGGAGTTACCCTAATCGCCGATCGACGCCTCACATTTCGCCGCGTCGAAATCGTCCTCGCCATGGCGTCCGCCGCGGATCGATTGAACATCACGTCTCAGCTCGAGCACTTGCAGTCTCGACACGTCGGCACGGGCCATCCCGACGCCACGCGACACGAATGGGCGGTGAACATTCATCGCGATTCCTACGCGTCGTACGTCAGTCATCACCCGATGGCGATGTACTTCGCCGTCGCCAACGGCGAGAGCGTGGGACGGATGAAGTACGAGTTCACGCAGAAGATGTTGCTTCCGTGTGGGCTGCCGCCGGATCTCGAGGAGGAGTGAGTTGGGTGGAATGAAGCGCGGGATCGTCGTCGGAGGCGATCGCTCGCTCGGGCGGGGGAGTTAGTCGATTAGATTGTTAGAGAAGGCTTTGTGAATAAGTAATTTGTGTAATCATTATGAGTTAAGAGGGACGTGAACGCGTGAAGCTATGAGCTCGCGCTCGCGCGCGGTGCGCGAAGTCGGTTCTTCTCCCCGGCGAAACCGAAACGGTCGTCGACGCGAATGGAAAATCAACGCGTGAAATCCTCGTGTGAAAAGTGTCCAGACTCGGTCGTCGACTACATGCCGACGACGCGCATAACTTGCGAAGATCGACCACCACGGCACATGGCGATGGAGCCGACGATGACGGCGATGACGGCGACGACGAACGAAACCGCGGCGAGCGCGAGGGTGCGCTCGTCGGCGGCGTCGTCGTTGCCCGTCTTCGCCGCGAGTTCAGTTTTGAGGGCGGCGACGGACGCTTCGAGAGCGGCGATGTTCTTCTTGAAGAGCCCGCGCTCGTAATCGGCGTACGTTTGACGCTTATAGCTGAAAGTGTGAACGCCCATCCCGACGTTTGTGGCGGGCGCCGACGCGCCTGATGAGTCGACAAAAGTCCAAATCGGGGCGGCCACAGCGCTTGTGAAGTGGGAAGTGACGGCGTCTCGGACTGCAGCGGCGAGAGCTCCGGGAAGCGGGTAGAAGTAGAAATCCGTAATCTTGTCTTGAATAGCGGAGCTGAGCATGTACTCGACGAACGCAAGCACGACGCCCGCGGTCGCAGTATCTGTGTAAGTAGTGCGGACGTGCAAGTACGTAAACGCGCAGATGGGCCAGAATTTGTCGCCCGACTTGTAGTAGAGGTTGATGGCAGACCAGTCACCGGCCCAATCGGTAGTCGACGTACCGGTGACTTGTGGAAACGTCACTCCTTCGCCGACTTCCTTGATTTTGGCGGTCAGGCGTCCAGCCGGGTCGCCCTCCTTGGTCACGACCCATTGGTTGTTCGCGTTCTTCAAAGAAACTTCGGACAAGTTGTCGAGGTGGCCGTGGCCGGCATCGATGTACCCGATAGAGTACTCGTTAGATCCGATCGCGAGACGCATAGAATCGGACCCAGTCACACCGGTGTGTACAAAGTTGCCCGTCAAAGCGGTAGCGTCAACCGCGCCCGTGAAAACAGTCGGACACGCGGCTTTCATGTAACCCCTGAGGCCGTAAGTCGACGAAGAACCGTTACTGCGCGCAATGACCTTGATGGTTTGACTGGGCAAAGTCAAACCAGAATCAGCCGCGATATCCGCATGATTCCAGTTCGTGATCGCGCCGGTAAAAATCTTCGCCACCGTGCACGCGGAGAGCTTCATTACGCCCGTGCCGACGCCCGGTACGTTGTGGAACAGAGACACGGCGCCGATTTGGAACGGGAGTTGCATGAAAGGAGCCGAAGAATCAGCGGCAAGACCGTAATCGGTGCTCGCGAAATCACCAGCGTTGGCGCTCGCCCAATCAGTCGCACCTTGTCCGGAACCGACCGAGCGGTACGTCATGCGAAGCGTCGAGCCCGCCATCTCTTCGAGCTTGTCCATGGCCAACCAAATCAGCTTGGACGGGTTCGTCGTCCCGGATCCGTGCAGATGAAAGTGTCGGACTTTACCAGAATTTTCCTGCAGGGACTGGTCGGCGAACGCCAGCGGCGCTTGCGCGCAAATCATGGCCAAAACCGCGACCGCGAACCATCGATGACGATGGCGGCGGTGCGATTCGATCGTCGTCGTCTTGATCATTTTTCGAGGTGGAATGTCGCGAGATTCGCGTCGTCGTCGGGAGCGGGAAGTGTTCTTTCGCGCGTCTTCGTTTCAGTCTCGCCGTTGCACGCGGCGCTGAAATGTGACGCGCGCGGCGTCGCGATTCAGAGCGCCGCTCATTATAATCCCTTTTTCGCCCGTGACCTGTGCTCATGGGGGCGCCGGTGTAGGTTTCGGTTGTGGTTTCTAGCGGAGCTGTTGTGTCTATTGAGAGGGCTAATGAACTAACGGCGCGATTTCACGAGAGTCCGAAATCTTTGAATCGCCGATTGAAGGCGCTGTAGGACACGGAGCTGCCCGTGCGGCGATGGCCGCTCGCGTTCGAGCGCTTGACGGACGTCGCCGCGCTGACGCCCACGCTGGGGCGCTCGCCCGCTATGGCGGCGAGCTTGGTGATGCACACGTCGCGGCATCGCTCGAGCGTCGCGCGTGAAGTTGCTTTGTCGAAATCACCGCGCGCGGAGAGGACGGCGGCGACGCAGTCCAAGCCGGCGTCGGGCCAATTGCCGAGTAAGACGCCGTACTCGTGCACGAAGGCGTCGGGAGAGGCGGCGCAAACGAGACCGCGGAGATTTTGCAAACGTGCGATCCTGCCGATGGCTTTGTTCGTCGACATACGAACGGACATGGATTGCGTGAGAGCTCGCTCGTCGGCTTCCAATCGCGCGGCCGTGTGCGGCGCGACTACGGAGGCTTGCTTTGTGAACAGGATGAATAACAGTTCGATCAAGTACTCGAACAGCGTCTCCGTCACTGAACCCGCGACTTCGGCGGTTAGCCAATCTTCGGTATCGCCCAAATAATCCTCCACGGTCGCGAGAAGCGTGGTCATCGACTCACCAGTCGCCCACGGTCCGTCTACTTTGGAGCCGTAAAATGTGTTCATCACCTCCACCAGCCCTGGGTCGTCTAAGACTTGACGCGAAATCATCCGTCGCGCCTCGGCGTGCACGCGATTAAACACGTGCATCGCATGATCGAACTCGCGTACCATGACGTCATCCTTCATTCCGAGCGCATCTAAAATTGTCTTTTGTGTCTGCGCCGCCAAACTTCGACACCGGCGCGTGTCGTTGACGCCGGCAACGATGGTTTCAAACGACACCGGTTGCGCGTCGCGCGCTGCGCTGTCGTGCCCACCGCGTGAGGGTGTCCGACAAGGAACCCCAGAAAGCGTTTCACTGGGCATTCCCAGACGGTCTGCGACGGCGCTCGCATAGTTTGTAATCATCTCCGCGGCGACTCGACCGCATTGACGCACGAAGACGTTCGATTGCGTCTCTATGGCGATCATCATCTGATCTGCGATGAGGCGAAAAAAATCCAGGTCACTCGGGTTCCATAGCTTGCCCGATCCATCTTCTTTGGGTGGTCTCGACTTCGCCACGCGACAGAGATTATTCGTCCATCCCGAAATTGTGACGCGCAGTCTGTCGCAATACGTCTCGATGACGGTAGATAACCCGACGGGATAAGGCAGCGGCGGGCTCTCGTTCGACTCATCGGCGTATTCAACCGAGCACGCGTGCGCGTCGTCGGTGATTTCGATATCTAAACCGAGAGACTGCATGGCGTTGAAATAGTGCTGCCCCCACTTCACCGTGGCGACCATGTCGCCGTTGGAGGTGTTAGGACTCGAACTTAAACGCGCGAGAAGATCGCACACGCCCGCGTGATACGTCGGCGCGACGACAGTTTCAAACACACGCCATTCAGGCGGAAACGCAGGTATGGTGTAATCAAACGTTTCCGCGAGCGACACCAAGCTCTCGTCGAGCGCGCCGACGACGTGCTCGATGCTTTCCTTGTCGTCTAAACCGCTGAACCCTTCGGCGATTAACGCCAGTCGAGCCTCGACGGCGATCGACATTTGCTCGAGAACCTTCGTCTTCCACCGCTTCGGCTCTGGCGGCGCGACATTGATGACTTTATTCGTCGCCGCGTCCAATTCCGGCTCAAACGTCAGCGCGTCTCGCTCAAACTCCTCGTCCAGCACCTCTTGCTCCGCCACCACGCGCACGGCTCGCACGAGCCCGACCGACCCCGACTCCCCCGCTAATATCCCTTGCCGAACGCTGTTCCACAGCACCCCCTCAAACGTCGTCCACGCCGCGTCCACGCGCTCGAACTCGTCGTCGTCGAACACCCCGCGTTTCCGTTCCCCTACCCTCGCCAGCGCCGCGCGCACCGCGCACAGATCCACCTCCAGCGTCGTCAACGTCTCCCACGTCTCGAACATTCTCGTCTCATCCCGCTCGAGCGCGTCGATCGCGCGCGTCGCCCGCGCGCCCGGCTCCGACGCCTCGCGCGCGTCCCGAAGCGCCCGCTCCACCTCCGTCAACCCTCCGTCGTCCTCGCGCGCGCCCTTCCCCTCGCCGTCGCCGCGTCGCCTCGCGAACATCTCCGCGAGCTCTCCCAGCGCATCGCGCGTCTCGCTCGCCGTGTCCCTAAGCTTTCGCGCGCGCGCCACGCCGTCCTCGATGATTTTCAACCGTTCGCGCAAGCGCGCGCGTCGCGCCTCCAGCGTCTTCGTCGCGCGCGCGCGCGCGCCGTCGTCGCCGCGCATGTCGACTCACGCGCGCGCTCGGCGCATCGCGCGCGCGTCGCGCGCGCGACGTCGTGTGCCGCGCGCGATGCGCCGCGCGCGCGCGTCGAGACGATCGGCGTCGGCACTACGCGTCGCGCCGACGCGTCGCGCCGCGGCTCGCGTCGCGGCTCGACGACGACGCGCCGCGTCCCGCGCGCGCGCGCGCGGGCGAACGCGCGCGCGCGCGACGCGCGCGAGGGCGCGCTCGAGCGCCAGCGCTGGCGCGGACATGGCGCGGTCGACGGCGTCGCCGCGCGGCGACGCGGTCGCGGCGCGCGCGGGCGGCGCGGGCGCGCGGGGAGGTCGCGACCGCGCGACGCGCGCGCGCGGCGGCGCGCGATGCGCGGCGCGACGGACGCGGCGACGCGCGAGCGCGGTGAAGGTTGGATCTTTGAAGCGCGACGACGACGCGCGCGACGACGAAGACGCGAGCGGACGCGCGCGAACGACGCGCGCGGCGGAGGAAACGAGCGAGGAGACGTCGACGTCGGAAGACGCGACGACGGGGGAAACGACGAGCGGCTCGGCGAAGATGATCGTCGATAGCGGGGAGGTGGTGGACGAGCGGGACGGCGCGGGCGGGACGGTGCGGTTGCGTCGACAGCCGAAGGCGGAGGAGTCGACGACGCCGGGAGGGACGGTTCGTAAGAAGGTTGATCCGTCGCGAGGGGTTCGACCGGGGTTTAAGCGGTCGTACGCGCGAGAGGCGTTGCAGAGAGTCCGTCGGGACGCGGCGGACGCGCTGGACAACATGCGAGCGAGCCGAGACGACGCGGGGGCGTCGTCGTCGAAGGCTTCCGTCGGCGGTGATGACGAATTGTCTCGAGCGAAAGTGGCTGGCGAAGCCATGGCGCTCGCGAAAGTCACCGCCGACGCGCTCAGAGGAACCGGACCGATCACGATGGAAGAGTGGAGCTCGGCGATGTCCACGGCGTTGTCCGCGGTGTGGCGCGAACTCTGGTATCGATGGAGTTCTGTTTTGCGACGTTCGGCGTCTTGGGCGCTCGCAATTTCAGCCGTGATCTCCGCGGCGTTTCATTACATCGTCGGCCCGGCGTTCGTCAGTCCGAGACTTCCCATGATCGGCGACATCGCGAGTTCGGCGGTCGGGCGTCCCGTGCGCGTCGGGAGATGCAAGAGTCTGTCTTTCATGGGTGTTCTCGGTTTCGGCAAAGTCTTGGAGGTTGGTCCCGTAGTTCTCGGCCCGTCGGATACAGAGAAGAGCATAGTCGAAATAGACTCGCTGAAGATTTCTTACGACGTACTCCGTTCTATTTTGAGGAGAAAGTTGGTCACCGAGGTGCGCCTGGAGGGCGTCAACGCGACGCTTCGTCAAGGCGCAAACAACTCTTGGTTTGGGTATCCAGAAGATACAAAACCGCTGAGCTCGCGTCCTACGCTCAACCTCGCACCGAGCTCGAAGAATTCAAAGAAGAAGCAAGGCGCACCATCGGTCGAACTGAGAGTTGTTCGTCTCGACCGAGGCAACGCTAAATTGCACATCACCGGCGATCCAGAGCCGCGGAGATTGAACAATCTTCAAGGAAAAGCGGTGATTAACCACGTGGGTAGAGTCGAACTGGACCTGAACATGACGCCCGACACGAGACAAACGCCACCCACGAAGCGTCCGACGACTATGCTCGCCGATAGCCCCGTGATGAATTTGCGAACGGAGCAAACTCCCGCCATGTCGCGATCTTTGGAGACGGAGATTCAAAGAGGTTCGAATGGTGGGCAGATTCGTGTGTTTGCGACGCTTTCACCGCCACAGCAGCGAGGTTTTCGAACTCGGGATTGGCCAGATTTAAAAGTTCGAGCGCAACTTAACAACACGAGCGCCGCCGTTCTCGAGCGCGTCATTCCGAATTTACCGATCGACGTGCGTGGCGGGCGTTTGGATGGCGAAGTTCGGCTCATGTGTAACAGTCAAGCGACGTGGACCTTCCCTGATTTTGTCGGCCAACTCAAGGGTAAACATCTGTGGTTTCACTTCTTTGATTCCACCGATGACTTTGCGGACACCGACGTTGATTTGGTCTTTGAAGGCCAGCGAATGTACATACACGGCGGCGAGGGACACTTCGGGCATGTTCCGCTTACCATCACGGGCGATCTCGACTTGAACTCGCTTGGTGGTGAATATCGCCTCAGCGCTCAGGTGAGCCCCGTGGAGATACATGATTTGCGAGAGACGCTGGGCGTGCGTCCTTTGCCTCGTCCGGTGGCAGGAAGTGTGAAGGGCTTTTTGTACTGCTCGGGACCGTTGGATTCGCCAGTGTTCACCGGCAGAGCGGAGACCACAGATCCGACTTTAGCGGATTTGAGTAAGGCGAAACCTGGAACGGAGATGGCTTGGAGCGAAGAAGCTGTCAAGGGCGCCGTGGGCGAAGGTGCAGTCGCGGCGTACGACCGCGTTCCCTTCAAGTCTGCTAACGCAGTATTCACCGCGAATGTTAAAAAAGGCGAGTTCTCGCTTCACAGCGCTGAGGCGATTCCAGTGGATGGTGGAAAGTTGCGAGGTTCCGGCCGAATTTCGATCAAGCCTGATGCGTTGTTCGACCCTAACGCGTGCGATGTTGAAGGTACTGGTGTCGATCTCGACTTTCTTAAAATAGCCAAAAGATTGTCCCGAGACGAAGAACTGCCGTGGCTCGATCGCGTGTGCCCGTCCTCGCCGGCAAACGTGTCAGGAACGTTTGTTGGCGCGTTGTCAGAGCCAATCCTCAACGCCAATTTTACGGTCGAAGATGATGAGTACAAAGGACACTTGACAATGACACGAGATGGAGTGATGACAAACATTGAAACCCCGGTGCTCGAGATGAAAGCGTCGATCGCGACGAAATTTCAGCCCTTGGAGGAGCAACTCAAGGCGACGACGGTTGAACAAGCCATCGCACTCGGCAAACCAAAGGTGACTGACGCAGAAGCTGATCTCATGCTGAACGGCGCTGATGTTGCCGCGTGGATGAATGAAATAGATGCGGCGGATGCGCCTGATCGTCTCCGTCTCCGCCTCGGGGGGCGCACGCGGGTTAAGGGCAAGTTTGCGCAACCGCGTAACGAGGACGGCGAGGAGGTTGAAGACGCGTTGCCAACGTTTTCGGGGCACATGCAACTAGATAATTTACGAGTGAACAAATTAGAATTCGCTCCTAAAATGGCTGGAAAGCTCACGGTATCGGAGTCAGGCCTAAAGTTGCGCGCGAAGAACCGCGGTGACGAGCTCTTCGATATGTCTGTAGAAAGCGGAGGCAAGTCCATGGTGCAAATCCGTCGCAACAATTTGAAAATTTCTGCCGACGTCGATGATTTTGCGGGGAGCTTTGACGTCGCGGGTCTGTTGCTCGACGACTTAGAGTTTGCATCATTACGTGGCAAAGTAGAAGCGGCGAGTGCAAAAATTGATTTGCGTGATCGCGTCGGTGTTGGCAGCCTGCAGTTGAAGCAGCCACGTCTGAGTGGTATTTCGGGGGATTCACTGGAGGCCGACGTCACGTGGGCGGATCGCGTCGTCAGTCTTCAACGCGCGACGTTGAAGCAGGCGAAGTCGCAATACGATGCCGACGGAGACTATGCCTTGCCGGATGATATCTGGAACTCTTTGCCGAGCGAACGCGTCGTAGTTGAGGTGGAAGAAGTTTCAGAAGTTGAAGAAGTCCTCCTGCCGGCGCCAGTCGATGACGGCGTCGCGCAGTCGTCGCTGCCGGAAGACGTGCAAGTGATCGAAATCGTTCCGAAAGACGCCAAAAATAATACTGAGACGATCGTTGGTAAGCGAGTGAGATTTCCTCGTCCAGCGATTTTGGACAAAGTTGGTAATTCCGTAAAGAGTCTCGCCAAAAAACTCGACGCTTTGCGGAAACCGGCTACCACGACCACCGGCGAAAACACTCGTTCGGGTGCCGATGTTGTGGCTACCGAGCCCGTCGAGCCCGTTTCGAAGAAAGATGGAGTGCCCGAACCGATCATCGCACGAGCGACGAAGGATGTTGAGCAGCTCGAAACTGGCACAGACACGGACAGCGAAGGGACTGACGTGGACAAGCCTTCGAGCGCGTCGACTGAGATCAAAAACGTTGAAAGCGTCGCCGACGCCGCCGCCGTTGCTGAGACTGTTGCTGAGCAGACGAGTGAAAGCGAGAAAGAAACCTCTCTGATGGAGCCCGTGTTAGTCGCCGGGGAAGCGGAAGTAGCCCAAAAAGCGAAACCGAACGCCGCGGCGAACGCAGTTCGCGGCGTGTTGCGGTCGGCTCGTAACGTCGTCAAATCAAACAAAGTCAACGAGAAAGAGAAGGATGAAAAATCTCGTATCACGCTTTCATCTTACGAGAACGAGTTTAATTCGGACGTTTCTGGTGCGTGGCGCTTCCGACTCGCGGTGCCTGAGGCAGATATTGAAGAGATGCTTCCAGTTCTTCGTGTCCTTACGGATTTGCGAAAAGGGGCGACGCCCGAAGAGTATGGCCGAGCCAAGCAAGCGTTCCTCGAAGGTGTCGAAAAAACGGGATACGCGATCGTCGACTTGGCGAGGCAAGTTGATGAAGTTACGACGAAGCAAAAGAGCGAAGCTCCAGTCGCCGAGTCAGCTACGTCGACGGACGACACGAAGGAAGTTAGTGAGACGACGAAGACATTGCCCGGTTTACAAGATTTGAAGGGTGGTTGGCACGGTATGATTCAAGCCACCGGCGGCGGCGCTTTGGAGACGTTTGATTCGCCGCAACCGACGGAAACCGTCCTTTTCGACGTTGCCGGTAGCGATTGGCAATGGGGACCTTACAAAGTTGAACGCGTCGAAGCTCAAGGCGAAGCGAGTTCGAGCGAAGGCGTCAAGTTGACGAGCTTAGAAGTGTCTTCGGACGCCGCGAGTCTTTCCGTGTCGGGCGCTATCGGTGGTTCTCGTCAAGACGCGACGTTTGCCGTCAGAGACCTCCCAGCGCCCTTACTCGGCGCATTTGTTGGGCCGCTCATGCCCGAGCAAGACTTGAGCGACTTCCCACGAATAGGTGGCGATTTCCTCGTGCAAGGTCATTTGGGCGGTTCGGTGACGGCGCCCGAGGGCGAGTTCCTGATGAGACTTCGAGACGGCAAGATCGGTAATGTCAAGCTGAAGAGCGCCGAGTTGAGTGCGGAGTTGAACGAAGCTCGCCGTGCAGAGTTTGAGGGCGAGGCGGTGCCAGCTGTAGGTTCTGGTCTCGTGCGCATAGCGGGCGTCGTACCGCTTCCGGAAGCGAACGATCAGTCTCTCGCCGTCGACTGGCGTGTGCGAGAGCACGGCATGACGCTGCTCACGGCATTCGTCCCAGAAGTCGCCGAATGGCAGAGTGGATCGGCCGATATGTCGTTGCACGTCAGAGGTACGCCTGCGGCGCCTGTTTACGATGGCGTCATGGAAATAAGAAAGGCACGGATCTTGTCTCCTTTGCTCGCCCGCCCGATTTATCCGGCCAATGCGACTCTGCGCATCCAGCGCAACACACTTTACGTCGACGACATCGAAGCAAAGAGCGCCAAGGGCGTAGTGCGAATCAAAGGAGCCATGCCGTTGTTGAAGCCAAGCCGCAGCTCCGGTGGCGAGACGTGGGAAGGTCTCGTAGCTCGCGCAGACACGCAAGGAGGCGTAAAGATGACGATCGACGGCCTCGATGTCCGCGCAAGAAATGTGTACAACGGACAGCTGAACGCCGCTATGGTGGCGAAGGGAACTGTCACGGCCCCGGAACTTAGCGGAGATGTGCGATTCTCGAGAGGTACCGCGTTCGTGCAGCAGCAGCCACCGAACGCGGACGAAATGCTCAATCAAACGAAGTCTGGCGCGTTGTCGGGGGCGAAGAGAGATTCGCGCGGAGTGCTGGCTGGGATTTTAGAGCGAGCCGCGAGAGCAAATGATCCGAACCACGGCGAAGCGGGCAATCAGACTGAAAATGAACTCATGAACGAGAAGAATCTCGAAAAGTTGCAGAATTTGCGCTTACGAGGCCTTCATCTTTCTGTCGGACCTGAGATGTCTGTCGTTTACCCGTTTGTGTTGAACTTTGGCGTCAGCGGCGAACTCACGCTCGATGGCGTGATTGATGCAGGCCTTTTACGACCGAACGGCTCGCTTCTGTTCGATCGCGGTGACGTCAACTTGGTGGCGACACAAATCAGACTCGATCGAGACCACCCGAACAGAATTGTGTTCACACCAGAGCAAGGACTCGACCCCTACGTCGACATTTCCTTCCTCGGCACGGATCTTCGAGCTCTCATACAAGGCCCGGCTTCAAGGTGGACGGACAGCCTCACGTTAACGTCTTCTGCGCAGACTACTCCCGGCGAAGGTGACGCGACGCTGTCTCCAAGTGAAGCCGCTCGCATTTTCGAAGGTCAGCTGGTGGAATCGCTCCTCGAACAAGACGGAAAAATCGCCTTTAGCAACTTGGCGTCGACGACGTTGGCGTCGCTCATGCCAAAGATTGAGGCCGGTGGCAACGTCGGCAAGGCGCGCTGGAGATTGACCGCGGCGCCATCGTTGCCGGGTTTGCTTTCACTCGACCCTGACTTGGATCCGTTCAGCAACACTGGATCGTTTACCCTCGGCTCCGAAGCGGAGATTTCATTCGGCGATTCGTTGCAAGCGACGTTGAGTCGCAACCTCGACGCCGACGAAATGCGTACGGAGCTGTCGCTCATGTACAAACTTACCAGTAAGCTCCGAATGCAGTTAAAGAGCCTGTCGGCGTCGGCGACGAGAGTGATGTTCGAATTCAGCACGAAAGATTAATTCACATTGTAATTTTACACGCGTTGCTGCCGCGCTAAGGAGCTAACGAGCGTACGCATCCGAGCGCCCGCTCGTCTCGCATCCAGAAAGATTCCCCTAAAAGTGCACCGTTCGCGGCGTAAATATGAGGACATCCCTCTGTTGCGGCCGAATCGAAACGTACGGCGCGTACGACGCCGCGCGCGACGTCGGACGGATCGCGCATCAGACGCAAAGCCTTCGCGCCGAGGCGATAAAACGCCTGAAGCGCCGTCGGCCAGTCTCTAATCAAGCGCGTGTCCACCAGACCTGGATCCACTAAAACGGCCGAGGCGCCACCATCGCCCGACTTCGTCCACTCACGATGCTTCGCCGCGGCGTACGCGCTAATCGCGACTTTGCTCCACATGTAGTCGATCGCCGGGTTGTAATATCGCCCACCCTCGCCGCCCGTTTTCACCCATCGTCGAAACGCGTCCACGCCCAGCAACCGAGCCGTCGCGCACTGATGCACGAAGGATCCGACGAAAACCACCCGCATGCGCGCGCTGGTCTTTCCCGCGCGTCGTGCTTCGTCCACCAGTCTATCCGTCAACCGCACGACGTTTCGAAAATTCACCCGCGCCGTCGGACTCCCGTCGCCGCGAGACGCCGCGTTCCTATCCGTATTAAACACCGCCGCGCAGTGCACCACCGCGCGCACGTCCACGCCGCGCCGACGTATCTCACTCAACGACACCTTCATCACGTCTCGCTCGCTTCCCACGTCCAACGGCCCGACTAACTCGACCCTCGAATCCTTCGCCGCGCGTCGACACTCTCGCGCGAACGCGTTCGCCGCGTCCACCCCTCCCAACCTATACGGCACCACGATCGCGAACCCTTCCTTCGCCAGCGCGAGCGCGCTCGCGCGTCCGATCCCAGAGCTCCATCCCGTGACGAACACGCCGACGTCCAGCGTCCCGTCTTCTTCGTCTTCTTCGTCTTCGTCTTCGTCTTCGTCGCCTCGCGTCGTTCGCCTCGCGTCGACGCCGCGCGCGTCCTCGACCGCCCTCGCCACCGTCGCGCGCGCCATCACGCGCGCCAGCGCGAGCACCCAATCGAGCATCACGCACAGCACGTCCGGGCGCCACATCGCGCGCGGCGTCCACGCCGTCGTCGTCGTCGTCGTCGTCGTCGTCGTCGTCGTCTCGCGCGTCGTTCGCATCGTCCCGTCGTCGTCGCGCGCGCCCGCCGCGCGCGCGCACCGCACGCGCGCGTCCGCGCCGTCCGCGCGCGCGCGCTCGATCGCCTCGCGCGTCGCCCGCGTGAGCGCGAGCGTCGGCGACGACATGCCGCGGCGATTTGACGTCAGAGCGCGACGCCGCGCGACGACGACGACGCCGCGCGCGATGCTCGCCAGGCTCGCGCGAGGCGCGACGCGCGCGCGCGAGTGCGCGACTCGCGCGACTCGCGCGCGACGCGCCGTCGCGCACGCGCCCGGGAGCGCGACGCGCGCGCGACGCGTCGACGTCGCGGCGCCGCTGTCGCGACGGCGCTTCGCGGCGAGCGCGACGCGCGGCGCGCGATGCGGCGCGAGCGAGGGCGAAGAAACGGTCGCGAGCGACGCGGCGACGACGACGGCGGCGAGCGGGGCGCCGAGCGCGGCGCGACGGAAGCGCGTGCTGAGCGGGGTGCAACCCACGGGGTCTATCCACCTGGGAAACTACTTTGGCGCGATTAAAAATTACGTCAAGTTGCAAGAGGATTACGACGCGTTCTACTGCGTGGTGGATTTACACGCGATAACCGCCGGAGGACACGATCCGACGGCGCTGGAGGCGTCGACGCGGACGAGCGCGGCGATTTATTTAGCGGCGGGGGTGTCGCCGGAGAAGGCGAACGTCTTCGTGCAGAGTCACGTGCCGGCGCACTCGGAGCTGTGTTGGCTGTTGAATTGCGCGGCGCCGATCGGGTGGTTGGAAAAGATGATACAGTTTAAGGAGAAGGCGCGCAAGGCTGGGGAGGAAGTGAGCGTGGGGTTGTTGGATTATCCCGTGCTCATGGCGGCGGATATTTTATTGTACAAGGCGGATTTGGTGCCCGTGGGCGAGGACCAGCGGCAGCACTTGGAGCTCACGCGCGATATCGCGGGGCGAGTGAACTCGTTGTACGGGGGGAAGAAGTGGAAGAAGCGCAAAGGTAAGGCGCCGAGTGGGCGCTCGCGAGGAGGGGACGTGCTGATGGTGCCGGAGGCGTTTACGCCCAAGGAGGGCGGACGCGTCATGTCGCTCACCGACGGAACGGCGAAGATGAGCAAATCTAACCCGGCGGAAGGGTCGAGGATCAACGTGTTAGACACTCCGGATGAGATCGCGAAGAAACTCAAGCGATGCAAGACGGATGCGTTCGAGGGTCTGGAGTTTGGGAACCCGGAACGCCCGGAGGCGAACAACCTGTTGACGATGTATCAGTTGTGCACCGGGCTGACGCAAGAGGAAGTGCTGGCTGAGTGCGGATCCATGCGATGGGGTGATTTCAAGCCGCACCTGACCGATGCCGTCATCGCTCACTTGTCCCCGATTCAAGGTCGCTACAAGGAAATCATGGACGAGCCGGGATACTTGGAGGACGTGTTGAAGCGCGGCGCCGAAAACGCCAACGAAGTCGCGAATTTGACGCTCAGAGACGTGCGCGACGCGATGGGCTTCGTGCAGTACTAAACACTGGAATAAATTTAAAGTTTTCAATCAATCATTGCATTAAAGTTCGTCCCTCGTTCCTCGTTCCTCTTCGTCGTCTTCCACGTCGCCGACCTCCGCCAGAATCTCGTCCAGGCTCGGAATCACGGTCGCGTTCGTCGCGTTCGTCGCGTTCGCGTCATCCACCACGGTCGCGTTCACCTCGATCTCGACCGTGGCGTTCCCCTCGTTCGTGGCGTTCGCCGTCGCGTTCGCGCCGCCGCCCAAACTCTTCGGTCCGTCCTTGAGGTTGAACAAGTCCAAAATGGAATCGTGCGCCCTGTTCAAGTTGGCCACCGCGCCGCCGGTTTCTGGCGCGTAAGAGTACAGGCCGTACACCAACGCTCCGCCGACGGTCAAACTCACGAAGCGCTGCGCCAAACCGATCTTTTTCGCCTCCGCGTCAAACGCCCACATCGGCGAAAAGATTTCGTTAATCGGCACCGTATCGTCCGTCAGATTCGGCATGATCCAAAAGTGTTCCCCGGTAAAGATCCACACCACCACGAACACCACCAACCGCACGGTGAAAATCACCGCAAACGTCACCAAAATCGCCACGCACACGTACAGGATCAACTTTTTAAACCAAATCGGCGCCAGCGGAAACAAGCACATCGCCACCACCAACACCGCGAACAATCCGCTCAGCACCACGCTCTTCCAGCTCATCGGCATCTCGTACGTCCACGCGTAGAACGCATCCTCCACGAACGTCTGATCGCGCGTTCGCATCAGGTAATGCGGAAACTTGACCAGCTTCACCCGTCCGCTTCGCGCGTGTTTTATCTCTCGCTCGCACCGCACGATGTATCCCCGTTGCAGCAGGCACGCCCCGCAGTGCTTTATCCGCATCGCGTTCACCTCGTCTCGCTTCGCCGCGTCCGCCTCCATCTCTCGCCGCTGCCTCTCGTCCACGGCGCAGTACTCATCGAGCACGTCGACGCGCTCGCGCAGGACGCGATAGAAATCTTTCCCTCGAAAGAAATCGAATCGATTGTCCCCGAGTCGCGCGCTCCGCGTCTCGGGACCGTCGCGCCCGCGCAGGACGTACGCGAGGTGGTCGATCTCCTGCGCCGCGCGCTCCTTGCGCGCGCTCATGTCGGGGCGTCGCGAATTGGCGCGCGATCGCCGCCGGTCGCGTCACATCGCGACGCCATCGCGCGGCGCCGTCGCGATGGCGTCCGTCGACGTCGTCGCGGACGCGCTCGAGCGGCTCGAGGACGCGGGCGTCGACGCCGCGCGCGGCGCGGACGCGCGCGCGCTCGCGGCGTGGGCGCGCGGGGAGGCGCGACGGGACGACGGCGACGACGACGCGCGCGTCGCGCTCGCGCGGGCGTGCGCCGCGGCGATGCGGCGCGCGGGAGGCGCGACGGGCGACGCGGACGCGCTGGTAGACGGCGCGCGCGCGAGCGGGGACGACGCGGACGCGCGCGAGGCGTTCGTGGACGCGCTGCGGCGGTGCGCGACGACGCTGCAGGTGACGGCGCTGGAGACGGCGGCGCGCGCGGCGAGGGAAGGCGGTGAAAAGCGCGCGAGCGCGAGCGAACGCGCGAGGGAAGACGCGATGGACGCGGACGAGACGGGGGAGCGCGCGGTGCGAGCGATCGAGCGGTTGGCGAGCGGACTGGAGGACGCGGCGTCGAAGTCGACGACGGAGGTTTTGGACGCGGCGACGGCTCGAGCGACGGCGACGCTGCGCGAGTTGCCGGAAAATCACGCGCGTAAGGTGTTGGACGCGTCGAGTTGGACGAACGCGCAGCGGGAGTTGATCGAACGCGTGGAGAGGGCGTTGCATGATGAGTACAAGGCGCGGAGGGAGATGGTGGCGAAACGCGCGCAAGTGACGACGACGTCGTTTTGTTATAGCGCGAGATTGAACGCGCTGAAGGACGTGCGCGAAGAGTTCGCGCGCAGAGTCGTCAGTGAGCTTCACGTCGCGCCGCAGGTGACGATGGACGACGTGTGCGACGCTCGGTACGCGGACTTAGCCGTGGCCGGGATCAAGGTGACGGCGGGGAGCGACGGCTTACAAAGCGCGGTGAAAAAGGTGCTCATGGGAAGCGTTCCCGATCGAGGTGGTCGCACCGACGGCAGCGATCGCGCGGCGATGCCCGCTTTCGCGGCTCGAACCGACGCGCCGAGTGGTGGTCGAGGCGGCGGCGGGCGCGGTGGCGGCGGCGACAAGCCGAAACCGACTCCGAAACCAAAGAAAAAGGGCGCCGTGCGTTGGTGAATCCGCGCGCGCGCGCGTTCGTAGAAAGCAGCGATGCATCGTCATAGCCACCCATCGCGTGCTCCTCCTTAGTTTGTCGTATTTTGTGAAATCATTACAAAGCCTTCTACCGGTACACGCGTAGATTACGCCTGGTTCTTCAGCGCCTCGCTCGTGGCTTCGAGCGCGTCGCCGATGCACAACAGATTCTTCGTCATCAGGCGGGTCACCGCGAGTTGTGCCACTTGCGGCGGCACCATCTCGACATTGATCAACGAAATGTTCGCGCCGCGCGTCGGCCATTCGAAAGGCACGTCCAAGACGGCGACGGCGCCGTTTGGCAGCGCCGCGCGCACCAATGACTCGCCGGAACTCCATCTGAGCGCCGTTCGCGCCGCCGCCGCCGCGAGGGCCTCGGCACGTTGCGCCGTGGCGGCGATGCGAAGGCGGATTTCCGCCAACGCGCGAGCGAGGACGGGCATGCCCGCCGACTCTTCGATGATGTCGAGGATGGGCGTGTCCGACGGTTCGAGCGTCGCCCCGGCGAGACGAGCGCTATCCTTCATCAAGTGCAGCGTGACCGTGTGCGTCGTCGAGCTCGGGCCACGCGGCTTGGCGCTTTCCATGGCGAACTCGGGCGTCGCGGGCAAGTGCGTGTGAATCTTGAGCACGAGGGCGTTTTCTTCGATGGCCATGATTTCCACCCCTTGTAAAGTGACTAGCAATTTCGTTTGCTCGAGCACCGCCTCTTGCGCTTCGGCGATTTGCGCCGACATTTCCGCTTCTCGCGCCGCAGCCTTGGAGATACCGATCAAGTACTTGGCCTGGGCGTTGATTTGATCAATCGCGCTCTCGTCCGGCGCCAACTCCGCCTTGAGTTCGCTCGCGCCGCTTTGATTCTCGCTCAACTTCACATTCACCTCGCGCAGTTCCGCATCGAGCGCTTCGAGCTCGCGCTGTAACTCCTCCTTGGACTTCGCCCGGTCCGCGGCGCTCACCGAGGCGTCTCCCGCCTGCGCTTCCCACGCCGCCGCCGCGGCTTCCGCCTCCAACTGCTCTAATTCTTCCACAACCTCCGTCAACGCCCTATGCTCGACGCGAAACGTCTCGTACTCGTCCCCGAGCGACGCAATCTCGCGTTCCATCTCCTCCGCCCGTCGTTCGTTCTCGTTCGTCAAATTCTTCAACCGCTGTTGCAAAGCTTTGAACCCTTCGCTCTCCGTCGGCGTCTCCTTGGGCAACGGTCGCGATTCCAAAACCGCCTTCAAAAACGCCTGTTCCGTCGACAACTCGATCGTCCCGAACTTCAACCGCTTAATGTGCGCCTTGATTCGCTCCAAATCCCCGTCCCCGTTCCCGAGCGCCTTCTCCCGCGCCTGCGACAAAATCTTCGCGAACGAATCCTCCGTCTGATTCAACTCCTTGAGCGCCGCGCGAAATCCAACCCCGCTCGGCGCCTCCCGCAGCGTCTTCATCGCGTCCGACTTCGCGAACACCCCCGGCGAGTGCACGGATATGTCCTCGAACCGCAGCTGCAGCGGCGCGATCGTCGTCAGCGATTCCGACGCCGGTCGTTCCATCGTCCCCGTCGTTTAAATCGAAATCGTTTCAACGCGTCGTCCCTCGCGCGCCGCCGCGCGTCCGTCGTCGTCCCGCGCGTCCGTCGTCGACGCTCGCGTCCGTCGATCGTCCCGTCGCCGCGTCCCGGCGCGCGTCCCGGCGTCGCGGTGTGCGTCGCCGTCGTCGCGCGCCGTCGCCGTCGCCGTCGTCGTCGGGCTGTCGTCCCCCTCGTTTGAAAAAAAAATTTTTTTTTGAAAAAAGGCGCGCGATCGCGCTTTGTGTGATGGCAAAATGATGTGTCCCAACACACTTGGAGAAATAGGTACGGGAGGGTAAGCTCCAGATCTCCAATCTCCCCGAAACCGAAACGGTGGCGTTGTTACGGGTCGGTCGCGCGGTCAACGTCGCGTCGCGTCGACGCCGCGACGCGGTCAACGCGCGCGGACGCGAGACGACGACGCGGACGCGCGCGGACGACGACGACGACGACGACGGGATGACGGTGTTCGACGCGTTTCAAGGCGGCGCGCACGTCGAGCTGTTCGACGCGAAGACGCATCGCGCGCGACGCGGGCGCGCACGTCGCGACGGTTCGAGTCGCGTCGATGGATGCGACGACGACGACGACGGTGACGGGACGCGACGCGCGTGGCGAGGCGGCGGCGGGCGAGCGTACGACGCGAGCGCGCGAGGGTACGTCGTGCGCGTGCGCGGAGGCGGAGCGGGCGCGCTCGCGTGCGGGGAGGACGGCGCGATGGGCGCGACGCAGCCCATCTTGGCGATGCAGCTGCGCGCGTCGGGGGGGGCGAACTTTTCGTTCGAGGTGCGCGTGCGCGACGCGGCGGACGCGCGACGCAGGTTGGTGTTTAGTTCGTCGTTTTCCGAGGTTCGGCCGACGCCGTTGCACTGTCAGGTGCCGTTGAGAGATTTGCCGCGCGACGAGTGGGTGACTTTGCTCCTGCCGCTCGTCGAGCTCGTGCCGGTGTGTTTTTCGAGCGGGAGCGCGGGGTACAGGTCGATCGATGCCATCGTCATTCGCGGGGAGTGTTCGATTCGTAAGATATTCACCCTGCGAGGCGACACGCAGGCGCAGGCGTGGACGGAGTCGCGCGCGGGCGAGACGCCGCGGCAAGCCATCGTGATTCCGCGCGAGTGCGATTTCCCACCGGGCGTGCGCGCGGCGGCGCACACGGTGATCCCGAGTCAAGATCCGGCGCTTTACGACGCGCACGAAGAAGAGTGTCGCGTGCGCGAACGTAACCGCGAGGTTAGGATGCCGATCAAAGTCGCGTTCGGTCGTCGAGCGCCGACGTCTCAGCGAGAGCGTCTCCGAGAGCGCGCGGACGCCGCGCCGGCGCGCGCTTCGGACGACCACACCGACGTGCGATGGTCTGATCTCGACCAAATCATGTCGAACTTACGTGTTCGCGACGCAGGTGGCGCCGGAGTGCGGCATTCTCTCGCGTCTTCGTCGTCTTCGTCGTCGTACGCGAGCTCGCGTCGCACCGCGGACGAAGCCGCCGAAGAGCTCGACATGCGAAACGTCAACGTGTCGCTCGGAAACTTATCGATCCACGGCGGGCGCGAGCACCACAGATACGCCGACGTGGACGACGAAGACGTCGACGAGGGCGACGAAGACGTCGACGAGGGCGACGAAGACGTCGACGAGGACGAAGACAATGATTACGAAGACAATGATTACGACGAAGACGATTACGAAGACGACGACTACGAAGACGACGACTACGAAAACGACGCTTCGCGTCTCGAAGACGACGACGAAATTCTCAGCCCTTTCGACGGCGACGTCGATGACGACCACGACGATCGCGCGTTCGACCTGGACGACTCCGACGTAGACGCGTAGCGACGACGCGTAATCGCGCGCGACGCGCGTCGCTTTACGCGTTCGCGTTCGCGTCCGCGCGTCGACGCTTTTAATACCCCACCGTGACGCACGCCACGCAAATCAAAAAATCATCGTTCGCGTCCCCCTGCGCCGGAATCGAAATCCAACTCCTCGCGCGCAACCCACCGGTGTCTATCTGCACGTCCACCACCTCTCCGTACGGAAACACCTCGCGCACGCGTCCCGCGTCCACCTTCGCGTTCTCCGGCACGCCCAGCTGCACGTGGATCTTCATCTTCGCGTACCCCCCCGGCACCACCGCTCGCACCGACGGCACGCTGTTGAATTCGATGGCGTTCCGACACGCGCGCACGGCCGCCTTCGTCGCGTCCTGCCCGTGCTGATCCGCGCCGAAGCCGCACTCGGCGAAGAGCGCGCGCTCGAAACCGCGCGGCGCGAAGATTTTGGTGCCGTCCTCGAACGACTCGACGAGCCCGTCGTCGCGGCGCGTCGCGGCGAACGGTCGAGATCGCGGTCGAGGTCGCCGCGGCGCGTCGCGGGCGAACGCGCGCGCGACGCGCGTCGCGGCGCGCGTCGCGGCGCGCATGGATGTGACGCGACGTAACGGTTTCGGCGCCACTGATGGGCGCCGCGGCGAGCGACGGGCGCGACGGCGCCGATCGCGCCGCGGCGACGTCGAGCGAGCACACGGTCGGGCGCGAGGCGATGCGGCGCGCGAGCGCGGCGTCGATGCGCGTGCGCGCGGTCGACGGCGCGGCGGCGATGCCGCTCGAAGACGCGGCGCTCGCGGAGGCGCTGCGACGCGCGACGCGCGACGACGGGCGCGGACGGCCGCTCGACGACGCGTTCTTGCGTCCGGTCGCGCGTGCGCCGGCGACGGAGGAGACGGCGGACGACGAGGCGCTGGCGCGCGCGCTGCAGGCGGAGGAGCTGGCGAACGCGCGCGAGACGGCGCGAGGGACGGATGTCGACGGCGGCGCGCGCGCGCGCGCGACGTCCGCGCCCGCGACGGGCGCGTCGACGAGTGACGCGTGCGTCGGGTGCGGGGGCGCGCTCGGCGCGCTCGAGCGCGTGACGAGCGTGAGAGCGTTGGGCGGATGTTGGCACGCGCGATGTTTTCGCTGCGACGATTGCGGAGAGCAGCTTCGGGGCGTGTTCGGCGGCGGGGGGGAGTACGTCGTGACCGGTAAACCGGGCGAGGATCGTAGGTTATTTCACGCGAGGTGCTATCGGGAAAGACACCGGCCGACGTGTTGCGTGTGCGCGGCGTGTATTCCGTCTCGCGACGGGTACATACATTTCGAGACGACGCCGTACTGGGGCGAGATTTCGTGCGTAGAGCACGCCACGGACGGAACGAATCGGTGCGATGGATGTAGGCGGTATGAAAAGCGCGGCGGTGAGGAGTACATCGCCGCACCCGATGGCAGAACGCTGTGTTTAGAGTGCGTGCAAACCGTCGTCATCGACACCAAGGACGCCGAACCGTTGTATCGCGATATCCTCGACTTTTTCGGAACGTATGGCTTGAGCGCGCTCGGTACCGGCGGGGAATTGCCGCCACTATATCTTTGCACGCAGGACGTCATCAATCACGTCGACGAGGAAGAAAAATGGCACCAAGGTCGCACCTCGCAGGTACGCGGTATGTGCGTGTCGCACGTCGAAACGATATCCACCGTCTACCGACAACCGACTTGGAAACCATCCAACGCGGGATCAGTGTTCGACGTCTTCGGTCAGCTTGACATGGTCGAACACCGCATCCCTCGATCGACGACGCAAAAAGTCACCGCCATCATCGTCCTGTCCTGTCTTCCTCGCGTGCTCTTCTCTTCGATTCTGGCGCACGAGTGCATGCACATGTACCTCCGTTTGAACGGATTTCCCACCCTCGAACCGATCGTTGAAGAGGGTTTGTGTCAGCTGTTCGCCTTGCTTTGGATCGAGCGTCAAATGGCGTCCCAAAACGCCACCGCATCCGACGCCGCGCTCGCCGCCTATTGCTGCGAAGCCATTCGAGAAGATCCGAGCGAGATTTACGGCGTCGGCGCTCGCCTCGCCATCGACGCCTACGACGCCCACGGCCTCGTCCGCGTCCTCGATTCCGTCAGACGCACGCGTAACTTCCCCATTTCTTCGTAATAGCCACACCCGATCGCGTCGCAGCCGCTCCCGTCTCTTCGCCGTCGATTTCGCGCGTTCGCCGTCGTCGCTCGGCGTCCCAAGACCTGAGCTCGACCTCGATGGATCCGCGCCCGCACATTCGCGCGCGTCGTCGCGCGTCCGCGTTCGCGCCGCGATGGACGCCTCCGCGAGCGCGATCAACGACCAGATGGCCGCCGTCTCCCTCGCGCCCGCGTTCGCGCGCGCCGAGCCGCTCAAGGGCGCCGCCGTGCTCTACGCCAAAGACCTCGACGGAAGCGACGGCGCGCGCCTCCTCGCCAAGCTCTGCGGCGTCGGCGTGACGACGCAGATGTTTAAAAAGTACACCGGCGCGTGTAAAACCTCGCCCGTGCTCGTCGCGGCGAGCGGGGAGACGGTGGAGGGGGCGACGGAGATTCTGGAGTGGACGCTCGGCAAGGCGAAGGCGGGCAACGCGAGCGTGACGCACCCGGAGGCGTGCGATGCGAACGAAATCGATCGATGGGTGACGTTCGAACGCGATGTGATGCGAACGCCGATGCTGACGGCGGTCGGGATGCTGTCTGGGACGATCGCGATGGATGAGGGGGCGTTCGAGGCGGCGAGAGCGGCGCTCGCGGACGCGGCGAGCGAGACGAACGCTCGATTGGGACGATCGAGGTTTTTGGCGGGAGATGCGCCGTCGGCGGCGGATATCGTCGTCGCGGCGGCGTTGTTCCCGGCGTTCGCGAAGGCGCTGGATCCGGCGGCGCGGGATGCGTTGCCGAACGTGATGCGGTTTATGGAAGAAATGGCGGCGCACGAGGATGTGAAAGCCGTCATGGGGAAGCTTCGGATGTGCGATATGATTCGCATGCCCAAGGCAAAAGCCGCGAAAGCACCGAAGGAGAAGAAGGCGGACGATCCGAACAAGTCGGCGCCCGGGGCTGGGAAAGCTGAGAAGAAGAAGGAGACGGGTCTCGGTTTATCCACCAAGCGCGACGAGGATTTCGGCGCGTGGTATTCGCAAGTGGTCGTCGCGGGAGATCTCATCGATTATTACGATATTTCTGGTTGCTACATCTTGAAGCCGTGGGCGTACGCGCAATGGGAGTACTTGAAAGAATTCTTCGATCGCGAGATCAAAGAGCTCGAGGTGGAAAACTGCTACTTCCCCATGTTCGTCTCGGCGAGCCGATTAGAAGCGGAGAAGGACCACATCGAAGACTTCGCCCCGGAAGTTGCGTGGGTTACTCGAAGCGGAAACACCGATCTCGAGGTCCCGATCGCGGTTCGCCCGACATCAGAGACGGTGATGTACCCGCATTACGCGCAATGGATTCGTTCGCACAGAGACTTGCCTTTGCGATTAAACCAGTGGTGCAACGTCGTGCGCTGGGAATTTAAGCATCCAACTCCGTTCATTCGTTCGCGCGAGTTCTTGTGGCAAGAGGGACACACCGCTTACAGTAGCAAAGCGGAATGCGACGTCGAGGTGCGTCAAATCTTGGAGCTCTACCGTCGAGTGTATGAAGAATATCTGGCCGTGCCCGTCGTTCCGGGTAAGAAATCTGAAAAGGAAAAGTTTGCCGGTGGAGATTACACTACTACGGTCGAAGCGTACGTGCCGGGATCTGGTAGAGGCGTGCAGGGTGCGACGTCACACTGCTTGGGCCAAAACTTCGCGAAAATGTTCAACATCGAGTACGAAGACGCGAAGGGTGGGCGCTCTTTGGTGTGGCAAAACTCGTGGGGCTTCACCACGAGAACGCTTGGTGTCATGTACATGGTGCACGGCGATGACGACGGCCTCGTGCTGCCGCCAAAGGTCGCGCCGGTGCAGGCGATCGTCATTCCAATCCCTAATAGTAAGCTTTCGGACGAGGCCAAGCAGAAGATGGACGGTACGTTTTATTTCACTCGCGCAATCGCGTTTCCGACAGTTTTTCTCGCAACGACTTTCTTACCTGCGAAGTGCTCGATTTCGATGAGCATAATCGCCATTTAAAGGGTCGGATAAAAAATGCCAAGACGCCTTTACCAATATCTGGTCGAAACCTTCGGGTCATGGCTTAGTTATAATGGCTTGGGGTCTAAATTCCTTTGCTTCACGCGGAGGCGCGATGAGTTCACTCTCGGCGTACTAACCTCGTACTTTTCGCTCTATAGAAATCGCGACTGGCATGTGCAAGTCGCTCAAGGCCGCTGGCGTGCGATCCAAGCTCGATAACCGCGACAACTACACGCCAGGTTGGAAGTATAACCACTGGGAACTGAAGGGGGTGCCGATGCGCGTCGAATTCGGCGCGCGCGACTTAGAAACTGGCACGTGCGTGATCGCCAGACGTGACACTCGCGAGAAGGAAACGGTCAAAATCGAAGATTTGACTAAGCGATGCTCCGAGTTGTGCGAACAAATCCAAAAGGACATGTTCGAGCGCGCTAGGAAGATTCGCGACGAAAACATCGTCTCTCTCACGTCTTGGGACGGCTTCATCGAAGCCTTGGACGCCAAGAAGCTCATCATGACACCGTGGTGCAACACCAAGGACAGCGAAGAGCTCGTCAAGAAGAAGTCTACCGCCGAGTCCACGGGCGGTGCGGCGAAAACGCTGTGTATCCCGTTCGAGCAACCCGCGCTCGAAGCCGGCACCAAGTGCTTCATCACGGGCGAACCCGCCACATGCTGGGTTCTCTGGGGCCGATCCTACTAGATAATCGCCGCGCGAGTGCGCGCGGGCGTGTGCGCGCGTAGGTGCGTGATGTGATACTACGCATGATATTCATACTTCATACTATCTAATCTCTAACGCCCGCGATGCGCGATCGGTGGTCCGTTATCGGTATAATCGCTCTTCGAAATGTACTGGTTCGAAGCGAAGATGGTTTTCGCCGCCATCGCGGCGCCCGTCCAAGGCGCGTGCGACCACGTGGTTTCTGGCATGTACTCCGGAATGTTTACCATCGTTGGCGTCAACGAGGGCGGCAAACTCGACGTGAGCTCGTGAAACAAGCGAGCATCAAGCCCAGAGACTTTGCTGGCCACGCCGTGCACGAAGACGCTGTCCAACACGAACCGTCTCAATTCTGACGAGCACTTTTGCACGCACTCGCACACGTCGTCCACGATCGGCATCACCGCCTCTCCACACTCGTACAATTCGTTCGTCAGCTTTAGCGCGCTTCCATCCGGCATGGCGAATGTCTCTTGCTCGCACTCCACGGTGGCGCACCCTCGCGCCAACGCCTCGTACTCCTCCCGCGTCGCCGCACATTTCCCCAACTTCCGACGAATATCACTCGCCGTCGTCAAATCTAACGCAATCCCTTGTTTCTTCCTCACCGCCTGCACCAGCGCGCGATCCATCGCTCGTCCTCCCGCGTCGTCGTTCCGCCTCGTCGTCGAGTGCGCCGTCGCCCCCTCCACCACGCACGCGCACTCCACCCCTTGCTCTCCCACATCGATCGCCACTCCGCTCGCGCGTCCACACGCATACATCGCGCACACCGCCTTATCTAAAAACGCCAACCCTCCGACGTTGAACTCTTCAAAGAACATCCTCGCCGTTCGCTCGCGCGTCCTGTTCGACGTCCCGCTCGCCTCGCACGCCACCACCATCCCCTCGCTCCCTCGCTCCCATCCCAGGTCGCCGTACGTCATCGCGCGCACGACGCACTCGTACGCGTCCACGTCTTCGACGCGCGACCGCGCGATCGCGTCGAACGCGCCGTCGTCGCTTCCGTTCCCGCGTCCAGCGCTTTTCGCGCGCACTCGACCGCGTCGCGTCGCGCTCGGCGCGCGCGCGACGCCGTCCAGCGCGTACCCGCCCCGCAGATCGCCGTCCACGACGTCCAGCACCGTCACCGGCGCGTCGCTCGCCATCGCGCGTCGTCGTCTGTCGCGCGTCGCCGTCTGTCGCGCGTCCGCGACGGGCGACGGGCGACGCGCGGCGCCACACGCCGTCGCCATGCGCGGCGCGTGCGCCAAGTGCGTCGCGCGGTGCGCGGCGCCGATGTTCGCGCGACGGGCGCCGTGCGTCGCGCCGCTCGCGTCGGCGCGCGGCGCGCGAACGTCGGCGCCGCGCGTTCAAAGTTTGAATCATCAGCGACACCATCAACGACGCGCGAAAGCGACGACGACGACGACGAACCGACGCGCGATGACGGCGGTGGCGTCCTCGATCGACGGCCGCGCGGACGCGGCGTCGACGTCGGCGACGTCGATCGCGAAGGATGCGGATGAACCGCATCTCATCCTCGTCGACGGGTTGAGCTTTGTGTTTCGAGCGTACTACGGTTGGAACGCGCGCGGAAGCGGCGAAGGACTGACGAACTCGGCTGGAGAGGATACGTCGGTGTTGTACTCGTACGCGCACACGATATGCTCGCTGTTGGAGCTGAAACCGACGCACTTGGCGGTGTGCATGGATGCGAAAGGAAAGACGTTTCGACACGAAATGTTCGTCGAGTACAAGGCGAATCGACCGCCGACGCCGGAGCCGTTATTGGAGCTCATACCGAAGGTCGAGCAGCTCGTGCGGGACATGGGGGTGCCGTTATTGAGGTTGAGTGGGGTTGAGGCGGACGATATCATCGGTACGGTGAGCAGACGCGCCAGTGATGCGGGCTTTCGAGTGAGCATTTGCTCGCCGGACAAAGACTTTTATCAGTTGCTCGGGCCGAAGACGAAGATGTTGAAGCCGAGCAAGAGCAGCAAGGGCGATCCGTTTGATCCGTTCACGGTTGATGATTTCCGAGCGATGCACAACAACGTCATCGAACCCGAGCAATTCATTGATTTTTTGGCCCTCGTCGGGGACAGCGCCGATAACATTCCGGGCGTCGAGGGCGTCGGCCCGAAGACGGCGTTGGCGTTGCTCGAACAGTACGGCGACATCGAAAGCGCGCTCGCCAACGCGGCGAACGTCAAGGGCAAACGCGCGCGCGAGAGTTTATTGAGCGAAAAGGGTGCGGCGAGCGCGGCGCTCTCCAGACGTCTCGTGGAGATTCGTCAAAATTTAACCGTGCCGTCGCTCAACGAGCCGCTGCTCCCGCTCGACAGCCTTCGCGTGCGCCCGCCCGCTGACGGCGGCGCCGCCGCGACACGCGCTTTCGAGCGCTACGAATTAGACACCGCCTTCGAACGATGGCGTCGGCTCGCGCTCAGCTAATCGCGCGCGGCGGCCTCGTCATGTAATATTTCTACGCTCGTTGTTTAAGCACCCGTCGCGCGATTTGGGCTCCAACACCCTCTTCAATTTGGGCACCGCGAAACCGCACACACGCGCGCGCACGGCGATCGACGCGCGCGAGTCTCGACGAGACAAGAAAGAAACCAAGTCTCGAACGCACCGCTCGTCGCGCGTCGACGCGTCGACGCGTGGGTGTCGGCGGTCGCCGCGCGATCATGTCGGACGGCGAGCGCGCCGGATTGTTGGCGGACGCCGAGACCCCGCAGACGACGAAACACAACTCGCGATGGATCGCGAAGCGATGGCGCGTCTTCGCCGCGCTCGGCGCGGGGGCGTGCTTGCTCGCGATGGGCGTGGCCACGCGCGCGGCGCGCTCGAACGAAGCCGCGCTCGGCGCGAACGAAGACCAAGTGAAGCGCGAGACGATCGACGCGCGGCTCAAGTCGGTGTTTGGGATATCGTTAGAAGATTTCGCCGCGCTCGTGAGGGATGAGAACGATGTGCAGATTGCGGGGAAGGAGTTGTACGAGAAGAAGAAGCAGTATAAGAGGCTGCAGCAGATGGAGCGGGCGTGGGAAAAGACGGAGGCGGCGGCGTTGACGAAGGCGCGGGAGGAAAGAGAGCTCGATGCGGCGTCTGCGCCGCTGTCGACGCCACAAAGCGATTTGATCAGCGATAGTGAGCCAGTGGAGGCACTCGTAGAGAGTGAAACGCCTGTGGAGTTGGAATCAAGCAACAAAACCGCTGACGCCGTTGGCGAGAGGGAGGCGCCAGCAGAAGAGTCGAGCGACGGAGCCGCGGATTCTATCGCCGTACTGAAGCACACGCTCGAAGTGCCGGTAAAGGTGCTCGCGAGAGAGGATAAGCGACATGCTCGGCGGAAGTTGCGCAGGGGTGTCGAGGCGCAACTGGGCGCCATCGAAGAGTACGACGACAACGAGGAAATCGCCGAAGAATCGTCGGCGATTTTGCCCGTGTATTTCCATACGGAGAAGAGCGGTGGAACATCACTCGTGTTGCACACGCTAGAGCTCGTGAATTCGGACAACGATGACGTGCTCGGTTTGATCAATCGTGTGCGCAGCGAAGACGTCATGCTTGACAAAGATCTGCGTGCGAAACATGCGTTGTGCCCGGGGAGCGCTATGTTTTTGACGACGGTGTGGAAGGCTGGGACGGTTTGGGAACCGGGACATCCGCGTCCGCTCGAGGATTCGACGCGGGAGAATTGGGAAAAATGTCGATTGTTGTCGAGTCATACCGGTCGAGAACTCTTGCGCCGAACAACAGAACTTGAAGCGGAACTCGGACTATCACGTCCAAAGATTCTCATGGGCATGTTCCGCGACCCCGCGGAGTATGAACAAGCAGCATGGCGAAGCGAGCTGTTCATGTATCACGATCTTCGCGCCAAACTTGGCTGGGGAAAGCTCGCGCAAACCCCACTCGGATCCGCGCTCACTCAGGAAGAGCTGAAGGACTTCGGAGCCGACAGCAAGTTCGCCAAAATCATGCTCGAGGATCACTGCAAAGCCGGCTTGGATAAGAACTTCCAAACGAAGAAGTTACTCGAGGATAAGTGGACGTCCATGAAGGACAACCACGACGCCATCATGGCGCTTGCGAAAGAGCGAGTGATGGAGCTTGATTGGGTCGGTTTGACGCATCGCTTCGACGAAAGCGCGTGCGTGCTCGCGTATACTTTGCGAAGACAGCCGCTATCGACGAGTGATAGCAACTACGACAGAGGAAGTTTGTTGCCGGCGACGCTCAGGGCCAACCACCCGCACAGCGGCGATCATAGTGAAGGAGCCATGGATCCAGGGCTGAAAGCGAAGCTGTACGAGTGCAACGACTTAGATGCCGCGGTTTTCAAGCTCGCAGAGACCCGCTTTGAGGCAAAGAAAACCGAGATGATGGAAACCTTACAACGGGCAATATCGGCGAGCGAACAGCTGAGGCCGATTCGCGGCGGCGGCGAGCACCAGATGTTGGATCCGAAACCGTACATCGATTGCATGCATCAAGCTGGGATGGGAGCAGCGTGATAATAGACTAGCAAGTGTAATCAACGGGCTAAAATCTAAATAGCTACTAGCAAATTTCGAGTGACTTGAGCGGCGTTGCAGCCGTCGCTTGCGCTGGTTTGAAATTCAAGAGCGTTTGAAGTCGAGTCTTTGACTGCGCCGAAAGCTGTCCCACGACGCTGCGGAACGGGTCCGCGCACGCTGCAGCTAGCCTCACCAAGATCGAGGACGCTAATGTACCGCATGTTGTGTCGATAGCCCTATCTGGTATTCCTTCAGGCGAAGTGACATCGACCGCGATGGCGAGGAAGATAGCGAGCGACGTCAAGCACATCTTGTCGTCCTTCTCATCTTTCAGTAAAAGGAAAGCGGCAGCCCAAGTCTGTAAGCTTTCAGTCACAAAATCCATTGAATCCAAACTCTTTGCGACGCCGTCGATCTTTTTGGCGTAGAATTTCCGAATTACCGAGCGCGCACACCCGGCAAGAGTGTGTCCAGTCATCGTCAACGCCAGAAGCATCACATCAGAATCGGCCAGGCGTATCCCTCGAAGCGCACTGAGACGATACTTTGCTAGAGATGGGTCGGTGAATAAATGCTGCATCAAAGCATCGACACGCGTCGCTGCTCGTTTACTTCTCTTAGCTAGACGCAAAGACGTAATCATCATTTTGCAGAAAGCGTCTTCGCCCGCCGCACCCTGGCACATGATGTCGGCCAACAAGTTGGCGGTGTCCCAAAGCGCAATTGGCTGGATCTTGTCGCACGCAGTTAGAGCTTCGATGAAACATGCAACTTCGGTGAACACATCTTCGCTGCTCGCATGTAGCGTCACCGCGTCACGTATGACGGCGATTTCGCTCGGAAGAAGGCCATATATTTGGCGAGAAATGAGGTTTTTCGCCGCACGAAGTGCGTGTATCACGTGAGACTTTGAAGGCAGACGAGGCGTCCCGAAGCCACAAATGATTGCCTTAAAGCAAAGTTGACGAACCAACTCGTGATTATCTGTTTGCTCTTGTACAATGGTGGAGATCGCAAAGATGATTGCCATCATCTCGTCGTCGGAGAACTGCTCGTTCGGATTTCGAACAGCGGCGATCCATTTCGCATTCATCGACATCAAAACGTCTTCAGGTATCACCGACGGAGCACTGGATGTGATTCTCGCAATACTCACAACGAGCGTATTTCTGGCTTGCGTTGCGACAGTTTCGTTACACTCTTTGCCGCATAGAATCTTAGAGGTCCCCTCCTGCCAGTCGCGTGCAATCTTTGTCGCCACATTGGCCAGTCGTTGAGTCATAGCGGTGTCGTCGCCCGTGATACCACTCGTAAGCGCGCTCGAAACCAGGCGTAACAATGCTACAAACGCCTCCAGAGATGCATTACTCGCATCGGTCGCTCGCATAGCTGATACAAGTTGGGCCTGGTATTGCTCCAAGACAAACGTCGCTCGACAATCCACATCTGCGACAGAGTCCGGATCCTCATCTTGTGCCCAAAGATCCATCAAGTTTGAGAACATCTCTAGACCTGGTGCGTGAAGCGCCATGACTGGGGACACCGAAAGCCGATATGCGACGTCAAACGCAGATTGGGAGTGCAAGGCAAGCCATTGGTCACCCGCGCCGGCGGTGGCGCTTCGTCGAGCCGCAGCGAGATTTCTGTGCTCAATTTCCTCGCCCACAAAGGACGGCACTTGCGATAGCAGCTGTGCTGCAAATAAACGCGTGCTCAATTTCGGCGCACCGCGCTCAATATCACGAGAAGCCCTGTCATCGAATGCACGAAGATCGACATCGCCACCGCCGTCATCGTCATCGTCATACGAGATGGACGCGACATTTTTCTCTGGACTCGCAGAGTATAAGGCCACGTTCGATAGATTCGTCATGCCTTCGCCTGGTCTAAGACGGCATACGTCTCTTACGAAGAGTTCTACGCAGCGCTCAATCGTTCGACGAGTTTTGGGGTCACTCTCGCGATCCAAAACAATTAGGAGTTCGGCGTCCAACCCAGACAGAGACGCCACGTTCGAGCTGTCTCGCTCGAGTAAATGTCTAAGCATCGACATTACCGCCTTTGTTGTCGATGAATCCGTCGCTGTTTTTAACATCACTCGAAGGTCCGCCAGAAGCGCGCGTCCTCGCTTCGTTCTCGGAGTGAAGGTCGCGATATGCTGCAAAAACACAGTAGACTCCAGGTTCGCTGCGGGTTCGTCGCTTTCGCCAAGAATTTCAATCAACGATTCTGCACGCTTGAATATGAGAGAATCGTGATCCAAGTCTGGGCCAATGGCCGATACAGCCGTATTCACTAAGCGCGCTGCGGTGACACGAGTCAGCACTCCGTTATCTTCGTCCATCAAGAACGGTGCGTCTGCCAACGCGAGGGCTAAATTGACGCTGTCTTCGGCGTCCCTCACAAAACTCTGACCAGTGTGTGAACCAATTACGCATATTCCATGCGCTGACCATATATGTGACGAACGAGTGTGATCAACCTGCATGCTCATCTGCAGTAAATTTGTGATCGCGGGCGTGCACGCCTGTCTCAGCGCCATTGCGCCAGCGTTGCGGAACGTCGCAGCGATGGACAAAGCCGCGATGTTTCGCGCCGACGTGTCTGCTGGCAGCGTGAGCAGGTCTTTCGATACTCGGATAGTTTCACCAACGAGACTATCAGAATCTGGATGAAGCGCATTTGCATAAGCTGTGATTTCTGCAATAGCGCGCCAGTGTTGCGTTGATGAAAACTCGGCATAGCGAATGACATTCGCCACCTTTTTGAACTGAGACATTATCACGGAGTCTTGAGTCTTCGTGTTCTCGACGATGTGTTTCACAGCCGAGAGGACATCGGCGCTCAACAAAGTAAGCATCGTCACGCGCTCGTTGTACTCGTCGATTCCATCCGATTTCGTCCTTCGAGACTTGAATGGCGAGCCCAGTGCACTCAGTGCTTTGCTCTGAATGACGTCGATGGCGTTTTGCTTTTTCGGTATAAAAACACCTTGCTCGCACAGTTCGCGCGCGTCAGACGGTGTATCGATCACTCGATGAGCGGTGTTGAGAAAGTGATGCAAGATGCCCATGCGCAGCTCTGGCGATGCCGTGAACACTCGAGCCATTTGTAAGCCCTGCGCCTGTCGCGTCGCTGCTCGCATAGATCGCGCTTTAGGATATGCATGCGTTTCAGACAAACCAATCCAGACGCGTGGATGAGGCGAGTCAGCCGATCCTTCGAAGGTGTGTAACTCATCCAAGTTGACATCAGAATTTGTCGGCCAAGGTCCGAGATGCGAGTCTTCTGTGCTTAGTTGCGCCTTCAGAAAGTTCTCTGGTTGACGTTCATCGATTTGCGCCGAAGACCGCGAAGCTGTTTGACACAGTGCCACGATTCGACCGTGCAACTCGCTGTAAAATCCCGTATCCTCGACCGAGTTGAGAAGTTCAAACATTCTAAACCGAAACAATGACTTTGCACGCTCGTCGGCAACAGAAATTTGTCTAGCGCTTAGTATGCGTTCCGTAGCCGTGATGCCCGAAAGCAGCAGAGGTATGAGACTCGACGATTCACTTTGTTTCCCTATGAGCCATGCAGACAGGGCTTCGGCGGCGGCAGCGGCGGCGTATATCTCGCCTGGTTCGCCCTCAACTCCACTTTCCACGACTGCGTCGAACGTTGCAGTCAGCGCGAACTTGATCGAAACGCCGCACATCTCAGACGCCACAGTGGCACCGGAACCGACAAGACACGCGGAGATGACGATCCATCCACCTTCGCGCACGCGTGCGCTTCCTGGTCCCGTCGCGCACTTGATACCAAGTGCAACCGCATCACGAAGTATATTCGACGGTAAGCCGCACGTGAACTCGGCACCAATCGAGACTAAGGTGGCGATGTGAAACGCCGCGCCGCACGCCGTGAGCGAATCGGCTTCATCTACCGCAGCAACAAGCGCCTTCAATTGTGCCATCGCCTCAAGAAGCTGCGCAACAAACTTGGTCGGACACGCAAGCGCAAGCGCGCGTAGCGCCAATGCGGCTTCGGCTTGAACGTTGCGGTCACCATGCGAGAGTGCTTTCACGATTGACTGCAAAGTTGGCGCCCAAAGTTCGTCATCCACGCTCCCGATGACTTCAATAGCATCCTTCGCGGTGCGCGCGGCTATCAGTAATCGACAAGCGTCAGTTGATGACAACGCTTCGATAGATGTCGCAAGAGTCGAACGAAGACTCGCTTCGTCTGCTTTTGCCAAGCATCCAACCCGAATAATGTAAATAGCGCACGCGCAGGCGTGTGGATCGTCGTCCAGCGCATGCGAAAGCAGCGTCTTCACTGTGAATCCAACGACTTCGTGATGATCAGTGATACCGCCGCGCACGGATCTATTTATGAATGAAATCCACGCGCGCGAAACACCGAGACACACGCGCTGATTCATCAAAGAACGCTCACGGCATGCGTTCATGAATGGGCCGTACAGAAACGTGCTCACCGCTCTCGCAAAGCGCGGTTCGCCAGAACTATCCTCGTTGTTCATTCGATCTTCGACCGAAACAGTCGCGCAAGCTAGAATCACGCTAGCGAGCGCGCCTGAAGCCGCATCTCGCACGCGCGCGCTATCGTCTTTCAGCGCGTGTAAGATTCGATCGACGACACCCGTGATGTCCAAATCGCTCGCGGATACAACGCCTTTTTCCTTGGACGCCGCCCACGCCAGCGCAAGAGCACCGATCGCGTCTACGAATGCCGCACGCACGCCCTTTGATCTATCGTGCTCCGACCGCACGAGCGTTTTATACACCGCGGCGATACCTTTCCCGTCTAGCCCGCCCGCCGACTTCTCGCACGTCGCCGCAAGAAATCGCAACGCCGCGCGTCGACATCGCGCGTCATCATTCGGTCTCACACTCGCGCATGCCGCCCGTGCGTACGCCGACGCATTCCCAGACAATTTATCCCCAAACTTCTCGCCCAGTCGCATCAGCGCCTTAAACGCCGACGCTTTTGCGAACGCCGTCGATTTCGAAGTCGTCGCCGCGTCCAACAGCTCGTTCGCCCGAGAATACAACGACCCACCATCCGTCGCCTCGTACAGCGCCCCAAGCGTCATCGACGCCCGCGTCGCCGACATCTCACCCTCTGGTCGCACCACGCACGCAACCAGCGCGTCCTCGGTCGCGCGAAGCGCGCGCACGGCGTCGTTTTTATCGCGCGCGTGCTCGATGAGTCCAGCCATCGCGTCAAACCTTTCGCGCGATTTCGCCGACGCCGACGTCGAAGTCGACGTTTGCGCGACACCGCGTGCGAGGGCATGAGCGATGGCGTCGAGACCGTCCGCGAGCGCCGTCGGCGCGCTCGGCGTCGACATCGCTCAGCAATGCGGGTTCGACCCGAGCGTGTGGCGGTTGTGTCGATATTCGCCGGATGGACGGCATAATTCGACCCGCGTCGTCGAGGAGAGGACGAGGCGCGAGCCCAGACGCGCAAAGACGCTCGATAAAAATACACACACTGCACCGCGATGGCCACGCGACAGACCTACGTCATCGTCGTCAACTCTGACATACCGGGGAGCGGGCTGCAGGAAATTCTTGGGCTGCTCTGCAATCACAACAAACACCTGGAAAGCGTCGGTAACTCGGTGGATGCGTCGCCGTTCATCGACGTGAAGACTGCGTTCATCTCTAAGAAGCTCTCTGGCACGCACTCGTGGTGGGACGTCGATCGTAAGATGGATTGGAAGATTCACAACGTCGACGTCGTCGTTTGCACACAAGCAAGTCGCCGAGAAATGGGAGCAAAATGGCTGCATCACGCCGGGATGCGGTGGATTGCGGAACAAGATCTCGGGAAGACCGTTGATGTCGTAAGTCGAGTATTCGCGAAAATTCAGGACATCGACATCGACTCGGAAGCGTACCTCGATGTGTCTGGCGGCGCTCGCGACGACGCGTTCGCGGTTCGAGAGATCTTTCGAAGAACCGAACACTGTCGCGGTCACTGGCTGAACGCGGATGAGGTTCAGGACGTTTCGACTCCAGATAAAAAGAAGGCCAACACGACGACAAAACGGACGAAAAGTCGAGAAGAGCGAGAATCGTTGCGACCGTCGTTTCGACCGAGTTTCCAGCCATCGTTTCGATGAATCTTTCGTACGACTTTTGTTTTTCCTACAACTCTGTTTGGCTAATCATCATGGTACATTTCATCTACGTTGTCGTTACTGTGTCTACATGCCTCCCATCATTTGTTCTTCGTGCGCGCGAAGCAAGCGAACGACCTCCATCTCTTCGCTCGTTCTGAACATGTAATCAAGCTCTTCATCGTCGATAGCTTCAATCGCCAACGCATCCTCTCGTTCGATGCGTTCGGCGTCGGTTTCATTGAGAAGAGGATCAATGCTCCGCTCAGCCATAGCCTTGGAGAAGATCTCACCCGCTTCGAAGACGCTCTCGCGAGTTTCTGGAGCCAGGGGTTTCATTTCAGTCGAGAGTAAGCGTTCCGGAACGCCCGCAAGCAGTAAGCCGTGCAGCATAACTTCCTGCCAGCCCAAGTCCTTGTCTTCCGGAAGACCGAAAGGTAAGTTCGGCTCTTCCGTAACCTTGGAGAACTTTATCACTGGCTTTTTGTCCTCAATCTTGTCGGGCACGTACTTCGGACGGCGAACGCCGCCGCGCGAGATCGTTCGCTTGCGCTTAGGCGCCACTTTCAACGGCTCAGCCAAAATGATCGGACCGGACATCGAAGAGGTGTTGCTTTCGAAAGGTGCGGACTCCGACTTGAGCTCTTCTTTCACTTCGTCGTCGTCGTCGTCCACAGATGCTTCGGGCGGAGGCATGATGCGGGCGGCGCCGAGATGCGTCGCTGCCGAGTGCTGACGCACTTTGGAAATGCTATCGAGCACTTTCGAACGCTCCTCGTACGCGGCTCGAAACGCAGGAGGGAGGCCGTCGACCACACTCGCCGGAGGCGCGATGTCCAACGTGGTCTTTTCCTTGCTGTTCTCTGCGGTGGCGATGAACCTAAAAGCGATGGGCAAGTAATCATCGAGTCGTTTCATGCACATGTCCTCCCCCCAAGGAAATTTTTGTGAAAATGTGATGATCTCCCCCAAAAGCTCCTTCAGACGCTTTCGCACTGACACACTTTGTACGCGCGAAGCCTGCGCTGCGCGCTCGACGGTTACCTTGACGCCGTGCAAGCGCGCGACGACGATGACGACGGCGGCGACGATGACGATTGGATCGCGGCCAATTAATAAACCACGAGAAAACGCAAACTTCAACAAAACCTTGGCGTCTCGCACCGTCGGAGCAATCATCACGCTCCGCGTCGTGCTCCCACGCTGCGGCTGCACGGTGGAGTTTTTGTTTGAAATCGCCGCGAGCTCTGGCAGCGCCGCCACCGCGCGCGCGACGTAATTCTCCGGATCTAACGGCGGCATCTTCAACCCGTGCAGCTCTTGCAGTTTATGAAACACCCGCCCAAGCGTGAACACGTTCACCGAGCACGCCTCCGCCACCTCTCGCATGCTCACCGGCAAATTATTCTGTCTACACACCGAGTACACGCACGCTCCCGTCAACTGGCTCGTCCACAACCCCTGTCCCCATTTCCCATCCGACGCTCGCGTCACCAGATCCTTCACCTCGGCGATGATATCCTTGTTCAACTTCAACAGCGCCCCCGTGTGTTCGACCGATTTCGCGATGTGATACAAGTTCGTCGACTCGCGGTCTCGAAACATGTTTCTCGTCACGTGCGACGCCCCCGGCATGCTCACCATCTGCGCTCGCGCCGCCGCCAAGTGCGCGCCGACGTGCGCGCCATCCTGTAAGAACGTCCCATCCGCCGCGCCATCCTCCGTCCAATTCAGCGTCGTCTGCAGCACGCTCGCGTTATAGACGACGCCGCACGCTTGACAAATTTCGCTCCCGAGCGCGGGCTCGAGTTTGATTTCGTGTTTCCCGCAGTTCGGGCACGCGGGCACGCGCGCGGCGCCGGGATCATCCGCGGCGTACTCTCCGTGATGCGCCAGATCCATCGTCGCGGTCGCCGGCGCGTCGTCGCTCGAGCGCGCGCGTGTGACGCGCAATCGCAATCATTTCGACGCGACAAACGGACAAACGGGCACGTATGCGCAAACAGTGTGACGCGACCGCACACGCGACCGCACGCGCGCGCGCGCGTCGAGCCGCCCGCGCGCGTCGCGCGCGCGCGTCGCGACGACGCGCGTCGCGCTCGACGCGCGCGCGGCGACGCGCGCGCCCTCGCGGCGTCGGTCGCGGCGTCGGGACGCGACGGTTGGAAAAAGACGCATGGCGACGCGCGACGACGCGAGCGCGACGTCGGTGTGGGAGGAAATCACCGCCATGGCGAGCGAAGACGGCGTCGTGGATCTCGGTCAGGGATGGCCGGATTTCGGCGCGTCGATCGCCGCGCGCGAGGGCGCGGCGAGGGCGATGCTGGGGGACGGCGTCAGGGCGAATCAGTACGCGCCGGTTCGCGGCGACGCGCGAATGGTCGCGGCGTTGATTCGGTATTACGCCGCGACGGGATTCGATGTTGGACGGTGTGAGCGCGGAACGGTGGCGCGCGAGGAGTGCGTGGTGGTGACGGCGAGCGCGACGGAGGCGATTTACGGCGCGTTCCAAGCGGCGACGCGCGGTGGCGGCGACGGGACGTCGAGACGGGAAATCGTCTTCGTGGAGCCGTTCTTTCCGTGGTATAAGGCCATCGCGGACGATGTAGGGGCAGTTTCTGTGGTCGTTCGCGCGCGCGCGGAAGATGGGTTTCGCGTCGACGTCGACGCCGTGCGCGCGGCGTGTTCGCGCGATCGAACGGCGTTGCTCGTCATGTGCTCTCCGCACAATCCCACCGGACACGTGATGACGCAGGACGAGCTTTTGGGCATAGCGGCGCTGGCCGAGGACTTAGATTTGACCGTATTGAGCGACGAAGTGTACGAGCGGTCGGTGTTCGGCGGTCGCGCGTTCACGCGCCTCGCCACCGTGGGCGACATGAGCGCGCGCACCGTCACGATTGGTTCGGCGAGCAAGCTTTTAAACTTGACGGGCTGGCGCGTCGGCTGGGCCGTGGGGCCGAAACGTCTCGTCGACCCAATCAAATCGGCGCACAGTTTGATGTCATACACCGCGCCGAACCCTCTACAGATTGGCGTCGCCGAGGCGCTCGAGGAGATTTCGCGAAGCGCCGACGGCGCCGTCTCCAGCGACGAAAACGCCGCCGTCATGTTCGAAAACGCCAACGCGCTCGAGCGCGCCCTCTCCGACGTCGGCCTCAGCTGTTTCTCTCCTCCGGGCGGATACTTCTTGGTCTGCGACGTCGGAAAAACCGGTTTTTCCGACATGGAATTTTGTCGAGAGCTCGCCGCTCGCGCCAAGGTGTGCGCCGTCCCCATGTCCGTCTTCTTCCTCCCCTCCCCGACCGGCGACGTCCCGCGCCATCTCGTTCGTTTCGCCATCTGCAAAGTCCCATCCACCGTCCTCGAGGCGTGCGCGCGCATTCGCGAGCACGCGCCGTACGTAGCGCCGTAGTCGTGTATCGCACATTCGTTCTCGCGTCCGAGTCGAGTCGCGCCGCGCCGCCGCGAGAGAAACCCTCAATTTTTGTCGGGGCCACGTCATCGCGACGTCACGCGCTTCACCGACGTCACTCCTCGACGCGTTCGCCGTCGCTCGCGATGTCGACGATCGCGCGCGCCGCGCACATCGCTCCTCCGCGCCCGTCGCTCGCGTCCTCGCGCCGCGCGCGCGTCGTCGCGTCGTCGTCGTCGTCGTCGTCGTCGTCGTCGCGCGTCGCGCGTCGCGAACGCGACTCGCGCGACCGACTCGACGCGGCGACGAAAGGCGCGGCGACGCGCGACGAGACGCGCGCGATGACGACGCCCGCGGCGGCGGTGAGCGCGCTGGCGCTGTTCCAGCTCGCGGACGGCGGCCTGGCCGAGGGCACGGCGAACTCGTACTACGCCACGCTGTTTCTGTTCGTGCTGAGCGCGCCGGGATTGTACTCGCTCGTCAAGCGGAGCGCCAAGTCGAAGATCACGCGGAAGACGTTCGAACTCGATGGACCGAAAGTGCCCGGAGCGGCGTCGCAGGATGAGATCGCGCGCGATGTGGGTGCGTTTTTTCGTAGAAACAACTACGTCGTCGCCGACGCCGGAGAGGTGATTACGTTTGAAGGTAACATCGCCCCAGAACGCGGCACGGCGGCGTACATCACGTTTTGCGTGTTGATTGGATTGTTGTGCATCGGACTGGTGTGTTCGATCGCGTTGCCGGGTGGGGATGCGTGGTACGCGTTGGCGCTCGCGTCGCCGCTCTCGGGACAATATTATCTCGACAACGCCGGGCGCAAGGAGCAAGTCAAGGTGAAGATGGTCACCTCGGACGACGACACCACGGTGGATATCACGGTCGAAGGTGACGCCGAGGAGATCGAGCGCTTCAGACGGGAGTTGGATCTGACGCCCAAGGGTATGGTTCGCGTGAAGGGCATCCTCGAGCAGGCGTAGGACGGCGCTCGCGTTCACCATCTCGCGCGTTCGTCGCGCAAACACGCACGCGCACGCGCGCGTGACACCATGTTATTTCATTTAGCACGCACTCTACCTCTCGACCGATCAAGGCAAAGCGCGTCCTCCTCGTTCCCGCGCGTCTCGCGCGTCACTCGCCGACTCGCATGGGCTTATCCTCGCTCACCGCGCTTCCATCGCGCGGCGCGTTCACCGCGAGCGAGCTGGTGCCGGTCGCGAGCGCGCCTCCGGCGAGAACGTACGTCGCCGGCATCGCGCGCGCGCCGTTGTCCGAGCACGCGCGCGTGAAAACGGACGGGACGAACATTTTAATCCGACAGCTCTCGCAATCTCGCGCGCGCGCCGAAGCGAAGAAACGCGCGCAGCGCGCGCAGGCGGCGGCGGAAGCGAAGAAACGGTCCGAGACGCTGGCGCTGGAGGCGAAGAAACGGGAAGAGAAGACGCGAGCGGCGTTGGAGGCGTCGACGGGAAGAGGCGGCGGCGGCGCGAAGGACTCGGCGAACGCGAAAGACGCGGCGACGACGACGACGACGGTGGAAGCTGCGGTGAATCCGTTCAGTAGGAAACGACCGGCGAAGGAGAGCGGGAAGGAAAGCGCGGAGGGCGCAGCGCGAGGGTCGAAACGCGGGAAGGGTCGATAACGGTAAAATTCGTTGCCCGCGTTTCGTTTCGAATCGCGTGATATCGATGCCGCTCCGAGATGGGACTATGACCGCAGACGAGTTCGAACGAGGCGTTCGAAACGCGTTGGGTGATTCAAACGCGATCGTCGACGGGTGTTGGATCGTGGAGACGAAGGCGATGGTGTCGGCGTCGACGGCGCGTGGGTACGGAGAACTCGCAAGCGAAGCTCGGAGTGAACGATGGGAGCCTCGCGACGTCGACGACGCCCTCGAAATCGAAGACAACGAGGAGGATGAGGACTGTGCTACCCATGTATCCCGAAATGGTCACGTGCGAGAGTATCGCGTCGTGTACTCGGCGACGTTCCGCGTTCCCGTGTTGTGCGTTCGAGCGCGCGACGCGGCGACTCGCGCGCCGTGGAGCACTTCGAGATTACTTCAATCTCTTACAATAGATCACTCATGCGTGGGTGCAGATGACCATGACCCCGTATTGACGCCCTATTCGAATCCGCACGAGCCCGGTGGAGGTGACTGGGCGTGCGTGCACCCTTGCGCGACGGCTGAGGTTATGAAACTCTTGCTTCGCGATTCCAACCTTCCGCTCACGCCGAGAGCGTACGTAGACGCCTGGCTTCGTTACGTCGCGCGAGAAGTCACGTTGCGACTAAACGACGCAGACTGAAAATCTCAGTCGCGCTTCGAAACAAAGATGTTGTACAATAAATTTCATTTCAGCTATGGCGACGACTCGCGAGGCGCCGCTCGTTCTATTTCTATTATTATCTACGGCGCCGTCACGCGCGCGTGTCCGCCTCCACGTTCTTCACCGGCACGCGATCCGCGATCAACCTCAACTCTTCCGGGTCCAAATTCGGCTGCGCCGAGAACAACCGCAACAGCATCTTCAACTCCTCCGCGTCTTCGCACGTCGACGCGCGCTTTACGATTTCCCGCTTCAACGCGCACTCGTCCTTGTGCATCCTCCACGCCTCTTCCAGCCCTAACACGCAATCCGCGATCGACGGTTGCGGTCCACTCCGTTCCCCTCCCGCGCGTTTCGGCGGCGGTTTCAGATTTCTCGTCCGCGTCCACGCATCCGTCTTCGCGCGTTCGAGCTCGCGCGTCAGCGCGTCGAACCGCGCGCACTCCTCCCGCAACCGCGCGAACACCCGATCGAGCGCGGCGTACTGCGCCTCCACCACGCGCGACGCGAACGCATCGTCGATCAGGATTTCGCTCCCATCCACCGCGCGCGCGCGCGCGGCGTCGTGAATCGCCGGCAGTCGCTCGAACGCGTTCACCGCCGTCCCGAGCAGCGCCACCGACGCGCCCTGCGCGTCGTCCCATCGCGCTCTGCAGCGCGCCAGCGCGCCGTAGGCGTCGCGGAACGCGTTCAGGAACGTCTCCATCGATTCGCGCGCCGCCGCGAGCGGTCGCCGCGCGGCGCGCGCGCGAATGCCGTCACGCCGTCACAACGCACCGCATGGCGACGACGGCGACGCGCCCGCGCGCGCTCGAGCTCTACCGCGCCCTGCTGCGATGCGGGCGGTCGTTTAACGACTACAACGTGCGCGAGTACGTCAAGCGACGCGCGACGGAGTCGTTCCGCGCGAACGCGGCGCTCGCGGACGTCGACGCGATCGAGTCGGCGCTCGAGGAGGGCGCGCGCGAGCTCGACGTCGCGCGTCGGCAGGCGACGGTGTACGCGCTGTACGGGGGGGCGAGGAAACCGAGCTCGATGGACGTGCGGTGAGTCGCGGCGAGGCGGCGCGCGGGGAGGTTAGCGTTTGAATTAGATTGATTTAGAAGAGCGAGGGGGCCAGCAAAGTTGTCATAGTAATTACACGGTTACACGTACTCGTATCGCGCGCGCGCGTCGTCACAGGGCGGTTCGGGCTTTATCTTGCGCGCGACGAACGTTTGGTTCGGTCAAGTCTGCGGCGGAGACGTCGCGGAGGACTTCGCGGCACGCGTCGACGACGCGCTCGCGACTGCGCTCGTCGCCGACGAGCTTCTCCAGTTGGCCAGCCTCGAGGTGTGCCGCGCGACGCGCGGCGGCGAGGCAAACGCTCTCGGGTAAACCAGCGAGACGCGCGACGTTGACACCGTAGCTTCGCGGACAGTTGCCGCTCGCGAGGGTGTACAGAAAGGTGACCGTTTCGCGTCCGAGCGTCTCGACACCTGCTCCGCTCGGCGTCTCGACTCGACACGCCATGTGTGCCAACGCCACGTGAGGGTCGCGCGCGTGGTCGTCGGCGAGTCTATGGTAATGCGTGCTGAAGAGCGTACGGCAGCGCTTGTCGATGAGATGCGACGCAACCGCACACGCGATGGCTGTACCGTCCGCGGTGGCGGTTCCTCTGCCGAGTTCGTCGAGCGCGACTAGGGAATTCGTCGTCGCTCGACGAAGCATCGCTCCAGTTTCGCTGAGCTCGACCATGAATGTCGACTGCCCACCCGCTAAATTGTCTTTGGCGCCCATGCGCACAAAAACCGCATCCATAGCTGTCATCTCAAACTTGGCCGCGGGAACGTCGGCGCCCACGTGCGCCATGATCGCGGCCAAGCAGACTTGCCTGAGGTACGTGGACTTGCCACCCATGTTCGGACCAGTGATGAGACAGAAACCCGGATGTTTACCACCAAGCCTGGCGTCGTTCGGAACGAACGCGCGCGCGAGAGAAGACGCGCACGGGTGCGACAGGCCGACGGACTCAAGCGTCGCGGGCTCGCCGTCTCGCGGTTGCGGGTGCACCTTCGGGGTGCAAACTGCTCCACAAGAAGCGTACATTTCCTCGCTCACGACAGCCAAAGAGGCTAGAACATCTATGATTGCACCAACACTTGCCGCCGCTTGCCACTCCGAAGCGTTCTCGCAAAACTTTGCGACGATTCGACGGAACACGCCGGCGAGCGCGTCCTCGCGCGCTTCCTCCGCCGCAACTCGCTTCGCGCGCAAGGGTACCAAATCATCGCACGTGAACCGTTCGTATCCTTTGCGCTTACCTTCACGCACCCAATGATGAGGGACCTTGGACGCGAGGCGGTCAGGAACTTCGACAAGATGCGTATCTTTGTTTGCATTCACGAAACAAACCTCCGTTTTGTGACCACCGAGCTCGCCGCGCGCCTCTTCCAACCACGACGCCAGATCCGCGTCCGCTGCTGTAAGTTGCTCCTCGGCAGCGTCCAGATCGGCGTCGACGCCTTGCGCCGGCTCGATTCTCCCACTCGATTTGGCGGCGTTCCAATCGAACGCAGACTCCATTTCGTCCAGCGCGCTCAGATCCGGCATCGCGACGCCGCCGACTGCGGTGAACACGTCCTCGCGCGTCGCCGCGGCGTCGTTTACGATGCACAATGCGCGAAGCACGTCAGATTTCTCACATGCATCAACGCACGCCGCGATCGCTTTTGTAGCGTCGCGAACCGCACGAATACCCTCGAGCGCTGCGAGGAAATCGTTCAACTTTGCTCGCGCCGCATCTTCATACAAGACGACGTGCGAGGCGGATCGACCTTTCTCGCCGCTCGATCCGACAACGCGCGAGATGGCGCGTTCCGCGTCTGGCGCGGCGCGCAAAAGCTTGCGCGCAATCCCTGTGGCCTCGATCCCGCATCCCCGCATCATAGAGACGGCGACTTGTCGAGCTCGAATAGCTGACGCGCTTGTCAAAGGGCGACACACCCAACGGCGCAACAAACGACGACCGGGCCCGCTCACACACCGATCGAGCGACGCCAAAAGCGTACCCGCGGAGCCACCTGCGGTATTCTCGAGCACCTCAAGCCCAGAAAGTGCAGCGGCATCCATGGCGACATGCGTAGAGTGTGCCCATCGCGCCAAGTGCTCCCGCGCGCCGGCGTCTGTTGTGTGCAGGGACTCTACTCGCCCTTGTGGCACTAAATCGGCGTCTATCAGCGCGGCGCGTAAGTACGCAACGACCGTGCCCCACGCTCCGATACCGCATTCGCGAGCAGGATGGCATGCAGTGTCTCGCATTTCTTTAATGGCTTCTGGCAAACCAGTCTTAAGCGTCTTGAAGTATCCCTCCGCCTCGGCGTCCTCCAGCGCTTCGTTCGCACTCGTCGACTTAAACGTACGCTGCTGAGCGTGTGAGCACATATCCAAAACTGCCATCTTCGCTCGCGCGCTCAAGCCAGTGGGCGGAACTAAGATTTCAACCGGGCGCAGCTCCGCAAGTGCTGTGCGCAAACAGCTTGCACCTTCGTCGTCGCGCCACGCACCGACGAGGAAACGACCCGTACCGCAGTCTGCAGCGCACAAACCGACCCAACCTTCGCCGTCCTCCTCTTCGCAGCCGTCTATTATAGAGCAAACGAAGGCAGCATCCGGCGAAGAGTTCAACATACCGGTGTCAACCATCGTACCTTTTGTCAACACTTGAACCATTTCGCGGCGAACCACAGTGTCCTTGCACGTCTTGTCTTTCTTTTTTCGCTCGGCAAGCTGCGCTGGTGTCTCTGTCTGTTCAATACACACGACGCGGTGACCGTTGCGAGCGAGCTGCTCGGCGTGCATCGCGTAATTCTTCTCTGGGAATCCAGCGTGCGGTTGCTCGCCGCGCATATACATCAATCCTAAGTCTCGCACACCGATGTGCGCGTCCATTTCGAACATTTCATAAAACTTGCCCATCTTGAACAACAATACAGAATCGAAATTCGCCGCCTTGAACTTCCACCACTGCGCCTGCCCGGGGGAAACCGTCCACTGCACTCCGCTGGCGTCGCGCATTTTTGGAAACGTCGACGGCAACAGCAACGTGGACGGATCGTAGTCCGGATCGTCAGGACGCCGACCATCGGCATCCTTAATCTTCTCCGGTTGCATAAATGGAAATTTCAACCGATCTCGCGCGTCGTATTGCTCCGGACCGACGCCTGCGAGAACGTCCTGCGCGTTCAAATCCTTTGCCTCTGTCGCCTTCGTCGGCGCCGACGTCGTATTCACCGTCGTCTTCTTTCGTCCATTCGTCGTCGACGTCGGCACCACCTTCTTCACCGCCACTTTGGTCGTCTTCTTCTTCTTCACCGGCGTTGACTCGCTCTCTGAGAAATCGTCGTCGTCCTCCTCTTCCTCGTCTTCGCTCGACGCCTCGCTCGAATCCGCCTCAAACGCTTCGTCGTCGTCGTCCTCTTCCTCCGCCTCCGCGTCGAAATCGCTCCCACCATCGTCATCGCTCGACTCGATCACCATCGTTTTCGCTTTTTTCGCCACACGTCGTCTTCCGGCGACTTTCTCCGCGCTCGCGACGTTCGTCTCTGGCGGCGTCGACGCCGCGGCGACGTTTTCCTTCTCATCACCGCTCGTGGACGCGCGCGCGCGTTTCCCGCTCGCACTTTTCGCGTGCTCGCGTTCGGGCTCGCGTTCGGGTTCGGCGTCGACGACGGTCGCGTCCGCGGTCGTCGGCGCCGCCGTCGTCGTCGTCGTCGGCGCGTCGACGCTCTCGCGTTTTGGCGCGGGCGCGAAAAACGACGCGATCGAACGCTGTCCCGGCGGCGGCGCCGTCGGTTTTTGCGCGCTTCCCATGGCGCGCGGCGCGCGAGGACGCTCGTTCGACGCGCGCGCGGTTCGCGGTGACCCGACGGCGCGACGGGCGCGGTGTGCGGTCGGCGAATGTGGCGTTGGATTTGAAATCCAACCAGCGACAGCTCGAGCCTCGCATCGGGCGCGTTTTGATTAAAATACTACGTGGCCGCGAGCAGCGCGATTAGTCGCGATAACACACGCGCGTGGCGACGCGAACGATGTCTTCCACCGTGGGGAGGGCCATCTTCTCGAGGTTCTCGGCGTAAGGCATCGGGATGTCGACGCCGGCGATGCGCTCGACGGGGGCGTCGAGGTAGTCGAAGGCGTCCTCGTTGACGACGGTGGCGATCTCCGCGCCGACGCCGCACTGCGGCCAGCCCTCTTCGACGACAACCATGCGGTTGGTTTTACGCACCGAAGCCGCGAGCGCGCCGCGGTCGAGCGGGCGGAGCGAGCGGAGGTTGATGACCTCCGCGTCGATGCCTTGCTCGCGAAGTTGTTCGGCGGCTTCGAGGCAGTAGCCGACCATCTTCGAAAACGCGACGAGGGTCACGTCCGCGCCGGGCTTCATCACGACCGCCTTACCGATCGGAAGGACGAATTCTTCGTCCATGGCTTCCTTGGGCAACGCAAACTCTTGACCGTACAAGAGTTCGTTCTCCAAAAACACCACGGGATCCGGGTCGCGAATCGCCGCCTTCATCAAACCGCGAGCGTCTTCGGCGTCGTACGGCGCGAGCACCTTCAAACCCGGAATAGACATGTACCACGCGGCGAAGCACTGAGAGTGCTGCGCACCGACTCCCGCAGCCGCACCGTTCGGGCCGCGGAAAACGATCGGAGCGGAAATCGCCCCGGCGGACATGTACAACGTCTTTGCGGCGCTGTTGACGATGTGGTCGATGGCTTGCATGGAGAAGTTGAACGTCATAAACTCGACGATCGGTTTCAAACCCATGAAAGCGGCACCAACGCCAAGACCAGTGAACCCAGCCTCGGTGATGGGCGTGTCGCGCACGCGATCGGCGCCAAACTTTTGTAACAAGCCCTTCGTGATCTTGTACGCGCCTTGGTAGTCGCCGACTTCTTCGCCCATGATGAACACCTTTTCATCGCGCGCCATCTCTTCGCTCAGCGCGCTGTTCAGCGCGTCGCGAACCGTCATTCTCGGCGAGTCCGCGGGAAGTTGCTTAGCGACCGGCGCGGCGCGCGCGTCTGAGACGTCCTCCGTCCGCCCGCTCGCCCGCGAGTTTCGCAGCGGCACGCCTTGCTCTTTAATAGATCGATAATCTGGACGTTCCAGCACCGCGCGCGCCGCGGTCGCCGTCTCTGTCGCCGTCTCTGTCGCCGTCGTCGTCTCCGCCGTCTCCTCGGCGACGTAATCCTTAAACGCCGCCACATCCTCCTCGTTTTCGCACATCACGCACACCGCCTTCCCCACCGGAATGTCGTCCGCGTCCCCGCTCGGCACCAAAATCTTCGCCAAGTACCCCTCCTCCATGGACTCCATCTCCATCACCGCCTTATCCGTCTGCACCTCCGCCAGAATGTCCCCGGTCGCCACTCGATCGCCCTCCGCCTTTTTCCAGCTCGCGATCCCGCCGCGCGTCATCGTCGGCGACAGCGACGGAAACGGAATCACCTCGTGCGGCGGGTACGTCCCGCTCGCGTACGTTCGCGCCCATCCCGGCGCGCGCGCGCGTCTCCACGCCGCGCACCGTCGCGCCGCCGCCGCATCGCGCGTCGTCACCGCGCCGTCGTCGCCGCGTCGCGTCGCCGACGCCATCGCCATCGATCGCGCGCATCGCGCGTCTCGACTCACCGTCTCGCGACCTCGCCGCGCGGCCGCCGCGCACGCCTCGAGCGCCGCGCGCCGCATCTGCGAAACGCCGTCGCGCTTTCGCGTCGCGTCGTCGCGTCGTCGCGCGTCCGTGTGCGGTCGTCGCGATCGCGAATTCGACGAACCCCCCCACACGCGGGTGTTTTCACGCCGGCGCGCCCGTCGCGTCGCCGCGCGCGCGACGACGCGACGCGCGATGCGCGACGACGGCCCGCGCGCCCTCGTCGAGGGCCTCGACGGCGCCGTCGCCCGCGCCGCGCGCGCGCTCGACGCGCACGCGCGCGGCGCGGCGGACGCGCAGGACGCGCTGTGCGCGCGCGTCGATCGATGCGCGGACGCGCTCGAAGCGCTCGTCGACGCGATGCCGACGAGCGCGAGCGAGGCGCACGCGAAGCGACTGCGATCGCTGCGACAGCGCATCGATGGACTGGGCGCGAGCGCGAGAGATCTGAGGGACAGGGCGCGCGCGCTGCACGACGACGCGCGCGCGAGCCGACGCGCGGATTCGAGCGCGCTCGCGGCGCGCGAGGGCGACGAGTTACCGCCGCGAGACGCGGTGTTTCGCGATGGGTGACGGCGCGCGCGCGCGATCGTTGTAATGGTGTACTGTATCGATGGCTAGGAGACGCGCGACGCGCGCGCGTCGAGAGACGCGCGACTAAAACCGACCGACGCTCGGGCCCAAGCCGAGCTTGGCCTCCATGACGGCGTGCGCGTCCGAGCGCGGGCCTTCCGTGCGCATGTCCTCGGGATTGAGGTAATCCTCGAACCCGAATCGATCGATGTCGCCGGTGAGAATCTGTAACCCTAATCGTTTGCTCGGCACCGGTCCCGGGAGGCGCTCGACGTCGGTCAAAATCTGTCGCTCGGCGTCCAACTTGGCCGGGATCGCGCCTCCGTGCGCGCGCGCCATCGTCTCTAACTTCTTCGCGTACTCCGCGCCGCTCGCGCGTTCCTCTTGCATCACCTGCACGGGGTGCTTCGCGGACGACGCGCCGACGTCGCGCGCGGCGGCGAGGCCGAGTCGGAGCGTGTCCACGGGTCTTCGCAAGAATTTGATCTCGTCATCCATTTCGATCGTTCGGCGGTCGTCGAGGGCGCGGTTCGCGCGGGGAGGGCGCGGGGCGCGACGGGGCGTCGAGCGTCGGCGAGCGGCGCGCGAGGGCGGCGCGCGCGCGAGGCGGCTGGTTGTGCGGACGGCGCGCGAGGGGCGGGTCGGTTGGGTCGCGTCGCGAGGCGGAACGAGTCGCGAGGCGGCGGTTCGATTACAACACGGGTAATGTACGGCGCGAGCGCGCGCGCGATCAGCGGGTGGGATCGGCGTCGTCGGCGTCGTCGGCGTCGTCGTCGGCGTCGGCGGCGGCGGCGGCGCGCGCTCTGTCCCGCCTGGCGGCGATGCGGAGCGCTTGGTGATAAATTTCGTCGTTGCGAGCGCCGAATTTGTGCAACTCGGCGCCATTGCGCCACGCCTCGACGCGAGCCATACGTCCTGCTTCATACTCTCCGAGATTTTTCTCAGCCTTGAGCCACTTGGCCCAATCGTCGGTGGTGCGCGCCGTCTTGTCTTTGCCGTACCACTCGGGAAGGTAGCCGCCGACGATGTGCGGCGCCTTCGGCGGACCGCCCTGCGCCATATAGCAGTTGACTCTATTCTTCCTTCCACCGATTGGACTCACTGAAGTGTCGCGGTCACCGCAAATGTGCAAAAGCAACCACGCGTCGACCATGTTGGCACCGTTTTGTAGGATGATTTCATTGTTGATTTTCTCGGTAAATTTTGGACCGATGACGTACCCGGCCAAACCGCACCCAGCTTTGATGTGGTTTGCGGAGTACATGTACACCATTTCATCCTCCACGGGCCATTGCTTCACAAACTGCCCAGTCGGTTCGTCTCGAGCTTTGAGCAAAATCACGTCCGCGTTCGCCGGAGCGTTATCGATCACGCTTTGCAACGCGTACGGCTTCATGCGTATGCCACCCCAAAGCGCGTCGCTTTCAAAAATCACCGTCCACTTGTTCTTGAACTTTGAATGCAAACGCCACATGCGCATGTGCGAAAACAAACAACTGATGTGATGCGAAACCCCGTATAAAAACTTTGGCAAGACGCCGACACCGTCTTTGTTGGACTTGGCCGCAGACAACCCGCCGAACCACTTGTCTAAGTTCGCGTTCGGGCGAAGCTCTTTGAGTTCCTCCAACGCCTCTTCCGTGAGATCAAACGTTTTCGGCCACGCGTTAGCGTTCGTACCGTACTGAATCTGCACCAGCTTATCTGCTTGATCACGCGCCTCGTGCTCATGGCTGCCTGCGTTCTCACCAAACGTTTTCACGAACTGGCGCTTCACGCCCTCCGCGCGCTTCACGTCGTACTTCAAGTCTTCGACGGCGATGACGTATATCGGCGTCTCGAGCTTCCGACGCGTGCGGTTGCCACCGACCGCGAAATAGCGATCGGAAGAAAACGAAGGAAACGAGTTCTCGTACGAGTCTGCCTTCGCCGCTTCCAGGGCCGCGCCCTCGAGTCGCACTTGATCCATCTCCGCGAACGCCAGCGCTGGGGTGTTGACTTGCTCCAGCGGCAGGTTTGGCGTCCACACCGGCTTCCGTGCGCGACCGAGCGCGCCGCGACGCGCCACGACACTCGTCGTCAAGCTCGCGGCGGCAAAGAGCGCGCCGGCGAGCGCGAACGCGGCGATGGCGCGAGATCGTCGTCGCGCGGAAGCATCGCGTGATCCTTCCTCAAAGTATTCCGTCGCCGCGTCGCCGCTCACGCGCTGGCGTGGACGCGACGGATCGCGATCGATCAGCGTTCGCCGCTCATCGACGTTCGTTTCCAGCGCCATCGCGAGATCGTCGTCGCGCGATGGAAAGTGACGCGCGACGCTGGTTCGCGACTGGTGCTACTATACAGGGTGTTACGATGGTTATATGCTATACAGGTGACTACGTGAATTCTAGTGTGTCGACGGGCTTGCCGCATCTGTCGCAGCCTCGCCCGCTGCTGCTCGGGCTTTCGCGCGCTTGGCTTGAAGCCGTAACGCTTGTCGAAGCATTTCGTCGTTGCGAGCGCCGAATTTGTGCAACTCGGCGCCATTGCGCCACGCCTCGACGCGCGCCATGCGGCCCTTATTGTACTCCGCATCGTTCTTCTCAGCCTTGAGCCACTCGGCCCAATCGTCGGTGGTGCGCGCCGTCTTGTCTTTGCCGTACCACTCGGGAAGGTAGCCGCCGACGATGTGCGGCGCCTTCGGTGGACCGCCCTGCGCGTGATAACAGTTGAGCTTATTCTTTCGTCCGCCCTCACCACTCACCCTCGGGTCGCGCACGCTACAGATGTGATTGATCAACCATGCGTCGACCATATCTGCGCCGCCACTATAAATGATCTGTTTATACAGCTTCTCCGTAAACTTTGGACCGACGATGTAACCCGCTAACCCGCACGCAGCCTGGACTCGATTCATAGAGTACATGTAGATCATTTCATCCTCCACCGGCCACTGCTTCACGAACTGCCCGGTCGGTTCGTCTCTGGTTTTGAGAAAGATCACGTCCGCATTCGCCGGAGCGTTATCGATCACGCTCTGTAATCCTTTTGGAGGAATGTGGAGGCCTGACCACAAGCCGTCGCTTTCGAAAATCACCGTCCACTTGTTTTTCAATTTTTGATGCAACCGCCACATGCGCATGTGGGAAAATAAGCACCCGACGTGATGCGAGATGCCGCGTACCGCTCTCGGTAATAGACCATCGTGCAGTTTCGCTGCCGCTAAGTTGGCGAACCAAGACATGTGGTTCGTCGGGCGGAGCTCTTCGAGGCCTTCCAGCGCCTCCGTCGCGAGCTCAATGGTGTGCGGCCACGCGAGGGCGTTGACTCCGTCTTGAGTTTGCACCAACTTCTTCGCCTGTGCGGCAGCTTCGTGCGTCCGATTGATGTAGTTCGGACTCTCGCTAAACGATCGCACGATCGCCGCCTTTAACGAATCCGCCTTTGCCAAATCGGGTTTGGAGTCCGCCAAGGCGATGACGTACACGGGCGTCTCGAGCTTCCGACGCGTGCGGTTGCCACCGACCGTGAAATAGCGATCGGAAGAAAACGAAGGAAACGAGTTCTCGTACGAGTCTGCCTTCGCCGCTTCCAGGGCCGCGCCCTCGAGTCGCACTTGATCCATCTCCGCGAACGCCAGCGCTGGGGTGTTGACTTGCTCCAGCGGCAGGTTTGGCGTCCACACCGGCAGATGCGCAGGTTTCGCCCCTAACCGAGCCCCTGGATGCACGTGCATCTTCTGCGTGTGCGTCAGCATGTCCACCGTGAGCCCGACGCAGGCGAGACACGCGCCGAGGAGCGTGAACACGCTCAAGGCGAAGAATCTCCTTCGCGCCCAAAGCTCGCGCGAATCCGCTTCAAAGTATTCCGTCGCCGCATCGTCGCTCACGCGCTGTGTCGGTCGCGCGATGAGCGTCTGTCGCTCACCGCCGCGCGCGCTCGCGGTGAGTGACATCGCGCGTTCGGCGACGGCAAGTGCGGCCGTGATCACGCACGCGGGGTGTTACGAGTTCGCGCTCAAGCGCGGCGACGATGACGACGACGACGACGGGCGATTATGCGTGCGTGGCGATCATAAACGAGGTCAAAATAGTAATGAATGAGTTCTCTCATCAACTGCGTTGTTACAAATACATGGCGGTCGCGCGCTCGAGCGCGCCTCACGCGTCCTGCGAGTCCTTCGTCGTGTATCGCCCGAGCGCCGAATTGAAAAAGGCAAAAATACCCTTCACGATGGACTGACGAACCGCGACGACGCCCTTACCGAACTCCCCACCCGGTCCGGCGCTCGTTTCGCGAATAAACAGCGTGTACACCAGGCCGAAACTTCCGTTCACAAGGAGCATCGCCACGAGAAACAACGCCAACGGCGGTTCCTTTTCTACAAACAGATCCAGCATCTCTCCCGCCGTCTTCGACTCCCTAATGACGTCTAAACCAATCTGTTCGTCCTTCAGAACCTCGTCCACCACCGCGCGTTCCTCGCGAACGAGCTCCGCGCGCAGCGACCCGGCGACTTGTCCGATAACCTCTCCCGGCGTCGTCGCCGCGCGCGCCGCATCACCGTGCGCGCTCGTCAGCGCCACCACCACCGCCACCGCGTTCGCCACGAGCGCGCTCGTCGCTTCCCGGCTCGTCGTCTCGCCGTCATCGCGTCCCCAGCCGCGCGTTTCCAACGCATCGCCTCGGGACGCTGTCGACGTCATCTTGTCGCTTTCGCGCGCTCTCGCGACGCGCGCGGACGACGACGCGCGTCGATCGCGCGCGGGTGCGATCGCGCGCGCGCGCATCGCGGCGTGCGCGCGCGCGGGCGCGGCGAACGGCATCGCGGGTGCGGCGAGCGCGTTGGATTATGGGGTGGGCACCCGCGCGGTCTGACTTATTTATCGTCGGGGCTCTGCGGCGGCGACTCGGCGGCGACGAGGATCGCGACGTGCGACGCCCCGCACGCGAGCGCGACGACGCGATTCGACGCTAAATCTACGCGTTCGAAACGCCTGGGTCGAGGCACGACGGCGTCGGCGGCGGCGGCGCCGCATTGCCCTTGGTCGTTCGCGCCCCAGAGATAGACGCCGTCGGCGCAGGCGGCGGCGCAGTGGCGGGCGCCGCACCGGACCATCGAGGGGGCGTTCTCGAGCGCGACGAGTCGCGGCGTGGCGGTGCTGGCGCCGATTTCACAGTCCTCGGTTCCGAGCTGTCCGTCGCGGTTGGTGCCGCAGGCGTAGAGCGACGCGCCGAGGTCGCCGCCGTCGGCGACGAAAATCGTGAAGGCGTCGCCGCACGACGCGTCCGAGATGCGAACGCCGACCGCTGAGAACGAACGCACGGCCGTCGGTGACGGTACGTCATTGGAGCTCACACCGAGTCCGCACTGCCCGTACAAATTCCAACCGAACGTCCAAGCCTCGGCATTTTCGGTGACGAAGACGCCGTGCTTCCCGCCCAACGCGATTCGTCGCACTGCCACGCCGGAGAACACCGACGGCGCGAAAACCTCCGCGCCGTCAGCGTCCAGCACGCGTCCGCGATCGTCTAAAACCATGAATCGCCCATCACCGTCGACGTCCGCGGCGACGACCGCGTCCGCGCCGTCGTACTCGCGCCACGTCTCGGCGTCCCGCTCGCCGTCGACGTAAAAGTGTCCCAGTCCGCGCGAGGTGACCACGAACACCGCGTCCGTCGCGCACGCGCACGCGCGCGCGCGGGCGAAGGCGTCGTTGACGATCGCGCGCCCGGCTGAATCCACGACGCCGACGCCGCCCAGGACGCGCAACGATTTCTCGCGCGGGGAGACGAGGGCGGTGAACGTCCAACCGGCGGCGACGAAGACTGCGTCTTCGCGCGCGTCCAGAGCGCCGTCTGGGGCGTCATCGCCGGCGTAACCGACCGTCAACAGTTGCATGTCGTCGTCGGGGAGCGCTAGCGCGCGCGAAGGACGCGTGGCATCGCGGGCGGGGGAGTGAGGTGCTCGACGCGGCGGCGCCGCGCGTCGGTTGGTTGGACGGATGCGTTGAAATGAAACGAAACTAGAGTGCGGGCGAAGAGTCGGGGCTAACCGACGGTGGGTCCAGGGCGTGCGCGTATAGACCGATGCGACCGTGTAAGGACCACGGTGCGCCGGCGGCGGCGCTCGCCGGGGAGAAAAGATGAAACAGGAGGGATTTCGGCTGACGTTCGGCGAAAGCGCCGCCGAGCTCGTAGTGGAGCGTAGTGCGCGGTTTGGTGGCGGGGATGACGTAGTCCGCGACGTGAACGAGGTCGTCTGTGGGCACGTCGCACACGGCGACGACGCGTAGGACGCACGGGGCGTACGCTCGCGCGAGGTCGGGCACGGCGAGCTTGAAGCCGACGACGACGGATGATGGAACGCCGACATGGAGCGATGCGCCGTTGAGGCTGCACTGCTCGAACGTCGCGCGCATGTACTCGCGTCGAACAGTGTGCATGCCATCGACGATACTTCGCACGTCCGCATCGGCAATTAAATCGGCGACGCGCGTACCAGCTTCCGCGCGCTTCTCCGCCTCGCACGCCTCGGCGGAACATTCGACGAAGAAATTACCACCGGCGTCGTGGTCGAGCGGGGCGAAGAGCTCAGAAGATATCTCTCGTAATCCATCGAGAGCGCTGCTGCATCGTTCATCTTCCGGATCACCCTTGACCGTCATCGGGAAGGTCGCCGAAGCGTTCGCGGCGGCTTGATGCGAACCGAGCGCGTTGGTCACGTGACTGAGCGTGGCTGCGTTTGGTCGAATCATTGGTCCCATGATTGACTCAGTTAAGCTCGACAAACTGAGACTGCGTAGAGAGGAGATCGCGCCACTCGTCGATGTCGACGCACTACTCTTCGTGCGTTCTGATTCGAGTTCTCTCAGATGGGACCGCGCGAGCCAAATTTTCAATCGCTCTGTTGGATCGAAATCGCTCGCGCGACAGCCCCGCGCGACGATGAGCGTATCTCGCGTCGCGACTGCCATGCGTGCGCGCATGCGCACGAGCTCGAGCTCGAGCAAAGTTGCCAACGACGCCTCTCCCGGAACGACGCCATGCATCGCGTCCGCGTAATCCTTCTCCGAATTCGTCGGTGAGGGCGCAGGTTCGTTGGTTTCTAAACTGCGCGGAAGCGGCGGCTTCTGACCCAGTGAAGCTTGCGTCTTCGCACCGTTTGTCAACGCGCGCTGTACGCTTACGAGCTCGAATTGACCGATCGCTAAGAATGTATCCTTTGTCGCTTCATTATCCCCGAGATGATTTCGGATGTGCAACGTTGCCGTGTACGCTCCGTTGTCGTGCGATTCCACAGCGTCTCGATCAAATCTCCAAAAGCCTCCATCCGCGGCTGCAGACGCCTCGCGAATACTGAATGAAAACTGCGTCCCCGCTGGCATGCGAGGGAGGGCAAACGAGTGCTCAACGTTTCGTCCACCTTGTCGCACGACTACGTCGACGTGTGACGGCGCGACGGCTTCTGGCACCCCCACCGGCGATGTCACCAAGAGATATTCTGGTTTTCCCGCCCCAGGCGACACGTTGTACTCAAACGAAACATCGTGCGAACCACGCGGGGTGATCCAAAGTGGCCCTACTGCCGCGGCTATCGAAGCGCCGCACGACGAAAGCATAGTATTCATTAAGTCATCCGCGGCGTCTTCTTTCACGCACGGCGGCAATTTTGCTGGAGATGCGGCGTCAATTCGTGTCACGACGCGACCGGGCGCGTTCGCCATGGATGGAAAGTACTTCTTGTGGTTGAGTCCGAGAAACATTTCAAATTGTTGCTGCTTCGTGCCGTCGGATACCATGTTGTGGAAGCGTCTCTGAATACCAAGCGCCGCGTTGCTCATCGTACTGCTCGCCGAAGTCGGCGTGGATTTATAGCGAATCGCCGCCGCAGTGGCGGGATTCGCGTCCAGCAAATGAATGGTTGCCGTGTGCGACGCCCTCGTAGACGTATACATCTGTGCGTGGAAGTCACCGTTGGCGAGAAAGATCTCAACCATGGCAGTGAGGCACTGCGGCAGCATCGCTGCGCGGAATTCGTCCACCGTGCTCTCCAACCATTTGAACGATTCGGCGCCTTTGTGCGCCTTTTCCGGACTCTTCATGAGTTCGTCCAGCCACTCGGCGCCTCCGGCTTGACAAAGTCGCTGACCGGATGAGTTCAGACGAGAGAGAAGCTTCGACTGCCCCGGGCTTCCCATGTTAGAGTCCGGGCTTTGCGCCTGCGACGGAGATTCAACGGTCTTATTGGGCGATACCGCGATGGGTTCCGAGCGAGTCGTATCCTGCTCTGGCAACGACCAACTTGTCGTCCGCGTGTTGTGATCGATGTAGAAAGTCCTTCCAGTCGTGGTATCTGTGCGAGACTCCCATCCTGGGGGCAGCATCGATCCACTGGACGTTCTCGCGAGCACGCCTTCCGAAAGCGCGCCGCCGCCGTAGGCGAGGCCAGCGTTTGCGTTCGCGTTGAACACACTCAGACCCAACTCCGAACACTGTTCCGTCAGAACTTGAGCTGCGACGAAAAATCCCGCCAGATTCGTTCGGTCTAGTGAATCTGCACAGTTGTATCGCAGTAACCCGCGCTGCCAGGAGCTCACGGTTTTCTCCACGCCGTCTTCGTCCGCCACGGCGCACGTCGATCCCATTGAAATCGAACATTCAATTAGCTGACGACGAAGGGCGGCCCAAAGACCTTCAACAGTCTTCGCCTCACCGAGCGCCTTGCAGTTCGCGTGCCAATCAAAGTTCAAGACCGAAACATCCGCTAAACCAGCGCGCTGGCGCACCCCGCGCACAGCTTCGTGAAAATGCTCTGAGAGCAACATTTCTGGCTTACCCGGCGCGCATCGCAACAGGTTGACGCACGTAATCGGGAACGATTGACGCTCACCATTCGCCGCAGCGACTGCACGCGTACGATACGCGTTCATAACGCGCGCGAAGTAAGTTCCCGTGCCCCGATACGGATTTTCCTTGGCGACCTGGATCTCCGCCTCGCCATACGCCTGCTTGATTTCTTGCGCCCAGCTAATCGGTACGCTGCCTCGTCGCCACACGTACGACGTCCAACTGCACAGTTTCCCATCCTTGGACGACACGCTCCCCCCCCGCGCGTCACCGTTCATCAACCCTGCTTCTGACGCTTCCGGACTATCCGAACGCTGCTGATCGACCTCGCACCACACGAGCTGTTCCATCTCCACCTCGTTCCCCGGCGCGCCGACGTCGTTCAAACCTCGCGCCAAATATCGCGTCCCCGGATGCAAGCTAGACCTCTTGCCGAAAATACAAAGATTGAATAACTTATCATTTGAATCGCGCAGCTCGCGATGCTCGACTAGACCTTGAATCAGCGTCGGGCACGCCCCCGGAATCCCCGTCGCCCGCAGAGGCGCGGCGAGCGACGCGTTCCACACCCACTCCCGATCGGGATTTTGCAATCCAGCTTCGGCGTTCCCGTACGCGAACGGACGAGAAACATCAAACGTTCGACAGTAAAAGTGCGTGCCGTCCACCGAAAACTCACACAACGACTGTAAATTCACGCGTTCGTCCCTGCTCAACCCGGCGCACGCGTTTCGCAGCGAAACGCGCACCCACGCGCTCTCCTTGACTTGCATGACTTCATCTCCGGTCGGCAACACCGCCGCCACGCGCACCGTCTTCGCGATCAACATCGCGGCGACGTCCCCGAACACCCCGTACCCCAACGCCGCGGCCCCTCTCGCGATTTCCTCGACGTATCCTCTCTCGCGAAGCGCCTCGAGCGCGCGCTCCACGTCTTCGAACGCGTCCTCCCCGACCACCCCCTTCCCCGCCATCAGCGTCCCGGTCGCGCCGCACACTCGCACCACGCGCGCACCGACCGCCTTCCCCGTCCTCGCGTCGCCATCGTCGCCGCCGTACGTTCTCAACACCACCGCGCGTTCGCCGCTCGCGCGCGCCGCCACCGCCACGCCGTCGCCCGTCCACCCGTCCCCGCTCGACGTCGACGTCCCGCTCGCGCTCCGCTCGACCCCCGACGGCGCATCGCTCATCGCGCGCGCTCGCCTTTCCCGTCCGCGCGCGTCGTCGTCGTCGTCGTCGTCGTCGTCGTCGTCGTCGTCGCGAATCCCGTTCGCGATGGCTTCGTCCGCCTCGTCCAATCGCGACGACGTTCGCCGCGTCGCGACGCCGCGCCGCGTCGCGCGCGTCGCCGCGACGTCGCGCGTCGCCCGTCCGAGATCGCGCGTCGTCGGATGCCGCGTCGACGCGTCGCGTCGCGCCATCGTTCCATCGCGCCGTCGGTCCATCCATCGGTCCATCCATCGGTCCGTGTCGCGCGCGCGCGCCGCGCGTCGACGACGCGCGCGTCTCGACCGTCTCGGACGCGCGCGGCGATTCGAACGCGCGGCGACAGCTCGCGCGCCGGCCGCGCGCGACGTCGCGACGGCGCGACGACGACGCGATGCGCGATGCGCGACGCGACGCGACGACGCGACGCGCGACGACGCGCGACGACGGCGACGCGCGCGACGGCGACGCGCGACGACGCGCGCGACGCGCGATGCGCGCGTCCGAACGCGTCGAACGGTCGGCGACGAGCGACACGACGACGACGGAGACGACGCGCGACGACGCGGATGCGAGCTCGCCGCGCGCGCGACGGAGCGAGTGGACGACGACGGCGACGACGGCGACGAGAGGACGAGGGTCGTCGTTCGTCGCGACCGCGCTCACGGGGCTGACGATCGAGGACGACGACGGACGACGAGGGATCGCGCGGGGACGGCGCGCGCGAGGCGAGACGAGCGAAGAGACGCGAGGACGAGGAGACGCGAGGACGAGGACGTTTCGGACGTCGAACGAGGACGGAGACGAGGAGACGTTGGAGATTGAGAACGAGACGCTGACGCGACGCGCGGGGGGGGTGGTTCGCGGACGATGGTCGTGCGAAGAGAAGGCGACGGCGGCGACGCGGTGCGCGTTTAAAAGCGACGGCGAGCGGCGCGGGTGGTTTTGGTGCGCGTTGCATCGAGATTCGTTCAGCTTGTTCGGGGAAAACGGGGAGATGCGGAGAATGCCGATCGGATTCGAGGCGTGCGCGCTCGCGGCGACGAGGGAGGGGGTGTTGTTCGTCGCGAGCGACGGCGGCGGCGTGGCGCTCGTCGCGCACGCGTTGGACGAACCGACGCCCGTCGAGGGCTTGAGCGACGGCGTCTTCGTCGCTTGGAGCGATCCACAACGATCGGACGTGTTGTTTTACGCGCATTCGCGACGTGCGCTCGAGCTTTGGACGATCACGCTCGTGCCGGCGCGGAGCGAGACTGAATTCAGCGACGCCGTGCCAGAGTTTGTCAGTCGCGCGGATCTGCGTTGGAGCGAAGGCGTCGGAGATGATTTCGCCGCCGACGCGGCGACGTACAGTTTGGCGCACGACGAAAATGGGCGCGAAATTATTTTAGTGTCCGACAATGCGGCGCAACGCGTGTGCGGGCTGTACGTAGACGCGGATGCGCCGGGAGGACACAGAGCGAGCGGGGCGATTGAGGGGACGTCGGCGATGGGCGTTTCTGGCACGCGTAAGGGCGATGGAATGTTGGACACGCTCGTGGTGTGCGTCGACGGCACGCTCGCGCTTTGCATCGGCACGCACTTGTTGTGCAAACTCGACGCGACGACGCCAGACGGCGAGTCGACAGCTGGCGACGTACAATTTCTATCCGACAGCGTCGGTTCCGGTGTGACCGTGCACACGAGTAGACGAGGCTCGATGCGTGTGCGCGTCCCAGGATCTCTCGCATCGCCGCACGCGCGCGCATTGTTCGCTGTTCTGCGCGAAGTGTGCTCGCAAGACGACTTTTTGGATATTTTGCGGCGCATGTACGCGAGCGAGTGCGTCGGCGCCGATGACGCCGAAGCCGAGTGGGCGTACTTCGTTCAAGTGCTGCAAGCGTGGTGCGAAGTCGCCGTCAAACCGAGAGCTGTACACGAGCTCGACGATTGGGAGTTTTCGCAGCGGTTACTAAAAGTTGGTGTCGATTCCTTGAGTGCCCGAACATCGGACTCGAATGTGAACGCGACGCGGGCGAGCGTCGTTTTGGACGCCGTGCACACGATTTACGAAGCTTCGAAAGTGGATTTGCTGACACGCTGCATGTTAAAACCATTGCGAGAGTTTGCGATGTCGTTGGTCGACGCGATCGGAACGACTAGGGAAGCGTACGCAGATTATTACGCCCGAGATTCTGGCGCAAGTATCGCGCCTTTGAGCGTTGCGGCGGCACCATTGCAGGTGCCAGATCTATTACGCGCCGTCGAAGGAATATTCACGGGGCAGTCAGATTTTCACACACTCGTACCGCCGCTCATACTCGCAGGACTCGAAGAAAACGCGCACGTCGATGCAAACACATTTGGTGGTGACGTCGTCGTGCGTGCTCGACGTGTTGTGAAATTGTGTCACGTGTCCACTCTTGGTGCGACGAACTCTTCGACGTCTGGCGGAGCGCTTGCGTGCGCCATGGTGGACATGGGCTTCACGCTGGAGGATCTCGAGCGCCTACCGCCGGGCCTGTCGCTCCCATTCCACGGAATATTACGCCGTTGCCGCGACTCTCCCGCTAATGGATGGCCAGTTGAGGCGTACAAGCTCATCGGCCGCCAAGACTTGGCGCTGATGCATGGCGACGACGATTTCATTCGCGACGAAAGACAACGGCGGGTATCGCGCGCGCCGGCTGCGACGACGCGAATTCAACCCGATAGCGCATCTGTGTCTGATGGTCTAGAGCATCTTGAAGAATTCGTCGGTCCTCTTCGCTTTCCTAGGGATTATAGAATTCGCGAGCTTCGCTCCATTCTGAGCACCGCTACGCCGGTTCCTATTCAGCTCGACGAAACCGAAGGTGCAGGCGGCGACGCCGAGCAAGGTTCACAACAGCAGTCAAAGTTGTGGTTGCTAGCGGCGAGAACTGCGGCCATGCCTGTCGGTCGAGGAGCGGCTTCTTTGGGCACAGTCATCGCGAAACCAACCGAGGCGCTCCTCGTCCCTACACTTTGCCTCGCCGGATGTTTGCCCACGCAGCAGTACGCTGTGGTCAATCTTGATCTCACCGCCGCAGACGCACCGAAAGATTTCGTGAATTGGCCAGAATTTCACAACGGCGCTGCGGCGGGCTTGGCGCTTCGATCGGACGACGACAGTGGAAAGCTCACTCGAGCGTGGATCGTGTTCAATCGACCCAAACTCCCGACGTTTTCGCACGCGGGTGTTTTAATGGCGTTCGGTTTGAATGGTCATTTATCGAGCTTGACAGCGACTGACTTGTACAGATATCTCGCGCAAGAACACGAAGCGACGACCGTTGGTACGCTACTAGGTGTTGCAGCGTCAAAACTCGGTACGGGTGATTCTGCGACGAGCAGAATGTGCTTTCTGCATCTGCCGACACGCCATCCAATGTCGTTTCCAGAAATCGAGCTCCCGTCGCTCGTGCAATCGTGCGCTCTCTTGTCTGTCGGTTTGCTTTATCAAGGCACAGCGCAGCGCTTGATCGTTGAAACACTACTCAGCGAGTTAGGAAAGTCGCCAGAAGGCGATGTCATCAACGGTCGAGAGTGCTACGCATTGTCTGCTGGCATTGCACTCGGCCTTGTCACGTTGGGACGAGGACACAGCGCGAGCGGGTTGTCAGATTTGCACATAGCCGAGAGATTGCGTCATTTCATCGTTGGTGGTGTCGCACGACATGTACCACCTCCCGGCGGTGTCCCATCTTCATCGGCAGCGCGCAAGTCTACGTCCGGCGCCGCTGGTTGGCAAGAGTCGTACCCTTCGGACGACGCTTGGACAAACTCTACTGGAGGCGTTGTAGAGGACCAGACGGCGTCCGTCGATGGTTATATTCTTGAAGGTTCGATGGTGAACGTCGATTTGTCGGCTCCCGGAGCTATCATGGCGCTCGGTTTGATGTATTTGAAGACGAACGACGCCTCTGTATCGGCTCACCTTGAGATTCCATCGACGCACTACGGCCTTGACGACGCGCGGCCGGATTATGTCATGTTGCGAGTCGTTGCGAAGAGCTTGATCATGTGGGACACGGTAGAGCCAAGTGCAAGTTGGATCGAAGGGCTACTACCGCCGCTGTTGCGAGACGCGATGGATGTCAAATCTCCCGAGGAGCAGGAGGCGCAAAATGATTCCTCATGGCTCGGCGAAGCCGATCGCGAGGCGATCGCGCAGACGTATGTCAACGTTCTCGCGGGTGGTTGCATGTCGATCGGTTTGCGTTTTGCCGGTTCCAGTAATCCTGACGCATCTGCAACGCTTCGACATTATGCGTTCAAGTTTCTTGAGTGGAAAAAGAAAGTGGGCCAGGACGGTGGGGAACCTCTGGTGAACAAGTCGATGCTCGAAACGTGCATAGGCATCGTCGCAATGGCGTTATCGTGCGTGATGGCTGGAACCGGCGATTTACCCACGCTCAGACTTTTGCGGCATCTCCGCTCGCGAATGGAGACGAGCGCATCTGCGAACACTGGTTTGACGTATGGTGCGCACATGGCGATCGGTCTCGCGAATGGCTTCCTATTCCTCGGCGGCGGCGCGCAGACGTTTTCAACCGACGACGCGTCCATAGCTGCGTTGCTGATTTCGATGTTTCCACGGTTTCCATCCGACCCGAACGACAACAGATGGTACTGCCAGGCCTACCGCCACCTTTACGCTCTTGCTGCGAAAGATCGCTTGCTGCACACGATCGACGCTACGACGCTCCAACCGGTATCATCGCCGGTTGAAATTACGACGGTGATCTCGCAAGGGAAAGAGACAACTATGCAGCTTATCACACCGTGCCTGCTGCCCGATCCCGCAGCGCTCGCGAGTATCAAGATCATATCACCCAGGTACTGGTCCATACACCTTGATTTCGCACTCATGCACGCGGACACAAAGGACGCTTTGTACAAGCGCCGAAACATTCCGATTCAAAGGCACACCGCGGCGCTTTCGTACGAAATCGATCGCACGGGAGCGAAGGCGCAACTCGCGACGGCACTACACGCAGCCGGCGCGCGAGCTGCCCTCAAGCCGCCGTCTGCGGAGGCGAGTATAGATCACAACACCGCACCCGTTGCGAATGCGACGGCGGCACGAGCAGGAAGAGATGCTGTGGACGTTTTCACCAGCGACGCGGTGCTGCTCGCGTTCGCGCGACACATGGGTGATGGTGCGAGCGATCGGGCTGGATTCACAGCCGCGGCGTTACGAGAGTGCATGCATAGGGAAGTTCCCGACGCTCTACGAACATACGTCGATATGTACGCATCGTGTGAGGCGCTCATTCACTCCACGGAAAACAGTGAAGCACGAGCAAATGCGGCGGCGCTCGCGGTGAACGACTTGCGCCTGTTGAGTGCGTTCAGTGAATTATTGAAAAGATCCGGACTTGATGAGCACGACGTCGAAACCACGTTTCCCATGCCGACATTACTAGTATCGTCCTTCAAACAGACGATTTCGCTTGTCCTTGATTCCAGATACGGCGACCAAACGGTTGGCTGCGCTCTCGCCAAGTACCTACGCGGCGAAGGGTACGACGCGTCGATTGATACTTACGGTAGGTTTGGGTGTTATTTGCGTCTGTTAGACGTCCCCACACCTCGAGTTCTTCGTTCGGCGATAGAGACGGGCATGAATCGACTGGGCGCGAGCGATTTGTCTGTCGCTTCGTTGAGAGCGTGTTTGCCGGATGCAGACCCGTCCACCGTTCTTCGAATCATCGAAACGTGCCTCCCTTGAGATTAGTTTAGCATTGATATTAGATTGATTACACACAAGCACAACAAGTAAATCCCTAATAGACTTGCCATCACTGGGGAGCCTCGTCTTCGCTCGCGGGCGCGCTCTTCGCAACGACGCCGCACTTCATGAATTGGACTTTCCTGAAAGGCTTTCGGAACGCTTGTTCCGCGACGAGCGCTCGCTTATCCCCTATCGACTTCGCCACCGCAAAGAATGGCGAGCTCGTGTTATCTTTCACCGTCGGAAGCTGACTGATCTCCTCCAAAACCTCGTCTCCGCTCACGACTCGACCGACGACGACGTTCGTCGCGTCCAATTCCGGCGCCGCTCTCAACGTAATCGTAAACCCCGTCCCGTTCGGCGGCGGTGGCGGCGGATCGTACACCGTCTCAAATTTCCCTCGCACACTCACCAACCGCGCCTTGGGTTCGGGCTCTGGCTCCGATGGATCTCTCCGCACGATCAAACTCACCAACCCGCGTTCGTCGTGCGATCTCTTGCCCAAATCCGGCAGCAGACGCTCCGCGGACGGCCCTCCCACGACGTCCACGCTCGCGTCCGAGCCCGGCGTCACGAACTTTTCCACGCCATTATTCTTCAAATAAATCTCCACCGCATCGTCACCGTCGCCGGAGACTTCGATGTTATCGACCGTCGTTCGCCGATAAGACAAGCCGCCGACGCCTCGCGCGAGCTCGACGAATCGCCGACCGCTGAGCGTTCCCTCGTCCACCGCCACGACGATGCGTCCGAGCGGTTGGCCCTCGACCGCGATGTCGAAAAAGCACTCGGTGAAGTCCTCCGCGCGCGCGCGGCGCGGGGCGACGAGGAAGGGCGCGAGCGCGAGCGCGGTCGACACCGTTCGGCGGTGCACTCGCGCGGCGGCATCGGCGTCGTCGCGCGACGATGGAAGCCCGCGCGGCGCGGTGCGGCGGCGGTCGCTGGCGCGCGCGTGGACGCGCGCGCGATTCGGCGCGAGCCGCGCGAGCGCGGTGGACATGCGCGCGAGTGTGCGGTGCGGTCTTCGACATCAGATATTTTGGACGTCTTCGCAAATCGTTTGGTTCGTCGGTCGCTCGAAAATCGTTGATACAAGACGCGCGCGGTAAAGCTAAATAGTCGAAGTAAGCGATCGACTACGTGAGCATTCTCGGTTCTTCGGGTTCTTCGACGACGGGCGCCGCCGGGGCCGCGACTCGGTCTTCGCCGTCGTCTTCGCCGTCGTCGCCTTCGTCGTCGCTGGCGGGGAGGAAAAACGCTTCAAAATTGATGGAGGAATTCCCACCCGGTGCGCACGAAACCCCGCCGCGCGATCGTCGAGCTTGTGGCAGCGTGTCATCAAAGATGTTCCCACCCTGAAGCTGCGCCACGCCCGCTTGACGATGCGACGTGAGCGGGCGACGTTCGGGCAACGTTTGATCGAAGACGTTGTTTCCGCGCTGCTCGGCGAGTTTCGCCGCGCTGATCCGTTGCTTGGGTAACTCTGGACACGCGAATATATCACTTCCATTCATCGCCGCGACAGCCGCATCACGCGCCTGGCTGCCCGGCGATTGCCCGTTTCCCGAACGGCCGTCGCGCGCCTTCGGCGGCGACTCGCCGCCGAAAATAAACGAAGATCCCCCGCCCGGTTCACGAAGCACTCTCGAAGTCTTGCGACCCGTCAAAAAGTTGCCCACATTCTGCCCTCCGGAGCGTCCGTAATTATTATCCATCGTCGACACCCCACCCGCCGCTTTCACCGTCGTCGTGGCTTCGCATTCGCCTCGATCGATCGCCTCGCACACCCGTTCAATCAACGTATCCCTCGACCCCGCCGGCGACAGTCCGTTCTGTCGGCACAGCGTTCTCAAATCCGCCAGCATCATCGCCTTCACGTCGTCCTTCGTCGCCTTTTTCGTCGTTCGTTCGCTTCGCGTCGTCGTCTCTTCGTCTTCGTCTTCGCCGCCGAAGATCGTCTTCGCCGCGCCCTTGAATTCGCGCATCTTCGCCGCGCTCGCCTGCCGCCACGTCGCCGGCCGTTCGTTCGCGCTGACCAATCCCTCACCGTCCGCGCCGAACGAGATGCTCGAGCGTCCTCCCGGCGGCGCGTGCGTGCGCGTCGTCGGTCGATCCGTGAGGACGTTGCCACTGTTTTGGTTCGCGCCGCTCGCGAACGCGTTCGAGGACGTCATCGCGCGCGCCGCGGCGCCGATCCGCGACGCGCGTCGGTCGCGTCGGTCGCGCGCGGGCGTCGGCGCCGCGCGCTCGGCGTCGCGGAGTGTCGCGCGCGCGCGATCGCGCGCGATTGCCGACCAGACGGGTATATACACTAGGGTTTGGTACATAGCGGTACCAGACGACACAATACGGTAACGACTTCATTCCGCAACGCGCGCGCGCGTCGCGCGCGACGCGCGCGGTCGCCGCGCGCGCGGTCGCGCGACGCGGCGCGACGCGCGGTCGACCCTCGTCGACGCGCCTCGCGCTCGATCGCGCGCGAGCGTCGCGCGCGCGACGAGGAGGCGCGTTTTTCTCGCCGCCCGACGAGACCGCGCCGTCATGACGAACGACGACGGCGACGGCGACGACGACGACGACGCGCCCGAGGACGTCATCGAGGAGTACGACGGCGAGACGAACGACGCGGGACGCCCGCACGGGGAGGGATACGCGTGGTACGCCGACGGCACGGAATACGTGGGAGGATTCGTGGACGGCGCGCGGAGCGGCTACGGAAGGCTGTGGCTCGCGAGGGACGAAGACGAAGATTACGACGAAGACGACGATGTTCCGAACGCGTTTTACCTCGGGGAATGGAAGGACGATCGACCGCACGGTAGGGGCATACAGGTGTCGCGCGACAAAACCTGGTTGCAGGGAAATTTTGAGAGCGGGGAGTTGCGAGGGGAGGCGTATTTGTCGACGCAGGTTTCCATTGGGGACCCTCGGTACATGGGCGAGTTCGGCGACGACGGCGCGTTCGGGGGCGTGGGGACGATGTACAACCGGTGCGGCGGGCGACTGACGGCGAATTGGAAGGAAGGTGACATCGCCGCCGGGTTAGCGGTGTGGGAAGGTGACAGCGCGCGCAGGCGCGAGTCGACGGCGGTGGTGGCGTGGACGCGAGAGAGTTTCGGAGACGCCGAACGAACGGGAAAGTGGACAGATTTGGTCGCGCGAGGCGCGGTGGTGGTGCGTTTTGTAAATGTGGATACGTCTTATGAAGCGGGTTGCCGTCATAGACCCGAGGTGCGCGAATTTCTACGCGCTTTGAATGCCGTCGACGCTCGTCCTGGTTCGAGCGTACGAGCGGCCATCGAAGCCAGCGCGGTGGCGAGGAAGGCCGTCGAATTCGACTACGAAGCAGACGTTGCGACGACAGACTTATTGGCGAGCCTTACGTTGGCGCGCTATGTCGAGAGCTTGCGTGTGCGTGTGAGCCGAACGGCCCCGCTCGAAGTGCGTGCGACAGAAGACATGCATCGGCACGCCGTCGTCGCTTTTTATTCTGGCACCGTCGGTGAAGTCCGCGGCGTTTCTGCGAGCGACGCAGAGCGTCTCGCGAGCGATGCCATCATGCTTCGCGAGGAGGACGATGAGGACACTCAAGAGATCGTGGCCGAGTACGATAAAGATCGGAGTAGTATCGCATACGCGCAGTCTCACGGCGTGCGCGTGATCCATCTCGACGTCGGCGCGGACGCGCTCTGCGCGAATTTTGTTCGCGTGGAGACGAAACACGAAACGAATTGCGAGCGCATGTTCTTCGAAAACCATCCCATCTTTGGCGATGCGGTGTTTCTTAGAACTAAAAGGTGTATAGCGAAGGACGAGGAGTTGACGGTCGCGCCAGACTACTTTTTCGGTTGGTGCTTAGACCCGTTGAGTGAGGCGGGCTATTACGAAAGCATGCGTTGTCATCCACCAGAGGTGATATTTGAGAGAGACAACGACGTCCTCGAACTCGGTCGCGTGACGGTGAAGCGACACGGCCGATGGCGAGCGCTATACCTTGGGAATGTTGAGCAAGGATTGTCGTACGCGCCCACCGACGATGCGCCGCCGTCGCACGAAGTTCTCGGGTTTCAATACATCCGAGCGATGGCGATCGCCACCGTTGACCGCATCCGCGCCGAGAGACACGCCACGAAGTCGACGTCGATCGTCGCCGTCGGTCTCGGCACTGGTGCGCTACCACTGTATCTGGCGAACGCACCCGACTTGAACGTCGACGTGGTCACCGTCGAATGCAGCCAAGCGGTCATCGACGCGTGCGCGGCTATCCACGTGCCTATGCGCATAATCGATCGCGAAGGAAAATCCTCCGGAATCCCCGCCGCGAAGAAACGACGACGTTCGCGTTCGGAGCCGTCGCCGATTCGCGTCCACCGCGCAGACGCCTTGGACTATTTCCAGCGATGCATCGCAAAAAATATCACAGACAATCGTGTGGCGTCCGTGGACGTCGTCTTGTTGGACGCGTACGACGGCGACGGCAAAATCCCCGAGCGCGTTCGAGACGACTTCTTCATTCGATCCGTCGCGAGCTCGTTATCGCCCGTCGGCTTTTGCGTGTGCAACTGTTGGGACGGCCCCATAGGTTCGGAGGCCTACCACGAACTCCACATGTTCTCCAATCTTTTGGATCGTCACTTTTCGCTCATCGAGCGCGTGAGCGTGGTGGGTCAAGAGTACAACGTCATTTTAATAGCGTCGCGCGCTCGGGCTCCCGGTGAGCGTTTGCGTTTGTGACGAGCGCCATCCACCCAGCCGACTTCATTCATTCGCGCGTCCGCCCGCGCGTCGTCGTCGACGATACGCGTTCTCGCGCGCGCCCTCGCGCGCCCCGCGCTCGCGCGCGCGCCTCGCGCGCGTCGTCGCGCCATGGACGCCTTCGTCACGCGTCGCGTCGTCGCCAAGGCGTCGACGACGAACGACGACGACGACGCGCGCAAGCGGCGCAGAGTCGCGCCGACGAACGACGGGTGGCGCACGTTCGATGACTCCCTGCTCGCGCGCCTGGACGCGGCGTGCGAACCGCGGGCGAAGATCGCGGCGTTCGATCTGGACGACACGCTGCAAAAGACGAAGAGCGGCGCGAAGGCGTTCGCGGCGCGCGCGGATGACTTTACGACGCTGAACGAACACGTCCCGCGCGTGCTCCGGGCGTTGCACGACGATGGGTATAAAATTTGTATATTTAGTAATCAAGGGGGGGTGAAAGGGGCGTTGGATGGGAAAAGGGCGACGAGCGTGCGGGCGCGGTTGGCGCTGCTGGCGACGACGCTGGAGACGCCGTTTCAGTTTTACGGCGCGACGCAGATGCGGGAGAACGACGTGAAAAAGTACCGTAAGGGTGAGATTGGGATGTGGCGAAAGATGGTGGCCGAGCATAACGGTGGCGTCGCGCCGGATTTGAAGGCGAGCTTCTTCGTCGGCGACGCCGCGGGACGCGCGCAGGATCACAGCGCCGTGGACAAGGAGTTTGCGGAAAACGTAGGGGTGCGTTTTTTCGTTCCGGAACAGATGTTCGTCGAGGGTGAGGCGTGGAAATGAAGCGATTAGTACGATGATGATGCGATGCATCGCGCGCGCGCGCGTGCAGGCGCTGCTCAAGGAAGGAAAATTGATTTGTTATTGACGAAGCGCGAAACGTTTACTCGCCGTCGCCGCCGTCGCCGTCGCCGCGACCGCGTCCTCTACCTCCGCGACCTCCGCGACCGCGACCGCGACCCCGACCGCGACCACCATACGGCGAGTACGGCATCATCATCATCATCATCGGCCCGCGTCCACCGAATCTACCGCGTCCTCGCCCACCGCGTCCGCCGCGACCTCCGGCTTTCATACCGGGCACGTTGGTCCGCTTCGCCGAAACCTTGATCTTTCGCCCACGAATTTCAGTGCCGTCCAGCAAGATGGCGTTATGCACCGCGTCGGGTTCGAGAAACTCCACGTACGCGAAACCCTTGGGGTTATCAAACTTGTCGTGTAAGATTGTGACGCGATTCACCGTCCCCGCGCTCGCGAACGCGTTCGCCAAATCCTCCGGCGTCGACGCGTAATCAACCTGTCCGACGTACACCGACCGCGCATCCGCCTCTTGCTTTTTCGCCGCCTCCTCTTCGGGATTCTTCCCAGCCTCTTCCGCCGCCATGGCGTCGTCAACCTTTTCGTGTTCGCCCTTCAGCTTCTCCGCCTCGTCCTCCATCTCTTTGAGTCTTCGCTGCATGGCGGCGATTTCGGGGTCTTCATCGCCCCCGGCGCCCTGTTCGCGACGTTAAGCGATGGCGCGCGTCGGCGTCAGTCGGTCGTTCGTTTTGCGCCGCGCGGAGCGCGTCGCACGCCGCGCGCGCGCGTGATTTCGACGCGGAATCGAGATCGAGCGAATGGTCGAATGCGAATCGCGATTCTCTCGCGCGCGTCCCGCGAGCGCGTCGCCGCGCCGTCGCGCACCTCGACGTCCATCTCATCGGCTTGTTTCTTCGACACGCGCGGCATGTTGACTCGTCAAACCGAGGCGCGGCGTCTCAAAGTGTGGTGGGTACGAATCAATCGAATTGCATCGTCGGCGCGTTAGAGCGTTTGCGCTCGCGAAGGAAGGCGAGAAAACTGATGAAACGTACCCATTACGTTGGAACTTACGGTAAACGATATTACAAAAATGCGATTGATACTGCGCTACACGAGACGCCGGAACGCGAATTTCAGACTGGTGGCGCACGTCGAGGACGTCTTCGTCAACCGGATTTGGAAAAACATGTCCATGTTGGCTGTTCTCCCCGTTCGAATTGTTCGTAGCTCGAAAAAGTTGCCGCTGCTCGCGTGACCAGCTTGATGGAGACGAACAACGTTTGCGCTATTGTCGTTTGTTTGTCCGTCGTACCAGGAGATGATGCCGGTCGCAAGTTCGGACCAGAGCCCGCCGCCGCACGAGTCGTTTGTGGTCGTGGGCAGAATTTGTACAACAAAGCTCCCGCCAGAATCGTCCGCCATGTCCAAAGCGTGATTGAAACCCCAGATATTTTGCCAGGACGTGGTAAGTGTGAGATCTACCTCGAGCAGTTTCACTCTGTCGACGGCTGTTCCGATAATGTTTGCCGGAATATGCATGCTCGACGACGCCTGCGCGGGAAACACGCGACGGAACCAGATGTGAAACGTCTGCCGTGAGTCAAGATCTTCGTTCGTGAGGAGCTGCAATCTGAGGTTCGTGCCAGCTGTGCGCCACGATCGCTTCGTTCGAAGCTTTATATACTTGTTATTTTGGCCGTGGCCCGATGCATGTAGTTGGATCTCGTTGGCGTCATCCGAGTTCGTTCCAGAACCGTACCAAGACATCAAACCGACGTAAGACACGTGCCACAAATTTCCGCCGTTCCCGTGAGTGGATACGTGCGCGATCTGAACGAAATAAGAGCCCGTGGACAGATGATCACCGTGTATACCCGTGTCCACCCACTCGTTGGGGACGGTTGATACGCTGACCGGAAAATGCGACAAATCGTCCATTTCGTTCTTCGGAGGAATGCCGCCGCTTGGATGTGTCCTCTGAGGATTGGGCATAACGCGGCGGAACTTAAAAATGTACTGAGCGATATTTTTTGTCGTCCCTCCATCCACCTTCGCTTGTAATCGCAAAAGACCTTGGTCTGATCTCAAACTTTCGAGCGTTCGAAGACGGACTCGTTGACCATTTGACGCGTGTCCGGATGCGTGAAGCTCTATTTCACTCACTTGATTGCCGTTCGTATTTTGAGCGTACCAACTCATCAAACCCGTATAAAATTCGATCCAGTTGCCACCGCCATTCGAGTGTGTGTTGACGTTGTAAATCTCTACGACATATGAACCATGTACGAGGTCGATACCGATCACGCCGGTATCGACCCAATCATTCTTCAAGTGGAACGTCGCCGTACGAGAGAAGATGTCGCCAACGGGATCTTTCCGGTCGCTGTTGAGTCCAGAAAATGATAACTTAAACTCTTGCACCAAGCTCTGAGAGGCCGATGGAACAGAAATCGGCTCCGGCGTTGTGAACTGGCACGCTGGACTGCACGACGGCTTGGTTGTACTTTGAGGCGCTGAGCAGGCGTGGAAGAGCTCTTTCTCGAGAAAGTACCCGTCGCTGCTATATGCCTCGCCGATAAGTGGTTCAAAGTCGAAGAGAGTTATCACTGGATCCATCCCTAGGGGCGGCTCATTTTCAGTCGGAAGCGGTTTGAGAACGACCGTGGCTCCGACGACCGTCTTCGGGATCTGCACGTACGCGCCTGCGCCCAGTGCGCTGCGTTGACACTGATTCTTCGTGTTTGACGCGTAATCCCAGTTTGTCCACATCGCGGTAAGCGATTCGGGCCCTGCGTGACAAGTTGCGCCTGATTGTTCGATCTGGAAAAACGCGTCGAAACCAGTGTAGACGTCTTGTTGCGCTGCAATTTCAGGCCCCGCGCAAACGACACCAGCGCAAAGTGCCACCCACGCATGGTCAAGTGACGCCACAGCGCCGACTTGCAAGCCAGCAATACCTCGCGCATCAAGAGAGCTGGTTGACGACACCCGAGGCTCGCCGAATCTGACAAAATTCTGCCCTTGTCCGGCCCCGAACGAAACCGTGATTGGAAATTCAACGTCCACTTGGAAATCGTAAGTTCCTGCGACTTCGGCTCGAAAGTAGTAGGGAAGACGAAAGTCTGCTTCGTAGTCCATGGCGATGAACAAACCAGGAGCGATTGCAGTAACTTTAGTTCCAGTGAGAGCGTCGTCACGCTCGAAAAACTCGCTAAGTAGTTCTCCTTCACGAAACGAAAGCTGGGCTACCTCGATGCCGAGGGAGAAACTGTACTTGAGCGTGGTCGAAGCTTGGATTCTCACATCCTTCATGTCGTTTAACGCCGCGATGAGATCGGTGCGGAAATCGTTGAAAACTTCTTCAAACGTATCGCCACCCAGCGCAGCCTCGCCGCGCGCTCGCGCGGATGCCACACCCAGTTGGCTCGTCATCTTTGATTTGAATCCGTCGCCAGAGTTGAAAATATCGTGCAGAACGATGAGCTCTTCATAGAAGACGCGTTCCTTCGAAGATAAATCTTGCTTGAGCTCGGTCAAAAGGGCGTGCTGATCGTCGCTGAGAAGTTTTCTTCCAGTAATTTGCTCACCAAAATTTTCAATCTGCTGAACGACTCCCTTGACACCGGAGGCTTCGTATACGGCGTCGAACATAGCATCAAACATTCCCAAGAACGCTTGAATCACCTTCACAGCGACGCTAGGCGGGATGTCAAACTTGTCGAGCGTTTGACACAGCGCAATCGTGAATTTGGGGGTACGGATATTCAAATTGTTCGGCGAGTACGGATTATCGGACGCGAACTTGTCCGGCCACGGCATGGGAGGGGATGGACTTTCAACGTCCGACCAAAGTTGTGTCGGAATCTCGTGACAAAATCCAAACACACGTCCGAGCGCGGCGGTGTCAGAATGTATTTCCTCAACTCTCGAGTTTTCGATGAGCTCCTCGCCGGCAAACGCTCTGCGTAAGTTTTCTCGAAGATGCGCGAGGAACGCGGCCCGGTCAGCGCCGTCTTTTCCCCGCGCAGAGCCGAGAGTGGCGGCTGAAGATCCACCCATGACGTCGTCGAGAGCCCCTTGAATCATGCTCAAGAGTGAGTCTGCGCTCAGGTTCAACCAAGGATCCCACACCATCCCGAGCAGCCCCTTCAGTTTGTCCGGCAAGCCTCGGGCGATGTCCGGCAGCGCGAGCACCGCGTCGACGACGTCATCGAGCGCGTCGCAAACCTTGGAGTTCGAACCGATCAACTCGCACGCCGCCGTCTTCACCGTTTCGATCGACGCCGTCGGGCTCGACAGCGCGTCGACGACCCCCTTCACGCCGCAGTACGAATATCCATCGATCGCCGGCAGGTTGATGGGCACGTCAATATTCGCGTTCGGCATATCCACGTTCACCGAGTTTCCTCCGACACTCACGCACTTCTTCATCACGCACTTCTTCACCTTCGGCAGTTGCACTCTAACCTGCGAGCCGTACACGTCGTGCAGCGACGTCTTGAACATCACCTCCGACTCCGGGCACGAGATCGCCGGCAGGTTGAACGCGCCCAGCGTCGCCGCGTCCGCGCGCGCGCGCGTCGCCGGCGCCGTCGCGAGGAACAGCGGCGAGAGGTCACCGCGTCCGCCGCGCGCGAGGCATCCGACGAGGCATCCCGCGGCGAAGGCGAGCGCGACGCCGCGCGTGACGCGTCGACCGGCGCCGCGCGCGAGGAGGGCGTCGGACGCGTCGTCGATTTCCGCGTCGTCGCCGACGGGCGCGGCGCCGTACGACGCGCGCATGGACGCGCGCGATTATGCCACGCACGCGCGCCACGCATGCGCGCCACTCATGCGCGCGGCGCGACGCCTGCCCGCCCGCGCCCGCGTCGCGACCGCGTCGGCGTCGGCGTCAACGTCGTCGACGCCGCGCGCGCGCCGCGCGATGGACGTCCTGCAGTTCCCCGCGCTCGGCGACAATTACGGATTCGCGGTGCGGTGTCGGAAAACGAAAACCGTCGCGCTCGTCGACGCGCCGGACGAGGGCGCGATCGCGCGCGCGCTGTCGAGCGCGGGATGGGAATCGCCGTCGATGATTCTGAACACGCATCATCACCGGGACCACGTCGGGGCGAACGGGGGGGTGCGGGCGCGGTTTCCGGACGCGCGCGTCGTCGTCGTGGCGCCGCGCCGCGAGGCGGAGAAAATCGGAGACGTCGACGTCGCGGTGGAGGAGGGGGACGTGGTGGAGATCGGTGACGTCAGGGCGACGGTGCGAGAGACGCCGGGACACACGCTGGGACACGTGGTGTATCACTTTGAGGAGGAGAAGAAGGTCTTCGTGGGGGACACGATGTTCGCGCTGGGATGCGGGAGGTTGTTCGAGGGGACGCCGGCGATGATGTGGGCGTCGATGCAGAAGCTATTGGCGATGTCGGACGATACGCAGGTTTACTGCGCACACGAATACACGCAGAGCAACGCGAAGTTTGCGCTGAGCGTCGATCCGACGAACGAAGCGCTGCGCGCTCGCGCTCGGGAAATCGACGCGCTCCGGGCGAAAGGGGAGCCGACGGTACCGACGACGATTGGATTGGAGCGTCTGACGAATCCGTTTTGCCGACCGGATAGCGCCGGCGTGCAAAACGGTGTGAACATGCTAGGCTCGAGCGATCTCGCCGCCGTGTTCGGGGCGGTGCGTAGCGCAAAGGACAACTTCTGATTACGAATCTCGAGTACATTTCTCTATTTGTAAAACGCGCTTTGTTCCTGAATTTGCGCCGACGACGACAACTTTTTCGAGAGCTCCGAAATCGCGTCAGGTTGTAAAAGCCCTGCCTGGACGAGCGCGTGTTCGACTTGCGCGATGAGCGGCGCATCTTGGCCGCACACGTCAAGCAACAGCGTTCTTCGCGGCGGGATATCAATATCTTGACCGCGTTTGCCGTACACGAAGCCGTTACCGAACGGCGTTTTGTGCGCACCGACGGACGCACACGCAAACGAAGGACGACGTTTAATCGTCAGCGGCGTGTGAATCAAGGCTCTGAGGACGACGGACGTGTTGGGTCGGTGCAAGATTCGACGCAACGTCGACACTGCAGTCTCAGCGCCGGCTCCGGGTGACAGAATGACGTGTGCAAGCGCATGAATCGCCAAAGCAGCTGTAATTGGTGGTGACTCCCGTCCTGGCGTGGGATAGTCGTCCCCGGCCCAACCGCTGAGCGCTTTGTCGAGGGCGCCCGATTCGATGCTCTTGATGTAAATTTCGCGCATCGTCGGATCCGGTTCACCGCCGGGAGGAAAGAATACGTACGCCGCCGCCGGCGGTACCATGGCTTTCGCGCTCGGTAAAAGATGAAGCGCGACACCATCGCTAAGCGCAATCCATGCCGCGGCGCGAGCCTTTGGGGAGACGCGCACTCGGAGCCACATTGCAACGTGTCTCGCAAAGAGCGCGTCGCCGAAGCTTTCGCTGGCGAACGCATTTACCATAGCCGCAGCGGCAGCCGCATCTCCGGTACCTTGAGCTTGTTGAAGAGGGTCGTTCAGTCCGCCTTCGCCAGCTGAGAATGATCCCAGATCCATGCTGTACCCTCGAACGCCTTGATGATACGCCTGAATGTAATTCTTTACCATGCGACGCCAATACAAATCGGTGAGAAGGCCGAGCGGCGCGGACACCGCGGGGTCTCTCCAAACGTTCGGTCCCATCGTATAAATCGCACCGATAGCGCTCATCTTCAACGCAGGGCGTATTGCGCGAACTCGCGGTACCTTTCCAAGTTCCATTCCCATTAAGAGCGACAAGGTGCACGCGATACCTGCCGTTCCCCAGCCTTGAATCGTCGTTCGTGGCGAACACGGCGCCAAGTACCACAGCGGGTGTCCCGGAAGCAAAGAACCCACGGCGACGCACGGACCAGGCGTTGATATCGACTTCGCCTCTGACGACGTCGTCAACTCCATAGCGAACCCTCCGAGCAACGCTTCCCTGACGATTTCGGCTGTAGGCACGAGGCTTACGGATGCTGCGACGAGGTTGACGCCTGTTTCACGAATCGCAAGCCTACCCCTTTCCTCCTCGTTCGAATCTTGTATCACGGACACGGCGTCGCCGAGAGCGTTCTTCGTCAGAGAAAGCAGCGGTTCAAGAACTCGCGTCGAGTAAATACCTGAACTGATGGCTTGGGATGCCGCGACACCAGCGCCCGGAGGTAACATGGAGATGAGACCCAACGTCGCATCCACCGTCGCCGCCGCGTCTTCTTGCAAATCACGCTTCATTCGTCGAGGTGGGCTTCCCAGAGGTGATCTTCCTATCGACGGCGCCGCATCACTTGTAAATGCTTTGTCTAAGATCTCCATAGCGATGATAAGCGCTCGCTGCAATGCCAACTTTGACGTCGCGACTATGGGATGCTCACCCATCCAAACAGTGGGATCGTCGTCTGAAGAAAAGTCGCCCGTGGGGAGTCCTCCATCGCTCACTCGCTGATCTATGGAGCCGCGCGATAAACGCGAAGGACAATCCATGCTCCCTCTTGCGGAAGCGAAGCTCGTTCTTGACGAAGAAACTCCACGACGCTTACCACCAAACTTGCGAATGATTTGCGACGCCAACGTCGTGACGGAGGACTGATTCCAGACATCCGGAGAGACGATTGTGAGAAGTAAAATCGTTTGTAGCACTGATCCCCATGCCGATAACTCGATGTTTCTTTTACTAAATACGGATGTGCTGGAACATGCGTAAACGAGCGAATCCAAAGCCGACAGTGCAGCGCCGAGAATACCGTCGACGGACATTGCGCCGAAAGAGTCATTTGGCGAACCCAAAACTCGTGATAACATCGGTTGAGCGTCGTTCGGGGAGCGAACAACGAGCGCGGCAAGGAATCTACCAGCGTTTACGACGGTATACAGTGCAAACGTGTCGTAGTCCCCGGAAGCGATCCAAGACTCTGCGCACTTGGCCGCCATCGTGGCGCAACGCCAAGACAATGTCTTGTCTGTGTCGATGATTTCAAGCTCAGCCGGCGGCCCGGCGTCTTCAGCAGCGCCTTCAAGTGGGAGTGACTTCGACAACGTCGTGAGTAGTGCGAAAATATCCATCGCGAGCGATTCTTCGGCGTCGTTGTTAGTCTCCATCCACGGCGCAATCAACGGGTGAATAGCATCAAACGCCGGGGTATCTAGTCCCCACGCCGAGATACCAGCCCATAATCGAAGCGTCTCACGCCAGAGCATCGCGGCGTATCCGCGAGGTCGCGGCCTTTGCTCGTTTTCCACGCCGATGCTAACACCACCGAACGTGACAGCCGCTTGGATCGCGCTCTTGAGCACGCCTTCCTTCACCAACTCCTTCGCCACGTCGGCATCAGTTTGTGAAATCAATCGTAGCACACAAACCGCATGCGCGATGCCGACAGTTGCTGGTTCCGTGGGAGAGCCACGGCTCCCACCGCCACACGAATCTTTCACTCGCGCGATCACAATTGAAACAAGACGCGGACACTTCGCCACCGCGTTGGCCGCAGCCTTGCTATGGCGCGTGAAAGCCTCGAGCAATTCGTGCGTGAACACCTCTGCCTGGGGAGTGCGCTCAACTTCGAGCAAATAACGAAGCCGTTGCAAGATTCCCATGCGTAACAACGCCGCGATCGGATCTGCGGCTTGTTCGGTCGCTTGTCTTCTTTCCATCATTTGTTTGTTCAGTCCTTCTTCGACTTGATCTGGTTCGTCCGCAAGCTCGACGGTGGAATCTTCAGCGAGTCGAATTTCCTCAACCGCATGCTCCCACGCAATTGGTTCAAATCCTGAACCGCCGCACGGCGCGTTTTCGGGCTCGGACCTCCATAGAGGTGATGTATAGGAAAGGTCACTCGGATCGCACGGCGCGCTGCTCTCCAGCATGTCGACGAGCCGAACCTCCAAACCATCAACGCCGCCCACGCCGATGCCTCCGCACAGCGAACGAATCGCCGACAGAGCAGCCACCGTCGCTTGGGTTTGGGTGTCATCCAGCGCACGCCGAAGCAACGTGATTACAGCGCAATCAACGGTGGCGTACACCCAAACACTGGCCCACGTCACGCCGTTCGGCAGACGAGGCGCGACGTCCGACTCGCCCATCGCGTCTTCGTCGGCGTCGTATGGCAATGGATCCACGGATTCGAAACTCCAGCGCCGCGCGAGCTTCAAAATCTTACCGATGATTTGTAAACCGATGGTACGTTGACTCGCAACGCTACTTCGCGTGAGCGCGCACGCTTCTTGGAACGTGTAACCGATATCGCTACCCTCGCCCGCGCGCAACGGATCGCGCTCCGTTGGTAACGGCGCGGGCGCGGAACCCGTCGCGACGTCGACGGTCGCATCCAAAAGCGGCGACCCGTCGAGCGCGAAACGCACGTGCTCAACGCCAACTGTAGTTACTTTCTTCGTCCGAGCTGAGGCCTCGGTGGCAACATCGCTGCGATCCCGAGCGCGTTTCGGCGCCGGCGCTGTCGGCGCTGACGGCGACGCACCGACCCGTGCTTTATTCGCCCCACGATTCCGCAAAAACTCCAACGTCTTCGGATTCAGCCTCCCAGCCAATTCTTCTTGTGCCTCTTTCACCGCCGCCGGCGACATCGCCGCCAAGATGTGATCGTTCTCCTCCTGTATGCTCGCGTCCTCCTTCTCCGGGTCCACGCGCGGGAGCCTCACCGGCGCTTTTTCCGCCTCCCGCGCCTTCCCTTCGCCCGCATCGTCGCCATCACTCTTTCCTTTATCTCGCATCGCCGCCTTACGCGCCGCGTACCTCGACTTACGCCCGAAATTCGTCTCGCTTCGATGCTTCGCCTCTGGAAACCCAGTCGCCGCGCTCGCCGCGCGTCTCGCCGCCGTCGTCGCCGCGTCAATCCCGCCGCTCGCGCTCGTCTCGCGCTCGACGACGTCCCCCATGACATCCATCATCGTCGACCGCGCTCGCGGGGCGTCCTCGTCGTCGTCCGCGTCCTCGCGCGCGGTCGACGCGTCGTCGCCGCGTTCGACATCATCCGTCGCAACCGTCTCGGGATTCCCTCGCGCGCCGTCCCCGACGCGCCGCACGCTCGCGCACGGCGCGTCGCGCGACTCGATGAACGCGCGTTCGAGCGCCTCGAGCTGTTCCTGCGTGTTCGCGCCGCGCACTCGGCGTAAATCCGCCATGCGGCCGACGCGTCGGTCGCACTGCGCGACGCGAAGTGACGCGAAGCGACGCCTCGACGTCGTCGCTCGTCGACGACGCGCGGCGCGGCGCGGCGCGATGGTGTTCATCCTGGATAAGGACAAGCGCGCGAGAGACGCGGACGCGCGCGCGAGGGCGAGGTGCCAGAGGTGTCTGCGGACGGGCGTGTGGACGTACGAGTGCGGCTGCGAGGGAAAGTACGTGCGCCGCGCGAGCGCGACGGAGCGGATGCGCGATCCCGCGAAGAGGCAGAAGTTCGCGGAGGAGCAGTTCGATGACGTGCCGGACGGCGCGGGCGTGGACGAGCGGCGGTTGAGGGCGGCGTTGGGGGAGAAGAAGAAGCGGCGGAAGAGGCGGCGGTCGAGGAGCTCGAGCTCTTCGTCGGGGTCGTCGTCGAGTTCGTCGAGTAGCGGTAGTACTAGTGGTAGCTCGACGAGTTCGTCGTCGTATTCATCGAGCTCGTCGTCGTCGAGTGGGAGCGATTCTTCGTCGAGCTCGTCGAGCTCGCGCGGGAAAAAGCGCTCGTCGAGGAAGCGATAGTCTGACGGGAATTCGTCGTCTTTTCTAGCTAGTAATAACGAATGAATCACAACGCTATTGCACGTCGTCGAGGATTCGTCTGATTGTGACTATGATTTCGTCGTCGTCGTCGCTCCAGGACGACTTGCCCGCGTTTCGGATTCGTTTGGCGAAATCTTCGTCGAGCGCGAGGCGAAGGTACTTGAATAACACCGCCACCGGTGCGTCACACTTGAACTTGATCCAGTTATCCATGATCACGCGTGCGTTCGCGTGCTGCACCTCGAGGTTTCCACCGAAAAGTAATAACGCCTCGGGTGCGACGACAGTACAGTCTCGCAAGTACACGCGTGCCGTTCGCATCTTTTCGTGATACACCATGAACGGATACGCGGGCTTGCGGTCGATTCCGATCCCTTTGTTCACGCTCGACGGGTGCACGCGCACCTCTGACGTTGCGTCCTTCCACGTGTACTGCGCGTAGTCTTGATCCGATGCCTCATCGCCGACGGCGACGTTTGCGTACAGGCCCGCCGTGAGCACAGCCTTGATCATTTGTACGCGGCGCGCGTCTTTGTTCCAAGCCTGCGTGCGAATAAAAATGCGAAATGTCAGGGATAATCATCCAACGAGACGAGCTATGAAACTTAAATGTTGCGAAGCTGCTGGGATGTGCGCGTATTTCTATACGCGTCATCGAAAAGCCTCATCGTCGATGTACGGAAATAACTTTACGCGCGCGCAGGTGGCTGCATGCGCACACGCCCGGGGCGCTTCGAGTGAAGCACCCATCTCCGAGTACGAGAAATCGTGAAGTCAAGTGTTAACGTACCGCTTTAGGATCATCCAACCAATTTGTGTTTCTACCTCGAAGTGAGTAACCGGCGGGGACTCGAATGACGCCCATGTCCGCGAGAAGCGCGGCGTACTGCGTGCGCATTTCTGAAATCTGTCTCATCGTGTCCACGTCGAGCGCATTTTTCTGCGCAAATCTTCGTCCGGCGTTGCGACTTTCTTTCGATGCTTCGATATAGCCGTCGTAAGCGGCGACGACCACTAGGTGATCGCTTTGCTGCCCGGCGGCCAAGGACACCGCGGCTGGTTGCGCGAACGCACGCATCGCCGCTTCGACTTGACTGTTCGACGCCTTGGACGATTGAAAGGGCGACTTGTAGCTCAACGTTGCGGCTATGGTTAGAATCGGAGAGAGACACCGTAGAATCACTCCGAATAATAGCATTTTCGCAACCCTCGCATCTACTGGCAGTGCAGCGAGGTGGCGACCTAAGGCAGTAAGTCGACCTAGCTCGTCGAAAGCGCCAATCTCGGTGAGCGTCTTCTTCGCCGCGGCAACAGCTTCCTCTTTTGGAGGCTCGGGTGCGTTCCCGAGAACCACTGCGGCGTCGCTGTGCAAATCGAGACTTGCGATCTGCAGTACGACTTCCGTGAGCGGCGCGCGGTGCATTTCAGGAACTTGGAATGGCCGCATCGCGCCGTTTGCGCGATGCGAGGTGAAGAGCGCATAGCATGTTCCCGCTCGAACTCGACCGGCGCGACCGGCGCGCTGTTTCGCCGCTGCGCGGCTGACCCATCCCTCCTCAAGCGAAGCCATACCTCGTCGAGGATCCCACTGTCGCTCCTTCACGCGACCGGAATCGATGACGACGACGATGTCTTCGATCGTCACCGACGTTTCTGCCACATTCGTAGCCACCACAATTTTGCGCACGCCGGGTTTCGGCACCCTGAACGCCTCGCGCTGCTCGGCGTTCGTCAACGCGGAGTGTAATGGCGTGAGCACCGCATCTTTAAATCGCGGTGAGCTGGCGAGACGATCCAAAAGCCCTGTCACCTCGCCGATACCGGGTAAGAATACCAAAACTGCCCCATCGTCGGTGACGTCGTCGACGTACGCGAGAAGCTCTTCGATCAAGTCGTAATCGATGACGGACTCATCCAGGCGAGACAGCGACAATCGTGTATTCCGTTTGCAATACTCGTACTTGCTCGAGTCATAATCTGGATTTTCTGGGTTCTCTTCACCACCGAACTCCGACGCCGCGTCTTCGCCCCAAGACCCCAAGAGCTCGTTCTGGCGCCGCCTATCGCCCCCGCCGCCCGCCTTGATGGCTTTCATCGCATCTTCGGCTTTGCCCTTTGGTCGTCGACATGAACGATTATCCGGGTCGATGACATAATCCAATGTGTCATAAATATGTTCCAGATGAATCGTATCTACGGGGAACGAGCGCCCGGGCGCTGATATAACCGGCGAGCCACCGAGATACTCGCTGAATAAAGCTGCGTTCAAAGTGGCAGACATGAGCACGAGTTTCACAGGAGGCAAACCAGCTTCGCGGCGACGTCTTGGAAGATCTCTGAGAAGCGTCAACAAGAAGTCACCGTCTAGAGAGCGCTCGTGGACTTCATCGACGACGACATGCGTGACATCGGTAAGCATTCTATCGCCTTGCAACCTCCGCAACAGAATACCAGTGGTGCAAAAAGTGAGACGTGTCGCGCTGGTTATTTTCGCATCCAATCGGACGTGGTGCCCGACAAGCGAACCATTACCCCCGACGCCGTTTTTTTCGCATCGTTCGGCAGATACGCGCTCGGCGATACTTGTAGCCGCAACACGACGTGGTTGCGTGCACACGATATTGCAAGCACCGCCCTGCTCTCGTTCAATGGCGTCGTCGAGAAGAAATTGTGGTACCTGAGTCGTCTTACCGCAACCTGTCTCGCCACATACGACGACAGCATCGTGAGAACGAAGCCGATCGAGAAGCTCGTCAGCCAGCGCACAAATAGGGAGCGTCGAGCGCTTCGCAAACAGTTTCTTCCACTGCGGATCCTGCTTTGTCGCCTCGAGGTGCTCTTTCAGTCGTCGACTCACCTCCGCATGCTTGTTCATGTTTGCCCTGGCCGTGCGCAAACGATCATTCTCTTCTTTAAGTTTTAACTCGCGAGCTTTTGCCGTCAATTCATCTACATATGTACCCCCGTTACTAGCATCGGGCACGTTCAAGCCATCGGTGCCTATTGTCTTAATGAGCGCATCTATAAAATCGTCTCTCGCGTTCTCACCGACATCCGCGACGTCTGAATTCATGAACGCGATGGCCCACCGAACCCACAAATCGCGATACGTCTCGGACAATTCCAACGGCACGATTTGGTTTTCCTTGCTAAATGACGCTTCAAACAACGCACGCGTAGCCGCACCATTTTGCGCGTCGTTAATGCTCAACCAACCGCCAGCTGTAGGTTCGTCCTCGTCGTGCGTAGAACACACAAGCGTCGGCTTGCGTTTGTACTTTGGCCCGGTTGAACGTTCGACAGAAACGACGTATCGGATGCCTTCGGCGCTCTTGTCCCGTTCGAATCGTGGTACGAGCCATCCTTCACGCTTCGCCAACTGTGCGAGCATATTTTTGGGTGTCATCTCTTCCACTTTGCTATCCTTGGCAGACTTGGATTTGATCGCGCTTGTTTGCGCATTCGCAGTCGACGCCACTCTCTTACCGTCACTGAACAACAATTCGTGCTTAAACATCTTTGTGATAAGTTCTACGGGATCATCTTCTCCTGAACCAATGATATCATTCGCACCATCGCTGAACACGTCGAAATCAAATTCTTCGTCGTCCGAATCTTCCTTTGCGCTCGGCTTTGATTCGGCTTCATTTTTTGCGCATATCTTCGTCGGCGACGTGTCGGCGTTTCCAGTCGCACTCACTTCTGATTTGTCCCGCGATGCATCAGCGTTCGCCGCTATCTCCACCAGCTCTTCTACGGAAGCTACTCTCGGTGGATCGATGTCATCATCATTCATACCGAGCTCGTTCGCCGTGGCTTTTAATCTCCGAATCGCTTCGGCGACGTCCTTCTGCTCCTTCTTATTCTTTCCCTTCTTTGCCTCGCTCGCCCGCGTCTTCAACGCGGCGATCTCTTCCGCAAACTTTGCGATCAATTTTCCAGGATCCTTCGCGAACTCTCTACGCTGCGTCCACATCATTCGCTTCGCCGCCGCCTCTTCGTCGCTCAGTCCAAAATCCTCGAGCGAGTCATAACCGTCGTCGCTATCGTCGTCGTCATCGCTATCTTCATACGCCGAATACCGTGCCGCGATCCACGCCTTATCCACCACCGTATCATCCATGTTCGATTCGTTTCGTTTACTCACCACCTTCTTCATCGTCGCATCCACCGCCTCGATGACGCGCCTTGGCGCCGTCTCGCCACTCGCCGCCGTCGCCTCCACCGCGCCGTCTGCGTCCAAACGAAACTCCGAACGTTCGACCGTTTGAAACCGTCGCGGTAACCGCGCGTTCGCGACGTTCAAACACAACCAGTCTAAAACGTCGTCCTCGGCGAACACGCCCGCCGTATCGCCGCATACGGCGCGTAAAGCGTCCTCGACGTCGCCGACTCGGAATCCCTGGCTGAGCAAACCGTCGTACGTTTTGCGCGTCTGCGTCGCCGTCACGCGCGTTTTCGCGAGGTCATTCGCGCGAGTGTGTACGTCGGTGTCACTCACGAGCGCACGCACGAGCGCCTCTTGACGCGCGGTGAGACGGACGCGCGCGGACTCGTCTCTGGTCGAGACCATGGCGGCGAGTGAGGCGCGAGCGCGGCGTAACCGACGGTGAGCACGAGACGCCGACGATGCCGCGATCTCGGGTCGTTCCAAGGGGGGCGCTTGGGACTGAATTATCGAGAAAGATTGTCGCTGTGGCTACTTCAAATTAAAACGAGGAGTCTATCGCTTGCCCGCGAGCGCGTTGTTGATTAACATGCGCGCCGATTCCATCGCGTTCTCGTCGCCTCGAACGCGCAGGAGTGAGTTTCCCGAACCGCCTTTGGTCTCGTCGATTGAAACCATCGCCTTGCTCCGGTCTTGCACGCCCTTGATGGTGGTGCCTTTTTGACCGATGATTTTACCGACTATGATTTTGGGGATCTCAAGTTCAACGCACGGGCCTTTGGCGCCCTTTGGAAGCGCCGGGACTTTGGTGGATTTAAATTGCCCGCCTGTATACTCCCATCCGTATACGCCATCGCCCGTGAGTTTCACACCGCTTACCTTCGCGGCAAGTTCGAGAGCTGCTTTTTGCTCCGCCGCTTTCTTCGCGTCTTCCTCCGCTTGCTTCTTGAGCTCGATCGCGAGCAAGCGTTCGGCTTCAGCCTTCTCCGCCTCCGCTCTTTGCTCATCCGTCATGGCGTACAGAAAGCCTCCACCTCCTTTGCCTGCTTTCTTCTTCTTACGTGCAAGTAACGCCATTTCGTCATCGCTGTCGATGTCGCTCTCGTCGTCATCGTCCGGCGTATCGTCGTGCATCGTTTTTGCGGCCTGAAGACGCGCCGCCGCAGCGGCGTCAGCCGCCTTTCTCTTTTGCTCAGCTTCTTTTGCCGCCTTCGCTTGACGTTCTTCCGCAAGCTTTCGCTTGAACTTTTCACGCTCTTTCTTGTTCATCTTCGCCATGCGTGCCTCGAGCTCTTCCTCGGTCTCGCTTTCGTCCTCAGCTTCTTCCTTCGTCGCGGACGCCTTCGCCTCGTTCGATTCCGGCGCAGCAGCAGGCGCAGCGGGCTCATCATCGCTCGCTTCGTCTTCCGAATCGACCTTGACAGGCTTTTTCTTCTTCTTGCCTGCGCTCTTCTTACCGTTCTTTCTGAGATACGTCAAGAGTTCTTTGACGAAATTCGCGCTCTTGCCCATCATCTTCTTCACCTTGGGATCAGCGATGGGATTGTCGTCCAATTCGATCGCTCGCACCTTTTTCTCCTTGAGCTCTCCCCACTCTCCCGGAAGCTCTTCGATCTTGTTCGACTTCAAAAAAATCTCCGCTAAAAGAGTGCACTGATGAAGATCCGGCGGCGCGTCAGTAATTTTATTCATGCGCGCGGAAAGCGTCACCAAACGCTCCTTTGCCTCGATGGTGAAGTCGTCCAGCGTGGTGAGCTTGTTGTTGTCGACGACGAGCGTGACCAAGTTGTTCGCGTCATTGAGCGGAGCGAGCGATTTGATCTTGTTACCAGACACGCGCAAAATCTCCAAGTTCTTGCACTGCGCTAAGCTCGCCGGTAAACTCACGAGATCGTTATTTTCAGCCTCAAGGACCTTCAAGTTTTTCAACTTGCCGATGCTTTCGGGCAGCTCGACCAAACCGTTGCCGCTGATGATGAGCGTGAGCAAGCCAGTCATTCGACTGATGTCCGGCGAAAGCTTAGTCAACGAATCGCCGAGTTTGAGCTTCAAGTTATTGACGCTCTTGATGTAGAACAACGCCGGGTCGACCTCGGTATCGCCCTTGTTTCGTTCGATGGCCAACTCCTTCGCTTCGGTTTCCTTCGCCTTCGCCGTCTCCGGCCATCGAGCTTCCGGCGCTTTCCCCGCCGGTATCTCTTCCTCATCGTCCCCTGCATTCTTAACCTTCGCGCTCGGTTTCTCTCCTCGTCGCTCCAACGCCTCCATCTCCTTCTTTTTCCGCTTACTCCGCTGCGTCGACGTCTCGCCCTCAAACGCGGCGTCGTCCTCGCCCTCCTCCTCCGATTCCTCCTCCTCCTCGCTCGAGTCCCCACCGCGATCGATTTTTCGCGCCAGCGCGTCGTGTCCACCCTTTCTCGCGTAATCCGCCGCCGTTTTCCCTTTCGCGCACTTCAGCTTATAATTCGCTCCCGCGTACAGCAACTCGTCGCACGACTCCGCGTGTCCCCGCGCCGCCGCCATCATCAGCGCCGTCCGTCCCTCGCCCTCTCCGTCCACGAAATCGATCGGTTCTTTCATCCGGCTCCGTCGGCAGTTATCGAGCAGCATCTGCAGCGCCTTGTGCTTGTTCGCGAGAGCGCAGAGCATGATGGCGGTGACGCCGTCGTCGTCGCGCGTGCCGGGGGTTTGTCCACCGGCGCCGAGGCCCCAGCGCACGGTGTCGAGCTTGGAGTTGCGACAGGCGTTCAAGAACTGATCGCGCTTGGACGCCATCGCGAGCGAGTTCGCGCGATCGATCGAGCGGGCTCGGCGAGAGAGGTCGGTCGATCGGCGCGTCGACGAGTGCGTCGGGACGAGGCGACGCGACGAGGGCGACGCCGCGCGGAGGCGAGCGCGAACGACGAGGCGCTATTAATATGGTGACAAAAATGTTTACAACTCTTCTATCGAACAAAAATGTGCCCTCGCCGCGCCCGTTTTCTTGACTAATGAGCGTGCGCTAAGCGGCGCGGCGGGGCAGCGCCGAGAAATCTCGGCGTCTTCATCGAGCGTCTGCTCGCGGCGACTCCGGCGACTCCGCGCCTTCGTCTCCGCCTCCAGAACCGCCCGAGGAGATAGATCCCACGAGCGTGCTGGCTAATATTAATCCCGCGCCCGCGGCGGCGGATGGCGACAGGGTCTCACCGAGAAGCATGTACGCGAATAGCGCGCCCCACACGGGTTCGGTGGAATACATGAGAGTCGCCTCTTGACTCGCGAGCAACGTCAGAGCGACGGTCTCGAGGTAAACACAACCGGCGGTGGTGACGACGCCGACGAAACCGATCAAACCCCAAGGGATCTCTGCGATGGAATTCACGCCTAAGATGGCTCCCAAGTCGCAATCGCAGTTGAGGTAGTCTCGAGCCAACAACCCGAAGAAGACGGTGACGACGGTGAGCATCTGAATGCACACCAAACCCATGGACTCTTTGTGCTTCAAATACACCCCGTTGAAGATGCAATCAGTGCGGAAAATGTGTACACCGAAGATAAACGCCGACCCTAAAGTGTACAGGTCGCCACGAAGCGAGGCCGGGGCGTCGCCCGCGACGACGTCGGCGACGGCTGTAGCCGTCGTCGCGTCGACGAGGCCGGGGACGGAGACGAGGTCCTCCATCATGGCCAAACCCGCGACCGCGATCGCGGTCGCGATCCACGTTTGCGAGCGAACCGACCGACCAGATAACCCAGCGATGATTGGGACGGCGATGATGGTGAAAGAGCTGATGAAACTCGCTCTAGCCGCGTCCGTGAGCTCGACGCCGAGGTTTTGCAAATAATATCCCAGCGACACCCACAACCCGAGTTCGAACCCGCCTCGAACGATTCGATCGTCCTTGAGCGCGGACTTTAAGAACGGTGCGAACACCAACGACCCCGCGGTGAATCTCAAGGCGGCGAACAAGTCGGTGGACAAGTCCTGTTGCGCGATTTTAATCAACGTGATGTTCGCCCCGAAACCCGCCATGAGAAACGCGAACAAAACCAACCCTCGCGTTCGTTTACTCACCCCATCGTTCGCCTTATTCCACGCCCTCCAAAGCTCCTCGCGCTTCGTGTACTGCTTCTCCGCGCATTCTGCATCGTCGATATCGCACGTCACGTCCACGAAATCATCCAAAAACGTGCTCTCGATGGCGTGACTTCGATTCTGCCTCAACAGCGTCTCCGCGTATCTCGCCGTCGCCGTCGCCGCCATCGCCTCCATCACGTTCGCGTCTCCCATCACCTCCCCATCGACGTCCAGCGTCTCGACGCTTTTCGTCACCACGTCTCCCGGCGGCGCGAACTGCCCTCCGCTCGCCCTCGGTTCCGTCGTTCGTCCTCGTCCGCTCGAGCGTTCGCCCAACAACCTGGCGCGTCCCGCGATCCCGTCCTCGTCCAATCGCCATCGCCCCTTCCTCGACCGCGCGCGCGCCCACCGCACCGCGCCGACCGCCCGTTCGTCGTCCCGCGCCATCGATCGCGCGACCAGCGTCGCGCGTTCGTCCTCGCGCTTCTCCCGCGCGTGCGCGTGCGCCGATTCTCGCGCGCGATGATGATCGTCGTGCGGATGCGTCGTCGCGCGTCGGTCGCGCGCCGCGCGCGCCGTCGTCCCGCGTCGCGCGCGCGCCGCGCGCGTCGTCGACGTCGACGTCGACGTCGACGCCATCGTCGCGCGATCGACGATCGCGGCGCGCGCGACGCGCACCGCGGGCGTCGACGCCATCGGCGCGATGTGCGGCCGGTCGGAGGTCGGACGCCGCCGCGTTCGAACGCGGCGGGGAAAAGATCGCTTTTTCGCGCGCTTTTTATGCGCGAGACCTCGTTGGGGGTGTTTGATGGGTGTAGATGTAGCTTAAATACTGCAGAGTGGCCATCGCGTCGCGCGTCGAAAACGGAGATCTCGACGCCAGCTGGCGGGGCGGGCGGACGCGCGGAGACGCGCGGGACGCGGGACGCGGGAAACGGCGCGAGGGCGCGCGAGGGCGCGAGGGCGTGGATTTGATGACATCATCGCGCGTTTAAGGCATCCATTCGGTCCTGACAGGCGAAGTGGTCGTCGAGGGACGCGAGGGTGTTGGCGCAAATGACGCCGGAACCGGCGGCGGCGGGGACGCCGACGCCGGGGGCGACGGAATCGCCGACGCGGTAGAGGTTCTTGATGCCGGCGACGGTGGGACCGGGGAACATCGCGGGGGCGCGAATGGCGGCGCCGTACGTGCCTTTGTGACGACGGAGCCAAGATTTGTGCGTCGCCGGCGAGGCGACGAGTTCGAGGAGCACGCGATCGCGTACGTCGGGGATCACGCGCTCGAGAGCGACGTATAACTTATCCGAAGCCTCCTTCTTGCGCTTTTCGTACGCTTGTTTGTCGTTCGCCTTGAGCTCTTCCCAGCCTTCGAAAGGTTCCATGGTGTACGCGTGCACGCAGTGGCACCCAGCCGGCGCCATGTCGGGCTCCCAGACGCTCGCGATTGAAATCATGCACACGTTCCCGGGTTGCGAGATCGGTTTACTCTTGTCCAACACCACGACGTGATGACCACCGGTGTGGGTGAAGTCTAAGCCCTCGCCCTCGATGCCGAGATGGAGGTGCATGAACGACTCGCTGTAAGGCGTCTCCATCGCTTCACGCGTCTCGGTCGCCGGCGCGGCGCCTTTCGGAAGGAGAGTTCCGTACGTGTCCCACACGCTCGCGTTCGAGAGCACGATCGGAGCACGAACTTCTCCCTTACCGTTCGCTAACTTGACGCCCACCGCAGTGCCGTTTTCTACGATGATCTCATCCACGTGCGTCTTCAGACGAACCTCGCCGCCGTACTTTTCCAAGCCTCGCTGCAGCGCCTTGGCGATTTCCTCCGCGCCGCCGCGAGGAAACTCGCTCACGCCCAAACTATCACTCGCCCCGAACACGGCGGCAAACTCAGCGCTCACCGTACCGCTCGCGTCCACGCCGCTCAACAAAAAACACTCTAAATCGGCCAAGTAGCGCATCCAAGGATCTTTAATATCCAGAAAATCTAAAAGTTTCACCGTCGGCTGCGGCAGGACGCCCGAGTACGGACCCAGGCCCGCCATGGCTTTCATGTATCGACTCAAGATCATGAGAGCCACCTTCCAATCCGCGCGAAGCGCCGTGGTCGGCAGACCGCTGAGCGAGGCGTACATCGTCCGAATCTTCGGCACCGCCCGTTCGAGCTCTTCGGCGCCTCGCGGAGAAAACCGCTTCACCTCCGACACGAGCTTGGCCAGATCCGCGTGCCTGCGAAGACCCGGAGCGTCAGGTTCTATGTGAAACGTCCCCAGTGGGTCGTACGACACCGTCTCCAACTCCTCCCCGAGCAAGCGAAACACGCTCGCCAGCGGATTCAACGCGTTCGGCTTCGTCAAACCGGCGAAAAAGCTCGGCCCGGTGTCGAACTTAAATTCCCCTCGCGCCGTCTTCCGCGCGAACCCGTGCGCGGCACCACCCACGGCGTAATGCGATTCCACCACGATCACCTGATCGTTCGTTCCGATCGCGCGTCGCCGTCGTCAGTCGCGCGTCTCGCGCGTCTCGCGCGTCTCGCGCGTCTCGCGCGTTCGCCCACCCTCTCGCACCTTCTTCCCGTAATACGCCAGCATCGCCGCCGCGGTGAGCCCTCCGATCCCGCTCCCGATCACCACGACGTCCGCCTCCCCTCCCTCGCGCGCGCCGTCGCGCGTCGTCCCCGCGCGCGTCGTCGTCGCGCGTCGACGTCCGCGCCCGTCTCTCGCGCGTCCCGTCGCGCGCGTCGCGCGCGCCGTCGCGAGACCGTCGCGGCGCGCGGCGCGCATCGCGCGCGATCGTCGCGCGCGTCGCGCGGTCGCGCGGACGTCCGCGTCGGCGAGCGACGTCGACGCGCGCGCGCGCGCGCGCGATGTCGAATGATCCGTGTTTTCAGTCTCACCGCGCCACGTGGCGCGCGCGGGGGCTCGCGATCGCGCGGCATCGCGCGCACACCGACGCGCGCGACGCACGCTCGACCGCCGACGCGCGCTCGAAACGTTCGAAAGAATTTAGTCCGTCGTTTCGCGACCGCACACGACCGATCTCGACGCGCACGATGTTCGCGAAGGCGATGATTCAAACCCGAGGGACGACCGCGGCGGTGACGCTGCGATCGACGCGACGATCGACGTCCGCGGGGGGGCGAACGCGCGCGGCGCGGGTCGTGCGGGCGATGGCGGACGCGGGGGCCGAACGACGCGCGAGCGAGACCGCGCGAGTGCTCGAAAGAACGAAAGAAATCTCGAACAGCGCGGAATTGGACGCCGCGTTGGCGCTCGCGGGGGATGATCTCGTCATGCTCGCGATCGAGAGCGACGAGGAGTGCTACGCGGGCGAGAGCGCGTGGAGTGGATCCGATGCGAAGATGGCGTCGTGTAAGCAATTGAGCGCGTCTTTGGCGCGCATCGCTCGCGAGGCGGAAGACGTGACGTTCTTGCAGCTCGACGTCGTCGGACACGAGGACGCGCGAGCGCTCGCCAAGGAGCTCGGCGTGCACCAGTTCCCGACGTACCAGTACTACAAGCACGGTGAATTGATGTGGGAACACGTCGGTGCGGGCGCTGGATCGCACGAAAAGATCGCCGAGGGTGTGTTGTACTACGGGAACACCGGTGCGGGTGGTATGAAGACGACCGAGTACATTCAAGAAGTGCAGAGCGCGGCGGATTTGGAAGGGTTCCTCGCTTCCTGCGCGCCGGAACAAGACGTCGCGGGCTTGGTCGCGCCGATTTCCGTGCCGTGCGAAAAGCAGCTCGCCGTCGTTGATGTTTCCATCGAAAAGAACGCCCCGGCGGGATGCATGCACATCTTCCCGGCGATCGTTTCTTTGGCCAAGAACACCGCCGGCGCGACGCGCTGGGCACGCCTCATCGGCGACGCGAGCGAAGACGCCGCGGCGTTGATGAAGTCCATGAAAGTCACCGAAGTTCCGACTTTCGTTTTCTACGCCGATGGTAAGGAAGTCGACCGATACTCCGGCTCCGACCGCATGGCGCTCATGAACAAGGTGCTTCAGTTCCAACGCGCCAACGGTGTCAAGCTTCCGGAACGCGCCACGCGCAAGCGCATGTCCACCGCCGAAGCTAAGGAAATCGCCCGCGCCGCGCGCGAGCGCGAAAAGGCCGCCGGTCGCCGATCGGGATGGTAAACACTCTACGAAACCCTGTAATTACGACGCGGCACGCAGCATTATATAGATAGTCGCCCGTTTTAATGAAAAATTGAAGCCAGACTTACAAAAGACGCGCGCTTATCCGTTCGACCTCACTAGTTTCTGCAGCCGACCTGCATGCGCGTTTCATCCACCACCGTGGAGTTTTCGCACAATCGCTTCACGTCTTCCTTTCCCACGAGCGCGTCGGTGAAATCAGCGTTCGTGAGATCGACGTTTTCAAAGCTCACCCCCGTGATGACGGCGTTCGTGAAGTTCGTCCCGATCATGTCGCTCCCGTCGAACGTCGCGCGGTCGATCACCGCGTTCGTAAAATCCACCCCAGAAAAGTTCGCATCCGGCGCATACACCTTACTCATCACCGTCTCTCGCATGTTCGCGTCCTTCGCGTTCGTATTCACCATCAACGCCCCCGACAGCGTCTTCGTCGACATGTCCGTCTTCGCCAAGTCGCACTTTCGCAGGTCCAGCACCCTGTCGCTCACCGCGTTCGCCTGTCCGATCGTGTTCCCCACGAACGCGCGCTCGCACCGATTCGGATCGGTGTCGATCGGCGGCAGTCGCATCTCCGCGCGCGCCGGTCCCGCGAGCGCGAGCGCGCACGCGAGCGCCGCGCCCGCGAGTCGCGTCGTCGCGCGCGCGTCGTTCGCGTCCGCCGTCGCGCGCGTCGTCGCGCGTCGCGCCGTCGCGCGCCGCGGCGTCGTCGCGCGCGCGCGTCCCGCGACGCGCGTCGTCGCCGTCGCGCGCGCCATCGTCGTCGTCGTCGTCGTCGTCGTCGTGTGCGGCGCGCGGCGACGACGTCGACGACGCGCGGGGTGTCCGAATGTCCGAATACGTCGCCATTCGTGTGCGCAAACAGTCACGCGTCGCTTTTCCGTCCGTTGATCCCGCGGCCGTCGTCGACGCGCCCGCGACGCGCGCGGCGACGCGAGGCGCGCGTGAACGCGAGCTAAAGGTACGATTACAACGCGCGACGCGAAAGGCGCGACGCGACCGCGGGCGCCGAGCGCCGAATGGCTAATACCGCGACGGTTTCACGCGCGGATTGTTCTCGAGCGCGGTCGAGTACACGTGCATCGCCGCCGAGTGCGCGCTCGCCGCGCTCGCGCGATCGCTCGCGGGCGACCACTCGCTGACGTACGCGTAGTGGGGCTTGACGTACGTCACCGCGGCGCGCGCGGCGCGCGGAAGCGCGAGGGCGAGGAGGAGGAGGAGGAGAAACGCGCGCGACGGCATGGCGCGACGGCGTCGTCGTGTGACGACAGACGGCGTCGCGCGGGCGCGAGGGATCGAACGCGCGCGACGGTGGCGCGCGCGACGGTGGCGCGCGCGCGAGGGACGATCGCGGACGCGCGAGGGCGCGCGCGCGCGGGCGGGACGGCGCGATGGAGGATGGGCAAATTTCGCGCGAGGACGACGGCGGCGACGGGCGACGAGACGACGGCGATGGACGCGATGGACGCGACGGGCGACGACGACGGGTGCGTGGAGACGCGGGACGGCGACGGCGCGACGGCGCGCGCGCGTTCGAGAGCGATGGCGACGAAGAGGACGAGGACGACGCGCGACGGCGCGGCGAGACTGACGAGCGAGCGCGAGCGCGAACGCGACGACGCGCAGGGACGAGGGTTCGATGAAGGACGGGCCGATCGTGACTACGCGCGAGGCGATTACGACGTCATGGGTGACGATGACGCCGATGCGGGCGGACCGAACGATCCGGTGCGATCGGTACAAGGTTGGATCGTACTCGTCACGGGCGTGCACGAGGAGGCGCAGGAGGACGACGTGCACGAGGCGTTCGCGGACTTTGGAGAGATTAAAAACCTCCACTTGAACCTCGATCGCCGCACGGGATACGTGAAAGGTTACGCATTGGTAGAGTACGACACCAAGGCTGAGGCGCAGGCCGCGATCGACGGCATGGACGGCGAGACCGTGCTCGACCAGCCCGTACGCGCGAGCTGGGCGTTCGTTCGAGGCGAGCGCGCGTCTCGAGCGGGTCGACGCCGTTAGCGCGCGCCGGCGGTGTTTCAGTGCGTGCTTGCTCTCCTCTTCTGGTCGGATGTAGTATCATAGTCATACACGCTTCCTCGCGCGTTCGCCTGTCGTGCTCTCCTCGCGTTCGCGCTCGACTTGAAATCCTCCAAATTTCAAATTTTTTTTCCAAATTTCAGCTGTCACCGCGCATGCAAGCGCGCGATACTTCACACCCCACCTCCCACTGCGACCATGTTCGAAGCCAGAATCAAGCAAGGCGCCGTGCTCAAGAAAGTCCTCGACTCGGTCAAGGACCTCGTCACCGACGCCAACTTCGAGGCCGACCCCGTCGAAGGTTTCAAACTCCAAGCCATGGATTCGAGCCACGTCTCGTTGGTCTCGCTCAAGCTTCACGCCGATGGCTTCGAGCACTACCGATGCGATCGCGCGTTGACGATGGGGATGAACCTGGCAAATATGGTGCGTCGATCGGCGTCGTCGAACGGGCGTCGTGGCGCGCACGCGCGCGGCGCGAGGCGATTCCACGCGCGATCGGGTCGTTCGCGGTTCGCGGTCGGCGCGCGCGATGCCGCGCGTGTGTGACGCCGCGTGACGTCGCGTGGGGGATGCGTCGACGTGGAACGGTGAAAGAAAATTGTTTGGGTCGAACGGCGCGGTCGCGCGCGGTGATGCGCGCGCGCGCGAGGTGGACGCGTGCGATGCAGTTGACTGACGAGTTTTGCTGGTTTGATTTTAAACTCCTCGCAGGCGAAGATGTTGAAGTGCGCCGGTAACGATGACGCGATCACGATGAAGGCGGATGACGCGGGTGATACCGTGACGTTCATGTTTGAATCTCCGGGTGCGTGGCGACGCGCGCGCGCGAACGAGCGAGTGTAGGAGCGCGACGACACGCGAACGTGTTCAAAGCGCCAGACGACTGACGAGACGACACCTTTCCACGCTTGACAGATCAACAAAAGATTTCGGACTTTGAATTGAAGCTAATGGACATCGACAGCGAACACTTGGGGATTCCGGAGACGGACTATGACGTCACACTCAGAATGCCTTCGGTTGAGTTTCAACGCATCTGCCGCGACTTGGCGTCCATCGGCGATACGGTGGGCATCAGCGTGACGAAGGATGGCGTCAAGTTTTCTACTACGGGTGACATTGGTGAAGCGAACATTACCGTGCGCCAAAACTCCGAGGATGACAAGGACAAGATGATCGCCATCGAACTCGGCGCGCCGGTGAGCTTGACCTTTGCGCTCCGCTACTTGAACTCTTTCACCAAGGCGACTCCGTTGTGCGACCAAGTGATCGTCCGCTTGAGCCCGAACTTGCCGGTCGTCGTGCAGTACGCTGTTACTGAAGTTGGCTATGTCTCGTACTTCCTGGCGCCGAAGATCGAAGATGACGACGCTATGTAGATTTGCGTTCGTGCGTCATTAGAAAACGACCTGGTTAGCGAGAGCGAGTGTGAAATATTACAGAAATCGAATCCTTCATGAACAAACAATCGCTATCGTACATAAAATTACATTTCCTAACCGTTCTAATCGTATCATCGCCACAGCGCGTCGGCTACTCGCGCGGCGTCCGCGGACAGCGCGACGTTATGAACTCGGACGACGTCCGCACCACCTCTAACGGCGGCGACGAGCGCTGCCACGGACGCGGCGTCTCGCTCGCTCGCTTCGGACCTTCCCGATATCTCACCGAGAAAACGTTTGCGAGACGCACCCACGAGCATCGGGGCGTTCATGAGCGCTCCGCCTAAGGGGGCTAAGCGGCTTCGGACGCGTGGCAAATCTCGCAACAGCTCGATGTTGGCTCGACCCGTCTTCGCGAAACCGATGCCCGGATCAATCCACAGACGCCATGGCTCTATACCGTACTCCACACATCGACGTGCGGTCGCTAAGAGACCATCACCAACCTCGTCACAAATGTGCCCATCGTACGTCGTGTTCTTCGCGCTCTGCATACTGTTCGGATCGCCTCGAACATGCATGACGACGTACGGCAGAGGCTTCTCCAAACGCGCCACCGTCGGTAGCATCGCGGGGTCCCACGCTCCGCCGCTGACATCGTTGATGATGTCAGCCCCAGCATCCGCAGCCGCGCTCGCGACGGCGCCATAAAACGTATCTACAGAGATGTAAACGTCTTCTCTTTCGCTAAACGCTTGAGCGAGCGCGCGTATGACGGGGATCACCCGCGAACTCTCTACTTCTCCACTCACCCTCGTCGCCCCTGGTCGCGTCGACTGCCCACCAACGTCTATTATCGTCGCCCCCGCGGCGACCATTTCCCTGGCGTGTCGCACAGCCACGTCCACGCCGCCGTCGTACGCGCCGCCGTCGCTAAACGAATCCGGTGTCACGTTCAAAATACCCATCACCATCGTCTCTCGACCCCAGCTCCACAATCTGTCTCTCATCGGGATCACGCGCGCTATATCACCACTTTCCATCGCCGTAACCTCTCCATCGGTGCCGTCCCAAATCCTCCGAGCCTCGAGCAGCCCTTCCGTCGTCGCGTCGCTCGTCGTCGCCGCCGTCGCTGCGCCCGTCAAATCTGCGAGCGGCGCCAGCACGAACGGCCGCTCGGCGTAGCGCGCGTGCGGAACCGTCAATCTGTCGCACGAATGCGAGCCTTGCCCGTGGAATATGACGTCCAAATCCATCGGCCTCGGTCCGTACCGCCGCGTCCCGAAGTCTCGCCCCAGCGCCGCCTCGATGGCTTTCAGCCCATCCAGCAGCGCCAGCGGATCTCGCGCGACGTCGTCGGGAAAAGATCCGACGCACGCGGCGTTCAAAAACTTCCCCTGGTCCTCGACGTACGCCGGAGCGGTCTCGTAGAGCGAGGAATGCGCGTGAAGCTCGAAACCGAGGTCACGCCTGAGTTTAGCGAACGCGTCGCGAAACAACCCGACGCGATCGCCTTGATTCGATCCGAGCGCGAGCACGGCGCGCGTGCGACCGTCGGCGACGGTCGCGTGCGCTCGCGCGAGACGACGCGCGAGCGCGCGCGACATGTCGCGTCGGCGTGTGCGGCGAAGCTTCGCGAGCTATAAACTTAAACTACAAATTCAACCGCTAATTCGCGCGCACTCCAGCGCCTACGACTCGTCCGCGCTGTCACCCGCGAACGTCTTCTTACCCTTCGCCGGCACTGGGTCCTCGTTCACCGGATAGTCGCCGTAACAATACGCCGTGTCGTACGCGTACGTGTTCTCGTGAAACGTCACGCTCGGCTGCGTTCGACACCGACTCTTGCAGTACTCGAACGCGTCTTCGAAAAAACCCGTCGCGATTTGATTCCTCCCTCGCGCGTGTCGCTTCATCGCCGCTTCCACGTCGTGCGTCGGTCCTTGACAACACGCCGCGCACGTCTCGTAATCTCGACAGCACCGCGCGCTCTCGTCGCACCCGTCGCACGCGTACCGCGCCGCCGTCGTCGTCGTCGAGCAGCACCCGGTGACGGAGTCCACCTCGTACCACGCGCACGCGCGCCCTCGATCGTCCACGACGCGCCGCGCGTCGACGTGCGCGTTTTCGCACGTCGCGCGCGCGTCGTCGCGCGCGCGCGCGCTCGACGTCGCCGCGCCGGCGTCGCGCGCGCCGATCGTCGCGGGATACTCGCGCGCGGTCGCGCCTCGCGCGAGCGCGGCGACGAGCGCGACGACGACGTCGGCGCGTCGTCGTCGTCGTCCCATCGCGTCGCCGACTGCCGACAGAGGTTTGCCGACGCGCGTCGTCGCGCGCGCCGCACACATCGACGCCGCGGCGCGCGCCGTCGAGCGAGCGCTCGGAGAAAACGCGCGCGGGCGTCGCGCGGGCGTCGTCGGGCGATCATGGCGCCCGGCGACGCGGAGGACGCGGCGAAGGCGCTCGAGCAGGTTTCGATCGGCGGCGACGGCGAGGGCGGTGGTGACGCGGCGAAGGCGAATCCCGTGCACGAGGCGAGCGGAATGACGCTCGACGCGCGGCTCGAGCTCGCGCTGACGATCGCTGAGGAGTGCATACAGCCGGATGAACTGCGGAAGCTGCTGGAGAAGAAACCCACGCCGGTGTGCTACGACGGCTTCGAGCCGAGCGGGCGGATGCACATCGCGCAGGGCGTCATGAAGGCGCTGAACGTGAATAAACTGACGAAGATTGGATGCCACTTTAAATTTTGGGTCGCCGATTGGTTCGCGCTGATGAATAATAAGATGGGCGGGGATTTAAAGAAGATTCAAAAAGTTGGGAAATACATGGTCGAGGTGTGGAAGGCGATTGGGATGGATTTGGACCACGTCGAATTCGTGTGGTCGAGCGAAGAGATCAACAAGAAGGCGGATGAATACTGGCCGTTGGTGTTGGATATCGCGCGTAAGAATAAGCTCGCGCGGATTTTGAGGTGCTCGCAAATCATGGGGCGAAGCGAGAGCGACGAGTTGGCGGCGTCGCAAATTTTCTACCCGTGCATGCAGTGCGCGGACATCTTCTTTCTCAAGGCGGACATCTGCCAGCTCGGGATGGATCAACGCAAGGTGAATATGCTCGCGAGAGAGTACTGCGACGACATCAAGCGCAAGAACAAGCCCATCATCTTGTCTCACCACATGCTCATGGGATTGAAGCAAGGCCAAGAGAAGATGTCCAAGTCCGATCCGGATTCGGCGATTTTCATGGAGGACAGCGAGCAAGAGGTGAACACGAAGATCAAGAAGGCATATTGCCCGGAGAAGGAAATCGCGGGGAACCCGTGCATGGAGTACATCAAGTACGTCATCATTCCTTGGTCGAACAAGTTTGAGCTCAAGCGCAAGGAAGAGAACGGCGGCGACAAGACGTACGAGACGTACGATGAATTGGAGGCGGACTACGTCTCCGGTGCCGTGCACCCGGGCGACTTGAAGCCGTCTCTCGCGGCCATGCTTAACGAAATTTTGCAGCCCGTTCGCGATCACTTTAAGAACAACGCCGAAGCCAAGGCGCTGCTCGCGCAAATCAAGCAATACAAGGTGACGAAGTAGCTCTCAAACGACTTGATCTAACGCAAACGATTGATTAAAAGAAACAATGAAACCTAAAATAATTTGTTCTTGAAGCTCACGAGCGCGCGCCCGATCTGCCCCCAGATGTTGTCTTGCAGAAATACATCAAACTTTTGAAAATCGCCGTTACCGACGTCCAAATCGGTGTGGAAATCCAACGTGCGAAGCTCGCAGTTCTGAAACTCGTCCCCCGTGAGCGAGTAACACACCCCCCAATGCGCGATGACGGCGATCGATTTCTCCGGTCTCGCGTCCAACCATCGTCGGAACTCTTGCATTCGTTCCTCGAACACGTCCACGGGCTCGAGCTCAGCCGTCGTGAACGGATCCTTCCCGTCCGGCGTGTACCACCACGTCGCGTCGTCGTCGCCCATCTCGGTCAAATCCCAATCCGGATGGTCCTCCCCGAGCTCGCGCGCGACTCGCCCGATATCGCTCCCGTGAAACACCCGCTCGCGCGCCAGCGCGCAGACCACGCGCGGGACGTCCCCGAGCGCGTCTTCGCCCGCGGCGCCGAACGCCAGCTCCGCCGTGCGCAGCGCTCGCCGCAGCGGACTCGCCACGATCAATTCAGGCGCCGGCTCCAGCGCCGTCGCGATCGTTCGCAGCGCGCGCGCCTGCGCCTCGCCCTCGCTCGTCAACCGCGTGTCGATCATCATCGGATCCACGAAATCCGGGTCCGCCCAGTGGTTCTCTCTGAGGTAATCATTCATCTCCGTGCGCCCGTGACGCACGAGATGGATCGTCTTCGCGTCCCCGCGCGCGGGCGCTTTCGCGGACGCGCGCTTTCGCTTCGCGAAGGTCGACATCGACACGTTCCCGAGCTCGGGCGTGCCGGACGCGGCGACGGCGATCCACCGCATGGCGCGACGACGCGCGACGCGACGCGACGCGACGCGACGTGGCGCGACCGACCGACCGACCGACCGACCGACCGACCGACCGACCGACCGACCGACCGACGCGTCGGCCCGCTCGTATCGATACGAGCTGATACCGTATTGGCGTATCGACGTATCAGACTTTTTGTATGGGCAAACAGTGTAAAATCGCCGATTTCAATACGTATCGGGAAATTCCCAATACCGGATTCAAGCACCCCGACCGACGCGCGCGATCCGCGATCATCGTAAATCACACCATCACTGTTTGCACACATACCGATTGTCCGAATACACCGACACCCCCCCCCCGACGACACCCGTATTCCGACCCCGAAAAAGCGCGGGAAATCGTCATCCACCGCGGCGCCGCGTGCGCCACTCGTTCGGCGCTGAGTGACGCTGGCACTCGCGACGCGCGCGACGACCGCACTTTTGCACACACGCCGCGACGCACGCCATGCGCGCGCACACGACCTCCCGAACGTGCGTGAACGACGCGACGCGCGGACGCGAACGCGGACGCGGACGCGACGCCGCGCGGTGACGCCGCGCGGACGCCGCGGATGCGATGGCGATCGAGATATTTTAATCGCGAACGCGCGCGTGACGTCGCGAAGACGCGATCGGGACGCGCGCGCGAGGGCGACGCGCGAACGAACGCGGACGACGGCGGCGACGAGGCGACGCGCGAGGACTGGAGACTGACGGAGATTCGTGAGGTTTTATCGACGGCGTAGGTCGGTTCGAGCGACGTTCGCGTCCAAGACGCGCGCGGCGTCGTCGACCAAGCGCGCGACCGCGGTTCGCGCGGCGTCTAAATCCACGATGACCGTGGCGGAGATCGCGAAGAGCGAACGACCGATGAAAATTGTTTTCGTGTCCGCGGAATGCGCGCCGTGGTCGAAGACCGGTGGCCTCGGTGACGTCGTGGGATCGTTGCCGGTGGAGCTCGCCAAGCGCGGGCACAAGGTGATGACGATCTCGCCGCGTTACGATCAGTACAAGGGCGCGTGGGACACCTCCGTGCACGTCGAAGCGCTCGGTAAGTCTGTTGGCTTCTTCCACGAGAAGAAGAAGGGCGTCGATCGCGTGTTCGTCGATCACCCCGACTTCTTGGCCAAGGTTTGGGGTAAAACCGGCTCCAAGCTTTACGGCGAAAAGTCTGGGCACGACTTCGCGGACAACCAAGATCGCTTCGCGATGTTCTGCCACGCCGCCATCAAGGCGCCGGCGGCGCTCACCGAACTCGGTTTCGGCGAAGACGTCGTCTTCGTCGCAAACGACTGGCACTCCGCGCTCGTCCCGGTCATCTTGAACAAGGTGATGAAGCCGGCGGGTCAATTCACCAAGGCCAAGTGCGCGATGACGATTCACAACATCGCGTTCCAAGGTCGCTTCTTCCCGCAACCGATGGCCACCTACGGCTTGCCGGACTCTGCGGCTGACGACTTCTTCTTCGAAGACGGTTACTCCAAAGTGTACGACGAAACCAACCCGGCCAAGGAAGACGGCAAGGAGGAATTCGACGGCAAGATTTACCGCAAGGCCAACTGGCTCAAGGCGGGCTTCATGAACGCCGACAAGAACTTGACCGTGTCCGAAAACTACGCCAAGGAGATCGCATCCAGCAAGGCTAAGGGCGTTGAGCTCGATGACGTCATCCGTGAATTCGGTATGGAAGGCATCGTCAACGGCATGGACCCGACCGAGTGGAACCCGTCGAGCGACAAGTTCATCGACGTCCCGTACGACAAGACCACCGTCGTCGAAGGTAAGGCTGCCGCCAAGCAAGCGCTCCAAGCTGAAGTTGGCTTGCCGCTCGATGCCGATGCGCCGGTCTTCGGCTACATCGGTCGCCTCGAAGAGCAAAAGGGCTGTGACATCATGATGGCTGCCATCCCGAAGCTTTTGAAGCAAGTGCCGAACGCGCAAGTCGTCATCTTGGGTACCGGTAAGAAGAGCATGGAAAAGGCTCTCGAAAAGCTCGACGAAGCCGAACCCATGTGCGCGGGTGTCGTGAAGTTCTCCGCCCCGTTGGCGCACTTCATCACCGCCGGTGCCGACTTCTTGATGGTTCCGTCCCGCTTCGAACCGTGCGGTTTGATCCAACTCCACGCCATGCAATACGGCACCGTCCCGGTCGTCGCCTCCACCGGCGGTCTCGTTGACACCGTCAAGGAAGGTGTCACCGGTTACCACATGGGCGCCATGGACGCCGACACCCTCCTCCCGGCGGATGTCGACGCGATGGTTGAGACGTGCGCCGCCGCCGCCGCCGATTACGGTACTCCGCTCTACACCAAGATGTCCTCCACGTGCATCTCCCAAGACTTGTCTTGGGCTGAGCCGGCGAAGAAGTGGGAAGGTGTGCTCGAAGAAATGTACTTCGGTACCCCGGAGGCGGTCAAGAAGGCTGAAGTCGTCGTCCCCATCGCCAAGGCCGACGCGATCGCCGCGACGGCTTAAGCTCTCAAGTCTCCTGATTCTGTTTCACACAATTCATGATTTTACCGCGAAAACATGACGAATGGAATGTTGTAATAATTTTACCTTCGCGATAGTGCGCAATCAGTTAACGTTCGTTCGTCGTATGAGTGTTACATCTTTCGTTTCGCGAGGGTCTCGTATGGCTAAGCTGCGCCGAAGGCGGCACCTTTCGAAATAGCGACGTCCCCGTACGTCATCAGCTGTTCGACTTTCAAGTACTCGTGCGCGTTGAGGACTAAAACCTGGTAGAACATGCGCGCCGCTTCGCCTCTCTTCTTCCCCACCGTGAGAGTATTGAGCGAAAGCGGGCGGTCTCCAGAAGCATCGAAAGCGCTCGTCAAGTGGTCGAGCATGAGCTTGGAGTTGACGTTCCAATCCATGTCGCCTCCTTCCTCTTCGGCGCCGTCCTCCTCGACGTTCATTTCGAGGTTGAACTCTTCCGCACCGACATAGCCTCCATCATCGAATCCGTTCTCGTTGTCGGCGTAGTCGAAGTTCATGGTGAACGGCTTGGCGTCCGCGTCGTCGTCGTTGGCTCGAGCAACACGCGGTTCGCCAGAGTCCGGACGCCCCCAGCACGCGGCACTCGCCTTTCTATACGCGTCATTGAGCTTAGCACCGACATCACACGCCATGAGTCGTCCCCGTAGGCTCGCTTCTAAAGTTTCAGGATCGTTGAGCACGCCGTCGTCCTCCAACGGCGACGCGCGCTTGCTGACGATGTCGCGCGTATCCCTCAACTGCGCACGAATGTGATCGTTGGACAGAGTCACCGTGCGATCGAACACGACCACGCGATCGACCTTTCTGCGCTTACTCGCCGGACCGGGCTCACGATCATCCGGGCGATCACCCAATACGCTAGAACCCGGGATGGACGGCAACGCGCCGCCGAACAAGCTCTCGCCGCCGACGCTTCTTCTCGCGGCGAACCCGTCGTCTTCATCCCCCATCAAATCCGCATCCAACGCCAAAGGCAACACCCCTTCATCGCCGGCCCCGAATCCGTCGTCCATACCTCCATCGTATTCATCATCGTTAGGTGCTGTGTACTCGTCGTGCGCGTAGTCGTAATCCTCCAACTGCACGCCAGCCTCGACGACGGCGGAACGGAAAACTTCAACTTCAACGTCATCCTCGAGTCGTTCATCATCCACGGGTAATTGGTCGTTAAACTCAAACTGCGCGTCGAAGTCATCCACGTCCGGATCCGCCAGAGTGATGTTCTCTCTGCTCACGCTCGCTCGTCCCGTCGCGCCGTTCGCCATGCCCGGGTCGAAGAAAAACTCCAAGTCGTCGTAGTTGTCCGGCAACGTAATCGTCGCATTCGGCGCCGTCGCCGCATCAGCGGGCAGATCAACCGTCCCAGGTCGGAAAACTTGCTTGATCTTCACCAACGCCTCGGAGCAATCTTGAAACAAGTAGTTCACCTTGCGACTGTAAATGCGAACCACCCCGAGCATCAATTGTCCCGAAAGCCTCAACGCCAGCGGCGCGTCGGGGTTAATGATGGATTCTGTTCGCGTCACACATCGCACCACGCGTCAGTCATCGCGTTCGCGCGCTCTTCGCTCTCTCTCTCGCGCGCGCGTCGTCCGACGAGCCGTTCGCGTCCCGTCGGCTCGCGTCCGCGGTTTGAATTGAATTCCGAATACGTACTCACTGACGAGACGATGTCCGTCTCCGCGATCTGATTCTTCCGCAGCTTGCGGTCCAAGTGCGCGGCGATCCAGATCGTCCCCAGCGGCCCGCGCTTGGCGAGAATGTACTGCGAGTAGAACATCGCGCTCGATCGATCGCGTCTTCAGGGTGTCCCGCCCGTTTGAAAATCACGTTCGTCGCGCGGCGGTTTCGTCGCGCCGTGCGGCGATGGGCGCTCGCGCGCGGCTCGTGGACGCGCTCAAGGGCGTCGCGCACGACGCGAACGCGCGCGGTGAGGTGTGCGGCGGCGATCGACGCGCGTCGAGCTCTGGGACACGGATTGGGAGAGATTTCGAACGAACGGGACGTTTTTGCCATCATTAGGCGAAATCTCGATTGCGCGAGCGAAGCTACTCGGCGTCTACGATGAAGGGCACGCCGTCGGACCTGAACCGAATTCTGTCTTCGCACATCGCGGCGACGACGCGAGGGAATAAGATGTGCTCCTGCGCCAAGACGCGCGCGGCGACGGCGCTCGCGTCGTCGTCGTCGAAGACGGGGACGACGGTTTGCGCTAAAATTTTACCCTCGTCGAACGCCTCGTTGACGAAATGAATCGTCGGACCGGTGAATCGAGCGCCCGATGCGACGACGGCTTTGTGAACGTTCTCACCGTGCATGCCCTTGCCGCCGAACGCGGGCAAGAGTGCGGGGTGGATGTTGACCATTCGATTTTCGTACGCTCGACAAAGTTCGGGCGGAATCAGTCGTAAATATCCAGCCAACAGCACGAACTCGGCGCCGTGTTCGCGCGTCAGCGCGTCGACGAGCGCGTCGGCGGTTAATCCACCCGTTTCGTTCTTCTTCGCTGGATAAATCAACACGGGAATTCCTCGTTCGCGCGCCCACTCGGCGCCGCCGCACGTCGCCGCGTTGGTCACCACGCACGCCACGCGCCCTCGCACCTCCCCTCGCTCGCACGCGTCGTGTATCGCGCGCATGTTCGACCCACCGCCGCTAACGAATACGGCCAAGTTCGCGCGCGCGTCGTCGTCGCGCGCGCTCGACGACGCCGACGCGGAGGCACTGTTACGCGCGCGCAGCTGCCCTCGCGGCGGCTCCGTCGCGCCACCGTGCGCGCGCCGCACGCCTCTGCGCGCGCTCGCGCGCGCGCGCGCGGGAGCGACGAGATGTGCGCTCGCCGTGGACATGCCTTCGAGCGCGCCGAACGCTCGACGCGCGCGACTGTGACGCTCTCGCGCGGCGCGCCGCGCGACTCTTCCTCCGCTTAAACGCGTTCGCATACAGGACTAATCGCTATCGCTACTTTCATCGCTATCGACGTACGTGCGCACCCGTCGTCGGTTTCTATTCGCCACGAGCGGCGGTAACCCGTCGTCCGAGCCCTCGTCGTCGTCTTCGTCCGCCGAGCCGTCGCGCGCCTCGCCGCCGTCCCGAGCCGTCGCGCGCGCCCGCGCCTCGTCCTCCTCCAGCGCTCCCGCGAGCTCGCGCAGCGCGCACCCCGTCCCGCGTTCTTCGCTCTCGAACGCTTTCGGCCACGTCCCGTCGTCCCTTCGTCGCATCTCCTTCACTTGTTCCGCGTACAGCACCCGCCGCAGCTCGCCCGTCACCTTGACGTCGTCCCGTCCCTCGAGCTCGCGCGCGTCCACGAACCTCGCCACCACGTGCGTCCCGGCGCGGAACCACGCGAGCTTTTTAAACTTATTCGGCACGCGCACGAGCGTCGTGCCGCCCGCGTCGTCGTCGCCGCGCTCGACCTCGACCAAGTTGGCGCCGCACACCGCCGTGACGCGGCACACGACGTCGCCGTCCTCGAGCGTCACCGCGAGCTCGTTCGCGAGCGCGTGCACGTGCTTGCGGCGGTGCGACATCACCGCGCGTTCGTCGCCGCGCGCGTCGCGCGCGCGTCGTCGCGGCGCGCGTCGTCGCGGCGCGTCGCGTCGTCGCGGCGCGCACTGCGGACGACCGCGCGCGCGACACACCGCGACGCGTCGACGCGTCGACGCGCGCGCGCGAGAGACGCGCGAGAGACGCGCGAACGCGCGACTGTCGACGCGAACGCGCGCGCGCGACGCGGGACGCGCGCGACGGCGGGTCGAGACTGGATTGGATTGGCTGGCGTCTCCGCGACTCGATCGATGAGCGCGCACGAGGCCGACCACGTGGCGCTGAAGTGCGTCGTCGTCGGCGACGGTGCGGTCGGGAAGACGTCCATGCTGATGTGCTACGCGACGAACACGTTCCCGACGGATCACATGCCGACGATTTTTGATAATTACAGTAAAAACGTGCGCGCGAGAGACGGGCGGACGGTGAGCGTGGGGCTGTGGGACACCGCTGGACAAGATGAGTACGCGGCGTTTCGACCGCTGAGCTATGAGAACGCGGATGCGATGTTGTTGGCGTTTTCGTGCGATTCTAAGGAGAGCTACGAGAGCGTGGAGACGAAGTGGGCGGAGGAGTTGCGCGCGAAGGCGCCGAAGACGCCCATCGTGTTGGTGTGCACCAAGATTGATTTGCGAGACAGTGGGAAAGGGGTCGTGAGTCGCGCGCAGGGAGAGGCATTGGGTGATCGAATCGGCGCGACGGCGTACGTGGAGTGCAGTGCGCTGACGCAGAATGGATTGCCCGCGGTGTTTGACACCGTCATAGACGTGCACTTGCACCCAGAGCTGTTCGAAAAGTCGAAGCCTGGATGCTGCGTCGTTCAATAGAAGCGATCGCGGGTTAGCATAGCTGTATCTTTGTTCTTCTACTTCTACTTCTACAGTACTTCTACATTTCTAATATCACGACGTTGAGTTGCGAATGTTCGCCAGGACGTTTAGCTTGACGTCTTCGTCGCAAAACGCAAAATCCATCGCGCGAGTCGACATGTCGCGAATTTCGTCATCCGTCAGCCCGAACGTTTCCGCCGCGATGGCATACTCGCGCGATAGCGATGTCTGAAAGACCCACGTGTCGTCAGTGCACAAACAAATCGGGTGTCCCGCGCTTCTCAATTTGGCAAAGTGATGCTCCGCGAAGCCGGCGCACGAACGCGTCTTCACGTTGGACGTCAAACACAGCTCGACAGGAATCTTACTCGCGAGTAAATCTCGAAGCAAGCTCTCGTCACGAACAGTGTACACGCAGTGCCCTAATCTGTCAGGGCGAAACGCTATGAATGCTCGTTGTTCAGCCTCCGTATTCGCGACTTCGCCGTTGTGCAAGCTCGTCCCCAATCCATGCGCCCTCGCCTTTTCGAACGCGGCGACGTATCGATCCCAATGCCCGACCACGGGAGAACCGCTCAAATCCACACCGACGACGCCTCTCTCTTTATATTTGATCGCCAAATCGATCGTCTCCATCGCCTTGCTCGCGTCGTCGTCTCGCGCGCGGTCCACGCTAAGAATGATCCTCGCCGCGAGCTCCCCATCCGCGCCGTCTCCACCGCACCGACCGCACGCGTCCTCCAATCCACTCAACACCGCCTCGACGTAGCGCTCCTTCCCGATCTGTTCCTTCGGCGTCGTGCGTAGCTCCAAGTATCGCGCTCCGTCCCGCGCAAAGTCTTCGCAGACTTCGCGCGTCACCCGTCGCAGCGCCGCCGCGTCGTCGACGCACGCGTGCACGAGCTTAAAAATCTCAAAGCACGCGAGGAGATCGCGATCGCTCGCGAGCGCGCGCTCGCACTCGCGCTCGAGCCCCCGCGCTGCCGCGAGTTCCAGTAGAGTGTCCTCGCGCACGCAACCGTTGACGTGCGCGTGCAGCTCGACGCCGCACCTCGCGCGCGCGAACGCCGCGGCGCGGCGCGCCCGCGCGTCGTTCTTCGCGTCGTCGCTCCGCATGCGCGCCGTCGCGCGTCGTCGCGCGCGACACTGCCGCCGCCGCCACTAAACTCCACGCACGCGCGAGCGCGCCGACGCGTCATGTCGCCCGCCGCGCGCGCGCGCGACGCCGACGACGCCGACGACGCCGACGACGCGTCGCCGCGCGCGTTCAAGCGACACAAGACGGACGAAGACGCCGTGCTCGCCGCGGGCGGGCGCCGCATCGCGCCCACGGGCGGCGGGCACGGGTGTCTGCACGACGTCGTTCGACCGCGCGGTGACGCGAGCGCGATGACGCGAGACGAGGGAAGGATCGAGGTCCCCGAAGTCCCGGCGAAGTCGTACGCGTTCGAGCTGGACACGTTTCAGCAAAAGGCGGTGGAGTGCTTGGAGCGGGGGGAGTCGGTGCTGGTGAGCGCGCACACGTCGGCGGGGAAGACGGTGGTGGCGGAATACGCGATCGCGATGGCGATACGAGACGGACAGCGCGTGGTGTACACGTCACCGTTGAAGGCGCTGAGTAATCAAAAGTATCGCGAGCTGAAGGAGGAGTTTGAGGACGTGGGATTGATGACGGGGGACGTGGTGATAAATCCGAGCGCGTCGTGCCTGGTGATGACGACGGAGGTTTTGCGATCGATGCTGTATCGGGGAGGGGAGGTGATGCGCGAGGTTGGGTGGGTGATTTATGATGAGATTCATTACATGCGGGACAGCGAGCGAGGGGTGGTTTGGGAGGAGTCCATCGTGTTGTTGCCGGACATGGTCAAGTACGTGTTTCTATCGGCGACGATTCCGAACGCTCGAGAGTTCGCGGAGTGGGTGTGCAAGACGCATAATCAACCGTGTCACATCGTGTACACTGACTTTCGTCCGACGCCGTTGGAGCATTACGTCTTCCCGGCGAACGGAGAGGGGATATTTTTAGTCATGGATCGGCAGTCCAAGTTCAGGGACAGCAATTTCGAGCAAGCCGTCACCGTCATCGCCGACGGCGGCGGCGCGGCGGCGGCACGCGTGGCCAATCGAGCGCGAGGTGATGATGGAAAAAAGGAGGCAGTTAACCAGGACATCTTTAAAATCATCCGTATGGTCGTCGAGCGCAACTACGATCCTGTGATTGTGTTCGCGTTCAACAAACACGAGTGCGAAAAGATGGCTAACTCATTACACAAAGTTGATTTGTGCGACGAAGACGAGAAAAAGCTCATCGACACGATTTATTGGAACGCCATGGACTCGTTGTCGGACGAAGACAAACGATTGCCTCAAGTCGCAAATTTGCCAAACCTTTTACGACGAGGTTTGGGTGTGCACCACTCGGGACTGCTGCCGATTTTGAAGGAGGTGATCGAGATTTTATTCCAGGAAGGCTTGATCAAAGTGCTCTTCGCCACGGAGACCATGTCGGTGGGACTGAACATGCCGGCTCGCACGGTCGTGTTTTGCTCTCCTCGAAAGTTCGACGGCGCTGGTTTTCGTTGGATCACGTCTGGCGAGTACATTCAAATGTCTGGTCGAGCCGGTCGTCGCGGCAAGGACGACCGCGGTTTGGTAATCTTGATGATGGATGAGCGTATGGATCCGCCGGTGGCGAAGAACATGTTACACGGGCAATCTGATACTCTTGATAGCGCATTTCACTTGAACTACGCAATGATTTTGAACCTGATGCGCGTCGAAGGTGCTGAGCCAGAGTCGCTCATTCAATCGTCGTTTGCGCAATTCCAAAACGATCGCGCGTTGCCGGGTCTGGAGGCGAAGATTGTCGAGATACAGAAGGATCGGGACGCGGTGAAGATTCACGACGAAGACAGCGTCGACGAGTATGTCAAGCTCAAAGACGGCCTCGATGCCATGATTCGAGAACGTCGTGTCGTCACCAACACTCCAACGCACGCGGTGCCGTTTTTGCAGCCTGGTCGATTGGTGCGCGTGTGCACAAAATCGCCGTCGATTTCGTCTACGTATGACGAGGAAGACGATTCGATTAGAATTCCCGTACCAGGAACGGAGCCGGGTGAAGAGGACGTCGTTTGGGGCATGATTGTGTCTTTCGAGCGCATCGGTGGCGGTGGAAAATCTGGGAAAGCGGCGTACGGGGTCGACGTTCTGGTGCGCACGCGCGAGAATAGTGACGGTAAGACTCCGTTATCATCAAAGAGTAAAAACGATAGATACGAGTTTTTGAATGCGAACGAGGAGGACGATTCGTCGGAGCCGCGGGTGATTCGAGTGCCCCTCGAGCAGCTCGATGTATTGAGCAGCGTTCGCGTATACTTGCCGAAAGACTTGCATCCACGCGAGGCGAGAGATCAGTGCATTAGCAGTGTGGGGGAGGTCATCAAGCGGTTCCCTGATGGCGTGCCGGTTTTGGATGCCACGCGAGATCTGAAGATCGATAGTGAAAACTTCTCCAAGCTCTTAAAGCGAATCGACGGCATCAAGTCGATGATGAAGAAGCACCCCGTCGCCTCAAGTGAAAGGCTCGTCGAACAGCTCTCAGCGCACAAGAGAAAACGTGAGCTCTCCATCGCACTGAAGCAGGCGAAGAAAAACGCAAAGGCTGCCGCTGGACTGATCATGCGCAATGAGCTGAAGCAGATGCGTCGCGTGCTCAAACGACTCGGGCACACGAGCGCTGAGGGCGTGGTACAAACGAAGGGAAGAGTGGCGTGCGAACTCGCCTCGGTCGACGAGCTCGTCACCGCGGAGCTCATCTTCAACGGTATGTTCAAAGAAGTCGATGTTGATATGCTCGTCGCTTTGGTTTCGTGCTTGGTGTGGCGCGAGAAGTCGCGCAACACACCCAAGCTTAGCGAAGAAACCGCGGAAGTGTTTTCGCGCCTGAAGGATGTTGCGCGCAAAGTCGGGAAACAAATGATGGAGTGTAGGATGAGCGTGGACGTCGAAGAGTACGTAGAGGGCTTTAGGAGCGAGCTCATGGAAATCATGCTCGCGTGGTGCAAAGGGAATAAATTTGCAGAGATTATGAAAATGACAGATTTGTTCGAAGGTTCCATAGTGCGCGCCATTCGGCGTGTCGAGGAGGTTTTGCGCCAACTGTCTGACGCGTGTCGGGTCATAGGCGAGACTGAACTTCAAGAAAAGTTCACAATCGCGAGCGAAAAAGTGAAACGCGACATAGTGTTCGTCGCGAGCTTGTTCCTTTAGCGTGGTTGTAACTCACGCGTACGTAGTGATAGCAAGAATGTCCTTCCGTCTTCTTACAAGAGATAAACTCGGCTTCGTCTAACACGAAACCGCGAAATCCTAGTGAATGCAAACGGCTCACCACTGCGAGCGCTCGCGCCAACCCCCCATCTAGTCACGATATCGATCGTTTAGTTGCTCTTAGAGCCCGATCGAAGGCGCGCCTGTTGCTTGCGCGTGAGCTTCACCGGCTCCGCCTCGCGCTTGACGGCCTCCACCTTTTCGCTGAGCGTGATCTCAACGTGGCACGGGTTGGACATGTACGGGTTGATGCGACCGTGCGCACGGTACGTGCGCCGACGCTGCGGGATGGCCTTGTTGCACTGGATGTGCGACACGGACAAGTTCTCAATGTCCAAGCCCTTCGTCTCCGCGTTGCTCTTGGCGTTGGCGAGCAAACCGAGCACGGCTTCCGCCGCCTTCTTCGGCCAGCGGCCTTGACCGTTCGTCGAACCTTCGTTCTTCGCCTGCGCCGTGCGACCAACACCACCGCAGAAGCGACGGAAAACGACGCATCGCTTCATCGCGAGGACATCCTTCAAGTATTGCTCCGCGTCCTCGAGCTTCTTACCCTTCAACATCATGCACGTCTCGCGCATGTTCTTGAACGAGATGCGAAGGTCCGACGCGCGCGCCTTGCACGACTTTTCGGCATCTTCCGGTTCTCTCGCGTACTTCACCATCTGTTTTTCAACCGCGCGTCCATCGCGTTCGTCGTCAGTCGTCGCGTTCGTCTTCGTCGCCCGATGCCGCTAGGGCTTTCTCAATAGGGTCACCGCCGCTCGCGCGCGCCTCCAGCGCCGCCATCTCGCGCGCGCCATCTCCCACGACGAACGCGCGCGCTCGATCGTAATCCTTCGCGCGATCCAAGCGCGCGCGCGTCGTCCACCCCCTTTCGCGCGCGCCGAGCCGCCGCATCGTAAAGCCCCGCGTCGTCGCCGTCGATCACCGCGCGTCGCGCCCTCCGCGCGCGTTCGCGTCGCCGACCGCGCGCGTCGCCGACCGCGCGCGCCACCGCGCGCGACGCGAATCATCGCGCGTCGCGCTCGCGCGCGTCGTCGCGTCGTCTCGCACCTTCTCGTCGTCGGCGTCGCGTAAAGGCGGACGGCGCGTCGCGCGCCCTCGACGCCTCGAGGCGCGCGCGGTGTGATTTCACTCAAAACGCACGCACATGGGCTCGATCGACGTACAAAGCGATGCACGAGTCGCATTCAAAGGAGTGAAAACGCTAAGATTTCGAACCTTTGGGTTTCGAACGTTGGCGGTCGTTCGCCGCACTGCGCGACGGCGACGGATGTCCATCTTCGGCGCGCCTTCGACGCCCGTCGCGGGCGCGAGCGCGCTTTTCGCGCCCGCGGTGACGACGCCGGCGAACGTCGGTGGGACGCCGCGCGCGACGGACGCGAACGGGGACGATGCGCGACGTAAAAGCGACGGATGGTCGCCGGCGTCGCGGTATCAAAATCTGCTCTCGAGCGTGCGCGCGCTCGAGCACGGACGCGCGAGTGAACGCGATCGAGAGCGCGCGCGGCGGGCGCTGAGGGTGAACGAGACGCGGTTGCGGGAGATGACGTTCTTTGAGGGACGGAACGCGGGAGACGCCGCGCGAGTGGCGAGCGGGCGGGCGACGCTCAGTCACGGGGGCGAGGCGCGGTTGGGGGAGCTGGACGTCGAACACGCGAGCGCGATCGCGGTGGCGTTGGATTTGAATGAAATAGTGAGCGTTGAACTTATGGTGGGGGCGATAGAGCACGGCGCACCTGCGGATGACGTGGTGCCGGCGGCGATTGGGATTTACATGCGCGAACGCGCCGCGGCGCTCGAGTCGTTGCTGGCGGTGTTGCGATGCGCGGACGGGACGGCGCCGTTGGACGGGGTGATGGATGAAGAATTGAAAGATTACGCGGACGGTTTGTTGCGCGATGGCGCGCTGTTTGCGCGATTAGTGAAGCTCGTCACCGCGCCGCCGCCGGGTGGACCATTTTTAGTCGCGCCGACCGTGCCGACGCAACACGTCGGCGGGCCATTGGCGCTCGCGGGGCAGCAGCAACAGGCGACGACGTCGTCATCATCACAAGAGCGCTTGCTCGGACCTTTAGACAAGTTAGTAGATATCCGCGGCCGTCCGATCTTACGGCAAGAGTGCGTGGCGCACGAGCGACGACTCGTCGTCGAGTGCCTGTTCCACTCGGCGCGAGTGTCAACAAGCTTGAGTTCGGAAAATGCGCAAGCACTCTTGGTGTTGGCGGGACGCTCTGCGGAAGCGATGCGAGACCTGGAGAAGGTTGCGGTGGAAGACATGCCGACGGGTTACGGTACGATTTTTGCCGCGGCTGCGATGTTTACGCCGACGCTATCCGGCGTCGAGGCGGCAGTACCGAAGACAGACTTGGCCAAGGCAGTAGCGACAACGATCAACTCCCCGAACGCACCTCCGTTATTTTCATTCGTTCGATTTGCCTGGGCGATCTTAGCGCTTGATCTCGGTCTAAGCGAAGCCGAGGAGGCCATTAAGGAAAGTCTGAAGAATGACGCGCTCGAAGCCATCGATCTGGTGTTGAAGACTGGAGTTTTCCAAGACGATCACACTGTCGCGCGGACGCAAAACCTGGAGCTCGTGCACATCATACTTTCGCGATATCTTCATCACAATCTGCGGAAAACATCTTTGCATCGAATGCTCACGGATGGTACTGCTGTTAGGGAGCCATTTGTCGAAAACGGGCTCACAATTGAAATCGACGCGGCAAAACCCATGGCGGATGTCTGCTCCGTCTTTGCCGAGCTGTACAAGCAAGAACCTAAACTCGCAAAGGCATGCGCTGGGTTGAAGAGCTTCCTTGAGATTTCTGGTGATAGCGAGCACTCCGTCGGTTCGCTCGTCAAGCTTCTCGAGCTTTGCACGACGATAGCTCAAACGAGCGAAGATGCTCGGCGTATTTTTGAGCTCTTACAGCGCAGCCAAGGCGCGGCAAACTGGGATCGCTTGCTAGGGGCATTAATTGGCTACGTTCAGCGCTTTATGTCGAGCCCCGATGATTTAATCGACGCCGGGGAAGAGTTCGATCCTCGCGAAGGCGATCCAGAAATGAACGAAGCCGACGCAGAGGGCTTGCGCGCGTATCTCGCCGTGTTCAAGGCGGTGATGGAGAATGCCGAGCGCGCCGAGGCGGCGCACTGGCTGATGTGGTTAGAACACAGGATTGGGGCGGCTTTGATGGACGCCTTATTGCAGCTTTACATTAATCCCGTTCCACTGCACCTCAAAGCGGCGCTTCTCGACGCCATCGGTGCGTTATGCTGGGATCAAAACACCGCGTTTGACGTTTGGCAACTGCTCGACCAGGCTGGCATATTGCCGAACCCTATGCAAACAGGCTTGTTGCAAACGGCGACTTCGCAGCGTTCGGATGTCTCCTATATATACTCTATGATCGAGACGCACGAGCACAAGTACGAGAGCACCACTGGGTGGCTGCGATTGATTGGTAAACTTTTAGCGATGACGAGAGACATCGAAAACGGTCCTTGCGCCGATGGTGGTAGCCCATCGTGGTTCCACACTCGGTTCATTCGGGATAGGCTTTTGGGGGAGTTGGGTACGCGAGTGCACGTCGACCAAACGGAGCGATGGGTCATGGCGCGCGACTGCGTCGATCACTTGCTCTTCATGTTGCGTTTGTACGAAGACACCATGATCTCATCCTTCACGGTCGAGGACGTGGATTCGGCGAGTTTGGATGCGCCACTTGCTATTGGTTACGGTGAACCGTCCAGTGTGCTCGCCCTTCGAAGTGCGGAGCACACGCGAGGCGACGTCGAGCGCCCCAGCACGCCGGGTGCTGATATCCTCACCGACTTTTTGACATCTGGATCAACCTGTCAAATGGTGATGAACATTCTCTCCATCGGTGCCGAGTCGCTGAGTTTTGAGCGTCACGCGCGTCACGGTGATGCGTTGGAAGATTGCGTTCTGGGCGCGTTGCAACTTTTGGATTACATCCTTTCTATCGATCAGCGCGCGGTCGCAAAATTGCGCGCCAAGCACAAGGATGCAGTTTTTTATCGCACTTTAGATGAGGTGCTCTCGGCAGACATGACGCAGATGGCGAACATCCTGGGGTACGTTCAGTACAAGTATAACCCGGAGATCACATACACGGCGTTGAAAATATTGCGCGTGCTCTGTCAACGAGTCGAGCACATCGTTGCGTTGCTTCCACCGGCGTCGCGTGCCGCCATCGTCGAGGGCTGCGCGAGCTGCTTGGAGCTTGCGTTCGCGATGGTGCCTCCGGGAGACGAAGAAATTCCTCTCGAGGAAAGCGCTTCGAGTGCGGTCGACTGTGCAACATTAGTTTTCGAACTGTTGCATGAAAATCTCGAACGCGCTGGTGCGAATATGTCTCACCTGCTGCTCGGTTTTGACATCACGGGCGCATCGAGCGAAATCGAGGTTTCACCGTTCACTGAGTTCAACTGTTTGAGCGTCATACTCGAACTTCTTGAAGCAGCGCCACCGTCAATGCACGCGAGCGTCGTCTTGCCGTATCAAGCACCGGAGCTCGCGGCAGATCTTTTACAGCGTTTGGCGACGTGCAAATCGACGGCGCCGCCTACCTTGGCTCTTCTCGAGCAATGGCCGCCGCACGCGCCAACGTTGGCGTTGTCTGATTTGCTCTCCGATGCGTTACGCACCGAGCTTCCAAAGGAGCCATCGAAGAGGCGATCGGTGATGCACCATCGCTCGAGCATTTTGCGCTTATGTGCAGAAGTTCTCGAGGTTGAGGCACCGCCAGCGAAGGGCCGAGTACCGGAAATGGCGCCAACGCTGGTGTTGGATATCATGAATGTGTTGTTGGACAACGGGCGCGAGGGTCTTGGTGCATACACACATGATCCCAACGTAGAGCACGGGCAGTTCGCTGTTCTGGAATTGCCGAAGAGCGTCACCCAATTGTCGGAGACGAGCACCGAGCTCGCACTTTTGGCGAGCTTTGGCGACGACGTGAATGAAATGAGAGAAGAGCTTTCGGCGACACAGCTTTTGGACGATTCCAGAAATGTCGCTGAAGGTGGTATCATGACAACCAGTCGGCGGGGAGACAAGGTAATTGATGCAAGCGTCGTGAGAGCGAAGCTTCAGGCAGAGTGCAGGCGACTTGACTCTGAGTCGCACCACATGCATGGTGTGAGACAAGACGCGATGGAATTCGTGAAGAGCCGTCGCGAGCGCGCAATCAACGCTACTTTGCGCATTGTCGAAGCTCGCAACAGTGTGATCGAGGATGCCACGGCTAGATCCGAAATATTCCTCGCCTGGGAGAAGCTCGTCACTCTCGCAGTGTCCCGAGGTTTGTCCAGCATCGTGACCTATTTCGATTTGCGAAACGCGTCTGTGACGACGGCGGCGGTTGACGACAGTCCCTTGAGCTCGCACAGCATTCTCTTCGAACTCGTTGATGGCATCTTAAGTGGCTTGTGTGAAGCCGAACCTTTTGGTGGTGGCTCTGACAGTGCCAAAGCGGCGCCGTTTTGTCGTCTGGTCCATGTCATTGTTTCACAGCTTCGTCAGCTTGGGGAACAGGATCGCGCGAAGGGCAACACGAGCGCCGTGCTTGCGCCGTCCAAGTGCCGAGCCTTGCTCCGTAGTCTGATTGCATCGATGCTCCATCGTACCCCCGTCCCTCAAGTGTCCCGTTTGGACATAATCAGCGCTTTACTAGACTATCTGGCATACTGCAGGCCTGACACTGACGGCGTCAGCCCAGTTACAAAGCAAGGTCAAGCCGTCGCCGGAACGAGCGTGGCGTTCTCGCAGGTGATGGACATTGATATCGAGAAGGGTAACGCCGCTATCATTCAACGCGATGCAACTGCGCTCGTTGATTTGATTTCGCGCGATGCCAAAGAAGGCTCGAATGACACGAAAGCGATTACCTTGGGGGCGCTCGAGGCCATGGTGGCGGTGTGTTCGGGCACGGGCGTCGGCGGCATCGAAGTTTTGCTTTTGCAAAACGACATCGCAAAGTCGTGCTTGCGCGAATTAGAGTGTGTTTCGATGCCAGATTTGGTCTTGAACACGCCGCGCGCTGCGGCGCATTCCAAAGCGATTGAAGCGTCGCTTTCTCTCTTGCTCCGAATGGCGCAAAGTGAACCGAGTCAAATGGTTGCTCTCGGTACCCTCGTGTCGTTGACGCGCTGCCGCGCCATTGATGCGTATGCTGACATACACAGTGCGTCGGCAGCGACGGCGACCATGGCGGTCGATGCGCCGTTTTCAGATCTACCCATTCCGCGCGCGCGTCATCACAAGCTCTTGGTGAATGTGATTCGTCTCGTCGGTAGTCTTCTTGCCGCCGCGCCGCAACCAAAACCGGTGCCGTCGCCGACGCTCGGGCAATATCCGGGCGCTATCGTCGAAAGCGATGGCATCCCCGCGGTTATCTCTCAGACGCTTGAATTCGTAGAAGCTCACGCGGCGGTGATCCATCGCGTGCTTGCGGACCGAGCTTCGCGCCCACATCTCGCAGACTTGGCCGAGCTCGAAGCCACAGTGAACTTGGTGACGAGATTGCTCAAAGGTCCCGTCTTACCAGATCCAAAGCTGCGACTTCACGGCGCAATGGACGTGCTCACAATGACCGTATGTTCGGAGTCGAACAAATATGTAAAGTACGTGTCGAAGACGCTCGGAAAATCCTCCGCGGGCGACGACATGATGCTCGCGGCCTCCGATGACTTGCGCGCACTCGACGCCGCGGATCGCATGTGGAGGCGTTTCATCAGCATAAGAAGCATGATTCTCAGCGTACAACGCGTACTAGTCAATAAGGGTCTCACGAAGTTTACTTTTGCCGCTTCTGATGGCGTTGTTGGAGACGAAAGACCGACGGTGCATTTATTCGGCACCGTCGTGATGCGCCTTTCGCTCGAGCTCAGCCAACTCGCCGATGCCAGGCGAGATGCGCTGAAATCGATCGATCACTACAAAATTCTGCGCGATGGGAGCGTGACCGAATCCGACTTGCTCGCTCGAGTGGCGCTAGTCGAATCAGACATCCGCACAGTTGTCATCTCTACGGAGAACGCTCTCGAGGTGCTGTACGCGCACCTTCAACCTCTAGTGTACAGTGGCGATGACGATAGCTTGGTCGCCCCTTCCATGGAACTGAACGGGGGTAAAACGCGAACGAGCGAGTTCGGTGTTTTGGCGTCGTTCATGCTCCCCGGGTTACATTCTCTCATCCAATTTGAGAAGTCCACGCTCGGTTTGGACACGGAATTCATCAACATGCTCGCGAGGAGGGTGCGAGATTCACTGGAAACGAGTGACCCGACGGCGCACAGAAATCGATTTGGAATAGCCTAAAGATAGCCATTTTGATACAATACAGCAGCTAGTTCTACAACGCACGTTCTACAGCGCATTATTGCCTTTAAACCTGTTCGAGTACTTCAACATGAAGGATTCGGCGGCGAGTCGACACCGCATCGGTTCGAGAGCCTTTTGCCCGCGCTCGTCGGCGTTTTTGCGCGTCAAGTACTCTATGACGGCTGGAGTGACTCGTTTTCGAACCCACTTCATCACGGGCAGCACGACGTGTTGCTCGGCATCGTACGTGTTGTGCTCACACCCTTCTTGCACGAACAAATTCATGGACGCCGGTCGCGTCGGTTCGCCCTCGGCTCTGGCCTCGTTCGCCACGCGCATGGCCTCGAGTAAGTTTTGAGAATGCGAAAACGGAATCACGGTGTCTTTGTCTCCGTGCATCACCAGCACTGGACATTCCACTTCCGCGAGGTTCTCCCGGTTATTCCACCTATCGGCGAGCAAGTAACTCGCCGTCGCGCCGATGTACCCGCTCGCGACGTCGCGAATGGACGTGTACGGGCTCTGGAGCACCAAACCCGCGGGCGGTCCCCCCTGTGCGCACATCATTCGCGTGATCCAACACGCCGGTCCTGTGCCGATGGATCGACCCATTATGATCATTCTCGACTGCGAAACGTTGAGATACTTTACGCAATACTTCACCGTAGCCTTGACGACGGCGTTGACGCTCTCCTCGTGCGCGACGCCTTCGGTGACGCCGTACCCTGGAAACTCCGGCACGATGACGTGTGCCTTCAGCCCGACCGCGATCTTCGTCGCCTCCATCGCGCAATCTCCCACATCGCACGCGTTCCCGTGCGCGTACACCACGAAGTACTCTCCCGCGCACCTGTCGTCTCCGTTCGTCGCCCCCTTGGTTCGCATGATTCGCAGCGCGCACGTCGTCATCCCATCGCTCGTCCGTCCGTCCCCGACCGCGCTCGACCCTCCGCACGACGTGTGCGCCCTTCGTTCGCGAATCTCCAGCGCCACCAGCGTCCGTCTGTACGTCACGCTCGCGTCGATCGGATCCGCGACGTCGCCCGCGAACGGCGCGCCTCGCCAATCGTACGACGCCGCGCCCCCCTCGAGCGCCCTTCCCGGAAACATCACCCATCGCACCGGATCCGCCCGCGCGCGCATCCACGTCATCGCCGATCCCGTCGCCGTCGCGATCGGCGCCGTCGCCGTCGCCGCGTCGTCGCCGCGTCTCGTCTCGCGTCTCGCGCCGTCGCGCGCGTCCCGCGTCGGCGCTCCGCGCGCGCGCGCGCGCCGATCGCGCGCGTCCGCGCCGTCGACGACGGCGCGCGCGCGCCGACGCGCGTCGTCGTCGTCGGCGCGTTGTCCCGTCGGCGGTCGCGACGCGAGCGCGCGCGCGCGCGTCGTCGCGTCCGTCGCGTCGGTCGCGTCGGTCGCGTCGGTCGCGACGTCGACGCGCGCCGCTCGAACGCGCGCCATCGCGCGACGACGACGAGACGACGACGACGTCGTCGGACGCCGCGTCGGCGTGCGACGTCGGCGCGCGCGTCGCGCGCGCGTTCGTCGGTCGGTCGCGCTCGCCATCCATCCATCCATCCATCCGACCGACCGACCGATCTCACACAATACCATCTCACAATACGACAAAGCTCACGTACTCTACGCCCACGAATACCAAAGAAGCGACGACGCGCACACGGAAACGCGCGCGGCACAGGACGCGCGCGCCCGCTCGTCGCGATTGCGCCGCGCGTCGACGCGCCGTCGCGCGCGATGGCGACGCGCGCGCGCGGGAAGGTGCGCGTGCGATGCGGATAAAAATGACGCGCGTCGTCGTCGACGCGGAGGACGCGGGACGCGCGAGACGACGACGCGAGATGCGCGCGATGGCGCGATTGACGTTGAAGCGCGCGATGGCGGACGCGCGCGAGGACGGACGACGACGGACGACGATGAGCGGACGCGCGACGGACGCGCGACGGCGAGGGCGGACGATTTGATCGCGCGCGCGATGGCGCGTCGTCGCGTCGCGCGGCGATGGGAGGGGCGGAGGGGAGGGGTCGTCGATTCCGAGAAAGCGAAAGCTGACGCGATCGCGGGCGAACGTCTCGGAGGCGGGACTGACGCGCCGCTGCGCGCCGCGACTGCGCAGGTGAAGTGGTTCAACGCGACCAAGGGATTCGGGTTCATCATACCGCACGATGGAAGCGAAGAGATATTCGTGCATCAAACGGGGATCTCGTGCGCGGGATTCCGGTCGGTGTGGGAGGTGAGGCTGGAGCGAAAACACCAACCGGCGCAACCGGCGCGCAGGGGCCCCTGGCGTTTCGCAATTTCGAAATGGAAATATGAACGGTGATCCCGACTGACGGTGGATGCGTTTACGCGCGCGCGCAGGGTGAGGAGGTTGAATACGATGTCGACGACACCGACTTCGCGCCCAAGGCGGTGAACGTGACTGGGCCGGATGGCGTCGCGGTGAAAGGGGCGCCGAGGCGACGGCATCGGAACCGGTTGACGAAGCAGAAGGCGAAGACCGATACCACGGAACCCACGATCGCGGAGAAAACGGATTGAGTGATCTGATCGAATCATGAAAATAGTTGTGCGCATCTCCGCGAGAGGAAATTTGAATTGACGCATCGTGGCGACGCCCGCGGGGCGCGGCGATACCCGGCGCGTCGCCGGGCGCGCGCGCGCGTTTACGACTTCGACGAGACACCGGCTTAACCATTAGCACCACCCATGAACACCCTGGCCGTAGCGCCATTCTCGTCGTTAGCACCGCTGACGCGCTCCGTAGACGCTGCTCGGCGCATATAATAAGCAGAACACGCGTGACTCGACGACGCGATTTTCGCCTCGCGCCGACTGCGCGCGCGGAGCGAGCGGGACGCGACGTCATGACACCACCACCCCAGTCTCGCGCGCGTCCCGAGCTCCCGTCGACCACACATCGGTCGATGGTAACCGACGAAGTCTTGCGCGAGTTATGCGAGCGTTTTAAGACCAACGGCTACGTCGTCGTGGAGGATTACCTCGATGATTACGTCGTACGGGCGTGTTTGAACGAATTCGAAACCGTGCTCAGGTGCGCCGACGCGCTGGGTCTACGACGCCGAAAACGCGTACAGCGACATCAAACTGACGCGTTCATCGCGGGCGCAGGGCGAGAGTCGGGAACGAGGGCGATGAAGATGCGCGTTTCGGTCGATTGGAGGCGCTCGGTTGCGTGGCGCAGGTGAACGCGCCGCGAGAGGCGGACGCGTACGACGCAAACGTGAACCATCGCGCTCGAGGGCGGTCGAGCGTGTGCGATGCCATCGTTTCCGAGACGCTGACTCGAAAAGGAGCGATAGGATCGATCGCGATCGCGCTCCTGGGTCACGACGATACGCGACTCTTCAACGACCAGTACGTCGCCAAGCCGCCGGCGAGAGCAGATTCGGCGCTTCGTGCGTCGTGCTTTGAGTGGCATCGCGACAGCCAGTGGTGTGATGACGGGGAAGATGGTTCAAACGTGCCGTATTTGAGTTGTTGGGTCGCGTTGGATGACGTGAGCGAGGAGAACGGGACGCTGCGCATGTTGCCGTATCCGCCAGCGGCGAGCGAGGCGACGCATAGAGAACGAGCGAGTGCGTACCCTCCGATGAGTGATTTGCCATCGCCTATGTCCGGAGACGCGTGCGAGGATTGTGGTCGATTGTTGACTATCCGTGCCGGCTCGGTGGTGTTCTTCAGCGACGTCGTCTTTCACTGCAGCGGCCCGAATCTTAGCGAGTCGATTCGTCGTGCGTGGATGCCGCAGTTTTCTGCGGGTCCCATCGTGCGCGCAGACGGCTCCCCGGTGAGTCTAGTCGCGCGAATAGAGTAGCGTATATGTGTATTAGCTCATATTGATAGTCTAGAGTATTCGTTTAATCGTCTATTTGGTATCGTCGTCATACAAAATTCAAATGCCGCCCTCGTTGATCATGGCGATTTCCCCATATTATTCAACGCAGCTTGCTCGAGTCGTTTGCGATCCAGGGCGCGCTCTTTCTTCCCGCGCCGCTTAACCTTGGTGTGGTTCTTTCGTTTCTCGGTCTGCTCGTTCAGCGCTTCTTGCGCTTTCGCCGGCGTAGCGGGGGCATTGATCACGTGCGTGTCTGGTAATTCCGATCGGCGCATTTCTAATTCCGAACGCCCATGGAGTTTGGGCGGGACAGCCGGTGGTGGTCCTGGTGGCATTGGCGGTGATCCCGATCGCATGAGGTTTATCAACTGCTGAGACTTGCCCTTGTGCGGCGCGAAGTTCGGCATCGGCTGAGCGAACCCAGGAGAGAGCGCCGCGTGACCGCCTGGGACAGGGTGAGAACCGAAAAATTGCGGAGATGGCACCCGAGGGGGGTAACCATGCGGAGGCTGAATCATGGGAGGCATACCGGGTGGTGGTATTGGCACCGAATGCATCGGTGGATACAACACTGGAATCGGTTGCGCAGTCATCATCGGCGGCTGGTGCGCCCGGAGAGGTGGAGGAACGCCGTAAAGCGAAGCTTGAGGAATCGAAATCGGCACTTGCTGCGAACCCACGAGCGGTCGCGCGCGATCCTTACTCTTCGCCTTTTTCGTTTTCTTTTGAGCACCGGTCACCTTACCATCACCTGTTGACTCGATTGCCAACATGGACACGTCCGGGATCTCGATCTCTGACTGTTGCTTTCTCCCTTCTCGCTTCTTGTCCTTTTGCTGTTTCGTCGCTGACGTCAGCGGCACCTCGCCAGATTCGATTTCCTTGGTCTGTGATGTTGGTTTCGGTTCCTTGACTATTTTCTGCTTGACTTTCTTATCCTTCACTCGGTTCTTCGCTGGTGGTTCTGGATCTTTCTTCTTCATACCGATCTGCTCCCATCCCCCTTCGTTGTCGGCGCCGCACGATTCTCGACTCGCTGCAGCCGCTACTCGGCTCCTCTCAGCCTCCGCTTCTTCCGCCTTTCGAGCGCACTCGAGCGCCGCCTGCATTGCTATAGCGTCATCGCGCGCTTTCTGTCTCGCCGCCCGGCGCTGCGATGGCGAAGGTAACGGATCGTGCGCTTTCTTGGAGAATGGGTAATACAGTCTCGCCTTTTCGTCTCCGCGCGTGGGTTTGACCGCAAACGGACCAGACTTTGAGTTCTCATCTCGCACCATGTCGATCACCAGAACAGTTATGTCGTCTCTATTATCCTTTTGACTCTGGGCGAGCTTGTTCAGCGCCGTAGCCGCGTTCTGAACGTGCATCTTAGCCACACACGCCGACGCTTGCTTGGGCGTCGCTGCGTCCCACAACCCATCGCTCGCCAACACCACCCTCGCTCCGTGGAAACGCTCGGGCACGACAACCATGCTCACCTCTGGCTCACTAATCACACCCCCTCGTTTTCCGTCTCTATCCCCGATCGAACGCGACACCGCGAGCCCACCCGGCCACACGCGCAACGGCCCGACGCCGACGCGTTCGCCATTCGGCCCGTCCTCGTACTCCGTCGGTCTAACTTCGCCGCCAGCCTCCTCGATCCGCTTCCGCTCGCTCTGCGACGTATCCAATCGATGTTCCGCGCTCAACCGCATCACCGGTATACCAGGCCCGAGATCGAGCGTCGCCAACGAGTCCCCGACCGCCGCCGTCGTCACGCACCGCCCGCGAATGACGCAAATCGTCGCCGTCGCTCCACTGTGCACGTCTCGCGCCAAGAACGCCTCATCCACCGTGGCAAACGCTCTTTTCAACGCTTCCGGCAATCTTTGCTCGAACGCGTCGTCGGCGTCTTCGTGCTCCTCCAACGCTCCCGGCGCGTCCAGCGCCTCCGTCAGCGCCGATAAAAACGAATCCGCGCAGTGCTCCGCGCACGCCTTCCCACCGTGTCCATCGAACAGACCGAACATCGCAAACTCCACGCTCGCGTCGTTCGCGCCCTTCCCGCGTCGACCCGGCGTCCACAGCGCGCACACTTCGACGAGGTCGAAATCTTCACCCTTCTGCACCTTTCTCGAGTGCGCGATCGCGAGCGCGGGAAATCCCGCGCGATCGCCCGCCGCGGCGTCGCGCGGAACGTGCGTCGCGCCCACCATGACGGTCGACGCGCGCGACGACCGCGGCCGACGCGCGAGGCGCGGTCTGAGGCGCGGTCTGAGGCGCGGCGCGGCGACGAGGACGCCCGAGACCGAGTCGGCGACGACGCGGCGAAAGCGATGCGACGGACGCGCGCGCGCGACGCCGACGCGCGCGTTACAACCATGTCTAACGGAGTTGTTTCGCGGGCTCGTGCTCTAGAATCTCGACGTCGAGACCCATGTCGCGCTCGAGCGCGCGCAGCGAGGCGCCGAGCGCGTCGATCGACGCCGCGCCCGCGCTCAATCGCACCAGAGCGTCCACGAGAAACAAACGCTCGGTTCCGAACGGCGCAGGCGCGGTATCCGTGGTCATACTCTCAATGTTCACGTCCCGATCGAACAAAACGCGCGTGAACGCGTGAGTGATTCCCGGGAAATCGTTCCCGCGGAGCAATACTCGACGATGCGTCGAAACCGTTTTCGCCGCGTCATCCTCGCTCGACGCGCGCACCGACGTCGTCAACCCCTCGATGCGCGCCAAATCGCTCTTGAAGGCGTCGACGTCGCTCTGATCTCGCACGAACGAGACGAGCATGGTGATCGTGAAGTCGCCGCGCAGTCGCGCCATGCGACTCTCCTCGACGTTTCCTCGCGCCGCCAACACCGCGGCCGTGACTTCGTTCACGATGCCCTTGCGATCTCGACCGAACGACGTGATGACGTATCGCGACACCGCGCCGTGCGCCGGTTTGCGCGCGCGCGCGACGTACGACGCGGACGGCGTCGTCGTCGCCGCGAGCGTGTCGAGCGGTCGCGGGAACGCCGCGTTCGCGGGCGGCGCGGCGCGAGACGCGCGCGAAGCGAGGAACGGGAGCGAACGCGCGATGCGCGCGATCGCGAGCGGGTCGACGGCGCGCGACATGACGCGTGCGCGGTCGAACGCGCGCGCTGTGGGTGTCGGAGTGCGGCGAACGCGCCCAGAGCGGCGCGGTCGGCGGCCATCGACAATCTACGAGCTAATGGTGGTTTACAAGTGCGCAGTGCGCGTGAACCCAAAGTTATCTTCGTCCGCTTGAGTTTCGTTCGCGGCTGGGCCGAGCGGATCGTAGGAACCCGTGTTCTTCTCAAACTGGGACGCGAGATTCGGTTAGTCGTCATCGGAGCGGATTGAAAGTGCCGTTGTTCTTCTCGAACTACGGGCGATCGCGACGTCAGTCGTGTCGTAAAACGCGCACGTCCGCATACGATCGCGCGCGCGTCACGAGACGTACCTGCGTTGCGATTCCTGGGTTTCTGCGAAGCGTCCAGCACGGATCCCCTCCAAACGTTTGCCGCAAGTCCTCGAGAAGCATCTCGATGTCCATAAACAGCAACGACGGAAAGTCACTGAGCATCAGATCTATTCTACAGTCTTTCGGCATCGCCTTTCGCAGCGCGGAGACGGCGATGGCCGCCCTGGAGTACGCTCGATCCTCGAGACACAGCGCCGGCCGCCCTCGGAGCAGTTTGACGATGTCCGCGTCCGGCATGAGCGCTCGTAAACCCGTCACACGCTCCAAGATCCCGTCCAACTCTTCCTGCGACGCGAGCAAACACGACGGAATCGTCGCGAACAACCCATCGGCGTCGCACGCGTCTCCTAATCGCTCCCTCGTCGACGCCGCGCGTTCCCGCACCCCCTCGAGCGCTTCCTCTCGAAGACGCAGCAATCTCGGCTCGCGCGCGCACACGTCTCCCGCGTCCACGTCCGCGCTCGCGAAAGTATTTTTAATCGCCAACATGGCCGCCATCGTCTCCCTCAGATCCACCGCGAGCTCCGCCGCGAGCGCTCGCTTCACCTCGCCTCTCGCCACTCTTTCGCCGAGCCCCGGGCACAGCGCGAACAACCGATCGACGTCGCGCGCCAGCGCGTCCGCGTCCACGCCCCGCGCGTCCGCGACGACGTCCGCGGCCAATCGCCCGAGCGCGTCGTCCGCGCGTCCCTCCAGGATGTGTTTCACCTTCACCGTTCGCCCGAGCAGGTTCAGCGCCGGCCGCGTCGGCGTCGCGCGCGCGTCGTCCTCCGCCGCGCGTCTCGCGCCGCGCGCGCGTCGCGATGCGCGCGTCGCGAAACGCGCGTCGCGCGGCGCCGCGCGCGCCGTCGCGCGCGACATCGCGCGTCTCGTAGTCGCGAGTCGGCACTCGATGGCGCGCGCGACGCCTCGCGCGGCGCGCGCCGTCGACGCGCGACCGCGCGCGCGCGCGACGAGGCGCGCGTCGACCGCGCGCGGGTCGAACTTCGACGCCCTCGTGTTCGACCTGGACGGCGTGCTGTACGACGGCGCGAACGGGTACCTCGCGCACGTGCGCGCGCGACAGCGCGCGTACCTGCGCGAACGGTTCGGCATGACGGCGGCGGAGGCGGCGGCGACGCGGAAAACGGCGTTCGCGAAGGCGAGTCAGTGCTACAAGGGCCTGCGCGATCTCGGGCTGGACGTCGAGTCGCAGGAGGCGTTCACGGCGTACTGCCGCGCGGGCGCGGAGACGTTTCTGAAGCCGGACGCGGCGCTCGCGGAATGCTTGCGAGCGATGCCGTATCGGAAGGTGGTGATGACGAACACGAGCGAGACGGAAGGGATGAAAGCGCTGACGGCGCTGGGACTGGACGCGTCGTCGAGCGATGCGTTCGAGAAGGTGTACGGGGGGATTTTCACGGCGCCGGCGTGCAAGCCGCAGCGCGAGGCGTTCGAGAAGGTGTTCGCAGATCTGGGACGCGACGTGGACCCGCGGCGGTGCGTGATGTTTGAGGATTCGATGAAGAATGTAAAGGCGGCGAAGTCGTTCGGCATGACGACGGTGTTCGTGCGCACGCGAGGCGAGAGCGTGCTCGACGACGACGTCGAAGCGTGTTGCGACGCCGTCGTCGACGAGATCGAGTTCGAACAACTGCGCCGGCAACTGCCCGAGCTGTTCGATTAGGCGCGAGTCGCGATGCGCGCGACGAGCGAATTAGTGTACCGCCGCGCTTCAACCGGCGAAACGCGGTGGAATTATTTAAATGAAGATTGAGACTGTTGTAAAATGTTACACGGCGCCCGCCGACTAAAATAAAACGAGACGCGCGCGCGTCCCTACCACGTGTACGCCGCCAACGCCGCGCTCGCCGCCGCGCTCACCCCGAATATCGCCAACGAGCTCGCGTTCGCGCTTTCGTTATCGATCCCCTTCGTCGTCGAGTCCCACACCAAGTGTCGAAACCCGCCGAGCGTGTGAAACACGAACGGAAAACTCAGCGCAAACTTCACCGGCACCACCGCCAGCGGCGCGTTCGCTTTAAACATTTCCATCGTCATCGGCACCGCCTCCGCGCCTCCGACGAGCGCTATGATCCCCCCCGCGCTCATCGCTCCCGTGAGCGCGACGCCCGTGACGCGATTCGTGATCGAGCTCAGCGCCACCGCCGGAAACTTATAGTGCGCGCGCCAGCTCCCGTCCGCCGCGAACACGTCCGGCGACATCGGTCGCTTCTCCAGCAGCGCGCGGTGGTTCTTCGGCGTGCCCAGGAACCCGGTGCCGCCCGTCGCCGGTTGTCCGTAGTCGTCCGGGACACCGCGCGATCCGATCGCGCGCGTCGCCGTCGCCGCGCGCGTCGCCTCGACGATCGCGCGCGCCGTCGACGCGCGCCTCGCGCGATCCGCGATCGCGCGCGCCGCGGACATGACCGCCGTCGTCGCGTCGCGTCGCGCTCTCGCGCGTCGGCGTCGGGCGATCGCGACACCATGGCGCTCGCGCGCGCGCGAATCGCGCCCGTCGCGCCCGTCGCGCGCGACGCGCGGGCGACGCGCGCGACGACGTCGAGGCGCGAGCTCGCGGGCGCGGTCGCGCTCGTCGCGACGCTCGGGCGATGCGACGGCGCGCGCGCATCGCGCGATGCGATGGATTACGACGCCGACACGCTCGACGCGCTCGACGCGGCGACGCGGGTGGTGCGAGGGAAGGCGAGGGAGGGCGATCGCGCGCGGATCGACGGATGGTACGAGCGGAACAAGCGGCGGTACGATAACGCGACGCGAGGGAAGTCGTTCTTGATGACGACGAAGACGCTGCGATACGCCGCGGGACGCGAGCGGAGCGAGACGTTCGACGAGGCGAAGTTTGATGAATGGGTGAAGCTTTCGCGAGCGCTCACCGATGGGTCGATGAGCGTGAAAGAGCAGCGCGAGGCGTACGGCGCGGCGGTTTGGGCGAATAACGATAAGAGCGACGCGAAGAATCGAATCGGGCTCTGCGCGTTCGGCGCGACGGGGCCGACGCGAGCGCTCGGTATCGATTGTTCGGGCTTTTAGATTGTGATTGATTTATTGTTTTTGCGAGCTGTGATGCGTGAGATATAAAAAATGTGTGCGCGGTGTATCTAACGGCCTCTTTGGAGACTCGGAGTTCGTCCCGGGATGGGGAACTTGCTCAAATCGTCTCGCGTGCGCTCGGCGAGACGCTGCTGGAATTTTTCTATAAACTTGTTCGACATGCGTTGAACGCCTGGCGCAACCGTGGGAAGGATGACGCGAATCGAGTCGGTTTCGATTCTCGACACACCGTTCGCCGCACCGGGAAGTTGCGCGAAGATTTTGTCCAAGGACTGAACAGAGCCGCCCGACGGGCCAGCCGCGAGCTCGACGAGCGCCCGCAACAGCGCTAAATTCTTCTTGTCGTCAAACGTGAGCGCGATGGCATCCTTGTTCTGAGACGCGAGGATGGACAGGAAAATAGACGCGTTCAATCCAGGGACCAAAGCCAAAGGAGTAATCGTTGCCAGCGTCGCGAATGGCGACGCGCTTCCAAGCAACTGCCACGCTTGCGCGGCGCCGTTTCTGCTAAGACTGTCCGCGGCGCGCACAGCTTCCTCCACGACGAGATCTTGCAAGTAATTGCCCTCGCCAGAGAATACGATGGACAGTGCATCGCGCGTCGCGGGATCGAGCTCAGAAAGCACCTTGGCGTCTTCAATCGTCAAACTTTCCGTGGCGCCCATCGAGTTCGTGAACTTGGAAAAACCTCCAGCAATGTCCTTCACGCGCGACACCTTCAGACGATCGCTTCCACCGTACACAAAAGATCGGAGTGCCGCGCGCATCCTCGGAGAGTCATCCGACAATAAGCGCCGTGCGATGTATGGAAAGCATTCGTCGACAATCGCGTAGTTGGAATCGACACTCAGTCCCAACCCTTCGAGCGTTCCGAACGCGCGCAAAATAAGGACAAAGTACGGGGGCAGCGACAGCGGGTATTGCTTCGCCAAATCGTCGAGCTTCTCTGAAAGTTCGCCGACGCGGGAGCTTTGTTGCGCATTAAGTGCGTCGGTCTTGGCGGTGATTCCGCCGCCGGTACCGTAAAGCGTTTCCAACGTCTCCGCAAGGACGGGAACGACGATTGAACGACTCACCGGATCGTTCGCCAATTCTGGCGGAACGAAACCGAGGTTGACCAAATCTCCTAGTGTTTTGTCGTATTCTTTCGCACTCAAATGCGCGATGTATTCCACGAAGGCAATTCGCTGTTCTTCGCTGATGGTCGTCATCATGCCGTAATCCAATATGCACAGGCGTCCGTTGTCTTCGAGCAGAAAATTTCCGGGGTGCGGATCGGCGTGCAAGAAACCTGTTTCCAAGAACTGCACCATGTAACTGTTGAGTAACGTCTCGACAAGCTTTTCTCGAGTCTCCTTGTTTGTGTTAGATGCCTCGATTTCGGTGAGCTTGCGACCCGCCACCCACTCTTGCGTCAAGACTTTGCGAGTCGAGCACGAACGGAACACATGCGGCACCTTGATGGTGCCGCGAACGAAAGGCACGCTGTTCATGTCGGCCTCAAAGCGCGATGCGTTTGACGCTTCGAGTCCAAAGTCGAGTTCTTCCAAAAATCTCTCCGCCGCGACGTCCAGCACTGGCAGAAAACCCTCCGCGCCTTGCTGAATTTGCCCAAGCGGTCCTTCCTTCGGCAAGGAAGCCAAGGACTCTAGCACGGAGCGAATCACCAGCAAGTCCAAAGTGACGACTTCTAAGATCGCCGGTCGCTGCACTTTGACCGCGACGTCCATACCCCAATCTCCCTGTTCTTTTTCCATGACTTTCGTGGCTTTCAGCCGTGCTTTGTACACTTGACCGATCGATGCTGCGGCGACCGGTTCCTCGAACGCACTCACGTCTTCAAACACATCCTCGAGCGGTTTTCCAAGCTCTTGTCGAATCAGCTCGCGTGCCTCGACGCTACTGAATGGTTTTACGCCATCCAACAGCGTCTGCAGCGCCTCAAGGTACGCCGGAGGCAGCAAGTCTGGGCGAATCGCCACTGCTTGTCCAACCTTGACGAACGCCGGCCCTTGCTTAGCGATGATATCCTTCAACTGTCGAGCGCGTTCGACGGAGTTTTTTTCCACTTTACCCGTTTGAATATCGAGTAGTAAAGCCAAGACCCAGCCCATGACGTCGGCGAGCAAGCTGCCCGAACGCTTCGCGATGGCCGCTGGTCTACGACTCCAGTACGCTCGAATCTTCGCGACATCGTACGTCGTCGGCAAAGCATCGGATTCACCCCCACGCGCGAGACCTATCGCCGCCGCGCTTTCCTCAGCTTCATCGCCACTGTTTGTGATCGCTAATACGCCAGCCATCGACACCGCGATCGCTTGTAACGCCGCGCCGACGGCGTCCTCCGGCAAGAGCTCGGCGACGCCAAACGTCTGGAACGCCGCGGTCGCCGCGCCGAACGCCTTGCTTTCGATAAAACGCCCCCTCGCCGCCTTCAGCGCCTCAACCGCGACATCTGTCGCACCTTGCCACTCGATCGAGCTCACGAGCTCCCCTGTTCCATCCTCGCGCTGCCCGAACGCTCTCAAGCGAAGCATCGGCTCCAGCGCCTCTCTCGTCGCCGCGTACAACTTCGCCGGCGACATCTCACGCAGGACGTGCAGACCGCTGTCGTCCAGCGCGCGATTCAAAACCTCCACATCGATGTGCGTCAGCGCGTCGACCGCGGCCGGGAGATCGGGGACGACGCGCGTGATGACTGTTGATTTTCGCGTTGCGCGATGCGTCGACGTCGACGGGCGACCGGCGCGGCGCGGCGCGACGCCGCGCGCGAGCGACGCGCCGGCGAGCGACATGGCGCGCGCGCGAGGTGGTCGAGCGTCACTCTCGCGCGCGCGTGCGGTCGGGCGGGCCGTGCGTCACTGTCCCTCGCGCGCGGGCGCGGATAAGTGAGGAGTCCTCTGACAGGCAAAAAGCGTCCTCTGAGAGCGCGCGGCGATCGCGCGGTGACAACGCGGCTATGCTAATTTCAGGCGCTACCTTTTCTTCTTCTTCGTGACGCGAGATTGCTTGCTCGCGAGCTTTGCGCGCTGCTTGGGCTTCGCACTCGAGGCGCGCGCGGTCTTTTTGCCGTTCTTCGCGTTGCCGGCGCCGCGCTCGCGAAACGCGCGCTGCTCGTCGGCGGCGCGGCGACGCTTGGCGCTCGGTGACGCCGGGGTGCCTCCGTAGCCGCGGTGGCCGTCGGAGGCCCACGCGCTAGCACCACGAGGACGTTTATTGTTACCGTTGCGCGGATCGTCGGTCCAATCGGATTTGTTCGGCGAGAAGCTGTTTTTCGCGTTCGCTTTGCGGAAATACTGATGGTTGTTCCGCCCGCTCCCCGAGGGCGAGGATTCGCGGCGGACCATAGTGTTCTGGCGAACCTTGATGAGTTGACCGCTCTTTGGGAACGCACCGAAACTGTTTCTAGGCGGTGGCGCGGCGACCTCGGAGAGTAACGAGAGCTCGCCGCTCACCGAGATGTGCTCCGCGGCGAGTCTAAACAGGTTCTGAACCTCTTTGAATCGATACGCCGCCGCGGTAAAGCAACGCAGTCGCTCCTGCGGATCTTCTGCCATGATGTACGGCCGCGTCCCAAACGGTGGACCGGGGAGTTCCGCGGCGGACATCACGCCCGATTCGCGACCGGCGGCGACGGCGTTTGTTCTGTAATCAAACACAGAGCCGAATCGCCGGAGAAAACCGAGTAAGAGCTCGCCCAACAAACCGGCTTTATTTACAGCTACCACTGAACCCGTTTGTTTCAAGTGCGAAACCACAAGCGACACGAGCAAGTAGCCCCCACACCCTCCAGTCGCGGCGTCGTTCAAGTGATGCGTGCTAAGAAGGCGCTTCAAGTAAAAGACCAATGGTTTCAACGCCGTGTACGTCTCGACTTGTTCGCGAATCCAGTACACGGCTTCGAGGCCGTTTGAAGTTCCTAAGGACAGATCCACGGCGATATATGGCGGCACAGCACTTTTCATTTTAATGATCGGAACCTTCGCCGAGGCGATGATCTCCGCTCGCGACACAGCGTTCACCTTGCGCAAGAATCGAGCCATTTTTCGCAAGTGGCCGACGATTTCGTCGCGTTCGCTTCGTGTAAACCCACCACCGCCGCCCTTGCGCGACTGCGGACCGACGCCGAGTAAAACTAAATCTAGATCGGCTCCTGCGAGCGCCAGCCCCGTGGCGCCGCTCCCGAATACGTGCAGAGAGCAATCTTTGTGATTAGCGTAATGTCGAGCGATGGCGGATTGAATGGCGTCGAAACACTGTTGTCGACGACTCGCTTCGTGCGTAGACATCTCGCTATGCTTCACGAAATCAATCACTTGCGAATGCAAAGAATCATCGCCGACGACTCGATCGCTCTCGATGTTGTTGAGCTCAGTCTCCTCGACGTTGAACGAAAAGTTATGATCGTCTTCCTCATCCGTGTATTCGTCGAATGAATCGTCGAAATGATCGTCTTCGGCATCGCTTTCATCGATCGTGTTGTCCTCGGCGCTCACGGAACCATCGCAACGCGCATCGCTCGCGCTTTCTTCGCTCGTCGCCGCACTCGCGGACGTCTCGATCCCGTTCATCTCGCGCATCGCGTCCGCCACGCCCTTGGCGAGCGTAAATTTCCTTTTAAACACCAACCGCTCCCTTTGACTCGACGGCAAGCGCTCTTCGCTCTTCGTTTCCACCACCCCTCGTCGCTGTAAATCACGCAGCGTCTCCAGAACCTCTGACTCAAAATCTACCGCCGTCCCCGTCGCCGCCTTTGTCTCCTCGTCCCAATTCGCCGCCCCCGCGCGAAGCGTCCCCACCAACGTCTGCGCGTCGCACGCCGTCGGCGCCGCTCGACTCATCGCCTCCACCACCAACTCCCGCCATCGCACGCGTCGATCCTCGTCGTCGTGCCTCTCCCTCCCGCGTCCCGTCGTCGTCGCCGCGCTCGTCGTCGCCGCGCTCCTCGTCGTCCCGCGCGCGTCGCCCGCCCCTCGCCCGCCGCGTCCGCCTCCCGCGCGCGCCGCCGTCGCCGGCGTCCCCCGCGACGTCGACGACGCGCCCCACCTCGCGGCGCGTCGCTCTTTCCTTCGCCTCGACGCGCTCATCGCTTTCCGTCGTCCGTCGCGTCAATCGACCTCGGCGGCGCGCGTCGCGTCGACGCGCGCCCGGCGCGCTCGCGCGCGCGCGCGCGCGGCGTCGACCGGTCGAGGCGCGACCGCGCGCGCGTCGTCGCGTCGCGTCGGTCGTTCGCGTCGCGCGCGCGCGTGTGGCGCGCCGACCGACGCGACGCGCCGAGACTCGACTCGACGGCGCGCGACGCGCGCGTTCGCCGCACACGCGCGCGCGGCGGCGCGGCGACGACGCGAGCGGCGACCGCGCGAGCGTCGACGCGCGCTCGGAGCGCGCCGCTCGCGGCGTGAAACGCCGATCGCGCGCGCGCGGGACGTCGAACGCGCGGGTGGATAAAATGCGCGCGACGACGCGCGCGGACGCGCGCGACGCGCGCCTCGCGACGGCGCGCGCTCGAGAGGGACTCGCGCGCGCGCGTCGACGCGCGCGCCCCTCGCGCGCGCGCGCGTCGACGCGGACGCGCGCGAGGGCGGCGGTGGAGGGCGACGCGGGCGAGGACGTCGCGGCGCGAGCGCGCGAGGCGAGACGACGCGCGGAGGCGCGCGCGGAGGCGCGATTGGCGGAGACGTGGGCGCGGCGCGAGGGCGAGAGAGACGCGCGGGCGGACGCCGCTGAAGCGCGGGATGGCGCGCTGTCGGAGCTGGAGTCGGCGCGCGAGGCGTTGAGGCGCGCGCGCGAGGACAAGGAAATCGTCGAGGCGACGTTGGCGCGGACGCGCGAGGACTCGGCGCGGCGCGCGGATGCGGCCGCGACGGAAACGGAAACGCTGCGACGCGAGCTCGAGAAGGTGCTGGACGCGCTCGACGGCGAGAAAAAGGAAAAGGCGCTCGTCGAAGAGCGCTTCGCGAGCGAGCGCGAGCGCTTGTCCGACGAGGCGGTCGACGAAGCGAAGCGCCTCCAAGCGAAGCTTGACGATGCATCCGTCGCAATTGAGCGAGCGACGCAGGCGAGGGACGCCATTAAAGAGCAGATGGCTGACGCTGTGGCTAGCAACGCTGCGACAAAGGACGAGACGCTCCAGTTGAAGAAACAACTTGACGACGCAGTTCATGCGCTATCGGATGCCATCATTGAAAAGTCAAGCGCGGAGTCGAAAATCGCGGAGACGGAGGCCCGAAACCAGGAGTTGGAGAAGGCCAAGGCGTCGATGGTGTCCAAAGCGGAGCTGGATTGCGTGAAAAATGAACTCAAACAAGCCACACTCGGTCGCACCGCAGCGGTTGAAGACTCGGAACGGCTCGCAGACATGCTCCAAGCAGCAAAACGCGAGCTGGAAATACTTGCGCTTGACAAAAAAAACCTGCAGCAGGAGCTCGCAGAGGCAGTGGCGAAGCCGCCGCAGGTCTCCGCGGGGGACATTGAGTTGTTTGAACAGCTTGTGGCGTCGCAAAAAGAAGAACTCGCCACGCTCCGCGATCTCGCGGACACGTCTATGGCGAAAGTGAACGAGTTGGAGGAGGAAATCGACCGACTTTTGGACCAACTGGAAGAGCGCGACGCCGAGCTCGAAGAAAAGAACCGTGCCACGACGTCGCCACCAGGGCTGATTGAGTCCCCCATCGTGGTCACAGATGGAGTCGTCGTCAACCAAGAAGCGAGATCCTACGCGGATCTGGTTGAAGAAACCGTTCGAGCGCAATTGATGGACACTATTGAGGTGGAAGCCACGAGTTATATCGACGAGCAAGATAAACGTTTGGTGGAACAAGCGTCGGGTGACGCGCGGAAAACAACTGATGGAGTGTATTACTTTGTCGGCGACGTCCGACCTTCAACACGAGTTCGCCTGATATATAATCGCGAAACCACATCTCGAATGTCGCGCGATGGTCAAGTATTTGCACACGTTGGATTCAACGGATGGAGTCTGGGTGTGTCCAAAAAAATTGGCATGACTCCACTGGCGCACGACGCCAAAGAGCGCGATATCGATCACAGAGTACGCGACCAAGGGAGCTGGTGGATCTGCGAAGTTGAAATTCCACCAGGCGCGAGCACGGTTGAGTTTGTGTTTAGCGACGCCAACGGTTTTTACGATAACAATAGCGGCAAAGATTACCACTGCCCGGTTGATGTTGAGAATTTACCGCGTGAACACAGAATCTCAGCCCGGATCAAAGCGGAGACGGAGCGACGTCGAGACGCGATTGAAAAGTGCGCTAAGAGAGCTGGCAAACGCGCAGCACGCCATGCAGAAATGCGCGCCACTGCGTTAGTACGAGCAAGTGAGGGGGCAGCACTGATGCGTGTGCACACTGTGCCGTATCAAGGGAAAGCGGGCGGTGAAATGACGATCGTTTATCGCGCCGAAGGCGGTCCACTGGGAGATGCACAGAATATCTTCTGCGAGGGCTCGTGGAATAGATGGAACCACGGCGCTTCGTTCGGCCCTAGTGTCATGCAGCGCGGTGACACCCCGGGGACGCTGGAACTTACAGTGAATGTGCCCGCGGATGCGCACGTCATGGATTTTAAGTTCCTCAACGAAGACGTCGCATCGCCGCAAACGAGATATGATTCCAACAACGGTGCGGACTACCACGCACCGGTGACTGGTGGCTCAGGAGCGGCTCCGAAGTTGAACGTCGTCCACATCGCAGTCGAGATGGCGCCCATTTGCAAAGTTGGCGGCATGGGTGACGTCGTCACCGCCCTCGCGCGTGCGACTCAAGAAGACGGGCACAACGTCGAGGTCATAGTGCCGCACTACGATTGCATGCTCTTCGATGCGGTGGATGGTTACCATCGCGCTGGCAGCTGCGTTCACCACGATGTTCAAGTTGACGTGTTTAAAGGATGGGTTGAAGACGTTCCAGTGACGCTACTTCGTCCCAAAAATGGACATTTTGACGTCGGTTGTATATACGGACGCCACGACGATCACGTGAGGTTTGGCTTTTTCACTGAAGCAGCGTTGACGTGGATGCGATCAAAGAATAAAGAGGTTGATATCATTCACGCGCACGACTGGCAGACCGCACCCGCGACCTGGGGTAATTATCCAAACGCAGCGACGGCGCTCACGCTTCACAATTTACAGTTTGGAGTCGACCTGATACGCCGTGGAATGGAGTCATGCGACATTGCAACCACGGTGAGTCCGACGTACGCCGACGAGGTGCGTTCACACCACGCCGTCGCGCCGTCGCAGGACAAATTCGTTGGGATACGAAACGGTATCGATACCGACATTTGGAACCCATCAGCAGATGAATTCTTGCCGTTAGTGTACGACTCCTCTAACGCGATTGCGGGCAAGGCGGCAGCGGCGGCCGAGCTGTGCAGGCGACTCGGTATCCAGCACCCCGAAGGCGCGCCAATCGTTGGTGTCGTTTCACGACTTACGGCGCAAAAGGGAATACATCTCATCAAGCACGCGTGTCATCGCGCGCTTGAGCGCGGTGCAACGTTTGTTCTGCTAGGAAGCGCGCCTGATCCGGCGCATCAACACGAGTTCAACGCTCTCGCGGACGAGATGAAGCGCAAGTATCCAGGACGAAGCTGCTTTATGTTCAAGTACGACGAGCCGCTGTCGCACTTGATTTATGCCGGCTGTGATTTCCTTCTCGTGCCATCAATGTTCGAGCCGTGTGGGTTGACACAAATGATCGCCATGCGTTACGGCACTGTCCCAGTGGTTCGCCGAACCGGCGGCTTGCGCGACACCGTCTTCGACGTCGAAAACGACGGCGAGCGGAGCGCAATGACCGGAGTTCCCCTAAATGGTTTTGTTTTCGACGGCACCGAAACCCCCGATATCGACTACGCGCTTAATCGTGCCTTGGACGCCTTTTACGACCGTCCCCGTTGGCAATCGCTCAACCTCGTCGAGCGCACGCTGAATCTAGATTGGTCTTGGTTCGAGCCAGCCAAGCGATACGAAGACCTGTACTGGGCATCTCTGCGACACAAACGCGGCCGCTAATACTCGCCGTCATTATAATACGAAATAATACGAAATGTACCATTGAAACCATTAGAACCGTTCTACGTCACAGCGCGGGAAGTGCGGCACGCGCCGCTGCACTATCCCCACAGCGCGCCGCGGATCTGTGAAAATGCCCTTGATTTACGCCTTCGTCGCTCGTCGAACGACCGTGCTCGCGGAGTTTACGAACTACAGCGGGAACTTTAGCACGATCGCGATCCAGGTGAGCGCGCGAGCGAACGATGCGCGACGCGCGCGCGATACCGTCGCGAGGGGGTCGAACGAGGGCGATGCCCAGTGCGCGTGTGCGCGAATTTCATCGCGTGCGCGCGCGCGATGACGGTGCGAACGCGACGCGAACGCGAGACTGATGACGGCGTTGATGGTTTCGCGCGCTACGTAGGCGTTGGAGAAGCTTTCAGACGATAACACGCGATTTACGTACACGGCGGATGGGCACACGTTCAACTACGTCGTCGAAAACGGGTTCACGTATCTCGTCGTGGCCGACTCAGAGCTCGGACGCCACGTCCCATTCGCGTGCTTGGATCGGATCAAGTCCGAGTTCACGCGCGATCATGCGTCGGAGGCGCAGGATGCCATCGCGCACTCGCTGAATAAATCGTTCGCGCCGAGGTTGAAGGAACACTTGGAGTTTTGCTCGGCGAACCCAGAGGCGGTGAGTAAAGTGAGCGCGGTGCAGCAACAGGTGAGTCAAGTGAAGGAAATCATGATGGATAACATCGAGAAGGTGCTCGATAGAGGGGAGAAGATTGAGTTGTTGGTCGATAAAAGCGACGCGTTGCGGTTCGAAGCTGCGAATTTTCACAAGACGGGAAGAGCGTTGAGACGGAATTTGTGGTGCCAGAACATGAAGATCAAAGTTGCTTTTGGCTTGATCATCTTCGCGCTCCTATTGACGCTCATTTTTACTCTATGCGGGAAGAAGTGTCGTTGATGAAGTGACGATTTTAGTGCTCTCGCCATCTGGTGTAAACGCTTTGTAAAATCATCCATTTCAAACGCAAACAAAAGTACACGCGTGCTAGCAACTTACTACTCATCGTCGAACTTCAAAGCTTCACGAACGTCTTTCGTAGACGCTCGTCTGAAATCGAGCGACCCTCTACGACTTTTTCGATTCTCAGCTTTGGCGTGCGCCTCCTTCGCGTCACGCAAAAGTTCACGATGCCATACTTCCATTCTAAATAAAATTTCTCCAGCTCGTGTGGACGAGCAGAAACACAGCGGTTGCCCGTCCATGATTTTAATCAAGTTGAAAGTTCCGACCCCGAGGTCTATTTTGTACGACAGGAAGTTGATTTGCGACTGCCAGAAACCAAAAGTCCACACGCGTTCGGTGTCGAACATCGGCATGTCGGCGAGCCCTTTCTTGCTCTTTCGCAACAGCGCCTTTAAGATTTTCTGTCGTCTGCTTGGGCTCGTACCCGGGGGAAATATGTCGGACCTAGCGTCGACGTTTTCGATGATTGAGCCTTCGATATCTTGCACGTCGCCCTCGTATTCGCAACTCATCGCCTGCGCTGCGAGCGCTATGGGTGCCAACATGAAGGGGCGCTCGTCCGTCGGCATGGAGAGTTCGATGCCCCATTTCTCACCGAATCCGCGCACGACGCGCGCGCACAGCGCCAACAACCAGCGAGACGGGAGGTTTTGCAACGGGCGCGATAAACACTGACCGATGACACAGTCGTTCATGGCGATCGGACGCTTGAACTTGCCCTGTATGGCGAGTTGAATCGTTCGCGCCTTGCCCTCAAAAATCTCAGGTGGCGTGTTTTCCAAACCACGCAAGTACACAATCATTCTGCCTTTGAAGATATCTGAATCGATTTCGAACGGCACTTGCGCGCGAATCATACTGTCTGGAAGCTGATCCTCTTGCGTGATGGCTTGTGAATCCGCTGGCGTGAACCGAAGAGCGCACGGCGAGTCAGGCCACCTGGCCGGATCGACGCACGGCGGCGGTCCCGCTCTGTCTTCCGGACGGGTCGATTTTCGCTGCATGTTTATCAGCCGCGACGCCGTGCGCTGAATCGAAATCGCTGATGCTTGCAGAAATGAGGGCGTTCGCTCGAGGTTGATTTCTCCGCCATCATGAAGCGTCGATCGATGTTTCGCCGGCGAATCATCGACAAACGCGTTCAAGCCCGATTCGGACGACTGTCGCTTTGTGGTGCCCTCGAAGACTGATTGACGAGTCAAATCTGCCACGTAAAAGAACCCCAGTAGACTCGAAATCCCGACCGCCACGGCCGCACAGGCTGCGATGACCATCAAAAGTGAATCTAACGACATTCGAACCCCAACGAACGACGTGAGCGCCATCGCATCCGTCTTAAAAAAAGGCAAAATAGCGTACGCGATGAGCGCCACGACGCTCGCGCGCAACACGCTCAACTCCATTTTCAACGCCGACATCACGTCTTCGACTCTTTCCATCGCCGACGCGTGTTCACTCGACAGCGCCTCCACCGCTGCCGTGTGCCTATCCACCACCGTCCGCACATTCTTCATCCGCGATTCCATCGCGAGCATCTCCGTCGACACGTAATACCTCGCCGCCGATATTCCCGGTCCAACCCCCAAATGATAGCTATACAAGTGTGACCGCTTTTCAAACTTGATCTTCGCCGACTTCGTCACCCCTACGATCAACTTCGCCGCCATGAGTTCGTTTCCGAGTCTCACCGCCGCGTCGCTGTCCCGCACCGTCCGACTCGCCACGAGCCACTGCACCGCCTCGCGTCCCGTGAAGCAATTTCTATGTTTGGTAAATCTTCTTCTGTGCTTACCCCCGCCCAGCGACTTTCGCATCTTCACCACGACGTCGAACAATTCATTTTCGCGCTCGAGCGCGCTCAGCGCGTCGAGCGATCGCGCGTTCGAGTCGAGAAACGCGGCGTCGGCGTCGGCATCTCGCGCGTCGTTGAATTCAGAAAATTCACTCTCGAGGTCGTCGTCGAGCGTCATGCTGATCACGCTGTCGGTCTCGATCGCGTCCACGGACGCGCGCGCGACGTGCGTCGAGGTCGCGTGCGGCGCGGCGTCGTTCGCAGCGCGCATCGCGCGACCGAACGGGCGGCGCCGAGGCGCGGCGGAGTCGCGCTCTGACGACCGGGCGAGCGAAGCGCGAACTCGAAATCGACGCGAGTCCTCTCGACGATATTATTAAACGCGCGCGCGATTACTGGGATGTACTTACTGAGGTGTCGTGATCGGGTGTGGTGCGCGCGCCGCGCGCGCGACAGCCGCGGCTGACTCGCCGCGGCGCTCTCGCGAAGACGTTCGCGCCGAATTCGCTCAATCCATATCCATGTCGACGACGTCCGCCGCCGCCGCGTCCATCATCCCCGCCTGATCGATCGTCGCGTCGATCGGCGCCTCGACGTTCGCGCTCGCGTCTTCCGCCGCGGACGCGCCCCACGCCGCCGCCGCCGCCGCCGCCTTCATCTCCTCCGTCACCGCATCGACGTCCGTCCCGTCCGACCCCGTCGCGCGCACCGCGGACATGTCGAACGCCACGCTCGCGTCTTCTTTCCCCAGCGCGCCGTCGCCCGCGGCTTTCGCGCGCTTCGACGGCGTCGCGCCCGTCGCCGCGTCCTCGAGCGGCTTTTCGATCTCGTCGCGCAGCGTGTCCTGAAACTCGCGCGACACGTCCTGCAGCTCGCGAATCGTGGGCTGGAACTCGCGCAGCGTCGCGCCGAGCTGCTTGGCGATGTCCGCCAGCCCCTTGGGGCCGAACACGAGCAGCGAGACGACGCCGATGACGAGCGCCTCGGGCGCGCCCACGCCGAAGAGAGAATTCGCGCGCTGAAGCGCACCGCGCCGACGCGCGTCGCGCGCCGCCAGCGGCGTCGCGCGCGCGGCGCCTTTGCGCGCGCCGCGCGCCGCGCCGGCGCGCCGCAGCGCGACCGGCGGCGTCGTTCGCATCGTCGCGAACGCCATCGCGCGCGCCATCGAATGCGGCGTCCGAACGCGGCGCGTCGCGTCGCGCATGCGCGTCGACGGCGCGGACGACCGCGCGCGAACGCCCGCGCGCGGGGCGCTGAGCACGAGCGCGGTCGCGCGCTTCGACGAGCTCGACGAGGACGACGTCGGCGATGTCGATTTTCAACACGACGACGACGAGGACGCGCGCGGCGACGGCGCGCGCGACGACGACGGCGCGCGCGACGGCGTGGTCGGACGGTACAGAAAGATGCGCGCGCGGTTCGATTCGTTCAGCGGCGCGCTGAGCGACGCGCGAGGGGCGTTCGACGCGTTCGCGTTCACGGGCTGGAGCGAAGAGCAGAAGAAAATCGTCGTCAAGCTCGCGTTCCTGGCGACGTTCGCGGTGATGTTTTACGCGACGATGGCGGTGATATTCGCGCACGTGTGGATCGGGATGGCGAAGGCGATCGGGGTGCGAGTGCTGTGGGGGGTGGGGGTGTCGATCGGGCTGGCCATGGCGCCGCCGGTGTTTCCGAACGCGGCGGCGCACGCGTTGGCGCTGGTGCTGATGGCGGCGGAGGTGGCGCTGTTGAGCGTGAACGCGATACTGTTGGGATTGGTGCATTTAGCGATCGTGCTGAACAAGCACGTGCTGCCGTCGTGGTTTCATCGGGCGAAGGTGGCGCTGCGCGAGAGCGCGGGCGGCGTCGACCATCGCGGGCGCGCGAACGCGCACTTCGTCGAGCATCGGCAAGAGACGTTGTCCGAGCTCGAGCGGGCGAAGGACTACCGAGAGTGGATCGCGGTGGCGAATAAGCTCGACGCGTTTCCCGCGGACGTCGGTGAGGGTGGGTCGCGTTGGAAGGCGGATGAAAAATCGGACGTGTACGACAGGCAGCTCGTCAAGGTATATTTGAACACGATGAGGACCGCGCGCGAGCGCGACGATCTCACGGCGCTCGGGTTGTGCTTGCGAACGGTGTTACACCGAAACTTTGCCGGGATCGATAGGTTGCTCCACCTGAGATTTTCTCGAGTCGGAACGAAGAAACTCGTGCAAGATTTCAACGACGAAATCGTCGCCGTCATCAAGCACATAGCCGAAACCGCAGATGACGAGCAGGCGATGGAGATGCTTCAAGTGTTAAAAGAGTCGTACCGTTCGCTCGGACGCACGGCGCTGTGCTTATCTGGCGGCGGCGCACTGGCGATGTATCATTTCGGAGTCTTGCGAACGTTGTTGCAAGAGGGACTGTGCCCGCAAGTCATCTCGGGTACGAGTGGTGGCTCGATCGTCGCCGCGTTTTTGAGCTGTCATTCGCCCGAAGATATCTTGCAAGCGATTCGCCCGGACGTGTCCACTCGTTACGGGCGCCGATGGTTCCCACGTCCGCTGAAAATGGCGCTACACTTTTTGAAGCACGGCGTTTTGATGGACGCCGAGGGGTTTTCGAAGACCACAAAGGCATACTTTGGCGACACGACGTTTGAGGAAGCGCTAGCGATATCCGGAAGAGCAGTCTCTATTCAAGTGTCCATTGGCTCACAAACCGGTTACGTTCTCAATCACCTGACTTCTCCCAACGTGCTCATTCGCACCGCGGTGTGCGCGTCGTGCGCGCTACCTGGTTTGATGCGCCCTGTGGAGATTCTCGCCAAAGACAAGCACGGAAATTTAGTGCCATTTCATCCACCCGATGTGAAGTCGTACGATGGCACCATCACCCAAGACATCCCGTCAGCACGCATGACGGAGCTTTTCAACTGCAACAACTTCATCGTTTCGCAGGTGAACCCGCACCTAAACTTCGTGCTACACCTCGCCGAGGAATCACACGGGCGACGGCAGAAGACCGCGCGTAGTTATCAGCGTCGTAATGCGGTTCAGAAGCTGTTGCGTGTCGCCAACTTCTTGCTGCTGAACATCAAGTACTCTATTCAAAAACTTCTCGAAGTTGATTTGCTCGACATTCGGTTCGTTCGCACGCTGCAAGGAGTGTTGATGCAAGACTTCAGAGGCCACATCACCATTCTGCCATCGCTTCGTTGGACGGATTACTCCAGAATCTCCAGCAACCCAACTGAGAAGGATATGGATCGTTACATCTCGCGAGGCGAGCAATCCACTTGGCCGCATGTCGAGTCGATTCGCTACACGATGAAAATTGAAACCACGCTCGTCGACAGCATCCGCGCTTTGTCCAAGCGCGTCGACGCTACGGGCGAAAAGATCAAACGAACGAACTCACATGGGTTCTTAGAACATTAATTAAATTCGACGGCGGCGGCGTTACCGCCCGCCGTCTCCGCTAGACCTGTACAAGTGTATTACGAAACGCAGCTGTTGTCCTTCACTCTCGGTCGGCCTCACTTACCCGCGCCGATGACACGTCTACCCGCGGCGCAAATCACCAAGTTCTGGTTCGGGTACGCGAGGCACGAGCTCAGGGCGCTCGCGCGACCGAACAAGGCGCAGATGGCGCTTTGGTTCGGCTCGAGAGAAGAGGACGACATCGTCATCCATCGAACTTTCGGTGCGCATTTGCGCGCCACGAGCGAGCTTTACGCGAGCCAACCCGCAGACGAGACGATCGCGCTCGAGTCGTTCGAGGACGTGCTCGCAGATATCATCACGCTCGATCAGTTCTCGCGCGTGATTCATCGCAAAACCGCAAAGGCTTTCAGCAACGACGCCGCCGCCGCGTCTCTGGCGAGACGAGCGCTGAGCGACGACGCGTTCATGAAACAAGCGGCACCGCTGGAACGTATGTTCATAGAAATGCCGCTCATGCACAGTGAGGATGTCGCCGACCACGAGTCGTTGTTGGCGATGCGAGGCATCGACGTGAGCGGGATCGATGTCGACGGTGCGCACGACGACTTCGCGGTGAAACACTACTGCGTCGTGCGAAAATTCGGAAGGTATCCGTACCGCAACAAAGTATTAGGACGCGTTAACACACCCGAGGAGCAGGTGTACCTAGATAGCAGGCCGAGCACGTACGGCCAATAGTAGTCATCGTCGATAGCCGTGTATTTGAGGACGCGCCGCTCCCCAGTTCACCGCGCGCGAGAGCGTTCACTCGTTCGCTCCCCAGTTCACCGCGCGCGAGAGCGTTCACTCGTTCGCGCACACGAAGCGAGTTCAAAACACTCGCACTCGCGAGATCGCTCTCACTTTACGCGCCGTCCTCGTCGCTCCGTGAACGCGTCGAAACGCCGTCGTCCACGTCACAAGTTTATCCAAAAATTAAACATGCGAGCTTCCGTGACCGCGCGCTCGAGCGCGTTCGTCGGCGCCAGGGCTTTGGTTTCGAAGACGCGTGCGACGAAGTTCTCGCGCGCGGCGACGCGGGCGTCCAGAACGTTCCTGCGCGTCGATGCGGTGGCGGTCGAGATTCGCCACGAAGGCAAGACGTACAATCTGGAGGTGGCGGACGGGGACAACATCCTGGACGTCGCGCTCGACGCTGGGATCGATCTGCGGTACGATTGCAAGATGGGCGTGTGCATGATGTGCCCGGCCAAGGTTGTCGCGGGGGCGATCGACCAGTCGGGGTCGATGCTGAGCGACGACGTCGAGGAGAAGGGCTACGCGCTCCTCTGCTGCGCCGTGCCGCAGGGCGAAGACGTGGTGATTCAGACCGTGAGCGAGGATGAGTTGCTCGAGGAGCAATTGTGCTCGAGCGATTAGGCGATGCGGATGTTAGCAAGATACACGATAATGTTACTTTACAGAGATACACATTCGTCGTACGATGCGTTTCACTTCTTTCCTCGCGACGCCACGCGCTTCGATCGCCGCGACGGCGTCACCGGATCCTTCGAGCGACCAGACCTTCGCGATGGCGTCGTCGGGTCAACTGCGGATTTCTCGTTGTTCACGACGACCGATTTACGTCGCGAACTTCGACGCGACGGCGTCGTCGGCTCCGTGACATTCGTCCGCCGTTCAGGGATTTCGGTGACTGGCACGACGTCGAGCGACGCGCTTATCTCTTCAATTGTATCCGAAATCACCTTTCCCATCATGCGCGCAAACACGTCTATGTGGCTGACGATGTCATCTGTCAACGACACTGGCGCCGCCGCCGTTGCTGCGTCTTCATCGTTCAACATCGCGCTCGCGTCGAATCCGGGAGGCAACGACGGTTGCGACGTCACCTCTTCGTCGCACGCGGCGTCATCCGTCATCACTTGGTTTTCTTGAACCAACATACTTTCAGTCGCCGTCGAATCTGCGAGTATAGACATCGGGACGCCGGGAACGACTCGGTCCATCTGCACTGGCGCCGGGGACCGCAACGGCGATCGAAGTGCCTTTTTCGGCGTCGCCAACTTCTTCGCCGAACGAAGCAGCATCTCCGTTGCTTCGCGCGCCGCTTCCCTATCCAACGAAGATGTCGTCGCACTCACCGTCGGTGACGGCGCGCTCTTTCGTACCACCGGACTCTCCGCGGCGCCTGCGTCGCTAAAATTCAGCCCACGACCGTGACTCTTGACCAATTCCTCCAGCCTCGATCGCCCCTTCGTGAGCGACGTCATCGCATTCTTCACCAACGTGCGCACGTGTTTCGACATCGGCGTCGTCGCTGCGAAGTCGGGCGTCGTTTTCGTCGGCGTCGTGTTCGTCGCCGCTTCGTCTCGCGGCGACGGCGGTGACGCCAGCGCGCTCGACGCGAACGTCCGGTGCGTCGTCGCTCGCAGCATGCGTGACGCCTGCTCCACGGGCGAAATGGGGGCGTTAGCGCGCGGTGACGCCGTCGTCGACGGGAAAAGCGCTCGTTTCGCGCGCGTCGGCGCGAGGCGCGACGACCCATCTTCGTCGGACTTCGACATTTTCTTGGGCGTCGCCGAACGCCGCGGCGAGCGCACGAGCGCGCGTCGGTCGGCCGAGGACATGCGCGGGGATACGGTCGACGCGTGCGTCGTGCGCGCGGGGTCCATTGCGTTCGGGACGAGGACGGGGCGCGTTGGACTGCGGACGTGGCGGAATCGACGATTCATCTTACCCCTCTTGGGGACGCGCGAAGCGTGTGATTCGTTTGAATGCGAATACAACGCGCTAATGAGCTAATACGCGAGTGAATGCTAAACGTCGAACGCGTCGTCGGAGTCGTCGTCGAGCCACTCGGCGTCGTCGGCGTCGACGGCGCCGAGGAGGTCGGTAAGACCAGTGGCGTCTTCGAGCGTTTTGGGATCGTCGAAGACGGCGGTGAGAAATCCGTCGCGATCGTCGCGGTATTTCGCGACGACAGCGGTGGAGCACGCGGTGCATCGAGGGAAGCACGGGGCGTCAAATAGGGTTTGAGTAAACCCGGCGACGCTGCCACGAATTTGATGCGGGACGACGCCCAAGGGCGAGGAGTCGGCTTCGCGCTCCGCGCTCACGTCTTGTTCGCGAGTCGGAGGCGACGTCGTGACGCCATTTTCGGCGTGAAGTAAGGCCACCATGAGTTCGGCGGCGAGCGCACTTGCGATGGGAGCAAGACCTGGGCGTGTCACCGTGCATTGCTGATCTAGCGTGCGGTCCTTTGTGCTATTCGCCGGAGCCATGACGTCGTTGCAGAAGTAGCATCCAAGCCGCGATGACGACGCATGGTCGACGCCGCATCCGTGCCGCATAACGAGATAAGTGTTGAAACCGAGCGCGGTATTAATGCAAAGCTTCCCCTTATCGGCGCAAATCAACGTTGGAAGCCATCTCGATTCGCGTGTGTCCGTGAGCACGTACACGACGTCGTGCGCGTCGATCAACGCCTCGATATCGTCGACGTCTTTGAACACCGATGCTTTCAGTTTCTCGCTGACGCTGTGTCCGGGCATGGGAATACTCATCAGAACTCCTTTGGCAAACATGCCCGGGAAAATTTCTGTGAGCTTTTTCGCCGCCGCCGCAGCCTTGGGCGCGCCGCCGTCGAGACAGTCTTCGAACTCAAACAGCGACTGTCGAACTGGGTTAGAATACGAAACTCGCCCCGAGTCGACGAACGTGATGTGTTTGACACCCCAGCCCATGAGCGTGCGAGCGACTGCGCACCCTAGCGTTCCCGCGCCGATGAGCAAGCACTTAGTGGCTGCGAGTTTTTCTTGGTCCAGTTCCGGAAGCAAACGCCATCGCATGAGTTTTAGATTCAGATCCACTGCCTGCGACGCGAGTTGATTTGGATCCATGCTCGCCCCGAGATCGACCGTGCGCGGGCCCATCTTTCCGCGTGCGTTACGCTCCCAGCCAACCACTTTCATCGTCTCCACATCGAACTTTGGAAAAGACATCGTAAACTTCACACATGCCTCGGCGGCGACCCGCCCTTTGCGCGCTCGTACGCATACCACGTCCAACGCGCTCGCACCCCAACGTGCTGACGCCAACACTGCCAAGTTGCGCAAAGTCCAGCCCGGATGCGTCATCGCGCAGCACGCATCCGCGAACGCGAGCCGCGGCTTCGCACCAGCTCGCGTCCTCGCCTCGTACTCCGTCAAAGCGTACGCCTCGCGGCCGTCCTCGCTCACCAACCACGCAGACGCCCCCCCGCTCGCGATCCATCGCTCACACGTCGCCGCGATGTCGCCATCCACGCCCTCGTTCGTCATTCCCGTGACGGCTGACGACATAATCTTAAACTCCGCGCTCGCGAGCGCCGGAAACGCGAACCAATACGTAAACGACCAACTCTTCAAACACGCGTACGCCACCACCGCGAACGCCCTCAATCGTTCGGGCTCGCGTTCGGCGTCGCCATTCATCACGCTCTCGAGCATCTCTCGTCCCATCGCGCGCATCGCACCGTCGCGATCGAACGTCGCCAACGCCTCGCGCGTGTTCGCGCACGTCAACCGCCCGCGCGTCGTCCACGTCCCTCGTCCTCCCGCCGCCTCCTCGCCCTCGCTCGTCGCGTCGTCGAACGCGAGCGCATCCAACGACACCGCGCTCGACACCTCGGCGTTCTGCGCGCAGCACACGCGCGCGCGGACGTCGATGGGCGTTTCATCCAGTTTCGCCTCGTGCAGCTTCACGCGCGCCGCCTCGCGCCAGAACCCCCCGTCCGGCGCGCTGCACGGCGGTTCGAACATCAGCGGCGTCGTCGCGTCCGCCATCGCGTCCGTCGCCGCGCGCGGTCGCCCCGCGTCCGCGCGCGCGCGTGTGCCGTCACTTCGCGACGATGTTTCGTCTCGCGCGCGCGCTCTCATCGCGCGCCGCCGCGCCCGCGCGCGCGCATCGCGCCGGGTCCGTCAGGCGCGCCAAGGCGCGCGCGTCGGTCGTCGCGCGCGCCGCGGCGAGCGCGCCGGACGAGGTGTATCGCGTCATGAGCGCGAACCAAGAGGTCGCCGTCATCGCCGTCGTCGGCACGTCGCTCGTGCGCGACGCCGCGACGCGGCATCGCACGGCGCCCACGGCGACGGCGGCGCTTGGACGGTCGCTCATGTGCGCGCTCCTGCTCGGGACGTTCAAGGGAGAGGACGAGACGACGCAGCTGACGTTCAAGGGCGACGGGCCGCTCGGGCAAATCGTCGCCGTCGCGACGCACGACGGACGAGCGAAAGGGTTCTGTTCGAACCCGAACGCGGATCCGCCGCTGCGGAGCGATGGAAAATTGAACGTGGGGGCGGCGGTCGGGAGAGGGGTGCTCACGGTGAGCCGGGCGCATCCTTCGATGAAGACGCCGTTTAGCGGGTCGGTGGCTATTAGAACCGGGGAAATCGCGGAGGACGTGGCGGGGTACCTGAGCGAGAGCGAACAGGTCGGGTCTGCCATCGCCGTGGGCGTCGCGATCGATCGCGAGTGCGAGGTGATCGCGGCGGGGGGGTTCATGGTGCAAATTTTGCCGTTCGCGAGCGACGAGACGATTGAGATTTTGGAGCGAATCATACCGTCGCTGCCGTCGTCGACGGCGCTCGTGCAGGAGGGGTTGACGGCGGAACAGATCGCGCAGCGCGTGCTGGGCGAGCTCGGCGAGCAGAAGGATCTCATCACGAGGATGACGCCCGAGTACGGACCGTGCGAACCGACCGAGTTGCGCGGACGAATGTTGCGCGCGGTGGCTTCTCTGGGTAAGGAAGAGGTGGCTAAAATTTTAGCCGAAGACGGCCAAATCGAAATCACGTGCGAGTTTTGCAAGGTGACTAGCGTGCTGAAGGAAGCAGATTTAGCCAAGGCCCAGGGCGAGGTGGACGCAAGGTGACGGGAAAGCGATCTGGCTTCATTGGATTTTTAATGAACAATAACAATTTATTTTTGCGACATTACTTTACAAAGTGGCAGAGCGCCACACTAAATCACCCTCTAACGAGAGCGAATGGAAAGAATTGCTTTGGAAAGTTGCGGTATCGGCGTTTCCCTCGACTTTTTTGGAGAAGTTGAGGGTTCGTAGATATCCGCTAATGGTACACGCGTGGGCTGGTTCTCGATCGTATCGCGAATGATGGCGACGTAGCGATACATGCGATGACTGTCGAGTCGTTCAACGCGCTCCTCTGGAGAGTACTGACGAAGCGCCCAGAGGCGTTCGAAAATCGTCGGCCCTATTCGCTGCGTCGCGGTTTCGTTTTGATCTTCAAAAACCCCGGGCGATGCCGAGCTGGCATCGAATTCTTCTTGAATCGACAAGAAAGACTCTTTCGATTCGGTTGCGGCGATTAAGTCCTTCACCTCCGCTTCGAGTTCAATTTCGTTCGTTGGCATGCTAAACGCCGCAAGGAAAGACGTCCTCGCCCGCTTCGCAGCCGTGATAGGCTTGGAAAGCCCCTTGGCCACGCCTTTGGCGACGTTCGAGACTTGCCTCGTAACCTGACTCGCCTCCATCGTCGACATCGTCGTGGTGTTCATCACGCTTTCAATCGACACACGCTGGCGCCATAGAATTCCAGCTGCACCCCACTCGCGCGGTAAGTCCGCAAACACCCCGGGTCGATCGTTGTCGAGAACCAAGCCTTCGCCGACGTGGCAATATGGTCTGCGAACCAACGGACGCGACATCGGCAGCAAAGGGATGATGTCATCCTTTTGTACGACGCGCAAGATATCAATTTCCTCGATAGCTTGCGCGGTCTCCTTCGGTCCGAGTTTTGGTGAGCCAAACGTGACGACGCGACGAATCTTCGTCTTCTTCTTTTGATGCAGCAACAAAGCGAGCGCGACCGCTGCGGCGCCTCCGAGCGAGTGGCCCGTGAGTTGAAGCTCGTAGCCATCCAATAGCAAAGGCTCGATCGCCTCCAAGCATCGTTGCGCAATGTTTCGGTACCCTCTGTGCATCGGCACCGGCACATCTTCCGCTCTTCCAGTCGGCGCCGTGCCCAATCGCAAGTTTTGCGCCACATTCTTGATATTCTTTGTTCCGCGAAGCGACACGGTGTGCGTACGGTTTCTATGATCCGTCGTCACGATGGCTCTCTGCTCGCACGAACTCAACTCTAACACGCGCACGTCCTCTTTACCCCTGAAAAACTCTTCAATCTCCTCTAATGGTTGCCCATTCAAGCAAGCGATCTGCGCTATTCTGTACAACTCCTCGAACGACCCCACGACTGGTATCACGCTTCCGGGTGACGTCCCCGGCGGCATCTGTATCTGCTTCAACCAACTCGGCGCGAAGCGCATCGCCTCCACCGCTCGATTTCTCAGCTCCCCCAACCGTCGCTGCGATACCCCGTTCACAGCGTCCACGTCAACGCTCGCCTCCGCGTCACTCTCAGTCGTCGCTCGCGCCGTCGACGACGGCCGGCCGAAACGCGCTCTTCTCGCATCTTGCGCGCGTATCCCGCGTTCAATCGCCTGTTCATCCGTCGACCGCGTCGCGTCGTCAGTCATAATCATCGCCGTCGTCGTGGACGGCGGATGCCGCGGTCCATCGCGCGTCGCCGACACCGCGCGCGCGAGAACACGCGACGATCAGACGTCATCGTGGCTCCAGCACTCGACACGTTTTCGTTCGGTTCGTCGCGCGCACGTCGTGCGAACGCACCGTGAACCGAGAAACGAGCGCGCGCGTCGTCGGCGCGTGCATGGCTCGCGCCGTCGCGAGCCGCCGCCGCGCACCGCGTCTGTGTCTGAAGCTCTCGCGCGGCGGCGGTTGTGTATTCAGGAAACGAATGAAACTCGCGCGGCGTTGCAATTGAAAAGTGCGTAAAACAAGGGCGAAAATGTGCGTAAAGCGCTAACTCGCGCGCTGACTCGTGATCGATTAAGCCGCCGCGGATTGCGCGGCGACGTCTTCGCTCGCGTGGTGCGAGACGTACACTTCGCGTATTCGATCGAGCGAGACGGCGCGGCGAACCTCGGCGATGGCTTCGTGAAGCTCCGAGTCCTTTCCGATGAGCGGAACTTCGCCCTGGGACCACTCGAACTCGCCCATCACCACCTCGATGAGGCGTAACATCATGCGACGCGCCGTCATCGTCGTCGGGTTGTCCAATCGGTTCTCGCCGCGTTCGACGGTCTGGGTCGCCATCGTCCCGAGAAGTCTCCAGAGCTCGTCGTGCTCCGCGCTCGTGGTGCTCCATTTCCGCAACTCGAAGAAGTGCCCCTTCTCCAACGATGGGTGTGGATCGCGTTGATTGCGCTGCAAGAAGTTGAAGAGTCGGTAACTCGCGCAAACGTTCAACGCGTCTTGGTCCAGAGTTTCGTCAAACTTTAACGCGCCTCGTTCCTCGAGCTGAACCGCAAAGGCCTCGACGAAGTCTTCACCGAACGCCAAGTCGAGATCTTTTCTCGACACACTGGGCTGCCGCGATTCGGCGAGGAGTTTTTGTAAGTTTTCGGTGTATTCTTTTGCGTCCGTCATGATCGGGTCGCGAGCTGGGATGTGACGTTCGGTTCTGCGTCGTTGCGCGCGGCGACGCCGTCGAGCGTCGTGGACGGAAACAAAGAGAGTGTCAAATCGCGCGGACAAATGTGAGTCATGCTAATCATGTGTGTATTATTACGTCGCACGACGCTCGAGGAGACGTACGTCACCTCTCGCGCGCGTACGGGCAAGAATGGAGCTACAAATGCAAGTGCGTGCGAATGCGAAACCGCGTCGGCGAGTGCGCGATGGAAGATCGCGCGTCCAGAGGACGCGCGATTATCGGATGCAGTTATTGCGCCGCGCGGCGACGACGCATATCGTTCAACTCGCTAGCCATCAAAAACGCAAGCTCGATGGCTTGGCTCGCGTTCAAGCGCGGATCACAATGGGTGAGGTAGCGCTTTTCCAAATCAGACACCGAAACGTCCATGATGCCGCCCGTGCACTCGGTGACGTTTTGCCCCGTCATCTCTAAGTGAACCCCACCAGGATAAGTACCCATCTTTTCGTGCACTTCAAAGAATGCCATAATTTCGTCGCGCACCGCCTCGAACGGACGCGTCTTGAAACCGTTATCAGTCTTGATGGTGTTCCCGTGCATGGGATCCGTAACCCACAACACGTTGAGCCCGGCGTCTTCAATGGCGGTGATGAGACGCGGAAGATGCTCGCGCAACTTGGCAGCACCCATGCGAGAGATGAGGGTGATGCGACCCGGGACGTTGTCCGGGTTCAACTTCTTCACCAAGCTCACCACACCCTCGCCGTCGCTCTTGTCGGAAATCTTGATGCCGATCGGGTTGGAAATACCGCGGAAGTATTCCATGTGTGCGCCTTCGGGTTGGCGCGTGCGCTCACCACACCACAAGAAATGCGCGGAACAGCCGTAATGCTCCTCGGTCGTGGAGTCCAAACGCGTGAGCGATTCTTCATAACCCAGGTGAAGAGCTTCGTGCGCCGTGAAGAAGGATGTCTCTTGCATCGACGGATGAGTTTCGTCGATGCCGCACGCCGCCATAAAGTCAATCGCGGCGTCGACGCGCTGCGCAAGATCCTCATATTGACTGCCTCGTTCGGTGTTTTCCATAAAATCCAAATTCCAATCGCTCACGCGCGTCATCGCGGCGTACCCTCCGTTACTGAAAGCTCGCAGCAAGTTGAGCGTGGCGCACGACTGATCGTACGCCTTGACCAAACGCGAAGGGTCCGGCCGACGCGCTTCCGGGGTGAACTCACAGCTGTTGATGTTATCGCCTCTGTACGACGGCAACGAGAGCCCATCGATCGTTTCCAAGTCTTCGGAACGGGGTTTGGCGAACTGGCCAGCCATTCGTCCCAGCTTCACCACGGGCACGCCCGAGCCGTACATCAACACGACGGACATTTGCAGCAAAACCCGGTACGTATCCCGCACGTTATCCGACGTGAAATCTCTAAAACTTTCCGCACAATCACCACCGAACAAGACGAACGCGTTACCAGCCGCCGCGTTCGCGAGCTTTTCCTGCAAGTCGCGCGCTTCTCCCGCGAACACGAGCGGCGGCCGGTTGGCGATCACCTTCAGCGCCTCCTCCAGCTCAGCCTGATTTTCATAGTTCGGTTGTTGCAGCGCCTCGCGCTGTCGCCAAGACTTCGGGTTCCACTCCTTCAAATTCGCCCCCGTCGCGCTGACGTCCGCGCTCCTCGCCTTCGACTTGCTCGCCGTCGCCTGCGCCCTGCTCGCGTCGCGCGCGCCGCGCTCCGGGTTAGTCCTCGCGTTCGTCGTCGTTCGCCCTCGTCCCATCCGCGCGTCCCTCGCGCGCGTCGCCTCGAACGATCCACCATCCCTCCCCACCGATCCGCGCGTCTCGCGCTCGCGCGCGCGCGTCGCGCGCGTCTCGCGCCGTCGTCGCGTAACCCTCGACTCGATCGTCCGCCGTCGTCATCCACCCGATCGCGCGCGCGCGTCGTCGTTCGCGCCGCGCCGCGCACCTCGTCACCGTCGTCACCGATCGTCGCGCGCCCGCGCGCGTCGTTCGCGCGCGCGTCGGCGTCGCCGCGCGTCGGACGCACGCCATGTCGAGCGATCGATTGTGCCGCCGCCGACGGCGCGCGCGTCCCAAGCGCGCGTGGTTCCGAATGTCCGAACTTTCCCATCGCGATCGCGTTCTGATGGCATCGCGAGGCTTACTGTACGGCACTCGCGCGTTCGACGTATTCTGTGTGCGCACTGTTTGCGCACACAGAACGGGTGGTTTTTATGCGTCGCGCATCGGTGTGGATAGAATGTCCGGTGTGAAGGTTTGAATCGCGACGCTTCGCGCGATGGATGAAACGACGCGCGACCGCAGAGCGACGCGCGACGCGCGGCGCGACGCGGCGACGCGCGGAGCCGCGCATAAGAATTATCGTCGACCGCGGCGCGAGGCGCGAGGCGCGCGCGACGCGGGATGACGACGATGGGACGGGGGATGACGACGACGTCGACGACGACGGCCGTTAACGGCGCGCGCGCGCGCGCGGGACGACGCGCGCGAGCGACGCGCGCGGTGACGTCGAGAGGTGCGCGCGACGCGGGATGACGGGGAGGGGAGGTGGACGCGACGGGCGGGGGGGGGGACGCGCGGCGCGGACGGAGGGGGGGACGCGAGCGACGCGAGCGATGACATCGAAATCGAAACGGCACGATTTTTTTTGAAATGTCGCGGCGCGCGGCGCGACGGGTCGGTCGGACGCGTTCGGCGCGCGCGCGACGATCGGGGGAGGGTGGACTGACGTGTATTCGTTCGACGCGGCGCAGCGGTGGAGATCGATGACGATGGGTACGACGTCGACGATGGGATGATTTCGAGCACGGAGTTTGAAGACGACGACGAGCAAGTCACCGTGCGAGACGACTTGACGCGTTTGTACGGCGTCTTGCCCGCGGACGTTCGGGACGCGGTGAAGAATCATCCGGAACGGAAACATCTGTTGGAGGTGGTGTTGGATCTCGGTCGAGCGCCCGAGGCGAGATTTCTGGGGGAAATTGGGTCGATGTTCCTGCGCGAGGCGCCAGTGGTGGAAGCTGAGCTCGTCGCGGCGGCGAAGGCGGTGGGGGAGTTTGGTGGGGATAACCGAGCGGGCATCGAAGGCACGTTACATCGCATTTCGTGCATTCGAAACAGGCGTGGTCACATCGTCGGCATGACGTGTCGCGTTGGACGAGCTGTGACGGGGCATATCGATATGATTCGAGATATTTTACCGAGCGGCGAGAGCGTGTTGTTTTTGGGACGTCCGGGTGTCGGAAAGACGACGGTCATCCGCGAAATGGCGCGTGTGTTGAGCGATGAGCTCAAAAAACGCGTGGTGATCATCGACACCAGCAACGAGATCGGCGGTGATGGCGACATCCCGCACCCCGCCATCGGGGGCGCGCGGCGAATGCAAGTTCCGGATCCGTCCATGCAACACCGCGTCATGATCGAAGCCGTGGAGAATCACATGCCCGAGGTGATCATCGTCGATGAAATCGGTACCGAAGCCGAAGCGCTGGCGTGTCGAACGATCGCCGAGCGTGGTGTTCAGCTCATTGGTACCGCGCACGGGCAGTTGCTGGAGAACTTGATCAAGAACCCGACGCTGACCGATTTGGTCGGCGGCGTCCAGACTGTCACGCTCGGCGACGACGAAGCGCGCGCGAGAGGGTGCCAAAAGTCCATCCTCGAGCGTCAAGGTCCGCCGACGTTTCCAATTTTGATCGAAATGCACGAACGCAACATGTGGGTCGCGCACAACGTCGCTGAAAGCGTCGATGAAGTGCTCAGCGGGGCGCGACCAGTCGTGCAGCTTCGCACTCGCGATGGCGAAGGCGAAGTGACGGTGCATCGCACCGTTTACGATATGGACGTCAGTCTTGGCACTGCGAACGTGAGCCATACGCTCGGGGCCATGGGTGGCATAATCGCCCCCACGAGTCGTCTGAACAACCGAGCAGATAGCTCGGTCGATGACCCATATGCTTGGGCCCAAACCATCGGCAACGTTCCGGACAAGGACGCTTTGGACAACGTTTACGGAGGCACGGCGTTCAAGGAAAACAAGAAGCGCGGCAAAAAGACGCGTGCGAACGCCTCCAAGCGTTGATTCAGGTCAGCGCACCACTTTCTACACTAGTACCATCAGAGTATTACCGCACATTACGCTATCATCGCCCGCGACTTACTCATTGCGGGTTTGTATCATATTCAAGATCTCGAGCCGTCGACATCGACGGCTTCCGCTGTTGTACTTGGAGGCTGTACTATCACGCGGCGCGACACATGCAATGTTATAAAATACGAGATATGTCGTTAAGTTATTACACGTACGAGCGGCCGCCGCTCCATTACTAAATTATCCGCGACCAAACGCGCGTAAAGATTCCGTACCACCGCCGCCGCTCGCTCGAGCGGACGCGGTGACGACGTTCTCCTCGGGCGCTGTCACGGGTACTTCTTCTTCAAGCGGAATGTACGCGGGAACTTGCACCGGGATTTTCGACCGACCAACTTTCGTCGGCGTTCGATGTCTCTGTTCCGCCGGTGTGGTGGACAGTTTCGCGCTCACCGCCGCCCAGCGCACGGCGAAGGCCGACCATCCCTTGGCGACGTGTACTCGGACGTTTTCGTAGACGCTCGTAACGATTTGACGCGTCTTTAGCGCACGATCTCCCGGTCCGACGCTCAAGGAGATCACCGCCGTAAAGCATCCGAGCTGAATAAGGCGCGCGAGCGCCCGGATGAGGTGTCTACGCTCCTTACCATCGGGGTCGATCTTGAACTCGTCTTCCTCGTCTTCATCCGAGGCGTACTCGACATTGGAATAAATGGTGTGACGCGTGATCGCGGATCGCACCGAGCCCGCGATACTGTAGCGCTTGTGCGCGCCGTGCGCACGCTGCGTAGTCGCGCCCAGCGGCCACCGGCGATTGGAGTGAAAGGATGAAACATCGGACTTGGCGTCTGGGGAAAACGGCGCCGCGGCGACGGACGCAGGCCCTCGTCGAGGTGGCTTCGTCGGCGAGGTTATCTTGAACTCGCGGTACTCCTCGACCGTTTGCTCTGCAGTGTGCTTCCTCTTTTGTCTGAAAACCGTACGACCGACGCGATTGATGATGAAGAACGGCGAACCTAAAGTAAAGTTCACCGTCTTCCACGCTGCGCCAAACGTATTCGCGAACAATCCCACGATTGGTGCCGCTAGCTTCTTCCCGCCTCGCGGCCCGATCGAAAGCGTCATGTCGATGCCATTTTCGTTCGCCTCCTCGTACTTCTCAACAAAATCTTCCCCGTACTCCGCACACATCATCTCGCGCGCCGTCGACGACATCGTCACCCTCGACACCAACTCTCGATCCGCCGCTTCGATGACTTCCTCAAACGCTCGCGACTGCCTCGTCAACGCGCGTCTCGCCCGCGCTCGAAACTCCTCCTCCGCCTCCGCGCTCAATCCCGCGCTTTCCAACGCATCGTGCAACCTTCGCGCCACGAATTCATCCGAATTCCGCTCAAACGCCATGACTTTCGCCTCCACCCTCTCCACCGTCTTGCGCGCGCTATCCTCCAGCGTCCTCGCGCGCGCCCCCGCGCGTTCGCTCGCGTACGCCACCGCGCTCAGCGCTCGCTCCCCGTCCCGCCGCACCACCGATTCCGCGTGTTCAAACGATTCAAAATTCACGTAATCTTCCATCATCAGCGCTCTGCTCGCCTTACTCGTCGTCTTCGGTCGTCGTCTCGTCGCCCGATCGAGTCGCGGCGACATCACCCCCGCGCGCATCGCCCGCCAATCTCTCGCCTCTTCGTCCTCGCTCTCCCCCGTCCCGTCGCCCTCGCGCGCGATCGCCGCGTCATCGACGTTGTTTTCTTTCCCATCGTCGCTCGCGTCGTCGTCCTCGTCGTCGTCGTCGTCCTCGTCGTCGTCGGATTCCATCCGTCGCGCGTACGCCCTCGCGAACGCGTCGAGTCGTCCGCGCTTCGCCCGCTGCGCCCGCGCCGGCGACGGGTCCTCGCCGCGCGCGTCGTCGTATCCTCGCAGCACCGCCGCCGCGACGGTCGCCATCGCGCGCGCGTCGCGTTCGGCCGCGGCGAACGGCTCGCGCGCGCGGTTTAAATTTAAATTCAAAATCGTTCGCGACGGCGCGTCGGGTCGGCGCACGCGCGCGCGCGCCGCGATGCCGCGCGTCGCGTCCGCGCTGGACAACTGCGGTCTCATCGCCGCGTTCGTCGCCGTCGTCGCGGCGCAGGCGCTGAAGCCGCTGACGGCGCGCGTCGCCGGCGGCGCGTGGAGGCCCGCGCTCGCGCTCGCGAGCGGTGGATTTCCGAGCTCGCACAGCGCGTTCGTCACCGCGCTCGCCGCGGGCGTGGGCGCGCAGTGGGGATACGACTCGGGATCGTTCGCGTGCGCGTGCGCGGTGAGCGCGGTGGTGATGTACGACGCGATGGGGGTGCGAAGACAGGCTGGATTCCACGCGACGGCGATCAACACGCTGGTGGCGAACGCGTACGGGACGCGAGGCGAAGGCGCGACGACGACGGGGACGACGCGCGAGGAGATGGACGAGGACGGAGGAAGGTATCGAGGCGACGCGGAGAGCGGGGCGCCGCAGGCGGGGGAGTCGCTCACGGACACGCTGTTCGACGAAGGATTCGACGCGTTCGTCGGGCGGTTGCAAGAGCGACCGCTGCGAGAGCACATCGGGCACACGCCCGTGCAGGTCGTCGCGGGGGCGGTGACGGGGATCGTGATAGGGATCGCCGTCAGTTTTAGCGTGGTGGGCCCGGAGTGAGGCGTTCGGGGGCGGGGAGTCGCTTCTATGTATTGGAATCTTATTTTACTAGCCGTCGCGGAAACTGGACAGCTGTCGAATCGCGTCTTCGTCGAATCGAAGACGATCGCACTAAGCCTTCATGCCGATGACGACGAACGTCATGAAAATCACCATGACGAGCAAAATGTAAATGCACACGATGGCGACGCTGTGCTTTTGCGACTTCTCGGCTTGTACCAACTCTTTTCGTCCTTGCTCGACGGACGCCGCCACCTCTTGACAGTTATAGTCGATGCGGTCTAAAATCGTCCCTTGGTCGATGATCAGGGCGGATAAGTCCTTCATCACCGCCCCGAGGTCTTGCACGGACTCCAAAATTTTCATCACCTCGCGATCGCGCTCGATGCTCACCGTCTCGGCGCGATTCAACATCTCCATACGCAGCATCGACTCGCCGCCGCCGCCCGCGCTCGCGCCCGCGCCGGCGCCGCTGAACTGCGCGTACGAGTCCAGACCCGCCGCTCCCGGTCCTCGATCTTGCTGCGACTTCAATTTGGCTAAATAATCCTTCTGCTGTTTCCTAAAATCCTGCGAAAGCTTGTTCAACTCCATCGCCAACTTTCTCTGCGCGTTGACGCGCACGCGCTCCTCCCCATCTCCTTCCCCCGTCTCGCTCACGCTCCGTATTGCGACATCGCACCGCTTAAACAGTTTCGTCACTTCCTTCGTCAGCGCCTCCGCGACGACGTCCTCGCCCGCGACGTCGTCGAAATTTGGCAGCAACGCCTTGGCGTGCGCCTCGCGCAACCCGCGCAGGCTCGTCCGTATCGCCTCCACGTCCCTCGCCGCGTCATCGCACCGCTCGACCCATCGCGGGACGACGCCCGCGCGTTCCGGCACCCCCACGCGCACGTCATCGCTCGCGTCGTCGCTCCGCGCGCCCAGCGCGGCGTCCAGCAGTCTCGACGTGCCGCGCGCGTCCCCGACCGTCGTCGCGAGCGACGCGTGCGCGTCGCCTCGCTGCGCGCGCGCGACGTCGCGCGCGCGCGCGTACGCGTGCGTGAGGTTTCTGTGCGCGCCGAACGCGCTCGCGGCGCGCGCGCGCGCCACCATCGCGCGTCGTCGAATGCGGTCGCGTCCGTTCGGAGTCGTTGCTTTGGAGTCGTCGCTTCGGCGCGTTTGGAGTCAAAACGACGCGCGTCGCGCGCGCGCGAACGCGAGACGGGCGTCGGAGACGGGCGGTCGCGCGCGTCGACGAACGCGCGATGGTCGACGCGCGAGACGCGCTCGTAGCGCTCGCGATCGGCGCCGAGGTGTGGATTACGAGCGATGGAAAAGATGGCGACGCGGCGACGCATCTGCCGGGCGTCGTCGCGTCCGTGCGAGACGATGGACGCGCGTGCGGCGTGAAGGTTGAGGGCGAAGACGGCGAGCGCGAGTGCGACGCGGGAGAGGTGCTGATGCGCGAACGCGCGACGGCGGAGGATATGGTGAAGCTGAACCATCTGCACGAACCGGGCGTGCTCGAAAATTTGCGCGCGCGGTACGCGACGGATGACATCTACACCTACACCGGGTCGATCCTGATCGCGGTGAACCCGTTCAAGGACGTCGGACACTTGTATGATGAACACATGATGTCGATGTATCGAGGGGCGCGATTGGGAGATCTGAGTCCGCACGTGTACGCCACGGCGGACGCCGCGTACGAGGCGCTGCGGACGGAGGGCGTGTCGCAGAGCGTGCTGGTGAGCGGGGAATCTGGGGCGGGGAAGACAGAGACGGCGAAGTTATTGATGCGGTACATCGCGCACAGATCGTCGTCCGATGAAGACGCGGGTGGAGGTAGGACGACGCAGGATAAAGTGTTGGAAAGTAATCCGTTGTTGGAAGCGTTTGGGAACGCGAAAACGGTTCGAAACGACAACAGTAGTCGATTTGGAAAGTACGTGGAGCTTCAATTCGATTCGAAATATCGTATCAGTGGGGCGGCGATCCGTACGTACCTCCTCGAGCGAAGTCGCGTCGTGAAGACGAGCGATCCCGAGCGGAATTTTCACATCTTTTATCAGCTGTGTGCTGGAGCAGAAGAGAGCGATCGAGAGACTTGGCGATTGAAGGACGCATCTGCTTATAATTACACCAACCAGAGCGCGTGTTTCGACTTAGATGGCTTGGACAACTCGGAGGAGTACAGACGCACTACGAACGCCATGGACGTGGTCGGCATTACCAAGGCGGAGCAGAAGAGCATCATGAGCGTCGTCGCGGGTATTTTGCACTTGGGCAATATTTGTTTCATCGACAATACCGACGACGAAGGCTGTGATTTCGCCAGCGATGCCGCTAAGGGCGCGTTGGTAGATTGCGCCGCGGTTTTAAAGCTCGATGCCGAAAAGCTCGAGCGCTCCCTTCGCACGAGAAGAATCGTCCTCGCTGATGAAGTCATTCACAAGCCCCTCTCCGCCGCCGCCGCGACGCACTCGCGCGATGCGCTCGCGAAGAGTCTGTACTCCAAGTTATTCGATTCGCTCGTCGATCGAATCAACATCAGTATCGGTCAAGATGCGACGAGCAAAGCGTTCATCGGAGTCCTCGATATCTACGGTTTTGAGAGCTTCGCCGTGAATTCGTTTGAGCAATTCTGCATCAACTTCGCCAACGAGAAGCTTCAGCAACATTTCAATCAGCACGTCTTCAAGATGGAGCAAGAAGAGTACGAAAGAGAAGGTATCGATTGGTCTTACATCGAATTCATCGATAATCAGGACATGCTCGACGTGATCGAGCGGCGTTCGAACGGAATCATATCGTTGCTTGACGAATCGTGCATGCTGGCGTCGAGTACGGATGAGCAGTTTGCTCAAAAGTTGTACACTGGTCTCAAGGACGAGCAACGCCTCAGCAAGCCCAAGTTGTCTCAAACTGCGTTCACACTTTCTCATTATGCGGGTGATGTGACGTATGAGAGTAATACCTTCCTCGACAAGAATAAAGACTTCGTAATCCAAGAGCATGAAGAAATTTTGGCAAGCGGATCCCACGAAGAACTCGTTAGAATGTTCGCGCTTGGTGATGACTCTTCGGAAACGTCTGGACGAGGAAAGTCGTCTACAAAGTTTAGTTCCGTGAGTACGCGCTTCAAGAAGCAGCTCGGTGAGCTCATGTCAAAGCTTAACGCGACGGAACCCCATTACATAAGATGCATCAAGCCAAACGCAGCGTCCAAGGCGTCGAGCTTTGAAGGCGCAAACGTTCTTCAGCAGCTTCGCTGCGGGGGTGTATTGGAGGCCATTCGCATCAGCTGTGCGGGATATCCATCGCGAAAGCCTATCGAGATTTTTCTCGCGCGTTTTGGTCTCCTTGCTCCGCAAGCAGCCGCGCTGTATTTCGAAGGTCGTGAACGCGAAGCACTCGAAGGGATTTTGCAAGCCGCCAACGTCGATGGATGGCAAATCGGCAAAACACAGGTCTTCCTAAGGTCGGGTCAGATGGCTATTTTGGACGTTCTACGCCTGAATAAGCTGAACAAGGCGGCCATCGAGATTCAAAGCAGGGCGCGCGCGTTCGTCAAACGTAAGCAGTTCACCGAGCTGAGATCGGCTTCGATCAAGGTTGCCGCAGCCGCTCGTGGAATGCTTGCTCGCAAGAGGGTTCGCAGCATACGGGAGCAAATTGCAGCCGTTCGAATTCAGACTGCATTCAGGGCCATACGTGCGCGAGTTCAATTCGAGCGGACCAAAGACGCGGTGCAAAAGATTCAGGCAATCGTTCGAGGTGCGAGAGCACGACGAATTCTCCGGCAGACTCGGGCGACAGAAATAACCACGAACAAAGCGGCCACGTGCATCCAGTCTCACTGGAAAGCTAAGGTTGCTCGCAAGGAATTCAAAGTCGCGAAGGCCAGGGCACGGGAAACTGGTGCGCTTCTCGAAGCGAAGTCGTCGCTTGAGCAGCAGCTCGAATCTGAGCGAGCCCGCACTGCCATGGAGCAACGCGCCCGTCAAGATGAAAACGCTCGCCACGCCTCGATGGAACAAGAGCTTCGCGCGCGCATGGAGACATTGGAAAAGGAACTTGCTATCGCGAGAGAAAGTGTGCACGGAATCGTTGAGTCTCGAGTGTCTGAAGTTACGTCGCAGAAAGATGGCGAAATCAACGTGCTCAGGCAATCGTTGGTCGAGCGCGATGCCAAACTCGCAGAGCTGCAAGAGTGGAAAGCAACGAGAGAGGCGCAGTTCGCAGAGCTGAACTCGAAACTAGAAGCGATACATCTCGACTCGCTTGCGTCGCCGGCTAAACATTCAATCGCAACCGGTGAAGCGACCATCGCGTCCGCGTCCTCGAGTGCGCTCGGGGATTTGAACACACGAATCAGCGAAAAGATTGAACTCAACTCAAAATTGCGCCAAGAAAACGACTCGCTTCAGCAAGAGCGTACCGATCTTGAAAGAGTAGTGAATCAGTTGCGCACAGAGATGAGCGAAATGGAGAAGGAAAACGCAACGATGAAGTCGCAATGTTCGCCTTCGCCGGTGAGGACTGGCGGACGATTCGCTTCAATTCTCAGCCCGATGTCGCCCATGGACGGGTTGGACACTCTGGAGTCCCCGCGGACTCCAGATACGCCGAATAGCGAAGACGTAGAGGCAGCCCTCGAACGAGAACAAGCTGAACTGGACGCGCGGAAATTGAAGCTCGAACAAGTCCGCTCGCACATGGAGTACGCAGTCTTGTTGAACTTCATCGAGAAGGACGCGAGGGATGCGGGATTCATGGAGAATGGGACTCCAGTGCTCGCGTGCATTATTTTTAGATGCTTACTCAAATGGGGAACGTTTGAGTTGGATAGAACGAGTCTGTTCGACAAGATCATGGATGCTATCAACATAAGTTTGGAGGACGCAGGCGAAGATTACGCGGCGCTGACTTACTGGCTCACTAATGCGTTTATTCTCCTGCAGCTCTTGCAGCGAACGCTCAAGACGACCGCGTCGGGTAGCAAAGAAAACCGAAGGAAAAGTGGCGGTCTATTCGATCGGCTGAACTCTCGGTTTGTGCGCGCTACGACGCCGGTGTCGACATCGTCTCCTGGCGTGAAAGGTGTCTCGCACATCGACGCCAAATATCCGGCGTTTCTGTTCAAGCAGCAGCTGGCGGCGCTCGTGGAAAAGATTTATGGCACTCTACGAGACCGTGTGAAAAAGGACGTAACTCCACAGTTTGCTACTTGCATTCAAGCCCCGAGACAGCGTTCAGGTACGGCAACTCTTGCACGCAGTGCGTCGGGCGTCCTTCGCCCCGAGTTGGGTCAAGGCTGGATGCGAATCTTGGACACGTTGGACGAAACCGTCAAGGCGATGGCTTTAAATAATGTCCCCCAGGCACTCAGCAAACGTTTCTTCGTTCAAGTATTTTGTTTTATAAACGTTCAAATGTTCAACGCCCTTCTTCTCCGGCGCGAATGTTGCTCGTTTTCGAACGGTGAGTACATCAAGATGGGTCTATCTCTTTTCGATTCATGGGCTCGCAAGCCCCAAAACGAAGCCGTCGGCGAAGACTCCTTGGATGAATTGAGATTTATTCGCCAGGCTGTCAATCTACTAGTGATCCACCAAAAGCCGCAGAAGACTTTGAATGAAATAACCTTGGAGCTATGCCCTCAACTCAGCATTCAGCAGCTTTACAGAATCAGCACGATGTACTGGGACGACAAGTACGGCACGGAATCCGTCAACGCCGAGGTTTTGAGCGAAATGCGAATTAGAATGAAGGAAGATAACAGTTCGCATGCGAGTAACTCATTTCTACTCGACGATGATAGTAGTGTACAGTTCAGCATCGACGAAAATCTCGATGCGCAAGCGATCAGTATACAGCTCGACGGCGGTTTCGGCCTTCCGGGAACTTTTCTCGAGAATCCGTCCTTCGCGTTTCTACTTGCACGACCGAGCGAACAGTGACGAAGAATTTAGCTTGTAATGACAACGATACACTAGATTAACGGATACAAAAATTTACTCGAGAGCAGGTTCATTCCTCGGTGATGGTCAACTTGGCTTCGCCGAGACTTCCTAAGTCTCCAGGAAGCAACGGAGCACTGGAGCGCCCTGGACTTTGCGATGGAGATGGAGTTAGGCTGCCGTCACTAGTCGACGACCGCCGACTAGTCGCGACGGAAGTAGGCTTCGCGTCGGTTTCCATGATTTCGCTGAGCACCATGGCAAATCGAGCCGCATCGCCAGCGCGAACGCGCATTTCCATTTGACTCTCGCTGCCCGACTTGTCTTTGAACCTGAAAATCGTCGTTTGGAACTCGGTGTACGATGAACCGCCGTGCATGGACCTGTCGAGCCCATTACATTCTCTGTCGGCCGACACTCGGAGTGCATTGAAGTACTTGAGTACAGCGAGCACGGCCAGCGCCGTGACGGACACCCAAGCGCATAAGGCGAGTAGGAACACCAAGGCTGCGCCGAAGACGGCGCCGCCGTGCGAGCATCCGTACAACAACCCGCAACCCTTGTAAGAATCGCCGTAAAAGTGCTTGAGGAACTTCGGCGCACTGAAAAGCGCGGAGGCGACGATGCCCCAAATACCGCCAAAAAAGTGTACGGCGACGGCGTCGACGACATCATCGAGCTTCTTGCGCACCATAAAGTCCGACGCCCAGACGTATAAAACTCCGGCGACGACGCCGATGACGAGGGACACGCCAATCTCTACGAACGCCGCGCCCCCGGAAGAGCTCACGAGAGCGGTGAGGATACCGTTGATCATTCGAGCCGGACGAACGCGACTGCGATCGCGATACATATCGATACAGACCACGGTGATACCGCCGAGGCAACCCGAGAGCGCGGTGACGAGACCGACGCGCGCAACCGTGATCAAATGCTCTTCGGCGAGCGTCCGCACGCTGCCGCAATTGAACCCGAACCACCCGTACCACATGAGCATGCCTCCGATCACCTGATACACCGGGTTCTGCTGAGGCATATCGTTCGCCCGTCGTCCGTGAGAGAACCGCCCCGCGCGCGCGCCGACGACGTACACCGCCCAGAGCGCGCACAGTCCCCCCGTCACGTGCACCACGCCCGATCCCGCGTAATCCAGCACCCCGACGTCGAACAACACCCTCCCACCCCCCCTGACCGGATTCGCCCACCCGTTCTCCGCCCACGCCCAGTGCGAGACGATCGGAAAGATGACCCCCGCCACCACGCTCGACAAAACCGCGTACGACTGAAACGGAAACCGCTCCGCCACCGCCCCCGACACGATCGTCGCGCTCGTCGCCGCGAAGCACGCCGAAAAGAACGCGTTCGCGTGCGCCCCCGCCGCCGTCGCGTGATTCGCGCTGTCAAACTTCGCCGACCGCATCCCGAACCCGTCCCTGCCCGCGAACCCGTCCTCGCCCGCGCCCCACGCCAGCCCGTACCCGACCGCGTAATACGCCACCCCGCTCGCGCACAGGTCCAAGACGTTCTTCACCAGCACGCTCTTCGTGTTCCGGATCGACACGCTCCCGACCTCGAGCAGCGCGAACCCGATCGACATCGCGAACACCAGCGTGGCGCAGTACATGAAGAAGACCGCGTCCACCTTTTGCACGTCCAGCGTCACCTGCATCCCCGCCATCGCGCGCGATCGTTCGTCGCGCGTCCGCGTCGGCGTCCGACGCGGCGCGCGGCGCGCGGCGGCGTCTGACGCGTCGCGCGGCGCGTCGCGACGTCGCGCGCCGAGGCGTCGCGTCGACCCGAGACACCCGCGTGTGCGGGCGCCACGGATTCGACGCGACCGACCGCGACCGCGCACGACGACGCGCGTCGACGCGCGCGCGACGCCATGCGCGCGGCGACGCGACGGTGACGACCACACGCGCGTCGCGCCCGACGACGACGCGAGACGACGCGCCGAACGCGGCGCGGCGAAGCCGAACGCGGGATGCCGACGCGAATCCTGTGCGTCGCGGAGAAACCGTCGCTGGCGAGCGCGATCGCGAGGACGCTCGCGCGCGGAGGCGATGGAGGCGATCGCGGCGTCGTCGCGCGGCGAGGGCTGGCGACGGAGGTGCACGAGTTCGCGACGGCGCGAGAGGGGTCGTGGGCGTTCGCGAGCGGGACGCGGGACGGACGCGCGGAGTGGCGGGTGACGTCGACGACTGGGCACGTCGCGAGCGTGGAGTTTTCGGCGCGGTATCAGGCGTGGGAGGGGTGCGAACCGGGGGAGCTGTTCGCGGCGGACGTGGTGAAGCGCGCGGACGGGCGAATGGTGGGGCATCTGGAACGCGAGGCGAGAGGGTGCGATTATCTCGTGTTGTTTCTCGATTGCGACCGGGAGGGGGAGAATATATGCTTCGAGGTGATGGAGGCGTGCGCGGGGGGGTTGAAAACGGGAGCGACCGAACCCGGGGCGCCGTCGGCGCGGATTCTGCGCGCCAAGTTTAGCGCGGTGACGCGAGAGAGCATCGAGCGCGCCATGAGGACGCTCGGCGAACCGAACAGAAACGAGGCGCTCGCCGTGGACGCGAGGCAAGAGTTGGATTTGAAGATGGGCGTCGCGTTCACGCGATTCCAAACGCAGTATTTTTTGAACAAGTACGATCGCTTGGATGCGCGCGTGGTGTCGTACGGGCCGTGTCAAACCCCCACGCTCGGTTTCGCCGTGCAGAGACACTTGGAGATTATTCGTCACGTTCCCGAACCGTATTGGGCGCTGGACGCCTCGTTTGACGACGCGGCGACGGGGGACACCATCGCGCCGGCGTGGCGACGGACGAGATTGTTTGACGAAGAAACCACGCGCGCGTTTCTCCAGCTCGTGAACGACGCCAACGAGTTCCGAGTCACCTCGATTGAGGTCAACGCGGAAAAGCGCGGGCGCCCGAGCGGGCTAAACACGGTCGAGATGCTCAAGGCGGCGTCGGCGGGTTTGGGCATGGGCGCCCACCGTGCGATGCAAGTCGCCGAGCGTCTGTACATGGCTGGTCATATATCGTACCCACGCACCGAAAGCACGGCGTACCCTCGCGGTTTCGAGTTGAAGCAGACGCTGACGATTCAAAAGTCCCATCCGACGTGGGGCGCGTTCGTCTCGCGCTTGCTCGACGAAAGTTCGATGACGTCGCCCAAGCGAGGCGTGGACGCGGGTGATCACCCACCGATAACGCCGATGCGTGCGAGTACGGAAGACCAAGTGGGAGGCGGTGAGGCGTGGCGGCTGTACGACTTCATATCGCGACATTTCATCGCGAGCGTATCGCCCGACTGCGAATACGAGACGCAAACCGCGACGTTGGACGCCGGCGGCGAAGAGTTTACGCTGCAGGGTAAGCGCGTTATCGAGCACGGGTGGACGGAGATCATGCCGCACAGGATGATCGAAGATAGTTCATTGCCCGTCTGCGTCGTCCAAGGCGCGAGAATACCTCTCAAGTCGGTACGATTGCGAAGCGAATCAACATCTCCGCCAGAGTACTTGACGGAGAGCGAACTCATCGGCTTGATGGAGAAGAACGGCATCGGCACGGATGCGTCAATACCGACGCACATCAACAACATCCAAGTGCGCAAGTACGTCGATGTCGCAAAAGGCCGTCGAATAGTGCCGAGCCAGCTCGGGATCACGCTCGTTCAAGGATATCACGCCATTGACTCCGAGCTCGTGTTGCCCACGGTGCGTCGGCACGTCGAGCGACAGCTGGATCTCGTCGCCAAAGGTCAGGCCCCGTACGAGGGTGTGGTCGCTCATATTCTCGCCCAGATGTTCGACAAGTTCAACTACTTCACCACAAACATCGCCGCCATGGATGCGCTCTTCGAAGCGTCATTTTCGCACACGACGACGGAGTCTACGCCGTACTCCAAGTGCGGTCGGTGTTCGAGATATCTCAAACTCGTCGGCGCGACCGGGCGCATTCAGCGTCTCTACTGTCCGACCGAGGAGGTGGTTTACGAACTCCCGATCGGCGGCGTGTTCAAACAACACAACGGTCGCACGTGCGCGATATGTGGCTTCGAACTGTTGATAGTTTCCCAAAAAGGCACGGGGCGCGCGTATCCGCTGTGTCCGTTTTGTTTCAACCATCCCCCGTTCGAGGGCGCGCCTCGAATTAAGGCTTTACTCCGAGGCTCACCGCACCCGCGCGAGCACCCAGTCGCGGACGACGTGAGCGTATCAACGTGTCCCGAGTGCGCGGCGTCGAATAGACCGGGCGTGTTGATGCTCGATCCCGCGGCGACGTCGCCCGGAAAGCTGTACTGCTCGAGCGCGGCGTGCGACGTCCTCGTTCGACTGCCGCCTAGCGTGAAACGAAGCGCCGTGAGCCACGACGCCGAGTGCGCAGCGTGCGAGGCGAAGTGTTTAGATCTCGAGATGTTCAACGGGGATAAGGCAACGGTGTGTCTGAGATGTGAGGATGAGTTGAGCGAATCCGTTCGCGTCGTCCGAGTCAAGCCGCCGAGCTCGGGTCGCGGCGGAAGAGGTCGCGGCGGAAGAGGCGGCCGGGGACGGGACGACGAACGGCGACGCGAGTGACATGTAGGCAGTAGCTCAGTAGCTCTAACGAGAACAGAGGCAATAGCTCAGTAGCTCTAACGAGAACGATTGAATGTAAAATATTTCAAAGCCCGCGAGCTCATCGTCCGTCGCCGGTTTATCTTCTAGTATTGTAGCTACGACGTCTGGCGAGGCTCATCTAACGAGCGCCTCCATTCGATTTACGCAGCGAGCGCCTTCTTGATGAGAGCGCTGCGCTTCGTGCGCGCGAGCGCAACCTTGAATCGTTCAAAGTCCGTGAGATTCGCGCGCGCGTTTTGTCGCGCAATCTTCTTGCCCCACGCGCTCTTCGCCCAAGAGCCCTCGACGTCGGCGCTCTTCCACGCCGCCGCGAGCGCCGCCTCGTCGCACTTTCGCTCGACGTCAACCTTCATGTCCGTGATCGCCACTCGACGAAGGCTGATCACGTCGCGCTTGACACCCGGAGCCGCGACGAGCACCTACGACCATTCACGAAACCGCACATCATCGTCAGTCATCCATCCCCCGTCCCGTTCGCGGCGCGCGCTGTTTAGGGTCTGCCCTCGCGTTAGGGTCATCCCCATCGCGCGTCTCCTCGACCCCGTTCGCGTACGCGCGGCGCTCGCACGCACCCTGTTCATGTCCACGATATCGACGATCACCAAAAGCTTCCCATATCGGGCGTCCGCCTTGAGGTTGCACAGCGCGACGCGGCCGATCTCGACGTTTCTCTGTTCGCGTCGCGATGCGCGTGCGGGGCGCGATCGTTCGTCAGTCTTCCCTTCGTCGCGATGCGCGTTCGATCGCGTCGGTGGCGCGCGCGGTTCGACGGCGGTGATTTCGATTCGCGTCGCGCGTACGTTGAAGGGCATGTCGTCGTTCGCGCGTCGGTGAGAGACGGCGACGCGCCGTCGTCGGCGCGATGCGGCCCCGCGCGACGGCGGTTTATTTACATGTAGGGTTTTCATTGATGGAGCGTTTTGTAGTTTTGTATGTGCGTCGTAACGACATCGCGTACACCGCGGCACACGCGCGCGCGCGATGCCCGCCGACGCGCGGCGCGCGCGGCGACGCGCGCTCGACGCGCTCTTCTTCGTCGCCTGCGCGTCCTGCGTCGCCGGTCGCGCCGCGGCGCGCGCGAGCGCGGAAGATGTGCGCGCGATGGCGCGGCCCGCGGACGCGCGCGACGCGGTCTCGAGCGCGGTGCTCGCGGTGCTGCGCGCGCCGTGCGACGCGTACGCGAAATCGTTCGACGATGAAACCGCGGCGTCGCTGCGCGCGGGAGCGCGACGAGCGCTCGAGGCGCAGTGCGCGCGCGCAGGCGGGGACGAGACGCGGAGCGACGCGTGCGGGACGCTCGCGACGGTGGCGGACGGCGCGCGCGCGATGACGCGAGGAGAGGCGATGGGACACTTTAAGCAAGCGATGCACGAGAGCTGTCAATCGGGGGCGGCGGCGATGTCGGATCCGGAGAAGCGGGACGCGAGTGAGGCGACGCGGTACGTGCGCGAGGCGGTGACGCGCGCGGCGGAGGAGGAAGCGGTGGCGGGACGCACGGCGAGCGCGGGGAGATGGGAGGACGACGGGGGCGAGGGAACGTCGCCGGCGACGTCGGTGACGGAGGAAGGCGGCGACGGGCGCACGGGTGATCGTGGAATGTGGGGATGGGATCGAGACGCGCCGACTCAAACGTCGGCGGAGGACGCGTTCGGGGCGGCGTCGAGCGTGGATTCGATCAAGCATCGCGAGCGACAGGCGTTGGGTGACATGTACAGGCGTACGAACGGTGCGAAATGGCGCAGACGGGACGGTTGGATGTCCAGCAAGTCTTACTGCGAGTGGTACGGGGTGACGTGTCTCGAAAAGGATTTCGGCGTCGCCTTTGTGGATTTGCGAGACAACGGCATGGAGGGCGACATGCCGCAAGCGATCGATGAATTGAAGCTTTTACAAGGACTGGACCTGTCGTATAATCGGCTCGAAGGACGTTTGAGCGCGATGCTCGGTGAGCTGAAGACGCTGCGGTACCTCTTGGTACGATCGAACGCGCTGTATTCCGACATTCCCGCCGGCTTGTTTAGGAAAGGCTCGCCGTTGACGCAGCTGGACCTGAGCGACAATTCTTTGTCTGGGGCGATTCCTGGACGCGAGTTTGTGTACTTGACAAGCTTGCGTATGTTCAATGTGTCAAACAACGCGCTCACGGGTACGATTCCGAACATCGCCTCGCTCCCAGCGTTGGAGATATTTTCGGCATCCACCAACGCGCTGCGTGGCGCTGTGCCTCACTTTGACGACGCCGCCAAGATTCGTTTCTTCGACGTGAGCAAGAATGCATTACATGGTTCGATTCCATCGCTTTCATCCGTACCGTCCTGGGTGTTGTTTGACGTCTCCCACAACTCCCTCACCGGCGAGCTCCCGCGGACAGCGCTTCCGCGAACGCTTCGCGTGTTCTCGTGCGCCAACAACAACCTGAATGGCACCGTGCCGCAAACGTTCGCTCAGCTGCCCAAGGTGGAGCACTTGGACTTTTCGGCGAATCAATTCACCGGCGCGTTACCCGCGAGCGTGTTGCAAAAAAAGACGCTGCGATACTTCAACGTCTCGCGGAACGCGTTCGAAGGCGAACTTCCGCGCTCGGTGTACCAAGGCGAACTCGAGCGTCAATCCATGAGACTGGAGGAATTTGACGTCAGTCACAACAAACTCACGGGTGCGCTGCCGCAGTCAATCGTCGAGTTGGACCGCCTTCGTGTCATCGACGTCGCGCACAACGCGCTGAGCGGCGATTTACCTTCGCGTTGGGCCGTCGACCGCCTCGAGCGTCTCGACGTCAAAGCCAACGCGTTCACGGGCGCCATCCCCACCATCCTCGCCAGAGCCACGCGCCTGCGCCACCTCGATTTGAGTCAAAACGCCCTCAGATCTCGCGCCAACTTAGCCGTGCTCACGATCCCCACCCTCGAGCACTTGGACGTCTCCGGAAACTCGCTCGATTGGAACGAAGCCGCCGCCGCGCCGGCGCCGAAAATCGACCGAGCGCGCGCCATCGAACCCCCTTCGCTTCACGACGACCTCTGACGCTCGAACCGCCTAGACATCGATTTGTACCACTCGCCGCTATCATCGTATTTCAACCTAATCTGTCCACCGCGCCAAGTCTCGCGCGAACGATCCATCGAACGCCGCGCGTCTTCGCGTTCGCGAAGCCCCGCGCCCGCCGCGGCTGGGATTCGCTTTCAGATCGCGCACATTCCTCATTGCCTCGCGCGCGCGCGACCGAACCACGGCTCAGGCGCGCACGACGCGAACGATCACATCGCGTCGCACGTCACGCGCCGTCGCTCGGGGTCATGGTGCGCGAGATCGTTCCGCAGTACACGAAAGTCTCGGCGAAGAAGCTGCGCGCAGCCATCGATGCGGGGGAAGATCTGTCCGACGACGACGCCGTGAGCGACGATCGCGACGCGAGCGACGAAGAGGGCGGTCGCGTGGGCGCGTTGGACGATCCCACGGCGAACGAGGACGACGATCACGGCGATGAGGACGAACAGGACGAGGTTGAGGACGACGAGGATGAAGATTTCGACGAGGAAGACGAAGAAGACGAAGACGAAGGCGCGAAAGTCTCAAAGAAGAAAGGGAAACGGAAGAATCCGTTCGTGGATGACGTTGCGGAGGAAGACGATGACGACGATGAGGGCTCTGGGCGGAAGAAAACGTCGAAGAAGAAGAGGGGTGGGGCGAGATTCATCGACGACGTCGCCGACGTCGCCGACGCGGACGAAGACGAGGACGAGGACGAGGGTGAGGAGGATGAACCGTTGGATGAGGAGGAGCGCGATGCGTTGAGGAGAGACATGGACACGCGTCTGCACGCGCGGATGGAGAATCAAGGACAGTTTGAACGCATGGAGAACGAGGAGGAGTTGGAGCGCATGATCAAGGAGCGGTACGCGGCGCCGAGGTACGAAGCGGGGACGGGGCAGTTGGACGCCAACGTCGATCAGCAGGCGCTGCATCCGACGGTGCGTGATCCCAAGCTTTGGCTTGTCACGGTGAAGCTCGGGAAAGAGCGCGAGACCGTCGTGTGCTTGATGCAAAAGACGATCAACCTGGCCAAGCAAGGGAAACCCCCCATGCAAATCTTGTCGTGCATCGCGCAGGATCACCTCAAGGGATACATCTACGTCGAAGCCGAGCGTGAAGATCATGTGCGAAAAGCGTTACAAGGAATGAGACACGTGTACCACGGTAAACCTGTTCGATTGGTGCCGATTAACGAAATGGTCGACTCGATCAGCGTCACAACAAAGGAAGTCTCCGTGGTCAAGGTGGATTCGTGGGTTCGCATGCGCACCGGCGTGTACAAGGGAGACTTGGCGCAGGTCGTCGACGTGAACTACGCCGATAACCAGTGTACGGTCAAATTGGTCCCGCGCATAGACTACCAGCACCTCGCCGATAAGGAATCAGGCAAGGCGAAGGGCAAGACAAAATCTCAAGTCCGCCCACCAGCGCGTCTTTTCGCGGAAGCCGAAGCCAAGCGATTGAATTTGTCTTTCGAAAGAGGCCGATACGATCGCAGCTTGGGTGCGAGCGTGGACGTATTGTGCAGCACGACGAAGCTCTTGGATGGGTATCACATGAAGACGTGCTCTTTAGCCACAGTCAAGCTCGCCGATGCGCCGACGTTGGATGAACTTCAAAAGTTCGCCATCGGTGACGACGAGGACGGTGAGAAGGGCGGTAACTCCAGCGGCGCGTTGGCCGCGCTGTCCAAAGCCGTCGGTACTCGCAAGACTGATTTGAAGTTCATGCCGGGCGACCAAGTAATCATCGTCGAGGGCGATTTGAGAAACCTTGAGGGCGTCGTCGAGCGAATCGACCCCGACGGACGCGTCGTCGTCAATCCGTCGCATAAAGAGCTGAACGAGTTACTGACGTTCAAGTCCGAACAACTGCGAAAGCACTTCAAGACTGGTTCCACTGTGCGCGTGTTGCACGGAAAGCACGAGGGCGTGGTCGGTATGGTGGTGAAGGTGGAACGCGACGTAGCGCACATCTTCTCGACGGTGAGTAACGAAGAGTTCCAAGTCTTCATGCACGATCTTGCCGATAGCGAAGAAACCACGCAGCGTATCGACACGATTGGTGAGTACGCTTTGCATGATTTGGCGATGCTCGAAGGCTCTGAAGTCGGTTGCATCATTCGTGTCGAGAAGGATGTCGCCTTCGTCATGACCAATGCCGGCACCCCAGACCGACCCGAGATCAGGCCCGTAAAGCTTCATGAGTTGAAAAAGAAGCTGCTGAGTAGGAACATTTCCGCACAAGACGCTCACATGGACACCATCGATCAAGGGTCGATGGTTCGCATCATAGACGGCAAGTACAAGGACACCACGGGTACGGTAGAGCACATCTTCAAGGGTACGCTCTGGATTCGAGCTCGGCACGTACAAGAACACGGCGGTATCGTTTGCATTCGCGCTCGAAATTGCGTGGCACACGGCGGTAACAAGGGTTCCCAAATTGGTGGTGGTCTGGCTGCCCAAATGATGGGCGCGCATGGCATGCCGCCGAAGTCTCCAGGTCATGCTCTCTTGCAGAGTTCGTACACTTCTGGTTTGCGTGGTGATTTGATGTCTCAAAGTCTTCAAGCTCCGAGAGCTGCACCACCACGTGCTTTTGGTGGACCTGGTCGCCGCGGCCAGGATCCGCTCATCGGTCAAACGAAGAAGGTTCGCGCTGGTGTGTACAAGGGATACATCGGACGCATCGTCGACGTCACCGACACGTCCGTCCGTCTCGAGCTTCAAGCGCAGGCACGCACTGTTACGGTCAATCGCGAGCACTTAGACGTCCCACAAGTTGCCCCGAGTCGTGACTCTTTCTTGGCTCCTCGCGCGACGAGCATGTACGATGCTCCTGGCTCGAGAACTCCGGCGCACTACCCGATGACACCGGCTCACGGCGGCGGTATGACGCCAATGCACGGCGGTATGACGCCCGCGCGCGAGGCCGCTTGGAACCCCACCGCGACACCGGCGCACATCCAGGACAACTGGGAGCCGACGTCTACTGCAGGCACCGGGTGGGGTGCTGGAAATGTCGGTTACACGCCAGGCGGGTACGGCGACTCCAGCGCCCTGGCGGGTCCGACACCGAACGCATACGGCGTCGGCGCCACGCCAGGTGCCGCCTACGGTCAAACGCCCGGTGGATACGGTCAAACGCCTGGTGGGTACGAAGCAGATGAATACGTCGCCCCACCGGCGGCAGCGTCGTGGCCGGAAGATTACAAGGGTCGTTTCCTACCGGGTGTCGTCGTGCGTTTGACGAGTGGCGCGCAAGGTTACATCACCTCTGTCGCGCCGGCGGGTTCTAGTTTCAAGGTGAAAATCGGTACCTCGCGCCCGCGTGACGGTGTGGAGGTCTTAGAGACCGTGCCGAAGTCAGCACCCGAAGAGACCGTCACAGAACAAGAGCTCGAGATCGTGCGACCGGGAAAGAAGACGTCAGTCATCATCGTCACCGATTCTGGAGACGCGTCCCGCGGCGACACCGGCGAGCTCATCACCATCGATGGTGTCGACGGTGTCGTGCGTTTAAGTAGCACGAATGACGTCGTACTCTTAGACATGTCGTGCCTGGCTCGTCGCTGGGTCGAATAATAGTGCTGTTGAAATACGTTTACTACACAAGTCCGATTGAGCCTAAATTCTATTTCGCTTCCACTCCGCCGACGTCGTTTTCGTTTTCGACGCCCCCTAAAACTTTTGCGCACCCGAAGTCGGTTTGCATACACGAAGTGTACGTTTGACGCTGGAGTTTCACCAAAGGTCCGACTATAGGAGCGTTTTCCCAAATCGGGCCGTCCGGAAGGTAGTCCCGATGGTAAACAATCTTCCGCGATTCCGGATTGGCGTTGAACTTTAAAACGCTTATCCCGGATATGTTTCGAAGCGGCCCCGTCCCGAGCAACATATCTAACCTCCACGTCGCGACGTAAGAGTCCGCTTGGCACACTTCCTCGTCGACTGTCAAATACTGCCTCGAAAAATCGAATTGATTCCTCAAATATCGCTCCATATTTCTCTTTCCGTGAATCTTCGTCAAGCCAGGGCCGTCGACGTAATCAAACGCCTCGTCGTCGTAATTCGCCAAGCATCCCGTCTCCCAATTATCTTGATTACACATCATCACGCTCCTCGCCGCTTCCAATCGCTCGGTCGACATCGTCCCACACTGCCCAGTAGGCGCGCCGACGCTTCCTCCGAATTTCTCCGCGCTCGCCGCGTCCCGCGCCGCGAACGCGCTCGCCACGAGCGCCATCGCGCACACCGATTTCCCGATCGCCGCGAACGCCTCGTCGACGAACGACGCGGTCGACGTCGACGCGTCGCGTCCATCGCGTCCGCGTCCGCCATCGTCGCGCGTCGTCGCCGGTTCCGTCGACGTCTGCACCGGTTCCTTCGCCTCGACCGCGTTTCGCGCGACGTCGCGGACGCGCGCGCGCGGCGCCCGCGACCGAACCGGCCGTCCGACCGTCGCGCGCGCGCGTCCGCGACCACACGCGCGCGTCGCCGGCGCGAGAGAGGCGGCGCGCGTCATCGCGCGCTGCTCTGCCGTCGCGCGCCGCTTTCGGCGGTGCCGATTGTGGATAGAGTGTCCCGCGCGCGCGCGATCGGCCGCACAGGGACGCGCGCGCGCGACGCGAGCGACTGGAACCGGCGTAGAAACACCGCGAACAATGTCCGTGACGCCCAGCGCGCGCGTGTGCGCGATGCTGAGCTCGAGGCTGACGCACGCGACGCTCGAAAGACGCGCGTCGAGCTTGAGGTTTTCCAAAGCCGCGAACGCGCGAAGAAACGCGCGCGGTGCGACGATCACGGCGAGCGGGTTGAACATCACGCCGCCGGTGAGCGATGGGACGGTGCGCGTGCGGTTTGCGCCATCGCCGACGGGGTCTTTACACGTCGGTGGCGCGCGCACGGCGTTGTTTAATTACCTGTACGCGAAGAAGATGGGTGGTAAATTCGTGCTTCGAGTCGAGGATACGGATCAAGCGCGATCGACGCGCGCGAGCGAAGATAGCATGGTTGCCGATTTGAAATGGCTTGGGCTGGATTGGGACGAAGGACCCGACGTCGGTGGGCCGTGTGGGCCGTACAGGCAGAGCGAGAGAGGTGAAATTTACAAGGCGCTCGCCGAGAAGCTCGTGGCGAGCGGACACGTGTACCCGTGCTTTTGCACGGATGAAGAGTTGGAAGCGATGAAGGCTGAGGCAGAGGAGAAGAAGCTTCCGCCGAAGTACATGGGGAAGTGGGCCACGGCGAGTGAGGCGGAGGTGAAGGAAATGATGGACAAGGGAGTTCCGTTTACGTATCGCTTCCGCGTGCCGGAGGGCGAACGCATTGAAATCGACGACATGGTGCGGGGTAAGGTTGGTTGGGATACGAACACGCTCGGCGATTTCGTGGTGTTGCGCTCCAACGGTATGCCCGTGTACAACTTTTGCGTCGCCGTGGACGACGCCACCATGGGAATCACCCACGTGTTGCGCGCCGAGGAGCACTTGCCGAACACGCTTCGCCAGGCGCTCGTGTACAACGCCCTCGGCTTCCCGCTTCCGACGTTCGCGCACATGTCCCTCATTCTCGCCCCGGATCGTTCCAAGCTTTCCAAGCGCCACGGTGCGACATCGGTCGGGCAATTCAAGGATGAAGGCTACCTGAGCAAGACCATGGTCAACTATCTCTCACTCTTGGGTTGGAACGACGGCACCGAGCAAGAAATTTATGAGAAGGCAGAGCTCGAGAAGCTCTTTAGCGTCGAACGCATCAACAAATCGCCCGCGGTGTTCGACAAGGTGAAGTTGAACTGGATGAATGGTCAGCATCTTCGCTTGCTTCCGGACGCCGACGTAGAGGCACTCGTTGGTGAGGCGCTGGTGGCTTCGGACTTGTTGAAGGAATCCTCCGGCGCGACGGTGCAAGCCATCATTCCTCTCATCAAAGAATCCATCGAACTCGTCGAGGACGCCGTTCCGCAGGTGCAAGCCATGTTTGAGTTCCCATTGAAGGAAAACATGGGCGATGATGCGATGAAGAAGGTGCTTGATGACGATTTTGAACCTATCGTCGACGCCATTGTCAAGGCGCACGCGAGCGGCGAACTCGCCGCGGCGGTGAAGGAAGGCACGGTGAAGCAATTCATCAACGCCACGGGCAAGGCCCTCGATCGTAAGGGAAAGAGACTTTTTATGCCTTTCCGCATTGCGCTTACCGGTCGTATGCAAGGTCCGGATGTCGGTGAAGTGCTCACGCTTCTCGACAAAGCTGCCGGCTCGAGCGACAAGATTGTGTCGCTCGACGACAGAGTCGCCGCCCTCAAGGCGGCTTTCCCAGCCGCTGTCGCAAACTAATTCGTTTTAATAACCAAGATCTTCTTAGGCAGAAAGGTTGTGTGCGTTGATGCTTGCTGTTTCGTCCCTACAAGAGCTAAATGTGGTCGGAAACGGCTCTCATTCTACCGAGAAAGAGTCGTCTTGAGAGAGTTCGGTATCGGTGGGGGTAGGATCGGCGACTGGCGTCGGTGCCGGATCCTTCTTGGGGTAAGCTCGGGGCTGGTTCGACGATTGCACTTTACTCGTGATATCGGTCAAAGCACCGATCGTGCTGTCGAAGATGGACGGGATATCAATGCCCGTGCCGCTTTCGATGTTTTCGAGAGTGTTCTTGAACTTTTCTCGGCTCTCCTCGAACGCCAAGTAGTTGTAGGTGAAGTAGAGCGTGTAAGCGATACCAATGGTTTCCAGCGCGACATCCGCGATACCCGGCAAGATGGCCACGGATAACAAAAAGGAGCCGGCGATGATGGCGTAGAAGCCAAGATCGGCTGTTTCCTTGAGCGACTTTGAGCTCGCCGAGCGTCGCACCGGGCGTTGAGCCGGCTTGCGCGCGAAAGGTTTCGGTTTCGGTTTGCTCGCTACCATTGGTTTGCGTCGCACGATCGGCTTCTTCGCCGCGATCGGCTTCTTCGCCGCGATCGGCTTCTTCGCCGCGATCGGCTTCTTCGCCGCGATCGGCTTCTTCGCCGCGAACGACGGCTTCTTCGCCGCGACGGGCTTCTTGACGAGCGGTTTCGCCTTGGCCGCGAACAGTGGCTTCTTCGTCGCGACGGGTTTCTTCGCGACGACCTTCGGCTTAGGCTTCGCCTTGGGCTTAGGCTTCGCCTTGGGCTTAGGTTTCGCCGCAACCTTCTTGGGCAACACGAACGTCGGCTTCTTCTTCTTCTGCGTGCCCGATCCCGCGTCCATGTACCCCCGCACCGCCGCCTTCCTCTCCTCCGCCGCGGGACCGCCAAAGTTAAATACCGCGCTCGTCTGTCATCGCGCGCGTCCATCGTCAGTCCATCGTCTCATCGAACGCGCGCGCCCTTCCCATCATCGCGTCTCCGCGTTCGTCCCGCCGCGTCCGCGTCCGATCCGTCCAACCGAATCGACGCATTCGCGATTCGCGCGCCCGCCTCGCCCGCGTCGAACCATCGAACGCGTTCGCGTCCTCGCGCGCGCGTCGCCGCCGCATCGCGCGCACCATCACGCCCCCCGCGCGTCGCGCGACGCGCTCGCGCGTCGCGCGCGGTCGTCGCGCGAGCGCATCCGTCGCCCGCGCGCGTCCGATGATTCCCATCGAACGCGTCGTCGTCGTCGTCGTCGTCATCGCCTCGCGTCCGTTCGCGTCGCGTCCGTCGAGATCTCGTCGCTCGCTCGATCGTCGATCGTCGTCGTCGGTCGACGCGAAGTCAGACGTCGTCGACGCGTCGCGCCGTCGCGTCGACGATCGACGATCGATCGAATTGAATTGAATCGTCGGTCGGTCGGTCGGTCGATCGATGTTCGCGTCGTCGAAAAATAAATCGACGCGTCGTCGATCGATTTTCGTATCGATCGACGCGTCGTCGATCGTTTCGAATCGACGTCGTCGATCGACGTCGTCGATCGAGCCATCGCGAGGGGGACCATCGCGCGTCGCGCGCGAATCCGCGACGACGACGACGCATCGCGCGGCGCGGATTCGCCGACGCGGACAACGATGGCGAAGAAAAACGTCAAGGCGGGGATGAACGCGCGGAAGGACGCGCTGGTGGACATGCAGACGGTGTCGGCGCGACAGACGACGGTGCGCGAGCGCGCGGACCCCTACGAAAGAGAAAACCCCTAGTAGGGGACGACGACGACGGAGAATCGCGAACGAATGACTGACGACGCGAGCGACCGGACGACCGAACGCGCAGAATAATAAGAAGAGGACGCGAAGAAAGAATGCGTTTTGGACGGACGAGGAGAAGGACGCGCTCGCGCTCGGGGTCGGGAAGTATGGGACGGGTACGGGACGCGAGGACGACGCGTACGCGAGCGCGAGGGGGAGACGAGGCGCGAGAGTAGGGGACGGGGGACTGACGCGAACGGCGCGCGCGCGCGATGATTTCGTAGGGCGTTGGAGCATGATTTTGAAGGATCCGGAATTCGGTCGCGCGCTCGCGGCGCGTTCGAACGTTGATTTGAAGGATAAGTGGCGCGCGTCGACGACGCCGACGAAGACGAGGGCGCACAAACCGGGGCTCACGCCGCCGTTGTCGCCGTTGGCGAAGTCTGTGGTTTTGAGTCCGCAAGCGCACAAGCAGGGTAAGCGCAAGTGGACGGACGCGGAAAACGCGGCGTTAGAAGCGGGTGTGCAAGAACACGGCGTCGGACAGTGGGCCGCAATCTTGAAAAATCCAAAGTACGCCCGCGCGCTCAGCGCGCGCTCAAACGTCGATTTGAAGGACAGGTACCGCTCGGCGAACACGCCCACGAAGTCTGGACGCCCGACATCGCCGATCGCTCCTGATGCGATTAAAACGTACCGCACGCCGGGTTACAAGCCGACCTCGCCTCGCTTCGCGTCGTCGCCGTACTCTTCGCCCCAGGTACGGTCTCCGCACGATCGCGTACGATCGCCGCCCATCGGTGAACTCCGAGACGATAATAAAAGTTGCAGCATCATGTGATTTACGTCTAGTCGTTGTACTACAATCGCTAATTTTGTCTGTGTTAATCGTGACTCGTCGCCATTTCGAACCACTGTCGCAACAAATCGCTTATCGTCGCCGGGAGCTGCGACACGTCTTGCACGAGGACGTAGAATGGAAACGGAAACGAGTCCAAATACTTTTTCATCACCGGTTTGCCTCCCGTGAATGACACACTTTGCATGTTCAGTAGACTGTTTTGGGGATTATCGAGCACGATGAACGCGACGAGTAACCCGCGCTGCGCACCAACTTCTCGCATGCACCTTCGCAAGGCTTCCTTTTCGTGAAATCGACCGTCGGCGATGATGAGCACGAGCTGCTGGAGCTTCGTGCCGCCGCCGCGAATTTGTTCTCGCGCGACGCTCAGTCGCGCAGCCATGGTTTCGAGGAGTTGAACCATTGGTCGATCGGCCAAGGTGTTGTCTTCCGCGAACGACAGCTTGCTCACGAGCGATGGGCCCTCTTGGTCGGTAAACGGCGCGCCGAGCGGATGCAGCGTGCGCACCGCGTTGGCCCCGGCGCCGAAGCCTACGACACCGATCTCTCCGACCTCTAAACGAGCCATGGCGCGCGCCAGGAGAACCATTGACTCAAGAGCGATGTGGCCGCAGTGGTTTTCTGCCATAGATCGCGAGTCATCGATGGCAAGCATCACTTGATACTTGCGAGCCGAAGGTCTCGAACGTCTGAGCCAAATTTTGTCCTTTCTGAAATCGCTGGCAATGTAAGGAATAATCTTCCGCATGTTTAGTCGCTTGCCGGTTTTGTAATCCCCTTGAAGTCGACTTGCAAGCGTTGGCTCGAGAATCAGTCGAAGTTTCTCTGCAAGTTCAGCCGAAAGCGCGGTGGTGAGCTGCTCCAACTTCCGCCACAAGTTTTGCGCGTTGGCCTCGTTGCCCCGCTCTTTGGCTGACTTTTCACGCCATTGCGTAAGACTTTGCTCAGCCTCGATGCGCGCGAGTTCGACGTCTTCCGGCGTGAGCTCGTGCACAACTTCACCTGCTCCACCTAGAGAAGTGTGTTCGAGCTGTAAAGCGATCGTCGACTCTTCACCAGTTTCGCCTTCACCGCCGGCGACGAGCTCTCGCTCGGTCATCGTTTCATCTTCGTCGGCCTCTTCGCCATCGATCGCAGCAGTTTGTGCATCCGTCGATGCAATGTCTTTCTTCGGTTCGCTACTTTTACGCTGTCTCTTCATCGCGGCGCTAGCGCCGTCGTCTTCGCGCTCGTCGTCGTTGCCGGGACCTTGATCGCCTTCATCAGTCGCGTCGACCCGAGAGTCTTGACGCATCTCCATGGGCTCGAGGCCTTCTTCGTCTTCATCCTCCGATTCTTCTGGCACGTCATTCAAACTGTTCTTCGTTGCTTGTTCCTCCGTCGCGTTACCAAGCGTCTGAATACCCTTATTGTCTTTACCGTCTTCGTCATCCACTCCGCCTTTTTCCGCAGCTCGCTCGAACTCGTACTCGTCGCCTTCGCCACCGCCGTCGTCCCCGCCTTGGTCTCCTGCGGTATCGTTCTCAGCAGCGTCCCCAACGACATTCAAACGTTCGCGCCAGCTCTTCAACGCGTCACCGAGCGAACGATGCGGGTTCGCATCTTGCTGACGTTGCGGCGGGGGAGGCGTCTTCTTATCTCCATCGCTCGCGGGACCGCCCGTCATCGGCGCGACCGTGCCTTCACCGCCGCTCGCGCCCGCACCAGTGCCTTCACCATCCGCACCGGCGCTCGGTATGTCGGTCGATGACTGTGGTAGGGGCAACTGTCTTCCATCGTTGCCTTCGTTGACGTCGGTATCCATCGCGCCATGCGCCTGTTGCTTCGTTTCTTCTTCTCCTTGACCATCAGATCCTTGCGCGTTGGCGCCCGCTTCACCGCCTTGACCTTGGGTTTCGTTGACGTCTTGATCGCCACCTCCCCCGTCACCTTGACCTTGCAGGCCGCCTTCTTCGCCGTCTTCGTCCATTGCGTCGTCCGCGGCGATGGCATCATCCTGGAGATGATCGGTGGCGCCTTCTTCTTCGTCGTCGGCTTGGGCGACCTCGTCGTCGTCCACGTCCATGACGTCGTCCGTGAGACCACCGTCGCCGTCTTCGTTCATCTCCCCATCCGCGTTTTCGTTTTGTTCATCGGCATTCACATCTTCAGGCGGTGCACCATCGAGTTCCTCGGCGTCTTCGTTTTGCATCGACTCATCGTTGGCGTCGTCTTCCGCGTCCTCGCCTTGTTCGTCTTCCTCTTCGAGTTTCAAGTCGTCGAGCTCAAACTCCTCAGGCTCGGGTAACGACGGGTTTTTTCCGTGATTCTCTTCGACTTCCTCCTCATTCTGCTTACCGTCATCGTTGGCGTCAGGAGCACCGGATTGATCGTTTTCTTTCGGTCGATCCTTCTCGTCTTCGCCGCTTTCTTCGCCTTGATCTGGATCTTTCGGCGGTCCGTCGTCGTCCTCCTCCGCCGCGCGCGTCTCAGTCTCCTGCTTTTCGTCCTGCTTCACGCTCGACCCTTTTTCGTACTTCTCCGGAGCCTCATTCTTCTCGTCATCTTTATCGTCTTCGTCGTTCCACATGCGTTCGTCGATGACGTCGCCGTCGTCGCCATCCTCACCCATTTCCTTCTCCATGTCCTCCCTGGGATCGTCTTCGTCTTCGTCGTCACCGCCCGCGTCGACGTCTTCCATGACACCCTCGAAGTCATTTTGCATCTCTATCCCGCCGTCCTCCTCTTCTTCGCCGCCGCCCTTGTCTTTATGCTCTTCCTCTTCCTTCTCGAGATCCTCCATGCCCAGGATTTGATCTTCGTTTTCAATTTCATCCGCGACGTCCTTCTCGCCTTCGCCCGCGCCCATGCCGGTACCAGATTGATCGTCCATCATGCCACCACCGGCTTCACCGTCGGCTTCTTCAGGTGGAATACAGAACCCCTCCACGGATAAACCAAGGAATAGTGCGGTGAGTACGGACTCGAGCTTGCAGGAAGACTTGTGAAAGTTGATGTACTCAAAGAGAACGGTTCGCACGGCGCTTCGTAACAGGCCCAAAAGCGGAGCGACGGTACCCGCGCGCGCTGCGACAAAGTTTGACACATCTCGATCATCGATGGCGTGCGCTTCGTCGACAACAGATTTGACATCATTGACGACATTACGTACGGCGTGTACGATGTGCTCGAGTCGTTTCGGGTTCATAGCACCGCCCACCGCAGCTTCGTACGTCGTCATAGAGCCTTCGGCTTCTTCCTCCTCGTCTTCACCTTCTGCGACGATTTCACGTTTGATCATGATTGGTTTCGACGAAGCATCGACGCCTTGAACCCAAATCAAAGTCGATTGTACGACAGTTTCGATGTTTTCACTCAGTTTTCCGATGCGCTTTGAAATAGACACGACGTCTCCGGCGACGTTTTCGCCCCCTGGCGAGACGCCGTTCGTGAAGTCCTTTTCAAATCTGGTAACGTCCAAGTCCACAATGGAACGCAAGAAATCCCAGCCAGGCACCGCATTTGCACCATGCATTCCGATATCACCAGTGGTCAATCGTACTTCGGCTTCGACTTGCGCACTCGCAAGTAACTTCTTTACGCGCTTGAAGTCGTCGAAATTTGCCTGGATGGCGGCCACAGCGTCACTCGATGCGACGGCGTTCAATCGCCAAGGTTCCAATGACGGACGATCGTTGCCCACACGTATATCTACACTTTCTAGTGTACACGCGAGGAATGGCTCGAGACGCGCCCGGGCGCGGTGCGCCAGATCTTTGCATTCAGTTAAAGCCGTCACAACCGCGGCCGTAGTGGGTTTTACCTGCGACAGAGGCTCTGCCGCGGAAATCGCCCTGTTGAGTAAACTCACGTCGACACACGCCGTCGCAAAACGATCGATGATATCGCGCTGTTCAATCAGCCATGATTCTGCAAACCGCTGGGATGGAAGATTTCCGTGCGCACTCAATGCGTTGAGCGACGAGTAAGCGATATCGATATCCGCCTCTGCTCCAGCGGCGGCGGAAATCGTAGACCTTTGCGTGCGCAAAATGTGTAACAAATGCTCACACGATAGTGTCGCAATCTCCACTTCGCGACTCGTCAAGTCTGGATTCTGCGCCCCGCGCATAAGCCAGAGACGCTGAATTCGAGCCATTGAACGATAGTAGTACTTGTCCGCCGCTCTAAAAGCATTGGTCGCGTCCTCGCCGAGGATGGCGAGGCATCGAGGTTCCTTCATTGCTTTCTCCATGAACCACATCGTCGCAGCGCGATACTCTACCGGCACAGCGCCTCGAGAGTGTTTAATTCCCATGGCTGGCAAAGTTTTGAGCAAGTCCTGAAAAGCCTTCTTCTTGATTGCCTTCTTCGCTGCCTTGTCGTCTCGAAGCGCATTCGCGCGCTTTGCGATTGTCACGGCAAAGTCATCGAGAGATTCAGCTCCGGCGGTACGCACGTCGTAACCATCTTCGCCGTTCAACGCTCGATCTAGAATAGTTCCCATGCGTTTCACCAGTGATGGAAGGCGCGCGCGGTAAGAGGTTTCATCGACATCAATCGCGGCTGGATGGTATTCCTTTCGGATTTGTTGCGCCACTCGCGAAGACGTTTCGACCGCATTCTTCGTGCGAGCGCTCGCTTTAGCGCACGCTCCGTTCCATGCATCCCGCTGTAATCGTAACGATTCTAGTTCTGCTTGTCGCATGGTGTCGATTTCAGCTTGACGAGCGAGCTTGACGGCTTCGAGCTCCTCTTTCGATGGTTTCGCCGCATTCGGAAGTATCGGAGTCTGAGTTTGTGTACCATCGTCGACAGACAACTCCTTGAAACCTGTTTGTGATGCAGCGGTCTCCAAGACTGGTAGTACTAGTCCATTGAGAGCGGTGTCAAACGCTCGAACGAACTTGTGCAATGATCGCTGATTCGCTTCGCCCTGGACCTTCATCGCGTGATAGCCTCGATCTTCCCATTTCGCGAGCTTGGCGTGATCTCGAAGTTTAATCTCGCATGGTTTGCGAATCGTCTCAATATGTTTATCGACGACGCTCGAAAACTGAGAGTAGTATCGCCAAATGTTGTACAGAACTGCGCAAAGTGCGTCATCGTGGCTGCTGGTACTTGCACCTCGCGCCTTGCACGCGCGCGTTTCGACTTCCAACTCGGCGAAAAAGCACCAAATCAATTCCAATCGCGTTTCAAACTCACCGATTGTCGAACCTTGAAGATATTCTTCCAGTGCAACGGTAAGACTTCGAATCTTCTCAACGTCAACGTTGTGGATTTCATCTTCCGGAGCATCATCGCCAGACAAAGCGCGCGACTTCATCGAGCTGAGTAAACGATAAATGGCAAACCATGTTCGCTTGGCTCGAGATGCGTGTCTCTCGCTACAACGAGCGAGAAGCCGCGGCCAAGTACGAACTTCGCGCGCACGCCAACGAAGTGCGAGCTTTGCACATTCGTTGAGCTCATTCTTAAGCGATGTGTGCTCTGCCGAAGACTCCTCCCAAATCTGCGCTCGAGCGAGAAGGAGCTCGATACCTGTCAAACCAGCCTTCACTGGGCCCAATAGCGGCAAAGAGAGCATTCGATCGCATAATTCGGCGAGTTGCGTCAAAAGAGGGTGTTCTGGCCATTCGTCGAGCAGTTGCGTCAGCCTTCGTCGCGCCGCCGCCACGGGAGGAACGATAAGCGCCATTTCTCCTGGGCATCCGCCGACGGTGAGCTCGTCGTCGAGCGCATCTGCCGCTGCGTCTTCATCTAGCTCGGCTTGACTTCTCTTCGTTCTCGCTCTCAGCGCTTCTTCTTCCTCTGGCGTCGCTTGCGATTCGTACGGTGACGTGCCAAGCGTATCAACCGAAAGCGCTGGGCGCGACACGGCGGAATACTCCAACGCCACGCGGAGGGAGTGCCCGAAGCGCGACGCATAATCGACGGCTACTGGAAGCGATAATTGACTCGCTTTCAAGACAGATATTCCTGTGTCATACGACCGCGCAAACTCGGACGCGCGTAATGCTTCATCGGTGTTTAAATTTCGCACGTATTTGCCATACTTGGTCAAACGCATTGATTGAACAATCTTCTCCTGGGCGCTCAATGATTCCTCAGTCGAGT